TTTTTCAACTGACATCATCAACTAACCTGCATTCCTTCAATTGCTTGCTTAAAGATCAAAAACAGACACACCAGCATCATTTATTCGAGACTTGCAATTGGACAAAACATTGTGAAATTACTGCTGACTAGAATACTTCATTTCAATAAAAGACTTCGGGTCTATCGAATCATACTACAGCTGGTCCACACATCACTTGAACATCTCATCACATTCCCTAGACTATACTGGAACATAATCTGACAACTCTCATGTATCCGTCTTCACACGCAAGCGCTGACTCGTCTGAATACATATCCTGACCCAGCAAAAATCCGAACCTCTTCTCCTCAGCTACAGTTATTTCAACATATTGTTCCTTTGAACTCGTCCGCTCATATACACTACGGCAATGACTTCTGTGGCTAACCGCCCGAAAAGTTCGATATCTAGCGCATCTTGCATCGACCTTCGACAAGACAATCAAATAGAACACTATATCAAACGAGTACTCTGTCTAGAGTATCTGAACGTCTCCTCCTCATACGTCTCAGACAGCTGAACTCTCGTCACTTTTCTAAACAATTTATCATTCACCAAGCTCAGCAACTAGAAATATTCTCTAGTTAAATAGCTACAAACTCAAGTTTTACTGGCCAGCTGGGTTCTGCCCAGGTCCACAAAATGCTCGAATTGCTTCTCTGCAAACAACAGAGTACAGGCTTCTCAATTTTCGATTCTAAATTATAGCATGTCTGTCCAGCTAACGAACAACCGCCCTATCAATTGCCGACTCAACGACAAATCAGGCCCAATATCAAGTCTCTCATTAGCTCGTAATCAGTAAACAAACAGTTCAACTACCAGTCTCCGTCCAATACCTGAACGTCTTTTACCAGCTATCTTCTCCCTAATTCGCCAGTGGCTAGCATCAAAGACCATCCAGATTGTACAGTTGATTTACTTCGATAACTCCAGCAAAACAAAACATAACTGCCTCTTCAATATAGCACTGTTTCTGTAAACTACTTGTACACTATCGAATTGAGGAAGGCCTGAACTGATCTTCTTCCACTACTGACACTGGCCATTCGCACGTATCCGTTCCTAATGATCACCATAGTCACGTTCTCTATTAGACAGTCCTTGTGAACCAGACGGATAAATGGTCCGCTGATCTTCATGGGAACCTATTGCTGATCCACTGGTTGTGAATAAATGTCTTTCCAGTCCCCCATAACCAGCAGAATATACCATGGATTGAGCTCGGAACTACTACTTGATCGCTTCAGCCGTCGAATAGTGTGCTGATAACTTCCTCTTGCATGTAGTATTCAATCACAGACTATACTTGAATCTTTTCATTGAACATCCACTCAATTCAGTTGCCAAGAATTCACATTCATCTATTAACTTCATCAGTTGATCTGAGTTCAATTTCCAGTGGTAATATTCTAAGCATTAACAGGTCAACTGCACGGACAAATCCCCCGGTACCCCCTGTCCAGCCTGTCACAACAACAGACAGCCACCTGGCTGCCACATTACTGTCACTGCTGTTTCTATTGTACGTCTCCCAATGGTCAAGGCAGGATTGTCTTCTAGCTGTCTTCAAATGAGCCTCTTGATTCACACAGGACAACAACCTTGTGGCCACATCATTAACGGTGTCAAAGACACTCCCATGATAATCGCAATATTCACTTGTACTGTAGACTGTCCATTGTAGTGTGTACCGGCCCCAATGGCCCAGTTCCAGCCAGACCCCAGTCCAACAAGAACACCGACCACATACCGTCAGAAAACAGGAAACGGAAAAAACGTCGAAAATTCCCCCTCCGGCAAGCTCGCCGGCCCGATTTTTTCCCCATACTAATCACATTAGGGGGTCTTTCAGGTCGCGCTCTCACGTTAGGGGTCTAGCGTTTTTCGATTTTTCACGTTAGACCCTTTTGCTAACAAACTGATTTTCACGTTAGACCCCTCTTGCCATACTGGAGCGAGAATTCCCATATTAGTAGGAATAGCTGGTAAGATCATATTACAACTGAAAACACTCCATCTGTTTCTTACCTAGGATAAACATCATTTAGATTGAGAAAAAACACTTTATAGTCAATCCAAGAATCAATCTTTTACAAAAGTTACAGGACAAAAATTTATACATTTATAAATGCTATTTCTCTTCAAAATCATTCTGTTCTACTTGACCTTAATAACAGTTGCGGCGACACCTATCTTAAACAAAAAGATATTTCCATTTTACGACTTTTTACACACTGTTGCTCCAATATATTTAAGAGCACAATTTAATGGCAACCCTAACGTTCAATATTGGACAAAAATTGCCTGGTGGGCATCTTTTGTTGCTGGTGATGGGGGGCTGGTAGATAATGTTAACGTTGGTATCGACGCCTGTCAATCTTGTATTGCCAACCACCAGTCTCCAAATTTCAATTGTCGAAATGATATAGTCTCATTAGTCAAGATGTCGATTACAAACGTTACAAAAGGTGTCGTGGGATGGATGAGTGGTTATGGCGCTAATGGTGTCGACGGAAATGGTTCTCCTGTTAAGAGACAACTTAGCAACCGTAGTGGTGATGCTGATATTGATACTTTTGATCCAGTTATTGAAAACTGGACTTCGAATAACACAACAAGACATTTAGCCACTGCTCATATCAGATCTGGAGCTACAATGCTATCTAAATCGTCAATCAACGATGAAGATGGCAATACGGTACGACTTTCAGTTTAACTCTGATGACTATGGGCTATACAGAGTATACCATTCTTATCACGGCAACGGTAATGGGATAGTTGCTTTCAGCTTGCCAAATTATGCTACTAACTATGGAAATCAAACATTAGTTAAAAGATACCCAACGTTAGATTATCTGTGCCAAGGGTACATGGCCGTGTCATATTGCGCCGATGTCAATTCTATTGCCAGACTCGTCGATGATAATAATGACATCGAATCCTCAGTCAGCGAAGTGTACGATTTGGCAACTGAAGGTAGCAGCTGGACGTCCAAGTTCTACAAATTGTATACGACGAATAGTGATGATGTTAGCGAATCATGGCAAGCTTCAATGCGGGTATTCTATATAGAGCCGAATTCGCATCCATACGAAACTGAATGTGATACTGGGAGTTAATTTCTGTGTGAAGTTTGTTTACATGTTTTTATGGTAGTATTTGTGGTGAATCAGCCTAGCAATAATGGCAACTCTCGCTTCACTATGATGTGCGGGGTCGCTCGTTAATATATTTAGTGGTGAAACACTGTTTTGTGGAAAATGCCGAATTAAGAAGCCCTTCCTTGATAAGGAAAATGTAATAGTAAACTGGTTGTTCATTTAGTCACATTCCTCCTATGCCTCATAACCTTCTTTTTGTAAAAACAGACACGTCTGATTTGAATCAGTACTGTTCGTATCTTTTCCTCTTCTAATAGCCGTTTCTCGCAAAAGGCCTTACAGTTATTATCTACTTTTTTCTGGATGACTTGAAAAATATTGTCTACTTGATTTGCATCAACATGGAATCGACGACTAGAAAAAGATGTGCATCTAGCACAGTAACTACTAACAAAAATTATACCAGGCAATTTTCTGTTACTCGTGACTAATTTGACCGCATTGATCCACGTACCTGTAGTTTGTAACTAAAAAGTCACAAACCAACCATGTTATTTATCCGTGCAAAATAAACCACGAATTGTTAGTCACTCAATTATCTTGGAAAAAACTCTAATAATATACATGGTACAGTTTCCGGTGGCTTAACTTCAGGTCATAGAGCTTGGCCTTGCTTGACTACTTCAAAACATATCCTTCTGATTTAATACCACAAAACCCGAATTCGATTGGGTCATGTAACTGTATTTCCAGTGATTCCAGTGATAACGTCGAAACAGTTGGACTCTGGCATACTGGTCTCGTTGATGGATAGCTGTATTCAAAAATTTGACTGTTCGATCAATGGACAAGGGTGCAGTCACGATTATGACTATTTCCAGTAAATTTAGTCAATTTTATTGGCGTTTACTATCTATCTACTGTCATTCATTGATGGCATTCATAGACAGTGGCTCGTCCTAGGCAATAGTCATCGATGCTAGAACAGAAGGTTACTATCAAAATTCGACATTTCCTCTGATTCACTGGTCTCCAATCGCCACTGTCCAACAATGTCACAGAGACAAACAATCTCCTGACTAACAAATCACTCTCACTGCTCTCACTCTTTAATGGTCCGGAAGAACTATTTATTCGATGTGCCGTCTGATCCAAACAAAGAGCTAGTTCTCTGGCCGCAATTTTGTTCACGCCAAATGCACTCTCACGTTTGTAATTGCATGTTCTTTTGTAGTGTAGGCTATCCGTTATAGTGTGTGCTGCTCTGAATGGCACAAATCTGCCTGACCCCAGTCCATGAAGAAGACAGATCGACATACATTAGTAAACAGGTAGCGGAAAAACGTCAAAAATCTCCCGGTTCAAAAGGATTGTCTGATGCAGAACGTGACTATGTTGATCATTAGGAGCGGATACTTATGAATGTCCAGCGTCAACGCTTGACACGTGAGCTTTTGACTGATGCATGAATGAATGGAATAAAGTCACCTAGAACAATAAAAAGCTCTCTGCCCCAACCGTGCTATATCCCCAAAGTGATCGTCTAGGAAGTATAACATTGGAAGTGTGCAAAATACTAATAATTTAATCCAACCAATGCTAAAGACAAGAATGAGCAGAACTTTTAATCACAGGGGTCAACTTAATTCCTTTGTACTTCATTCTTGCATTACTTGCATAGTTTATAGGATTTTTCAATTGCAATGGGCACTATGAACTTGTACAGTGCACGTAACTTTTTGTTTTCGAATGAACGCAACATATCTGTATCAAAGCTCTTTCGACATCTTTTCACATCATTTCGGGTCTTCTGCAAGTACTTCTTGTCAAAGTTCGCACAGCTAGTGTCACTGTCCGTCGCATAAACTTCGTAATATGTTATCCTCCTGAGCAAATCAGTATTATAACCACTCGTGTTTGTATTGATCAAAGACACAATCTCTGTCACATTGTAACCAATATTTTCAGCAACAGTTCTGTATTGGTTCACAACTGAAGTATTTGCTGCTACGTGTGTAGCACTGTACAAAAATTCACGCATAATCACGCCTTCATTGACTAAGTCTTCTCCCGATACGTTCTCTATATTGTTTAGTAAACCAGAATCGTAATATCTCCTAAATCTTAAGTTAAAACTAGCGTAAAAACCAAAACCAAATAACTGATTGTAAATACGGTATGCGGTCTTATCAATATCAGCATCTGCATTCACGCCACTTAAAGAAGATAAATTTAGATACCCCTGTAGCGTCACATAGTAAGCATAATCAGTTGCATTGTGATATTCAAGACAGTCAAGAAATGCTTGGACTGTGGTAACATTTGCCGGGTCTGCGCTTACTTTGTCAATAAAGTGGAAACCGTGACAATTGCAGCAAGTAAAAATGTAGGAAGCAGCATTGTTAAGTTGATTTTCAAGGTTATATGATAAAGCTATATAGTAAGTGTGACTGAGCTATCTAAGCTATTCCCAGAGGGAAATACTGCTTGTATTTAGAGGCACTGGGAAAAACATTCCTATCGTGTGATCCCCCCCCCCCCCCTTTGATACCGCATATGTAATGGCAAGAAGGAAGTCACCTGTTGGAAAGGTATACCGTGGAGAATGACAGATCGGATCAGGACAATGTAATTCAGAACCAATTTTAGTGATTAGAAAAACCAGTTTTAGTGATTAGAAAAACCAGTATACAAATGTTTGCGGTGAATTAATCAACATTGACGGAAATAACATACTGCACAATATCTAAATTATGCCTCGAATGAGTAATCTAAACATCGAATAAATCACTCTAATAGAGGTATATAAGTACAAGAAAACAATTATCTTATACTAAACTTCCCATACTAGTAGGAAAGTTTTTGTCTACTACTTTCTTAGCATTTTTCGTCTTGAGAAAGTAATAAGTAAATAATCGATCTTTAAACTTTGCCGGCTTCCTCCCTTTTGCAGCTTATGATGTAAAGCCTTACATGCCTTTTTTGGACGTATTTTCATATGTGATCTCATTTTTGCAGTTTCATTCTGGCTGAAACAAGTAAATATTTCTCATTGCGAAAATGACATTCCTGGTTCAAACAGAAATGTGCAACTAACTAGATATTTATGACTGTTGTCGTACCCTTGTAATAATAAACTCTCCAATGATATTTGACTGCAATATAAAAGCGTCTAAACTGCCATTCTTTAAGTCTTTGACAATAATCCTTTTAAGAAACAGAAAAAAAACAGCCAACTGGCTGTCTACAACTGTTGTCATATCCCTGACATAATAAACGCTTTAATGATACTTATTTCAAATGTCAAAGTCTTTGAAGTTCAATTATTATTTAACTCACAAATCACAATCCTTTCAAGCAGCAGAAATGCACAGCTGCCTAGCTGCATACAACTGTTGTTCCGTTCTTGTAATAAGAGTAATCTATTGGTTTGCACTGCCAAAGTCTCTAAATTCAAATGTTTTTTTACAGAGTAATGGCTTCAGTCTAAATAACAGAAATAAAAATCCGACTAGATGTATATAACTGGACCCATATCACTGTAATAAAAACCTTCTCTGACTTACTCGACTGGTCGTTATTCTACGACTTCTAGTCCTTCCACGCACCCATCATACTAGAAGAAAAAACATACCCTTATGAGGTCAGAAAAGCGAAAGTTTCCCCAGCCCCAAGCTCACCGTCCTTTTTTTTAAGACCCTCTTTACATGCTGAAACGTTTATTCCTATAGTGGCATAACCTGGTCGCGTATCCAGTGCATGAGCTACTTAGCTTAATAAGTTTTTGTTTGGCTGAAACTAGGTACATTGGGAAAGTCTGTTTTATATAAAGAAAATCAAAGTGAGTTAGAGAATGAATAAATGATAGTAATATAATAGGATACAACAAAAAACTATGTCAGAGCTTGACGACCAGTCTTTTGAAAATATCAAAGATCCTAATGACAAATTTGCGCCATCTACTAGCAGCAGAAAGACTAGACCTCATCAAGATAATGGATCTATCAATACAGATGATCTCTTACAATCAGACACCAACCATTCGCATAACTCATTGCTAGAAGATTCAGAAGAAGAAGATGAGTTTGTTAAGAAATATGGTGAAGTCAATTTTCAGTATATTGACAAACCTGCCGACTCTTTTTGGTGGGTAAAGCCACATGCATTGAATTATTTCAAAGATGGTGTATTGTATAGAACTAAAGGAGAACGTACATCCGGTAAGATAGAGTTGTTTCTTGACTTACTGTATGTTGGAATTGTCTCCAATCTTGCTTCTTCTGCAACAGACGAAGCTTCAGCTGGTAGTTTTTTGAAATACATTCTTCTTTTCATTCCAACTTGGACAGTGTGGAGTGATGTTAAGGATTTTGTCAATTATTATTACTCTGAAGATTTGGCCCAAAAATTATACATCCTCTGGATTATGGCACTATTGATCCTTTATGACAACAATTGTGATCATGTTTTGGAAGGGACCAAAGAGGCAGCCTTTACAGTGGTTCCTTATATATTATGTCGCACATCTTTGGCAATCAGTTTGTGGGTTTACTCTATGTGGGTACAAGAACATAGGTTGCAAATGAGAGTGTATGGTCTGCTATTATTTCTAACAAGTTCTTTATGGATTATTGTCATTTTTGTTGATACTCGTGCTAAAATTGGAGTCACAATTGCTCTTTTGTTCATCGAAAACTTTTCTTTTTCTTTTTGTTACCATCCTTGGGTCAAAAAAAACATCATGAAATTGACCTGCAGTACAGCTTTAAATATTGAGCATGAAGTGGAAAGATTTGGCGCATTCTATGTTATTGCAATTGGTGAGTTTTTGTATAAAACTGTTGCTGGTAATCCTATAAGGCAGGGTTTCAATTCTCATTTATCTCGAGGAGTTTGTTGTTTAATCATTTCATATGTATTCCTCTGGCTTTATTTCAACTCCGGAACTTCTTCTCGTGCTACTCATGCTCTTAGAAGATCTGGTTATAGTGCAATTGTTTGGATTTATTCTCATATCCCTTTGATTGCAGGTCTTATCCTTGCTGCAGACTCTGCTGGAGATTGGATTGAACTTGATACACAGTTGACAAAAAAACACCCAGAGCAGTTATTGTCATTGAATGAAAGATCGAGTACGTTGTCATCAACTGAAGAAGCAGTGGATGCTCCTTCCATGTATGCGTTATCCTTTTTTTTCACTGGAGGAATATGTGTTTCTCTTTGGGCTTTAGGAACAATAGCTTTTGCTGAGAAGTCAAGAGATTCTAAGAATATGCATATCGTAACAAAATTCTGGCGAGTATTCCCCAGGTTCCCTGCTGGAGTAATTATTCTATGCATGAGTTTTGCCGAAATGAGAACTACTGAATTAATGGGTTTAACTACAATGATATGTGCACTTTTATTTATATGGGAGTCTATCACTATTACACCAAGGAGTTCTTTACCTAAAATCTTCGGAGGTTGTTCGAATATTGTTCTATCTGAGCAGGTTGAACGGTTTTGACCACTTGAGATTTTATGAGCAAAGTTAAGATGATTTGAACAAATATAAAACATTCACACATTCTGTCGTTGTTTTATTTTAGTTATTTCTATCATCGCTTATAGTTTGCTATTTTACACTATGTTATCAAATCATATTCATTTTATTTTCACTTCTTTTACCCTATTGCTTGCTGTGTCTACCTTCAAATATTTTCCATTTAGCTTACTTTTAACTTATACTTTTTCTTTTCAGCAGTTCAGTATCTATATTTCTTCAGATAATTGCCAACAGAGCCGTGTCAAGATACGAGTAATGATTCTTGACTAAGAAAAATTGCTGCGTTGGCTTTGATAAATCTTAGAAATAGGTTATTAATAAAGAAAAAACGATCATTCGTAATGGTAATTCGGAGGCTCTTTCGTTCAGAAGCCAGAGGGACTTTTTAAATTATGAGTAAACTTTTCTTCAGTTGGCTCTAGACTAATGTTTAGTATTCACAGGCGCTTACACATAATATGTAAAATATACTATGTGTGCGACTTTCGAGTTCAGAGCTAAGGTTATCTTTTTTCCGATTGAACTTGTTTACAGGGTAAAAAAAACCTGGTTACCTGAAACCATCAACTTCTTATTAGGGTAACAAAATACTGTGAAACAAGAAAGCAAACAGATAAAATATAAATGTAGAGGCAGTCTAATGTGCACCTAGCCCTTCAATATCATATTCTATTATATGCGTGGCTGATTTGCATGACTAACTGCACTAACTGATTATAAAAATGTCCAGGTTGAGAAACAACTGCTTCAAGGACCGCCTGTCTAACAAAACGTCTCAACCTTGGAGGTATTGGTCATTTTTCTTCCACCCCATAAACAGACATCGTGTTATTGTGTTGGGACATTTCATGCGAATAACTCCGTCAAACTCTGATATCCTCAATTTCAAATACTCTCTCTGGTATTTGTGAATTAAAATGATTCCCAGGATTGTAAACGGCCAAGTGCAAACGACGGAAATGTGGCTAGGCAGACTCGTTTTTCCTAGTAGTTTGATGGTTGAGTTAACTAGGCTTTAGATGTTTGTTTCTGCTGGGCCCTTCCACGGATGAATTGATTTCTCAATAAAAATATACACCCAGTTGGCCACAACTTTTCTTGAATAGTAGCTTTTTCTATCCTTCGACGAATGTGTGAAGGAAAATCGTGAAATGAAGTTGTTTGTGGCGTGTCAAAGCAGAGAAGTTTGGCAGATGTTTGACTTTGAGACGCAACAGAAGCCCATTTCTTTTTCAAGGGGAATTTCAATGTTATTCAATTTGTTTTGGTCACCAATTCAAGTGCAGAAAGCGCAGCAAATTTTGTAAATTGTGAATGGCAAAAGATTTCAAGTTGGTTTTACACGTATCAATGAATGTATAGTACTGGATCAATTCAACGGGAGGCTTTTCCAACTCAAGATTCTCTTGTTCTTGACCCAGATATGCAACGCGGACATCACCGTAAACTGTGACAGTTCCGTGTTCTCATCGAGAACTTTTTCATAACTTTCTATTCTGGAAAAGACTCAGTACAACTAGCTCCAAACAGTGCTATTCTGTGACCTTGTCTTCTGTTGCCTTCCCTTTCTCATCTTAAGAGTTACTTCTTAGGTAAACAAATATGAAGAAACAAGAACACTTGATTAGAAAGACAGTGACCTCTTTCATACGCCCTCATAAATTCATTATTTCCTAACTTTGCAATCGACTTCCTCTTCATGATATTCTTTTTTTATACGGCCTATCAATCTGTCCGTGCTTGGGAATACATCTTACAGCATTCATTCAATGGCCAATGATTCAGATGTCTGCTTTACAAGCGCAAAGATACCTTCTCAAAAAAAGTTCATGGAGGGGCAGAATTGATACAGAGAGATAGAGAAGAAGCAAGAGAATCTACATACATCTCATTCATCACTAATGCTTGATTAGTTGTAGCAATGGTAACGGTTCATTCGCTTGGAAACACGCATTACTATTTTTAACAGATAACGTCATCTATATCGATATTGTACATTTTGGCTTTACGGCTTGAGCTTATTATACTATTCGGTAAAATAATATTTAAGACCGGTTTTTGAAATAGGAGGTAGCTCAAACGTCGAATTCAGCAAACTGTTCAATCCAAGCCCTAGTAATTACATGGATATTGGTGGATTGATTATTGATAAACGGGAAGGAGCAGTCAGAGGGACAATGGATGAATCAACAAAACAACGGCTCAGTCAAATTTTTGATATGCTCAGCATTAAACAGAAACTGAAAAGATTTTCTTTCGTGTTATATTTGGATGCTTTTTAACAACCAAATAAGTAAAGCTAAGTAAAAAGAAAGCTCAATGCAGTTGGGAACGTAAAACTTAAGCTGGGTTGCAAAAGTTTTTTGAGCGAACCGCTGCTTGCACGCCAGTCATGCTCAATATCATAATTTACCAAAAGCCTAAAAATTTGAGACCTGGACAAGTTCTGGATATCTTTTACTGAAGCAATCCGGGGCAAGTCGGTGTCAGAAGGCCTTTCTCCGACTAAAAAGGAAGAGGTAGTTGAAAAATGGCAATGGTCCTGCAATGCAAATTCTCGGAAATTCGATCATGATGCATTAAGGTGTCATTTCGTCAACCTTTCTGCTGATATTAATGATGTCTGACTTAACACCACTGTTAGTATCCATACGGTTAACACTATTGTTCATATTATTCAATGAATGCATTACAGATAGAAGGATATTCACGTTATCATTTTCCGCAAGAACTTTTTGTACTTTGTACTGACTCGTTCGAGCTTTGAATGCTTTTTCAGTTGCTTTAAAATTTGCTTCACCAAGTATCTCTTCATACTCCATAATATCTCTTTTTCTTTTGGTCCGTGAAGGCGGTATACCTTGTTCATTGAAAAACACATCATCCAAAATGTCGATCTCCGCGTCCAATTCTTTCTGCAAAGTAACTTAGGGGTTGATTTGCCCTTGCAATTCTGAAGATCAAATTTGTGTTATTAACTTTATATTTGACAAAAGTTGACCAATAGTGAAGCCATCAAAGTAGGAAGATGATGAAGAAGAGAGTTGAAAAGAGGGTAATACAAAACAAGAGCAAAAGCACAAACAATAACAAAATGGACCATCGCATCTTTTTTTCCTCTTTTGGTGTCGGAGGGGCTCCGTGAGAAAATGTTCCTGCGGGGACTTGTTGCATCTACAGTTTGGCCTTCGGAGAAACTCCCTCTCTCTGACACAAGAAGAAAAATGGGCATAATAACCAGTGTTTTTGCTCTTTGTATTGCCCTCTTTTCCCCTCTACTGCTTTTTCCCATAATTATGCGTGTTATTTCACCTTTTCATTAGCTTTTAACTAAAAGTATTACGTTCATAAAACAGAAGCACTTCACATTTATCAAATTCCACGGACCTATCGAATGCCTGACGAAGTAATTAACGAAATCGACGTTTTATATGATGTGTTTATCAAAGACTTTGCTATGTATCATCCTGATGATCCAATTGGTACGAAGTCATGAGTCTATTGCCATATATTAGTTGAATCTAAGTATACTAGTATCATTGACAATGGTATTGTTCAAAGCTTCAACAGATCAATTGCTAGACTACTATCACAACAACTGCTAGGACAATTTTGCTGACCTCCTAGTTCACGTTTCTGTCGTCCAGCATTCTTACAACAAACAGACAACCAGCTGACTGCCACATTAATGTCGCTGCTGTTACTGTTGTCACTCCCTAATGAGCAGGAAGAACCGTTAGCTCGATGAGCCGTCCGATCCAAGCAAAGAGACAGCCCCTGCTGCAGCTCTGTTCACGCCAAAAGCACTCTCAGGATGGTCGCAGCATGTTCAATTTTACTGTAGACCGTATTTGGTAGTGTGCGCTGCTTTTAATGGACTAAAATCCTTCCACACCCTAGTCCAGGAAAAACACAGATCGACATACCTTTTTAGAGAAGAAACGGAAAAAACGTCAAAAATTTCCCCTCCGGCAAGCTCGCTGACCCGAGATTTATCCCATACTAATCACGAAAGGATCGCTTTCCAGCAGCGTTCTCACGAGAGAGGCCTCTTGATTGCGGCATTTTCACTTTAGACCCTCTCGCTAACTGATTTTCACGTTAGACCCCTGCCGCTAGACGGGAGTGAGAATTCCCCTATTAGTAGTCTTCATCCTCTGGTAATAGTTGTTGTTTCTATCAACCATGAGGCCTTTACTAGGTGCGTGAAAAATGACCACCCATCGCATCTCAGAAATGTAGCATACTGATTGCGACTATATCTTCTTCTAATGTCACTGTACGTTAAATCCGATACCCCAACGTACCGTTGCCATTATCAATCGCCAAATTTTTCGGACTCTGATCAATAAGAAGCCCAGACAATAAAAAAAGTCTTGCTCTAAGCAAGCCGCTTATCTTCCCGGGAAACGCTTCTCTCTACTCAGTATCCCGCACAGCCGTCCACAAATTTTCCCAGATAATCTATTGTTCAATTACTAATTCCTCAAACTAAACAAATGCCTTCATTATTGCTTCTTCTCATCGAGGGGTTGTCAGATTTGGACCGGAGCAGCGTGACGCGTCTCGCATAATCAACCCTATGTTCGACAGCAACGTCGCAACCAGTAGCGCCATCAGCAGCGCAATGAGTATTCTATCCTTCTTTTCCATCCGAGATTCACACATGATGCGCCCCTTATCTCTTTCAAAAACTCATGTCACGCTGATCTTTCTGCAATCCAAGAAATAGTAAGTAGTGGCGGAACGGCCACCTATTATAGTTGGAGGGTTCGAGTAGTCGCGCACCCTCAGCTTTTGGTTGATCATGTGTTTGTCCCTACAAGTCACAATATCTCATCAAGATGACACAACAAACAGGATGGTAAAGTCTGGTCACGGAAACAAAGAGTGTGATCAGCTTGTCTTTTGGCAATATGTAAAAACTAATATATATTTGACACAAACCCAAAAAGGCTGCAAAAAATGTCCCGCCACTTTGCCCCTTATCGCAATATATCTCTTCTACGATCTACACAGATACAAGCCGGTGTCATTGCTTACCTTGCTACATTCCGAAAACTCTTCCACAAATCTTCAACATTTCAAGCTCGTCGAAAGACTGTTAAAGAGGCTGGTTGACCAACGATTAGCACCTAGCCACCAACTTGCTACATAAAGGCTTACGTTTAATTTTCGGTTCGATGTTGCTTGAGTATTCGACGCATTTATAGTTGCGAAAGCGTCTGAAGTACTGAACGTGGCAGAATATACAAACTATTCAGTGATAGACTATTTTCAGCCCCTGCTAAGTATATATACATCCAACCGCTTCAAGAGTACATGTGTCATCTGTATATTGGAATACATCAGTTGAATCTAAGTATACTAGTATCAATGAGAATGGTATTGTTCAATCAAACAGATCAATTGCTAGACCATTGTCACAACAACAGACAGCCACCCGGCTGACATTGCTGTCACTGTTGTTGCTGCTGTCACTTTCTAATTGTCAGGAAGAACTGTCTTTTAAATGAACCGTTTGATTTAAACAAAAAAACAACCAGGGAGCTGTAGCTCTGTTCACATCAAAGGCACTCTCAGCGTTGTAATGGCATTCTAAATTGTACTGTAGACTGTTGTTTGTAGTGTGTTTTCTGCAAACAAGTCACATCTCCACACGAATAAGAAAGCAGATCAACATACCATTAGATATCAAGAAGTAGGAAAAACGCCCAGACTCGTTTCCGGCGAGCTCGCCGGCCCGAAATTTTCCCCATACTCATCACAAAAGTGTCATTTTCCAGTAGCGCTCTCACAAGAGGGGCATCTTGATTTATGCATTGTTCATGAAAGGGCGTTTCGCTTGCAAACTTTTTCACGAGACCCCTCTTGATATGACATACAGGAGCGAGAATTCCCATATTAGTAGCTGTGGCTGACTTAATGCCTTGAGTTCTTAATCAACCGTTTTCTTTGCGATCCGCAACCACACTTCTGACATCCGTTCTCTAGCTGAGGACAAGGTACCGTAAAGTCATTTTTTGGCTCCGAGTTACGATGTGAAAGTGTGTCTGTTTTGATCTTCGAGAGGTAATCGACGTGTATAAATATTGCTGACTCCCCGTTATTTATCAAAGCTCACTAAATTGTCACTAGTATTCTTGATTCCTACAACATTTTGAACCTTTCTTTGAAATTTTTGTGTTTTCCCTACTCTCCTGCTCACAGCAATGCCAAAGGATAACTTATCTGACACACTAGAAAATACCTATACTAGCGATGCCGCTACCTCATCAGACGAGAGCTCCACAAGCTCGCTCCATCTCGACGCTAACAATAAATCCATCGGTACTCTCAGCGCCATTGGCTTGATTTTCAATAGGATGGTGGGTACTGGTATCTTTGCCACCACCAGTACCATATACGCTACAGCAGGATCTGTTGGTCTCTCTCTCATCCTCTGGTTTGTCGGTTCGCTCATCGCCATGGCTGGTTTGTACGTCTATATGGAGTTTGGCTCACGTATCGTCAAGAACGGTGGAGAGAAAAATTATTTGGAATACGTGTACCGCCATCCAAAGTTTCTTGTCTCCGCTGTGTATGGTGCCTATGTCTTCTTCCTTGGCTGGGCTGCAGGTAACTCAATTGTTTTTGGTGAGTACATTCTTGCCGCTGCTGATGTTGAGCTCACTCGTTGGAATCAAAGAGGCATCGGTGTAGCATGTGTCACTTTTGCTTTCATAATTCATGCTTCAAACGTCAAAGTTGGTGTCTACTTGCAAAATATCCTCGGGGTGTTTAAACTGGCTATTGTTATATTGATCTGCATCACCGGCCTTGTCGCCCTTGGAGGGCACATCAAAGGCGCACCAGGAACTAAGAACTTTCACAATTCATTTGAAAGTGACATAAAAGCAACAGGTTATGGTGTTGTTAATGCTTTGTACAACATAATCTGGTCTTTCGTTGGCTACTCCAACGTAAATTATGCTTTAGGTGAGGTCAAAAATCCTGTTAAGACACTTAGGTACGCAGGTCCAATCGCTGTGGCTTCACTTTCAGTTATTTACATGCTTGCCAATATTGCTTATTTTGCTGTGGTTCCGCTTGATGTCTTGGCAGACAGTGGTCAAATTGTGGCAGCTAATTTTTTCAAGATTGCATTTGGTAATACATCCCAAAGAGCCATATCTGTATTTGTTGCTTTGTCCGCATTAGGAAACGTGCTTTCTGTGATTTTTTCTCAAGGAAGAATAGTGCAGCAGCTTGGAAGAGAAGGCATTCTTCCATTTTCCAGATTCTTTGGCACTCAACGGCCATTTAACACGCCATTAGTGGGTCTCATGCAGCACTGGATTGTTTGTATTGTTACGATATTGGCCCCACCCCCAGGAGATGCTTACAACTTCATTATGAACCTAGTTTCTTACCCTTTAAACATTATCAACCTTTTTGTTGGTATCGCTCTACTCTATCTCAATATCTACCACGAAAAATACAATTGGTATCCTAAGATTAAAGCCAGCTACCCGGTAATTATCTTCTTCACACTTGCTTCACTGTACTTGGTCATTGCACCTTATATCCCACCTACTGGTGACCAGTCTGTTTACAAAAGCTTGCCATACTACTTACATTGTGTTGTGGCACTTGGTATTTTTGGTTTTGGTGCTCTGTACTGGTTTGTTTTCTTTTTCGCAATACCAAGGATCAAAGGGTATATTCTGGACAGTGAAACGTATCTTGATGCTGAAGATGGGTTTTACAAAGTGAAAATTGTGAAAGTTTCCAAAAAAAATAAAGCGTCTTCTAAATAGCAAAGCAAAAGTTTCAGACTCTTGCAATCAGACTTATTTCATTTTTTAATGTACGATTTTTTATGGTGTATATATCTTGCGTTTGTTGACTAGCTCTATTGAAACTTAATTTGCCTTAATAATTTTGAACCTCAATAGAAGGAATAAACCTTTTGTATTTAAATACTCATTACTTATGTTTTTCTTTCTAGTTTTTGTTTAAGGGCCTCCTCATTATGCTGCAATAGCTTAATATCATCTTTACCTTTATCTCTTTAATCTCATCTTTGTATTGCTTATGACTATATCCTTATCAACATTGCATTATATCTCAGCTTTACGTACTAGCTTCCTATCGCCCTCTTGAGGGGAAGAGATTTAATATAACTGCTCATGTTAATTCTATCGCCTACAAGAGTTGCAGTCTCATCTTTTTCCGGACAAAATACGCCCCAAGCTTCCCTTGCATACGCTTGCATACGCTTGCATGCGCTTGATTGACAGTTGCGCGTTGCAAGACCCTAAAGGTCCGGCCGGTCTCCTGCCGTCGATGCAAAATTCGTGGCCGTCCCGCTTCCTCGATCCTCAGGATGGCACAGTATTAATCACAGAACATACAGGCTTAATTACTGGGGGCTATCCCCATTGGCCGACTTCCTGTCGTACCCTAGTCTTAGAGGAACACAGATCGACATACCGTTAGAAAACAAAAAACGAGAATAACAATTTTTTTTGGGGGTATATATTCCTGGCCAGCCTGGCGGAAAATATACCATATCAAAAGGGAATAATTTCAGATATTTTTGAGAACTTAAGTTTGATATAAAATAAAAATAAAGAGCTTTTCTTATGGTTCCACCATTAGCATAGCTTTAAAAAGATGTCCAATGCTGACCAAATAGCTTATGCGTTAAACTTGCCCCGGCCAACTGTCCAGTTTGGGTAGCAACAGCCAACGAACGCATCATAGTTGTACAATCTCCTGCAGCATATATACCAGGAATATTGGTCATTTGTGATTGTTTATCAACTTTTATAAAACCCATTCCATCAAGTTCAACCCCAAGTCTCGTAATCAAATCTCTCATATTGATAACTGAATTTGGTACGTAGTACAAAACATCTAAATCAATTTTGTCACCATTCTCCAAAATAACAGATTCAATCTGGGTTCCATCACCCACAATTTCAGCAATTGGTGAATGTGAAATTGTGTTGATTCCTCTTTTACTCAGTTCCTTATTCTCACTAAGTTGATCGATTGCAGTTTGACTTCCAAATACCGTGAGATTTTTATTCCAATTGTATACTATGGGTACCATTATTTTCAAAAACATTTCGTTGCTGGCATATAGTCCCGCTTGTTTTCCTGCATACTCAAAACCATGACAATAACCACAGGTGAAGATGGAATTACCCCAAAATTGACCTAGATTCTTGATATTTGAAGCTTCAATATTATCATTCATACCTGTTGCAATAATAATATTTCTGGCGTTCAAAACGTCAGGGTTGTCCTTCGTTCGAACTGTAAAAGTTTCTTTGTCATCCTGCCTAATTATCGATACTACTTCATCATCGATAAAACTTGCGTTGGGGTATTTTTCAACTTGTTCTCTTGCAACTCTTTTGATACTTGACGGGCTTTCGTTGTCATGTGTTAGAAAATTGTGGGATTCTTTAGAAAATATATTGCAAGGCTTACCGGTATCAACGCACACAACTGAAACAAGTGCTCTGGCAATTGCAAGAGTTGCGGATAAACCTGAAGCACTCCCTCCGATAACGATTGCGTCATATTTGAAAGCCGTCATCTTTACTTGTTACAGTGGATGATAAACATATGATGATACTGGATGGGAACAAAACCAAGATTGAATTAACCATAAAATGAGTTGGTTAAATAGCTTTTCTTTTCTGTGCATTATAATAATTCACAGCTTCATTATTTGCTCATTATCATAGTCTTTTCTGGTACATATTACCACATCTTTATTATTTGCTCATTTTCCTTTGCAAAATAACCTCCAGGGTACTTTTCAGAATTTCAATTACACCTCGGTTCAAAACGAGTTGCTGAGCCTCGGATGGGTATCTGTCTTTTAAAGTTGTCGTGGATGTAGAGAAAGTATGAGATGTTTCTTTTTCAGTGCATGAATAAGAAACTTTAGAAAGAACGTTAAAAGCCAAAAAAATGCCTCTGTGGTCCTAAAAAGAAGTTTTAGCGAGATCCGAAAGAATTTAACTCAAAAATATCCATGTATCACTCGCTAAATCGATAGGTTTGCCAATGGAGGGTCTGGGAAAAATTTCAGGCGAAGTGATTAATCGTTTGCTTCTTTTATATCCACCGATATGAGGTCATTGATTGACAGGTTGATTGAATTATGACGTTGTATTGGAGAAACACTACTCTCAACCAGCTTTTAGGAAGTGTTGAACGACCGAAAGACCACCCTCTAGATGTTTACATGGCCATAGAAAAGCTCTCTGTTGAAGAGTATGCTTTTGGTGCAAAAACTCATATCCCTAAGTTTTCAGTTCACAACGAAAGATCGCTGCAAAACTTCCTATCGACAATCAACTCAAAGTTGGGAAGAAGAGTTTATGTTTCATGTGATGGGCTACTCAATTTAGGTATTGTGCTAAGTGTCGAAACAGGCTACTTAGTACATATAAGCTCGACCGCAAATATCGAAAATAACTTTATTTTTGGTTTAGCTAGCAACGTTAATAGCGTTTTGAAAAATATTGTCAAAAGCTGTGATTTCAAAGGAGAGCCACCAGTAGATATAGCACTCGTCAAAAAGTGGATTAAAGTTTTGTACTTGGAGAATAAATTTGAGCTGAAAATTAACCGATATCGACCTAGCTTTCATATAGAGTACAATACGGAACTAGCTCTAGAAAAACCTATATTACCATTGAAGCATGAGGTGGGAATCATGAACCTTTATGTTGAGCCTAACCCATTGGTGCCGATTCTCAACTCCTATCAGTGTGACTTTTGTCTGAAGTCACTGGCAAAAATCAAGCACGTGATGGTCCATATCAATGAAAATCATCAAGTACCGACCGGTTTTAAATCCAATGATTTTATTTCTTTCTCTCATAGTCAAATGACTCCAAAAGGCCACATTACAGTTTTGGTGAGTGAAGGTTTTATTAAACTCGAGAAAATTATTATTTCAGCTCATAGAAAAAAAGTACCAGCTTATTTTGTGCCAGAGTCCGTACCTAAGTGGAAAAATCAAGACTTGGAACTCAGCCACAATAAACTAGAATATACTATAAATGAAATATCTGAATTTGATGAAATGTTCAATTTTAATTGCATTGTCAATTTCATTAATAATTTAAAAATGAATGACATCAATTACTACCTTGACTACTGCAAAGTTGACGAAAGATATCGGCTGATTAAAAACTTTTTAACCAAAATTCTGTTCAATATAATTGTTTGTCAGACTAGAAAATATGAGTTTGATACTACGCTTACTAGCCATAGGGAAAGGACTCTCAAATTCTATATATCATCTGCTTCACGGCCATCTTTCGTTTTTGGAAAAATATCCAATCCTCAAAGAATACTAAACTATGCTAAAGCAATCTCAGAAGGGTTAATCATTCTATTTGGCTCTCTAAATCTTAAAAGGCAAAAGATTAATTTAAATTGCGAAATACCTGACTATAAAGTGCATTTCTCCAGCTCTCAGAAAAAGCTGCTCAAAGAAATTTTCAAGTACGTTGTGGCCAACTACAAAAACAAAGAAGTGAGAATGTTTGATGACGAAGAGCTGAAAGATACCGGACTAAAGTTAGAACTTGAAGGGGACGTGCTATTTTTCTGGAATAACCTTAGCAAGTTTTTCATTAACATATCACTTCAAATGGAGGGGAGGCACACTCCGTTGCAGACCATATTCTGTCTTTCAACGTGCAACTACGACTTTTGTATGAAAAAATTGAATTTTCATCGGCCGCCCAAGAGGTCACGAACTTTCAAAGCTCTGTTATATATAATAAGACTCAGTTTTTTGAGTTCGATAAACAAAAAAACTGATGAGTATTACAACGCTCGGATAACTGAAGCTACAATCAAAGGTGGTCTTAGAAAAATCATGGAAAAGCTTTATTATCCTACATTGTATTACTTTTTAAAACGAAAAGCTGCAATGTTGCAACCTTTCTTCAATGCCGAAAAGTACACCTATGTTCACCCGGTTTCATTCAAAGACAAGTTAGTAGGATGCAAAATATTGGGATTATTCAGTGTCAACATAATGCTGAATAAATCAATTGAGTACATCAAGGCTGAGATCATGTATATTAGAAGATTTAGTGAAATTCAATGCGATTTTGATGATGATGATTCTATACGCAGAGTCTTGGAGGACTATAGTGAGGATACTAATAATAGACGTATGTGGCCCTTGCGAAAGCAGAAAGAACATGATCCTAGTTATGTTGAAAACATGCTCACAAAGGATTTCCGAAGATCCATATCAGGAATCACATGTTTGCTAATAGGTTACTTGGTGATAACCAACAAGCCATTATCAAGATTTAGCGAGTATTTGAATATTAAAACCGATGCTTTGGAATTTAAGAATAACTTGTTATCTATCTCAACAGAAGAGTTCAACTTTACAGTGGATGATGAAAGCGTTGTGCGCTATTTTAAATACTATCAAGTTATTAGAATATTTTTGTTAAAGGTTGATGAAAAAATCGATGATAGCTTTTTTTTTCTAAAACTTGATTATGTGAAACCAAAGACGTTTTTTGATTTGATGGGTAGCAGATATACTACTTATAGATATTTTTGCTCTTTTCTAAAGGCTTGTCATGAAAAGAATAATTATAGAGGTGAGAGGTTTTCTAAAAATTGGATAGAGATTGTTAGGCATGGATTAAGAGAGAGAAGCGAAGGATATTTAGTCATAAACTTGAAGTTGATAGCTCCAGATCATCAAAAGTTTGTGGGTAGTGAAGATGCACCAAATGTTGACCCCAGATCTTATCTACCAATTGATGAGGATTTCAGTTTGAAAGATATTATTGAAAGTGGATTTCTGGATTACAACTTTGCCGACGAGGAGGATGTCGAAGATGATCAGGATTCCGATCTAACCACAGCAAATATAGCTGGCACGGAAAACAAGGGTAACCAAGACAACTTTGATGATATCAATGACTACGATGAAGAAGGTGATGACGATAAATCTAATAAGGAAGATTATGAAACGATGATTAATCGTATAAAAATGCAACTTCAAAGCCAAACTGAAAAGAAAAGTAAGCATTAGAAAATTCTGTAGTAAAAGGTTTACTGTGCGGTTGATGGATACATGAATTAATTGCAAACTCAACGAGGCCAATCATTTTTTACCCTTGTTGACCAATTTTTTCTTTAAATGCTTTTTCATTTTACTTTTGCGCTTCTCCCTTGCCTCTTCTTTAACTTGCTGCTTGTGCATTTTTTTTTCTTCTTTGTCCTGAAAACGCTTTAAATTTGACTGAGGCTGTTCATCATCAGAAAAATCACATTTTCCAATTTCGGAATCAACATCCGAGTAGTCATCAACTTGTTCTTCCCCCGAAACAGTGTTATTCGACTCTCTTTTTACAACATCTTTATCTTTAATTTTTAAGCTCCCTACCAAATCAACGAGTGTATCCATATCACCATTGCTGAATTTTGAAAAATCTCTTTCATCTATATTGTGCAAGCTGCTTACTAAATGAAGGCTTCTAAACACTTCATCATTAAATTCGTCGTCATCAGAAGATTTCAAATTTAGCGTGTTTAGGTAATTAAGCAAGAAGTTTTTCGTACCTTCCTGATCGAGCTCTTTGAGATCATCAGCATTGTTAAATAAAATATTGGATGGCGTTATGACAAATTTGAAAATATCACGTTCAGCATAAACATTGATCTTTTTTATTCTACTGAAGAAATCATTAACATTCTTAATATCCATCCTCAAGAAATCTATTGACATTGGGTGATCTGGTTCAACAGATTGCGACACATCAAAAACGTATAGGTTTTCTTCGTGGACAATGGTATTATATTCACTTAAATCAGCATGAACCAATCTGCAATTTTGATAAAGGACTCTCATCAAAATCAACATTTCATGATAGTAATTAATCACACTCTCCAAATCCTTGAAATTGTAATCTCTCAACTTCGGAGATGGATTGCCATTTCCACGAGTGAGATATTCCATAACAAGAATATTTTCCTTTAAGTCTATTGGCTTTGGAGAATGAATCAAAGGTTCAGAATACAATCTCTTCAAGTTTCTATATTCTTTTTCCGCCCAGTTTCTAACCATTTGTCTTGGATTTTTAGACTGTTTTTCACCAAACCTATGCTCCCCCACAACATATCTCGTTCTGTCCTTAAAAACCAATATGGATGTTTTGTAAATCTTGACGGCAAATTCTTCTGCTGTGGACTCGTTTAGCCCATAATAGATGTTGGCTTCTTTACCAGTAGAGACACAACCATTAATTCGAGAAAGAGTCCCATTATTAAAAATCTTTCCCAGAAACCCCAAAGTTCTGGGATCTAACACTTGATCTACGGTAGCACGCAAAGCTTTGTCTTTTGTGATCCTATGAGTTGTATGTACATCAAGGTTGATTTTGTCAGCATAACGGTCTAAAATGTCAGTCTTTTCTTTCAACTCTGTGTGAGAACGGGAAGTTGATGTGTTGCATCTCTCATCTGCATCATCATCCGAGTAGTCTGAGTATGACATGGTAATTTAACAATATTATTGGGGTAATCCTGAAGTGTTACTTCTGGACAAGCGATCTATTTTGTACACTATTGTAAAGACAGTGATGATTTTTTTCTGCAGCAGCATGAAAAAAAATTAAAAACGAGACTAAAAAAAATTCATTCTTTTGAGCTTAGCTTACTGTTTACGGTAACAATTTTTGGATTTTAATACTTTTTTATCTCGAATCTAAGAGATACAAAAAGGGGAATTTATAACATACGTATCATGAAACTTAGTAGCCTTAACTAATTAAGCTTATCAAGGAAGTCGACAAAGTATGTACCAAATCCCGAACAGGGGCGGCTAATACGTCTGCGCAGGCGTAGATAGTAGCTCAATGCTATCGAAATAAAGTATATGCGTATGATTTCGGAGACAACGACTGTCACCACCGAAACAAAGACCTCATAGACCTCACTTGCACTTTGCTCGGACAAAACGTTCGAAACTCTTTTGATCAAGCGTGCAGATTTTGTCACCGTGGACGTTGAACCTGCGGCGGTTTGTGAAGAGGCGTATTCTTCCATAAACCACATTTTGGTCAAATAGACCATGAATATATTACCAATAAAAAAATCAGTAATGTACACCAGAACAAAAAATGCCAGTATCTTGATTGTAGGTAAGTTTGAATCCGTATTCAAAGAAATGTTTGCTAACGCTGCAGTAGTAAGTTTTTTGATATGAAGATAACACATTACGGTAATAATCAATACTAACGTATTCAGAACATAATATGTCCATTGCATGAAATTGATTTTGTGGTTGGTGAAGAGAGAAAGTAGGCCGAATACTCCAGACATCTTATTGATGGCAGTATACAGCAGAATAAGCTCAAGCCCACTCTGAAGTGTTATCAGTCTGAAAAACGTCTTCGGGAGATACCTCCGTGTTTTCTTGTATTCCATTTTGAACTGCCAAATGCCACTACCGTTCTTTGGACAACTTTATTCCGGGCAACACCACGTCCTTTTGGCTCAGCAGCTTGTCTACCGAAGCAAAACAGATGAAGAGACAACACAAAATTGGGAAAAAAGTTAGACAATGAATTTCATAAAGACCGTCGCGTCGATTTGCCTTGCCTCCTTCTCCTCTTTTTCTTCTCCATCTATTTGGATGGCCCCGGCTCTTTGTTACACCTTAAACAATAGAGGAGTGCTAGCTTTGCAAAAGAGAAGAAGATATAGAGCCAGACCTTTCCCATAGAAGACAAAAAATGTTCAAATTTCTAAGAAAACACCTTACTGTTCCAGAGAGACCTTCGAGACTCTCAATCCTAAACTTCGCCAAGCCAGACGCTTTCCCACGAATCCAAACCACCTCTGACTCCACGTTGGGAGGTTATTCTACGGCGTATCTAGAACCCTACAGAGCTAGCGCAGATACTAATTTGGTTGGTCATTTCCATGGAAACTTGAACCAGACCTTGCCAAAGGGTGAAACCAAAGTCAAACAAAGTGGTTGGGCAATGTTCAAAACCAAAAATAGAATTCAGGATCCTAACGCTCAGTTCAAACCTTTCTATCTTTTCAAAAGTCAGGCTAACTTCTGGTGGGATTGGTCACCTTTTGAAGTTTTGCATATGCGCGTTATGAACTTGACACCAAACAGGAAGTTTATGGTTAATATTCAAACTGATACTATGTCAAGAACAGACTTGTACCAGCATAGGTTGTTCACCAATCCCCTATCTTCGGGATCATCTGATTCAAACGCTAGTCCAGTTTGGGAAAACATCTTCATTAATTTGAATGAATTTGTGCTTACAAATAGGAGGCACCGTTCAAGTTCAATATCAATCTGAGTTCGAAAAAGACAGAATTAAATCTATCGGGGTGTCTATCGCCGATGGTAAATATGGTCCTTTCGATTTATTAATAGATAAAATAGAGGTTTTATCTGGCTACGATTATTTTACTGAACTTGAACATGCAAGAGTTTCTAAAGAGCCTTTGTTGCCGGTTAATGGCAATGGGGAACAAAGAAAACTCCCACAATGATCAATTACAAGATTTCTTTTATTTTTTATATGTCGTTTTACATTTTCTTATTTTACATAGCATATAAAGTGTTTTTTATGGAAAAACTAAAAAATGAATCTGCTTCCAATTATGTTTTCATCTTTTTGACTTCCGGCTCATTTTCTTCATCACTATCGCCGTTAGCTCTACCCCGACGCAGAAGTTCCTTAGTGTAACCTTTTTCGCAGCCCTTACTGCTACAATTACTGGCCTCGTGACTGAAATTATGATTATGATCAAAGTCTCTTTTATGTCCATGATTCAGAATATGATGTACAGCTGAGATTTTCAGATCCTGTTCTAACTGGTGATTAGTTTCATCAGAAATATTTTCGCCATTGTTACTTCCTATAGTGCTGGCAATTTCATTGTCTCGTCTTTCGACGTTATTAATTTCAGTTTTGATGTTATTTGTTTTACTCACGTACTTTACGTCACAACTTGTACCATCATCAATTTTTGAAGTTTGAGCATTTCTACTACTCAAGTCACCATCTCCGCTTTTAGCACCAGATAACTCATAGCTATCAACCAAGCTAATACCATCGGCCCTAGCATTTGTTGAGTCATACATCCCGCTATGTTTCCCTGATGGCGAAATGATGGAACGAGGCAGACTCCCTGATTTATGGGGTGACCTGCCTTCATTAGTTGAATTTTGTCTGATACGGAAATTTTCATTACCGTTGTGAACTTCATCATTTTCATTCTTTTTGTCCGACGTATTCAGGCCCGAGTGAGAGTGTCCGACAGGGGAGTACATTTGTGTCAAAGAGTATTGCCTACTAATAGCGTTGGGGTCCATAATAGGGTGCGGACCCATACTTTGGCCATTTTGATAGAATTGAACGGGTCCTGTCAAGAAGTTGGGGGCAGGTATGTTGGAGTGATTTGGCGGTATGATCTGCATAGGCAAAGGTGGTACTAAAGGAAGCGGTTGCAGCGGGTCATATACCGAAGCATTTCTAGAACGGTCGGAAGACAACGATACACTATACCTAATATCTTTGTGCAAAAACGGTGACTCTTCATTATTAGTACCGTTTGAGTTAGCTTTGTGCAATTGAAAAGGTTGTGGATTTGAAGTGGGTCCATTTTGTTGAGTAAAAGAGGAATGTGGGTTTGAAGTACTTCTGGAAGTCGGTACTTTAGTAGCTGATGAAGAGTTAGATTTTGTATTTCCGCTAAAGGATTTATTCAATACAGGTTGGGAAAGTGATTGTGGTTGCTGTTGATGTTGCTGTTGTTGTGCTTGTTGTGCTTGTTGTTGGGAATACTCGGGTAAACTGCTATATATTGAAGAAGCCTGCAAGTATCCGGGATTAAAGTAAGGGTTACTCGTCAAAGGTGCAGCAGAGGGGTTTCTGGATCCTACCTCTGGAGGCAACGATGATATAGCGATGTTCTGTTGTGGAAGGCTGACACCATTGGGCGAAGGTGTGCTCAAGTGTCTGATTTGTTGAAGTGATTGTTGGGGTGTGGACAAATTGTGGACTGAGCTTTGAGAATTAAGAGCAGGCTGAGAGCCGGACCTTTGAATTGGAGGCTGGGCACGAGGCAGAACGACTGTTGAGTTAGAACTTGAATATGGGGTTTGTAACGGATGCAGTGATGACTGGGACAAACCAAATGATTGATGAGTTGGCCCCTGTGCATTGTATTGAGTGCTAGGATCAGACGAAGACTGATAGGAGATACTCTTGAAATTCATATCTCTATACGCAATACGTTCTAGCACTTTAAATCGTATATTTTCCACTGCAGATAAAATACGTGATCGCTGTCGAAAACGGGACTGTGTTTGTGTTTTTGTTTGCGCTTCTAGTTGTGCTTCTGTTTCACCATGAGATTGGGAGCGTGAATGTGGATTGGTGAAAGATTGAGACGGGGAATGAGAGGGAGATTTTGAGTGCTGGTACTGTAATTGCTCCTTCAGTAATTCTAGAGCAGAAACAAAATCGTAGTTCACATTTGACAACTCCTCTTTGAATATATCATTAAGTTTCATAACTTCATCAGTTCTCTGAGCAAGTATGCTGAACCTAACGTGAAGTTCACTGTTTGACTGCTGTAATTCTCTAATATTTGCAATTAGACCATTTCTTTCTTGTTCGGATATACTCACTGAATGAAATTGCCCATTCATCATTATGTTTGACCGATCATCTGCAAGTTCGTGATCTGTTTGGTTCGTTGATGAATTTTGATGCAGCATCATTGGAGGTTGTTGCTGTTGTTGTGGTTGGGGTTGGGGCCTTGCCTGGGACTGGGGCTGAGAATGATAATCTAGTGTCTGCTGCGATAGCATGGGTGGCAAGGAAGGGTGTAGACGTTGGGGTTGTTGCTGGATTTGGTGTGAGTGCTGGTGTTGTTGTGGGTGCTGGTGCTGGTGTTGCTGTGGGTGCTGGTGCTGGTGTTGTTGTGGGTGGGGGTGCTGATGTTGGTGCTGATGCTGGTGCTGGTTCTGGTGTTGCTGTTGCTGTTGCAGCTGAAGCTGAAGCTGTTGTTGCTGTTGCTGATGCTGATGCTGTTGCTGATGCTGATGCTGTTGCTGTTGCTGTTGCTGTTGCTGTTGCTGTTGCTGTTGCTGTTGTTGGTGCTGTTGCTGTTGCTGCATTTGCAAACCATTTACCGCTTGGTGAGAATAGTTGCTTGAATCAGATCGCACTACGATGTTTGGTGGTACGTTTGGTGGCAGGTCGTATGTCAACTTCAAGTTGTGCACCTCTTTGTCTGATATTGGATTCTTGAAGGATCTTCGTTTAATAGTGTTCAATGCCTCTATGTTTCCTTTCCTAAATATACCGGAGCTGTGTTTGAATTCCCAAATCTGGGAATTAGATGAGTTGGAGCCTTTGTGTTTCACTTTCAAGTTCTCTAAAGCAGGCCGATCATGATGTGTCGATTGTTCTTGACTTGAGCTTCGACTCTGGCTTTGGTCATGGCTTAAGTTATTGGTATCTTCTGAGCTCGCAGAATGATTTGAGTCGTTCACTTTGTGGAAACCATACATATTCAACTGCCTTATAAAAGATGCGATGTTGGCATGTTTAAAGTAGTTGCTCAAGGTCTTTGAGAATTCTTCATTCGGAGAGATAAGGAAATTTGAGTTATTTTCATGCCACCATATCAAGTTGTCGAGCTCGGGTTCTTCGAGCATCGAGTAGAGCTTGTGAATGAAAGAGAGCACCTGTGGCTTTTTCATCTCCTCCTTCTTAGGGGCCATTGTGTTGTTTTTCTGATTCCTGTGCTCGTTGGTTTCCTCTGGATCGTCATCTGACTCATTGTTGTTTTGCTCTCTGTCCTCCTTAACTGAATAGCTAACAGGTCCGGATTTGTCTAACACTGGCGATTTGGGTCCAGCATGCTCTTTCTTCACATCATCGGCAAACCCCTTTTCCTGAGTAACGCCTTCATTTGCACCGGATGTAAGAGAACTGCTCAACTGCATTTGCCGTTGTTCCGCGTGTGGCGGCTGCAGCTGTCCCTCTTCCATTTCTTTCTCACTGCTGCCGGTTTTCTCAAACAACGGATCTTCTGAAGCTCCACCCTGTCCTTGTTGTTTTCCAAAAGCAGTACTTCCCGACGGTAGTTCTGCTGACCCTGTCTTGCTCAGATGTGAAGAAGACGACATCCATGTGGCAATCAAACAGTCAAACAGTTTAGCTGCACGCTCTCACTTTATGGTCGGAGATATATCAGTCCCTGGTACCAGCTACAGTTCTTCTATTCTGTTTAGAAAGACCGGATACGTCTCAACCAAAATCCTACTTAAAAGCTTTAACCATCCCACTTCAAACAACCGAACTGCTCCTTCATCGGCAATATACTTGCAACATGCTTTTCCCCCGCGGTAGACGTTTCTGAGGGGAGAGGAAAAAAGCAAAAATTGTCCAAATCTTAAGCTGCGCTGACGTCAGCAGCCAGAGTTTAATTCGTATCGCATGATCTGAAGCGGAACCACAATCAATAGAGAAAAGTACAAACTCCTTTCCCCAAATCGTTTACGTAAATTCCCTTCGGTGCAGCATAGTGGCGCAACGCCGTCCCCAGTCTTAGCTCACCTTGCACAGATTTTACTTTGTAATAAAGTTGACGGCCAAAACAAGCCAATGTTTTACACCAGTGTACAGTATCCATCCGCTTTTCCAAGAAAAAGTGAAAGAAGGAAAAGAAAAAAAAGAAGAATGCTCAGCCGCTCAATGTATCCGTCTGCAGTCTCCCCACTGCCGCATACTGGGTATTGGCGTTGGCTGTACATATCTGGAATCCATCCTTTGGGACCAGCTACATGCTACCACCACTTTGGGCCCCACCCACGAGGCCGGCAAGTTCGAGAAGGGCCTTGCCTTCCTGGTAGTCCTTGTTTCCTATCCCTCTCCGTCTCTCCGCCTCTCGTTCTTCCCACTCCATGGCCAGCTTTTGGTCCTTCAAACTTTCCACGTTGCCGAGCCCGTAGATTTCGATTTCATTGATTTTGAACCAGATGTCGCTGAAGAGCTGCTTATCCGTACAACCTGTAGCGTAGGTGGAACTTTGGGCACTCATATCCTCCACCCGAAAGTTGCCCATTTCTAACGAATTATCGATTGTCAAGGAGACTCCCCCAAGGTTGAAGCGTAGACTATTGTTTTTGATATCCTTGGACTTCACAGGAGGCTTCGATCCAAATCCTAAACCACATCCAATGTTGCTGAAGTATGCGTAATCATCTCTCAGAGTAGCGCCAGAGTCCATGATCAACTGAAGTGGACTCAATTGGACAATTCTGAAATCTTTCGATCCAAAAGTCTTTGTGTTAGTTATCCTCCATTGGTCGGTTAAAAAAACAGCAACTTGAAACTTCAGCTTTTCCTTCGATTTCAGACCGGAACTAGCCACAGGATGAAATTTAGGGAACTTGCTGAAAAATGAACTGTTATAATGGCGTTCTTCGCCAACCGTTTTACCAGATATTAACAACAAAGTAGGCGCACGATAGTTTAAAGTGTGGGATTGAATCGAGTTAATGGAGTACCCGTCTCTTGAACCTTGATAAAGCGGCTTAGAATTGACAGCCATGTTCAAGCTGTCCACATTCAGTATGGTCGATAATTGCGATAAGAGCGGAAGGTTAAGAATTTTGTGATTCAGCTCAATATTTCTTCTTCCCTTGTCACTGTTGTAGTCCATTGTATCCTCCGAGCTTGATCTCGTACTTTCATACAAGAGCGGGTAAAATAACCTTTTTATAGGGTCGAATAGATGTGGATAATTGTTTCTATACCTGGCATAAAAGGTCTCAAAAATTATTGTATCATCAGCATTGTTCGATGAGAGAAATACAGTAGTGATTATTGCGTCAATTTGGGTAGTATAGTTCAAAGTGAATGCTTTGGAATTGTATTGATGAACCGATAGGGGCAATAAAATATTTAAAAAATCGTGAAGGTTGGATTTAGATATCCCCGAGTTCTCTAACTTATCAAATGATTGCATAACAGGAATTAGGGCCCATTTGATTCTGTTATTCTCCACTATGATATCAACCATATCATCAGTGTCATCCTTGCCCTCGTGAGTAAGACCACCAGGTCGAAATGATGATGATGATGATGATGATGATGATGATGATGATGATGATGATGATGATGATGATGATGATGATGATGATGATGATGATGATGATGATATCAAAACAATGAAAACCAAGTGTATAAAGTACTCATCAGTTAGTCCTAGTTTTTTTAGTCCTTTGCTGTTAAAAACGGAAACGAGGATCAACACATCATATAAGCTGAACGACTTTTGATTAATATCGATTACGTTTGACAGGCACGGAGAACTGGAAATTATTTTCAAAAATTTATAAAGCAGGTCTCCTCTATCATCTGTCAATAATATCTGTAAATCGAGCTTTTTGAGCAATTCATCATACGAGATTCTCTCGTTCAACCCTACTATCTTTCCAAAAAGATAACGGGAAATGCTAATTAGTTCGATGTTCGTTAACGCTTCCTTGGCTTCACGTCTAAAAGCTGTGTGCAATTGTTCTCTAGTGACTTTAGAAGTCGACAACGCTTCTTGTTTAGTTTCCTCACTTGTAATATTCCCCATTTCGATTGACTGATCCTGTCCACACGGTAACTACGAGACTTCAACTTCTGCATTAATTTGAAGATTAATTACAAACTGTACTGGTGCTTTAGTAGCCCAATCAATAATTCTCTAATATACATATATTAATCAGTCGACGCGTCGATTATTTTTTTATAACTTTGTTCATTTTCTTCCGTTTCTTTCTTTCCTGCTGAAGCAACTTGCTACCACCCACAAAGGCGTGAGAATCAATCATCTCAGCAAAACGGTCATCGACTTCCAAGCTGCCCTGGTTAGAGTCTTCCAAGCGAGACTCAAGTTCCTTTTCGAGCTCACGTTGACGCTTATTCTTAAACTTATTCTTTTTCCCTTTCAACTTTTCGAGTTTCTCAATGTCTTTGATGTTGAAATGATGCAGTTCTTTGCCTTCAGTACCGATTTGCTCAATCTTAAGGTCATCCTCCTTATCTTCTTCAGTGTCTGGTCTATTCTTCTTACCTTTATTTTTACTCGATTGTGCTTCTCTCTTTAGCTCTTTGACCTGTTGCTTCCTGGCTTTTCTACGCTCTTTTTCTTTTTCTCTCAACTTCTCAATTGTGCTCTTTCCCTCCTTCAAACTCTCCTTCTCAGTTGAATCCTCTGTGCTCGACTTTCCCGGTGTAAAGGTAAATTCCATATCAACGTCACTGTCGCTATCTTCTTCGCCTGCCTTTCCAACACTGTTTAGCCCGGCACCACCTACTAGCTGTTTATATTTTGAGATGCTTTCATCTTGAACCTCTTCATCACTGTCACTTGCTAAGTAATTTTTCAAGTCTAGATCGTCAAGTTCACCTTTCTTGAACGACTTACTCAATATCTGAACTCTTTCGATTGGTGTTTCATCCCATGTGAGTTTAGGTTTACTATTTCTCAAAGAGTCTGTCGAAAATTCAATTGGTTGATAGTTTGATGGTAGTTTCTCACATACATCTCTGATATCTGCCTCATCAAACTCCATATCAGTTGGAACGTATCTCAAATCAAAGAAATTACCACTGCTTTCATACTCAGTGTTATCGCACTTTTTATATACTTCCTCGGCACTGTTCAAGTTATTGAATTCGATGATTGCATAGTAATATCTTAATCTCTGTAGTTGATACTTCCTCAATTCTGAAGAGTCAAAGCCTTCATCTTCTCCGTTGTTTTCTTGAACCAACTTCTTACTTGCCTTTGCTAAATCAAGATCTTCATCGTCGTCGTCATCATCATCATCATCATCACCGCTTTTGTTACCTAAATTTTTCCTAAAAATTTCTCTTGGAGGACCGTTCAATTCTTCATCAGCTATCCTTTGCTTACCGTATTCACTCTTGTAAATGGTCACACTTTTTATGTGGCCATCTTGTGGTAAGAAGGAAGAAAAAGTAGCAAATAAATCTGTTGAGTTCAAGTGATCCCAATCCAAGTTGACGGCTGCAATTCTGGTGGTAGGGTCCTGTTCAGGTATATTTTCAGTTTCTTCTACATCGGAGCTGGGAATTTCCTCGAGCTCCGACACTTCCTCGTCTGACGAATCAAGGTCAGATGCAGATGTGGCATCTTCCAACAGGCCTCTTGCTTTTGCCAATGGATCAGCCTTTACATCTTCACTGTCAGATAACGAGGAAGATGCGTCATCATCATTGCCATAGTCATCAGCTTTGGCATAATCATTTTCTTCTTCTTCTTCTTCTTCTTCGTGCTTATCCGTATAATATTTGTCAAGGTTATCGATTACACTAGAGCCATCATCTTTACTAATTTTTCTACCGTACTTATCAACCTTTGCAGTAGACTTGAGTAAGGAAAATTCTTTCTTTAAATCTTTCTTGTTGAATCTGTCGTCTAGGGTGACCTTCAAATCCTTCTTCTTTACGGTCCTAAACCGGGGGTCTGAAAAAACCTTGCTAAAACGAGGATCATCCATACCTCTTTCACCTTTAGCCATGACAGTAGTGTGCGCTATGTTGCTCTTCTGGTTTTACTTCAAGTATTACTCATAAGATGAAAGCTTTTTAGTAAGTGTGAAAACTTTCTAAAGCTGAAGAAAAAATCAAATCAAAATTAAAATAAAATGAGAAAATTGCAAAAATTGACACGTAAAATAAGAATGCTGAAAACCGAGAAAGAGAAAAAGGAGACGTCCAATGCTAAAAACAACAACACTGTTTTACACGACGCAGTATTATTGTTCTTTCTTTCTACTTCTGGTCTCTTCCTGAACCCTTTCCGAGCTTTTCACAGTTATCAGAAAGAGCAAAATATTTAGTAATGTTGGGAAATATCTGGACTCTGCTTATACTTTCCTTGCTATCCGTGGCCAACGCCCTTCATTTCTACGTCAGCACCGACGAAACCAAATGTTTCTACGAAGAACTACCAAAGGACACAATTGCCGTAGGTAAGTTTGCAGTTTACGAGTTTGACGAGAATGTCAACGACTATGTTGAGAACAAAAACAATTTAAAAATCGAAATTACAGTGGATGAAACGTTTGATAACAATCACAGAGTCGTGTCACAAAGGAACTCTCCAGTAGGCCAATTCACGTTCACATCTTTAGATTCTGGTGAACATAAGTTTTGTATTACTCCAAAACATACAAACTGGTCAAAGAAAGCCAAGCACAGGGTCTTCTTTGATTTGATTGTTGGTGATGCCAAACCTTTAGTTGACTCAAAGAGAGACTCTGATGTTTCTTTCCTCACTTTGAAGACCAATGAACTCATTATGAAGTTGAACAACATCAAAAGAGAGCAATCACTACTAAGATTAAAGGAGGCAACATTCAGAGATACTTCCGAGAGTGTCAATTCGAGCACAACCAAGTGGACAATCATCCAATTAATCGTGTTAGTCGGTACAGGATTGTGGCAGCTGTCTTACTTGAAAAACTTTTTCGTCAAGCAAAAAGTTGTGTAGTCAGCTTAGTCTTGTCTATTCTTCTTCACTTCTTTATACTCTTTCTTTAGATAGATATAACACGCAAATATATAAATATATATATATATATTTATCTATACAGAATTTTCACAGCATGTCACTTGATGAGGATGAGTATTCTCGTTACGGACGGCAAATGCAAGTCCCCGCTTTCAACGCTTTGAATGGCCAGATCGGTTTGAAACAATCCAAGATTCTAGTTGTTGGTTGTGGAGGATTAGGTTCATCGGCCTTGCTGTATTTGGCTGCTTCTGGTGTCGGATGCATAGGTGTCTTAGACCATGACCGGGTTGAATTGTCCAATCTTCATAGACAAATCATTCATGAAACCTCCACTATTGGGATGCTCAAAACTGAATCAGCATGTCAAAGGATAAAAGCATTAAATCAAAATATAACAGTCAACATTCACTCTCTTTTTTTATCAAACCAGAACGCATATAATATCTTTCAGAAGTATGATTTAATTCTTGATTGTACAGATAATCCAATTACAAAATATCTAATATCAGATACTTGCGTTGCTTCAAAAAAGCCACTTGTATCTGCATCGTCTGTCAAAACAGATGGGCAGCTTATGATTCTAAATTACCAAAATGGACCATGTTATAGATGCATTCACCCGAAACCAACCAAACCTGAGAATATAGCCACTTGTTCTGACGACGGAGTTATTGGGCCATGTGTTGGATTGGTAGGTACTCTGATGTCAATAGAATCGATTAAAATATTAACCAACTACTACAATGAAGAGACGAATCCTTTCAAGCCAATAATGCTTATGTACTCAGGATATATGGCAAATGATGGGCAAATGCTTAAGAGCTTTAAAATGAGAGGGAAAATGTTGAATTGCCTTTGCGGTAAGATGAACAAAGAGATGATTCAGAACATAAACTATACTCAGTTTTGTGGCAAAATTGATTACGATGTCCTGAACAATACGCATAGTATTGATTTTGCCAAGTTGTCAGCTCTTGAAAACCCAGTCATGGTTGATGTAAGACCCAAGGAGCAATTTGCCATTTCTAACTTAGGGGACCAGGAAAATTTTAAGGTAATAAATATACCTTATACCTCATTGATCAGATTGGATGATGAATCTTTGGAGGAGTTGTTACCAAAAGATTCTCCGATAGTTGCGGTTTGTAAAATGGGAAATGACTCTCGGCTGTCCACAAAATACTTACTTGATAAAGGTTTCGAAGTGTACGATTTAAAAGGAGGTTTGAATGAATACTCGAAAACTCATGATTTCCATGTATATTGGTAGGTCTACAATTCGGCTTATATGATTATAAAGTTAACTGCTCGATGATTAGCAATCCATTGCCCCATATACTTGCAACGGCGTTTTCTAACATAGAAAGCTTCAGAGGACATAGTTCCTTTGGATTAACATTACGCAACTCCTTCGTTCGACCAATCGACGACTGTTTATTATTAGATTTGACAACTGTACTTTCTCCAATTTTATCAATTTTTGAGCACAAGTCCAGCCAGTACTTATTTTCAGTTGTAACGGATTTGTTCAGTTGTAATAGTTTCAATGTGGAAACCTGTACCCTTTTCTCTGTATTTGTTAACAAATTCAAGTAATTTGACAGCCTGAGTGATCCATTAGTATGACCTGTTAATAAGATGAGACCATCACTGATTTTCCCATCGTCATAATATATTTGATTAGCTAGGCAATTGATGTCGTCGTCGTTGGCGATCTTGAATTTCGTTACATTGTTCGGGTTGTCGATAGATATCTTTTTGATTGTAATTGGCCATTCAATGTTCAAAAATGAGTTAAGATTGTTCAAATGAATTGAATTCTTGTCGAACTGTAGCTCTTTGTTGTTAGTAGGTATATCATAAGTTTTAAGGACATTAATCAGACATGACTTTTTATTTGGAACTGGCAATCGTATCAAATAATTACTGAAGTCTGCAGCTTCAACGAAGCTGGTCAAAAAATCATCACCAGGTTGCGTAGGAAAAGCAGTTTTGATGTGTGTGATAGCTGGCAATTTTACAGATATTAAGTAGTCCAATTTTTGAGAATCGATAGAAAATTGACCGATGTATCCATGATTTGTACCAAAAACAAAAGTTTTTGTAGATGTGAAAGCTGATGTAGTGATGAGCAATTGATTGTTCGGTATAGTGAAAGTCAAATGTCTAGATTCCAGGGTATAGATAGCAGGCTTATTCTTCTTTACTCCGGGATTAAAGAAAAACTCGGGACTAATTTTCCAAACGTCAACAGAACCACTAGACAATGTCAATTTAAGCAATGTGCTTGCAGCTGCAGATACAAAAGAAAATTCAATTTCCTTAGCTACAGAATCAAGCATGATCTGCTTATTTATTTGGAATTCTCCGGTTTCACTAGAGACTTCTAGTATTGTGAGTAGAGATTTGTTATCAGTGAACTCACTTATAGCTGAGTTCTTATCAACTATAATAACGAATAAGTAACGCCAGCTTCCATTTTTTAGTGGACACCACGCCATAGTCAGTGGGAGTCCGCCAGTATTGAAGACAAATCCATTTCTGAAGTTCCGTTCATTTAGAGGGTAATGCAAGGCCTGACAGGGCTCTAATACCTCTGATTGGTTATTATTGAACTGAAATTCTAAATTATTGTCAAGCTTAAAATTGCTCTCGTATGTTTTGGAGTCAGATAATTGTAATTTGGGCTCCTTTATCTCCTCGTAGAAATCTGTAGAAAATAATTCATGCAAGTTGTTTTTAACAGCATTGTGCAATGAAAGGTCGTCTATGTGTGCAGGCAAAAATCCCGCCTCAAGGTCTTCTGTTTGAACTTTGTAATAGTTTTTCAAGACTGCTTGACCCAGACCGTTGCCTTGAATGAACTTGAGTGCGTTGGTATTGTTTTGTACTTTGTTATTATTCTCGTATTCGCTATCAATGTCTTGCGTAGTTATTATTTCCTCCTCCTGATTCTTTTTGGAATTGGGCTTTCTCCCCCTTTTGGGTTTTGTTACCCTTGCTGACATTATGCTGGTACTATATTCTGATAGTGAATAATGAGTAACACGACGCAAAACAAGTAGCTAAAGGTGGTAAGAACATTTGAGTGAAGTTGAAGAAAGGTTTCATTTATTGATCTTGGTGCGGTCCCTTTCAGTAAACGCGCTTAACGTTGTTTAGATTTAGTTTTGTAATTCGATGTTTTTCGTTACGCTATCTGGCTGACTATAAAGAAATTAAGTTATTGTGTGATAGAGAAACGATGCTTACCGTCCGTTTAAGACTGTTTCAAAGCAGCGTCAAGATCAGCGATGAGATCTTCTGTGTTTTCAATACCAACACTGACTCTAAGTAAGTTTTGACTGGCCGAGGCGTCAGTAACCGCTCTCCATTCAATCAAGGATTCGACACCACCAAGAGAAGTGGCGTGTTGAAAGTACTTTAATTTGGATGGCAAGCTCTTGGCTTTCAAAGGAGTAGAAAGCTCGATGCTGAAAACTGGAGCATCACCGCCTTTCATTTGCTTAGCCACGAAAGCGTCCTTTTGTAGTGATGAATGATGTATTTTAGTCAAGGAAGGGTAGGAATCCTTATGCTCGTTCAAATACTTGACAATCTTGGTAGCAGAGGTGCTCTGCTGGTTGATTCTCAATTCATAAGTTCTTAAACTTCTCAACATGAGGTAGGCTTCTAAGTTGGCGATGTTAGTGCCTAAGAAAGGTCTGACACTAGCAAGTTGAAGCTTTAAGTTAGGATCCTTTGTAGTCAACGTACCAGCTAACAAGTCAGAATGGCCACCGAAGTATTTAGTTGCGGAGTGCATGACCATGTCGACGTCAAAATCGAAAGGATCAGATAGTGGAGGTGGGGCAAATGTGGCATCGACTAAAGTGAAAGCCCCAATTTCCTTTGCCTTTGTGACGTAGTATTGAATATCGTGCACAATAGAGAAGGGATTTTCAGGTGTTTCAATGTGTATCAAGTCACCCTTGGATAGCTGATCCAATTGGTCCAAGCCAACAATCTTCAAACCGTAGTTTTTTTCCAACAAGTGCAAGATGTTGTGGCAACCATGGTAACCGTCACCAATGGCAACGGTCTTTGGGTTGAAGTGCATGATGGCGGCAAAGAAGGCACTCAATCCGGAGTTGTATATCACACACTCGCCACCGGTGATCTTTCCCAACACTTTTTCTACACGGGTAGAGTTTGGATGGCCAATTCTAGAATAAATGGGTCTTGAAGTGGAGGGGTCGTACTCTGCATCACGGTACTCGACAGCAGGTTTTATGTCCTCAGGATCATCTGGGTAACGGAATGTGGTGGTGACATTGATTGGCGGAACGACATCAATGACTCTGTTCAATTCCTGGTCCGCGTGTATGGAGTTGGTGCTGATACCTGGCATAATTGCTAGTTATGTTGCTGTTTGTGTTGTTGTATGTGGTACAATCTGGCTTAGGCTGCAAAGACACTCTTCGAAGAGAACCAGCAAAGAAGAAGTTGTGTGCGGCGGTCTAAAATGTGCCAAGATACTCAACGGGGAAGGGCAGCTGCCACTTTTATAGTTGGAACCGTTGAAGAAGAGGATTTGCCCCAGGTCGAACAGACTGGAGTCGATAACTGTGGCGCCTACGGCCCCGTTTCTCCTATTGTTCGGTTCTGGGTGTGCTCCCATTGTTGGAGACGGGGCTGCCACCGGCTCCTGGCAGCTGCCAATGCAAATGTTGCAGTGCCGTATTGGGGCAATTAAGCGAAAAGGGTGGTACGGATGACGAGGGCGAGGATTGAGGGAACACCGCGAGACAGAGACTAGGAAAGCCGTAGTACGGTGCCCGAGCAAGCTACGGCAAGACATGCTGCGGACGGCAAGACAGCCGAAAGAAGATACTTCCGTGGCCACAGAAATAGTGTGCAATGGCTCGAAATGCAGCAGCTGCTGGTGGGAAAAATGGCGATTCGGTTGTATCATATACCGGGAAGTAAGTATCAGGAAGGTGGATAAAGGTTCTGATTTTTTGTTTGGGTTTGATTTTTTATTTTTTTATTTATTTTTTTTTACTTTTATTTTTATTTTATCTTACTTCATTTTATTTTTTTTTTTACTGTTTAAATTTTTCAGAAATTATTCAACACTTTTTCATGTCTTGTAGATAGATGGCATATCAGGCAGAGATACGCAGACATACACACACACAAGCGTAGCCCAATCTCGGACAAAACAATGGCGAGACCGCAGTACAGAAATAAGAAGGAGAGTAGCCGGAAAAAGACAGTTTCGCCAAAAGCCACAGGCGGAAAGCCTAGTTTTGAATTTGGTGACGCTGTTTTGGATGCAAGCAGGTTTTTGAGTAACGGCAGCAGCAATAACAGCAGTCGGGGCCGTGGAGGTAAGGAAGATGATGAGGAAAATTCAGGATTTCAGTTTGAGGATGAAGAGTTGGACTCCGATGACGCTCTTGGAAGTGAGGACGATCTCGACGACTACATGTCCAAAAGCAGCAAACGTAATACAGAGGATGATGAGAAATTAGATGAGTATGGAGAAAACGAAGACGGGTGGGATAGTGTGGACGAAGGAGAGCTACTCACCCTTTCTGAAATTTGGGACAGAGATGACAAAGAATTGAATTCAGCCAAAAAGTCATCCACCAAGGCAAAAGATCATGATTTAGTTTTCAATGATGAGGAGGACGAGGAGGATGAGGGAGAGGAAGAAAATTCCGAATCCGAATCAGATGATGATGATGATGATGATGATGATGATGACAATGATGACGATGATCCATTTGATGAAATGAACATTTCAGAAGACGACCAAAATGATATCCAGCTCGACTCCGTCATGAAGAATTTGAAAAAAAACCTACCAAAAGATTCTAATGATAAATTAAGAAAGCAATTGATCAACGACAATTCTGCGGAGAATGAGTACTCTCTCCCTAATCAAGGTGACGCACTTACCTTTGATGATATGCTTGAAGATATAGAAAATTTGGATGGAGAAGAAAATGGAGGCTTTAATAATGATCTGATTCATGATATCGCCAAACATTCAAAGCAGCTAAAAGAGTTGAAAGAGGCAGCACTAGATGAAGAAGAACAATATGAGTTAAACACAAATGAAAATTCTGCCTTTGCAATCCCATTGCCTATAAATATCCAAAAACGTCATGATCGTAGAGCAGCATATGAAATTCAAAAAGAACAAGTCAATCGATGGAGAGAAGTCATTGCCCATAACAGAGAAAAAAAGGTTCTGAAATTCATACCTGAGAAAATTAAGTTGGATAAAACTGCAGCTTTCAAAGCAGACTCAAACATTGCAGTCAACGACTTTGAAGCAAAATTGGATAGCATCATCGACCAAAGTAATACTGAATCCAAGAAAACAGAAGATCTATTCGAAAATATAGAAACCGCCAAATTGTCAAAAGCAGAGATGTTGAAGCGGACCAACGAGCTAAGATTAATGAGAGAGCTAATGTATCGGGGTATGAAAGATTCCAAGCGTTTGAAGAAAATCAAGTCAAAGGCCTATAGAAAACAGATGAGAAAGGAGAAGCTCAAAGAAAACTTATTGATTTCTCAAGCAAACCGTCAAGAAGGCATAGAAGATGATGACGAGGAGGATGTCGAAAATGACGCTGTTTATAAACGTGCTAGGGAGAGAATGACTTTGAAGCACAAGAATACCTCGCAATGGGCAAGACAGATGATTAAATCGGGAATGTCAAAAGATAAGTCTACCCGGGATGAAATGGAAGAAATGTTGAAACAAAGCGAGCACTTGAGGTTGAAACAGCTTGGTAAAAAAAATGCCGATGACAGCAGTGAAGATGAGAGAAATTTAAGTGATTTGGAAAAGGATGTGGATAATATGGATGAAGTAGATGATGAAAAGCTGTCTAAAATAGGTAAGGGTGTGTTGGCCATGGACTTCATGAAGAATGCAGAGGAAAGAGATAGACTAGTCAAATTAAAGGAGATTGACTTTTTGAAGAAGATGAACTCTGATAATTCTCAAAATTACGGATTTCAGGATGATCAATCTGCTAGTGGTGTTAACATTACAATGAATTCAGGAAGAAGGGTTTACACTCCTTCGGCCAGAGTAGCTGCCGAAGAAGCTTTAAAGGCAGATCAAAAACTAATGGAAGAATTGGACGAAGATGATAGTAGGTCTTTACAAAATAGATTGTCTGTGAAGGAAAGGAATGGTGTCAAAATTGTTGAAAACAGTGAGAAACGTACGTATTCTGGTGATGATAACGTTGCTAGTGGTGAAAGTGCTAACAATGATGAAGAAAATCCTTGGTTAGTGGACCATAGTGAAAATGATGATGATAGTGAGGACGATAATAAGTCTAAATCATCTACCAAATTGAAGATAATAGATTCTTCTTCTTCTAAGTTGGTTAAAGCTGGTGCTAGAATTGCCAAAAAGCTTTCTAAAAGAAAAGATTTGCTTAAAAAAGAGAGGGATGATGATGATGACACTGGACATGACTTTGTTGGAATAGAAAACAAAGAAACATTGCAGATTGTCGATCCGAAAAAATTGGCCGATAACAATAAGGCGGCAAAATCAGATGATGAATTTGAAGATGACGTAGATGAGGATGACGATGACAATGTTCGTATCTTCAAACAAGCAGATTTAATCAAGCAAGCATTTGCTGGAGATGACGTTTTAGTAGAAGAATTCGAACAGGAAAAGCGTGAAGTTGAGGAGGAAGAAGGCGATAAAGAAGTGAACTTGGTTGTTCCGGGTTGGGGATCGTGGGCCGGCACTGAAGCTGGAGCTGATGATGGATGGGGGGTTCCTAGAAACAACAAAAAAAGAAAGATCGTCAAGACCATTCAAGGTGTTGTGTCGAAGGATAAAAGATTGGACAAGGGCAAGGCGAACGTGATCATTAATGAGAAAGTAAATAAGAAAAACACCAAGTACCAAACTGATAAAATTCCATATCCTTATAAGACGTGGGAAGAGTATGAGCGTTCTCTTAGGGTTCCTCTTGGTAAAGAATGGACTACTACCCAAACACATCATAAAATGATTACGCCAAAGGTTATTACTAAATTTGGATCCGTTATTGATCCTTTGAAGGCTCCATTTTCTGAATAAATGACATGTCATACTTTTTAGATGAAGTTGAGAAACTTTTAAATAATGTACAATGTAACTAAATGCTACGGACTTAACAACATTTTTCTTTTGATCTTTCCCTTCTTTCCTCCTTTTTAAGCAGAATCAGGAATATTACTCATTAGTTGATCGAAAAACTTAAAATGAATCAAATAAGCTTGAGACATAAACCTTCAATGGCCTCAATCGACCAGATCTTTCTCAATTTGTTATCATTGAAGTCAATTGAATCTGACTGTAGGCAAGTTTTGCTTCGAAATAAGACAAGTTTCACCGACCAACTGTCGGACCAAATGTTTATCGAGTCCTATTTCAGGAAAAACATTAATCGTAAATATTATAAAACAATTTTGCAGCAAATTGTACAGAAGTTTAAAGCTTGGGCCCAAAGTATATTAGGAAAGAGGGAGGGAGGAAAATTCGAATTCGACCAAGGTTTCGCCGAGTGTGATATCTTCGAGCAGGAATTTAGTGAGCTTGACGGAGAAGAATTTGACCTTGACAATGTTTTACTGTGAAATAAACGATGCGCGTTACCGCTAATTATGTCGCAAACATGTTCTAGGATGGTTTTTATTTGTTATCTTTTTTTTGTTTAATCTGATTTATGTAAAGGTGTACATACAAGAACATCTAGCAGAAATAAAGAATGGTAGTTGTCCCTGTGACGTATGAGGATGTCCAAGAATTCATTGTTGAGCAGGAGCGTATTATAACAAAAGCGATCAAAAATGATCTTGCGTTACAGAACTTGCTAAGAAAGAATGGGATAGACGTCAGTGAAGAGGAGCTGAATAAGATAGTAAAAAAGGTGAATCGACAAATGAAGCGAAAGTATAGTATGGGGTGGTTTACGAGGCAGTCTCGCTTTCAAGTATCGCAGCAGATCATCCAAGTGGAGCGAGAAAGTAACAAGGCAAAGATGGATAAACTAGGCGATGTCGGCAATGTACTTAAATTATTTGGTGACGAAGGGGGTAAAGAAACTGGAGTGGGAGGTGAGGGCGGAGAGGAGAACAGTGTTCTAGACGAGGAGATTGGTAAGCTGATAAAGGAGCTTCCTGATTCGAATCTCTTGGGAACCAAAGACGCCGAATTAATTGGACAGTACGACGACATACGAGATCGGTTGTCCAACGTCATCCGGAGGCGGACAAAGCTAGAGAAAAGCATTAGCCGCATCAGACAAGTCAACGAAAGGGTGTATCAGATATTGAAAAGCAAAGGAGCTCATGCTGCGCAGGATAGCGATGAAGACGAGATCCGAAAGGAGATAGCCCGAATGCGGCACCTCCTAGCGTTGTCCTAGGCATGAATCGCAGGCAGGACGCTGAGAACCGTCTGCCTTGGGACTGTATGATATGATTTTTGTTTGTTTATAAGGTTATCTTATATAATTCAAAGTAAAGGTAAGTAAAATTCTAGGTTTAGCTATACACACCGACTCTAATCGAACAAACCGAAACCCATATCGTCATCGGATTCCTCCTTAGCTTCTTCTTCTTCTTCAGCAGCAGCTTCGGTAGCAGCACCGCCAGCAGCAGCACCTGAAGAAGCAGCAGCAGCACCACCGGTGGAGATGGAAGCTAACTTGGTGGCACCTTCAGCAATCAAGTCGTTGACGGACTTGCCTTCCAAAGAGGAAAGCAACAGGTCAATGTTGCTTTGGTCGACCTCGGAACCGACAGACTCCAAAAGAGTCTTGATGTCAGCAGCGGAAGGAGATGCGTTACCGCCTTGTTGTAACAAAAGATATGCAGCTAAGTACTTCATTTTTCCTGTGTTTTCGTGTCTAGTAAAAACTTATGCTGTAGAATAATCACGTTTAAGCCGTTGAAATGAGCAGACTATCCTTTGACGAGAGAGAGAGTGCAAAGAGGTCGGGAACTACAGGGACGCTGAAGGCACACAGAAGAAATGCAAGCCCAGAACGAAATCTACAAGGGTGAAAAAAAAATGCAGTGGACGACTGGCAGTGGACGACTGGCAGCGCTGCTAGAGGAGAAAAAAAATCGCCGATACCATCCCAGAGGTGAAAAAAATGCCACTTGCCTTTGCGCTCTGTGGTAGAGCAGGCCGTGGCAGGCATGCGAGGAAGGGTAAGCCGGAACGGGCGAGAATGCGGGAATGCTGGAAAGAGGCTGTGCGGAAAAACCAATAGCGTCAAAACCGGGCTGTGTGTCGCAGCGCTAGGAGGCAAAAAGAGGGTAGTTCAGCTGGAGCAAAACCCTCGGTGCACGCACGTGACGGGATTTTCCGCTTTGATGCTGAGTCACTTTTCTTTTTCGTGTTCCGACAACGGCTTCGCGGGATCCAACGGCCGGCTGTGCGCGCGAAACCACGCTAGAAGCCTTCCCGAGGAAGCTAGCTGCCGGAGCCAATTGCTCTGCGTGCAGCAGAAAAAGACGCTGCAGCGGACAAGGTGCAGTTGATACCGAGGGCTTTATTTTGGTTTGTTTTGATACAGGCCGGTCCACACGAGATGGCTCGGGCTGGAGCTGGGGTCGATGGGGGTGCAGTAGTGAAGTCTCCAGGAAGCCGATAAAACGGCATGCCCTCCCGGGTGACTCCTCCATCGCCCCTGGACCTTAGGGGCCCGTTGGGTGCTCCGGTCGTGGCTCTTTCCTCCTGTCTCTTTTGTTGTAGCCTCCAAGCATCCATATACAGACTACTGAAGGCAGATCTTACTCGGTTCTCTGGTCCGTTTGCCAACTCCCCCTCTTTCTTGTCCGCCTGCGTCTGCCGGTTTTTCTTTTTGCACCCCTCCCATCTCCGCCACGTGCCCTTTCCTGACACTCAATTCCTAGCTTATCACGCTGCACCACCACCAGCATGCCTAACGACAAATCTGTTTTCAGCAACTCTCTCCATGAAATTTTGCTAGGTTCGGTCTCGGGTGCGTGTGGTAAGGTCGTGGAGTTTCCCTTCGATACCATCAAAGTGAGACTGCAATACTCGCAGTCTTTGCCTCAGCCACTGTTCACCTCCACTTTCGATGCTATCCGGAAAACCTACCACAACGAGGGTATAGCCAGGGGCTTCTACAAGGGTCTTCGTGTCCCCATGATGGGGGCTTCCATGGAGGTCTCCTGCCTATTTTTCAGCTACAGATTGGCGCAGGACCTCGTCAAGCTCTCCAAGGGGAAAGCCTTGACAGACGAGCTCAAAGTGAGTGAGAAATTGATCTGCGGTGCATTTAGTGGTATCTGCACTTCGTTTATCTTGACTCCAATTGAACTTGTCAAGTGCAAGTTCCAGGTTGAAAATTTGAAAAATCTCAGCAATCCGAATTTCGTGTCAAAGACCATCCCTCAAATCACAAGGGAGTTATACAAATCCCAAGGCATCAGAGGCCTTTGGAGAGGCCACCTGGCCACCATGATCCGTGAATGCGGTGGCTCCATGACCTGGTTTGGTAACTACGAGTTTGTCATCCATTATTTCGCAAACGGTGAGAAGAACTACAAACCAAAGGTCCATGAACTGATGGTGGCTGGGGCCTGCGCAGGTATCGGTTACCATTGCACCTTGTTCCCGGCAGATACTGTCAAATCTATCTTGCAGACAAACGATGGCGGAAACCTCACCTTCATGAAAGTCGTCAAGCATATCTATAGAACAAAGGGAATTTTTGGTTTCTACTCTGGTATCGGTGTTACTCTGTTCAAATCTATACCCACCTCCAGTATCATGTTCATATCTTACGAAAAGCTAAAAGAATGGCTAGAGTTCTAGATTTTTTGCTTCATATTCATATCATATTCCTCCGCATAAACATATTCCACATTCAGTTCGTACATTCCTCTTTTATATGTTAGTTGGTTAATCTATTCATTTTATTTATCTTCTTTCTCTTCTTCATCATCTTCTTCTCTTTCTTCTCCTCTTTCTTCTTCTTTCCTCCGTAGATTGTCACGATAAATAGCTTTACTAAATTAATATTACTGCTTAAACTGCTCTAGGTAAAAATACACAAATCAGCTTCTTAAAACCTTCGACTCTTTAGATAAGACACTTAGCTTTTGGATTGCGCTTCCCACCAAAGTCATCATTTCTTCCTTGAAATAAAAGATCAAGCCGGCACTGGCTACACTTTGCAAAAGCTTTGCATTGAGACCTCCATACAGCGCACTAATACCCTCATTTTGAACCACTCCATACAATACCTTAAAACTGTTCTCATTGCTGGTGCTCAAATGCATCCTGGAACGAATCGTATAATATGGATATGTCGCTAAGATTGCCACTAATTTTCCAAAGGAACCTAAAACCAATGCTTCAACCGAACTAATATTAGTATAACCGGCACGACCGTTTTGGCGTAATTTTGTCAACAAGTTCTTCAGCTGTTCGTAAACCGTAAATTGAATCATTGGTGAGGAAACCAATATCAAAGCTGGCCCAAGGCCAGAAAATAGCCCGTTAAAACCTTCCTTCTCGAAAATTTCATACATAACCCTGAACGTGTTTTGTTGTGAAACATCAACCTTCTTGGCTTCTCCTCCTTCGTTTCCGTCAACTTGAACATCCATTTTTTGTTTCACAGTCATTCTAGTGTTAGCAACCCAAAGTGGATTGGTGAGGACTCTAGATACTATACCTGCGGCTAAACCGGTGAGCAAACTCTCCTTCACGTTCAGACCAGCTGACTGAGGGGCCTTGTTCAGTTTCTTGAAATAATTTCCAGCCAAATTATAGACATAATAGTAAATGAAATTGACGGCAACGATACCAAGTAATGCTGATTCCAAACCAGAATAATATTTCTTTGAGTTTTGAATCATAAACTTCAACCGATGTAACAATTTTCTTAGAAGTTGTAACAATTTTGCCCTGGCAATTGACAATGTACTCTGGGCTATCTCATCTGTACCTTTCGGAATCTCAGAATGAACTGTGCGAAGTGGAAGCTTGCTGACAGACGATTTGGTTGATGTTGCATCATCCTCATCATCGTTGGTATCAATTTTGGCAGTCTCTTCCTCCTCTGTGGTTTCTTCTTCTTGATTTCTGGTCTTAGCTTGTGCATTAGTACTCAGTGTCACCAATGGATAGGTGACAGCCATAGAAACCAAGCCTGAGAGGCCGCCTGAAATTGCATGAGAAATACTTCTATCTGACATACTGTAATTGCTTTTGGGAGGTTATAATGAATTCTCCGGAAGTTCGTACAATTGAAATAACAAACAAATGAATGGAATAGACCCTGTTCCCTCGTATAGTAATTATTAGGGTAAAATGATTCTGAAGATAATCAATCAAAAGATTGAAAGATCAACATACAAGAGGTGGTACTTCAACTCGAAATAGCTAAATAATGCGCCTGGCTGGAACGATAAGGAGGACCGACTTGCCCAATCCGGGAGACGGGCTCACCTGACACTTCCGTGCACCAAAAGAGAAAAATCAAAATCGAAACATGATTTTCAAATGACCCTGGGGAAGGGCCCTAGTAAATCAGCTCTTTTAGGCACAGTCGAAACTGACATAGAGCTCGTCTTGTGCAACTACTCCAAGTAATTAACTCTACCATGTCAGCAAAAGCTGCATTTCCTTCCATCAAGCACTTTTGGAAACAAGGTCTTTTCTTAACGGTGGTGGCAGTCACCTCTGCTTATTTCGTTAAATCCAATGTTACCATTCGTCGTAGAAAACAATACATCAAAGAGGCTTCATCTTATGATTCATTGATGCAAGAAAGGGTTAGAGAAAGATCTGGAGATTCCATATCTACTGTCAAACCTGGATTCCCCTTAGATGATGGTATAGAAAGATATCAACGTAAGAGTGAATATGAAGGTGCTGGGTTGAGTTACAGATCAAGAAGAACCGGTGATAAGTTCACTATATCACACTTTTTCACGGACTATAGCAACGACAGCAACAGCAAAAAGGATAACTGAACTCCTCTACTTTTATTATAATTCAATGTCTCAGTAATACATTTTTTCACTTTCTATTCTATTTCATTCTATAGTCCTCAAACGGCTCGCTTGTTAGGTTTTTGGGACTTTGTTCCCCCTTTTTGCTTCTCACATACATACATAGTTATATACTATAACTGTAAATACAGTAAACTTACGTTTGTTTCTAATAGTGACAAAGCAGTAAATTGATCTTGGTATATAAAAGTAAATATAAAACAACACAAAATTTTTCGGCTAAAAAGCAGTTAATAGAGAACAAAAATTCGAATTACAGAAAAGCACAATTCTCCTATTTATCGTTAGTAGCGAAATAGTCAGCCATTTCTTGATCTAACTCCTCCAAAGTCTTCTTCTTCTTGACTGGCTTCTTTGGAGTTTCTTTTCTTTTATTGGCAATTTTGGTAGGTCTGTTGACTGGTCTGCCTGGTCTGCCCTTTAGTGCTTCAACTCTTGCTTTTCTTGGAGGTTGAATTCTGTTTTGCAAAGTGGCCGGTCTGGCATTTGGTTGAATTCTTGCAGCAAGTGGAACTTTTGTAGTATCAACAACGAGCTCAAGCTTCAACTTTGAACGGCCAGAGTCAATAGCTGCATTGTTATAACGTGAGACCGCAGCCTGTGCAGCTTTAGCATTCTTGAAAATAACGGTAGCAACACCAGTTGATCTACCTTTTTCATTGTATGCAAGAGTAAGATTTTGAACCGAACCTATAGTCGATTGGAAAAATTCCTAAAATAAAAAACAAATAAGTTGAACCAATCAAAATGTTATATTTTGATCGAATTTCCTTTAAAGTTAGTAACTCAGCATTTGAAAACGGAAAAAAACTCCAATGTTCATGCAACATTTTCGGAACATCAAATTGCCAAAAGTAATGAGTCGGATTTCATCGTCAAAGCTGAAATCGTTGTGCAATAGTAGGGGTACAAGGATACGGACTTCATTTTTTTTTTTGCAATAACCTTACTTCGGCCAGTTCATATTATCCGTCTTCCTGCTGCTTTACGCAAGCAAAAGTCATCAGAGCTTGAAATTCCACAATTTCAATCTCAACTTCATAAAAGAAGAAAGTTTAGTCAATCAACAACAACATCCCCCAACTGTTGAGTCCAGCTCAAACAGGAAAATGTACCTTTCGGAGACGAATGATATGAACATCGTAGTAGCCATGAAGAATAGTGAGAGCAAAGTATGAGAGAACAATACTCACACCAGCTTTGCAACTGCACAAAGAAAAACCATGATGCTCTGCACGATTTGCAATGCAACAAGATTTCTTTGAGGGAAAAAATTTGAAAAAGCAGCCCTATTAACTCAAGCCCCGTAAGCCATGCACGACCCCTAACCAAGCCCCAAATAAATGCGACACCTTCGGAAGCCTTCTTTACTGGGCGTGTTTGCACAAAGGCAAACTAATGCAGTTTTATTTTGACACCTGACAAGCACAACGGGTCTGACAAAATTGTGAGGTGGATGAGCATAACAGATATCATGATATGGACCTGGAATACGACAGTGCCAAAGAAATAACCAGAATCCTCTCATGTTGTTAAAACTTACATGGCAAAGTTTCGCCCACCGGTTGTCACTGCTGCTTTCCATTTGACATTGTGTCAAGAAAATCATTAGCTATGAACATTCTGAGTTTTGAAAAGTAGAAAAGATTGAAAGGGAGAAGGAAGAACATGTGTTCATCGTAGAAAAGATAGAAGGAGGAAAGAAAAAAGAAGTTAACGTACTCTGATAACATCATTTTTGATATCTTTTGGCAAGCCTGAAACGACGACTTTAGTGGCCACGTCTAACGAGGCAGATTGGAATAATCTTGGCTGAGGAGCTGCTGGAGGTGCAACTGGTCTTCTTGCAACAGGAGCAGTTGGTCTTGCAACGGTTTTTCTCAACCCAGTCCGTGGTCTGGCGACCACAGTTTTCGAGAGCACCTGCGGTCTCTTGGCACCTTTGACATTACGTCTGACAGGCTTTCTACCTGGTTTGGCAGAGTGAGCAATGATGGCGTCCAAAGACTGTTCCAGAGAAGACATGGTGAGGGATGTTGTTGTTGATAGATTTGTTTGTGGTGGTGTTGTCTAACAGACGATCGAGGGGATCCAGTTAAGGTTAGTTGGAATAGAAACTTGCCTAACCGGAGGGCGACAGATGTTCGCCTTTCTTTTGCCTTTGCCTGCGGGTGTCTGTTCTGTGCTGGCAAATTGGCTGAGCACCCTCCTCGACTCACGGGCGTTCCTTCGTTCGCACGCTCGCCACCAGCCCCCTCCTCCCCTCGTCTCGGCCGGGTAACTCCACGACACTGCCACGCGTCGCACAACGACAAGCACACCGTTGTTTTCCACGACCGCGGATCTTCCTTCTTACTTCTTCCCTATTCGGCAATCAGCGCAAGTGGCTCAACACGATTTCCGGCCCCGCGACCGCGACCTGCACGCGTCGCCTCTGCAGCACGCAGGATGGAAGAATGAGATAGCACCGAAAGGCTGGCCCAGAGAGGCTGGCAAATGAGAGCCGCCGCAGCTGCGTCTCTCCACGAGTGTATGGATAACTTGCCGTTGAGTCACGCCATCTCAATGGCTGTTGACCACCGGTGACTGCAAATCGTGAAGATCCTTCTTGCTCGGTTTGGCAGCTGCTGCACGTGAGCACAGACCACCGACCACAGACAGGCAACACTTTCTGTCCAGATAAGTGCTAATGCCACCGCTGCTTCTCCCGCTGTAGACTACTGCATGCCCAGGACGTGTCACGTAGTATCTGTGCAGGGGGCAGCCGTGCTGCTGAAAGGGCGAGCTTGACGGGCGTACTCGACAGGTTGGCGGCGAAAAGCATGCCCATCGCACAGCGTACAGCGTAGAAAGGCGGCGATGCAGAGAGGATTAAGGGGCTGCCGAAGCCCTCATGCGTCGTCGGCCTTTATGAACACGGAGAGACACGTTTGATCGGAGACAGTTGCCTTGAGGCGTCCAGGCGTGCCAGGTGGCCATAAGCCGTCCTGCAGCCATAACTGCGCACGCTGAACCGGCGCTCTCTACATGTATAAATTGGCCATCAAAACCGTTTTAACCTCTGGAGCATATCCAGCCAAGCGTGCAAAAAATATAATATATATCCCGATCGAGCCTTTTTCTTCTTTCGACTACGGCCCTTCTCCCCCTTCCACTGTTCACCTCCCCCCACTTCGAAAACTACTGAACCTTCCTGCACACACGTTTTACCCACCGGGCATATCCAGCAGAGACTTAATCCTGCTTCATTTTTCCCTTCCTTCTCTCCGCCAACGAGCATTCTCATTTCCTTCGTTGCGTTCCACGAAACTATCCGGCCTCAGCTGTACCTAGAGATCCAGGTGCATCCAACTCTGCTGTGCATTCACGAGTCTCCAGCGGACACGTCCCCGTCCTTCCATATATATAGTGCACAATACCCAACCGCCCCCACGTCTTCTCCTTTTGTTTCTCGACTACTCTGACCCCATCCGCCTTCTTCCTTTCTTCGGCACGCCCACTCCAAGTTTCCACCTCCATCTGTACGACACCCTGCATCCTGTTCTTTCCGCCACACACACGCACCCTACACGTCCAGCAATTTGCAAATGCCGGAAATATCAACTTCATCCTCAGTCGTTGACTATGTCTTCACTTCAACATTCGACTCTCACGCGGGGATAACAGTGACCCACACTTCCTCAAGGTCGGACAACTCAATCACCGCTCAATTGGGTTCTCTGTTGGACTCTATTGTCCCGCCAAATCTGCATAAGTTTGTCAATGAAGAACACTACACAATACTGCCTCTTTACATCAATGAGAAGAATGACACCCTGGAGTCTTCTATCGGTGTAAACGACAAAAATAGTTCTTGCTTAAGTCCTTGTTACTTGTACACTATCAGCTATCTAAAATACTCAAGTGAGCTTACCAGAAACGCCAAAGTTATGGCAATTTCAATCGTCACGAAATTGCCAATATTTGAAGTCTTTAAACCTTTGTTATTCTACTTACTTCATGAGCTGTACAGTCCTAACTTCGACCTCTCTATGATCGACCAGGTGTTCCATAATTTGAATAAATCTCACTTGGATTCTTTGTTGAATCATTTCTCCCATTTGAATCCAGCATCAAGATTTGTACTCACGAGAATTCAGCCGGACTTTTCAATGAATGAATCTCTTAAATTGCCATCAGAGTTTTCAGACCATTTCGCTGATGCAGGCAACCTCTTCAAAACTTCAATAAACTTGGGCGCTCCAAAGTTGAACTTTCCAATTCAGATTCCAAAATCCTCTATCATAGCCTCACCGTTGGCAATGTTTGGGATAGATTTGCAAAGAGATTCAAGTATCAAGAGACTGTTGAAGCGTTTGGACTCAACACATATCTCTTTATCAGAGTCTTCTCCTAAGGAAAATTGTCTTACTCCTTATATGAACATCAAGCCATTACATGTTCTGATTAACGCTTTGATTTCAAAAAAGAAAATCATCTTATATGCCCATAACACTTGCTACAATGTCTTGACCGATTTTGCTGAAACATTATACTTGATTTACAACTCGGGGTGCTATCAAAATGACGAGATTCCTTTCCATCCGATCATTGACCTATCAAGTATTGATTTGATTCAAGGCAATGATAATTATCTAATTGGCACTGCCAATCCGATGTTGTTGGAGAAGTTAGACTGGAACGTTTTCCTGAACTTCGATTCTGAGACTTTACATGTCCAAATCGATAATGATATTATTGATCACAAGTTCTTCAGTGGAAACGGTGATTCAGACTCAGAAAACGATGATCCTTTCAAGATTGATAAGAGAACGTCGCTAAACTCAAATTATACCAGCTATTCAATGACTACCTCTACTTCTTGCGTTTCAACTATGTCCTCTATTGATTCTTTCCATGCAGATAGCCGTTTGTCTTATTGGGATCCTTCATGTTTTCCTCGTTTAGTCCCAAATGACGAGAAAGCAGAGTCATTCTTACATCCAAATGTACCGGGTAACGCGGGACCAAACTACCCTGATACCAAATTTCCATATTCGACAAGTGTGTCCTCAATTCCCAGGATTGACAAAGCCTTAGACGCACAGATAACTCGCCTGCTTAAAAATCATCATGACGATGAGACGTTATTTGTTTTATTGACCAACTATCTGCGTAATTTGACCACAAGGGTTTTACCAGCATTCTATCATTTTAACACTTTTTTACAACTTAGGGACTATAGAGCTCATTTGCAAGCAAACAGCCACCTTGTGAAAAGAAGTTCATCACATAGTAATAGGGATTTTGATATTGATCTTGATTCTTCAATTCGTCGATTTATACAATCAAAACGTCTGATTCAACCATTTCCACTAAACTTCCCATTTGATTCTCTGCACGCGTTCCTGGATGATCCAAAGATTTCTTCTCATTATGCAAGGATTGTTCTCGCAAATGTTCCACTGCTAAGATTGTCTGTTCACTATAACGATATCATGTTCAGATCCGTCGAGACCATACCTGGATTTGTTTTTACATGGACTGGAGGCGAAGATAACGCTAATGATGACGAAATTGACATCCGTCTTGATACACATTATTTGGTTGGTATTCTGGATAGAATGATCGATGGTACCTCTAACGAAAGCTGGCAACTGAATAAATATCTTCTTCTCCAGATTTTCAAGGCTTTGAATGCCATTTTGAAAGCACACGGAACAGGTGTGAATGGTTTGAATGATGTACTGGTTGACTTATTTATTGAGAAGCGTGGTGATGAGTCCTTTGCAAAGGCTTGCGGAATCAAACTTACAGATCCCAAATCTACCGTTTTGTCGAATCCAAGATCTTCCGAGTCAAGTGTGTTTTCCAGTGGCAACTTACAGCACAAATCCGAAAATCAAGTCTTGGAGAAGTTGCGTCGTCTCGCTGTTTCTGCTACCAACATCGAATTTGTTAAGGAAGCAATTCGTGGGGGTAATGGAATGGAACTCGATGATACTATATCCCTAACTACCTCGAAACGTAAGTCAAAGGAAACTTCAACTGCCACTAAAATCATCAAAGATGGTAAGAAAAGCAAAAGTGACATTTTAACTGAACACTGTGAAGATGATGAATTGTTATCTCATGTTGGAACTTTGGGAACCCAGAGGTTCACCAAGCTCATATTGGTTGCTGCTCTTTATCTGTCAATTAGAGGTCCTGAAGATATAGTTGAAACGAAGAAAGGTATTCGTCGGAAAGATCTTTTGTTGACCGAATTCAAAAGATTTCTCAGTGGTGTTTTGAATGATCAATTTTTCAAGGAATTTGTCTTGGTTGAAATGGATGATTTTGTCAAATTGACTGTGAATGATTTTATTGATTATCATATGTAAAATCGGTCACTCTTCTTCCCAATGTGTATAACTAGTTTTTTACCTTTTCGCTTTTCAATTCTCTTGTCTGTGGGTTGTATTTTTCATTTCCCACCAGCTCTCTCCTTAATATTTATTTTGCTTTTTTTATTTCTTTCTTTTACTTCTCTAGAAACACTTACATTTTATATCCTTATTATACTTGCACATTTCATTTTTCAAGTCTTTGACAAAGCGGTGTAAACTATTCAATTATAACATTTTATAACGTTTTATATTAGCAGCTGAATATTCGTTCTGAGATGAATAAAACATGGCAAAAGATCTACAAAATTCTCGATGCCCAATATTCAACCAATTTTTGGACATTCCAATTCTGCCTCTAATTAATACAAAACTGCGCCTTTAAAAACCACAATACCTTTTGGTGGTAGCACAACCAGTCTGATTGTTAGTATCAGTACAGTCACTTAAACTTTCTAAAACAAAACATCAGTTCAGTCTATGAATATGACGACTAGCTCCAGACGATACCAGCTGTCATACTGTCTGGTCAAAGACTGTCTTTTCCGTACATTCATCAGAAACTCATGAAAGCAGAAGGATTTTGTTTATTTACATTACATCAATCAGTTACTGGTAACTGGTTAAAACATTGGCACACTCCGTAAAAAAGTACTGGAATACCTTTCTTCCCGCTCTGACGTTATTGCCGCCTCTGTTCAAGCACGGCTAGACCCTGCAGCAATGTTGAAAAGACATTGCGGCCTGCATGTTCAAACTGTCAAAAACTCGACTCTTTCACTTTCCAATTATAATCTCCGTTTTTACTTTCTCCTTGCAGCTTATATGCATTACTCTTCGGCAATAATGAACATCACGCTCACGTGCCATCCGCAAGTCTATTCTGGATAGCTCATAGCCAACCTCTTCCAGATGTTCAATTTGCATGGTCTCATCGTCTTGTCATTATCTGATAGGCAGTTTTTGGCACTGTGAGGGAGTTGTGCTTGACTCACCCTTGCACTCGAGAGTTGTCAATTAGGGAAAGTTTCAAATAAGACTGCTTAAAAGCGGTTGTATGCAATAAAAGTTTCAAAAAATGCTTTTTATGTTGGGCAAAAAAAGATAGCGGAAATGAAGTTAGATTTTAACTTTATTCCTTGCTTTGTAAATCAACTATGCCTTTGATTGGTTACCTGCTATTGAATTTATAAGTTTATTTTTTTCTTTTTGCAGCGTTAGGCAAGTGAAACTGAAATTTCATGCCGCATTCAAATTGCCGAATTGGGAAAGTCGACATGAACGAACGTATCACCTATTTGGGCGCTGACTTATGCCAAGAGAGTCAATGATAATGTCATTATTTCGGCCATGATTCAAAGACAGTCCACTAGTATAGAAAGTCCGTGCTTATGCTACTGGATAACAAAGGCTCTTCCGACAAATAGAAAAGTCTGATCTGCTTCAAATATGCGTATCGATATTTTCTTTAGTTACATTATAAATTTTGTTTATATGACCTGTTTTGGGCAAGTAGCCTAGCTAGGCCTCATGTAGGTATTGGAAAAGAAAAGCAGAACCATTTTCTCTTTTGTTCTTCAGTTACCCACCATCTTGTGGAATCTCCAAGGAACGTCTAGTTTATCGAGAGTAACTTCGATCAACCTTGGAACAGTTGTGTCGTTACCTATTTGTTTCAGCGCGTTATCCAATTCTTGTGGAGTAGAAACCTTAGCGGTTTTGGCGTCAGACACTCCAAAAGTCTGCAAAATTTGGGTCCACTTCCAGTCTGGCCTGATATCGTTGTAATCTCTTTCCGGTCCTTTAATAATTCTCTCGACAGTGTAACCGTTATTGTTGAGAAGAATAATCAACGGCTTGACGACGTTTGCTCTGTTGTAGTTGCTTAGTTCTTGAATGGTCATCTGGGCAGCACCATCTCCCTCAATTAAAATCAATCTTGAATCAGTCTGTTTCATTTCTGCCAAGGCGACACTAACACCGAAGGAGCATGGTAATGCCATACCAATGGATAGGTAGTAGTGTTGGCCTATCACCTTGGTGTTGTTTGGTAACCTGATATCAGGTAGACCAAACATCAGTGAGCAAGTCTCCGTTACAATGACGTCGTTAGGCTGAATGAAGGATTGTAAGGTCTCGAGCATTCTAGTTTGAGAAATAGGGGTATTTGAAGGAATTTCTTCAATCTGGAAAACAGTCTTTGGGATATTATAGGTTGGCAAACTGTCGACGGAGGATAATTTCTGCAAGACAGTTGGCAAAATATCTTCAAATGAGACGTTTTCAAACATCTGGTTGCCAACTTTGATATATTCCGGATTCAACAACACAATTGATTCGGGCTGAATCTTATCGTACAAGGACCAGTGGCCAGAGTTGATCTCGTTGTAGTAGTCTCCGACATGAAGGAAGCAGTCGGTCTGTTGAACGTAAGCTTGCACGGTTTTGTTTGATTCAGCACCGTTGTAGTCGCCAATGTACCACGGCTGGGACTCGTTCAAGAGCGACTTGCCCATATGCGAGTTACAGGAAGGAACCTTCAAGAGGTCGACCAAAGTCTGGAGGGTTTCCGTCTGTCCAAACCTATCGGTCAAGACGTCGCACAACACAACTGGGTTCTGGGAAGCAGTCAGCTTGCCCACAATCATGTCTGAGATCTTCTCGACAGCGTCTGGAGAGGCGGAAGGCATTCTGGAGATCAAGACCTGGGCAGGGACGTCGGCCAAGTTTGACGAGTCGATTTCAAGGTTGACCAAGTCGCACGGAACATACAAGTACCCGGGCTTCTTGGTGGCCAAGATTGTTCTGAACAAGTCGTCAATGTCGTTGGCCGCGTTGGACAGGTCGTCCGTGAGCGAGAGGACCTTGCACGAGACGTTTGCGGCCATTTGCTCGTAGACGTAGTGGTTCGTTGGGTCCCTGGTGGACACGCCGTTGATGATGTGGTGGTAGTGGGCGCCCCTGTTCTTCACCGAGTGCTTGGTGGTGCCGACAATGTGGAGCACCGGCACGTGCTCTGCAAACGAGCCCGCCACCCCGTTGAGGGCACTCAACTCCCCGACACCCTGCGTGGTGAGCAGGACCCCGAACTTGTCGTGCCCAATGGTCCGGGAGTACCCGTCTGCCGCGTACGCCGAGTTCAACTCGTTGCAGCACCCGACCCACTGGAGCGTCGGCACCGAGTACAGGTGCTCGAGCAGCGAGAGGTTGTAGTCTCCCGGCACCCCGAAGACGTTGTGCACTCCGAGCGACTCGATTCTGCGGAAAATGTACTCCGAGAGAGCCATCGTGGCCCGTCTCTGCACGTGTTGGTTGTTTTCTAAGCTCACAGGCGCCATAATGGTGTGTACAGGTGTGTTTCTTGCTTGCGTTTTCCTTTTCCTTGGTTCAACCACCACTCAGGACAACAGGACAGCCTAACTACATCACCACCACTACACCCAACCACTCCAGCAAGCACAGCGTGTGCTCTCTATTTGTACTCCTGCCTTCCGGCCCAGCAGAATATCCACCCTGCATCCGTTTTGTCCCCGAGCCCTCCCTATGCTGGTCAGAGCCCCCCGTAGTGCCCTGGCCATCCCTGCCTGCCTTTCCGAGCCTCTTGTCTGCCTGCCTGCCCTCCGTCTGCTCTGCTACCTCCCTCTCCGAGACCGTTTTACGGCAATGGCGCCCTCGCCTAGCCTTCGGGGCCCGTTTTCCCACCCGGAGACCCCAGTTTCGGCTACGCACCCCGGCGCGGGACCGCTGCGGCCTGCTTTTTCGTCGGCACGCCCCCACCTCGGCTAGCGCACCCTGGCCAGCCGCCCGGCCCTGGCCGAGACCGAAGCCCTGGAATCATCCTCGGCGGCATTGCGGATGGCGTTGGCGTTGGCGTTGCCGGGTTTCTGCTGCCGTCGAACGGTGGCGGGGGGTGCGGCACGGGGAAACGTCCGCGACACAGATGTGTGTGGTGGCAGGGACCGGAGAGATGGTGATGGCGTTGATGAGGTGAAAAAAGAAGGTAAACAAAGAAACGGGGCAAGAACAGGGAGGCAAATTGCCTCGTGGCAGAGCCGCCAACACACAGTGCTGGGGTGATGAGCTCGTTGATCCCGCTGAAGCAGAAGGTGGAGTTCCTATGGAGCTACAACTCGCAAGTGTTTTCGCAAGCAGAGGCTGACATCAAAGGACAGCTATGTGTCTCGTTCTTGAGGCAGACAGAGAATGTGGTCGGGGTCTCGTACGGACTCTGCGGCAACTACAAGCTTGAGTACAACAACTTGCTGAAGAAAAACGAGTCGGGTGTGCTCTTTGACGTGGAGAAGAGGGTGGACGTGGGTTGCGAGGGCAGGGGTGTGGCGTTTGCGAAGGGCCAGCAGGTGACAGAGGCGTTCCAGCTGTCGTTTCCGGCGACGACGGCGCTGTTTTCGGCGCCGATGGCGTTGCCGACGTCGTGCTGCTACTACGGGGACGAGCAGGGCTACGAGCCGCAGTTGACGGTCAGGTACAAGCTGTACGTGAAGATCACGTACGTGGGGGGGTTTCCGAAGAAGCAGCGGACGGAAACGTTCTCGTTCCCGTTGACCTACCAGGGCGTTTCGATGTTCCAGACCGCGCCGGGCTACACGTACAGAGAGCTTGCGGTGTACCCGGGGCCGGTGCGGCAGCAGCAGCGGCAGCAGTCCTCGAAGCTCCTCAAGCTCTCGAAAATCCAGGAGGCTGGCGCAGGACTGGACCTCATCATGGAGCTCAGTGCACCCTCGGCGCTGGACATGAACGCGCCGCTTCTGGCCCAGCTGAAGACGAGGTTCATCACCAACTACTCGATCGGAGCAGGGACGGACTGTGACTACGGCTTCCGCTTGAAGTCGCTGAAAGTCACCGTCTACTACTACTCGACGTTTTCCGCTAAGGGCTCGACATCCAAACACCGGCGGAAGAAAAACATGTTTGAGCTCGGCTTTGATGCGTCCGTGTTCAGCTTGCGGGACTTCAAGTACGACAGCGTGAACGCCTACCACTATTGTGATTATCGGACACAAGAACATTCGGCTGTCACCGTCAACAGCATGGTCGGTTTACACGCATTTCTAACTAACTGTAAATTATTCGAGGGAAAGTTTACAAACACAAGCTGCCTACATTTAACGTTCAAGTTCGCGGACACAAATGGCTGCGAGAACACATTCAAGTTCAGGACCGAGATATCACCGACAGTGGTGTCTCTGCCAGACGATTCACACAGCGTTCACAAGGCGGACGCTGCAGTCCAATACGCTCAGAGCAAGAGCTCGACAGAGAACGGCGGTTACTGAGTTGTCCTGCTGTTTCTCTTTAGTACTATCTTTTTTCATCCTTTTTTTCATCCCAATTTTCATCCCATTTGTTTGTATCGTATGCCGGTGGAGGGGCGTCTGGAACAGCATCGTTCTCACCAGCATAGCTCTGGTTGTAATTCTGCTCAGCATTGTAACTCGCTGCTCCAAGTAAAACGTCCGGCATAGAGCTGGTCACAAACGCAATATGTTTATCTTGAGCCATTCCATCCGATATCTTCCAAGTATAACTGATCTGAACTGAAGTGCTGAGCCAATTGGAAATGTTCCCTGCACATACAATGGCTCTATTTTCTAGCATGTCCAGCAATCTTCGATTCATATCCAAATCACCGGCCCTGACCATATCATCCATTGGAACAACATACTTGTAAACACCAGTCTGTTTATCGTATTCGAAATCTTTAATATCGACATTCAAATCCGTAAAGTCTACTCTGCAAATCATGAATTTCTCATCCACCCTCCGCCTGCGTCCGTGACATTCAATTGTACTTTCATACAATGCTTCGATAAGCAGATATTCTATCTTGAAAACACCAAGGTGGGTACTTTGTCCATTGTAGACAAAGTCAGTGGACTGGTTTGACTCAATATCATAGGCCTTCAAATTGGAGCTCAAAGTGAGACCAAACTGATTCCTAATTGGTTCTGCTAGATTCAGTGTTGAGTTGATGGCAAATTCTACATCTAGCGGTATCGATCTGGTCATCTTACTGTAATTTTCACTTCGATAATCTTCATTCCAAAGTTTTCTAATAAATTTAGTTCTAGTGTGGTTATTATGCAACGAGCTTGGAATGAGAGCTTGTTTTGCTTCATCGAAATAAAATCTTTTGACCTTGTTGGTGTAAACCTCATTCATGATGTAATCTAGACCTTGAATGGCTTTCGGGTAGAGAGGGTCTTTAGCCGATTGGTAGACTATTGGTATGACATAACTCTCGTAAAGCTTTGGTTTTTTACTGAATAAGCCTCCAACCTTGTAAATCTCAATATACGCTTCATAGATTACACTGACATGACCACTGGAATCGCCAAATGCCTGACACGTACTAGGCAAATACACATTACTAGGGATCTCGATTTCAATCTGAGCCTTATACTGTTCACCTGTCTTGTATGTGAATGTCTGCATATCATATTCAGCACTGTGCTTCGCATCGACCTTATGAGGATCAGAGGGTAAATCTTGGTAAGCGTTGAAAAATGTATCTCTTTGAGTAAACGTCCTACGTCTATAGCGTGGATTTTGTCCTGGCCCTCTATATGGATCGAGCTCCGTGGTATGGAGTACGATATCGGCAACTCCCTTCACCCCACCTTTGAAGTAGCAAACTTTGCTGAAGTCTTCTTCGAAGTTTACTTCAAGATCCGCTCTAACAACAGGATTGACCGGAGAATACTTGTTGCCAACTGGGGAGTCCAGTAAAGTTATCTCAACTGCAACTGCTTTTGAAAAAAGTTTTCCCATCTCAATTGATAATGTGCGTTAGTTCATGAAGGGTAGGAAGTTTCTTGTCTAGTGATCGAGCGTAGAGAAAGTCCTTGCGTGTAGAAAAAAACAATAAAGGAGCCGCTATCTTTATAAGTTCCGCTTTGATTAAAAGTAAGCGCCTGGAACTGTTGATTATTTCGTCATAGCACCAAAGCCCACACACATTCTATGCGAAAGCGAGGCGACAAATTTGTGCGGTCTTTAATTGGTGGACCTGTGCTGCCAAGGATCGCAAAATTGTGCCGGGAAGTTGCCGACGCTTCGAGGTGAAAATGGAGCGAGCCGGATTCCTGTTACTGTGGGCTCTTTCCGCAGAGTGCTGACAGGGGTTTTCCATTGAACAAAGCCCACTGGCTCAATAATCTTCCCTGTTTTTAACAAGTAAATTGAGTGACCTGTAGTCCACTGAAGTTTTGTGTCACAACTTTTCGGCACGACTCCCAGTGTAAGGGGAAGAACAGAAAGAGCTCGTAACATCCCATGAGGCGTACGTAGATCAAAAAGACTTATCTACAATGGTCGCGTAATATACCTTTCAATCGACGAACAGAAAAAGAGTCTAGTGTTTTTAAGTATATAAGCTGCTACACTTCTTATCGTGGTAGACGGTACACTGAGTGCTTAATTGCTAAATTCCACAGCTTGATGTCCGTTGTAGACAACCTAAAAGCGTAATTCGCAGATCTCATTCCAATAATAATCTTAGAAAGCAAGAATTAAGTATCTGCTGTTGTTGTATGCTAGATAGAGTAGTGGCAACGGCCAGGCCATTGTCCTCTCCTCCTTTTGAATACATGGATGTGGCTGGGGTCCGGGTCTGTTGACTTTATTAACTTGCACACTTACGTAATTCAACTGCTGATTTACAATACCTTTGCCAGTACTCAAGTTTTGTTTTCTAATTAGTGATTCAAGAATCTTTGTTCAGCTTATCTAAGCCTGTGGATCAGTATTCATCATTGAAACTCTCTATGGCACAAACGCAAGGAAAGTTTTCAATTAAATAGAAGACAAGAATTCGCATTGTGGGCATTGTGAGGAAGTGTCAAATCTCTGACCCAAATATTCTAGCACAGTTTCTAAGTCTCTTCATCTGATGTGCTAGGCATTTTGAAGTCATGTATTCATAATAGCATTTTCCAGTTCGTAGGACCCTCTTTAGCTCAGTTGGAAGAGCGCGGGACTGTAATGTTAACAAGACATCCTGAGGTCTCTGGTTCGATCCCGGAAGGAGGGAATTTTTTTGTCATTTTTATTATCACTAATAATTTGAAGGAAAAAAAATAATAGACATGAAATTTTTTAGTTTGAAAATTTTTTTAGATGTATTCTATACTTTTATCGTAGATCAGTACTTTGTTAGTTGAAAAGTATTTTGTTGCTACAAACAGTACCAGCCGACAATGGAGGGTTCCTTATCAAACTTGGCCTCATTGAGAGAAAAGGTCTCAAATGCCTTGTCGAAGAAGGATGAAGCCAGTAAAAATAACAGCAAGAGCAAAAAAAATCCGAAAAGTAATTCCAAAAACAACAAAGAACCATCCGATAAGCCTGCTAAAAAACATGTGGAAAATAAAACCCCCAATGATGATGATGAGCAGGAAATTTTACGTCGTGAAGCTTTGAATTTAGGTGCAACTGAAGATGACTTGAAACTTGTGAATGATCTGGATGTCCAGGACGAGAGTGAACAAGAATTTGATGACAATGATTCCAAGAATACCCCCAACAAAGAATTGACCAAGGAACTTTCTGAATTTATGAAAAATATCGGATTTAAAAGTCACAAGGCTGAAGATTTAGAGGTTTCAGACGAAGAAGATACTGACGCAGCGGATGGTGAAGCTGAAGAAGAGGAAGACAAGTTTGAAGAGGAAGAAGCAAGAGTAGAACACGACTCTGACGAAGAAGAAGCAGATGCGATTTCTGAGAATGAAGAAGAAGAAGAAGAAGAAGAGGAAAATAACTTGGCAAATTCTGCTCAAGACAAAAACGAAACTGATAAAACGGCAACGCAATCCAAATCGTCTGATAAAATTTTGAATCTTCAATCAGTGATTTCTGACAGACTTGCTGTGGAGTCAAGAAGTGACTGGTACAACATTTCACAAAATCTCGAGCATGTTGTAGCAGACAGGTCCATGAAACAAAGTGATGTTGAGGAACTTTATGAAAAGGCCAAGAGATTAATTGAGGCAGAAAACCAAGTTTATGATGAAGAATTCAACAAATCGTCATCACAAAAGCGTTTCTTGTCTCAGATTTTGACAGGTGGTACTTTATCGGATAAAATCTCTGCACTTACTTTATTGGTCCAAGAAGCACCATTACACAATTTGAGAGCACTTGACAACTTATTCAATATGTGCCAGAAAAAATCGAGAACTGCTGCTTTACAATGTGTTGATGCTCTTGTGGATTTGTTGGTCAATACTATCCTCCCCCCTAACAGAAAACTAAAAACCTTTAAGAAGCAACCATTGAGCAAAAGTTTATCAGATTCTCAGTTGATTCTGATGTATTTTGAGGACCACTTGAAAACTATGTACTTTCAGTTCATTTCTTTACTGGAGAAACTCTCTCATGACTCTATCTTGTACGTAAGAATGAAAATTGTTAGTCACATTTTTTCACTTCTAAAAGCAAAGCCAGAACAAGAAGCTAATTTGCTCAGATTGGGTGTTAACAAGTTAGGTGATATCGACAATAAAGTTTCCTCTAAAACTTCATATCAGATTCTACTATTAGAGCAAGAGCATCCTGCGATGAAGCAGGTTGTTTGTGAATCCGTTATTGACGTTGTTTTTAGATCAAATAATGACCACCATGCTCTTTACTACTCCGTTAACACCCTCAATCAAACCATTCTGACTAGACAAGATGAAACTTTAGCAAACAAGCTAGTTGACGCTTATTTTGCACTCTTTGAAAAGTTATTGATAAAAACTGATGACGAAAATGTGGGAGCTTTCAAAGAGTCCGAGCATCAAAAGGAAGGAAGGAGAAAGAAAAACGTGAAGAGAGGTCGGAAGGGAGGAAAGTCAGTGAAAAAAGTAAAGGACGATAATGAAATTCTTGAAGAGAAGAACTCCAAGATGTTTGCTGCAATATTAACTGGGCTAAACCGTGCATTCCCTTTTTCAAATTTCCCAACTAACATTTTTGAAAACCATTTAAACATACTTTACAAAATAACACACAGTCTCAATTTTAACACTTCGGTGCAAGCCTTGATTTTGATCCAAACAATCACGAACAAGTTTTCAGATGACACACATAAAGATAGATACTTTAGAACACTTTATGAGTCATTGTGGGATGAGAGACTTTTGAATTCATCCAAGCAAGGTATTTATTTGAACTTATTGTTTAAATCATTGAAGGATGATGAAAACATTGAGCGGGTTTTGGCATTTGTCAAAAGAATCTCGCAAGTGTGTCTCAATTGGTTGAACATTGGTACAATTTCGGGTATGATTTTCCTTCTGATTCAACTCGAAAGAGAGATTCCGCAAGTTAGAAATCTGTTTTTGAATACTCCTATGGATGATGAAATCAATGAAACACTCCAACAAGAAGAATCTCTAGATGAAGTTGTTAGTGAAAACAAAGAAGTGAGGATATATGATCCCAGAAAAAGAGATCCAAAGTTTGTCAATGCCGATAAATCTTCAATTTGGGAGATTGGGTTTTTTTTAAAGCATTACCATCCAACAATCCAAATGTATGCGGAAAACTTTTTGAAGTTTGATGAACTTTCTAAGGCGGAAAGGAGGACAATCAATAAACCTGATTTGGGATTATACTCTCTTTCACATTTCCTTGACAGATTTGTCTATAAGAGACCAAAGAGCAAAGCAAATCTCAAGGGTTCTTCCATCATGCAACCTTTAGGTGGTGCACACACAGGTAATTTATTGGTTCGTGCTACAGGTGTCGAAAGCAGTGATATCCCTGCGAACACTGAGGATTGGCTCTCTAAGAAAGCTAGTCAAATAAAACCTGAAGATGACTTCTTTTATCAATACTTCAGCACCAAGCAAGAGAAAGTCATGAGTTCGAAGTTTGACAAAGCACTTGATCAGAAAGCTAAAAACGGAGACGAGGATGAAGATTCCGAATTGGATGACGATGCTGTTTGGAATGCTTTAGTTGCCAGTAATCCAAACGTGGAAGGAGAAGATGATGATTTGGATGATGAGTTATCAGACTTAAACATGTCAGACTTTTCTGAGGCTGAAGACGAAGAAGAGGAGGGAGAACTTGATTTAGAAGGAGGAGACGAAGAGGGAAATAGTGATGAAGACGAAGAAGCCGAAGAAGAAGAGGGTCTTGTAAGGTTGAGGACCATTGGCGACTTAGACGACGAAGAAGAGGTCGAAGATGAGAGCAACGATGAAAATTCCGGAGCTAAGGAAGAAAGCGATTCATCTGATGGCGAAGATATAAAAATGCTACTTGAAGACGATGCTGAGGAAGATCTATATAGCAGTGAAGACGACAGTGTTGAACCGAAGCCAGCACTTACAAATGCCAAAAAGTCGAAGAAAAGAAGCAATCTGCCTGAAGATGGAAAAAAGAACAAGAAAATTAAGATATCTTCTTTGCCTACTTTTGCTTCTGCTGAAGATTATGCTGAGTATTTACAATCCTCTGATGACGAATGAGTATTCCTTTCTCCCATCTCCTACTCGATAAATTGTGTAATACTTGTATAAAGAAATACGAACGTTGTCCATTTTATGTCGCTCCCAATAAGGAAAAACATCAACAACACGATCCCCGCAACAGGCGCACGCGTTGGGGCTTTCTCGGCTCAATTGCCGATTCGAGAAGGTTGAGTGATACTTCTGAGGAATCTATTGTTTACGAGAGTTTTTTATGGGCCAACCACTTGTTCATACATTCTTCTCCCTACATTCTATACTGTACCTGAACACTTACTGTTTAAGGGGCCTTTACCAGGGACAAGCGATGGGATTTGGAATGGAGGACAACGATTTCACCATCTACACTGATCATCCTTCGATGAACTTTGCTCCTTCGAAATTATTCGAAGAAAGCACTGGTCACACTCCTTTGCAAAATTCTAACACATCGAAGGTGCAGAATCGTAACCTTGCAACGACCGAAAGTTACGAGTTTCCAGTGATAACCGGAGCCTATGGCACCAATATAAATAGCGAGAATGGAGGAGGTTTTGACATCGAGTATGCTACTCCCAATCCTCATAAACGAGGGTGTGATGTTCTGAATTACGATAATAGGCCAGATATGGCGATAAATAGTTCACCCGCTAAAAAGGCCAAAAAACCAGAATCAAAATGGCCTGAGCATCTGCAAAAGACATTTGAGGATGCTGTGCAATTGATACCTAAATCATCAATCAGAAACATGAAAATTTGTGGCTCATCTTACGGCAGGAATCAATATATTTCATTCTATATCAAAGATAGGACTGGAGTTACAAGAACTTCCAAGCAAATATCGTCTCACATACAAGCTCTTACTACGTCAAAGAAAAACCCTGATCTAGCATGTTTGCTACGGAATGGTCCTGGTGAATCAAGTGAAATATGTACCAGATTTGAGTCAATCTTCACCGCCATCCTTAATAGGCTACCAGCTAAACCAGAACAAACTGTTGACGATAAATCGAACAGTAACTTTGCCCAAGCAGAGAAATTTGGAACTAGATATCCGGAGGATTTACAAAAGTCGGTGCCAGTGAAAAGCTTCAAGAATTTGATAAGAGTTCTTTTCAAAAAATTTGAGATGTCTTACATAAATTTCGAAGCCATCAAGCAATCGCATATGTTTTCAACTTTAGATCATAGCTTTATCAACAGTGAATTGCCCGAAACTACAATTTCCAAAGTCTTATTGTTACAGAGTTTTCCAGTGATTTCAAACTTGATTCACAAAGGCTTAAGTGTTTATGATCATGATATGGTCTCCAAAATTCCAATTATCTATGGAAATGTAGCAATAACCTTACCACCATTAACTAATGATCTGAGTGCCGGATGCTACAATTTGACCACCAAAGTGGGGTTATCGTCTCTTCCCAGAGAAGAGAAGGTTTACGCAAAAATTACATTGATCACTTCGAATAATTTTAAAATTCAAGAAATTTTTCAACCCTTAGACTCCGCATCGAATAAAAGTAAAAATGAAGCCGTTTTCACTGTCAAGGTTGGTGATGACTACTGGAAAAATTACGTTTTGAATAAACAAAAGGAAATGAACTATAATGGTGTAAACAACATTAGAGCAAAGGAAGAAACATTTGCTATGGAGATTAACTCGATTAAGATCCAACAATTCATAGTACATTATGATAGGCAAACCTTGTCAAGGTATCATGGTGTATTACGGCTTGACCAAATTGAGCCAATTGATATTAGGTGCATTATCATTTGGAAATTCGAGAAAGTTCTTGACCAAACTAAAGCTGTTACTTCACTAAAAAGAATTAGCTCAATTTTCGATGACACGCTAAGTTCTTCGACTCCCATCAAAGAGCCGAACTCTGAAAATATGGTTATAAATCATAGCCGCAAAAATTCAACACCATCCAAACATTCACAATTCTTTTCGCCTCTCCGAGTTAGTAAATTCCCATTGTCTTTGGTTGCTAACAGACAACATATCAACTCTGTGCATAAACAAGATACTATTGTTCAGAGCTCTAACGGTGATAATCATACTCCACCGCACAGAAGAGTCTTTAATAGGCCAATTCTCGACTATTCAAACATCAGCTCAAATGTTTCAAACGGACAAACTAATCCGTCGATGGAGACAGTCATGCATGCCATGCTTCCTTCAACCATCTCCTCTCATAATGCATCATCGTATCAAACAATGCCTTTGGGCGCCTCAAATATGAACTTGATGAACACGATTCCCGTCCGATTGGGCGAAGCCAACAATTCCAGAACCGTTGACACGTTCGATTATTCTACAGCAAACTTATCAGGGAGACCCGACACTTCTGATATTACGGAAAATTTCACCTCTAATATGCTCGACAACACAGCAGACACTTCTTTTGACACGATCGAAGAAGTTGAGTCAGAAACAGAAGAAAAAGACAAAACAGCAGAACAGTCTCCACAAATGCTCGAAAACAAAAACGTCACTAATAATTTTACACAAGTTTTAGCATCGAATAAGGATGTACCGGCGACATCCATTTACAATACTGACAGGTTCAGCGACAGTCCAGTGGTGGATATGCAATTCAAGATTCCTTTCAGCGAACCTGATGAATCCATAATGTTTGATAAATTCAATCATTTAGGGAACAATGATTCAGGATTTGATCCATTACTCATGGAATACAACAATTTGATGTTCGGTGACAACAATGCCAACTCTACCAGCAGATGATTTTGCAAAAAAAAAATTAGGTTCATAATTTTCACATCTAATAATGTTTTCAATATAAAAGATCCAGCTTTTTTTGATGTTTACATAATTCTTACATACACATATATAAATTACATACACATAGATTTGTCTCGCAGTATGTATATCCAATTGCATTTAATAAAAATTATTACATTTTTGTCCACATCGATTTGGTAAATGCGTCAATTTGGTCAATTGAACTATTGATTTTTTCGAGATCTTTCAAGATTTCCTGTTTACGTTTTTTCATTAACTTGAAGCCTTCACTATTATTTATATCAAATTGAGTAACCAAATCACTACCAGGCTTTTCTTGAACATCCAACTCTGCATCCTCTATTGAACTCTTACCCTTAGTTTTCTCGTTTTTCTTTGTATCAGTCTTACTCTTAGCCTCGTTCAAAACTGAAGGATCAGCCTCGTTCATCATCATTCTTGTCGGGGAAATGCTCTCCATGTCAGAAGACAAGCTGGAGATAATATTTTCTTTCTTTGGCTGAGAATTTGTGCTAACTCCATTGCTACTTTTTGCAGGAGGGATTTCTAGATTGTCGTTTTCGTTTTCGAACTTGATCTTTGATTCAAATTCGTTCCAAATATTGTAAAACTCGTCAAATGAGTTTTCTGTAAGTTTTACCATATCTATCAATAGACCCAATTGCGATATTTTCAAGTTTTCTAGGTTTTCGACATAACTTTCAGAGAAGAAATCCAAGTTTTGTAATTTTGCAACTTCATCAATTATTTGTAAATCTTTGTACTGTCGTTCATTTTGCAAGGGCATTGCCCAAGAAGTTTTCAATTTATCGCCCTTTTTCAGTTTAACGTTTGAATTGGCAATATAGTCGTACGAGTAGGTATCATCGTCGTGATCCAAGTCATCTGTGGCCAAGTCTTTTGTATCGTAGTCATCTCCGTAGTAATAATCGTTGTCCATCTCACTTCCATTAATATTTCCATTTCCATTTCCATTTCCGTTATGATATCGGTTTGCAACCAGATTGGAAGTGGTGCCTCCTGCAATATATGACGATGTGTTGGTGGAGGACAATGTGGAGTTATAAGTAGATTGCCGAGTTGCCATAGGGAACTTAGAGATGGAGGGCGCATTGTTGTTGGTGGGACCATTGCTGTAATGTCGCAGCGAGGGATGCCCACTGCTGGACGGTACAGAGTGATCATTGAAGCTCACCTGTGTACTTTTCCTACTTTTGGAGCTCTTGTTTGATTGTATATGAGATAGGGGGTTTGGTCTGTAGAAATCGTCGTTCAAAAGAACCGCATTGTTCATGTGATTGTTGGCGGAGTTGTTGTTGCTATTATTTCGGTTAGTACCCCGACGGTGGATAGTGCTGACATGGCCTGCATTGTGGTTATTCAAGTTTGCGTTTGCGCTGGCTTGGTTGCTGTTGCTGTTGCTGTTGCTGTTCGCTTCATCGTCTGCGGAAGATAGATGTGAGTTGTTCAGGGAGGAACCGGAATCTGAGGCGGATTCTGTATCCAGGGCTTCCAAGTCTATGTTGGAGTCATCGTCATTGAGAGAGTCGTTTACACTCCGAGTTGTCATTCTGTGTTGAGAAGAGGGAGGAAGGAGAAAGAATCCTGGTGAATGGACCAGGAGAAGCCTTCTTGCGTTTGGTGTTTATTTGACGTAAGTGTTTGATCTATCTGAATTAGGCTACAGTGGGCTGCGCCCGTACTACCTACTATGCACGCACAGCCTACAATTTTTGTGTGCCGAAAAAAAATTGATGAGTAGAGATTAGAAACGAGCTAGATTATTAGACAAGTATTAGAATAGATAAAGTATATCAAACAGAACAAAACAGAAGGAAGAAAATAAATTAGATGGTTATAGATTTGAAGTTATAAACAAAGCTATTTTATTTAATCTTGGTTGAGTAAAGCATCTCTCTTTTCTGCCAATCTTGCAGATCTTCTCTCTCTAGCAGCCTTGTTTCTGGTTCTTCTAGCTTCAGCTTCTTCTTGCAAAGCCTTTTCTCTCAAAGCCTCAGCCTTAGCTTGAATAACGTGTTCGACAAGAGCTCTCTTGTGCTTGAAAGCGTTACCCTTGGCGGACTTGTATAAGGTGTGGTATAAGTGTCTGTCGATCTTACCGGCGGCTCTGTACTTGGCCAACAGTCTTCTCAAGACTCTCAATCTTCTCATCCACAAAACTTGGGTTGGCATTCTTGCGTTGGCGGTACCCTTTCTCTTACCGTAACCCATGTGTCTACCACCTCTCTTGGATTCAGCCAAGGCTCTGGCGTGAGCTCTGGAGTGGACGGTGGTTGGCTTCTTGACGATGGAGCCGTTCTTGTACAACTTTCTGATGGTTGCTCTGGAGTTAGCCTGAGCAAGTTCAGTAGTCTCAGCTGGATCTAACCAGATCTTTCTTTGACCGCAACCGAGAACGGAAGCAGCAAGTCTTTTTTGTAAACGAAGGTTAGCCCTGTAGAAAAAACGCAAAGGAGAAGTTTCTGTTAGTAATGTGTTCGTTGGAACGTGCCAAGTGCATCCTGGAGAGACCGAATGGAGATGTGGGGGGTGTCGGAGCCGCAGTGGCTGTCCTGCTGCAAGCATACATGGTGCTGTGTTTCTGCGTCTCGTGTGCCGATGCCGACACAAGTGCTGGATGCTCTTCTGTCTGGCAATCCACGCTCAGCACGCAGATGCACACCACACCACCCTGAAAGCTTTTTCGTTTGCCCCCAAAGAGTGCAGTAAAATTTTTCCTCTGGTCTTGTGTGCAAACTGCCACTCATTTTTTTCACCTCTCAGCCACCATTGCCGCCTCTCTCCTGGACTTCGGCCACACTTTTCTGCTGTATCGGTGCTGCATGTACATACATCTTTGAATACTTAGTCTGTTGAACTGAACAAGTCGTAAACGAGGCAGAGAAGACACACAATCAAACAGCAGCAGAACAGGCCAGAAACAGAGCACAAGTAGTATAGCTGAAATGAAACGCAATGAGACGGCCTTCCACACTGTAGCAGCAGCGAAAAAAAAAGCTCAGCGGCCCCAGCGAGCAGGGCCTGGAGGGCACTCCCACTGCGGCAAGCAGGGCATACGGAGATTGGAGGGCGCCGGCGGCGGGGCAACGAGCAGTGGGGGCCACAGGGTGGAGGCAGGAGGCGGCGCGGGCGGGGGCTCTAGCTAGCGTGTGACTGCGTTTTGCGCGTGCGCAGAGGGTGCAGGCGCGTGCAGCAGTGCTAGTACCCCGCGCACCGCACACAAGGGGCGCACGGCGTATTTTGGGCCGATCGACGCAAAACATCACGTGACACAAGACACGGGAGTGAGAAAGGCAGGAGGGAGACGGCTTCCGCATCCGGACACAGGAAAACGATTTTCATGAAGCAATTTTTTTTTTCTGCGTTTTTTCTTTGTTGCAGGACCAAGGAAGACAGGAAAACCGGAACATAGCGGCAGACTCTACACACACACACACATACACCGACACACAATGGCACACTCCCTCCGGTCGAAGTCGAAGCTTAAGTCGAAGAAGACAAAGACGTCCAACCCGGACTCGGACTACTTCAAGGCCGCCCACGAGAGAACCGAGCGGTTGGCGCTCAAGCTGAAGGAGAACACGGCAAAGCAGGCCGCCGCCGGCGCAGCGGCTGGCGCCAGCAAGGACGACTCGAAGATGGACGCGGACGAGGAGCCGGCCAAGGTGAACACCCACGGGTGGAGAAAGTCGAGAGCCGCCAACTACAAGAAGAAGAAGGCGTCCAAGAAAAACAAGTCTCTCAAGTTCTAGGCTCTGGCTCAGCTCTGGACCAGCCGCCCGTTCGCCGCAACCCCTCTTTTGCTACAGCTTTCCTTTGCATACCACGTTTGTATCTATATTCTGTCTATATAGCCACCCTCCAAACCCCCGCCCCGTTCGATATCTCTAGAGCATTATCTTCCTTCCGTTACGTAAGCGGCGGCGCCGCCCTTCGGACCTGCACAGCCTGGTTCTCCCCTTTTTATCAGCTCCGCCTGCCAGACCAATGCCACCGGCGGCTGTCCGTGAAGCTGCACCTAGCCGGACCGACACGCCTGCTTCTTGAGGAACGCTGTGGGGTCGGAGCGCCCCGCCGGAGTGCACCGAGTCGATGCAGCAGCGTCCAACCAACACAGAACACCTCCCCCGGACAGCCACCGTGGAACCGCAATGCAAATCCCTGCATTGGCCTCCGCACTGTCCAGGTCCCTGACCCATTCGGACCGGCAGCCTCCACCAGCAGACCCGTCGTTGCAGCTCGGTTTCCATGACCGCCGCACACTCTACACAGACAGAAGCACCGTGCAGTCTTCCAGGACAGCAGGGCAGAAAGGGGCGGCCGGGTCCGACGCACTTGTCGACCCGTTCGACGTCGTGCTCTTCTCCGAGACGTCCGCTGATCCGCTCGCTAGCACCCTGCTCGACAACTACGGACCCACCTCTTCGATTGTCTCCTACTCAGATGGCATCATTCTGGTCGAAAAGGGGAATGCCATCGACTGCATCCTCAAGTTTTACGATTACGACACACTCGAGCTGAAAATTCTCGTCAGAATCTTCAAAGCAAGACGCATCATCCACATCGAAGTCGTCTCCCACCTGATACTCTTCCTCACCGATGATCGACAGCTCATTCTTTTTGATCCTGTCTCGTGCACTCTGTTGTCATCATTACATTTATCTTACCATTTCACAGCTTTCAAACAGGTAATCAATTTAGATGACAGCCGAACGGACAAAAAGTTGGCACTCTCTTTATACGCTTCCTCCAGTTGTTGCCAACTGGTTCAGATAGATTTCTCTCTTGGAAAATTGTCTCTGCTATCCGCGTTGATGTACCTCCCCTTTTGGCCTACTTCCTTTCTATCAATTGAACACACATTTTTCTATTTTTTCAGTTCTTCGGGCGATTACCAAATATTTTCTATCGGCGCTGACTTTAACGAATTGGTATCTTTCCCCGCTTCCAGGTCTCCGTTGTTGATCGACCCCAAGTATGGGAAACTGCAAGATATTTATGCACTCAGCGCTCCAAACTTATTCATCTTCTTGCAAGAGAATGGCTGGTCAATATACCAGTATCAACAGCCCGATTTGGTTGGGGAAAATAAATCCAAAAAGGTCTCCAATTCACTAAATAACTTGCAGTTGGTGATATCTTCGCCATTGTCGTCCCCTTACGAAAAGATAGTGATAATTGAGAATCAGTCGTTTATTCTTATGAGAGATTGCAATACAACCTTGATAACAGACAATCACATACAGCTAGTCGAATCTAAAGCAACGCTATTAGACATATTCCCCGACCGCAGATCTTCCAGCCTATTGGGATTATGCAGTGACATTGATGAAAACAAATCTTTGAATACGCTAACCAAAGATTGTTTGCGTTGGAAAGAAGTAACAACTTCGCTGCATCAAAAATCAGATACCTGCTGTAAAACACTCTACAGAAATAACGATTTCGTCATAAGCAGTACAAACGACAGGATCATTTTGCAAAATATTGAAGGAAAAGAGGTTGGAACTTTATTTGATTTATTTCATAACGCTATCCAGGTCATAGACCTAAATCTAGTTCTAGGCCTTGGAAAAACACTCAAGTATTTCCTCGTTTTTGATGCTTTTTTAAATTTTCAACTTTTAGTACTAGATGATGCCATTGATCTCCTTCTGAAAACAGTTAAAATTGCACCCTTACAAGATAAATCGGCTTGCATTTCGCTCGTGTACTACTATGAGGACCAAAAGTTGTTAGAATTCAGCAGTGCATCAAAAAAATCGGTTTTTGTGAACCTTGATGACCTATTGGTGTTTGTTGCCAATTCCAAATCAAAGAACTCCAGATTGATAATATTCGACTCAACTGAAAACTGCTACTTCTTCAATAGCGATTCTGCAAGATATGAAGATCTGAAAAAAGTTCCCATTGATCAGGCAATGAAGAACAGTAACTTGTTCGTGGATAACTCATGGATAGGAATTAGAGATAACAGTCAGCTGGCAGTATATCGAATTAAAGATAATCAGTATTTTAAATATCCTCAGCTTTATTTACTTTATACCCTTGTGGTGGGAGACTCAGATCAGAAATTATTTGAAAATTTAAGAAAGCAGAACAGCAATTTGATAAGGTTTGTTGAAAGGGTGGCTCAATACTGTGTTGCCAACAACAGCGCATTAATTGAAGCTTCAATCAATACTATTTACGGAATTCTTGTTCAGGACCATGAAATGATAAAACCATTATTCGAACAATGCAATTTGAGTAAGGATGATACATTAGTAAATACGGTTGTTATGGTCCTCTGCATTTCTTTGGATAGTACCCTAGTCGAAGGCGAAGTTTTGAACAAGCTTTTCATGAACATTGTCAGTTATGCATTACTGATTCACGAGCGAACTTGTGAAATATGTATTGATGTGTTAAGCAAGTTGAACTTAGAAAACCTTCGTATTACCGAAGAGCAACATGGTGACGATACCTTTGACCTTATTGAGTTTTTCAACGAATTTCTTTACGTGAGATCTACTCTTTTCAATGATCGAAAGAAAAGAAACTTTAAAAATTTTCAGAAGTGCAATGATTTTCTCAATTCAAACCTAGAGCAAAATGTAGTGGAGTTCTCCATCATTATTTTTACCATCATTGAAAGCGAAGCGTACGATTTAGAGAGCAAGAAGTGTGTCCTTGACTACATTGTATACGCTCTCATTGAGAAAAAGGACAGCATAGAATGTAGTGGAAGCTGTAACACTATGGTGTATTTATTGGTTAACTCACTATTTTCATTCATGTCGAGCACTAAAACCAAATTTAACAAAGCTTTGAAAAATGATGATACATTCTGGGAGTCCTTGAACCTACTTTTCAACGTATTGACGGCAAATTTTGGTTATTTGATTGCCGCAGAGTATCAGGAAGATTGGAAAAAAAGTGTGTATAACGACGGCAAAAACATATGCGTGTTTGTGGCATTAGATATTCTTGGCTATATTGGGATTGTTTTCAGCAAGAACGAAGCTGGCGACTGGTATATGAGGCCATCCAAATGTTCACGCTTGAAGTTACCAAGGTTGGATAACGAAATAGGAAATGAAAATATTGATACACTCCAAATTAGTGAAATAATGAAGCAAAATGAGACTGACAAGGGTGTGATGCTACAGTTCAAAGATCCCATTCTTTTCAGCGACTCAAAAAGAATGGCTCTTGTAAACATGAGCAGGTTGAGCATTCAATTGTGGAACCTAGAGAGTGATACGTTCCGAGATAACATGAGTATCGAAGTATTAAAGGACGATTCGATCCCTCTAAAAATCCCTGATTTCAATATGCTCATGTTCCAGTATATTTGGAAGTTTTTTTCTCACGAAAACGTCCAAAAAACTGAAAAAGAAGGGGATCATGACAGCCTCACAACTTTTGTTGAAAGATTCCACCACGAAATTGTCGATAAGATTACTCCGACGATATCTCCGTTAACATCTCCGAAACGCAAAACGCAACCACCGCTTCTTGGATACACCTACTCCCAGCTGGCCACCATTTACGAGCCATACGGTGAACACCAATTCGGTTTCTTGCTGGAAAGTTACCTCAAGGTATTTCCTATGCTGAAGGCCTCTGACATCAGCATCGCCGTCATCGAGAGTAACAGCTCCTCCGTCCAGTTGCAACTCACTCTCCGAGGACAAGCCATCTTTGTCTTCACATCCCACTTCTCCGCGTCAGAAGCCATTACGTAATAGGCTGCCCCGGTTCTTTTAGATAGTTGTACGCGGCGGGGCGGAAAGGTTTGAAAATAAGGCGGCCTACTGTTAGAATAGGGAAATCAGCTGGTGTTTGGGCAGGGACGGGGTTTTTTGCAGCTTGTTGTAATCCATTGAAGGCGATATTTGGCATTTTGTAACTCCCAAGAGAAGTTTTTGTAGATATAAACTAAGATACGAAATTTATTTGTTAACTTGTGGACAAAGCAGAGGTGCATGGTTTGTCAAGCAAGCGCAAAATAGGTTTAGAATCGAGTGACAATGACCAAGATTGTTCTTCTCCGTATCGGAGATACTGGGGAGCCAATCGTTCCCAACTTGTCAGGGGGCGTTTTGACTTTCCCAGCCTGTCCTCCAGACTTGAATGGCCCAGTAGGAGAACCTCTTTTCGTTTTGAGATTCTATATTGTATCAGGTTCCAAAATCTGCAACAACGGTAAGATATGGACAAACGTTGTGTCCGGTGCCAAAGAGAAGTTTAACAGAGCGTCGTTCACTCCTACTGAAATCAGTACTTCCATTTATAGAGATGTCATGGTAGACATTTCTATCTATCAACCGGGAGCCTACTCTTACTATATCACATACAATGATTTGAGCGATGATGAGTTGGAGATTGACAAGAAGTCCTGCTCTTATCACTTCGTTGTTCCACCTTCATTATTCATTAACGGGCAATACTTAACTTTCAACTCAGTCACACTGCAATCGGTTTGTTCCAAGTGGGTTGGTACTGATTTTGAGAAGGATTGGATTCCGTTGTTCGACGACATCAAAAACAAAGGTTATAACATGATTCACTTTACTCCATTGCAGAAACGTGGCGAGTCGAATTCTCCATACTCTATCTATGACCAACTTGAGTTTGATGGGGCAATTTTCCCCGGAGGTGAAGCAGATGTTAGCCGAATGGTAAAAATCTTAGAAAAAGACTATGGGATTCTATCTATGACAGATATAGTTTTCAACCATACTGCAAACAACTCTGTCTGGATCAGAGATCATCCTGATGTTGGTTACAACGAAGAGACTGCTCCTCATTTAGTAGCTGCGATGGAACTAGATTCATTACTCCTTCACTTCAGTGAAAACATGAGGCAACATGGTTATGATACTATTATAAGAGATGAGGCAGCGCTAGCCAGGATTTTGGATGGTATCAAAATTCACGTGTTGGGGCAATTGAAGCTATGGCAATTTTACATTGTCAATACCAATGAGCATATTTTGAAACTTGAAGATTATTGGAGGAACGAGGTTGACAAACTTCCTGAAAAAATTGACGTACCAGCTAATGTCAGTTCCGACTTACAAAAATTGGCAAGCTTCACGGTCGAAAAATGCAAGGTCAAAGATTTTAATATTATGGGACACAGATATGATAACAAACTTGACATTGCAAAGTTTTCAAATCTTTTATCTAACCTTTATGGTGCTGAAAGTGATTTCAATTCAGTAATAAAAGAGAATGCTCTCAAAATTTTAGATGAAATCAATCTACCTTTATATCATACTTACGACACTGACAATAACACAATTTGTTCTCAATTATACAACAGAATTAAATACTTAAGATTGGATGACCATGGACCTAAATTAGGTGAAGTGACTATAGAAAACCCATTGATCGAGCCTTATTTTACCAGATTTGTTGATGCAAATGGTAAACGCTGGTCCTTAGCTAACAACGGCTGGATATGGGGTGGAAACCCATTGGTAGATTTTGCCTCAAATCAATTGAAATCCTATTTACTTAGAGAGGTTATTGTTTGGGGCGATTGCGTTAAGTTAAGGTATGGATCAAAACCTGAAGACTCTCCGTATTTGTGGCAGAGGATGATTTCTTATTCAAAACAGTCTGCTAAATTATTTGATGGCTTTAGAATTGATAACTGCCATTCAACACCAATACATGTAGGCACTGCGATGTTAGATGCCGCCAGGAGTGTTAACCCAAATTTGTATGTGGTTGCGGAATTGTTCACCGGAAGTGAAGAGTACGACATTTTGTATGTTCAGGAGCTTGGTATCTCGTCTTTGATCAGGGAAGCAATGCAGGCGCCTTCTGTTGCTGAGCTTTCAAGGTTGTGTCATAAACATGGTGGGCGTCCAATTGGCTCGTTTAGATGGTTACCATTGGATTGCATTTCATACCCTGCTCATCCCATGGAATACGAAAAGCGATGCCTTGAAGATATTCAATGCAAGTCTGAAATTCCTATTCCCCAACTAGTTACTTCATTGGAACCTCACGCCCTTTTTATGGATTGTACACATGATAACGAGATGCCGGCTCAGAAAAGAACGGTGGAGGATACTTTACCAACTGCTGCATTAGTTTCTTTTTGCTCCTGTGCTAATGGTACTACAATGGGTTTTGATGAGGGATATCCGGAATTGCTTAATATCGTCAACGAGAAAAGGAAATATACATATGGCGCAAATATGGGTATCTCGAAAGTAAAGAAACTGCTAAGTGATATTAGGCATGAAATTGCCAACCAGAGTGTGGATGATATTGAAAAAAACGAAATGTACGTTCATCTTGAAAATGAGTTCATAACGATTCATAGATTGAATGCAAAAACTGGCCGTGGATATTTATTAGTGGCACGTACTAAATTTTACCAGGATGGTGATCAAAACTTGACTCCTATAGTTTTACATGGAGTAAAAGCAAAACCTCAATTCTCCTACGCATTCGTTAACAAGCAAGATTCTACAAGTGAAGAAAAAGATGATGGCTTCATTCATCCTTTAAAGACAGAGCTTGTAGAATTAGAACAATTGAGCTGCAGTTTTGATTACGACTCGTTGTCGACCACAATATCAGTTCCAGGGTTCTTCCCACAAGGCTCAATTGCAGTTGTCGCCACAGAGACTATTGGATGCAACGAAGAACTCGATGATTATGTTAGAACTGGTGCAATTGAAGCAGCAAAGAATTTGACTTTGGTTGATATTAATGCAATCATGTATAGATGTGATGCAGAAGAGAGAGACGCAACTAACGGTCAATCAGGCGTCTATTCGATTCCGAATTATGGTAATCTGGTTTATGCTGGTATTCAAGGGTGGATATCAATTTTGAGGACAGTAATCGAAAGAAACGATCTAGCTCACCCTCTAGCAGATCATTTGAGACAAGGTAAGTGGGCTTTGGACTATGTTACAAATCGGCTAAGGCCTTATGAAAGCAAAAATAACTCAATTCATGAGTTTAGAGTTTGGCTAGAGTCTAGATTTTCTCGTATAAAGGATGCACCAAACTTTTTGATTCCAAGATTTTTTGCATTAATTGTTGGTGTTGCTTATGAAGCTTTACGTTTTACGGCATTGAAACATATGACCAAGTCAATTCAGCATTCAACTGTTTTTATTCAAAGCTTGTCCATGGTTTCCGTTGAAATGGTGGGCTTGATGAACACAGCTTCAATCCATCCTTTCAAAAAAATGCCATCTCTAGCTGCCGGTTTACCACATTTTAGTTATGATTTTATGAGATGCTGGGGTAGAGATGTTTTCATTTCTTCAAGAGGTTTATTACTTTCAACAGGGAGATATGACGTTGCTAGAGATCATATTTTATGCTTTGCCAAAACTTTGAAACACGGTTTAATTCCAAATTTATTGGGATCAGGTAAGGATCCTAGGTATAATGCCAGGGATGCTGCATGGTTTTTCTTACAATTTGTCCAGGACTACATTCATTTAGTGCCAAAAGGAGAAGACATTTTACAAGAAAAAGTGAAAAGAAGGTTTCCGTTAGACGATACTTACATCCCGTACGATGATGAAAAGGCCTTCAGTGTTGAGTCCACGCTTGAGGATATTATTTATGAAATTCTGAGTAGACATGCGAAAGGAATCAAGTTTCGGGAAGCTAATGCGGGCACTCAAATAGACTCACAGATGAAGGATGAAGGATTCAATATTGATATATACGTTGATTGGGAAAATGGTTTAGTATTCGGCGGAAATGAATGGAATTGTGGAACGTGGATGGATAAAATGGGGGAGTCTGTTCGTGCGGGTAATAAAGGATACCCAGGGACACCTAGAAATGGTGCTGCTATTGAAATAAATGGACTACTAAAAAGTGCGATAAGATTTGTTATCGAACTCCATCAAAAGAATTTGTTCAAGTATGATTCTGTTGTTAATCAACATGGAGACAAGATCACTTTCAAACAATGGGATAGCTTGCTGATGGATAACTTTGAAAAATGTTTTTATGTCCCAGAAAACGAGGAAGAAGACGGAAATTACATTATCAATTCGAAGATTGTTCACAGAAGAGGAATCTACAAGGATTTGTTTAGAAGTACCAAGGAATATGAAGACTATCAGTTGAGAGGAAATTTCCCAATTGCTTATAATGTTGCGCCAGAACTTTTCACGAAAAGCCATGCTTTGTCTGCAATCATTGTAACAGATCAAATTTTGAGAGGTCCTTTGGGGATCAGGACTTTAGATCCTTCTGATCTGGAATACCGACCATACTATCACAACAGTGTTGATAACGATGATTTTGCTACTGCCAAAGGTAGAAATTATCACCAAGGTCCCGAATGGGTTTGGCTTATTGGTTACTTCCTTAGGGCTTTTGCGAAACTCCATTTTCAGGAGATTGATAGATGCAACATCGACAGATGTGTCCCTAGTGCTTACTTACAACAATTACTATGGAAGAGGATGACAGAGCATAAAAAACATTTTTGGCATAGTGAATGGGCTGGTTTGACGGAGCTTACCAACAAGGATGGCGATATTTGTAATGATTCGAGTCCTACTCAAGCTTGGAGTGCAGCATGTCTACTAGATATTTATTTAGATGCCTGGTCTGAGTACGGAATGTAATGATACTACATAGTAGAATAGTTTAGATATTTTTAGCATTGTTTTATAACTTTGGATTTTCAACCGTACCCTATACAAACAGCCCGGTGAAAGGGTCGAAGGGAGGGACAGCCGGAAAATGAACAAAAAGCCAAAAATGCCCTTTTTGTCGGTTCGATGTTTATTTTTGCTCTCCCCTTTTCCCATGAGCTCTCATGTTTGCTCTTTTATTTGAGCCATCTTAATTGTTTACTTCCTCCTTGAATAAGATCCATAGATTGTAGATCAACTGTCAGTTAGTATCGTCATCGTTGCTAGTAATATTTGCAGTAAATCGTGAAGTGAAGAAGGAATAATAACTGAAGATGAAAGTAAGCAGTTTGTTAAAAGCACTTTTTGTGATGGCCGCAATGGAGACAAGGTTCGGGGCCTTTGCCAATAATGTGGATGTGGAACAAAATTCACAAGAAAGTGAACATGTAATTGGTCACGATAGTCTTAATAACAAGGAGAACATTCTAAACATTCAAGATGATTTTTCTGTCTATGAAAACTTTCAGATCTTGACTCAAGAAAAGACTGTTTACGTGACTTTAAGCCCTACTACAATATATGTTACAGTAACCAAAACTGTCGGAACCACCACCACAGTTTATCCAAACACACATATTCCGATAGTTTTGAACTCACCTGTAGTTTCTACCGAAGCACCAACTCCAACAAAGAAGATTGTAAGTAGCTCTGTTTTTGTTGTCACGACAGAAACAGCAGTTGTAACTTCATTAACAACCACTACTGCTATTCAAGTTCCTCCAACTGTTTCTCCAACTACTACTACTGCTCCAACTAGTACCGATAAGGAAGAACCAGTTCCTTCGAATGATTTCGCCACCACCAGGGGTGAATTGGATATGATTTTGGGCGACCGTCAGAAATACATGGAATTGCTTAACAATACTACAACAGCCGCCGAAGCTGTGAAAACTGTTGAATCTCCAGTTCATGAAAGTTCTGCTCCGGTCTACGGTTCAGTATTTTCCGTTTTATCACAAAAAGAACCCGAATCTACTACTGAGTATGTTCCAGTATCTACACCTGTCTTGACAACCCCGCTAACTTCAGCAGTGCCACCGTTATCAACTGAGCCATTTTCAACTGAAATTTCATCCGCCCCCGCATCCGCATCATTAATCCCAACCTCATCATCTGTGGCCTTGCCATCAGCTTCATCAGCTTCTGCATCGACATCAACCTCATCCTCCCATTTTCCAGTAAAAAGCTCACTTGTTAACCGCAATGTCACAGGCCCTACTACTTCTGCTGACACAAATCAACAGAATGCAACAGGTTTGGAACAACTTTTGAAGAACTTCAGTCCTTACACGGACCTTCCTTCTGCCGACTACGAATTTTCTAACGGAGGCAGCGGCATCAAGGCCTTCACGGTCTTACAGGGTATCGTGACCGTAATGGCTGCACTCGTGGGTGCCACAATGTAGGAGTTATAGCAGTTATACTTCTCTAGAAAAAATGGTGTAATTAATTAGTAACAAATGTCATGAGAACCGACCGGTCGCTTACGTCAGCGGTCTTTTTTTGGTTTCGGCGGGGGACGTCGAGAAGGGAAGGGAACAAGCAGGACGGCCGAGTGACTTTGACTACGCCTGATAGGGGAAAGGGGTAGAGATGAGAAGGAAGACGGCTGGAGCGGAGCCAAAGAGAAGAAAGGCGAAGGGTCGAGTACTGAAGAACAACAGCTGAACTAGACAACGACAGCATGGTTGAGGTCAAAAGAACAGTCAGATTTACCACGGTACAACATGTGCTAAAGGATATTCCTGCTGTGCAGGAAGGTTTCCCTATGAGAGAATGGAGTATTTCTGTTTCTTTGGTTAACGACAAGGGTGTGGAAGTTCCTGCGACCATATTTGACAAAGTCACCTATTCATTGCATCCGACCTTTGCAAATCCTGTGAGGTCTTTCAAGAAGCCACCATTCACCATCCAGGAGCAAGGTTGGGGTGGATTTGACATTCCTATTACATTGACCTTGATTGAAAAGGGAGGCGACAAGAAAATAAATCACGATTTGAATTTCTACAAGGAGAAATACGTGATTGACAAGCAGATTGTCATCAACACGACGAAGCCTAATCTGTTGAAAGAGTTGGCCAAGTCTGGAAGCGTGCCTAGTGCAGGTGCTGAAGTTACCAATGGGTCTGCTGACAGCGCTGCAGCTGCAGCACCAGCAACTGCTGTTGCCAGCACAGGTGTCAGTACAGGTGCTACCCCAGGTGCAGTCAGTGCTGAGAAGCGTAAGGGAGCTGCCGGAGCAGCTGCATCCGAGCCAAAGAATGTGAAAAGGGCCAAGACAACTGCTAACAAGGGAGGCGTAGATTTGGAGAAAATGGCCGACCTTTTAACGAAGCTGAAGGAGGACGACCTTTTGGGCGTGGTGCAAATGATTAATGATAACAGAACCCCTGAAATGAACATCAAGAATGACGTCGACAACGGCGAGTTCACGATGGACATGTATACACTACCTGACACCTTGTTGAAGAGTTTGTGGGATTACGTGAAAAAGCGTGCTGAATAGACAATATCTATGTGAACGAAAAAAAGTATTGACATTCATTTCCTCTTCCTCTTCAAGGCTGTATTTTTATCGAACTCAAGGAAACTTCTTTCTTCATTATCGACTCAACGGTGTGTAGTAATAATAATATATACCTCTATATTTAATAATATCAGAAGGAAAAATAAATTTAGTAAAAAAGGAAAACTTAAAACTAGAGTGATGTGCCAACACCTAACTACAGCACATGATGCTTCCTACACGGACCATATTTTGATTGTTTCGTCCCTACTTGCGGTGGCAACGCCTAGCCCATCTGGAGAGACACGAACCTTGCTCACCACTCCGCTGTGGCCATTCAATGCACCGACAATATCACCTGTTACTATGTCCCATACAAAGACACTGCTGGACTCCGCATATGATGCCAGCATTAACCTGCCGCTTTTGGTGAAATCCAGGGATAGCACACCTGGGTTGTCAATAGATGCTTGAATATTACTGTGCAAGGATCTGGCGGAGGTTGACTTTTGGTCTTGGCTATCGAAGTTGACTGACGTCGCACTATTCATGTTGTGATTCACGTATGCAGGCACCGTGGATTGTAACCCGTTGAGGCTGATGTATCGACGAACCTTATCTATCCCGTAGGTTGACAACTCTCCGTCGCATCTTATATCGAAAAACTTGATTGTGCCGTCGTCACACCCACAAGTGAAGCAGTTACCGTCAGGGAAGAACTCGATCTCGCTGGAGTCGTATCTGGCATTCACTAGATATTTCCGACTAGCCAAAGGGGCTCTCGTATCCCAAAGCATTGCAAGCCTATCCGACGAAGAGGTCACAAATAGATTCGGATTGGTGTTGTTTCCGTCGTTTTTGTTGACCCCCAGCGAGAGTACGTCACCTAAATGCCCATAAAAATGACGAACATACCCACCTTTGGAAGTATCCCATAGTATACAGCTTTTATCACCGGAAGAAGTAATCAGTTGTGTTGAAGATTTGTGTAGGAAGGACAAGTCTGAAATGTACTCCTTATGATCCCTCAATATCGATAGAAGAGCAGTACTCCTATTTTCGTTGTCAATATCTGTACCTAATTTGTAGACAATGCAAGTATTGTCCAACCCACCGGTTGCAACAAACTGCCCGTTATGACTGACATCACATCCCATTATATACGGATCATCGAGTTCGACAAGGTTGTTCTTCAACCCTCTGACTGCGTCCCAGACCAGCAAATAGCCGTCTTGGGACGAACTCACCAGGTGACTGCTATCCGGGTACCAGGCGCAGCTCGACACTTTGTCAAAATGTCCCTTGAGGGTCTTGTAATTGTTGAGGTTGTAACTATTATTGATGGGCTTTTTACAATTATTTGACATGGACGTCAGTGTAGCATCCTGATTCACCTGTTTGATCTTCTTCAGTTGCAAAGCAAGTTGCTGGGATGCCGTATGTGCAACATTCACTTTATTGTTTAGAGTCTTTGAGAGCTCATATTGGTTCTGCAACGCCACCTCGTTGTTCATGAGTGTATGCCGTGGTATACGATATGCTTCTCTAGATACCTGCTCTAGCCAGTCCGACGTGGATGCTTACAACTGCTTGGAAAAGACACAACTCCACTGTGACTAAAACAGACGATCACCTCCACAAGTGCGTCTCTCCGTCTCTCCAGCATTCAATCGCAAAAGAAGAATGAGTAACAAGTTGCAACCACCCACATCCCAACCGCCACCTTCCCACGCCCTATACAATCCACGTTTGTCTCAACAATGCACGCACATGTGCAGACGTATTCTTCTGCTAAATTTACCTCACACACATTTCCATTTCGAATAGCCTGCTGCAACCTCCCAAATCCCATTCCGACTTCACTCCGCCGCATACCTCCTTCCGAGTCTTTCTACGTTGCCACACATACATTTAGCACCGTGTCACCGCTACCAGCATGTTCTCTTGGGTCAGAAACACGCCAATATCTTAACATGAAACATCTCTGAAACAGCACCGCCCTCTTCTAGTCGGAAACATGTCGCATTCGCGACACGATAGCGTGTCGCATGGCATCATTAACGCTATCGGGTTATCGTCTCCATTCTATTCCCATTTTATATTTATGTACAAACAGTTTAGCTAGAGAGGACTGCGAGGTCCTACACCCATAGGTCGAGCTCTTGCACACCCAAATCTCCCGTCAGCAACGCTGCTTCCTGTTTGGAAGCACCAGGCTCATCACCTATCTCCTCGAAGCGGGGGAAGTAGGGGACCATGGCATGCACGTGACTCAAGTAGACGTTGTTGTATATTTTCCAGTAGCTCTCTCTAACCTTGCGTGCAGGATGGAAAAGCCCTGTCCAAATGTAGTCCAGCAGGATTCCGCAGCCGAGCACGATGTTTAAGCTCTCGATCGACTCGAACACCTGCGATATCACATGCGGAGAGGTCTCAAACACGTTGGGCCAGATCAAGTCCAAGAAGTTCACAAAGGCATCCTCGTAGCCTTGGCCAAAGCTACCCAAGGCCATGTGTTTCACGACGTTGGACGCAATCTGCCTATGCACGAGGTCCCTGTCGGTCAAGGCGTCCAATAGCAGCGGTGTGGTGGCGTATATGTAGTCTGACCCAAGCTCGCCGATATACTCGAACATGAACCCGATGGCTTTCAACACACCATTCTGCACGTTTTTGTCTGGATATCTATACTCATTCATCAAGGCAGGAAGGACAGAAAACGGAAGACAGACTTCGGCAACAATACCAATGGCAACAGCGGTACAGACACGCAACTGACGTTCTTGCACCCTGAAGTTGTTCAAGAGCGTCACTAAAACGTCTGCAGGTCCGATTGCCTTTGCAATCAATCCAAAAGTCTTATTGGCACTTTTACGGATGCTCTTCCTATAAGCCTTTAGCATTTCAAGTAGTTCAAATGAGATTCTCATCCACTCCCGGTGACTGATGTAATCTTTGGCCCGATCTGCAATGTCACCTATCAAGGGAATGGCCATCTCTTGAACCTTTTCGTGCCTATTTCTCAAGATGGGTGTTAAGGTTGAAAGAATCTGAGAGATCGAAGGATTCAAGGAGTCGACCGATTTGATCGCTAGTATCACACTTCTCAATGCGCAAAGAATGGAACCTAGAACGTTAGGGTAGACCTCTCCCAAACTTTCGTACAAAATCGTGCACAACCTAATCAAGAGGTCCTCTTCCTCACACACTTTCAGAACATCAACAATCTTGGAGATTAGATCAGCCGCTTGTTCTCGAACTTCAGCGTCTTTATTCTTCAACCTGTACAAAATGGCACTAACGATTGACATGATGTGAGGCTTCACACGGATTCCAAGGTTGTTCAAGATATTTCCAAATCCGTTCAAAATTATGCTATTAGTTTGCTTGTTTTCCAAATGTTGATGTTGAAAGCAATACAGAAGTCCATCCAAAAGCCTATTGACGGTTTTGTCATCCAAGTCGAAACAACCAAGTGAAGTAAGCACCTTTTCTGACGCTTCCAAACTCATCTTTCTGAAAGGCTCTGACTCATCTTTTAGTGAGGGCAAAACGGCCAGTATGACTTCCAAAGTACCAATCTTTAAAGATAAAGCATAGCATGCGTTGATGCACAGATCAGTAATCTTTTTGTCTAATGCAACCCTTCTAGACCAGAAATTTTTAAAAAATGATTCTGAAATATTGCTTTTCAAAATCAACTCATTATCAATTGTTTTCAACGCACATATTTTCTCGATTGTGATTAGTACTGCTCTTTTCATTTCATCATCTGATGTAGTAGACTCTCTTCTAACTATTTTAAGTAGCTCATAGGAATAGAAGTTTGCGTTTTCTTCACCCATTAATGGAATCAAGTTGCCTAGACCTTTGATGAACTGAGCCAAAGCTTTACCACGGTGGTTCTTCAACCCTCTCCATAGAGGTTCAATCATGACTTCAAAAGACTCGTACCCATAAGGTGCAGATGCTTCTGCTAGAGAGCTCACTGTGGCGGCTGTGATTGTTCTCACGTTTAACATTTCATCATCGAGGTTTTTGGATAAACACTGAATCAATTGGTTCAAGTATGGTAAAATTCCTGAACCTATCATTATAGCGATTTGCTGGATTATTTTAGTACCTGTATGCCTGATAAGCCAACTTTTCTTTGACCGGCAAACCGCTCTCAAAAATGGAATGAGTGCAGATATACCCAAAGAATTTGCCACAACGGCAAAAGCTCTACTTACCAAAGCCCTAGCGTATTCGTCGCTATTGTCCAGATCTGGACGCAAGATTGTGATCATTGTGAGCAAGCCTACTGCTTTGGACAATTTGGAGATAACGTCTCTACCTTCTAGTCTAGCAATTTTATTTTCGTCTGTGAGTAATGGCATAATAACAATCAATATCTTTTCCGCATAGGGCTTGATCGAATCTTCCAACTTGAAAAGAACCCTTCCAATAACCTTTACAAGAAGATGTCTGCCCTGCTCATCTAGTGCCGGATCACTCATTAGCGGCAAAATTATACTGAAGATGATGTCTGGGCCAAACAATTTTGCATTATCGGTTAAGTTACGGAGAGCTGATTTTCTTGAGGCGCTAGAACAGTTTTTAATCTTCAATATCAACTTCATGCATCTCAATTCAAGCTGTTCGTGGTTCGATAAGGATCCTTGTTTGCTGTTTTTGGCTGCAATTAATTTGTGGAATACCTTCATGTCAAGCTCACTGAAATACTGCAAATCCTTAAGATCTGGTATTTCGTAGATTTGTTTACGGTCTAAGTTCTCCCTCCCCACCACCTCTTTCGACACTGTCGCAAGTAAGGCATTGTGCGGAGCGGCAAAGGATTCAAATCTGGAGAAGTCTGGAGGCAGGTTATTCAAAGGCTTGTAGTCCGCCGGAAACGGGACAACAGAAAAACCCGATGGCAACAGCTTATCCAAGTTTTGAGTTGTCAAGGGTATACCCATTACCACCGGACAGCTTGGTCCTTTGGTTATCGTCTCTCTGGACACATGCTTGAGCTGCTTCTTGTCTTTTTCCTTTTCATCGGCAACTTTTCCGTTCTCTTCACTTTCCAACCTCCTCTTTCTACCCCTTCTCTCCGTCCTAGGCGGCGTCTTGTTTCCGTTCTCGTCAGCGGCAGAATCTGCTTCTATCTCTCTCTTTCTTCTCCGTTCCTCCCTTGTCGGCGTTCTGTCTCTTTTGTGATAATCTACCAACACCACGTTCTGATTTTCAGTCTCCACCATCTCTCTTTTGTGGTGCACGACGTCACTTTCGGGCGTCTTGCTGTTGTCTGTTCGGGCCATTTTCTCTTGGATAAGCTCAAACTTCCGCTTTTTGCGTCGTTTTGCAGTGTTGTTGCTGCTGCTATTTCCATTCTTAATCCGCCCTGCTCCTATTTCATACTCTGCTGCCGATTCCGCCTCCTCTGTGATCCCATCTACTATGTCCTTGGGCACCGAATAGGCGCCCACAAGCTGTGTTTTCTCAGACTCCTTGCTTGTCATTGTTCCCACAACGTTTTCTTCTTTTGTTTTAGACTTGCTTCTATTCTGTGTCATGGAATAACCCTACTTTTGGGTCTCTCTGTCATCCTCTTCTCTTTCATGTCGGGCCTTTGCTTCTATAGTCGTTACGCATCTAATCGCCATTTTTGCATTTTTTTCTATTTTTTTCCACCGCGTTTTTTCTCGTCTGGGAGTGAGAAGGTCGTGGCTGAGGAGGTCCTGTGTCTGTTTTTCTCTGGGGCTTTGATGTTCTGTTCCTGTGATGGGTGGCAGGTGTCCTTGCGTTGGTGCTAGGCAAGACCGACAGGACCAGACAAGACACAAAACTGCTCTTCCAGCTTCTTTTTTTCTGCAAGCTTAGACGCTCTGGCACCAATCCCTTTCGTTTTCTTCTGATACCCGTTTCACTCGTTAGCAGAGAACAGAAACTTCCTCTGCTCAGGTCCAACACAAACACAATGCAATTAAAACCATGGGTTTTCTCATCGCTGTTGATGCTGATGCAGCTTTCCAGTGTTGCAGCGGCTGCAGCTGTCGATGAAGTGACTGCCGTCACCACTGTCGAAGCAGCAGCACCACCAGCGGCACCTAACGCTGCGACTACGGCAGCCGTCACAACCACGCCGGCAGCAAACCCAGCAGCAGCAGCAGCACCGGCAGCAGACGATACAACCACGACGCTTGCAGCAGCAGCACCTCCAGCAGCAGCCACCACGCCAACAACTGCGTTGACCACTGGTACCACGACGCCAACTACTCCAGCTGCCGCCACCACTCCAACTACAGCTACCACCCCTACAGATGCCGCCACCACGACGCCAACTACGGCCACCACCCCTGCAACTGCTACCACCCCAACTACGGAAACAACTCCTGCAACTGCAACTACACCAACCACAGCGACTACCCCAACGACTGCCACTACACCAGGAGCTGCAACAACCACAACGCCAACTACAAACACTGGAACAACACCAACCACAAAAACTACTGCGGCAAACACAGACACAAACACAAACACAGATACAGACACAAACACAAACACGGACATTGCTGCGACAAATACTGCCACAACATCTTCTTCTTCGTCCGCGTCCTCATCTTCCTCATCCACCGAACCAATTAACTCGGCTTTGGTCACTGACTCTATTGTTGGAACGTGGTCCTCCAAAGCCAATACAGTATTCACGGGACCAGGCTTTTACGATCCTGTTGATGAACTTTTAATCGAGCCTGCTTTGCCTGGTATATCTTATTCTTTCACCGAAGATGGCTACTGGGAGGAGGCAATCTACCAGATCACCCCAAACCCTCGAAATCATTCATGTCCTAGTGCCGTGCTGATTTTCCAACATGGTAAATATACGAAGGCTGATAATGGTACGTTGACGTTGACACCATTCAAGATAGATGGTAGACAACTTCTTTCTGAACCATGCAATGACGGCGGTGTTTCCGTCTACACCAGATACAACCAAACCGAAGTTTTCAAAGCATTCCAAGTTTACGTTGACCCATACCATGGAAGATGGAGAATAGATTTGATCAAGTCCACTGGTGAATATATGCAACCATTATATCTTGCTTACCAACCTCCTCAAATGCTCCCAACTATTACGATGAATCCAACGGCAACAGCAGGTGCATCCGCATCTGCATCTTCCACGAACCAGGCCAAATTAAAGAGAGAATACGGATTGGACTTGAGTTTGTCTGAAAGAATTAAAAGATCACTGGAAAATAGATACAAAACCAACGCTATAAAGAAAGACAGCTTGAACTACTCACTCTGGTGGTGGTCGAGTGCTTCCATGATGGCCCTTGGTGCTATCATGTTTGTTGTTTCATGATATAGTCATCAATACTTTTCATAATGATAACCACATCCCCTTCATATCAAAAAATGCCATTTAATTGGTTTGCATTGGTTTTACAACTCCATTTTTTTGCTTAGTCTGCTACTATTTGTTTTCCTTCATCTTTTTTTTTATATGTTTTCTATTCATTCTTTTCCTTTTATCTCAAACTTCTTTTCCATCGCAGAGATTTCTTGTTTTACATTTGATTTTGTTGTTGACATTTTTTCTTTTCCATTCTTTTTCATTCATTCATTCCTGACTTACCCCACATCTCATCTCTATTCCTTCTATGTATATGTTATTAGTTTTTTTTCTTTTGATTTTATATCAACATAATGTTAAGAAAAAGAAGGACGTAAAAAAGCAACAACAGTTTACCCAGATCCTTCTATCAAGTAGTGAATTATGATGTACATCAATTATATTATATAAAAAGCAACTATACAAGTCTGTGAAATAGCTTGTGAATTTAGCAATATGAGAATTGAATAAATGAAGAGGATAGATGGAGCAAAAAAGAGACGAGACTATCAAAATAAACATATAAGGTTTTTGATTTAGTTATTAGTTTTTGATTTCGTAGAATCTTCTGTACTTGTCATCGATTTCGACTAAGTAGAAACTTCCTTTTGGAATGTAATCGGTGCTACCTTCAGGCTTGAAAGATTTTTGTAAATGTGCTTTTTCTCTCAAAGCGATGGCAGCTTCGTATTCAGTTGGAGATTTGTGTTCTCTTGAATCCAAACGTTGCTTAACATCTAATTTGGAAACTATTGGGCTGATGTCTGAAACGACCTTAACGGACAGCATAGTAGCAGCCAAACCGGAACCGTAGGAGAAAAGACCGATTCTTTTATTTTGTAATTCTTCACTGCCAATGATTGAAAGTAAAGAACATAGGGAACCCCATACGGAACCAGTGTACATGTTACCGACATTTGTTGGTAATTCCAAAGAAGACTTGACGGTTTTGTTAAATCTTTCCTTGGACAGAGGCATGAAGGTCTTTTCAACGGTTTTGTCGACCAAGGAGGTTTCATAGTCCAGGCTCGAGAGCTTAGTTGAGTCGATATCTGGGAACTTAGATGGGTCTTGCTTGTAATCATTGTACAATAATCTAGCATAAGATTTGGCAACCAATTTACAGGTTGGGACGTGGAAAGCATTGAAGTCGAAGTAGTCGATGCCAACTGTTTCAGTGGAAGAGTTACTCAGACCCTTGGCAATCGCCTTCTTTGAATATGCCTTGTAACAGAAGTCGACGGCCTTGACGTAACAAGACAAGGAGAAGTGACCATCAACAACAGGATACTCGGAGGTAAAGTCAGGTTTGTAGAAGTCGTAAGCGTGTTCCATATAACTTCCTCTGACAGGGTCGAAAACAATTGGAGCGTCTGGCCCGATCAAGATTGCCACCGTACCTGCACCGCCGGTTGGTCTTGCTGCACCTTTTTCGTAGATGGCGATATCACCACAGACGACGATTGCATCTCTGCCATCCCAGGAGTCCGATTGGACCCAGTTGACACAGTTGATGACGGCGGAAGTACCACCGTAACAGGCATTGACGTTATCTATACCTTCAACGTCTGTGTTTTCGCCAAACAATTGCATCAAGACAGACTTGACGGACTTGGACTTGTCCAACAAGGTTTCGGTACCGACCTCCAATCTACCAATGGAGTTGACGTCGATGTTGTAGTTGTCGATCAAGTTCTTCAACACGGTCAAAGACATAGAATAGATATCCTCTCTATCGTTGACAAAAGCCATGTTGGTCTGACCCAACCCGATGGTATACTTACCGGCAGACACACCATCAAAGGTTTCTAGCTCGGTCTGGTTGACATATTGGCCTGGGACGTAGAATTGGATTGCTTTGATACCGACGTTTTGGACAGTCATTTTACTGTAGAGAATCGGGTTTCCAGTTTTCGAATGATAAACTTGCTTGGTGATTTCTGTTTTTTTCCCGTCTAATGAGATGGCAAATCAGTGGAGATAGAAGAAACGTGTCTTAAGAGAAACAGAGAGAGAGAGAGAGAGAGAAAGAAAGAGAAAGAGAGAGAGAAAGAGCAAGAGATCTGTATCGAATGAGCCCTTGGAAAATTCGGCGGAGGTTTAGGCTCAGGCCGATTCGTTTCGTTTTCGTGTTGCCATTCTCGCATCGTGTCGTAAACGAGAGAGTATACGAGCAGCGGAGGGAGGGGCCCTTGGGGCGGAGGGCGGTCTCCCTCCCACTGCCCGGTGTGCCCAAATTGTCCGGTACACCTATTGACCAATCGGCGCGCCGATCGGCGCGCCGATTTGTGAATCACGTGCAGTTGCGCAAAAGCCTTTCCTTTTGTGGCAGCAAAGGCCGTCAGGGTGTTTGTTAATCCCCGGATTACGTAATCGTAGCCGCGGGAGGCTGTTATCACTAGGCAAAAAAGGGGATAAAGATTTCATTCTCCGAGCCCCCCCAGAGAGCGGGAGGAAAAAAAAAAAGTGTGTGGGCATGCATTGGCATATGCATGGGATGGGGTGCAGAGCCGACTATGAGTGAAAACAGAAAAATGGCTGGCGGTGACTCAACTGACTCTGGGTTAAATATCGGGGAATGAAATGATGGATGGATCTTTTGAAGCAAGAGAGTGATAAATACTGAAGAGTATTTGTGTATATGGGTACAAAGTGTTGAGCTGGAAGGAATAGATACAGACAGAGGAAGAAGAAAGAAGAAGAATAATATTTTGAGACAGAAACATACCAGAGATCATATATGACGTCTATTAGCAAACGGTTAATGGGATGCTTGCACATCCTATTGGAAAGCTTCCATCCATTGCACTTTGTCTCTGGAATGGGGATTGGGATATCAGCGGGCATCATGTACAACTTCCCGATCGAATGCATCCGGAGAGGGTTCCGATACATTGGGATCATCTACTTCTTCATCAACTTGGTGGTCATAGTGCTCAGCCACGTGCTCTTTGCATTGAAATACCTGCTTTTTCCCTACGTGTTCCCCTACGACGAGCGGTATGCTGTGACAGTTATCGACTTGATGCACGTGCCCAGCTTGGCAGTGTTCATGGGCGCGTCGCAAATGTCGTTTGTGACGATGGTGAACATGCTACACTACCTGAAGCCCAACTGGTCCGTCGCCGTGTTAACGCTCTGGTGGATTGTTTTTGCGCAGACGTTGTCGTGCGCCTTCTTTGTGATGTTTTTCATCATCTCTCATGCGACGAATCCGGTTGGCAAGTCGAGGTTCGAACGGCGACTGCACGACTTGGAGAGGCAGGCCAGCAGTGAAAAGGACAAGGACATGGAAATGATATCGATAGCGATTGCCAGGACGCTGACGCCGAAAACGACGCCGAAAACGACGCCGAAAACGACGACGCCGAAAACGGCCTCGAAAACGGCCTCGAAGCTCTACGAGGTATCTCCCACGTTGCTCTTGCCGCTAGTCACATGCTCGGTGACTGCTGCTAGTGGTGGGTTGATAACCTCGTCCTTGGAACACCCGCACTTGATTCTTGCGATGGTCATTGTGACAACGATGTTGGTTGCGGTGGCACTCTTTTCGTCGCTGTTGGTGCTTGCCGTCGTGTTCACCCGTCTGTTTGCGTACGGACTCCCAAGAAACAGCGCTGCGTTCACAATGTTTGTCCCCATCGGCGTCATGGGCCAGGGGAGTCTTGCGGCGCTGTTGATCTCGAAGCAGCTCGTGCGAGCAATCCAGAAAGCCGGCTTCGCCATCGTGGGCATGTCCGACGCCGGTGAGGCGCCTGGCTCGCCGATGCACCAGGTTACGGAGAACCTCATCCTATTGGCTGGGGTGTTCATTGCGCTGAGCCTTACGGCGTTCGGGGTACTCCTGACCGGGTGGGCGGCCCTCAGTGTTGCGTACTGGTACGTGGGGTTCCCGCGGATCGACCGGTTTCTCGCGGTGGACCTCCGACAGGACCGAGTCTTGAGGACCGAAAGGACCAAGGCTGAGAGGGGCGCCGAAGGGACCGCCAGGAGACGCTGGGTGCGCCCATACTACGTGATGTGGACGCCGACGATGTGGGCTGCGACGTTCCCGTTGGGCACCATTGCGTTTGCCATGCGGGAACTGCACGAGGTCACCGGCGTCACCGGCTTCCAGATCGTGAGCACGATCTATGCCTTTGCCGTCATTCTTGTGACGACGTGGTGCATGGTATGCACCGGTGTGTACATTGTTCCGTGGAAGCGGCTATATAGGAGTCTCTCAGTGAGCTCGGCGAGCTGAGACGAGTGTACGAGCGAATGAATGTCGTAGAATAGAAAAGAGGCCCCAGGTCCCCGGGGCCCCCCTGGCAGGGTGGGGGGCCAAGCCGAGCCGAGACCCACCGCTGCCGCACCCTGCCGGTGTCGACGGCCGTTGGGGCAAATCGCGGGGCGAGAACAAAGAGCGAGTCCAGGGGCGAGCGAGAGAGGCCGGAGTAAAAAATGTGTCAACCGGTGTGGTGGAAAGTTTCAGACTCTTGGGAGAAGTAGTCACGTGCGGACGCGGGGCTGGCTGAGACGGGGCGCGCCACAGTTCGGGGAACGTGGGGGGCTGCGCGTTTGTGTCGGTATTGCCCGATTGGGGAATCCGATAACTCCCACGGTTGGAAAGGCGGAAGCGGTGAGGTGGTTTTTCCATGTCGTACTTTTGTTTCACATTGCTATAGAAGGAAGGAAGATAAACAGAGTAGTATGAGAGGAAAGAAAAGAAAAAGAAAAAATAAAATAAAAATAAAAAAGAAAAGGAAACCGTAGTGGAAAACGTAGTGGTGGAACCGGAGAGCTTGATGCCACAAGACTCTGCCGGAAAGAAGACCCAAAGACCCAAAGACCCAAAGTAAAAGCAAACAACCCAGTGTGCGATAGTAGAAGTGAAGAGATGTAATAAATAGTGGCGGGGGATGAGGCGTGGTCCAGACTAGTTGGAGGAGAGCCAGAGGTTGTAGTTGTCGGCGGCCACGGACGTAAGCGTGGCGGCGGGGTGCTGGGTGTGGGGGAGGATGGAGTCGAAGGTCAGCTGCTGTTTCTTGAGGTATGGGTTGGAGGAGGCGTTTCGGGGGTGCAGGTAGGGGGAGATGATGGCCTGGTTCCACTCGTCGGCGCAGGCGGAGTGCGACGCTATTATGCGGCACGCGTCGGAGTCGTCGTGGGCCGCCATGTCGTCGTCCACGTCGTAGTCGTCGTCGGACTCCTCGTCCGACAACCCGTCGAGCATGAGCGAGGGCAGCGACCCGGCCACGGACCCGCACGACGGTCTTGGCTTCGACGTGTAGTTGCATGTGTCCACGTCCTCGATCTGGAAGAGGTCGTCGTCGTCGGGGTGCAGCACGTCCACCTCGTCCTCGCCGGCCTCCTCGACGAGCACGTCTGCGCCCTGGAACCTCTCCAGGTCGTGGTACTTTTTGCCCGACACGTTGGTGCTGTATGTCACGAAGTTGTGCATCGTGGTGCTGCGGGGCGTGGAGGCGCACACCTGCGTGTATGTGTCGTAGTGTTCGAACGAGTATGCGCTGGCCATGATGCAACGGAGCTTGATTGCACGTACTTTGATGCCGAAAGAAGCGTCTACAGATACAAACACAGGACATATGTACACAAGCCGTGATCCCCAGCTGAAAAATCGGCAAACCGTGTCACCTTTATAATGGGCCCCGCTGTGGCCCCGCCTGCCCCATGCCCCAATGACCCATCCGCACCTCCTGTGCCCACTCATCCTCTGACACATCCGCCGCTACCACCACAGCACCCTGCTTGCCCCACCACCACTGCCTGCTGCCGCCACCACCACACTCCGCGCCGGACCACACTCTGAGATATCGGTCTCCCGCCTGCCCGCCCCGATTCCACCGCTGTGGTTAGCGGAGCGCCGCAGTGCGCACCGGGCCTGACACCCTAGTGACTCACGCCGCGACGCCTGCTGCGAAAAAATGCTCGTAAAATGCTCCCCGCGGTGCCCCCACTAGAGCTGGACCCCGCTGAGCGTGAGCACGTGCTGCACGCGGCCAGCGCACCAGTCGCGACGCACGTGCTGACGTAAGCGCGCCACCGTCTGGCCCGGCGTGCCGTCGCCGTCGCCGCCGGAGCCCGCGTCGTCGCCGGATGCCACGTGCGCGGCCAGCTCGGCCACAAGAGCGTCGCGACTGCGCGCGCCCTCGGCGGCCACGCCGGCAAGCGCGCCGTAGGCGGCCGCCAGCGCGTCGTCGTCGCCGTCGAGCCCGCCCGTGTGGAAGAGCTGGTCGCACACCTTGACAAACACCTCGACAAAGTCCGGGTCGAGGACGAGGCGGTCGATCTGCGGCAGCGGCAGCCGCGCCATGGCGTAGTGGATGCAGCGCTGCAGCGCAGCATGGCCGGCGGCGGCGTGCCCGCCGCCGGCAAACACCCCGAACCGGTCGCGCAGCAGCAGGTCCACCTTGACGAGCTCGGCCGTGAGCACAAACCCGGGGTCGTCCGTCACCAGCGCCCACAGCGCGTCGTACTCGGCCAGCGTGTCGCAGGTGGCCAGCACAGGCACCACCACGGCGTCGTCGACCGCGGGCCGCACCAGCAAGGTGTCGCTGCCGTAGTGGGAGAACAGCAGCCCCACGTCGAGCATCGGGTCGTCGAGCTCGCGCTCGGACCCGTCGGCGTCGGCGGCGGCGTCGGCGGCGGCGGCCCACTCCGCGCACCCGTTGCTCACAATCATCAGGCTCTTCACCACGTCCACCGCCACGCTCCGCCGCCCCCCCCGCACAAGCGACTCCACCACCGCCCGCAGGTCTGGCGCGAACAGCGGCACCCCGCTGCCCACCGCCAGGTCCACCGTCCGCAGCACCCGCCGCCCGTCCCCGGCCGCCGCGTACATCCGCAGCAGCGCCCGCAAAAGTGTCCGGTCCAGCACGTACCCGTCTGCCGCGCAGTCCGCCGCCACCGCCGCCGCCAACGCAGGCTCGCCGCCGGCCACCGCGCCCTCCAGAAACAGTCCGTACAGCGCCGGCGTCACCGCCAGGCCGGGCCCGCCGGCCACCTCGCGCCGCAGGCCGGCGTACGTTGCTGCGTCGAACCGGCCGCGCCCGACCAGGTTGCGCACCATCACACACAGCTCGTCGTGCTCGAGCCCCATCTCCGACCGGAGAAGGTCCCGACAGAAGTCGTCCACAAAGCGGGCACCAAACACGCAGGCGTACCGGTCCGTGGCCAGCAGCCTCACGAGCGCCGGGAAGCCGGAGTGGTAGATGCGGAGGTTCCGCAGGCTGCTGGCGGCGTCGCCGCCAGCAGCATTGTCGCCAACGGCGTACCACGCGGCCTCGATCCGCCGGACAAGCGTCTGTTCGTACGCCTCGACGGCGACGTCGACGTCGGCGTCGCCAAACGTTTGTCTCGACAGCTCCAGCTCGTCCAACAGCGCCACAAGCGGACCGTACGCGTCGGCGTCGGCGTCGCACCCGTTCAGCCGGTACAGCTCCTCGCGGCGCTCGGCCTCGCGTAGCAGCGGACCCTTCACAAGCAGCTGGAAGAAGCAGTCGTACAAGCGCAACATGTTGGCGTAGTCCTTCGTGGCCCGGCACTGCAGCACCGCAAGCCGGATCTCCCGCGGCAGCTCCAACCGCGCTTCGCCGGCGGCGGCGCCGGCGCTCTCGTCCTCCAGCGGCCCCGCCATGTTGTCGTAGATCGCCACCTGCTTCTTCAACAGCGTCCACACGTCCTTCTCAAGCGCACCAGCCTTGCTGTACTCGCTGAACCCGATGAGCTTCTCGAGCACCCGCCGGGAGATCGCAGCCTCCTCCTCCGCCCCGCTGCGGTACTGCCCGTCACCGGCGTCGAGATATTCCTTCCACCGCAACTGCTCCTGCGCCTGGCCCAGCGCCGCCGCAAGCTCCTTCTCAGCCTGCCCAGCCGTCTCGCCTGTCCGGTGCACAGGCCGGAACGGCCTGCGTCTCTCGCCCAGACTCGTGAGAGGAACTCCTCCTGCGCCGTGGCACTTTCCGCCTCCGCCGTGGCCCCGTCTCGTCTTCGCCAGACATGCAGCTGCCGTCGCAAACTGCCGCCGACCCAGTAGGCCTCTTCTGTAGATATATGGCAGCATCGTCTCTAGTTGCTGGTCTCTTTGCTCTCACTCCCGTTTTCCACCGTCCTCTCTTCGTCAAAAGAAAGAACCCCAGCTTCAGTCCTGTCAAAATCATGTCTGAAATTTTTCAGCGATCGACTCGCCGCCACCCCTCTCCGGGCCGGCCTTCACAGCTCGTCACAAATATTTTGCTTCATTATGTACACAGCCTACCTACCACCTACAGAGTTCTACACAGCAGTCCATATCTCCCTCCAGCAGGACTCACTGCTGGTTGATTCTTGCAACGTAAGCCCTGCTGACAACGTTCCACGCACGCATGAACTTGGCACTGCAGTCGCTGACGCACTTGTCCTCCGTGGCATCCAAGCTCCCGCTTGGCGCCTTCACACACTTCTCAAAACAGTTCTCGCTCAACGAGTTCACCAACGCAGATGCATACGTCGTCGCAATTTCCTGCGATATCGTGTCCTTGATCTGGTCGACAATCTGCTGCTGCTCGGCGCTGATGGCAGGTGCTGCAGCACCGGCAGAACCGTTCTTCGAGCCTCCAAAACCTAAAAATGACATTTTGTTCGTGTTGTGTTCTTGCTCGCTCTATGCTTTATCTGAGGCCCCTACTAATACACTGGCCGTACATATCTACACATCTCTGGCCGTGAGGGAAGAAACACCTTTTCTACTAGCTTTGCTCCTCCCTCACTCCCACCCTCACTCGCTCACTCGCTCCCCCTCTCTAAGGCGCTATCATGCTTTTCACGCACTCCCGAGAAAGTCGTCTAGCGTTTGCAACTTGTACTTGCCTGCACCGGAGGACGTGCCGCTGGATACAGAGGAGAGAGACCGGTCTCTGCTGTCAGCAAAGCTATCGGCAACCGGCGACTGCGCATGCTGGGTCTGACTATGATTTTTGTAGCTTGCCGAGGATAGCGAGCTGCTGTACTTCCCGTAGTCCCGGAGCTCAAACCCTTCTGTACGCAAGTCCCGGTAGTATGACAGGTAGCCGGGGTCGAGCTTGCCGGTACCCACCTGGCTGAATTTCGCCACACTGGCCATGAGGCTGTCCTCGTCCTTGTCGGATTCGTCGACCCCGCCCAGACGGATCTGTGGCTTGCTTAGCTGGAACATCAAGACTGACAAGTCGACGCTCGAACACTTGTCCAGACAATGGCTCAGCAACACTGGGTCGCTGTTCAACATCTCGTCAATGTTCACCTCCTGAGTCACCAAGAGGTTGCTGTAGTAGACAACATTTGGAAGAAGCGAGCCAATTAAGCGGCTCATGTCTCGTACGTATAGCTCGATGTCGTACTTGGCTAGTTGTAGCACATAGTTGAACACCTTGAACAGCTTGTTGTTCTGTATTCTATAGTTCGCCTTCCCGTTCTCCACTATGTCTGAAATCATCAGTTTCGTGACAAAGATCAGCGTTTCAAGCCGGACGTTGAACTCCGTTTCCTCTTTGAAATGCTCCACCAGCAGTAAACTTAGGTCCGGTAACGCATTTTTCAATACTGTGATGTTCTCACTGGCATGATAATCACTGAAGTCAATTGCAAACTCGCCCAGTAACCAAATGATAGACGCCTTTGCATTGTGAAGAAGTTTCACATCATTATCGTCATTGTAAGACTCCACTAATCTACCCACGAGTTTTATCAATATCTCATTATAGTATCCTAAATTGAACTGGATTAATTGCCTCAATCCAGTGATGTACTCTCCAACAAGAAGCTCGTTCTTCTCATATTGCAATTTTTTCATAAAGAATCTGATCAATTTGGAGAATTGCTGGACGTGGAGATTTTTACTCAAAATCAAGGAGTTGATCTGCTCTAAGATTTTGAATTTGAAGAAGTAGTTGAAGTCAGACTTCTCAACCAAAAACTTCATTTCCTTGAACACAACTTCAAAATTTTCTTCGCTGATTAGTTTAAATAGTATCGAGATTTTAGTATCAAAGATAGCGGGGTTGTCTGAAGTGGAAGGAATAAAATTGGAAAACTGATAACTTCGAAATGAAACCAGCTCTTTGTTCAATAAGTACAGAATCATGTTAAGTGAGATAGAAACTCGAGCATCGCCATTTATGTCATCGTACGAGTCTTTTTGAATCAGCTTAATCATAATTTTGTCAAGCCTGACGTCTTTTGAGGAGAGTGTAAATGGGTAAAGAGTGACCAGACACTTCACAATAGAGAAAGTGACATTGTAATCCATGCTGTAATAAACCATGTTCATTAGATGGCCATAAAGATCTCTCAACTCCCTCGGGGCATCCTCTAATCTGGTAAAGGGCTCAAAAAATAGTCTGCTATAATCAGTCATTATATCGATCAAATTCGAAGTAGCAAAGCTGTCCATATCTTCAATGTGATTGACAAGATTGTTCACTTTATTATGAAGCAAATCAAAACACCCGTTGAAAAGCTCGTGGTATGTGACAAGGGCACAGCTCAACACTTTTGGATCATTGTCACTCAATAGGATGTCAAGGTAGCTGCTCAGCTGGTAGATTGTTGATGTTTCGTCTCTCAAACAACTTACCATATACTCTCTCTGCAGCTTTGCTCCATTTGCACCCACAATAGATTCTGTATTCTTGGCATGTTTTGATTTGAAATCCTTCTTCGTTTTCGCTTTAGTCCTCTTTATCATATTATACTGAGTGTCCAGCTCTGCGCATTTGATTATTGCAATTGTGCAAGCAGCTCTTACCAACGGTGAAGAGTCCTTCACCAGCTTCCCCATTGACAACAGCAAAATCGGTAAAATGGCTGGTATCCTGATACCACTCAAACACCTGATGGCTAAGGACCTGTTGATGGCACTTTTATCAGTCAATGATTTTTGAATCGCGTTGATGGACAACAAAGAAATATCTTGTTGCAAGTGATTGAAGCTAAGCAACATGATATAAACCAACCTCTTGATCTTGAGATTGGCCGAATTCACGTTCTTGATGATGTGTGGGAACAATTGGACAATCTCCTTCACCGTCTCTGAGTTTTCATCGAAGCCGTAACCGACAGCATTACCGCCTTCGACTTCGGAAACGTCCCTTCTCGTTGCCAATTTCCCAACAAGGTGCTTCAAAACAGTGTACACCTCATTGTCGTTGCTCGACTCTAATCCCTTGATGATTTCCTTCGTAGTGAACGTTGTCTCCACGTTGTAGTAGTTCGTGTTGATGAATGATGTCACCGATGGCGGAAGCGCAATGTTCTTCGTGTCAAACACGAGGTTCAGAGACCGCGTGGCGTTCTCAAACATCTCTCCTAGGTTTCGTGCTATCTGGTAGTCATTCATGGTTCTACCTTTACCCTTTTTCCCTTTTGAAGACTCCTTCTAAACTCTTTCTTGACCCTTCGTCCTCCTCACTTGGCTCTACTGCCGATCTATATTCTCACCCACTCTCAGTGCAGAAGGCCTCGTCTCTTTTTCCCTCGCCGGGCTTACCACGCTTTGCAATTTTTGCTTCGCAGGCAGGGAAACCGAAATCATGTTCTTTCGACTGCCATGTGAAGACCAAACGGGATCAGAGACAGTGATCTCTAGTGGCAATTGTTCAATTACCGCATCCTATAGTAACCAGCCACAGGCGCTTACCATGTCAGACAGCACCAAGCAGGAGAACGAGGAGCAGGTACTGCCAAAGTCCCTCACGAGAACATTGAGTGAAACCTTGTTCGGGTTCAGAAGAGGAAACAAAAGATTGAGAGATGACTCGGACGCCGAATCTAGATCAACGTCAACTAAGGACTCATTGAAGACAGAAGCTTTAGAGGCAAGTTCCGCAACAGACGGCCAGCCGGAAGTCAAGAAGCAGAAGCAATTGACGGTGGAAGAGCAGAAGGAACATGAGGAGAGGATCAAACGGTTCATGGCCAAAGAGAAGGAGTACGATGAGTTGCTCAAGCCGGAATACCGCAAATGGAGACCTAGAGGCTACATGCTGAACCCACCACCTGCAGATAGACCGGTTAGAATATATGCGGATGGTGTGTTCGATCTGTTCCACTTGGGACATATGAGACAACTAGAGCAATGTAAGAAGGCATTTCCCAATGTCGAATTGGTTGTTGGTATCCCAAACGACAAGGAAACTCACAAACGGAAGGGTCTTACTGTGTTGTCGGACAAACAGAGGTACGAGACAGTTAGACACTGCAGATGGGTCGATGAGGTTGTAGAGGATGCCCCATGGATTCTAGACATGAAGTTTCTGAAGGAACACAAAATTGACTACTGTGCGCACGATGACTTACCTTATGTTGCTGATGGAATTGACGATATCTACAAGCCAATGAAAGAAGCAGGAATGTTCATTGCCACGCAGAGAACAGAAGGTATTTCAACCAGTGACATAATTACCAAGATTATCAGAGATTATGACAAGTATTTGATGCGTAATTTTGCTCGTGGTGCAACGAGACAAGAGTTGAATGTATCGTGGCTGAAGAAGAACGAATTGGACATGAAGAAGCATATAAACGACTTCAAGACCTCTTGGAAACAGACAAATGACAACATCAGCCACGTAACGAAAGATTTGTACGTCTTGGTCAGAGAATCTTTGATAAACAACGGAAACCTTATCACCAATGTTGGCAAAGATGGCAAGTCTCCTGCTGATAAATTCGCTTCGAAGTTCAATGCCAATGGGTTGACAAGATCGAAGGGGAAAAAGAGCTTAATCAATAATTTGATGGATTGGGTGGGACTGCAGTCAGAGGTAGAATCCACAGATGAAACAGACTACTCTCCAGATCCGACCCGCACTGCTTCCCCCGTGCCTATGCAAATAAAAGATGAACCTTCTACACCACAATCGAGAAAGACCAAGACGTTCAAAACTCCAAAACAAACCCCATTACTACTTTCAAAAGCAAATACGCCTAAATCCACTCCAAAGAAGGCTATAAAGCAGACACCCAAAAAAACACCCAAAAAAACACCCAAGAAGACCCCGAAAAAGTTGAAGGCTTTGGAGTCCCCAGAACAATGAAGAGTCAAACGTCAAAAAATGCATGAACTACTTTTTTATATACAAAGGTGAATGAATCCACTAATTATACGATGTAGCACGTTTTTCATTGTTTTCATCTCGCTATTCATTTCGATTTTTCTCTCTATTTTCATTCACATTTTGTTACTCTTTTTTTACCTGTCTTTGCATTTACTCCCATATGCCTCTTCAACCAAGAAGAATCAATAAAATATAAACTTGCTCCAGCTTCTTATATATTACGTAATTTGACGGAACCAGCTCCTCTTTTCCCTCTTAGCTAAGATGAGAAAAGCAATTTATTCCGAGATTTGATCGGAGATGACTTCATCTTCGTCGTTTGCATAACTTTGCCATTGCTTACAGATATTACAGACACAAACAATGATGCCAAGCGTATTTTCTGTTGCAGATATCAAGTACATTTTAGATCCGACCTTGAAATCTTGGATTTTACAGGGACATACCAATTTGGGGACACCATTCCAAGTGATTGACGTACGAGACTCTGATTATGTTGGGGGCCATATAATCAACTCTTTGCACATTGAGTCCAATAAGTTCAAAAACGAAGAGAGCGCAGAAACGCTGTCGAATTTGTTGAAGAAACTGAGGGAAAATGGCCAGAATACTGTGGTTTTCCATTGTATGTTAAGCCAACAACGTGGACCAAGCAGTGCAATGAGATTCTTGAGATACCTCAATGAGAGGACCAGCGCCTCAAATGACCAAGATGAAATTTCCTTCATTGAAAATATGAAGGTATGTGTTCTTCGTGGCGGATTCGGGAAGTGGCAGCAAGAGTATGGCGAGGATCCCCAGTTGACAGAAAATTACGCCAAAGATGTTTGGAAGTATGGGTATTGATTGCTAAAAATGCGGTCTGTGTGTCACAGTTTTGAGGGATAAATAAAACATACACTAACTTACACAACTTCTCACTCAAACTTTCTGCCTTTTACCTTGGTTTTCATCATCGGTTTGTTTACTTCTTCCCCTCTTCAACTTATCTGTGGCACTCTTGATCCGCTTACTCATATTAAGCTGGCGCCTTCTCTGTATCACCTCCACAGGAAAAAATTCCTCGATAGTCAACTGTGGCTTATTGAGACTTTTTATGACGGGCAGTATGATCTCATCAACTTTCTCCTTGTTCCAGCCAACGTAGAAGGCCAAAAAGGTGCGAAGTTTATCAATGTCCGGATAGCCCCACTTGAACTCCGTTTTATCGTGATCGACCTCTGGATGTAAATACGCATCATAAATTAGTCTACTAGGGAAATCGTTGCCCAAAAACAAGCTTTTGCTTAACGTTTTCCTCAACTTTTTTCGAAGTGGGGTGTCCTTAGTTTCATCTATTTTACCATTCTGATAATCCACCCACCATTGTTTGAAATTCTCTAGGTTTCCAAACTCTGCCAAAATCTCCACAGCTGTGACTTTACCAATACCTTTAAGACCATCTGTATAATCACTTCCTAATAAGATAGCAAGCTCAATCATACTAGATCGATTAAGACCTAATTCTCCCAAAATGTCAGCATCTTGATAGCATTCAACAAAATTCTTCTCGTTGAACAAATTTTTGTAGACTCGGTCCCCGCCGAACAAAAAGCAATCCGAATCATCAGTTATAATACCGTCAACCAATCCTATCAGTTCGAGCTCCGCACACTGAGCTTCTGCTTCCATTGGTGCTGTTATGAATGGGATTCCAAAACGTGCCAACAAATCTTGAACATCGTAAATCATCGTTGTGGAAACCTCATCTGCGTCTCTTTTTTGTTTCCGCAACCTTTCCTGTAGTTTAGCTTCATCTGTGAATGTCCATAAGCCTTCATCTTTATTGCTGTCAACCTTAATCCCCCCGATATTACTGAAAAACTTATCATAAGCAAGATTTTCTTCTTCCATATCTAAAAGTAAGTTTACTTCCTCTTCATCAGAAAAGTCAGAGTCGTCATCTAATTGCGGCTTCTGCGCAATCCCTGCATCAATAGATATGAGTTCACCTACATCAGTTTTTGGAAGGGGCTTGACTGATTTACTATCGATATCATCGTGGTTGACAAGTAAATCAGATTCTTTCTGAGAATCTAGTCCATTGAAATTTTCATCCTTTTCCTCTTTAACATCTGCTTGGTTTTCTGGCTCTGTTTCATTTTCAAAGTCTTTGGAAACTAGGGATTGAGAAATAACAATTCCGTCATCAGCCTTCTTGTCTTCAATTTCTATAATATTGCTGTTTGGTGTTTTAAGATAGGAATTGTCCTTTAAATGTTTGGGCGATTCTGTGATGTCTATCACGAAATGTTGATTTTTATCTGATCCCTCTTCATCAACTTCAATCAATTTTTCATCATGCGATGACTCATTCAAATCAATGACAGTATTCTCATCTTCACTTGAAATATAGTTTTCGATATCGCCATAGGAAACGAGTCCTGCCTTTTCATCCTCAGTAAGATTCCTACTTGGTTTCCTAACTTGCATTGTTGGTTTTGGCCCAAGGCTTGTTTGATTAGAAAACCATTCTGGAAGTGGCAATGCTTTTCTCTTTTCATTAATCGGATTAATCTCATCATTTTTTTTACTTTTATTCTCTAAATCTGCTACTTTGCTAGGCTTCTCTCGAGGTCTTCCAAAAAGTAGATTGTCTTTCATGTTGAGTTTAGGGAGCTTTAGGGTTTTTGCTAGCGCTGAAGTACTCAAAATGATAGGTGCTTCATCATCTAAGGTACCTCTCACCCCTGACCCAATTTTCTCTTCATTTAATGTGTTTAGATAGTCCTGTTTAGATTTTTCAATTGCTTGCTTTAGCTCATCATCTTCAATCTGCTGCATTTGTATTTCCTGGTAATCATCTATATTTTCATCTTCTTCTGATGAAAGATCAACAGCAGTATTCTTTGGTCCCTTTCCTTTATTGTGTGTGTTCGAGTACTCGTATAGATATTTAATCTTTTTCATAATATCATCATCTTCTTCGTCGTTTATCTCCAAAGGGACGTCCTCCATTTCAACATTTTCTTCTTCACTTTCGTCACTACTTTGATCGCTGTCTTTCATGAACAACGGATCTTTTACCTCAATGTCAGAGTCCGCTTTCGACTTTTCAAGCTTACCACTTTTGTTCACGACTTCTACATCTTCCCAATCGACATCTTCTTCAGAGGCATCCAGTTCGATGGGGCTTTCTTGCTCAACCCCTACAAATTCCTTGACATCGCCGAGAAATATTGGACGACTAGAGCTACCTCCCTCAACGACATCCTTGGATATGCTTAGAGCGTACCCATCACCTGTTCGCCTGAGATCGTATGCACGATTCTTATCACTTGCAATCCTTCTAGAGACAACATCTTGCTTGGAATCCCCATCCATTCCGGTTACATTCATCACTTTCTGCGTAAAAAAATTTCTCTTCTGCACCATTTTGATCTGAAACTTACTGAACTCCATTGGGTCGGAAAACAATGATTGTAGTTGATCCTTGGTGTAGCCCATCCTCAACCTGGAGCGAAGTCTCAAGTGTGAGAGGGCTATATATTGGGTAGACAAAGGCAAGTTCTCGAATTCTTTTGACTGTGGATCAATGTTATCCAAGTCTAGTCCATCCAGATCATCATTTATATCTTGTGTTAGTCGATCATACTCGTAACCGGTCATTACCCTTTTATCATCCTCTGCGACCTTTATCGGACCACGATTAGGTAGGTCATAATCATCCTGGCCACGAAAGAGCCTACTCTCTTTTTCTTGCGGAACTTCTGCCTCTTTCGGTGGTCCAACGTCACTATCCCCTACTTGATCGTCATAGTAGGCATCGTAATACAACTCTTCAGTGGGTATTTCTCTTCTTGTAACATTTGGAGCAGATGTTGTGGGACGTTTCAACTTGCCCTCCGCAAAAAGTTGCAGTTGTTTGGCCAATATTCTTTTGGCAGTCTGCTCTATACTCTCCTTATTTCCTTCTCTCTTTTCCTTTCTTTTTCGTATAGTTTCTTTCTTCAATGTTGGGACACCACCATCAAACACAAACACCGGCTTGATACCAAAGTATAATAGCTTGCATATTCTTCTCAAAAACCCTACTATATGAGAGTTTTTCATCTGGTTTCCTTCTTTATCTCTAACAGCTTTCAAGAATTGATAAATCCAGATCGACGCATCAACCGCCAATTTTTTGTTTCTTAACGCTTCAACGCGTACAGGCCTAGCAGAGGGGCCAACAATATCCCATAATCCATGAACACCCATTTAAGCTGTGTCTTGATGGTAAGTCCTTTTGGCATTTTCTCTTATTCTTCATGTGGAAAGAACTTTGCGACTCGTTCTTTTGCCACTTTGGCAGAGACAGCCAAGAGACTTGTGCCATAGCCGAGCCCCCTCATCTTCGCGGCGCTCGACGGGGAAACTTGTTTGGGGTAGTAGGTAAACTGAACCTGCAGAAAGGGAAGCACCCCGTTCAGCTGCTCCTTATCTGCAGTTATTGACGTAGAATATTTACATTAGATTTTGCCTATCTGTTAGAAGACAAACGTAGAATAGCTTTCGGGGCAAAAGTAGTAGATTGTACTTGAAAGAGAGAATGGTGTTTGCACAGCAAAATAAAACTAAACATAACATAGAAACCAAACATCAACTATCCGCATCAACTCAGAACGCTGGCATCTCCAAGTCCTCTAAATCAGTACAATTGCTGATGCAAGAATTAGCTAAAACACAGACCATATTACAGTCTCATTCCAATTTGTATGGGTTGCCGAAAGATGAAAACATGGTTTCACCCGGCGTTTGTAATCCGCAACAGCTAGTCTACTCCGCTACCAGCGATAACAGCATAGCCAAGCCATATAACATGAAGAAGTTTCCAGAAACGTTCAACCCTCGCAAGGAGTTGAACATGCCACACAAAGAAAAAGTAGAAAAATGGATTGTAGGAGTGCCAGCTGCACCGATTAATGATAACCGCGATGCGTGGCGAAACGCATGCTATAATCCTTTGATTCCAACGAGTGACGAGTACGAAGAAAGCGAATGTAGTGATTTCGATTTCTCAGGTAACGATGATATCATTGAGTATCAATCTCGAATGATAACATTTTTAATCAACAAAACATACTTCAAGGATTCGGAGAATGTGAGGAAAAGCGACGGAAAACTAGTCCCTGGTGGTCTGGAGTACGATGTGTATCTCAACGAAGGTCTTGATTACAATGATTTTCATCAGCTCAACCAATACGAGCAGTTCGGTAGTTACAGCTTGCATCGCTGATTACTTTTGTATCTGTGTATCTTTTAGTAATGTTAAGCTAGGAAAGAAAAGGGTAGAAAAGAAAAGCCAACAAAACATGTGCGCACGTGACTTTTTTTACTTCGTTGAATACAAAAGGTATTCATTATATTTGATATCCAGTTGTTTCAAACTGACTGCAATCTTGTATGTATTAGTTTCCCTTTTCTAAGGAGCTTGTGAGAAATAACAACACGGCTTAATAATTTACACATGTCTGTATCTGTGGCTTCTCCCACAGTACTTTTGAACAGGATTTTCTCTCTCCGAGAGCCATGTCCTTTTTTGCTTGTTAGTGATACTTTTGTGCAAAGTGCCACTTTTCTGACAGACGAGTTAGTGCATAAGGCAAGGACCTCCAATCCGGAACTAAAGTTAGTATACTTGTCGTTTGAAACGGTATGCGTTCCCTCTTATATAAAAGAAGGTAGAGACGTTTTTGTTCGCCTATTGGAGGCAGATTTCGAAACTCAGTTCGGTAGAATTTTCAGCGATAAGGAGACCCTAAAACACACATTAATAGTTGTTGACTCTTTCAACTACATTCCACAAACAGAGATTATTAAGTTTTTAAAGTTCATAATGAAGCCAAATCATACGGTTTATGGAGTTTACCATCAAGATATACCCCCTCTAAGATCAAACTCTGATTTTCAAGGTCCATCATCTTACTCATACTTACACTTTCTATCTTCATGCGTATTTGAAATCAAGCCCACCAGTTTTGAAGAGCATGATTCACTTTATCACAGAACGCTGGAAAATGGGCCATGCTTTCCTGTAGGGGTACATTCCATTCAACAGTATATATTTTTCATCCATTTGACTTATCGTCGAAAGTCAGGACGGTCTTTGGAATACAATTTCAAGATCAACTCAAAAACCCACAAATATGAAGATGTGAAACAGACCTTGACAGAGGTGACTCAAGATGATGAATCATTACTTAAGGACTTGACTACTTTCAATCTCGGAACGACAAAAAAACAAAAGGAGCAAAGAGATAAAGTAGACTTGCCATTTTTGGAAGCTCAAAAAAGCATGGGCAGTGTCGGTGGTTCTATTGTTTATGAATTTGAGAAGGATGATGACTACGACGAAGAAGATCCATACGAAGATCCGTTTTAACAAAAGGGTTTATATATAAACATTTAATTAGCCATAACATTAAAAAAGTTATTCTGATGGAACACTCTCTCTGGTGTTCTTTTTCCTTGGCCACATAGAAGGCAGTTTAATCAGCTGGAACCGCGGTTCAATACACCTTTCAATAAACCATTTTCTAATAACGTTTTCTAAGATTGAACTTACACGAGGGATGTTCTCGAGTTTAGCACGTGAACCAATCAAAGATTTTGTTTCAAACTCCAATCGGAAATCAGGGCTGAAGGAAAACATCAGAGCTATTGAGTGACCCCCTTCACTGTAGTGACTGCTCTCAGAAGAAGCTTCATCTCCGTTAGGAATAGAGCTTCCCTCATTATTCGTTGCCCTATTGTCAGGGTTAGTGTTAGTTTCAGGACTATTGAAAAAACTCCCAGCTTCCCTGTTTTCGTGGTTGTCTACGAATGCTGGGGTTGATTCACTGCCTGAATTAGTATCCTGATGAGCTCCTGAAATATCTGGTGTGTCATTAGATTTAAATTCTGTGAAAGACGCTCGGATGTCATCTGTACTAGATGTCATGTGATTCTTGTCGTTGCTAGGATTGGCGTAATCATCGTCAACAGTGATCAATGACACTGTCAAACATGCACTAAATCTCACAACTGAGATAGATAGTTTTATAGGTAAACTAGCGCTCATAAATTTTGGCTGGTTGATAAGTAAGTTTGTTTCGACACCTAGAGTGATAGTATCTGACACATCGACATCTATCTTAGCTTCCAACCTGCCTTCGTTATTTTTCACACGACAATTACTAAAAATTGGGTAATCATCGCCAATGTTGATTTCAGAAATTTTGATTCTATCAAAGTATTGTAATACTTGTGGAGAATTCAATGCCTTATTTAAAGACTCGTATATATTCCCATCATTTAAAGCTTCTAGCCTTGCTTGTGAAATTATTTGAGCCACTAAAACATTAAACCAGTCTAGGGATTCCGGTTTATGCGTTTTGACATCGTAGTACGTTTTTTCAAGAATTGAAATCAATGTGCTATTGGAATCCAACTTGATGTGGCCTGATCCTAAAGCTTGGTTGATTTCTTTTTGATGACTTAAATCATCGGTCAAACCGTTAACCTTCGGTATTGATGATGCAACTTCCTTCTCATGATCCTTACTGAAGCCACCTTGTAATCTTGATAAATCCATATCGTCACCTTTCTTTGCTTTGATTATAGAAACATTTGATTTTGACGGAATTGAACTAGCTTGAGTAGGTGCAGCCTCCGTGAACACAAAAAACCTGATGAACGCAATGAATAAGATAATGACTGATAGCTGTCCAAGTATCAAACCCTGTGTGAAAGTCCATGCAGTTGAATGAGGTAATGATGCCATTGAATTTAGTGACATTGAATGAGACTGTAGCTGTGGCTGTTGGTTTTGCTCACCCTGGAGCTCTTGATGTTGCTGGAGTATCAATTGGAGAACTTCATTCTTCTGAGTCTCTTGTTGTTTTTGTAGTCCATTCAATATTCCAGATAAATATCTTTCAAGTTCGGTAATATCTGAAGACGAGTTGACAATAACGTCGGTTCCCGCTGTCGTCTTATCCGGGTTGGCATTGTTAACGGCTGAGGTTGAAAAAACGGTCTCCTGATCCAAGATACCAACTTCACTTTTTCGGCTGCTATCTTTTGGTATTATCTCAATGCTCATTTTTGTCTAACCCATTGGAATGTCATCCAATTAAATTTAATACCTGTTCATGTATTATCTTGTAGATGATATTTAAGATTATCGGTTTTATATTGACTCAATTTACTCCTCGCCAGATTTTTTTTGTCGCACAGGTATTTTCAAAGGTCTGAAGAATGTTCGATAGAGGCTAGAAAGGTTATGACTATACAGGGAGGAAAAGATAAAAATTGAATATTGATTGAAAGCTAAAAGTACAGTTATTTTCGGAGGTATTGTATAAATAAAATTTATTATATATAATAGAGTCCACTTAACGTATTTCCCTCTATTTTAAATATCTGAAGAAGAAAGATACACCAACAGATAAAGCCAATGCTGCACATATCATTTTTGGTCCCAACTGGTCATCGTATTGTGCAGCTCGCTTATTACGAATACTGATAACTCTGAAAATGTATACTCCCGATGAATAGAGAATGGTCAAGATTGCTGTTACGTAAAAGCATGCAGCTGTAAGCAAAGAGGTGATGTCACCGTAGTTCATCAAAGTATGAGCCGTTGCACCAAATATGAGCGAGATGGATAACCACGAAAGGAATGTACGCTCGGTTGCAAAATAAACCTTTGGTTCAACACGGACTGGCACAGCAATCTTTTTTCCAGGGGGAGCACGGAAGGTTGACTCAAAGACCGTTCCATCTGGGACTTTGTTGAAAGAGTTATCAGGTTTGACAATATCTTTGTACCAGTTGATCAAAGGAGCTAAAAGACCTTCATGGGTTGAGGAGCTTGTGGAACCTTCTGTTCTGTTATTTGATTCATTGATTGATACAGAGCCATACGCACCGTTAATATTGGACCCTGTCCCAACCAATTCTTCCTCATCCATAACTCCATTACCAGACTCCAACAGTCTATGCTTGCTGATGATACCATATGTCGCATCTTGCTTCGGCTTTCTAATGTCGACATCCATTTGAGGCATCCAAAATGGAACCAAGGTGACCATATCTGGTAATAAGGATGCAGTACCATGGATAAATTTGGAAAATTTTGGAACAGCTTCTACCAAATGTGAAGACACCATTTCCCTCACCCATTGAGGGGGCTCTTGCCCCATTTGAGTTTGAAGCTTGACCTCTAAGACTGCGTATGGAAAGCGTTCAACATCTGACTCTGGCAATTGTGAGAATGGGAAATCAACACCAATATCCATCCTTCTCCAGTTTCCTTTGGTTCTATCAATTCCATCAAAGTTGTCTTCTCTCACCATTGTCAACTCGGTATCAAGAGAAATTCTAACTCTTGCATCACCCGGTAACTGGAAGGCGGTTCTGTTGTAGAAAGTTCTCATGACAGGTCTCATCTTATCTTTCAAAACTCTGTATTGTACCTCTTGAGCCAATCTTTCTAAAGAGTCAATTTCTTGGGTGGATTTCTTACCTTCCTTTCTTGCCTTTTCAAACAACTGCTTTGCAGTGAAGTTACCGCTTAAGAAATCGTTTACCTTAGACTCTTTAACCGGGAATCTGGCTTTGACAGATTTTTCACCGGTCCAATCTTCCCTGTGTGTTTTTCTCTCAATGAAACAAGTGTCGGTTGACATACCACCGTACCATCTGATTCTGATTGCTTCGGCACCCTCAGTCTTCAATAATCTACCATAGTATAAATCTAACTCCTTATCGTCAAAATAGATAGAAGAGATGGCAGAGTCCTCGGTCTCGAACTCTTTGTTTGGGTTGAAGACTAAAACAGGCAAATGCTTCAAAATGATCAATTTCAACTCAGTGATGTTGTCTGGATGAACCCAGTACTTGGTGGTCTGTCTAACAAAATTTTGCATCTTACCTCCCGCAGAAGAGTCACCCTTGACTGGATTACCCTTGGTTCTGACCAAGTCATATAGTTTGGATAGCTTGACAATCAACCCATCCAAATTATCCTTGATGAACGACTTAGAGTTCAATCTGGCTTGGAAAATCGGCTTCAAGATGAACTTCGTCAGCTTGTCGTGCTTCTTTAAAATCTTTTGGAAACCAATGTAGTTCAATCTGGTGAATGTGTTCAAGTCGTGCACATCGGCGATGATATCGGACAATTCCTCTTCCAAGTCTTGGAAATCCTGTTCGAAGTACTGCAAATCCTCAAGATCGACGGCATTCTTAGATGCCTGGACCGTTTTCTCAACCAAAGTTTCGACCTCCTTGACTCTTCTCAGAATCTCTTTGTGCTTCAACCGGAAAAAGTTGTACACCTTTTCCAACTCTTGCTCCAGGGTGTCGACAAACTGTTCCTCCAAGACATTGTTCCACTGCCCGTGGTTTGAATCCAAACCCTTTTTAAGCGAGTATTTCAATTCGTCGTAGCGGATGTAGTAGTAAGCGTAATCCCTGATAAGGGACGACTTCAAGGTTTCTCCAAATTTCATTTTCTGTTCTGTGCAAACCGTTTTCTACTGCCTTGTTTTTAGGGAATGGAAGGCTCTTCACAGCAAGAACGTCCTTCTTTTCTGCAAGGTGATATCAAGTAGATGGAAGCAAGAAAGAATGCCCCTGCTGTCTTCATCTTTCTCAAGCGCAGCAAAACGCAGGTCGTCCTCCCTCCCACATGTGCAGCCATTGGCTTCGATATCGTCTCCCAATTTACATTGTGACGGCACGTGGGGTCTGCCGGAGAAGGAGAAAGAGAGACAATCTCGCATATAAATTTTTTTCTCCCTATGCGCTTACGTTAGCAGGAAAATTGGCCGGATGAATGATCGAGATGAGTTGTTTCATGCATATATATAGACTATATGTTAAAGGTTATATGTTATATGTTATAGGTTATTGGTTTACAGTTCCAGGACGCAAAAAGAACTGCCTACTGTCTCTAGTCAAAGGTGATTTTCTTGGCTTTCTTGTTCATGTCGACGTTCTTGAAGAACGCACCATAGGCGCTGTGCTCTTTCTTTTTTGTGTGACTTCCGAACTTCATGAGCTCCTCTGGCACAGGCTGGTCAGCACCACGCAAGACATTACCCAAGGCACCAGCGAGATGCTTTTCGTGGTCGGTGAAAAGTGTGTATGCAATTCCAGTTTTACCTGCCCGTCCCGTTCTACCGATTCTGTGAACGTAATCCTCGATGGTGAGAGGGAACGTGAGGTTGATGACGACCTTAACGTCAGGAATGTCTAAACCTCTGGCAGCAACATCGGTCGCCAACATGATGTCACAGTCGCCCTTCTTGAAACTCTCCAAGGCCTGCTGACGCTGTATTTGGTTGAGGTCACCGTGCAAGGCTGCGACGTCAAACCCCTTGTACTTTAACGTTCTTTCGATTCTGCTAGCCTCCTTCTTGTACAATGCGAAAATCAAGATACGCTCGTCCTTGTTCTTTGACTGATACTGCTGCAACAACTGGAGTAGTCTCTTTTCCTTGTCGTATGGGTCGATAACCTCGACGATCTGCTTGATTCTCTTGTTTGCAGTCAATTCATCCCTGTTACCAATGGACACTCTAATTGGGCTTTTCATGAACCCGTTGGCTAACTCTCTGACCTCCTTAGGCCATGTCGCAGTGAACATCAACGTCTGTCTGTTTTTTTCGGAAACACTTTTTATGATCTGCTTGATATCTTCCTCGAACCCCTTCTCCAACATTCTGTCGGCCTCATCCAAAACTAAATAGTTGACGTTTTCCAAGTTGACACTTCCCTCATTGATCAAATCCACCAATCTACCAGGGGTGGCCACAACACACTGACTTTTCAACACATCTTTTCTTTGTTGCTCCTTTGGAACACCACCATACACACACACACAATGTAGACCCACAGCATCTGTAAGCTCCTTCAAGTTGTCGAAAATCTGTGTGGCCAACTCTCTGGTAGGAGAAACGACCAAGACTTGTAATTTCTTAGAACCGCTATTCACAACGTGCTGAACAGCCGGGACACCAAAACCCAAAGTCTTACCAGATCCAGTTTCGGCAACACCGACAATGTCCTTACCTTGGAGAAGGTATGGCCAGGAACATGCTTGAATTGGACTTGGCTTGTCAAACTTTGATAAGTTTTTCAAGATTCTAGAATCAATGGAGAAGTTTTTGAGAGAATCAAAGTTGATTGCTGGCTGGATGTTGGTGTTGTTGGCATCTTCAATGGTAACTTCGTTATCTTTTAAGAATTGATCGATGTCAGCTTGACTTGTTTGAACAGCCTCTTTTATTGGAGCTGCCACAAAGTTGCTTTCTTTCTTTTCTTTCTTTTCCTTCTTTTCCTTCTTGTCTTTCTTTTCCTTTTTTTCCTTCTTCTCTTCCTTATCCTTCTTTTCCTTCTTTTCCTTCTTGTCTTTCTTGTCCTTCTTGTCCTTCTTGTCTTTCTTAGACTTTTTCAAAGACTCTCCATTCTCGTCATGTTTTCTCTTCTTATTTTGTAGTTCAAGGTCTGCCATAATGTTGTAAAGTGTATACCTCTGATAATTTCTGGAAGATTCTTGGTGTGTAGTACAAAACCGGTATATTTCGTAGATAAAGGAATAGTTCAGTGGAAAATTTTTTTAATTTTAGTTGAAAGTGCAGAAAAAATGAAAAAAATGAAAAAGATAAAAACATCGAAAATTGTGAGGGCGATATGACATAGAATGATTAGGTCATCACATCAAATGTGGATTACTGATGTGAAAAGCGTAACGTTCGAGATAGAGGACATAATCTCGTCACCAAAGAGCTTCATTCCTCTCTCTTCTAACCATATATAGTAATTGTAAGACCTCTACTCTAGTCAATTCCGGCTTAGATGTTGTATATGAATAATTGACACCATACTGATTCTTCGTACATTAACTAAAATTAATCAGGGAACCGCTCTTTCTAAGATGGATATTGATGGTGTATCATTTATTGCACAATAGTACAAATGATCGGATGTTAATACCTTGGATAGGGAAACAGTACAGCAATTTTTAGCTTTACTTTTTTGCGTTAACCAGTATATATATATTTCTATTCTACCTTTGTTTTAATTTTTATATAGGGCGGCAATGGATCTAAAAAATGAATTACACATCAGACAGGATAGATGATGCTGAGAAAAGAGTTGGTTGAAAGAAAGAAAGAAAAGCAGGATGAGAACTAGTTAAAAACAAATGGGGAATTGCGGGATATAAGGGTGATGTGTGTCGGATTAGAAGACTTATTTTTTCATCATAGTACTGATAACATGAGCATTAATGCTGCGGCAAATGAGGAACCTGCATAAATTTTGCTGTTTGCAGCGTTACTGTGGGCTGATACGGAACTCGATGCTGATTTCTCTTCCTTGGAAGAAGATGAAGAGTCATCTGACTTTTTCGACTTCGAAGTAGTTGCTGTATGGAGAGTAGTCGTGCTGGAGCTCAAGTACTTGCTCTTGAGACTCACAGTCTTTTCGGTTCCTGTTGAATCTGCATCAGAAGTTTCCTTGGTATCTGTAGTTTTCGGTTTTGCAGAGGTAGTTACCGAAGAGCCAGAGTCTAATGACTTCTGCTTTTCGGACTTAGAGGTCGGGGTGGCCTCATCAGAACTATAGTGAGATTCAGATTCAGACTTGGAGGTTGACGATGCAGATGGAGATGCGGAAACAGCCGATGACTTTGAAACTGAATCTATGCTATTGCTCGCATCCTTGTTACCACTAACGAGGGAGGCAAACTCGGCCACAGCGATGACTTTTCTGCCATTCACCTCACCGTCGACAGCCTTGATGGAGGACCACTCACCAGATGTATCGGAGTATTCGTATTCTTTTCCGGTTGAATAGTCGCTGACAACCAACTTCTCAATGGCCATGGAGAAAGGAGCGTCTGAGTAGTCCGTTTCACCACCTGCCCATTCGATGGTACCTTCGTTGTTGCTTGGATCACCGCCAGCCCAGATACCGAAGAAAAGTCTCATTGGCGACTGGGGGTATCCTTCCGAGGAGGTGTTGGCTAGGGTTCTGACCAAGTTGCCGTCGATGTACCAGGATAAGGCAGACTCATCCCAGTCGATTGTGTAGTTGTGGAACTCGGCCCTTGGGTCGGCCATGTCGTGGTATTCGCCTCTGTCGTGGGTGGTGGTATTGCCCTTGGAGAAGTAGTTGGATTGCATCTGAGACACATCCCCACCGAACCATTCCATGTCAATTTCGTCCAAGTCATCCGACTGGAGGTAGAACGACGAGATGACACCGGTGCCCGGCGCTGACTTCAACCACACCTCGATCTTACCAAACAGGATGTAGAAGTCTGACACCAAAGAGGGGTTGTCGTACCGCTTGGCTAACGTCAAGGTCAATCCGTCGTCGCCGTAGAAAATCTGGGACGGGGTCCGGTAGGGTATGTAGTTATCTGAGTTGGCCTTGAAGTCATCTGAGACCGACGTGGCCAACGCCGGGTTCGGCGAGCAGCTTGTGGCAGACAGCGGGTTGCATGTGGAGAGAGTTGTAGCCGATGCAGTGTTTTCAATCTGAGAGCCCTCAGCCGATGCAACTGCGGCTGCCGGGAGGGAAACACTGGCTAGTGTTAGTGCCACGAGAGACGCCCATTTTTGGTAAGAGTGTGCACGCATTTTCTTCTGTGTTCTATAGCAAGCGTGGTAGCAAAACGATGCGTTGTTTCGGTTTTGACTCGATTCGACTTTATGCGGATATATTTGATTCAGCAAAGACACAGCACGGCACCGTACAACACAGTCTGACCCTACGCAGGCGCACGCTGGTCCCAGAACACGAACACGCCCGCAATCCCGTCCTATATATACCCCCGTCTCTCTCCCTGCTCCCTCCGAAACGAAAACAAACCAGAACCAGCCTCGTCCCCCCGTCTCTTCCTCCGCGGCCTCGGGCAAGGCTCAACAGCCCCTCCGACGCGTGCAAGCCACCCAAACACGCCCCGCGCCCCCTTTTTCTGACCGACCGTTGGCCGGCGGGCCATTCCGTGCTCTATTTTTAACTTGTTAAACCCCTGCTGTCATGTAATGTCATATCGGATCATACATCGGTCCAGAGGCTCTTTTCCAAAAACAGGGCCCTGCGGCACCTACGTGCGTCATCAGTGATATGAGTGGTGGTTGCGGTAGTGATTGTGCCGAGCAGCAGCTCGCAGAGACCCTCGTGTTCCCCATTGAGATGGAGGTGCGTGTACACGGTGATGGCCAAGACGATCATCAGAAGCACGCTAAGAGCGATGCAACTGCGGTCGCCGTTAGAGTCTCTGATTGAGAAGAACAAACCGATGTCGAAAACCTCGAGGCTATAGATGCCTGCGTACAGTTGCTTGATGGCGTTAATATAGAGTTTGCCGTGGGTCTCGGACGGATTTGTGCGGTTGAGCGTGTACTTAATCGAGTACTTGTACCCAAGAAGATCCAAGGTGAAGTTGATGCAACAGAAAATCAAGATCACGGGGGAGATGACCGAGTATACGATACCGATGCACCCGTAGACGCTGAACGTTGGGTAGATCTGTCCCCAGTAATTCTCGAGCTCGTACTTGTTGCGGAGCTCGGCCTCGTGCAGCTCCCGCCGGGTCTTTTTGCTGCCAAGAAGTCTATCGTCGATAAAACATTTCTTCACAAAGTAGTAAAACTGTAATACGTTATTTCCCAGAAGTGTCAAGCCTTTCAAAATGAAGAAGGATGTGAAAAATATCGATGCCTTTGGGAAATCAATTGCAAGGATCAGTGGAATGGAGACTGGGTTCAAGATGAGCTTCTGCAACACCACAATAAACCCTGAGGAGATTGTGATCACAATGAAGAGCTGGAAGAAGAGAAACACAAACACCCATTGCTGTATGCTCATTTCTTTGCTGGCTCCAGTTATGTGTCTTTTGCGATTGCTGATCACTCGAAAAATTACCAACGCAAAGCTAGTAAGGAAGGTAAGCACCGTCGTTGGCAACACCCAGGAAATAAAGTCCTGTAGAACTTGCGGAATTCGGTTAATCCACCGCATGGTCGGAATCAACATAGTCAAACAGTTCAATTGCGATATTGTCCCTACGCACGAGATCGGTATCACCCAGCATACAATGACAACCACCGAAATGAAAAACAACACGCATTCCTTGATGCTGAGAAAGAAGTTCTGGTTGTTATCCCCCGCTACGAGCTTGTCCCACTTGATGTCCCTCGGACTAATGTCCGCCATTTTAAAGTTAGCCATCTTGCAGTCTTTCCCAATACTCAATTGCACTTGCTGCAGTATGTACTTGAACGATATGTTTTTGAAGACAATGAACACTTTGTCGTTGACCAAAAGTGGGTCTTCCAAAGTCTCATTTTGTAGATGTACCAATCTCATCAGTTGGATTTCCTGCACAAGGTGCTTCATTTCTGACTGAAGGTAATTGCATTTATTAACCTTGTACGAAAGCCCAACCACTGTAATCTCATAGTCACTGTTTAGTATTTTAATTGGCAAGTACATCATACTCTTTACCTGACTTTGTCTTTCCCCCGTCTTGTATTTGGCTAGCTCCGAATAATGTCTCTCCAATTCATTCCTCAACTTCCTGTACCTGTTGACCATTTTCACAATTCGAGCAGAATAGTAAACCGGATATATGTCTTCAATGCAATTGGGTATAAAACTCTCAAGCAACTTCTTCAAGTCACTTACTGTTCGATATTTCTCAGTGTTGATATTCTCAAAATACAAGGTCTTCAAAAACCTATTCCCACTATCATATTTCTTCATTGATGAATAAAATCCAAATTTTAGCTTGATAAAGAAATTCACTTCGTGGACCAAGATATAATGAAACCAAAAGACAATGAATATGGTCACCAAAAAATGGAAAATATATTTATACGTGTTGTTTGAAGGGATGTTCAATATTGAGATCAAATCCAAACCGGAATTCACATTGGCCTCTGTCAAGTAATTCACTGGAAGCAAAACAGGCAAGCATACCAATGCAATGCCAACAAAAAAATAGAGGCAAACGTACAAGAATCTAAGAAAAAGGTAAGAGTCAAGCCCGTACTTACGATAATCCTCTATATCTAAGAACCTGATAATATCGTTTTTTTTACGAATATGGTGCAAGCAAAAGGCAACGAAAGACATTTTGGACTTATTCGGAGAACTTTGTGCAAAATTACTGCTACTAATACTTTTGTTATTGTTTCCATATTTATCATAAAATTGTGGATACCGAGACTGAAGGTAGTAGAACAAAAGGAGTTGCAAAACACAGTATATCGTTGAAAACATTAATGATGCCATCAACGATTCAAGTGAGATTCCTCTTGCGTTTGCGACATGCATGCTTCCCTCTTGGGAAATCTTGAAGAGCTGCTTAATTTCTACTATAGAAGATGACATATTTACTATCAATCCTTTCAACCACGCTAGTAATATTCATTTAAATGAGGCAAATAGAAGTGGACCTCTTATCGATAACTACTACCTTTCTCCTTTCATCATCACTCCTTCTGATAAACAAGATTCAGACCCCTACCCTCTTACGTAATCTTACATTGTCTTTTTCCGTAAAAATCGCTTATGTCGATCAATGATCACTATCAGAGGAGTTTAAATGGCCTTTAAAAGGGAGAGAGGTGCACAATGCTTCTTTACTCTATTTTTTTGTTCTTTTTGAACAAGGCAACTTGAATCTTGATTACTATAAACAATGTCAGGATCTCCGCTTGAAAAAATTAAATCTGTGTTCCAAAAATCTTCTCACGTGGGGAAATATTCTGACTCAGAGAAATCCTACTCCAATAGAAGCAACAGCAATGGAAATAGCAGTGTTGATAGTAATTCCCAGCTCCATGAATTTGAGGAGCCACCGCTAACTCCATTGAGTTTAAGTGGATACAAATCCACTACGAAACATAGGCTTTTGAATCCAGAATTGGCAGAAGAAATTCGGCAACATATCCCTTCTCTATTACAAATCAATCATAAATGGCAGCTCCTTTATTCTGTTGAGCAGAGTGGAACTTCCCTGCATACCTTGTACAGCAATTGCCATCCCCTGTTTGGTGAAAATATGAATCGAAGGAGGGGATACATTTTAGTGGTCCAAGATACCCGAAAGAATATTTTTGGCGCTTACTTGAATGATTATTTGAGGCCACTTGAAGGGAAATACTACTACGGGAATTGCGATTGCTTTCTTTGGAAACTGCAGAAGGGTAAAGTCATGCATTTGAAAAGCAACAATTCTACAATAAGATCGCATGAAGGGGAAACGGCAAGAAAAGAAGCACATCATGGCAATGATGGTAGAGAAGAAGAGGAAGTGATGAACTTGAAAGTGTTTCCATATACCTCTTTGAATGACTTCATAATCTATTCCAACAACGAATTTATTAGCGTAGGATCTGGCGATGGTAAATTTGGGCTTTGGATAGATTCGAATTTTGAGGTTGGTGCTTCAGATACTGTAGAGACATTTGGGAACGAGCCTTTAAGTGACCATAAAAAGTTTCATATTCTTGGACTAGAGGTCTGGAAGGTCAGCTGAACTAGCGGAAAAGTCAAACTTGTCAAACAAAAATAGGTCAACTATATAATAATATAATAATTAATAATTTCCAGGATAATTTACAGAATCGTTACGTAGAAAAATGCAACTAAGGAAAGGAAGGCAAGGGTGGAAAAACAAGGAAAAAAGAAATTGTATACAAGTCACTAAACTTGAAATTTAAAGACTGTCAAAAATAACCATTGACATAAATAAAACAGGCATTGAGCATGGAGTTGTAGTATAAATGAACAGTTTATAAGGAATTCATCAGGAATTCATCAGTATCTCCCCCCAAAATCTTCCTTAAACTCTTTTGTGATACCATGTTCTTCATCCACAATGCTTAACACATCAGAATCATCCTGATCATCATCTATTATTTTTGGCTTCATATTAGCTTTCCCTCTTGAAAGATCTGGCTTTTTCTTCTCTCTCTCAACATAAGAGGTAAAGTCAGACTCACTTTCAGATGGTAGTTCATCACCTGAGATACCATCAAGGCCCGAGTCGTCTAGAAGTGAAAGATCAACATCTTCATCTTCTTCGTCATGTTTCATCTTGAAAACATCCAAATCATCCAATCCAAGCTCATCATAGGCATCACCTTCAATATATCCGTGATCTGAGCTACCTAAATAACCAATATTGAAATAATTGACCCACAAGCGCCCTAGATAATCCCATTTTTTAATGTCATTTTCGTGGAAAGAAATGACACTTCCTTGTGGGATACTTGGGTTTTTACCTCCCCCAATTATATCATATGAACACCATAAGTAATTGGAGCATTCCGATGTCATTGCCCATCCTCTAGTGGGCTCACCGTTCTTCATGTTGACTGAAAATTCAGCTGGAGGTGGAATCAAACCATGTGTAATATGTAGTGGAGATAGATATTCCTTCTTAAGCTCAATCAATGATTTTTGCTGGTTTCTCTCGTAATTGATATCTTTATAATATGACTCTGGCTTTTTACATGTCAAGAATCCAGAATTAAACCATAATAAGTTATAATCTTTTGTGATATGAGCCGGGTGAGTTGAACATAATTCATGACTGACCAGTCCTTTGTCAGGGGAAAGTTCTCCAATTGCGATTGCAGGATTAGAATTGAAGGCATATGGCTGTCCCATTATCTCTTGACCAAGCCATATAAACTCTTTTTCACCATGTAATGATCCAGAAAATAGCTTGAACATCTGTAACAAAAGAGAAGCAACAACACCATCAAATTTTTCTTTCTTATTAATAACAAATAAGCCTGACTCCATAAAATGTCTTGCCATTCCGCCAAAGAATCTGTTATTCAACACTTTATCGTCAACTTTAGGTAAGCCTAAATAATGCATTTCGTGATCATAATTCAAATACGACTTAAAATAATCGACAATCCCTTCGTACAAAAACGAGTTTGCATCTCTGTCTTTGAAAAAGTAGGCATGATTTTGGAGGTACTCTGGTGAACTGAAAAATGTCTCCAAAGGCTCCACTATAACAGTGTCTGTATCCAACATGATCATTTCCTCAAAACTGTTAAACAAATAGGCGAGGAGTTTCATACCAAAATGGGAATAGTATTTCTTAAATGTAAATGAAATGGTGTTTGAAACATCAACATATGTGATATCTAGAGTCACAGGCTTCTTAGGCACTTTGAATTCTGGTATAGATTTTGGTAACTTCATGATTGGATCGTTGGCAATGTTGTTAATGATTTTGATCGACTCAATTGATAAATCATTATTATGGAAAATCTGAATAGGGTATGTGTTACCTGTTAATCTTAAAATTGATAATATGGCAGCTAACTCTGGTACCAGTGAATCATTAGTGGTGAAGACAATGCCTCTACCCTTCATCTTGGACTGCAACATTTTGATAAAACAATTGTTTGCTAGTTGAGAATTGGCGTCTGAATAAGGATCAATCTTCTTTTCCACCAATTTTTTATCATATGATCTAAACTTTGGAGTCTCACCAGTTAACCATGGAAATAGTTTTTTGGAGATAGCTGAACATTGTTTGGCGTATTCGGGGGCCTGGGGAGAGTTGATGAGCTCAGCGTCATTCTCTGTTTTCAGAAACAAGTTGGAAAAAAGTTTGAAGTGTCTCAAAGAATGTTTGATCTCGGTGGCTGATATTTGATTGTGCTCCAATTTCTTTTCTCTTAGTTGGATGACGACATTTTCGAACCAGTCGTCGTTGATATCAAGCTGTTCCTGTTCCTTTTCGGTCAAATGCTCTTTAATTTTCAACCATTTCTTCAACCTCGTGTTGATAAATTTCTTGCTGTAATATGCGTCCTTATATATGATGTCCTGTATAGCTCTGAATGTGAAGTTTGATTCCGGTAAAATCGTATCGGCATAAAAGTTTATTCTGTCCCATAGCGGGAGCTGCTGGTAGACAAAAGACTCATTGTTGGTTTCATAAGAGTCAAGCACTGAAAACGGATCCACAGAATTGTGGAACGTCTGGTTCTGGATTGGCTCATTTACCAAATCATCGAGGTACCCGATGAGAGACCACTTTGTGTAAAAGTTGTCTGTTTTCAAGTCATCTGCGCTTCTGATAGTCTTTAAATACTTTCCTCTGAATGTCCCTTCATAGATTTCAGGAAACTCTGGTGCAGACGGGAAGGTGTATAGGAAGGTGTTGACCGATATGAAGGCAAATAGAGTGAAGACTATGAACCTCCGGTATTTGCGGAACAGATTATATAACCTCCACACGTACTTATTCCTTGCCAAAATCATGGAGAATTGACCAGTGTTTGAAGATTGTGGAGGCAGTCAGTACTTCAAATAACTAATTTGACTCTACCAATGCGATAGACAAGTTGGTTTTAGTGGTACTCAAGCAAGGACGATGAAAAGAACACGGCAGAATGGGATATAGGCTTTGGGATACGAGCTTATTGCTACGGGCGGCCATGCTACAGGGTCCTCCTGCGCTCCTGTACCTTACGTCCCATACATTTCAGCCTCCGGTAGCGCGCATGGAAGCTTACGTCAGCCGCTGCAGAGTGAAAATCCGACGATCTTGTGGGCTAGACCGCTCTGTATCACCGACGCGTCGACAATAAGACCAATTGGAGCTAAGCCCTGTCAAAGGCGATTGAGTGAATAATATCGGATATCAAAAAATCTATTAAGCTGGATACATTTACATATAAGAATACATAGATGAGATTATTATCTAATACATAAGGACATGCCTTGAAATATGGAGAATTTGTAACAAATTGACAACAGACTGGCTATGCAATTGTTCAATTCTGAATCTCAGCAGCCTTAGATTAACAAAGCACCGGCAGCCAAAACTGCAGCACCTGCAGCGTAGTAGGAACCACCAACGAAAGCAGCACCATCAGTGTAGATGGAAGTAGAGCCAGTAGCGTTCTTGGCTGGACAGTTGGTAACAGTGGAAGCACAAGAAGTGATGGTGTCAACTTCAGTAGAGAAAGAAGTTTGGGTAGAAACAGCTAAGGCAGAAGCAGCGAATAAAGAGACGATGGAGAATTGCATTTTGATAGTGTAAAGAAGGACTTAAGTTAGTTGTGTCTTGTGAGAGTAAGATACAGAAAGAGAAGGGAAAAAAGAATAAAGAGAAGAAAGGAGAGAGAAACAACAAAACCAAGAAGTAGGGGCACAAGCCGTCTTTTATATTTTTTGGTCGTTTGATGAAAACCAGTAAAATCCCGCTGATAGCAACAACAACACCTACATCCACATCGACTTCGACCTCGGCGTCTGCGCCATCCACACGGCACAGACCGCAGGAAAGGTAATATTCGTATAGCAGTGTTTCTTCCAACACGGGACAACAGATCTGCAAAGAAACGCGGTTTGCCCAACCGTTGTCGCTATATCTGGAAAAAGATAAATAACCGCGCCCCCCACGCGAGATGGTTGCCTAAGGCAATTGCTGCGTTGCTAGGCGCACAAACAAAAGCCGCAGATACACGAGCGAAATCAAGCCGTGCAGGATTAAACGGGTTTGCAAAAGCGAAGCGAAGACAATGGATCGGCACCGCAGCTAGCCGACTCAAAAAGGGCCGTGTCGACACTCTAGACACTGTAGAGATAGTGGTTCGACGACAACAACGACAACAACAACAACAACAACAAAAAGATGGCAACAACAGCGACGCCTAATAATAGAATCAGATGTCTTACTGGCGGGATATCTACGCTTTCAGGGTGCCTAGGTTCTAGGTCTGGCAGTGACTGCTTACACATTCATCCACTTGGTTACTTGCTTGCTTTCCTACCTACTGACTTGCGTCTTACTTATTTTTAAATGCTTATTGCTTGTTGCTTATTGCTTGTTGCTTATTGCTTGTTGCTTATTGCTGATTTGCTAGCTTACACCAGACATACAATGCGGGCTCACAGAAAAGGCTATCATAGCGTGCACCACCCTCCTATATCTGTAAGATTCTCGAGTTTCTGAGCAATCACGTTTTGAATGTTGTGGGTCAACCACACGCTTTTCTGAAACTCCTCGTATTTGCGTCTGCTTAGCCTCAAATTGTGCCCCTTCTTGCAGTCTTTATCGGTCTCGCCGTGAGCATCGCGGTATGGACTGTCAATAAAACACCCTTTCCCGTTGTCCAATAGCAAACAACAGTTGTTTCGAGGGAGGAAAAAAAGCCCCCTTCCTCCGTTTATGCATTCCCAGCGTAGGTGCATGGTACACGACCCAAACTCGTCGCCATAACGATTTTTTTGCACATCGATAATATCACCACAAAACAGACATATAGCAGGTTCTTCTGCCCTGTCCTTCTCATCAATTAGGTTGTAGTAACGAATGTAAAGATCGTTTAATTCTTCGGGCAGGTTGATGAGTCTAATCATTCCAGGATAAGCTACCCTCGACCTCAACAACTCCTTCTTTTGCTTTGTACTCACCAGCTTAAAAAACACCACTTCAAGTTTCTCGATAATATCGTCAACTTTGGGCACTTTGAGCACCTCACAAATCCGATCACACTCTCGTAATCCATTATTGACCTTGACCTGCGTTTCATCGAATCTTGCATATTTTGCGTACGCCAAAATGAGGCACTTTCTGATAAACGGTGTTATTAGCCTTATCGTCATACTGTAAACAACGTCTACTAATGCCTCATTGCAAGTATCAACATCTATGAAGTTGCAAATAATTTTTCTTAGATGATCTCTGTTACCTTCAAACTTATCAGCACCTAAAATGTCGAATCTTTCAGAGCTGGCAACACCAAGCCTGATCCGTTCGTCTCGATTCATCAATATCACAAGAACTTTCATGATTGATTGCTTGATGTGCTTGACAAAAAAAATTCCGACCAATTTCTGAAATGGGTAGCCAATATATTTTACCTCTTCACAATGAATTAGACCCGTAAAATAGTCCTGCCCATTGAACATAAGATTATCATCTTGAAATAGGTTGGAATAGGATCCGACCAGACTTTGCGAATATAGGTGTGAATTATCCTTTGCCAATATGTCATCTCTTTGTATTCCTAGCGTAGATTTGAAGATTTCACTAATTTGTAGCCATATTCTAATGGTAGTGAGAGAACGGTTATTAAGCTGGAAAATGAGTAGCTTTTGCTGACTTTGTTCGTTATAGCCCTCACCTCTTAACAATATCTCCAAAGATTCAATGGTTTTACTTATAACTAGTCCAAATGATTCGAATGGGGGAGAAACAGATGTAACTGCAATTAAACAATCTTTGAGGGCCAAAGGAATTTTTGATTTGCTATTGAATGTGTATTTTTTTGATCCATCAAATTCAAGCTCCTCGTCAATAAACCAATCTTTAGGTTTCATACTAGCTTTCACATTCTCAATTAGTTCATCTCTTATACCCGCTAACAAATTAGGATTTTTTAGCAACTTATCGTCCAAAAAAGGGTTTAATATATCTTTAGTATTCAAATGTCTTTCAAAGTTTTTGTCAAACCTTTTGTTATTTTTAGAATAATAAACTGGAATGAACACGTTGTTAATAGATTTGCATAAAGGACAGATAAACTCACGCCTTTGAATATTTTCTGGTACAGTCCTTGTAATTTGGGAGAGCTGTTTATCCATTGAAGCCTCATAATATTGCTTAAAACATTGGTCGTGCATACCATGAGAGCAGCTTGTAATTAGTGCCATATTATCATTGTAGCCACTGCCGTTTAACTCTTCATCAGCGCTAGGGAAACCAGGCCCAATCACACTCTCATATTCAGATTTAGCAATGAAATTATTCAGTCTTTCATTTGAACAAGCTGATTCATCTAAACTTGAGTTCCCTCCAAATGCCTTGTAGAACCAATAATCATTCTGTGTTGGCACATATCTGAATTCGTTACTCTCAGTAATATAACTAAAAACGCCAAAAACCTCTTTCTCATCAGCCGGAGGCATATGGCAAAGTAAACATGTGTGTTCAGGATATTTCCATGAGGGACAGCTGGTATCACTATCGTCCTCCATTTCACCGTCATTGTAAGTTCCGTCCACACTATCTTTACAGTTTGTGTTATCATCACTTGACGACAATCTGAAATCTTGTATTGATTCAATTGATTTAATCATTTCATTGCCACTTTCACTTGGGGCACTCTCACTGTAATCATCCACCATGAAATTTTCAGCAAATTTTTGCTGTTGTTTCTTTAGTTTCGCCAGCAGCTTGTTACGTTTCTTTTTGGCTAACTTTTTTTTCCTATCGTACGATAAATCATTAATAGATCTGCTCTCGTTTTCTGTTTTAACGAAGTTAGTACTGAAAATGTCAGGATTAAACTTTGGTATATTTTGCTGAAAATCAAACTGCATACTTTTGAGAATATTGTAAATTATATGCATAATGCTCTTCACCTTAGCATTTAGTTCGATAACAACATTGCATTCATAAATACTCAGCAATTCCACAAAAAGTTTAGAAAGCTCAATGTCCTTAACTTCTTTAATATTCTTGTGTTTCATAGCTATATGCGTTAAGTGTAGTGTCAAGCTAAGCAATGATTCGTGGTTTTCTTTAGTTGCATTTTTCCGTTGAGAGTTGGTATCATTTGAGATTTGAAGCTTACAATGCAGTAAAGTTGTATGCAAAAACAAAAGAAGCTTTTCGTCCAACAACACATCCACAACTCTCTCAAATGGGCTATCTCTCCAGTCAATAACTTTTGGCTCAATCACAACATTAATGGGATTTATGTTCATCTTGCGAGCAATATATTCTTTCATTTTTGAAATGCAACTATCTCTTCTGTTTGAGTTGAAGTGAACGTAGTAGGGGTCAATCGTATCTATCAACTCTGGTTTCAATCTATAAAGTCGTTCTTCCGCAATTTCATCATAATCTTTTACAGGTTCCACACATTTTTGAAAAACTATAGGAAACCTTCTCAATGAACATACATGGTCAGGTATGCAACTAGTAATCTCGTTATGATTCTTGGAGTCAAAACACAAGGAATGTACAATTTCTCTCTGTATTAGTTGATCTGAAACATAAACTGCATCTTTCTTATGCAAGTGTAAGTCTTCAGTGACAAGATATATCATGAACAAAATGAATTCTTCAAGTATGGCTTGCATATGATGTGGTGGGTACGGCAATGTTGAAAGGTTTCCATTTACCCAAGACAGCAATTTCCATCTATCGAAAATGGTATACATGACTAACTGTGCATATCTAAAGTAGCCAACATAAACTTGGCACAGAAATAGATCTCTCATATAACCGAATTCTCTACTTGCACCGTATCGATACAAATTCATTTGACTTTTAACACTAGTACCGTTTCTTACCCATAAACCAACCTTTATTTGAGAGATAAGAACAATTTTTCTCAAAGGGATATCGAAAAAGCCCATAACTCCTTCATATTTAGAGAGTTGAAGATCTCCAATCGCCTTGCTGTTAGATCCAACTTTTTCATTCAAATAAAATTCATATTCTCCTTGTATAATATCCATCAAGTTAAGCAATGACCTCTCAGAGTCCATAGATTGATCCATTTCAACCAGCCAGGAAAACATGTTATGCAATGGATGTAAAAAGCTTACTTTGCCCTTCATAACATCAAATTTTATTACATTAAAACCCGGAAATTCTTGGCAGGATTGTAAACAAATTGCTTCTTCTTTGTCATCAATTATCTTATGGTAAAATCTTCCCAATGAGTCATCTTCTTGCTTGTCACTGAAGGTTAGCTCAATTATTTTTCGTATGATAATAATGTACAATGTTTCAGTAAACGGCTTTTTCATTGAATTGGAATACGAATGATACCAGCAATCCATAGAATTTCCTTGAGAGAAAAGCCTGTCTTTTGAAACTCTGCTGAGTATTTTCCCCAAGTTCTCAGAGAAGTGGGAAATCACAGAAACTGCATTGAAAAATACGGTATAATCCTGGCTTTCATACTCCACGTGCTTTTCTGCTTCCCTCTGAAAGACAGGCTTACTTTGAAATACACCCAAAAAGTGTACATACTCAGGAAAACACAAAAAAATAGTGAATATATTATCAATATCAGGATTTCGAGTAATAACATATGATAAATCGAGTAGAACGTGTGCCCATTTTCTATTTTTCAATGTTGAAAAAACAACACCGGATATGTTTGACTGCATTAGATTGTCTGATTGCAAGGTATTAGTGGTCTGACCAGTGGTGACGTAGCTGTAAATAGAACGAATCATTTTGACCATATCACCATGCTTTAGAATCAAGCTGTCATTAGACGGTGAGCTAAATAACTGAGTTGAAAGTAGAGGCATAACTGATAATTCTGGTTCTCTATCAACCAACAAAAATAACGTGAGAATATTATCATAGATATCAATAAACTGCGCAACAAGCATTTTTCCGTAGACTGAGTTCTTGGCAATAGGGGGAATGTAAATATTGTGCAAGTCAATCCTTGTTTTCTTGCAAAATCTCACATCAAATAATAATAGAAATTGTAGTCTTGAGCCGTTGTAAGTATCGGTCTCTTTAATGGAATCATAATACTGACAATCATTTTTCAACTCTTCAGAGAGGTTCCAACTTGATTCGTTCGAGCTGGTATCAGAGGTTGTTGAAACTTTTGAATTTGTTCTTAAGCATAAAGGGTTCAACAATACTTTATCATGATATACATCCAACCATTGGTCCATGCAGCCACGGTTATAAGGACGCAAAAAAGACCTAGAAATCGTGCACCTTACAGCCCAGTTGTATTTTGCAATATTTGATTGCGTAAACTCAAAAATCCAAGATATTATGTCACTACACATCTCCTCTCTAAATGCTTCTCTGACGTTCTTGATACACCCTGTTAAACCAGTTGAAGTTAAAATTTCTTGCTTCCTTAGCAAAAACTGAATGTTATCAGATACCATGACAATAGCCCGCCCATATTCATTACACCTCGAGGCAATCATCTCAGCATATTCCAAGACTTTTCCAGTGGTAAATCGTATTCGTTGCACTGCATCTTTATATTGGTGAACTTGATCTGAATATATTAATAAGGCATATTTTGGACTATCATAATCAACTCCGTGATAAACTTTTGCATTTAGGACCCCCATTTGATGGGCTAGCCTTATTTGATCAACCCTTTCTGGTGGAGATAAACATGATATAGAATGATTTGTTATATCTATGATGAAATCGGCCAACACCCCCAGAAACTCTGTTAGATTGTTTATCAATTTATCATTGATAACAGTAAAGGATGATTCACCGCTTGGTAAGGTGTAAAGTTTACATTGACAGTTGCTATAGGCCTCTTCATCACCACAATCGCAACAGCCAGCATAATCTCTCTGGATGATACTTTTATGGACATCGTGTCCTTCGTGCTCTTCCGCATTGAAGCAAAAACGGCAAAGTGCACAAGTTTCATCATATCCACAAGTGAGGCATCTCCAGCAAGTCTCGCCTCTTAGAAATCGATGGCCACATGTTCTTCCATAGTGTGTATGATTCGTTTCGTCTACTTCCAAGTCTCTAGGATCTATCCCAGATATGTAAGACAGCTCTTTCTTTAATGACAATCTGGCATTTTTAGTATATTGGTAATTGTGTTGGGATGCAAAATTCAAAAGAAATAACCTCAAAGATGAAAACTGATTATATTGTTGTTCTGTTTCCATGTTTAGTTAAAATATTTCACAGATCTCTACCCTCTCTTTAGGATAATTGTTTTAAAATGTGAAAAGTATAAGGGTTTGCCCTCATCATGTGTGGAGACAATCCTCATCAATTCCGAGAGCGTAATTTCGATCCAGCTGATGAGCCCTCTGTCCTTACATAAAAAGTCAATAATATTACGTCAGCGCAGGGAGGATAAAAGTTTGGCTTAACAGGTCAGTTGACCATTAACTTAAACATGAGGGTTATAAATCGTAATTACAAACCAGTTATAAAGTTACAAATCAATAAGGTTGACAATTTCAGGCTCTTTTTTAAGTTGAGCTGTAACATGATGCATCTCAGTTTCTGATACTTTAGGCTCTGCTTGATTAGGTGAAGGCGGGCCTTCTGATACTGTCTCGGGTACACTTGCATAACGGAGGTGTTCTGATATAGGAAGCTTTCCATCAGAAAAGTCTTTCACTCTCGGTATCTCTTCTGCGGACACTTTATGAGAGTATGGTGAAGAAGGAACCATTTGTAAGAGTTGTTGCGCTTCTAGATTTGTTCCTGATGGTGCTGGTATAGGATAAGTGGATGGGATGGTGAATTGCGAGCTGGGGCTAATGCATGTTGCTTGTGGAGATATGCTTTGGGAAGTATTAACAATGTTGTGTGTGGGAAGCTCATCGATTTGAAAAGTGCCGGATTGGGACTGGTATGCTTGTAATTGATGGACTTGAGGGTGCTGGTTAAACGTTGATTGAGGCGATAAATACTGCACAGGTTGATTCAAATATGGTGGGATGTGTTGCTGGTATGGAGAGCGCCCATACGACTGAGGAGGCCCTAAACTATTGTGCTGTGATTTTAGCATATCCTGTTCTTGTTTTAGTCTACTTTGCAGAATATCATCATAAAGTCTGCTGATTGCAAATAGTTTTGAATATAAAGATTGGAACTTCTCAATTTCGGAGTGTTCATTAGCTATGGCTGCTCCTATTTTAGGGTGAAGAAGAACCATATCTGAATGAAGCTGAATGATTCTTGGATCGGTTGTGTTGATTCGATATTGGTCACCCTTGAGATTGTCTAGTAATTGAATAAAGTCCACTACCTTTGTTTCGTCAATGCCTCTGATTGTGTTCGAATTGGAGGCCACGTACATATCATCCCGACGCTGTTCATACGGTTTTTGATGCTGGAGCTGTAGTTGCGGCTGAGAGAGAGAATGAGGTTGGAGCTGCGCCTGAGGTTGTGGCGCTTGGAAATATTGTTGCTGCTGTGAATAAGAAATTGGAGGCCTTTCTTGAACAGTATGTTGGGAAGAAAGTGAGCTGCTTGTAGGGACATACGGTCTGTCTGACATCAAATTAGAGTAGAGCCCTGTTGAAGAATCTTTCTGTACTTCTGGTTCTTTTATAGCTTCAAGCTTATCGCTGCCATTGGAATTTTTATTATTCAAATCTTGCAAACTTGCAGCAATTGCAGCCTTCATAGCTTCATCCTCATCCTCATCCTCATCTTGAGTCACAGTTGCGTTAACTTTTGAAGTCGTGTCGTGTGAATTTTTAGCTGCTGTCTCTTTTAACGACAGTTCGATTGCTCTCTTAATTTCATCATCTGTGTCTTCAACAACATTTCTTGAATCTAATGATTTAGAATCAGATTGTCTTTTGTTGCGCTTATTCTTCTTCCTCTTTGCTTTTTGGTCAGTATAGCAATTATCACAAACTCTCACTGGAATATTTATCCCCAACTCAGGCAATTCTACAGACTTGCTAGAATGCTGTGCGCAAAAAACACCACCGCAGGATCTACAATGATGTTTTCTATTTATGAAAGTAAACATTTTTGAGCACATCATACAAGCATCAGAATCTTGCCATTCTGGAGCCACTTTTGAATCTATCATGGTTGAGTCGATAACATCACTAATCATGGGAAACTCAAATCCGTCGTCTTGTAGTTTCCTATATGTTTTATTAATATAATCAAACTTGGGATCTTTACTGACCATTATTGACCAGGTTTGAATATGTTCTAAAAGATAGGATTTTAAACCTTCATTTATAGTTTTTTCTTTCAATTGAGCAACCAACGGGTCCATGAACTCTTTGGAAGCGATTTCATTGATAAAATGTTCTCCACCGTTTTTGATACAAAAATCAATCAGTTTGAAAGCGGACTTTTGCGTGTTCACATTTTCAGCTTCCAAAAATCTTCTTTTTAGTGATCTCATTGACTCCTTTGGCGGCACTTGTTTCGAGCGAATCATATCGCTGACCTCTAATGCTGTGGCAAAATCAATTTCACCGTTGGGAATTGATTCGGATGTCGCATCCTTTATTTTCTCCTCAAATTGAGGGTATTTTGCAGTTCCAAACCAAGACATTACTGGTCTGTTTTGTTATGTTTTTATTGACAATGCTGAACTAAAGCACGGGTAAACTTTGAAACGTTACAGCAGAAGGCAATATTGCAAATGTACCAGCAGTAAAAAAAAGCGACCCTTCGTATTCAAATCGATAATCAAGAAAATCAAAAAAATCGGAGACACTTTTTACTTTTTGCGCATCCTTTCACTGCGATAACAAATCTAGCTTTTCTTTAATATGAAACCTACGATTAGAAAAATGGATGGGTATTATATTATGGGGTCTAGTAGCAACCGCCAAATAATGTTTATGAAAAGAATATGTAGACGTAATGTATGGGAAGTTAATGAATAAGAGTTGCATTTCTTCAAAAAAATCAGATATGCAATACTGAAGGGTCAAGTTGACCTAAGGTAGCAGAACTGATAGTTGGACTTAACAAATTATGGTCAATCAAGCTGCCGTAACTTCTAGAGGGCCTCAATGATAAAGTGTCATCATTAATAGCATCTTCGTAGCCTGAGTCATTGTGGCTGGTATGAGGCATTTGACCGTCGAGGTCTTCAACTAAAGAGTCCTTTATTATGGTTTCCCAGTCACTGGCAAGGACAAAAAATAGCTCGCATGTTGATACAAATACCAAGGCAACAATCATACCAATCCATAGACCGAACAACTCAAGCTCAAAATGGAATCCAAATAAGAATGCAACAGGCAATGCTAAAACGTAGTAACTGAACAAATTGAGCCAGCCACCGATATATTGACGTCCTTGACCTCTCAACACACCACCTAGAACACAACAAAGACAATCAGGAATCTGATAAATTGCGCCAATAATCAAAACTTTGGAAGCTAAATTGACAACGGCTTCATCCTGTGAAAAAATTTTGGCAATTGATGAAGAGCCAGTGCCAAGTACTATGCAGTTGAAAATCCCAAACCCGATAGAGACATAAATTGCAGCATGAGTTGATATGAGGGCGGCCTTTTTAGAAGCCGAGCCAATGAACCAGGCAATTCTAGTTGAACCAGCAACAGAAACGGCAAATGGAATTTGGTAGATGGTTACGCAAACTGTTGAAACAATAGATTGGGCTGCCAATGATTCAGTTCCAAACCTGGAAGAAGCAAAAGAGATGATTTCAAATGCTAACCATTCAGCTTCAATCATCAAGACTCCAGGTGCTGCCAACTTCAAGGCTCTACTCCAATTCTTGAACACTTCCATGGACAACCCACACCAACACTGATATCCGTTTATAAAACAGGTGTAAAATAGGAGCATTAGAGCCATTAAGGTATTGGTGACGGCAACAGCGGTAGGAGCCCCTAGAAATCCAATACCAAAGTGTTTGTTCCATACTAAAAGGTAGGTCAATAAAAAGTTGAAAGGTGCACATATGAGCAATACCACAGTTGAAGCATGGAAAATACCTTGAGCTTGCAAATATTGTTTCAAGACCTCAAAAACAATAAAACCTGGAACACTCCATACAAGAACTTTCAAGTATTGAGCTGCCAAAATGCACGCTTCAACTTCTGTGACCACTGCTGAAAGCAGGGGATATGCGCCCCATGTCCAGAAACAGAAGATGGGGATATAAAGAAGCATCAACATCAAGAAGCATCTAATTGAATGCATACCAACCATCTTGTAATCTTTACGACCATAGGCTTGTGGACAAAGCGTCGACAAAGAGGACGCAATGCCTTCTATCAAACCAAAAGAAGAGATGTTTGCCAAAAGATTTGACAAAGATACAGCAGCCAATTGGTTTGAACCTAAGTTCCCGACAAAGAAAACAGATGCAACAGTTAAAGAATATTGCAAAAGAAGAGTTATTATCAAAGGAATCGAAGATTGCATCATCATTTTCACTTCTGTGGTCGTATCTGTATCAATCGGTTGGTAACGTCCATTTTTCACCGATATGGAAGCCAAATGGAGTTGGCGTGCCCTTGTCGAATACATAGAAGAAGCACGCCTCCTTTGAATCAAAGAGTCCTGATCTGAAATAATAGAACCATAGTGTTGAGAAGCATCGTGTTGTTCAGAAAGAATAGGGATGGCAGCTCTTGAGAAGGACTCATTGACTTGCGACTCTCTTCTGAACTTTCCTGTCATTGGTGTCAAGAAAGTGGATATAAAGAAAAAAGGGTCTAAAAGGATTAGCTACTGGCTTTAAGGAAACAAATATCCGACACATCTGAGAAAGAGTCGACGTTCACCAAGGAAGCTTGCTGCTGTTGGCGATGTCCACTGTTTATACAAGCTCGCATACTGCCAATTCAGTTTTCCGATAAGAGAAAAATAATATCAAGATTACGTAAGGTGAATTGTGGAGTCAACGTTGCGGGTATTGTCCATACACTATATATATGAATATACCAAAGTGGGCGTGGGCAGGTTGGCACACCCCTCTGCATAGCTGTATGTAACGGGGTCAGTGTTGTCTACTAAAAAGTTTACATAACGAAACGCGGTGCTGGTTTCTCGTCAAGCACTTCTTCTGGCGCTTAAGGTCCTTGATTGTGAGCTTGATGTGTTTGATTTCGTTTTTGTACATATTTATATCGTAGACCAAAGCACTGTTGGTCTTGGTGCCAGTCATAGTAATTGAATCGATGGACGCCAGCGTAGCGTTGTTGTTGTTGTTGTTGTTGTTGTTGTTGTTGTTATTACCCGCTGTGAAATTTTCAGGGCTGTTGGAGATGCTGTCGTAGTCCAGCAACAAGCTGAGGTTGCTGCCTGTGCTGGAGTTCGTGCTACCAGCATTGCCACTCGCCCTGGTGTGATACGAATGGTCCAACGAGTCTATGGACGTGGGGTCGAACACCGAGTGGGACGCCAAAAACAGCTTGTCGACCGATTGCATAGACACGCCCGGCACGTTCTCTGTATTCTCAACATTTTCCGTAGAGTCTACTGCCGTTCCCGGGGTCGTTGCCGTCGGCGTTGTCGACGGGGACAACTCTGCTACCGCTTCGGTGAACACCACCACCTTTTTGTCGCCTTCGCCTTTCAGCCTGTTTCTCACCGAGTGCGCTTGTTTCAAGATCGGCTTAATTACAATCGCCGCTTTTCCAATACCACTACTGTTGTTGTTACTGTTGTTGTTGCAGCTGGAGGTTATTTCGGAAAGAAACTTCACCGAACCCACCTTCCTTTTCCTGCTCGGGGCGCCAAGCGCCACGTCCGCAAGAGTCATTACAATGCAGCAAAGTTAACTGCAGACAGTAATGTCGCTCCGATCTTTACCAGCACCACTTCCATCTATCTCTTGACTCCTGGGTCCGTCCTTCTGAGCCGTCAAAACCCCGAAAAAGGGCACACCTGCCTCCAGGGACCTTCACCGACACATTTTACGCCGATCGGCCCTCGGGCCAGAGGGGCTTTTGCAGGCTTACAGGCACGTTGCCCGCGATGGCAGAGAAGCGGCACACTTATTGTCCAAAATTTTTCACTTTTTTTTCCAGATGTTCCAAATTTTCCACGTTGCCCATTTTCGCTCGTTTTCTCTTATATTTCTGGCCATTTCTGCTTTTCTCCTCCCGTGAATGCGTTGCTCTTTTGCCTTCCTCCCCCTCCTTTCTTCCATTTTTCTCTTTCTTCTCTTCCTTTCTTCTTCCTTGATGCTGTTTCTTCCTCTTTTTTCCTCCTGGCTTTCCTCTTGAGACCTTTCTGTCAGCATACTAAACTAATTTCTACAAAATGGGTAAAGATAAGCAACACGTTAACGTCGTCGTTATTGGTCACGTCGATTCCGGTAAGTCTACTACCACCGGTCACTTGATTTACAAGTGTGGTGGTATTGACAAGAGAACCATCGAAAAGTTTGAGAAGGAAGCCGCTGAATTAGGTAAGGGTTCTTTCAAGTACGCTTGGGTCTTGGACAAGTTAAAGGCTGAAAGAGAAAGAGGTATCACCATTGATATCGCTTTATGGAAGTTCGAAACTCCAAAGTACCACGTCACTGTCATTGACGCTCCAGGTCACAGAGATTTCATCAAGAACATGATCACTGGTACTTCCCAAGCTGATTGTGCTATTTTGATCATTGCTGGTGGTGTCGGTGAATTCGAAGCCGGTATCTCTAAGGACGGTCAAACCAGAGAACACGCTCTTTTGGCTTTCACCTTGGGTGTCAGACAATTGATTGTTGCTGTCAACAAGATGGACTCTGTTAAGTGGGACGAATCCAGATTCGAAGAAATCATCAAGGAGACCTCCAACTTCATCAAGAAGGTTGGTTACAACCCAAAGACTGTTCCATTTGTCCCAATCTCTGGTTGGAACGGTGACAACATGATTGAACCATCTACCAACTGTCCATGGTACAAGGGCTGGACCAAGGAAACCAAGGCTTCCGGTGTCGTTAAGGGTAAGACCTTATTAGAAGCCATCGATGCTATTGAGCCACCTGCCAGACCAACTGACAAGCCATTGAGATTGCCATTACAAGATGTCTACAAGATTGGTGGTATTGGTACTGTGCCAGTCGGTAGAGTCGAAACCGGTGTTATCAAGCCAGGTATGGTTGTTACCTTTGCTCCAACCGGTGTCTCTACCGAAGTCAAGTCCGTCGAAATGCATCACGAACAATTAGAAGAAGGTGTCCCAGGTGACAATGTTGGTTTCAACGTCAAGAACGTCTCTGTCAAGGACATCAAGAGAGGTAACGTCTGTGGTGACTCCAAGAACGACCCACCAATGGGCTGTGCTTCTTTCAATGCTCAAGTCATTGTCTTGAACCACCCTGGTCAAATTTCTGCTGGTTACTCACCAGTTTTGGACTGTCACACTGCCCACATTGCTTGTAAGTTCGACGAATTGATCGAAAAGATCGACAGAAGAACTGGTAAGTCCACTGAAGACCATCCAAAGTCTGTCAAGTCTGGTGATGCTGCTATCGTCAAGATGGTCCCAACCAAGCCAATGTGTGTTGAAGCTTTCACTGACTACCCACCTTTAGGTAGATTCGCCGTCAGAGACATGAGACAAACCGTTGCTGTTGGTGTCATCAAGTCTGTTGAAAAGGTTGACAAGGCTGGTAAGGTTACCAAGTCTGCTGCCAAGGCTGCCAAGAAATAAGTGTGACGCATTGAAATTTTAGTTTATATATTTTATAGCTCAATTTTGATCCTTATAGTGTTCACATAATTAATATCTTTTCAAAAATAAGTAGAGTCGCCAGCAGTTTTTTGCCGGTTGATTTCATGTTGTCATTATTTTCCTCAGTTTCTGTGGAGGAATGTAATCTACCCCATCAAGAATCGTATGTCTAAGAATAGCGCTTATTGATCAAAATTTCCAGTTTATGTCGAATATTCCTCTCCGCCTCCATTAGCAATGCTTACAAAATCTTTTGTCCAGAAGAAGTGAGAATTTTTTCTTTTTAGCATTTTCTGTACGTGACCGGGGATTTCCGAAGGCATTTCCGCCGGAATTGGGATGATCAAAAATTAGAATTTATCGTATCATCAAGTTGGATTGGACTAGATAACGAGGTAATGCTCGTCTCGTACATTTTTTCTTGCTCTCTTTCTCTTCGAGACATCACTTAACTTCTCTTGCGGTTCACATTTTATCATTAATATTAGTTCTGTGCCAACCACGCAATATACACAACATGGACGAAACAAAACTAGAAGTTATTGACTTGCTCGACTCGTCTGAAGATAACGCGAAGAAGATCGTGCATGCATCTTCCACCCAGGGTTTCCTCATGTTTGAGGGACATGGGTTCACCCAAGAAGAGATAGATCTACTTTTCCAGTTCTCTCACGACTACTTCCATCTCCCTGTTGAAGAGAAGCAAAAGTGTCCTATCCAGCAGGATAATGCTGGATACACGGGTATGGGGGTAGAGAATCTTGAAGAAGACGATTTGGACAGAGGGTACGGGGATCCAAAGGAAGGTTTCAACTTTGCCAATTTCAACCTGAAAACAGGCATTCCGGACCAGCCAATCCCAGAGTTTTGGAAGGATAAGATGGACGTAGTGACAGCCACTGTTTTAAAGCTACGTGAAGCATTGAAGAGATCATTGCGCCTATTAGCCAAAGGTTTGGAGATCGAAGGTGTAGATGGTATTGATGCTGAATGGTTTGTCGAACGACATCACGACGACCATTTCTCTGGTACTACTTTCAGGTTCTTGCGCTATCCAAGCCCTGTATCCGCCAACGCAAGTACCGAAGAAAAGGCCAAATTTGATGAGGTCAATGTGGCTGGGGCGCACACCGATTACGGTACCGTCACTCTGCTATTCCAACGGGAGCAAGAGTCTGGCCTACAGTTGTTTTCTCCGTTAAGCAAGAAATGGGAGAATGTTCCATATGTTGATGCCTCGCCTAAGTACAAGGCCAAGGGTGAAGCAGCACCTTTAATTGTCAACATAGCTGATCAGCTCTGTTACTGGACCAATGGGCTATTGAAGTCTACGATTCACAGAGTCAGATTTCCTAAAGAGTTGCTGGATCAGGGAAAGGACAGATACTCTATCGTTTTGTTTGCACACCCTGGTGACACGACTTTACTCGAACCCGTTCCAAGTAAGCGTATCAGAGAAATAAAGGGTAGAGGTGCCAGTCACTACATGGACAAACATGGCGTTTCTCAGACTGCTGGTGATCACTTGACAAAGAGATTGGGCAGTACCTACGGTTGGAAATATTGAATAGTTTTGTCAACGTATAGATAGGCGTAATATATTTGATATATACTTTTTTTTTCTACGCGCACGGAAAGAATTTCCCACCGCAGTGTAAACACTACACGCATGAATTGTCAACACAGATGCTTGAGAAACATGCAATGGAACCGCCTCGTAAACAAAATCCCTGTGATATTCAATTTATTCCTCAGTTGGTTAGTATTCAGTGCTTGAGAATGGTACTACAGCGACTAAAGTTATGGATTCGTGGGAGTGAAGATACCTCCGAAGGACCGACGCATTTTAACACCATCGATTTTGATAAGGGATTTTCAGAAGATGTATATCTACCCGACGACGAGGTCAGGAATATACACGACAGGATTAGAAGATGTTTAGATGATGAAGAGACCGGAAATAACCAGGAAGTAGATGGAACGCTTCGTCTGATGCGTGATGAGACAGAAAGATGGTACTCTGAATCCAAAAATGAGACTTTCGAGCCTGATCTTGCGCCAACCAACATTGTAAACGAGAAGTACACCGATCGAGAATGCGACGGTGATATAAACGAGTTGGTGGGATACTGCCTTTGTTTGGAGCGCAACAATGCTTATTTGCTTCAGCTAATTGAGAAGTACGAACAAGTGAGCTTCAAAAAGAGATACGATGAACTATTAACATCGAACTTCAAGTTGCAGAAGGAATACACCCGGTTAAAATCGTCCAACAGCAAAATATACGCCAGCTACTGCGATATTTTAGAAGAGATCAAAAAGGTCAAGTTAGACAATGGTGACTTGAAGAAAAAAGTCAGCCAGGCAAGAGAAGAGTTCAAGGCCAAAAAGACAGAAACTCAGAAAACAGAAGAAGAAGTGAAGAAACTCAGGACCATCAATGACAGCAACAATCACAAGTTAAGCGAGCTGCGAAAAAACTCAGTCACCTTACAACGACATATTATGGAAAAGGAGAATGAGATAGCCAAGCTAAAGGGCATCAATATTGCCACCAAACTGAAGTTGGAAAGAGCTGAGAATCTTGTCTTGAAAGGTCAAGGTAACAATGATACGGAGCCTAAGTACACTAAGGAACAGAAACGGGAAGTGGAGCCCGGTGTCGAAGAGGAGCAGCCGGTGACGGATAGCGGAAACGGGGCAGCAGTAAAGCCTGACGAGAAGGAGAATTACAACAGCGAGCGAACAAGCCAGGATGCCAAAGAGGACGACTTAGAGGAGCAGGACACAATTGCTCTACTTTTGCAAAAATACCAGAATAAAACTTTTGTAACTTAGAATACTGCAGTCACTGCAACCGGCTTGATCCTGTCAAATGTGGAGGATGGTATTCGCATACTTGGCTTTTAAAAGCAGGACCGCCGCCACTGACGGTCGCTTGGCTACACGGTTCCTATTTTACAGAGAGCTGCTTTCTTGACAAGTTGTTCCGGGACTGAACCTATGCCGTAGGTTCAAGGTGCTTATCTCCGAAAACCTAACAGCTGCGGAATACCGTTTTTGCCCTATGTAACAAGCGAGGCAAGCGAACTGCCGCACCGGTGCCGATCCTCCACATGATTCTGGCCCGTGCGGAAAAGAACATGGGATAAGCTCTGGCTTTTGTACACAACAGGATAAGACACGGAAGTCGTTGTTCACGTAACCGATCATCACTCTTTAGCTTTCAGCGACTATCTAAAATTGGCTCCCCATGCTAGCTTTGAAGACATGGCCTCGATAGAGAAAGAATTGCTCCATACAACGCTCAAAAGCAGCACGTTGGACAGCAATACGGGCAGTCCCGCAGAGTCCAATCATGATTACAATGATAAGGACGAGAACAACTATCTCCAGTACTATGAGGAAAACATATCCTTTACAAGGACAAAAAAGGTGAAGATCACAGTACGAGATTTGTCCATAGGATCGCTGTTTTCTGGCTCGCAGAGAAGTCTTGCAAATGTCCTCAAGCCATTCTCAAAAAAAAATCCAATAGACATTGAGTCTGCAGAATCGATAAAAACCATTCTACATCCGATGTCCTTTGATATTCCCTCCAACTCTTTGACTTGTATAGTCGGAGGGAGTGGCTCGGGAAAAACAACGCTATTGAACCGTCTGGCGAACCGGAAGTTTAGCAAGAAAGCAATGTTCACACAAGGTGTGGTCAAATACAACGATCAGGATGATCTAAGTAGTTACAGGCATGCGTATGTTATCCAGCAGGACATTTTAATTCCGACGTTGACTTGCTCTGAGATGTTGATGTATTCTGCAGAACTGAAGTTACCCAAGTTATCTTCAAAAGAGCAGCGCAAGCTTTTAGTTGATGAAATTATTCTGACTTTGGGACTAAAAGAGTGTAAAGACACTTTAATTGGAGACAAAAAGCATAAAGGTTTGAGTGGCGGTGAAAAACGACGTTTAAGTGTTGGTTTACAGCTGATTTCGAATCCGTCTGTGCTTTTTCTTGATGAACCAACCACAGGTTTGGACAACTACAATGCGTATCTCCTGTGTAAATCCTTTCAGCATATTGCCAAAAGACTAAACAAAACTATCATAATGAGTATCCACCAGCCCAGAGCGGACATCTTTAAGTTGTTTGATACGGTTCTCATATTGTCGAAGGGAAAACTCTGTTATGGGGACTCATACAGCAAGATTTTCAGCCACTTTGATTCTCTTGGCTACAGAATCCCTGAGACTAAGGTTAATCCTGCAGATTTCTTTATTGATATAACTAGTATCGACACACGTACTAAGGCCCAGGAGGTTGAGTCTTATGAGAGAGTAGAGTCTATCTCAAATGTTTGGAAAGAGAAAATGAAAAGCTTCCAAGCTATATGTGACACGGACCTGCAGTCGGAAGATATTGTGCAAGAATCAGAGTTGTTTCAAGCTGTCGGTCGTGCTCCATTTTGGAGAGAAGTCAACATTCTAATTAGAAGAAACTTAAAACTACAATACCGTGATCCTGTTGGTTGGTTTTCAATTGTGTTTGAAGGATTATTTTTAGGACTTTTATGCGGTTGGTTGTTTTTCAAGCCTGGAACAAGTGTGGCAGGTATGAGATCAATTGAGTCGTCGTTGTATTCAACGTGCTCCCTTCAATGTTACCTTTTCCTCTTGTACGAAATCTATCGTTTGTGTAACCTAGATTTGAAGGTTTTTGACAGAGAAAGGATGGAAAATTGTGTTTCTGTCTCTGGATTCCTCCTTGCTAGAAGAGTGAGTAAATTGATTACTGAGGACTTCTGGATTTCATTATTCTTCTCCTTGACTACATACTTCATGTATGGCTTGAGACTTGATTCGGCAAAATACTTTTTCAAATATTTTGCAGGCTGCTTAATATTCCATTTGAACACAATGACATTTGCCACCTTTGCCGCATCTTTGAGCAGAGATGTGTCAATTGCTACTTTAATAGGTAACTTGAACTTCACCTTTCAGTCAATGACAAATGGTTTGTTTGCGAACGCAAAACAGTTACCGGTGTACGTGAGGTGGTGTAAATATGTGGCGTATCTCTGGTACTCATTTGGCTATTTGGCTAGTAACCAATTTTCAAACTACCGTAGTGAATGCTATACAATAAATGCTGACAATCCTGACGTCAATCAAATATGTTATCAGTACTCTGGTAAATACATCTTAAACAATCTAGGGTTTTGGGAAAACTGGGATGCTCTCCCTATTTGTGTGGTCCTAGCATTTGCAATAGGCCACTACGTTGCAGCAGGTCTAATTCTTTATATTAAACCACTTGACATGACAATGGGCAAAGAAGTGAAATCATCAGATAGTATCGACAATTCCATAGATTATTCACAAATGGTTGAAGATATCAAACACCAGCGACAACAAAATGCATTGATTAGTACTGAAAACGGAGATGTTGATTCAATAACTCTAGTTGTCAAAAATATTAACCTAAGCGTCACAAATAAGTTAAAGAAGTCATCAAAGGAAATTTTGCATAATGTCAGTGCTGTATTTCACTCCAAGAAACTTAATGTAATTATGGGACCTTCAGGTTCTGGGAAAACATCTTTTTTGAATTTGATAAGTGGTAGATTATCTTCAAATTTGATGACACAATACACCTCATCTGGTGACATTTACCTTAACAATTATCAAATAGAAGATTACCATATGATCCGCCATGTTTGTTCCTACGTCGTTCAAGAAGATGATCATTTGCTTTCAGCTTTAACAGTGAGAGAAACACTGAGATATGCTGCGAGATTAAGACTATCCAAATCATCTTATACTCTTTCGGAGAAGCATACAGTAGTGGATGATATCATTCTCAAAATGGGATTAAAGGATTGTGCCAATACTTTGGTAGGAAACGATTTGATCAAGGGTATTTCGGGTGGAGAAAAACGAAGACTGTCTATTGCAATTCAATTAATATCCTCCCCTAAAATCCTCTTTTTGGATGAGCCAACATCAGGTTTGGATTCGTTTACGGCAGCTTCTATTGTTGAATGTCTTGAAAACTTAACTAAGCAAGGAACGACTATTATTATGACTATCCATCAGCCAAGAACCTTAGATCATTTTGGCTCTGTTTTACTACTTGCAAAAGGTGGTAAGGTGGCATTTGATGGTAAAGAAGACAAGATTATTCCATACTTTGACTCAATAGGTTATTCTGTTCCTCACCTTACAAGTTTGGCAGATTTTGTGATTGATTTGATTTCATACAATACTTCTAACAAGGAAATTGAGGAGCAGACACGAGCAAGGGTGACACATATTATAAATTCTTGGGCAGCAGTCACAGATATTCAGATTCCAAAGAACGCTCTCATACTCAATAGCAAGTCACAAGTGAGAGAGACTTTCAAATCAACCATCAAAGAACCTGCCAGTTTTGTTATTGGATTTTGGGTTTTGACTTCCAGACAATGGGTTGGATTGGTGAGAGATAAGAACATTTTAATTGCTCGTACCACACAAATCTTGGGAATGGCAATCATTCTTGCTTTATTTTTTTCCAGGCTTAAGCATAACACAACCAGTATTCAAGACAGACTAGGTTTAATTCAACAGATGACGGCTTTATACTTCACTGGCATGTTAAACAATTTAGCTGCATATCCTCAGGAGCGAGACTATTTTTATGACGAATACAATGACGATGTTGTTGGTTTGAACTCATTTTTCTTCAGTTACTTTTTCATCGAAATACCGTTTGAAGTCGTCTCATGTTTTGTCTTTACCATCTTCATGGTATTTGTAATTGGGTTCCAAACTGATGCAAAGCTATTTTTCACAATCTTTTATACAACATTCTTGATTGTCAATGCCGGGGAGTCTTTAGGTATATCTTTCAATACGGTATTCGAGCATCCTGGCTTTGCGCTTAATGTCATTTCTGTGTTTTGTTCCATTGGTGTGGCAATGGCTGGTCTATTGGCTATGACTCTAGATGGATTCTTGAAAGCTCTGAATTACACATCGCCTCTTCATTACTGTGTTATGCTAATCTCAAATCAAGTTTTCACATCATCTTTGAGATTAACATGTACTGCAAACGAAAGATTGTCGAATGGGGAATGTTTGTTTAACAGCGGCAAACAGGTTTTGGATCAATACAATTTGAAGGTGGATATGACTCTTTACTACGTACTAATTTCAGTCGTAACAGTCCTTCAAAGGGTGATCAGCTGGGTCTTTTTGAGGGTGAAATTGATGAAAATCAGTACTAAGAAATTGAAGAAAAATTGAATTCTATTAAAGTTTGATACCTTTCTTTCAAAAACATTACCACTAATCTTTAACTGTGATTACACCATGTCTGTATACTGAATGGAACTAATTGAAGATTGTAAATACGATCACTATTTGAGGTTGATAAATAATACTTTAGATAGTTTTTCAGCGTATCCTTATATTTCATAATAGAACCATTAGCTCGACTAAGTTCTTACTGTGCTACAGAAAATGTTAACCTGAAATTGCAGATCCACCAAGATCTGAAGCTGAAAATAGATTGTTAGAGAGAAAATATCATATAATCAATAATGTAGAACATTGTATACCCGCTTTATTTGAAAAAGAGAACGTGTTCTCAGTAACCAAGGTCTTGAAACTTCTTGCTTTATCATTATAGTATCATGAGGAACGTCACACTAGTAATTATTTCAAGGAAAAACACTTAGTTAGAATAGTAAATTAACAAACCTCAAAGAAAAAGTAAAACATACGAAGTGCATAAAATCATAATTTCATGATTTTTTCTACATCTAATTTATTGCCATGAACAAGGATAATCCAACTTTTTAATGAGTTATCACAGTTCTACATCATACATGTAATTCTATTTAGCTTTAATAAAAATCAGCCAAAACGTACACTATCATGCTTGATAAAGCAAGCAGTATTTTTTATACGCTCACTTTACAGTTAGGAGATCAGAGCGAACATTGAAAAGTGGTTTTTTTGTCGTGTTTAAATGATGACTATGTTACCATTGTTAATGGTATTTTTTGGTATAATTGTAAACGTGTGTTCATTCTATTGGAACTCCTAGTAAGATAACCAGATGAAACTTGGGATAGTGCAGCTAGTGCTATTGTTGCTGGTGCAACGAGGGTTTGGGGATGATAAAAGAGTTGACCTTGAAGCTGCTGCCGAAGTTGAGGTTGACGTGACTACAAGCTCCACGACGGAGATTGAATTGATAGAAAGTACAGCCAAAGTGGATGTCCCAGAAGAATATTCCGCTGAAAACCAAGCAAAAGTTGAAGAAGTTGCAAAGAATGATGCTGGAAGTTTTGTGTACGAATCAGTTACCGATGATAGTTCTGAAGAAAACCAACTTGCGTACATAGCAGGTATGGGACATGAAGGTGCAGAAGCAGTAAGATTTGAAGGTTTACAAGATAGAGAAGAAGAACCTGTAACAAAAGAGCCAAAAGACATACGGTATTTTGACAGAAACAGCAAAAGCTTTCCAAATACAGAATACTTGGAAATAAAGCCGTTACATGGAAACAATTTATTAGTCTCTTTCAACTTCGAGGCCAATGGCACCTCCGAATTGTACCCGCAAGCCGACGAGGTACTTTACTACGATGTTATCCCCAAATCACTTGGGGGAGTGCTAAAATCAACGAATACTAGAGAATTACATTTAAGATTTGGACATGGATGGTATGATTCCGAAGTGAATGGTAAGCTGGTGCATAACGGATTCTCCAGTGGTGGGACCGGTGTTGAGCTTTGGGCCACCATTGAAGCAGATACAAAAGAGACAGCTTTCAAGGAATGGATCCAATTGGCCAATTCGTTATCAGGTATGTTCTGTGCATCGTTCAACTTCATCGATTCCTCCATCACTACTTATCCCGAAAAGTTATTTGGTGGTGATATAGACCTGGAGTCACAGGTTGAATTAATTGGAAACCTTTATCATTTTAGGAGCGCCCTCCCAAGGGAACCTATTTGTACGGAAAACTTGACACCATTCTTAAAATTTTTACCAACAAAAGGAAAACAAGGCATTTCAACTTTATTAAGCGGAAACAAAATGTTTAATGCGGAATGGACCTCAATGTCAATTGATGTCGTATCTGATTGTGAAGGAGGAGATGCCAAGCATTGCAAGCAGACAATGAAACAATCCATTAATATGATATTGAATGTTCCAAAAATTCTAGAAAAAAATGAAATGCCTATTCCAAAACCAACTCCTGGCGCAGAACTCAGGTGTAATGAGTCCAAAATCTTTGACTTGTACCATTGTTTTCCTCTACCTTTAAGTAAAGAGTATCATTATAGCTTGATAGATCTTTTTGGTAAAGCAATTGAAGGAGGGTCATTGGTGGCATCGGACCCTACCAAAGTTTGTCTCGATATGAACTTGGACAACTGGGAACTGGAAATGCTTTCATTATCACCGGCAAAAGAATTTTTTGAAGGGTCAAACATTTGCTTTGAATTAGATACTAGTGCAGAATACAATTTTAGATTCAACACAAATAATGCCTCAGATGTTAACCCCGTGGAGCCACCCCCATTCTATGCATCACGATCATTATCAGGCTATTCACAAGATGCTGGTGGTTTTAGGCTTGATCTTTATAACCCAAATGAGAAAGCTCAAAAGATCATTATTTTTGAAACACTTCCATGGTTCGTTAGGCTATATATGCACTCGATGACTATAAGTGTTGGCGACGAATATGGAAACACAAAAGTCATGAATGTTCATGATAAAAACTTGCCAGATTACATTAAGCAGATAATTTACAATCCTGCTGTCGATCGTGTGGCACCAACGCATTTGGAATTACTTATCGAGGCACCGCCAAAAAGCAAGCTCAAGTTTTCATTCAAATTTGATAAAGCAATGTTATTGTACGCAGAGTATCCACCAGATGCAAATCACGGGTTTGAACTTGAGCCAACCATTTTTGCACTTGTGGATGATGACAACGATAACGAGATCAAATACATCATGCGTACCACTACAAGTCTTTTGACACTTCCGACCCCAGATTTTTCGATGCCGTACAATGTGATTATTCTCACATTGACTGTTTTGGCGCTAGCTTTTGGTTCGTTCTTCAATCTAATTGTGAAGAAAACGGTTAAAGAGGAAGATGCTGAAATTATGCAACGGGAAAGACCTATAGAGAAAATTAAAAGAAACATTCGCGATCTGTTTGGGAAATAGGTACGTGTCGCACAACATGTTTTCGGAGTTCGGAAACGACGAATATGAGAAAACAGAACAGAAGAAAGCGACAGAGGCTAAGAAAATGAGTTGTTGGTTGCTTAAAATATATTTGTTGTAATCTGAGGTACTGACCTTTTATGTCCTTTTCTTTCCAGATTCCTGGTGTTGTATTCGCCATGTTACTTTTGTTTATATTTTCTAGTAAAAAATCTTGAACAATGAAAATGTCACATCAGGTAACCCTTGAATCTAACAGCGATTCTATTTCAACAAAGCATACTGATAACACTAATAGTTGCTATTATGATGAACAGAGCTGCATTGACAAGGTAGAGGAGAATAAAAAGGAGATCCATGGGAATGAGTGGGAAGAGTTAGGAGAAAGTAAAACATACAGTCTCATACAGAGCATGCTTATGACAGAGTCACCTTCCTGGCTTGCAGAATCAACTCTTTTTCGAAAGCCAGTTTTGGAAAATAGTGATATTTTACACCATTATCTAACAGGTGAAAATGAATACAATTTATCAAACAAACAATTCACAGACCAACCTTTGATCGAAACAACGTTGGAAGATAAGACAAGAAGCTATGTAAATCTCGCGGGTCTGGGCTCGATCAACTCAGATAATAAGATCAGCTTAAGTAACCAGCTGGTTGAGGAAAAACCTTTGAGTGCTTTTCGTGGATTCTTTGATAAATGTTTGGGCAAGATTTTTGGCAAAGGTAATATTAAAGCTAATAAATCACAGCAAACCTTTGATGTAAGTAACAGAGTTGAAGAGTCTGAAGCGAGTGATATAAGTGACAATCCTATCTTCAGTCTTGACCTTGATTCCAACACTTACACAAATTTTTCCAACCTGAGTTTAAGTTCCAGGGTGGACGTGCCAAACGACTTTGAGTCCTTTGTTTCTGATGATCAATGGCTTTTCAACGTTGTTTCGGCACAAAAATTCAAATACCTCTGCACCAATTGCTCAAAACATTGTTGGGAGGAGTCTGGAAAAGTACCAAATCTTCTGTAGTTTTTTGCATTAAATGCTACGTTTTTTACAAAACCAGAATACATATACCGTTTATTTCGTTCTCTTGAATCTTGTGTTTAGTATCTCGCTTATCTGGGTCAACTTATCCAAGAAAGTTCTTTTATCGACTGTTAGGCTGAACCACGACTCCAATTTGCACATTACCTTCTCAAGCTCCATATAGACATCACCTGACTCGTTGTACTTTCTGGGATTCAAAAGTAGATCAAACAATTCATTCCACAAATCACGTTGCCAATAGCGTTTGAAAGGTTCTAGTAATTGAACACCTTTGGAAGTAGACTGCACTTTGATCACTTTTTGAAACAGCAACGTGTGTACAATATTGGCAATGCCGTAGTAGTCAGGTTCATAAGTCCATGAAGTTTGGTTCACAAATTCAGGGCAATCTTGGTTGTCTGTTTTCTCTAGTTTACATTTGAATTTGGTGCTCTTTGGAAATAAAGACAAATCAATAGATCGACCGAAATCAATCAATACAATATCATTGAACTTGATCTTACTTTCAGCACTTTGTATATTCAACATGCAATTGTCTGGCTTGATGTCACAGTGAACAATACCAAGAGAATGAAGTTTCAACACGCTACTGATTAATTGAATAGTAAAATATATTACCAATGACTCTTCAATGAGATTCTTACCTGTCAGAAATTGATAGTTGGATAAGCTGCTCACCAATTCCAGCACTGTTCCTTGTTGTAGATAAGGAAGAATCAGATAAGATTCGTCTCCAAACTTGAAAAAAGACTTCAATTTTATAAAATCGTTGGAGAGCGTGTTTAGTTTCGATAAGATGTACGCCTCCCAAATATCAGAAGGGCGTTCAGCTTTAATTGCGCTTAACTGACCGTTGAGTTGTTCACCTAAATAGACGGTAGCAAACCCGCCACGTCCTAATTCCATAATAACAGAGTACTCTTCATTCTTTTCAAATTCAAGCAAAGTTTGTTTGTTGCCAGTTAATGCAGGTGCATTGGGCTTCAGAACCTTATGTAAGACTCGAAGCTTGTCGAATAGTTTCGAGTCAAAATTGTGTAGGTGATTGTTTTGATATATGGACATTTCAATATGCTTGAGATGGCTTCTTTTGAACAGGGTGTCAAATGGATTGACAACGGGAGGATCAACGGAAGCAGATCTGGCTTTCTCGTCAGCGTTATTAGGATTTTCGACAAATGGTGAGCTTAACAAATCATTATCAACATCATCAATGTTATCAACCGAAAGACGAAGCTCTTCAATCTTAGGTTTACGTTCTTTCGATGGCGTTTTAGGCTCCATTTGTTTTGTCACGGTGTCGGTAAAAATGTCGCTAAATGCCCCACCAATAATAGCATCTAGCAGGTTGCTCTGAGTTCCATTTTGCTCAACTGCTTCATTTTTTTCAGAAAGGAGGTGATTTCCGGTAACGGCTAGAGAATTAGACTGACTAAGTTTAAATTTGTTTTCACCTTGTGAGTCTCTTCCATCTACGCTTATTTCGTTAGAATTATTTTCCGGCGGGAAGAGGCCACTTTTAGAATTTTTGAAATACTCAAGTAGTGGGGTATCAGCAATTCCAGAAGTCCGTTCAGTGGATGCTGAAGCTGATTCTGATTCAGTCCTTGACTTTTTGTTGCGAGGAGTATTATATGATATATCTTCGGATTGTCCTCTCTTTTTATCATTTTCGGTGTTTTCGACGGGGTTGTTCTCGACAGGGTCTACCTTTTTCTGGTGAAACATTAATAAAACTTCAATCATACTCCTAGGATTATTTGCTGAAGAATCGGGCATGAATAGGTCAAAATTAAAGTCGAATGTTTCAAAATGTTTACCATCCTGGTGTTTGAGCGTATTAGTTATAGGATACTGATTAGATTTATCATCAAACACTTCGATTTTACTTGCCTCCTTCAAAGTTTTTCCTGAGTTTTTTAATGTCTCTCCCTTCCATGATGTAGGATTTATAATGTTTTCTTTCTTAGAATGCCTTATTTCGTTTATGTGTGAAAAGAAATTATCACTGCCGCCATCGGTATCATTATTCCTGAGAAATTTAGAATCAGAGTTTGATGGTGCATCACGAAATATTTTGATTTTGGATTCTTCTTTCTTGCTGTGAACTTGTGAAGTTAGACCTGTTCCACCGGGGTTAGATAGTCCCGCTAAACGTGGCTTTTCTTTGGCAGTTTTCGATGACCGTCGGGTTAAGAACTCATCGTAAGATTTTGATAGCCTAGGAAGAGGTCTAGCCTTTATTGACAATCCTAACTTCAAAATTTCCTCGGCATTTTCCCATTGATCATTCAATTCAAAAAATAGAGAGTAGTTTTCATAGAAAAGTGATAGGTCAGAGCCTATCTTTTTTTTGAAAAGGTAGTTAAACACATCACTTGGATGGTCGCTGTAAGTTATGTACTCAAGCCACACCTTGAAATACCTAATCTCGTTCTTATAGTAGTCATCGTCCTTGAAATCGTGGGTGGTGCGTTCCAAAACTTGAATTAACAACGATTCATGAGTGTTCCCTGATCTATAGTTCTCTCGTATCCACTTGATGTACTGTAAATATGAGTCTAGAGGGTCGTCTAGGTCCTGGAGAAACTGTGGATCCAAGTTTTTCTCAAACTTGAGCCTTTGCTCTGCTAGCTGCGATTGTAATACGTTCGAGTCTGTGTTGATCAGTTCTGATAGTTTGCTAGCCGATCGCCCCTGAGGTATTGGCAAGATATTTTCTTTGTCCATGCTTAGACTACCAAAATCTGTGACCGGCTGCATTGATTCTAGCTATTCTAAAAGTGGTCCACCTGTACACTCCTTTGCTGCAATAAACTTAATCAGTGCACTCAAGATGAGGATAACACACGAAGTGTAAACAAGCCGTTTTGTCCCCGAACAAAATGTAGGTCCGCAAAAGACGAAAATGAGAAAATGAGAAAATGCGGAAAAACAAAAACCGTGACCGCTAAAATCATTCCAGGTATCAAATATCATCCTTTTCGAAGATCAATAAACCTCTGCAGGCAAATGGTACCAGTAGCGGCGTCACCCCAATGCTTTTTGAGGGCATCTAAGGAATCAAAGCTAGCATGACAACCCCACTCGTTATCTCTGATCTTGCCATAGCACGAGATTTTGCCTTTTTTCAATGCGGGTTTGACAGCCTTGGTTGTATCATTATTCTTGTCTATCGGATTGCCATTAGCGTCCCGATTATCATTGGGGGAGTTATCTGGTACAGTATTTGTATTCTGAGAAAGGCTATCTTTAGCTGGCGGTTGTGTTATTGAAGATGGTTTGAGCGGGTTTTCGCTCTTACTTTCGGCTAACACGGGATCCGATAGGTTGGTTCTGGCCTTTTTCGCCGGATTCACGTTCAGGATATCTTGTAAACTTTTGCTAGATCTATCAGATGATGTGGTTGATCTTTCTGCTGAGCCTTTGAAGGATGTACCGATTGTGTCGCTCTTTGTTTTGCTGTGCTCAGCGTTTCGTATCGTCAATTCTGATTGTTTAATGCTACTCCATAGTATAGAGAGTAGTATTTTCTCTGTTGTAAAATACTTCCCTTCTCCAATCTCATAATCAGATGTCGTATCTCTATCCTGCTCTTTCTCCTTCCTACCGTTCGTGTTAGAATTTGAGACCTCAGACGAATTTGGTATTTTGGAGCTTTTCGACAAACCGAAAGAGCTGCTGTACATATTTCTAGTCAGGCACTCTTCGCACAAGTTGCAATTATGCCCATCACAACTAAAAATGCTATTGAAATTGCTGACAGCCTGGTGATTGTGACGATCTGCAGAAATCGATCCAGGAAGTGGAATCTTATAGCCCTGGTACGAAAACTCATCTGGTTTCGGTTGATCCATACCGCTGCAGATTACCGTTTTCTAAAGCTTCTTCTCTCCTTCTCGTCCTTCTCTGACCTAGGTTATGTTTACAGGATATTATCCTGTTCCGACCTCTAATGGTCAACAAGGTAGCGGTGCTAAAGCATTTTCTATTCTCTCCAGGATTTTTCATTTTCTCGCATTTCGCTATGTACAATGTCTTTTCTATGACTGGAAACTATAAACTATTCTATAGACACAATGGTATGTAAATGTTAGCTACAAATATAAATAAACTCATCTACCGGGGACGTATGGGAAAGGAAGTTATTGCTGTTTGGTGTCTGGATCCAAGTACTTCTTGAAAGCTTCGTTCTTCTCTTCGAATGGTCTAGGGCCGATCAGTCTGATCATGTCTTCCCTGGTAAGAACCTCTTTGGTTAACAACTCTTCGGCAACCTTCTCCACCTCCTTGATCTTTTCTGTCAGCAAATTTTTACATCTTGTGTGCGCATCATCAATCACTCTGTGAACTTCAGCATCAATCAATTCCCATGTTTCCTCGCTGTATGGTTTGTGAACTTGCATGTTGGTGTCTTTAGGCTCAAAGACAATAGTGCCTAATTTTTTAGACATACCCAACTTCAGAATCATGGCATTGGCCATTCTGGTGACCTTTTGTAAATCATCTGCAGCACCAGTAGTTATATCGTCAAAATTCAATTCTTCGGAGACTCTTCCTCCAAGAGCCATGATCATGCGATGGGTAAATTGCTCTTGAGATGTCAAGTATTGATCGTCCGGTAGATACTGAGCATAACCTAATGCTGCTTGGCCCCTAGGTATAATACTAACCTTCAGTAATGGGTCGGCGTATTTCAAGTACCAACCACAGATTGCGTGACCCGCTTCGTGGTATGCGACTGTCTTCTTCTCCTCTGGAGATAAAACTCTACTTCTTTGCTCTAGACCAACAATGACTCTTTCGATTGCAGACTCAAAATGCTTCAATTCAACAAAATCAGCATCATGTCTTGCGGCAATTAAAGCTGCTTCGTTACAACAGTTTGCAATATCAGCACCAGAAAAGCCAGGGGTTAAAGCAGCTAGCTTACCGGCAAACACGTCACTCACAGGGAACTCTAGCTTCAAGGGACTCAAGTGGATCTTGTAAATTGCCTTTCTACCTTCCAAGTCTGGTTTATCAAGCACAATATGTCTATCGAATCTACCCGGTCTCATCAATGCCTTGTCCAACATATCGGGCCTGTTAGTACCTGCCAAAACAACAACGTGATCAGAACTGTCGAAACCGTCCATTTCAACCAATAACTGGTTCAAGGTGGCCTCTTTCTCGTCATTGGATCTCATTGAGTTTTTTTCTCTAGCACCTCCGATGGCATCAATCTCGTCAATGAAAATAATACATGGTGCCATCTTTCTGGCAGTCTTGAACAAATCACGGACTCTGGATGCACCAACACCGACAAACATCTCAACAAACTCCGAACCAGAGACAGAAAGAAATGGAACTCCCGCTTCTCCGGCAGTTGCCTTCGCCATTAAGGTTTTACCAGTACCTGGAGGACCAGATAGAATGGCGCCTCTAGGGATCTTGGCACCTAATTTCTCGTATCTCTTTGGGTTCTTCAAGAAACTGACAAATTCCATGATTTCTTCCTTTGCTTCATCGCAACCTGCCACGTCCTTAAACTGTACTTTGATGTCTGTCTCCTGGTTGAAGAGCTTGGCCTTTGATTTTCCGACATTCATGATCTGGTCGAGTGGTCCGCCTGAGCCACCACTGCCTCCCCTCTTCTTTCTGATTTGGTTGATGATGTAGAGCGTGCCACCAATCAAGATCAAGGTTGGAATGAAAGGAATCAAGTACGAGAATATGCTGGACCTCCTTTCGTAGGTGACAGGTATACGCTCGTTCAGAGGTATGCCCAACTTATCCTGCACGCGGTCAATCTCACCTTCGAAAAACGCAACGGATCCAATAGTAAAGGTCACGTACCTTGGGTTTTCGGTTGAAATCAATTCGGCTCTAACAAAGGAGTTGTTGATGACCTCGATCTTCTGCACTAGACCCTTCTCTAGGTACTTCGTTTGGAACTCCTGGAAGGTGAGCGGATCGGACATCTCAAGCGAGCTGACCGAGCTGATCAAGGAAAACAACACCGTGAAACCAAAAGAATACAAAAGCCAGTCGCCAAACGTGGGGGACCCGTTGCCGTTCGGACCAGACGGCTTCTTGTCCTTCCCACTCTGCTCTTCTTGTCCCTGCTTCTGGCTGCCACTCTGCAGCTTTTCTTTCTTGTCATTTTTCTCCTCTGTAAACAGCAATCTCGACGTGCTGAACTGCAACCTGTTGTTCAGCAGCGAGAAGTTTCTCCTTGCATCTAGGCGTCCGCAACTCCATGGCAGCTGCAGTGACCTTGATAAGGGTTGACGGAGCGTCTTCGCTAATGGCTGGCGCAGTGTCCTCACCGCCAGCATCTGTATACGCATTCCAGCCAGCATTCTGTGTGCTTTTCGAATAATGGCTTGCTGCTTGCTTCCTGAACCGCTCCTCCCTGTACCCCTTTTCTTCCTGATTGCTCTTCCCTTCCTTCCGTCCTGTCTTTTCTGTTCGGTCTTTGCCACCTTCCTCCCTCTCCATCGCCTTCTGGTCTTGCCTTCTTTTCCTTTTCCCACGACGATCGGCCTTTTTTGGCCATTTTGGGCCGATCGGCGCAAAATCCGATTTTCTTTAATTCCGCCTTTTTCTCTCCATCTGCTCCGGAGATGGCTCGGACTTTACGCCGACACAGGCTTGACGGGGTAGAGGTGGACGCTGCTGAAAAGCTTATCAAATAAGGCGTTTCTTGGTCGTTTGGAGCCAGAAAGCGGGCTGATGTGAGCCGGGACGCAACACGGGGAGGGCGGTTACCGGGTCTACAAGTGCCCATAGCAGAGTAAGACGGTGTTAGGTGCAGAGGATGGAGGCTGTTTGCACGGTGGTGGGCTCTCTTCCACCGGAATTGTACGCATATGTGCTCAACAAGACGATACAGACGCTCTTCACAAAAACTGAGATCATCCGGTTTTTGATGCTCAACGAGGAGTTCTGCAAAGACATCTGGATCCACGATCTGACGGTGACGATCACCGACCGCGGGTATCTGAAGTTTGACGAAGATCCGCTGTCCAACGACCTGATCAACTTGCGGGACTTCATCTTCGGGAACGTGAAAATTTTTGCCAAGCTATTTGAAACGCATACGATATCGATCCAGAACTTGATTCTCCATGCGAACGTGCATCAGTTGGCGTTTTTGGCGAACTACGCCGTTTACATCCAGTGTGAGTCGTTCAACGCGCTATGTATGTCGATGAACCTGGAAATCGACATGAATAAGGTGAGGATGATCACGCTTTCATTCTACAAAAATCACTTTGCCCAGTTTTACACGATGGCGAAAAACATAAGCATACTGCCATGCAGTGCCCATTACGTTTTCAACTTTGCTATATCGGATCACCACGATTTCAAGGAGGTGATCAACATCCTTCACTACTGCAGCACCAAGCTTCATTTACGCTACACGATCAGATCCAAGGTACTCTTCTTCCTCAACATGACGATATCCAATGACAGCAAGCTCCCGACCAACAAGCTAATCAAGTACTTCTCGTATTGTTTGTTTTTGTTGGAGGAATATAAGGTCAGCACCACCGACATCAAGGTGGTTTTGAAAATCAGCCTGGCCGACCCTTCGCTGAGGAAAAGCGACGAGTTTCTGAAGCTATGCAAGTACATCGGTTTTCAGTTCATACATAAGCTCATAATAGAGAGCGACGATGATGGATACTATCAGTTTGATTTCCGGGACATACGACAGTTGACGAGCCTGAGGCTCCTCGAAGTGCGATGCGACCAACAGTGTGGGTTTGAGAATTTTGGAGATCTATCGAACCTGAAGTACTTGAGAAAACTTGTCTTTCAGTGCAACAATGTGGAACTCGGTTGGTTGAGCCATAATCTCCCCCATAGCGTGGAAACGGTGCAACTTTTCCGAACGTTGAAAAATAACGAAGAAAAAGATAAATCGATTTTTGAGATACCAGACTTCCTACAGAACCTTATCATAGAAACCGACCTTCCGGAAGTCGTGATAGACTTTGAAAGGTTCAAGTTTAACCCTACGATTAGGTTGCAGAGGATAATAATTCTGGACCACTTCGTGAAGAATCCCGCAGTAAAGATTCTGAATCTACAGCAGATCCCCAGATGCTTGAAAGAGTTTCGGTTTCATGATAGCAACAACTTCACATCCTCTTTACATGAGAACTACTTCAAATTTCCTGGCGGTTTCGATAGCTCCCAATTAGAAGGCGTCTATTCCAATATTGACGTTGAATTTACGTCTCTACAATCAAATAAAATCTACATGTGTCTTTGTAGCTACTCCCTCAGGATTCTCAATCTAAAATCGAAAAGAATCAGAAACTTCAGGGGCTGTACTAAAAAAAGCATACAACCTTCTCCCGTCCCATAATCCTGGGATTTATAGTCATTTATACTTATGCATACATTCACAAATTTATATAAGCATCCAATAACGAGCATCTCAACTTAAAATGTTTCATCGTCAAACAGTTCTTCATTCGTTAAATTTGTAGCGGAATCCGTGTTATCGAGATCCAGATTGCTTGAGTCATGGATTGGGCGCGTTTGTGCTATGTGCCTGTACTGAGATTCCGGTGAGACGAATCCATTTTTGCCTTCACTTTCGTCGATATGCAAAGCCGTCGTTGGATTTATATCCTGCTCGATGTTTTCATTACTATCGTCCAGATCAGGTGTTTCAGCCTCATCGTCTGGCAGTAAGAACCCCTCCTCCGTACTATACATTATATCCTTCAAATCCTCAATCAATGCGAGAGTCGATATCTGCTCGGCGTTGTCCGTTTGCGATATGTTCTGACAGATGACCTCTATCTCTCGTAGTTTGCCAAAGTAGAAATTTCTCTCAATCTGAAGGCACTCCTTCAGGTTGGACACCTCTTCCAGTGCTTCATTGGCCGTTTGTAGCTTTTGCTTCAACTGAGAAACCTCAGTCAGGAGCCTCTTATCCTCACTTATGTGATTGCTGCCATTGTTATCTGTAGCAGCGTTAACTCGAAAATCGTTACTGCCAGCGACGGTGGACTTGTTCTCTTTATTGCTGTGCTGCGGCGGTGCTGGGTATGATGTCGAGCGAGCAGTTGCTTTTGCAGTAGCCAGAGAGGACCGTTGCTGCGGCGTGGCATTGGAGCTTTTCCTGGAACCTAGCGGCTTGCTGGTGGGATTTCGGTCGACACCGATCGAGCTCGTCCTTCTCGAGGCAGGGCGTGAGGTCGAGCCGCTGAACGTGAAGTCCTTATTGTGTTCACACCACAGCTTGCCCAACCACTGTAGAAACTCTAAGTTGTCCTGCAGTCTGCATCGCATCAACTTCTCTACGTTGACGTCCCTTGATATTCTTACCTTGTTGAAGCCGTGCTGCAGCAGCTTGTAATTTGTCAGTGTCTCGAACTCCGAGCTGGGAGACCTGTGTATCCTCGAGACGTTGATGATGTTTGGGTATAACGCGTTAAATATCATGCAGTAGACTGCACCGTTGCCACATTGTTCGATTTTCGTGTAGTTGATGTCGAAGTAGGCGTTGATCCACTCCAAGAGCGCTGATTTCGATACCCCCAGATATGCCATACTGGCTGTCTCGTTACTCTTCTTGTGTGGACTGTTCCAGAGCGGCTGCCTGCAGAAGGGGTCTGCTCACCGGACCCAAGCCTGGAATAGAACCACCTAGTTCTTGTGCCATCAGAGGAATAGATAGGCCTGAAAGGTAAACAAGGGGACTTTTTCTCGGTCTCGGCGGGACGATCGGCCGTCCGGGGCTTTTCAGAAAACTGCTACTTGGTTAGGTGTATATAGGGTGAAGTAGGTAATAAATAACAGGACTCAGGACTCGGGACACATGGACGGGACACGCAAGGCCTGCATCGGGGCAGAAAAAAGAGGAGGTGGATGAATAAGTGAATAAATAGGGCGGCGAGCCGGCGGCAGCAGGCCTCAGTAGAACGGCGACTCTTTCGTCTTTCTTGGGGCCAGGGCGTCGTGGTCTGCAACGGTGTTGAACTGCGTGTTGGACCCCGATGGGAAGTATCTGCCCGGGACGGCGTCGATGGAGGTCACCAGGTTGTCGTACGTTCTTCTTTCGCCGGGGAACATCATCATCTCCTGGATCTCCTTCTGGTGCTGGACCCTCTCTCTGTACGACGAGTAGTTTGCCTGTAGCTCCTCTAAGACCGCAGGTGCCTTGAGCAGGGAGAGCAAGGTGGCGCCGTCGTGCGACTCCTTGTACGAGGAGTTGATTGCGGCGTAGCCCGCAATCAGCGCCACGATACCTGCTGCGGTGGCCGTGTGGGAGTTGAAGATCGACTCGCTTTCCGAGAGCGGCATGGAGTGGTCGTCGTGACCATGTTCGTCGTGCCCGTGTTCTTCGTGTCCGTGCTCCTCGCCGTGGTGTGCAGAGTAGAATCTGGCTGGCGAGACGCAGCCTCTGGCGCCCGAGGCCGCAACCGCCCTGATAAGACGTCCCGATTGTCTGGATAGCATCGCTGTGTGTGTGAGAGTGTGTGCTGCTGTGCTGTTGTGCTGCTGTCTGCTGTCCTGCTGCTGTACGGGCACTCCCTTTCTCTCCCGAAAGCACTTGCTGCCCTCTGTTTCCTATAGGGTGTTTCCACAAAAAAGCCACTACTGAGGGGAAGACGGGTCTTGTCCAGCAGCCGCGGAAAAAGCCATTTTGAGTCGATCGGCGCGCCGATCGACTCAAAAAAGCCAGGCTGTGCAGACGATTGCGCTGGTGGAAGTGGGAGGTGGAGGTGTCTGGACAGGCGGAAGCAGAAAGGATGAAGGAAGACGGAGAAAGAACAGGGAGAAAGTAGAGGTTACGGAAGGCGGGGGGCAAAGTGCAGAGGCGACGGCAGCAGAGCAGGACGAGAGCCGAAAATGGAGACCGAGATCGAAGCACAGACATCGGTGCCGGACAGAGTGTCGGTGCTGGAAAAAGAGACGGTCGTTGGAGACGCAGGAGAAGAGGAGATGGACGACTTGTTCGGGGACGATGAGGCGGAGGAGGAGGGCGGAACGGGATCCGGGGTGGATGTTGGGATAGATGAGGACGAGGAGGACGAGGAGGTGGAGGGGGTGGAGGCAGGCGACGCGGAGGAGGCGGAGGAGGCGGAGTTGAAGCACGCGGATCTCACGGTGGACAGACACCCCCGGTCGCACCAGCCGAAGGACGGCCACGCGTACAGCTTCCCGCTGCCGCGGTTCCTGTTTGTGGACCCGGCGCCGTTCACACCAAACGTGTTTGAGCAGCAGCTGAAGGAGTTTGCTGCGAGCACGAGCCTGAACGGGGCGGACGTGGCGGAGTCGACGTTGAAGTCGTCGGTGCAGTTCAAGAAGCTGCAGCTGACGAACACGGTGAGATGGCGGTACGCGAAGAGCAAGACAAACGAGTTGTTCAAGCAGTCGAACGCGAACATCGTGGAGTGGGAGGACGGGTCGATGTCGCTGAAGCTCGGGCACGAGTACTTCGACGTCAAGACGAAGCCGAACGACGACAACCTGCTTGCCGTGCGCAGCGGGCAGGCGCTCGTGTCGCTGATGAACATGGACCGCTCGGTGCAGATCTTGCCGCCCAGCATGAAGTCGCGGGCGCACCAGATTCTCGCGGACACGTTGACCAAGAACATGAAGATGAAGAAGTCCAAGCGCATCAACACGATTGTCACGAGCGAGGACCCGGAGCTGAAGGCGAGGGAGGTGGAGCGGGCGCACCGCGAGATCGAGAAGGCCCGCAGAAGACAGCAGCAGAAGCTGCAGATCGAGGAGGAGCGCTCCGAGCGCCACTCGGGCAGCGGCAATGGCGCCCGGTTCAGAGACGCCGGCGACGGTTATGACGACGACATCGACATTGCCGACGAGGGCGACGAGTACGACGACGACGACGACGACGAGTACGGCGCAGTGCCCGGTGCCAAGAACGGCTTTGTTGTCGACGACGACGATGAGGGCTCGGAGCTCGACGACGACGAGCTCGACCGGGCCGCCGAGCGCCTCAAGAAGGTGAAGCGGGACGGGGCGGCCCGCTACCGGGACGCCGCTGCCGACGACGAAGACGATGAGGACGCCGTTGTGCGCAAGAAGCGTAAGGTTGTGCTGGACGACGACGACGACGAGTAGAGACTGTGCATCTGTGTAAACTAATAGGACAAGAACATGAACTTGCAAAAAACATGTTGCGGCCGATCGGCGCAAAAACCCTTTTTTTTCGCCGGCTGGTGGCGAGATGTGTGGGAGCCAGAGGAAGCCGGAAGGTCTTGTGTAGATGGAAGGTGTTGGGGCCACGTTTGCAGACGGATGGGGCCCAAGGAAGAGCTGCGGTTGCCAAAGAGAGAAGATATTCAAACAACATCTTCAGCATCTACAACAATGTCTTGGAACGGTATGTGCAGGACGCTTGCGGGCGGCGGAGCCGGCTGGGTGTGGGACCGGAACTGACACTACATACACACTCACAAACCCACACGCAGGTCGGTGGCCCGCTGCTAGAGCCATTGCGGAGCGAATACTAACCTGGACCGGTCGAGAGAGGCCCCGTTTTGTTGCGGCGACAGGGCCTCTGCTTTCCTCCTTTCTACAGCATATACCGACAACCTTCTCAAATCCGGCTACTTCGACAAAGCCGCCATCTTCTCTGCGGACGGAGCGGGTGTCTGGGCCAACAGCGGGAACTTGACGCTGCAGCCCGGAGAGATCAACGCCATTGTTGCCGGGTTCAACGACGCGTCGCAATTGCACATGTCCGGCTTCCACGTCGAAGGCCTGAAGCAGTTCTGCATCAAGGCGGACGCCAGATCCATCTACGGTAAGCACGAGCAGCAGGGCGTGATGTGTGTCAAGACCAAGCAAGCAATCATCATTGCGCACTCGCCAGAGGGCGTCCAGGCCGGCGGTGCCGCCACCGTTGTCGAGAAAATGGGCGACTACCTCATTGGCAGCGGCTACTGAATGTATTCCCTTATGTAACGTGATATCTTTCTTCCTGTCATACTGTCTATCAATAGTAAACACACGGTAAACGGTTTGCAGCTCGACGTGCAACGGCATGTGAGTGTTTTTCTTTTGGCTAGGGAAACCTATATAGGGTTATTCTACGAGGGATGGTGCATACATGGAAAAGAAAGAGAGCGGGCGGGCTCCTCAGATGATGGCGTCCATTTTGCTGAAGATGCTGATGACCGAGGCAACAACCTCCAAGTTCATCTCAAAGCCCTGGTGCGCGTCCACCTCCCTGTCGATCTCGCTGTTGAGGTTCATACCAAAGCCCACGGAGGACGCCTTATCGATGAAGGGGAAGTCGCTGAAGTTGCCCAAGAGCTCCTCGGCTCTGATGAACGCCTGGTCTCTCATGTCGAAGTTCACGTCGACTAGCACGTTTTCCAACACGTTGGCGGCGCTGCACCCGCAGACCAATACAACGGTTCTGAGGTACTTCCATTCCAACGTCGAGGGGAAGTACTTCTCGTCGTAGTCCAAGATGACATTTCTCGACGTCAGCATGTTCAGAACCCGGGCGGTTATCTTCTTCTTTGGAAGCGGGTCGTTGATTGGGTGTGTGGGCATGTCGAAGAGGAGAAAGTTTTTCCGCTCGGTCCGCAAAACACCCTTGTCCACCAACCCCTTTGCCAATCTCTCCCTCACCTGCTTAAGCTGGTAGTTGATCTTCATCAAGTTCCACGTCTCTCCACTCAAAAGGTCGATCCAGTTCAACACACTCAGGTTCTCGTCGTCGTTCTTCATCAACTTCAACGCCTCGTCCAACAACGTCTCGCCCGTCATGGTCGAGTCAACCACCTCAATCAACCGGTCCGCCAGCTCAAACCGTTTCCGCGCAGGGTCGTTCACCATTCTGATCTTATTTCTCAACGCCAACTCGATGATGATCAATCCCCGCAACGCATACGAGATATTATCATTCCAAAATGATAGATACCCTTCCTTGTCCTTCAATCCAAGTAGCAACACCTCTTCCAGCAAGGTCAAAAACGGCTTCGTTCCGTACTTGTCTTCGTTGTTCATGCTCGGGTCATCCCGCGGATCGTACCCAATCTTGCTTTCCGGGTTCCTTATGCTCTCTTTGTTTGTGCTGTTGTTCAAGCTCATGTTGCTGACGCCGTTCTCCAGCGACGCCTCCTCGTCATCGCCGTTGTCGGAGGTTTTCTTAGCTCCTCCCCTACGTCTTGACAATCCCGAAGACATGATGTGTAATGCGTGTTTTTCCGTTCTTCTGTGCTACTACGCAATTCTGTGCTGGGCCTCGGCTGTTCCGTTATTGTTCGTTCGCTGTAATATCTCGTCTTCGATTGCTCTTCTGACTAGCAGTGGAAATGCAAAACTTTCGTGTAGAAGACGTCTGGCAGTGCAGGGGCAAGCAATCGCGGCAATTGCTTCTCTAGATGTCGACCCTGGCAATGGACGCTACCTCCGACTGCAACACCCGCCCTCAAGCGTCCCCCAGCCCGAGCATCAGCCTGCTTTTCCACCATCCTGTTTCGACTTGTCCAGCCTGGCGATACTGCTGGCGGGGGAAGCAGACACCTGTCGGCGAGGAGCCGCTAGACACGACGCGCAAAGTCTGTCGCGCCACGACAGCATTTCTGTGGCACGGCTGCTGTCATTTGTCGCTTCGGGCAACATGAATTTTCCACTTTGCTCTTATCTGGAAATGGAAGTATACTGTCCCCTATGTTGGTGCATAGCCGGAGGGAAAAGGAGGAAAGGGAAGAAAAAGAAGGAGATGGAGAGATTGTGTGTGTGACCATGACGGTTTCCGGTCGTTTGCAGACGCTAGACCCGGCGAAAAAGCCGCCTCGGGCGACGTTGCGCCAGAAGATCGACGTTTTGGACTACATTGCCGGACCGCCAGTGAAGTCGCAAATCGACGCGTTGACCTTCTTCAAGAAACAGGGCCTGTTTTCGATATCGCAGGCGACGCTGTCGAATTGGACGACTCACGAGCGAGAGCTCCGGGACGAGTTTGAGAAAAACCCCAACCTCAAGTACTACAAGAAGAAGCCTGTGCTGAAATATCCGCACGTGACGGTGCAGGTGGAGAAACACATCTCGGAGCTGCTTGCTGCGGGCCAGCCGGTGACCGACAAGGTCATCCGAGACGCCTACAAGCTGTTCATGAGCAACAGCGAGAGTGGTGCCGAGAGGGACTTCAAGCTTTCTGCCGGAATGCTCAAGTCGTTCAAGAAGAGAAATAGCGTGCTGATGCTCGACCACGAGGGTGCCAGAGTGGATGCAGGGAGTGGCACTGGCACTGGCACCGGCACTGGCACCGGCCTCCGTGTCATAAGCAGCAGACTCCCCAGTATCGAACCCGAACCGGCAAGTGTGCCGCCACAGGTACTTTCTGGACCCTCCTTGGCTATGGAGATACCAAGCGAGAACCCGGCATTAGCTGACCAGGTTGGCGCCACCTCATACTCCCTCAACTCAACACCGTCTAACCTCGACTTCAACTTTGACGATATCTTCAACAACAATTCTGTCGGTTTCAACACGAGGTTGATCCATTCCGATGACATTTTCTCTTTTCTACCCATGCACGACTCCACCATCAACCCGGTGATGTACAACGGTAGCAACAGCGACGAGAGCAACAGCACTAACAAGGAAACATCCACAAGTAAGAACGAACATTTGCTGAACTCTTCCAACCAGCAAGTTTCTCTGCCGGCGCCAGCTAACTCACCCCTTATTTTCTCTGCGCTTCCTACCGTTAAGAAGCCTGCGGAAAATGAACCAATAGTAGACCTCGGCACAAAAAGAAAATTGCCATTTTATCCCAACTACCAAAACCCCTTGAAAGACAGTTCGGAGTACAAAAGACATAAGCATACAGTGTCGAAATCACTAGGCTCCAAAATCTCAAACTCAAATAGTGAAAAAATCGAAAAAATACTTGAAAATATAACTGATGGGCACGTTACCTTATACAATTCAGGGACTTCTGCAATTATGGGCATTCTCAGCTTTATTAACCCTTCCAGCATCTATATACATGAAAAGGGGTATCAAGGTACCCACGATGTTATCAAGCTTTTACATAAACTCACCGGTGTTCAGAAATTCTCTTTGGATCATTTGATAAAACTTCGGCATGAAGACGTCCCAGAAAATTCTATAATAATCTTGGAATCTCCAATGAACCCTCTTGGATACGTTCACGACTTATCTTACTACTCTCGTATAGCTAAGTCTTGCAAGTCCTGCAAGCTCATTGTTGATTCTACCTTGGCTCCTCCACCCCTACAGTTTCCTTTTAAGCAAGGTGCTGATTTTATCGTTTATTCTGCGGTGAAATATCTTGCAGGTGTGAGTGACCTGGGAGCAGGGTTTATTGTATCACAATCAGTTGACTCCAAAACAAATTTGCACATGGAAAGGAGCTCATTGGGTACTTCAATAGCCAACTTTGACAGCTTCTTGCTAGTGCGAAGCCTCAGAACCTACAAGATGAGAATCTTAACTCAGTGTAATAATACAGAAAAGATAATAAAGTTCTTTATGAAAAATTTTAAGAATTATAGTCAAATAGTCGATAAAATACATCACGCTTCTCTACAAGCCAATAAAGATGTTGTAATGAAACAACTGAATGGATACTATAATCCTGTTTTTGCTTTGGAGCTGAAACACGAGGTTTATGCTGAAACACTGCTGGGGGAATTTAACTTTTTGAGCAACAATCCAAATTTAGAAGGTGGTGAAACATTGGTAGAGTTGGTTCATGGGAACTCAAACTTCAGCCATAAATTTGTTGACGATGGTGATTCTGTCAAAGGAAATATGGCGTCAGACGCCAATTACAAAAAAATGTTGAGATTTAGTGTAGGATGTGAGGACTTTCAAGATATAATTAAAGATATTGATCAGGCTTTGATGAGTTTGATTCATGACTTATAATTATGTAGCTATTATCTTTGTCATTCATGTATACATAACTATAAAATTCGAAAACAAGAGGAAATTTACCGTTACGACTTGAGGCCCGATAACTAGTCTACGTCCATATGCAAGTTATCAACGTTAGAGGCGACATAGGAATTTTTGTTTAGCTCTTCTAACTTAGTAACGTTCTCCTTGATAAAAATATCCCTTTGCAAAGGAGTGATTTTTTCTAACAAATCATCTTTGATGAATGTTAAATAATACGGAGTAGCTGTATTTCCATCACTAAAGTTAAACACCTCTTCCACAGGGACTTCACTGACAACCTCATCATTATACTTTCTGTAAACATTGGATTTTGGATCTCTAATGTAAATAAAGTAATGACCATATGACGCTTGCCCACGATGAATAAATATGGCAAAAATAGAATAACCCACTTTGTTAAAACCCTTGAACTGTTTATTGATATTGTTGTGTAAAATGTCCAACTCGTTATTGATCCCCAGTAGAACATTTTCTAGTCTATCAATTTCAAGGTCAAGAACCTCTAGTGTATTCATGTCGATTGGTATACCCAGATCTTTCACGCTTTCTGATGAAAGATAACTTCTTGTGGCCTTCAATACATCACGGATCGACATGCCCTGCTCGTTGGTGGACATAATTTCTTGCTTCTTTTGATTCAATTCCTGAACACGACGCTTCCAGTGAAACAATTCTGTCCGCTTGTCGATGATCGCCTGATCACTCGTTTCTAGATAACGATCCATGTACAACTTTTCCTCAAAAGGAATAGGTTCATTTGATTTGACTGGAATAAGTCTTTCCCTGTCAAATTGCACTCTTTGAATCTGGATTTGTAGAATATTCGGTAACTCAATAATTGTGAGGGATCTCTTAACCTCTCCATCTTCAAGTTCCAGTAGGTCCTCTGTGAAAAATGTATCAAGGGCATCGTATATGTCTTTTGGGTGATCACCAATATTGACAATCAAGTTCAAAAAACTCTCTACTTTAGTTCTAACATTTCCGTTCAAAAGTTCCTCCTTTGTTCTGCTATCAACAGGTACCAACCTTTGCTTCGTTTTTCCGTAAAATAATTTTTTTACCATGTCGACTTGTTCATTGTCTTCCTCCAAAATATCTGGTTTCATGGCACTTTCAATTTGGGTAAGAACATTTGATATACACTCAGTGACATCCTGCTGACTTCCAATTTCAAATGCAGATTCAAACTGATCAGCACTGATTTTGCACACTGCTGCTGTTTTCTTCTTCTCTGGTTCCTTCGGAAGCTCATCTGGAGCTAAAATACTTCCGTCATCTGATGTACTATTATCAGCATTATCAGTATCAGTTGTTAGCTTACTGTTTGACTTCTTACCATCTCCATTAGAGTTTACATCATCATTAGTCAAGTCAATCACTTGATCATCCACGGGTTTGGAGTCCTCATTAGGCCCTTCGCCTTTATAAAACTCATTCAGTGACATCTCGATTAACTTTTTGGATTCGTCATCCTCAGCAGCAGTTGTCAACAATTTGTCGGCATCTAAATTCTTACTGGAATCATCTTTCTCATTTGATTCTATTTCAAATTCAACCTCAAAGCTGATAGGACTGAACGCTAAATACGCTAACTCTCTCGATGGTGTTACGCACTTGTCATTCTCATGAATCAACTGGTAGTACAAGTCTCTTAACTGATACATAAATTGATATGATCTCTCTGTTTCTTTCAATCCAACTGTTCTTCCACCAATTCTCCGGATTTGATACTTCTCATCCTTTTCAAAATCTTCTGCGCTGAAAACCTCATTGAAGTTTAGAATATAATCCTTTAGTTGCTCTATCACAAAGTAGTATTGCAATAGAGAATTCAAATAGCATGTGTTACCTATATTATTCAAACCTGCTGGAGATTGCTCGGTTGACAGCAGCGTCGAATTCACAATACCCGATGTAAGATATCCTTCAATTAATTTTGATTTCCTATGTTCACCAATGGTTTTCAGTGACTTCCATAGCATTCGGAAATCAATATTTGTATCCTTATGCAATCTTTCTTGGAAAACTCGTACTACTACCAAATCATCGGCTGTATTCATGCACCCGACAAATTGGTAAGCATCGTGCAAAGACATATCGTAAACTGAAAACTGGGGCAAGTTGGTATCAATATAGCTCATTAAAAGAATACTCTTTCTTGCCAAAACAATTGTGTAAAACGCACGTGCAACATTCGGATCAAAGTTAAGACCATTTTCAGAAGCTTTGTAATCGTAAAATGTAATCAGTAAAGAGTCATCAAATGATGGATCAATGTCTAGTAGTTTGTAAGCATCATAGATATCAAAAAATGGCTCAGTATTCAAATATTCTCTCAAAAGATCACTTGATCTGGAAGTTGCAATCTTATCTAACATTTCCCTGAAGGTAACTTTTTCGTATTTCGTAGCAGCAACAATCAATTGGTTACGATAAGCGTTCAACAACTGCTCATCTGAAATTGCACTCATTGCGATGCAAGATGTGGCATTGTTGAAGCCTAATTTGGCAAAAATATTTTTCATTTCCCCAAAACCCAGTTGTCCACGACCCTTCAATATTGTGACATAATAAGGAAGCTCTTCAGAATATCTGGAGGTAGCACAATATGTTAACGCGTCAAAATATAAGGGTATGTTTTGTGGATCAAATGCAATCAAAAGCTCATAAATATGGCATATCAACTGGTCTCCGTAGAATGGGCATATTGATAACAAAATCATAGGATCTGAATAGTACTGATCGTTCCAATTGTTCCAGTTTTGTATTTGATTGGTTATATCGAACTCTTTAACACAATGAAAAATGTCATGAAAAGAATAGGAAAAGTAGTTGGAGAAATCATTGCGGTTTGCTGAGGTATGGGCAATATAATAAACAGTCTCTAAGATCGCTCTCTTAAAATAATCTTGAGTAACAAAAAAGTAATCTCCGAGTGATGCAAAATGGATTGGAGTAAGCTGGCCCAAGTTGTCGTTTTCCGTCAAAATGAAGAAGAACTTGTCTAGTAAAAGCTGAAGATCTATCATTACTTGCAGTTTCGTCGCTTTTAAATCTATCGATTTGACATCCTTGATGTCTTGATGTGCCAAAGCTCCAGAAAGTGCCTTCTTCAGTTTGATAAAACAATCGTAAGGTGTTATGTCGACATTACTGAACGATTCGCTTCGGTCAACTTGGGAGTTATATGTGGCTATCCTAGTTTGTATCTCGGTCAAAGTGAATGATTCCAAATCGTTTCCTTGGAAAAATGCAGGATATATCTCAATTCGTATTAGGGTACCGGTCTCTTTTGAAATGAACGTGGCAGAATCAAGAAATTGGGGTAATGATTTAATCAATATTTGTCTTGCTTCGTCAGATGTTGAATCTGTGTCCCTCATAATATCTGTTGGCTCTATCCAAATTCTGTCTTCTTCAAATAAATCGTTATCCAAAAAGCCATAAAAACTGTTCTTTACATTCAATCGATTGTTTGAATATCTAATACTAATCGAATAGTGAAATAGTTGCAAATTTGAAAAGTCAGAGCCAGAATGATGGTTTGGAACTAGTAAGCCAGAAAACTTTTGTAATGTTGTATTCCCATCCAATTCGGTAATTTGGCTTGATCCGAGCAACTCGTCATTGGTACTCCAGAACGCCGGTTGGTATTTATAACCTGTAGTTTTGCTCAGCTTGGATAAAGTAGTTGAATATCTTGCAGTAGGAGTAGACAATATACCCTCTTCACCCTTAATCAAAAACAATGGATCTGATCGCAAGTCGTCGAAGATTCTGTCTGACGTTTTCATACATATTGCCTTGCTGAAATCATACTTTTTCTTTACTGGCTGATCTACAGGAGATGTGGGCTTGAAATTGGTCCCAGTCGATAAGCTGTTGTATGGGTGCGTAGAACCTTCAGTGGACTGCTTTTGTTGTAAATAAGAGTCACCTTGATCAGTGGCACCTTTCTGGCTTTCTCTATCCGAATTATGGCCTAAAACATCACCATCTTCTTCTTCTATTTGATAATCATCGTCTAGCTTGGGGATTTTAGGCACGTTATTTTCACTATTTTGTAAATTGTGTTTCGGTTGGAAGGAATTGTTCATGCTGTCGTTATCAGACATTATATAGGCTAGCTTCAATGTCTGGGGTTTCTTTGTGAACACAGGCAATTACAAGGTAAGGGCAAAAGAAAGGGTGGTTATCGAAAGCCCATGGTACATCATCTTAACACCAAGCCACGTACAAAAAAATACCACGCCTTTGAGCATGACTAGGAATTTTCACTTTTTTAGGGAAAGATATGGTCAATTTTGATTCTTGCAGTGCATAAGGCGTCTGTTTCTTGTCACTATAGAAGAACTCACACACACACAGAGTGAAATGGGACTCATAGAATGGCTTTCTGGGAAAGCCCCGACGGAGAAACCCATTTTGGCGCCTGAACCCCCAACCAGCGTTATAGAGGGAATCATTGAGGATCCATCGACTAAAGAAGTGGCACTCTTGAACTATAACAATCCACATAATGACAAAGTAACCTCCGAAGCTAATAATGGGAGCATAAATTCATTAGAAAAGATGCTAGCATCAAATCCCTACTTTGCTGCCGGTGGTGGGTTGATGGTTTTGGGTGCAGGATTTGCAATGTTAAGACAAGGTATTTCATCGTTTGCAAACTTGATGTACCGTAGGTTAATAGTCGATCTAGAAATAAGAAACAGTGACAAATCTTATGACTGGTTTTTGAATTGGATGTCGAACTACAAGAATAGGGTTTCGAGACAACTAAGTGTCAAGACGACATATGTGCAACACCAAAACGGATCTGTTGCGACGGGATTTTCTTTTGTTCCCGGTCCTGGAAATCACTGGTTCAGATACAAGAATGCATGGTTTTTTGTCAAAAGGGAGAGATCCGAGAGAATACATAACTCTGGACAACCCATGGAAACTGTGACGTTGAAAACATTGTATAAGGACAGATATTTGCTGGCGTCAATATTGGATGAAGCTAGACAAATGGCAATGAAATTGAGTGAAGGTAAAACAGTTTTGTTTAAGTCCTGGGGCCAAGATTGGAGGGTGTTTGGCAAACCAAGAAAGAAGCGGGTCATTGATTCTGTCATCTTAGATAAAGGCATCAAAGAGTCTATACTTCATGATCTGAAAGAGTTTTTGAAGTCAGGAGCATGGTATCATAATAGAGGCATCCCCTATCGTCGAGGCTACTTATTGTATGGCCCACCGGGAAGCGGTAAAACCAGTTTCATACAAGCGCTTGCAGGTGAGTTTGATTACAATATAGCAATCATGAATGTAGGTGAGCCTAACTTGACAGATGATCGATTGGCATACTTGATGAACAACATACCAGAGCACACTATCTTATTACTCGAGGATATTGACGCAGCATTTAATAACCGTGCACAAAGTAACGAGAAGGGTTACGTCTCTGGAGTCACTTTCAGCGGATTGTTAAACGCATTGGATGGTGTTGCATCGGCAGAGGAGGTTATCACATTTATGACCACAAATCACCCCGATAAACTTGATCCTGCGCTGTTGCGACCAGGAAGAATAGATTTTAAGGTTTTAATCAATAATGCCTCCGACTACCAGGTGGAGCAAATGTTCATGAGGTTTTACGATGACCAAGAAAAGGCCAACGTGTTTATGCAGAAATTCAAGGAACTCGAATTACCTTATGTGAGTACGGCTCAGTTACAAGGGTTGTTTGTACAGTTTAAGGAAAGCCCTAAGTTGGCGACTCGCAACATTGGAATACTGAAGTCGCCACATATGAACAACTTCTTCTACGAATGATGCTAGCGAGACGAGCATCAAATGTATATAGTTACAGCATGTAAATAAATTTATGACTGGGGTATTAAGTACTAAGCGTTACACAAATCTGAACTAGAATAAGTACTATCTAATATGGTATATGGTATAAATCAAACGCAATCTTTACGTTAATCTGTTTTCATTGGCAAACGTCTCGAGTAGCTCATTTCCCGATTCTTGCCAATGTTGGTGCATCACCTCTGATGAGCCTTCAATAACGGCCATTTGCTTGGCTTTTGTTGCAAGTGCTTCTGCAAAACGAATGTAGTTGAGATAGAACAGCAAGTCGATGTTTTTCTGGCCAAGTCTGTACCTAGTGCCGTTTCTTTCATTTAGTTTTTTCAATCTCTGGCGCAATATTCTTCGATGGCGGCGTATAAGGTCAGTGTGCACCGAAGCCATGTTTGCAGCTATTCTTCTTCAATTGTAGACGTTGTCTTACTTCATTATAGAGTGTCATTTGAAATGGTAAGAAGTACGGGTGGGAGCCCCAAAGCACCATTTTGTGAGGATCAACAAGTAAATTAAGGCGAGCACCGAAAATGAAAACGGCCGTGTTTTTGTTTACATTCATACAAAGAGTTAATACATGAAGAATTACGGTCATATGTTGTAAAGGTATCCCTGCAACTGCTGGAGAACCATCGCAGTCATGGTCTTCTCGGTCTCTTCAAGTGGCGGGGACTCGTTCACAATGTGGGCAAGCGTTTCCGTTAACATCGAGATTTCTAGCATTGCAGTTGACCGCAAGACGGAGAGAGTACGTTCGTTGTCAGTCAGAAGTAGACGGATTCCGTTGACAACAGCTTTGAATAATAAACGAGGAAACTCGTCGCCTGCATGTGTCCTTATAGCCTGTAATTGACCGGAAAGTACGGCAATCAGCTCAATCGACATATCGACAAGCTCTATACATGACGGCACTCCGCACGAATAGACCATCGTTAGGATGTCGAGAAAATGGGAATTCAAATATTCAGACAATGTACCTACATTGAAACCCGCTCCATAGGTTTGGGAATTGACTTCCTGCCAAATTGCTGACAAGGTGTAATACAATGGAGGGAGCTTTTTGTTGATGAACGAGGTGTGCATAGTCTTACCCTGTGCCAACTCGGAGTCTCTAGATTTTTTATCTATGGCTAGCTTCCGAGATTTCCGTACAACTTTCCCCTTGCCGATCCCCACCGACTCGAATGCCTCAACCAGCTGTGTTTCTCGATTCTCCTGGTCTATATCCACGATTTTCTTTGTTTGATCTTGGCCATGGCCCAGATCTAGATTTAAAAAAAGATCATGTCCTGGACCTGGGAGCTTTTTGCCTGCCGCTTTATCAAGGTTTGTTTTACCCCAAATAAACTTATCTTCCTTACCGCAAAGCTCTCTGCAACTCAAACCTATACAGGTGAGAACCTGTATTCTTGTGGGAACACTCCAGTCTTGTTTAATAAAGTTCTCCAAGAGATATTTGAATATGACATCAGGCTCGCTAGTGCATATGGCGATCATAAAGGACAACCTCCATGAATCGAACGCCACTTTGATTTGATCCTCATCGAAAATTTCATCTTCTTTCAAAGGGAACCCTACTCCGTCCAGATCGAGAGCTGAGTCCAGCAGCTTGGTGGAATAATACTTCATCTCAGGGGTATCCTTTTTTATTCTTACCATCTCGATGCCGATACTGAAGGCAATTCCTCTTTTATCATAAGTAGTCTTATCGTTTTGCGGATCAGAAGTGAAGTAATGTAGTAAGTCCTTCAAGAACACAGGTTTGGCAACAGTTGGCTTCCTTTCTACAGACGGATCATCGAGATCGGAATCTTCGTTGTCAGAGTCATAATCCATTTCGACCATCAAAGGGGTCATTGGCACTGCCACTTCAGTGTCGGTACTATCTGATATCTTGATAGCCTTTGAATAATTTAGTAATTCGTCTATGGCGGCTTCCACAGGACGTGATGAGGAGACTTTTTGAAGCTGGGTATCAAGCTGGGTAAAAATCTTCAAGAACTCCTCTCTTTTGCACGCATAAGTTGATACAGTAAACAGAAACTTTCCATTGATACGTTTGTATATGTAATCTGCAACGAACATACCCAGCTGCATGATAGTTGCTGCTTTTGATTCTAGCCTTGACGTAATACTGTTCATAAAGGAAATGTTTGCTGATATCTCTTGTAATTGTTCGTCATTTAACAGAGTTAGTGTCGTAATCAGAAACTTTGTATATTCGGTTTGCAGTTTAACTGCTGTGTTTAAGATAAAATCTCTGTTCCCGAATTTGTTGATCAAGCTAGTCACCCACTCAATTCCTGGGTTACCTAAACATCGCATCCAGATGAAGGAGACAACTGTGTTGGTGTTTCTTTCACAATGGCTGAAAACAATTTTTCTGATATCAGTGAAATTGACTTGCTTTAGTAAGTTGTTGACGAGTTCGAACCAAGTGTGACAAACATCCATATCAGACTCTCCTAGTCTAAAGTTCATAGCATGGAGAACTCCAACAATGAAATTCTTTTGGGCCTCGGCAAAAAGGTACTTCTGTTTTGAGCCAACTAGCTCAGAAGCAGAAAATAAACTGATGCAGGGCTTCCAATTGGTTAGCAAAACGTTCAGAACCTGATCTGGTTCCTTGAGCAAGAAAGAATTGACTATCTGGCGAATATACTGTAGTTTCTCATTTGTAATCTGATCTTTGTTTCTCTCTAACGATTGGACTATGTAAAATGTGCATTTTTCGGCATATTGCTCCATGATCACTCGGATGGTGCTGCGATCGAGGTCTGCAGATAGATGCTCGGGCACATCGGGGTGATCTAAAAGCCAGATTAGGATCATTCCCAAACAATCCATAATTTTAATGCCTAAGATAGAATTCCAAGTTTCCAGTCCCAAGCCTTTAGTCTCGTAAAATTGATCTATAAGGTGAGGTAAACTGTGCTGAACGATGTTTACCAGGATGTCTATGAAAAAAAACGTGTTTCTGTGTTCTGAGTCTTGTTGTATAGCATTGATGAGCTGACTTATTCCTACTTTGGAAGAAAGCAATTCATAAACAACCATTCGTGTGGGTTTATCCAGTAAAACATAAGTCTGGGGAACTATGCGATTGAGCACAACAGAGCAAAGCAGTAGGGAGTCCGGGTCAGATAGAGGGCATTGTGCGTGAATTGTGTTTAAAGAAGTTTGAAGTTCAATTGTAGAGAGCTCTGTTTTCGACAACAAACGTATTCGATCGACTACAGACATCTTCCAGGTGTATGCTGTAATTCAGAGGTAGACGTTTCTCCAATCTGCTTTGCATCAGTTATAGAAAAGATAGAGAGGTGGAGATGAAGGTGTGGAAAAAATTGGCGAAATCATGAAAGCTTTCCGCGTACTAAGAGATCTGCAAAGCTCATCAAAATGGGATCATTGTCGACGATCAGCTCTGTACAGAGTGAATTGTGAGGGCACTGGGTAGTCAAGTGCTAGAGTTGGCTGACAGCAAACGAGAAACATCATGTATGGACCAGTGAACTCGACACTCGTACCTTTTGACCACACATACATTCTTTATTCTCCCGACCATGTGCTATCGTTACCACTTGCTGCAAGTTCGTTACTGCCGATTTTAATACTTGTGTTTTTATTTTCGTGGCACATTGTTACTAGAGAGATTGAGCCATGTTTGTTTGCTGCCGGACACGTTTGTAACGATGTCATCAGCGGGATCTTTAAAAACGTGGTCAAGTACCCCCGTCCTCAGAACGGACAAATTTTCAAGCAGGATGGTGGGTTAGTGTGGGGGATGCCCAGCTCACACTCCCAGTTCATGTCTTTCTGGGCAACCTACGTCCTCTTGATGTACGTGCAAAACTGGCCGTACTACAAACTAAACAAGTGCCAGAAGGTGATGTCCACTGCGGGTGTAATAAGCTGTGTGTCGGTCGTGGTTGGCAGCAGAATTATTTTTGAGTACCACAACTGGAACCAGATCATTGTCGGGTTGGTATTTGGGAGCATGCTAGCAAGCGCATACTACGTCTTTATCAGCCTGCTGCGGGAGTATGGTGTTTTGGACCGTGTTCTACAACTCGAGATTTTCCGATGGTGGGGGATGAAGGACGGGTTCGGAAGAGGCATGTTCAAGACTCTCGCCGAGGAGAGGGCGGAGTGGGAGAAGGAAACGTACGCATACACAGAAACGAGTATAGGGAAGCCTTAGCTTGGGGTTAAATAGATTGAATAAATTTGATGACCGTATCGACGGCGTTTTTCTGGGCGTTGTTGGTGGACCCTTCACCGATGTTGTGCGATGCGCCTTCGACAACGGTGCTGTACTGGGACCAGTTTACGCTGGCGACCTTTGCCCATCTGTCCAGCAACGCCTCCTTGTCCAGCCACTTCGGAACGTACTCGTCCGAGCCGCTGTAGAGGACCAAGAACGGCCTATCGAACTTGCCGAAGGTTGTGGCGAAGTCTGCGTCCTCTAGATCTGGAGAGAAGAAGTCATCGTCGCCTCTGACCGCCATGAGCGAGTTCCATCTGTACGCGTTGATTGGGACGTTGAAGAAGCGCTTGATGAACTTGTGTGGCATGATCTCGTCGGACCTGCCCTGGGCAATCAGGTCGTTGGCGATGACCAACGACTCCTCCAACTCCTCCTTCGACATCATCATCGTGGCCGAGGCTCTGTCGGAGGCAGGCGCTTGCAGAATGCCGAAGTCCACTGCGGAGTACTTCGCCGGATCGTCTCTCTCCTGTCTGGTAAAGTAGTGGGTGGTGTTCTGGCACCCGGTGGAGTGGCCCATCAATCCGATGGTCGACCGCTTACCGCCCTTCTCGGACTTTAGGTACGTGACGAGTTGGGAGATCTCGGTCGAGTCTCTGTTCAAAGAGCCCGTCCCCCAGCCAATGTGCGACGACGAGAACTCAATCTGCACAAGCGAGTAGTTAATCTTGGCGAGCTCTTCTGCCAGCCGCTGGAGATACGGGACCGTGAGGAGGCCGTCCATAAGGCCGCCGATAAAGATAACCACGTTTTTGTGCGCCGCCGGGGCAAACTCGAACGCAATGTGGCGGGGAGCGTACTCGTGAATGAGACCTGCAACGGGGAACGACATTACTTTTCTGTTTGTCTGGTTTATGTGCTGTTGTGCCTATTTCTTCGTCGCATCCGGCCCCTTGTTTCCTTTCCTTCACCTCTCTGGACCTTCTTTTCCGTCTGTTTTCGCCTTTCCGACCGGAAAAACATGTTTGCTCGCGACAGTTGCCCGATCGGGAATTCCTCTATTTTTTTCTGGAAGCCGCTGGAAGATCTCCAGGATGAGACGAAGAAGAAGAGGAAACGGAGCAGATCCTACATGTCTTCGGATGGGCTGGTGGTCGGAGACGGTACACGGGCTGGCGGGGCCAACGATGGGGACGTTCCTCAACAGCGGTGTTTCAGGAAGTACGGGAGTTGCACAGGGTGGAGGGAGAGAGTGGCCGGAGGGCAGCAGCAGCATAAACAGAAACAGCAACAGCAGCAGCGAGATGTTCTATAACAGCATGAGCAATGGCACCCAGACACACTCCGGGACGTTCCGTCCGCACAAGCGACACCTGCAGGAGCCGCTGGACGCACAGCACCATGCGAAGCGTCGATTGGTGGACCACCTGGGCAACCTCTCGATCGGCCAGGGCGGCGGCGGCGGCTTTGGTTTCTCCGCTGATCAGAACAGCGCCAACGGCGCCAGGCCCTCTGTGTTCGGCTCGTTCACACAAGAGCAGCTGAAGAGGCCGCTAAGCGACCCGAACAGGGTGATTATCCGGAATATCGACCAGTTTCTCCGGGAGAACCCGGACCAGCTCGACCTCATTGGCGAGAAGGTGCAGCTGGACGACCTGCGCAAGGCCGGCTTGGACAAGTTGGTGGTCTCGTGCGGGTTGGACATCAAGAAGGCGTGGAGCAAGATTGTGTCCCGCTACCGCTCGAAGCAGCCGGTGGGGGAGCACAACACGGATGTTGACGAGCTCGTGTACAAGCTCATCTGGGAGGAGTACCTTGCCAAGTACTTCTCGCTCATCAAGTACTACGATCCGTTGAAGATGGTGTGGCAGAAGTACACCACCTGGCTCCAGAAGAAGCGCAACCCGACCCTCAAGAGCCCCTATATCACAGAACTAGACAGCGACGGCGATGACATCATGGTCGACGAGGACGACGAGGGCCCCGCCGTGGCAACCGACGCCAACGTTGATGTCGACGAGCTCTCCGAGCGGGAACAGAGCCTCAGAGACGGCACCAGTGGCTACGGCTCCTATTACACAAGGGACGACCACTGGCACGACTTGGCGCTCCCTGGCTACCACCAGATGGACGCCATGATTGAAGACGTCGACGACGGCGATGGCGGCAGCGGCAACAGCGGCAGCGTCGCCACCGCTAACGATAATGATAACGACGTGATGATGGAGGACGACTGATCTCACCTTTGCCAACTCCTGTTTAGAAGTAAACTATGCTATATACCCAATCCCCCCTCTAATAAATAAAATCCCCGTACCAACGACCTGCTATCTGCTATCTATCTATCTTCCCTCACCGCATTCGGCAAGTGAGAAAAGTCTCGATCTATGACAAAATTAACGGTTCGTGTAGCTGAAAGATGGCTTCTTCTTATGTCGTAGCTGCGTGAAGGTGTGCTTTCTGGAGACACCGATTGCATCAGATATGACACCCAGTATCGGCTATGTCCACCCTACGCTGCTGCTGTCCCTGTCGGACCACCTCAATCGGCACACAGCTTACACTGCGGGCAGCGCAAGCACCCTGTTCGGACTCATTCTAGGACGACACACCAAGGGCGAATCTGTGTCTCTGCTATACTCCTTTGAGATACCGGAGATCGAGTGCACAAGCAGAGAGGAGTTTGAAAGACATTTGAACCTCCTCGGCGAAGTGTACGGTAAGGGATACCTCGAGCTCGTCGGGTTTTACGTGATAAACGACGAGAAGGAGAGACAGGGAGACGGGAGGGAAAGAGAAAAAACGCAAGCATTTCTACTTCAAAGACAGCTTAGCTTATTGAAAGACATAAAAAGCACCGGCTCGTCGGACTTGCCATCGTTGTTGAAAACGATAGACGTCGATGAAAACCTTGTATTTCTTCAGTTCCACACTCCGTTGGCAGCAGAACTCGAGGCATCGGTGAACCTCTTCTCACTTGGCAGCAATCAGGTAAGGTCGATACCTTTTGAGATACGCTTTTTAGGTGCAGAGAAGCTGAGTGTTGCCACGTACAACAATGCACCAAAAATGCCGGCCAAGCTCGACGAGCTCGAGGACTCGGGGAAATCGGGCAGCGTGAACCTCAAGGACGTCGCCTCCGGGCTGCAAAACCTCCATGAGAAGCTCGAGAAGGCGTTGTACTTTTTAGAGGGTGTGAAGACAGGTGCAATCAAAGTGCCCGACTCCGGTGAGGAATACGAAGCACTGCAGGCCTTATCCAACCTTGCCGGACGAATCACGGCCATCAAGCGGAAACTGCACGAGAGCAAGAGTGCCGGTATGATTGACAGCAGTTCCAATGCGGACGAGTTGAACGAGCTCGTCGCCGTGGGGTCGATGTTATCCTCATTATTCCGTAAAAACATGGATTACTCTATATAATCGTTTCTTTTCTATAAATAGTGCGTCTCCAACATCTAGTAAGAGACCAACGCATCAAGCAAACACCACATCATAGTGAAAGTGGCAGCATTTCGTCCTATGTCGCCAAAGTAGATGTCTTTGATCGGGCTAGCGTAAAACTCTGTTATCTCGTGTCCCCTCCCGCCAGAACTCCCAAACCGTACCATTGAGAGCTGGAACAAACCGCTCGAAAGCAACGACGTTAGTACGAAAAACAGAAGGCCGTATACAGCACGAAGTTGAAGTATTCCGCAGGCAGACCCCAAAACCAAACACGCAATGTCTTTGTAATAAGAAAGTATGTTGGCATTGTGAAGCTGAGAGGGCAAGAAAATCGGCTTCTGCTCATCCTGACTAGTTTTCGGCACAGCCTGTCCCTGATTCGATCCCATTGCACTGGTTTATTGTGTCTGTGTGGATGGGGCCGGCAATAAGTCGTCTATCTTCGGTACCGCCATGAATAGGTAGACAGCCTGATCGATAGTGCTGCAAGAGAAAATAAGTGACATGCGTTTTTGGCGAGTGGCGAAATACATTATTTTCTCTTCATGAGTGGTGATTTGTATTTCTCTACATGGAAGATGTTTCTTTCGGGCCACACTCTGCACAACACTAGAACAGAACTAAGGTTACTGAAAAGTGCATATCACATAGGCAAATGTCCAATCCTGCTGCCCCATCGACAAGCATAGCAAATGTCAAATTAGAGCCAGCCTCTAAAGACTCCGACTATGATGTTTTCCCACTTCGAGCTTTGACTGAAGATGAAATAGACGAAACCAGGTACCACATTCTCAAGTTCCACAGTGTAAAGAAAATAGACCCATCGACGGAATTTGAACAACCGACCAGGCTGCACAGAAAAGATCCGAAGAACTTACAATTTCAAATGTCGTTGAAAGAGTTGGAACAAAAAAAAAACAAGATGAAGAGAAAGAGAAGGAACAGGTAGTAAAGAGAGAGGAGTTCCTCAAACGAACCGGCAAAAAGGACCTTACAGATGAACAGATTGACGAAGAGTTGGAAGTTGAGGGATTAGACGAACGTGAGAGGAAGATATACGATGACAAAAAGAAAAAAGAGCTGGAGCTAAAGGAGAAGGAGGAAGAAAAAGACAGACAGATGCAATTGGTGGCCCCTGATGGCGGAGCCAGGAAACAGAAGAAACAGTTAATCAAAAAAAGAACTAAGCAAGTTAGGGCATATAATGAGAAAAAGAGAAAATTGAGATACGAGGAATTTTATCCGTGGGTTCTAGAGGACTACGATGCAAATCAAGCCTGGGTCGGCAATTACGAAGCCGGAATAAATGACAATTACTGCTTGCTGATACAAGACACTGTCAACAAATGTTTCAAGCTAGCTCCTGTGGAGAAGTTTTACAAATTCACGTCCAGAAATAAGTATGCCACTTTGACATTAGAAGAAGCGGAAGCTAAAATGAAACAAGGTGGTTCAGGCCAAAGATGGTTGATGAGAAAGATGCATGATGAAGCTACAAGTGGTAAAAGAGTCGATCTGCGGTATAGAAAAGTGCAAAAGGTGAAAAGTGAAGGAGGTGACGAAGACGATGAAGACGACATTGGTAAGAGGTCTGACGAAGAAGAGGATTTGGATTACGATGACGAATTTCAAGACGATGAAGAAGCACCAATCATGGAAGGTCCGGACGATGAGAAGAAATTGATTGAAAGCAAGATGAAAAAGGAAATGTTGAAGGCTAATAGTTTGATTGAAAAGGTTCCTGATGAAGAAGAGGACGACGAATTTGACGAGTTGTTTGATGTGAAGAAGGAAGATAAAGAAAGTAAGAAATTGAGAAAGGCTTTGAGCAGAAATGCAATGAACGAAGTTTACGCCAGTGATGATGAGGAAGAAAACCCATATCTGTCGGAAAGTGAGATAGACCATGAAAGTGATAGTGATTCAACTGACTCAGAGAAAAAGAAAGATGGTGATGTTAAGGTCAAGACAGAGCCTAACGATGATGACGATGACGAGATCAAGGTCAAAAGCGAGCCAAAAGACGGCGATGACTTTACCGGTGAAACCGCAAGTCCAAAAAAGAAGAAAAGTAAATCCAAAGCCAAGATATCAGTGGAAAGTTATCGCTCTGGGTTTATCACAATCAGAGCGACGAAGCAAATACTCTCACAGTTTCCTAAGGGCGAATGGAATCCGAGAACTGCTATTCGTAGAGATTTAATCGATGAAGAAATTACAAACATCAGCAATCCGAACAAGCTTACACGTGAAGACATCGACAGTCTGTTGGTGAACGGACCTATTGAGTTATCTTTTCTTGTGAAGTCACTACGGGGGAAAATGCAGCGTGATCCTAATTCAAAGGATGACTTGAGGCAGATCTTGAAAGAAAATTTTATTCTAAAGAACAAGCAGGTTCACAGAAGGGAGTCTTGATATAAACATCTTTATAAGTGAGTCCTTTTAACAGTATTCCGAATACCGGTGTTTTTCACATCTTTAGTAATGTATATTTTTATGTACGTATATTAGTCAGAAAAAAGTACGACTACGATGTAGATCACATGAATATTGAAATTTCCACTTTGGGCGAAAAAATTTTCGTTGATTTTTTTTCTTCGGCTCATTACAGACTGCTGAGTCTTTGTAAGAGTAACGACTTGAAGATTAATAGAGTGTGAATATCATTTGAATTAAATAAGTGATTGCTGTTTATATATAAAATGCCAACCGAATTACAGGAACTCGTCGGCTTTTTGCACGACAAGGCTTTGAACGTCAGAGAAATTGCACTAGAAAATCTTGTCCAATTTTCACCAGGTGGGGCCAACAACCAGCAGGACATATTCAAATACGACAACTGCAGGGCTATCGAAGACTTGATAAATTTAGCACATGAAAAAAAGGGTAAAACTGTCAATGAAGCACTTACCATTTTGGTTAACCTATGTGATGACCAAGAACTCCGTTCATTAATCTCAAAGGATGATACTTTTCTGAAATTTTTGATAGAGGCATTGCCAAATCCCCAAAACTTGAATGCAGAGCTCATGTGTATGTTATTGGCAAACCTAGCCAAGGAAGACAATATCTTAAAGGTTTTTGATATCAAGGTTGATATCAGAGACGACCAAAAGGAGATTTTCAAAAGCAACAATGCTATGGATTGTTTAATGGATATGTTTGTGAAGGGAGCTGATAGACAGATTAACAAGTACGCTGTATATGATTACCTTTCATATTTCTATGCAGACCTCTCCAGGTTCAAGGAGGGCCGTGAATACTTTGTTACAGAACAAAAATATGATGATGTCATTCCGTTGACGAAATTACTAGTCTTTACAGAAAAATGGGATGCTAAAGTGAGAAGAGAAGGTGTTGCGTCTACAATCAAGAACTCGCTGTTCGATATCGAAAAACACATGACTTTTCTCGAGGAACCTATCAATATATTATCATACATTCTCTCTCCTATTGCCCTCCCTGGTAACAAAGGATTAAGTGACGACGAAATCCTAGAACTTCCAGACGAACTTCAATTTCTCGACGAGGACAGGAAAATAGAACCACTTAGAGATATAATATCTGTCCATCTCGAGAGTTTGTTGTTGCTTTGTGCTACAAGAAAGGGTAGAGAATTTTTGAGAAGCAAAAGTGTTTACCCTGTGGTCAGAGAATTACACAAGGAATCGAAGGACGACAAGGTCTCGGAGTTATGCGATCGTCTAGTCCAGATGTTAATGAGAGACGAGGGAGAGGACAAGCCAGATGAAGAAGAGTTAGATGAGATCAAGGGAATGTTGCACAAAGTCGAAGAGATTGGTGACGATGACGACATCCAAATGACTGATGATGATGACGATGATGATGAAGCGGAAGGAATGGTTGTTGTATGCTGATGGTTTTTGTTTGTAACTTCCGTCTGTAATGAAGATGCAATGATTGTATCCGTAATTTACTCCCGCAGGTGTTTTCTTTTCTTTGCGCCTGGACCCTTACCCTCAAATTTCCTCATCCCGGCTAGAGATGGACTTTGAATGCCCAATCACCAATTGTAGCAATATACCAGAAGCTGAAAACTATTAAATATATCTTTAACTTGTATTGAAGTTGTATAAAAAAGATTAGACATAAAAAGAATAAATAATTGAGTAATAGACTCTATCCATGAAGCTTATCGTATGTGACTGGAGACAAGTGATGCAATTCCTTTCATCAGGTGAAACTTCAGATTGGTGTTGTTGTTGTTGTTGGTTTTGTTATTATGAGATTCTTCCAACCTTTCAGGTTTGTTTGAATCGTAGTGTTTTTTCATATCTATAAGATCGTTTGAGGTGTCGGCGTAGCTGGTGGTGATTCATGTTCGATGCAATCCTGCTTACTCGTCATCTTCAGCTTCTTCGGTTTCAAAACCGGCTAAAACCTTTGGCTTCAAGTCGACCCAAAGCTTACCCTTGTTTCTGTTGTCGTACCATCTGGTAACACCTTCGTCAAGACCAACTTGGAACAAGAAGGTGGTAGCGAAGATAGTAGCAACGAAAGTAGAGTTTCTCTTGAAGACGAGGTTGAAAACGGATGAGTATAATGCCATGTCTGTGGTTGTATTTGCTGCTGTGGATACACTCTTGCCATCCCTCTCTGACGCTACGCCAACCCGTCATAAACTGGTGTCGTTCTTCATCAACACCTCTTCTTCTCTGTCTCTGGCTCTCCCTCTGCGTAGGCCACCGCGCACTTGCGGAAGAAAGCAAATCTTGCAATGCCACGGATCTGATTGGCCGACGGCCGGTGCGACAAAATGGGCGTCGCGGGGTGTCATGAATCGATGACATGGCCCATTTCAAGACAACAGGGGTCTCAGAAGAGAGCCACGGGAAGCAATACTTGGAAAAAGGAGATGGCTCAAGGAACAGAAAAGATGCAGTGCCTTCACATTTGTAGTGAAGTAGTTTTTAGACCAAAAAAAGCAATGTTTTTCATGTAGTGGATTTTTGGGTTAACATTAATGATTGAATGTTACTTTAATTTTCAAAATTTTACAAAAACAGAATTATAATAATTTACCATCTCTTGATTTTTAGTTGTATACATTGTTTGGAAACTAATAAACTACCCAACGTCGCGGCAGCGCTATGGTTGCAATATAAGTTCCTAGATAGTTGAGTTTCCGGGTACATGAGCGTTAATTTCTTCGTTAAAACATTATACACACATCCACAAAAAAATACAACCAGTCCTTGTTAACCGCTACAATAAACATTATATCACCAAACGACATGATCGGTGTCATCGCCGCTGTCAACGTCCATTCTACTATCCACGTAGTCGCTGTCTTCGTCGCTGTTGTACTCCTGATCTGGCATAAGCCATTCAATAGTTGGACCAGCTTGTCCTTCATTCTCGCTAACAGTGGTAGACGGAAAACCGTGGTCATCATCAGCGTTGCCGATGCCACCATGGTCGTCTCTCTCATCTTCTTCGTCAGCGTCGTCTTCCTCATGTTCATGGCCTTCATCGTTGTAATCCTCATCTTCTTCGTCATCATCATCGTCTGCCTCGCCAGCCGTTTGGGGGAGACCAAATGGTATAAAGTTTGTAACTTCAGCATTCCTCTCTCCTGTACCGGGAAGATTTTGAGCAACAAAAAACTCGGCCTCGTCACTAACGTAATCGGTGTTCTCATAAAACTCGATTTCATCATCATCTTCGTCGTCGTCTTCAATGCCAACAACATTACGTAAACCTAGCAAGGCTATTTCGGGGTCAAACATCACATCGGGGAATCCTAAAAGTCGCCTGAAAGTTCCAGAGTTCGGGGCTGCTGGTGGCATAGAATCTGGTGCAGGCTCAAAAATCCCTGGAATATAAACCTCGCTTGTCGCATTGCTGGCCATCGGCAAATAGCTGAATTCTCTCGTTGAGTCACGAATATAGCTGCCGATGATGTTTTGATTGAACCACATTCTTTGAAGATGTTCATACCTCTCTCTACTTAACGTCCCAGCATCACCTAATCCAACAAGGCCCTTAGAGGGTTCTCCATGCTTATTCAAGTATGGCGACTCAATAATGAAGGATTTATCAGTAACCATACGACTGATAAGCAGAGTTAGTCTGTTTTTCATAGGAGTGAAAAATAGTGTGCCATAACCACTCAATTTACATTCTCTACCATGCTCTGAGCTTTTATGTACCCACTTACCACAATGCAAACATATGTTCGAGCATTTGACATGACCGACACGTGAATTCTCATAAACATCTCCCATAACAACCTTTTCAGTCTTAGTCATTCCAGTAAGTGCAATATCTTTCAATTTGGCCGGAAGCTCAATTAAATGTACACCTTTAGGATACTCAATGATATCAATCTGATTGTCTCTCTTATGACATTTTGGGAAAGTCTTTTCATGGTAACTCATAGGGATACCCTTGACAAGTAATTTTTGAAACTCCGCCTCATTGCTATTAGGATTCAGCGAATTAGCCAAAAATTCATCCAAATCAGGTAACAATGTTTCTCCTTCTTCAAGAGGGAGAGTGTTCAAAAACAGAGACAAGAATTGAGCTTGTCTCTCGAAATTTTTGAGGTTAGTTTTGATAAGCTTGTACAACTTCTGGACGAAAGAACCATCAAATTTGAAGCCATCAACTTTCGAAGAGTTCTGTACCACGGACTCCAGTATATTTATTAGCGACTGGTAGGAAATACAATGTTCTGGTATGTCTTCAACATCATCAAGTAATGAATCAAACTGCAAGTTTTGTGAATTAACCTCATTCCTCTGTAATAAAGAAAAAGCTGTATAAATGACTCTCTTCATCAACGAGAATTGGACACATATGGACAATGGAATATCACTTTCAGTAAAAAGAAGCATGGTTGTCTCCATGAACCCTAAGTACGGGTTGTTTAGCAAAAACTCATAATACTTCTTCTTTTCTCTCTCACCTTTGAGATTTTCGTTGTTAGTTAAAATTCTATATTGTAATAAAGATTTTAGAACCAAGTCCAACATTTCCGGGATAATAATAGTGTGATCACTTCTCGTAGCTATTTCATGCATCTCTAAAGTTGAGGCAATCAATAATGGCAGAGAAAATTGAACATAATAGCCCTTTCTCGAGTACCTATAGAAAGATGTCAATAATGATTTGAAAGGAGGGGTACATTTTTTGAGATAAAGGTTTTCATCTTTCAACTCGAGTAGTTCAGCCATCAAATTCTCAAAATTTTTGCTTCCTGATTCACTTAATATACTCGAAATAGGTTTGTGAAATATTTGATTGGTTAACGAGGAGATATTGTCGCCATAGAAGTGTGAATATATACGCTCTTCATTATACCTAATAGGTTCGTATCCCTTAGAATCAACTTCAATCTCCCCCAATTTGAAAGATGGGACAAAAATGTTGTATTTTCCTTTGCATAACGGACATGTGAAATTGCTTGTTGACATCTTCTTCTTGTGTAGCATAGATTGGAAACATGAATAATGCATACCATGAGGACAACCAAAAATAACTAGCTTGTCTCTGGTACAGGATGACTGACCAGAGGCATTTGGGTGTGAAATACTTGCCTTTGAGAATTCTTTTACCATGAAAAAAGGAGGGTCATCATCAATAGTGGGTATGGTCCAATAATTAGATGAAGTGGAGATTAATGCAGGTATTCCAAATAAGGATTCATTTGTTTCTGGATTTTTACAGATGATGCAATTTCTAGTCTCTGTCTCATTCCCTTTAGAACCTGCAGAAGCAGAAGCTGAACGATCTTTCTCCTTTTCATCATTGTCTTTCGAACCTGAAGCATCAAAAAAATTCTTGTTATTATCGACAAAAGCAGACTGTTGCTTCTTCATCTTTTTCAGCACCTTCTTTTGACGCTTGAGTGCCAACCGTCTTCTCCGTTCAAGCTTAGTTTCTAAGGTTTTTCCATGCTTAGATTTTTTATACTCTTCCATATGAGATTCACCGAAGCAGAGCATAAGAGATGTAAGAACATCATCGTCTTTCAACAACAACAATTCTAAAATGGTAGATGCCTTTTTGGAAACATACTTTGGAAGATCAGTTTTCTCTGCTGCTGTTAAAAGCAAGTTGCATATTGGAATTTCCACAAAAGATTTCAACCCATGTGAATCTTCCTTGTTATATAGCTCGTCATCTAGGATAATTGCGTGAATCAACTGTAAAATCATATTCAAATGAGAGTCAACTTCAGAGGTAACAGCAAATCTCAGAAGTTTGTATAAGACTTTGACAAATTTCGCAGATTTCATAAACTGTCCAACTTTTTGGAACTTTAACAAATCTGTTTCGCTCAAAGGATAGAGGTAGGGGGAAATAATAACGTCATCTTCCTTTTTATTTTTGATAATTGCCAGATTTTTCACCACAGCTTCTTCCACTTCGGAAGAAGAAACTTTTCCATGAAAATAGCTAAACGGATCGACTTTATTCCAATAGCTATCCTTCAAAGTGTAACGACCATAGTCATTATAGCTTGTTGGAGGAACGTATGTTGTAATTTGATTCAATATTTCATCAAAGTTTGGGCAAGAAGGAAAAGAATCTTCCATCTCAGAGTACTTCAATGGGGCAGGAGCGAGAATTGACGCAATGCAATATTCGTTGAACAAGCTTAAGCATTGGTCGTAGGTAAGGTTGGAGTCATAGTATTGTCTGAATGTCAAAAGATAATACATCAAGGACATAAATTCGTGCAAAATAATTGGAATTTTTTCCTCATAGGTTGTCGACTCGAACTCAGTATCACCTGAGATGGCTGACTCTAGCATGAATCTATCGATAATATCTTGTAAAGGTAATTGATCTGTTATGATACCTTGTTGAATGATATATAAGTTATTTTCCGGTTTGTAAGCATCGAAGAAGTAATTTGCAAAGGTAACATAGATACCATTTCTGATCCAAAAATTTGACGAAATTTGAGAATGGAAAACCCAAGGCTGTAACATTTCATCTGCGACACCGACAAAACTGGTCAATGCATTTTCTGGATCGATTTCAAATGAAGAGGTTCCATCACGATTATGCGATATGTGTGATATTGACTTTGAAAGCAATTCTGGAGTGTAGAATTTGTAACCTCTTGACAATTCGGCCAATAGGTCCCCCACGGGATGCGACATAGAAACACCATCTTCCGTGATGTTAAATAGGACAGCGCCCGATTCTGTGTATGTTCTTGGCTTTGCCTTGAGATAGCTTGAAATGAGGGCAATTGACTTCTCCACCTTTTCGTTGGGAGTTTTGAAACCATAGCAGATCCTAGCAAGACTTTGCGACACGGTATACATTGGTCTGACACTGTTATGGTACGCTTCACAAGTTCTGTGGTCTTGGAATTCTTCATAGATGTCAGTCTTTCTTTTCAGTTTGTAAATCTCATCAAATGCTGTGAATAAACGTAGTAGTTTGTAAATAAAATCGTCAATGAAAAGTTCTTCACGGCCTTCATGGAGGAAGTTTAAGATCACACTTAAACCTCCAACAGCTTGGGACAAAACTTCTACTGTGCGCTGAACTTTCCAAGAGTCATGTGCCACTATGTGATACTTCCCGTTAACTAAGGAGGACGAACTGATGAGTATAGCAAGGATGCTATCAAGGACGTTGGTCAAGTAGCCTAACCGCAACAACTCCGTGCCTAAGTTTGGATCATGGTACACCTGAAGCCTGAAGGTCTCCAAAATGCTCAAACGCCACTCTCTATCATTTTTCGCTGCATTATATTCTAGGGTGGTAAGGATCGACATCACCTGTTGGGCAAACTTCGACCTTGTATCGGCGGTGTTCGTTATAATCGGGATAATTGTCTTTTTGATCAATTTTCTCATCGATTTCGGGTACCTCATTTCAAAAAAGGTGAGATATTGTAACCTGGAGGCATTTTTGTAGTAGGTGAGGGAGTTTGTTGGAGAAAGGGAGTCATCCAATTCGACTGTGACGTTGTGTATCGGAGTTGTGAAGGTGGCATCTGAACTGATGACCTCTTTGTAGAGGGGAATTTCCAAGTTTTCGTTGACGAGGAAATGGGTATCAATGAGGTCGCCAAAGAGCGGGAGACTCTTCAAGTGGAAATTCGCTGGTTCAAACAAGACCTTGGAAAGCTCTTGTTTAATGTAGTCTGTGAGAAGGACGTTTTCGTTTTCGAGAATGACGTCAAACCAGAGTATGATTGCACGGCATATTGACAAGTTAACGTATTCCGTTGCCGTGATGAGGGAATAGCGTAGTTCGGAGTAGCCCAGCGCCTTATATTTTTTGAATTTGTCAATCTTTTTCTCGAGCACTGACCTATCCTTGGATCTAGCATAGACGACAAATCCTCTTTCGTCGATGATTCTGGCCAATTGGGTGACTCCATTTTTGTTGAAGTCGAAGTCGGCGTAGCCTTTGTAGGAGACCTCGTACCAGGGGTGGTTGTCGTCGTGGTAGTCTGGGGAAAACTGGTAGGCGACGCTGAGGAAGCTGTTTGCCTGGTCGAAGTTGTGGAATTCGTCGTTCCAGATGACTAGGCAGTAATATTCGTGAAGGTCGCCGAGATCCACGACGTCGAAGCGGCCCTCGTCGTTCTCCGTGGAGTAGACGCCATTGTGGGTGCCATCCTGATCGCCCGTGTACGCAGGCAAGGTGTCTGTGTGGGCGAGCTGGGCGAGGAAGTCTGCCGGGTCTTCTGCCGGGTTGTGGAACGGCAGGGCTGGGAGCGGCGAAAGGTTGGTGAGCTGGACATCGAGGATGAAGTCGAAGAGGACGCGGACGAGTATGGAAATGTTTTCCTTGAGCTTTGCCGGCAACTGCGGGAGGGCGCTTTTCAGCTTCGCCTCCGTCTCGTTGGCCTTGCACAGCAAGTCGACCTTCCAGGAGCTGTCGTCGCCGCAGTCGCAGATGGCGTCGCCGGACGACTTGTGGACGCTGACGTTGTGGTCGGAGTGCTCCTCCTTGTTGAAGCAGTCTTCGCACAGACAGCACGTGGCGTCGACGCCGCAGTCGTAGCAGTTGTACACCAGACGGCCCTGCGGGATCGACGACGCGCAGATGTGGCCCGTGTGGCCCCTGGACTTGTTTTTCACCTGGTCCAGGTAGAACGACTTGTTGAAGGTGTTCTGGTTGACCTCGTCCCAGGTGCGGGGGTACAGGATGAGCCGCTTCTCCCGCGGGAAGATGAAGTCGTAGAACTGGTCGTGGTCCGAGAGGGCGAAGTAGAGCGACCGGAAGAGCAACGCCTCGTGCTTGTGCTCGAACGCCCGGAGCCGGGGGAACAGCAGCAGCTGGTTCACGAGCTCTCTGGCGAACCTCGTGTTCTTGTAGTTGTCGCAGGCGGCATTGGCATCCGGCGGGGCGGACATGGTGTGCTACAGAGCAGATTACAAGAGCCAGCGCCCCCGTGCACAGGCACCGTGCTGAAACGCTCATCACACACAGCGGCCAAATCCACAGATTACGTAGGGGTCGTCTGTCTGTCTGTCTGTCTGTCTGTGTGTGGCGCCGCGGGACGGCTCTGCCGTGGAAAAAGGAGGTGTTCTCTCCGCAGGCACTCCCGCAGGCACTCCCGCACGCCGACGCGTCGCTCCCCCCACCCGCCGCACCGATCGACCGCTCTCCCCGTTCTCCGCACCCCTCACGCCGCCGGCGATGCGCCATCGCCACGGGCTCGCTTTCTCCTGCTCCGGACGGACGTCCGGGCCTCTCTTTATATGTCCCCGCGAGTGCTACAGCCGCGGCCAGTCGATCGGGCCCATCGCGTCGTCTCCGGCGCTCCGGCCAGGTCGCTGCGCACGAGCCTCCGGCGCTGCCCCCCGTGGTGGGTCCGTGATGGCCAATTCGGCAGGCGTGTCAAATTGGCAATTTCCGGGCCCCACGTGGGGGTGCTCCGCGCGCGTGTCGGGGTCGGGTGCATATGCAGGCGAGCCGCGCAGCGAGCCGCAGACACTAGCTCACGTGCCCCGCGGCGCTTCCGCCGCAGATAACGCAGAAGAAGACCAGGGCCTCGGAGGGAGGGGGGGACTAATAGGGGCACGTTGTGGCACGTTGCAGGCAGGTGCACGTTCTCTGCCCGTTGCACAAGACAGGAGAGGGAAAGACGGCAGCACGTTGCCAGTCAATTTGCACGGATCGGGAAATGCGGTGTAGTGGTGGTCTCCGGTGGAATATTTTGCAGGTCGCAAGCAGAGCAGACCGGGGGCCAGAGGTGCTGTATATAAGCCCTGTGGGCTGCTGTGTGGTGGTATGTGGTGGAGGTTGGTGGAGGTTGTGCAGTGTTGTAGTCTTGTTGCCTCTGGATTTGTTCGCCAAAGCAGTCCAGTTTTCCAACCGCCGTTTTCATTCACACCTCCTCTCGCAGCAGAGCAGAACAGCGCAGAGCAGACCAGAACACCTCTTCTAGTCCGACCGCACCTTTACTAAACCAGACTACAGCAGCACTCACAAAACATCGCAATGAGCGGAAAACTGACCAAGGGTGGTAATGCCGCCTTCCACAACTTCATCAACGACTTCGCTGACGTCGAGGACCCGCTAGAGAGAAAGAGACTCGCCTTGGAGAAGATCGACAATGCCGACTTCAGTTGGTACCACGTCAGAGCCATCATGGTGGCCGGTGTCGGTTTCATGACCGACTCGTACGACATCTTCGCCATTAACATGTCTGTGCCAATGATGGCCTACGTCTTCTGGAAGGGCTCCATCCCATCCTCCACCCAGACCTTGATCAAGGTTTCCACCTCCGTCGGTACTGTTATCGGCCAGGTTGGTTTCGGGTGGCTTGCCGACGTCCTCGGACGTAAGGCTATCTACGGTATCGAGTTGATCATCATGATTGCCGCCACCATCTTGCAATGTACCGCCGGCCACTCCTCCGCTGTCAACTTCGCCGCCATCCTCACCTTCTACAGAATCATCATGGGTATCGGTATCGGTGGTGACTATCCTTTGTCCTCTATTATCACTTCTGAATTTGCCACCACCAAGTGGAGAGGTGCCATCATGGGTGCCGTCTTTGCCAACCAGGGTTGGGGTCAATTGATGGCCGGTATCGTTGCCATTATCTGTGTTGCCGGCTACAAGAACGAATTAGACGTTGTTGGTGCCAAGAACTGTGGTCCAGACTGTGTCAAGGCTTGTGACCAGATGTGGAGAATTGTCATTGGTTTCGGTGCTGTCCCAGGTTTACTTGCTCTTTACTTCAGATTGACCATCCCAGAATCCCCAAGATACACCTTCGACGTCTCCAACGAGATTGAAAAGGCCACCGCTGACACAGCCAAGTTCACCTCCGGTAAGCTCGGTAACGCAGAAACCGGCGACATCGACTACCTTGCCCAAACCGAAACCAGAGACCAAGCCCTCAACTACCAACCACCAAAAGCTTCCTGGAACGATTTCTGGGCCCACTTCCTCCAATGGAGATACGGTAAGATTTTGCTCGGTACCGCTGGTTCTTGGTTCATGTTGGATGTTGCTTACTATGGTCTTGGTTTGAACACTGCCACCATTTTGAAGACCATCGGTTACGCATCCTCCACCAACGTCTACAAGTCCTTGTACAACCAAGCCGCCGGTAACTTGATCTTGATCTGTGCCGGAAGTATCCCAGGTTACTGGTTATCCGTCGCCACCGTTGATGTCATTGGTAGAAAGTTTGTCCAATTCTGGGGTTTCACCATCTTGACTGTCTTGTTCTGTATCATTGGTTTCGCCTACCACAAGTTGAGCGAGGGTGGTTTGTTTGCTCTTTACATTCTCTGTCAATTATTCCAGAACTTTGGTCCAAACACCACCACCTTCATTGTCCCAGGTGAGTGTTACCCAACCAGATACAGATCCACTGCTCACGGTTTGTCTGCCGCTGCCGGTAAAGTCGGTGCCATCATTGCACAAACCTGTATTGGTACCTTGCAAGACCGTGGCTGTGTTGCCAAGGGCTTGAAGAAGGGATGTTGGTTGAACCACGTCATGGAGATCTTTGCTCTTTTCATGTTGCTCGGTATGTTGACCACCCTCTGTATCCCAGAAACCAAGAGAAAGACCTTGGAAGAATTGGCCGAAGAATTGCACGGTGAGGTGGATATCACTAAGCAAAGAGTGCACAGCATCCCATCCGACGATGAGGACAAAATTGCTGACTCCGTCTAATCGATATATACACATTTAGTCTCTTGTTCTATTCTTTCTTTCTTCCTTTCTAATTAATTTTACTTCTACTTCGATCTTAAACGAGCCATCTCCACCAATATGTCCACAGCAACAGTTATCGACATTATTGCATTGCATAGAAGTGTATTTTAATGCAATGCTATCTCCGACCATGCATTCGAGTTGCATAATTTAGCAATCCCGATGTGGGGCAGGGGGGACTAATCCTGCCAGGGGAAAACCGTTTATGTGTCAGTATCTGATTAAGTGCGATATCGCTAGCTCGAGACTCATTTTCTAGCTCCATCTACGTCTTCTTCCTTTTCTTTTTCTTCCTGTGGCTTCCTTGTTTCCTTACTTCCCCAATCTTTCATGCCTCTCTTTCAGTCAACTTCTGCTCCCACAATCTCCGCCAGAAAGCCTTCGCTCAGCCACGACGGGATCGGCCCCCCGAGCCGCAGACCCTGAGCGGCTCGGGAGTCATTTTTTCCGGAAAGCCTAAACGTGCAGAAAAAGAAAAGAAATGGCAAATAAAAAGAAAAAACGGAAAAAGAGAAAATCTGCCAATTTGCGTCTTCGTTTTGCTCCTTTTTTTTCATAGTACCTCCATCTATTTAACGGGATTCAATTCCTGTGACCAGTTTCCCACAGTTTACTGCTTTTTTTTCTTGGAAAAGACATCCTTCGGCGATCCTTCAATCCTTCTTTCTACTCTCTTCTTCTCCTTCTGTTTGATAGAACACTTTCTCGAAGTCTTGTTCCCACAACACTCACTCCATCTCAAACAGACAAATACAGCAAGCATGGCAAACAAAACTGAAGGTGGTAACGCTGCGTTCCACAATTTCATGAATGACTTTGCCGACGTCGATGATCCTCTTGAAAGAAAGAGACTGGCATTGGAGGCAATCGACAATGCTCCTTTTGGATGGTACCACGTCAGAACTATCATGGTCGGTGGTGTCGGTTTCATGACCGACGCTTACGACATTTTCTCTGTCAACCTTGGTGTCTCGTACATGGCGTACGCATTCTGGGGCAACAAGATGCCATCCTCAACGGAGACGTTGATCAAGGTTTCGACCTCCGTGGGTACTGTGATTGGCCAATTGGGGTTTGGTTATCTAGCTGATGCATTGGGTAGAAAATCCGTCTACGGTGTCGAGTTGATGATTATGATTTCCGCCACCATCTTGCAATGTACCGCCTCCCATTCTCCTGCCATATCCTTCCCTGCTATCCTTACCTTCTACAGAATCATCATGGGTATCGGTATCGGTGCAGACTACCCTTTGTCTTCTATCATCACTTCTGAATTTGCCACCACCAAGTGGAGAGGTGCCATCATGGGTGCCGTCTTTGCCAACCAGGGTTGGGGTCAATTTCTTGCTGGCGTTGTTGCAATGATTTGCGTTGCGGGTTACAAAAATGTCTTGAGCGTCAATTCTGCTGCAGAATGTGGTGCAGAGTGTATCAGAGCCTGTGACCAAATCTGGAGAATCATCATCGGTATGGGTGCTGTTCCTGGTATGATTGCACTATACTTCAGAATGACTATCCCAGAATCTCCAAGATTTACAATGGACGTTGAAGGAGACCTGGAAAAGGCCACCGCTGATACTGCCAAATTCGCATCTGGTCAACACGGCAATGCTTCCAATACTGACATTGAATTATTAAAACCATCCGAAGCCACCGAAAAGGAAGAAGAATACTCTAGTCAAAATGCACAAGAATTGGGCCCTCCAAAAGCTTCTTTCAAGGATTTTATCAGCCATTTTAGACAATGGAAACACGGTAAGATCTTGTTGGGTACTGCTGGTTCTTGGTTCATGTTGGATGTGGCGTACTATGGCTTGGGTTTGAACACCGCTAGTATCTTAGAATCTATTGGTTTTGCATCCTCCGACCACGTCTACACCTCATTATACAACCAAGCTGCTGGTAACTTGATTTTGGTTTGTGCCGGTACTATCCCAGGTTACTGGGTAACTGTCGCAACAGTTGACACAATTGGTAGAAAGCCAATCCAGATCATGGGTTTTATTATTTTGACCATTTTGTTCTGTATCATCGGTTTTGGATTTGAGAAAGTCGGTGCACACGGTAGATTTGCACTCTATATTATTGCTCAGTTTTTCCAGAATTTTGGTCCAAATACCACAACTTTCATTGTCCCTGGTGAATGCTACCCAACTAGGTACAGATCCACCGCCCATGGTATGTCCGCTGCATCCGGCAAAATAGGTGCCATCATTGCACAAACTTGTATTGGTACCTTGAAAGACCGTGGGTGTGCTGCAAAGGGTTTGGCAAAGGGTTGCTGGTTAAACCACGTTATGGAGATCTTTGCCCTATTTATGTTATTGGGTATCTTCACTTCTTTCTGCATCCCAGAAACTAAGAGAAAAACATTAGAACAATTGGCTGAAGAGTTGCACGGTGAAGTTGATTTGACCAAGAGAAGAGAGGCAACAGAAATCCAAGACCCTCAAACTTCTTCTTACTTGGAGCAAGGCCATCAAAGCATGGCTTAAAAAAGTTTTCGTTTTTCTAATTCAAGTATCAGAACTCGTTCATTCCAGTCTATTCTTTGGCATTTTACGTTTAGATTTACATTTACATTTTCATATTCTGCTATTTTACTAGTTACGCTTTAGTTCAGGTTTTCTCTTCATTCATTTTTTCTTGGTTGTTTTTTCCACTCTTATTTATTAATACGGTTTATATAAAATCTTTGTATCAAATCTATTCTGGCATTTAGTTTTTATATATGTTTTTGTAGCCCCTTGAAGATTCAGACATTTTCCAGGCGGCGCGTCGTTTATTAAATAATTTTCTTAGCATGTATTTCTATAGTAGCGTATGACATCTTGTCCCTTGAAACCGACAGACTTGCAAAGCAAGCAGTTGAAATCGGATCTTTTAACTAACTCAAAAGCTACATAAGCTACATACAATTATGGATAACGCATCACTACCGCCAATGCCTTTGATTCTGAGGAAGAAAAATGACGATACCAGGGACAATTCGAACTATCAGCAAAGACATGCAAACTACAGACGAAATTCTCATCATGTGCAGGAGCGATGCCCATTCTGGGACAAAGTCGGGGCATGCAGACATGGAAATAAATGTGTAAGATTACACACTAGGCCAAAGAAGTCGAAAACTGTGGTGTTTTGGAATTTATTTCCAAACCCGGTTAGAACGTGCTACAAGAAAACTACAGGTAAGGACGGGACGGAAGATGTTACAAACAACGGAGGAGACTTCGTGGTTCTCGATGCCGAAATAGATGAAAGAAAATTGAGCCAGGAAGCCGACAGGTTTTTCCAAGATATTTTTGTCGAGCTGTCTTTGAAATATGGAGAAATCGACGATTTGATTATTTGTGGGAACTACAACCCCCACCTTGGAGGTAACGTTCTGGTGAAATTTAAAGACGAGAGAAGTGCCGCCAAATCTTACCAAGAGTGCAACGACCGCTGGTATGGCGAAAAACCCATTTTCTGTGAACTTTCTCCAGTGTCATATTTTGAAGATGCTGCGTGTAAAGATTTTTCCGTGTCTGGAAGATGCGACCGTGGAGACCAGTGTAACTTGATACACGTTAGAAGACCAGATTATGGGTTGCGAAAGAAGTTGTTTGCCAGTCAGAGAGCATACTACAAAGATACAGACAGGTGACTTTTTGTAGGCTCCTAAGTTTTTTCTCCGCTTTATATCGAATTCTAACTTCCGTTACGAACGCCAAACTTTCTCCCAGAGATAGGTGGATTGTACTTGTTTTAGATAAATGCAATGATCTAACACTTTGTATATCACACCAAAAGCCAGCTTAACGCCGGCTCTATTCTTTTTTCTGAACTTAGCTGCCGAATGCGGGAACTAATTTGGAACGAGAAAAACATGCGGCCAACCCACGACAAATTCGAGCATGAGTGTGTTGGCGATTTGAGATGTTCAATTAAATCGGTAAGTGTGTGTCACCTCTTGAACAAGTGTATGATCTTCAGAGTACGAGCTCATCGACAAACAGGGCTCGGCGTATTATGACTTCAACTATTAGCTATGACAAAATTGCTGGGAAAACTGCCGATGATCTTTTCGAAGAATACTCCGTGGAGGATCTTGGCGATCTCATGACAAGACTTTCGGCTGATGTCAACACGAAGAAGCAAAAGTTGAAGCTTCTTGTTGGAAACAAGTACAGAGACTTGTTGAATGTGGCTGATGACATTATTACAATGAACGAAATTACTGCCATCGAAAACGAACAATTGATGAAATTAGCATTCAAAAGATCGGACTATAATTCAAAATCTTTATCTAACCTTTCCAAGTTCAATGCCCATCTAAACAAGATTCAAATTCAAAAGGTGCAAGAGGATAACCGTCCGGCTATTTTGCGGAACGTTGTTCACGACTTGAACTATGCTTTGATAGCACTCAAGCACAACCTAGTAATTGAGTTGCAGTCGAGCGAGGAAAGCTATAATACGCTGAATGATTTTCCAGGTGTAAGCTTGAATAATCAGCATTCAATGGACTTGGATGAAGGATTAGACTACTACCAGCCTGTGTCTACTACAGTGTCAAATGGATTTGTGTTGTTAGCTAAACACATCTACTTGATCAAATATTTATTCCAAGATGAAGTCAAAAATCAGCCAAAATTGTTTGCCGTGGTTAAATATAAGCAGTTATGCGGAGAGTTTAACAATTTGCTCGAGTCAAACATCATAAGACTCAAACACGAGGCCGACTCCGATTTTATCCATAACTTATTCGTGTCATATTTGATAGCCAATGAAATGCGTCCTATACATGTGCTGGAGAAAATCCTAGAAAAGAGGTTAGCCAATTTTAAAAGCTTAGTAACTACTAAAAGACCTTTTCAAGAACTACTTAGTTATGTTTTTGTAACTATTCAGTTTATGAACTTCATTTTCTCACGCATTCAAGTTTCTATAAGTAGACTGCAAAATGCAACTGGGCCTTCCAATTGGATTCAACAAACCTCTTTTCAAAAGTGGAGCAAATGGTTACACAAAAACCCTACTTTAGGATCGGAGAATGGTATCCAAGTCCAGTACAAGTTCGAGGTCGGTAGCGACCTAATTGACAAAGTTGAGTATGAAGATACAATGAAACAATGGAAGAAAGATGCCAGCCAACTACTGCTGGATAATTTCAATGCAAAATTTGATAAATCATCAGAGAATTTAACAGACTTGGTAATATTGCTTAGATACGCATTAATATCCTTCAAGCATTTTACATCTCTATCTACCTTACCTGTGGGACATGAAAACATTGTTGATTATCTTATTGGAAAGTGGCAAAAAGAGTTTTTGATAAAGCTGACTACTAAACTAAGTGAGTTTGAGAAAATCGGCAATCTGATTCTGGAAACATTCAACAATGAAGAGTTAATAAATTCAATAGTAGATTCATCCAGTGAATCATGTCTTTATGAGTTTGACGATGATTTCAATATGGGAGAGCTATTACAATATTCTGGTGATAAAAGCAGCAATGATCAGGTTTTTGTCCTCTTAGATGTTTTCAAGCAGGATTTGAAATCAACGGGCAACTCGATTGAATCACTACGAGCTTTGTCTTCATTAGTATTGAAACCTCTATTATCGATCGATGACTACGAAGATGATGAATTCTGGGTAGAAGTTTCCGTAAAATTGAAAGATATTTTGAATGAAAGTGTGAACTCGAGCATTTCCATTCTGAATAAATCGGTAAGCAGTTTCTTTGATAAAGTTTCCAGTTCATTAGAAAAAAACAGATTAGAGGTCTCAAATACAAGGATATTTTACATGATACGAGTATTGGTACAATTAGAGGACAAGATTCAGCTCAACGAGTTTTATGAAACGTTCAGCATTCACTCCAACGATTCTAATGGCACCAGGATTGAACTGTCCGAACTCATTGAGCCATTGCTAACAAAATATTTTAAGGTTATTGTTGATTCAACATTCAATACAAAATATGCAAGCAAGCTTGAAAGCCTGCTCAAGAAGAGATTTGAACCCAGTAAAGACTACGCTGAGTTTATGCTATGGGAAAATATCTTGGACGAAAAGCCTATTCCAACAACTTCTTCTTTCGAATATTCTGAATTACTGTTGTCCTTCTGTTCCGACGTGATTAGCAATTCAGGAAAAAACTACTCGAATTACTTCGTATTACCCTCATTTGAAAAGGTAAGACAAGAGATTGTTGGACTATTAGTAAGTAAGTTGAATGATTATGTCAATTTTTTGAATGAAGCCGAGATTGACGCCAATGACAGCGCAACCAACTCTAAACTCTTACTTACCTACGCCGATTGTCTCTTTACCAAATTTTTGCTCAGTACAGAGGTTCCTGATGACAAAAGTCATACAAAGTTTGTCAAAATCTTTGAGCCGCTGGCTGACGCTGATTATCGTAAGCAAATTGCATACTCTATTCTTGAGAACTACAAGAACCAGTCTTTAATGTATTATCCTTTGTCCGTGTAGCAAAAAAAAAATGCGATGTATTTATATAATTCAATGATCCTATAATTTGTAATAAAGATAGACGAATGATTCTAATGGAACACTCTACAGGCACACCTTCTTGTGTTCTAGTCTGACCCCACCACAATTATGCTCTTCTTTTATGCGTTCTTCAACCTTTTTGCTGATGAATTCAATCCTGCTTTGAGTATGACTCCATAGCCATGAACAAAGCTGTTGTGATTGGTCGGCATAGAAAGTTTCTAGATCGTCTAAAATCTGAAAGTATTCTTCCTTTAGCTGCAAAATTTGGGCCTCTCTTTCCTCCACCAATTTCTGTATCCTAAATTTTAAAGCGTACTGACCTCCATGATGATCATCGTGATAAAATTCATTGTAGCTTCTCGTTCTTTTCATATGAGCAGCATAGACGGTCCTGTATTGTCAAAGGTATCAATTACTATTTGTAGTAGTAGAGCTGTCATCATACACGGAGGAATGAAATAAGTTTACATGATATGCGCGTATAGGGGGAACCTCAAATAGGATACTTGAAACTTTTTTGCCGATAGCTCAAAGGCCAATGTTTTGCAATTGCTAGCCTCATTACCTGAACAATAAAGAAGCAATCAATAAACAGAAGCAACAAATTTAGAGATGAGCGCAATACCTTCTGATATAACGATTCCACCACCAGAAATTCGAACATTAATCGGTAAAACTGCAATATACGTAGACAAGAACGGAAAAGCATTTGAAAATAAAATTAAAACAAAAGAGTCCAAAAACCCCAAATTTATCTTTTTGAATGAAAAGGACCCGTATCATGCATTCTATCAGTACAACCTGACTGTAATAAAGAGCACAGGAAAACCCCCAGTGATAAATCAGGGGAATGAACATATAATACAGAAAGAGATAGCAACAGGAACAGCTAATGAGAACAAGAAGGAAGATTTATCAGAACCAGAGAGTTATAGGTTTTTGGAATTCAAAGACCACAAATTGATATATCCGGAGGAGAAAATTTCGTCCCTGGACTTGAATGTTATTAAGCTAGTAGCCCAATTTGCAGTGGTTAACGGTTCAAAAATTATGAACGATTTTAAGGAAAATGCATTAAATAACTCTAGGTTATCATCACAGTTTCAGTTTTTGAATGAAAGGCATTCTATGAACAAGATTTTTCAAAAATATGTTGATATCTACAATGTTATATGGACACAAAAGCGAGAGTTGCTTGATCAGTATGGTAAGGACACTAATATCGACGACATTTTGAGCAACTGCTTTTCTCGAGCAGAATATCTAGAGAGGGAAAGCACGAATGTTCAAGAATACGAAGAAAGAAAGTTATTGGAAAGGATGACATACGGAAGTATAGATTGGCAAGATTTTGACATTGTTGAGACCATTGAATTTACTGACTTAGATGAGGTAGCGGAGTTGAACGTGCCACTAGTAAAGTCTGATTTGGAGTACCGTTCATTGATACAGAAGGGCAACAGCAACATTTTTGCCCAGATTGAAGAATCTACAAGGATGCGTGATCAGTTAGAGGATTATGAAGACGAAAAGGTGGATGAGGGGGATGAAGATGATGCTAAGGCTCAAGATGAGGGTAGTGTTCCTCAATATGAAGACGAGAAAGAATCCGAGGAGGAGGAAGAGCCTGCGGTGGAAAAGTCAGAACCAAGCGAAGAAGCAAAGCCGACGAAAAGAGTTCCGAAGGGGATCAAGGTCAGATCTGCTGGGGAGTCTAGACTGTTGAAAAGAAGGTTCCAGTCGCAGAGTGAGGAGAACATGATTGACCCTGTGACAAAGGAAAAACTGTTACGTTGTCCGCTGACGGATGAACTGATTCCGGAGAGTAAATTCCAGGGCCACATTAGCAAGTTGCTCCGAGACCCAAAATACGAGGAGGAGAAGGCGAGGTATGAGTCCAAGTTTAAGTACGGCTCGAATTTGAGCACTGAACAGGTCTACGAGAACATCCAGCGGTTAGTGGAAGACAAGAGCAAGAGGCCTAAGCGTGGGTGAGACAAGTAGGAGAGCAGTAGACACTTAGAGATATTATATTTGATTAAAAGAAGTAGTTTTCTATTATATAAGACATAGAAACAGAACTATTTAATATATAGATTTTAGATTTTAGAATGACAGTTAACCGAGAGAGAAAGGATAAGCTTAGTTCTTGAGGGAGGAAGCTCTTCTCTTTCTGATTTCAGCTCTTTCAGCCTTTCTTTCGTGTAATCTTTGAGCCAACAATTGAGCGTATTCAGCAGCAGCTTCTCTTTGAGCTTGAGCGTTCTTGATTTTTTGTGCCTTGACAGCTCTCTTTCTTTGTAATCTTTGAGGAGTGACCAATCTTTGGATCTTTGGAGCCTTGGTGTAGGTCTTGTCGCCCTTGACGATTTCTCTTCTGATGACGAATTGGGTGACGTCATCTTCCTTGGTCAAACCGAAGAACTTTCTGATGTTGCTTGCTCTCTTAGGACCTAATCTCTTTGGGACTTGAGCGTCGGTCAAACCTTCGATTTCTTGTTCACCCAACTTGGTGACGGTCAAGGCCAAGACGGACAAGTCGTTGGCAACAATACAACCTCTGACGGACTTTCTCTTTCTTTCACCGTTTCTTCTTTGTCTGTAACAGGAGTGGTCCTTGGACAAGAGCAACTTGACTCTGTTTGGGATCATGACACCCTGCTTCATTGGGAAACCTTGCTTGTCATTACCACCGGTGATCTTGAAAACGTAACCTTTGAATTCGTCACCAACGGAGTCACCGTCAACTTCTTGGCCCATTCTCTTTTCAAAGAAGACTCTCAACTTTTGTTCATCATCAATGTCAATACATTTTTGAGTACCGTTTGGTGGGTAAGCAATGTTTAACTGTAGGAAAGAGAGGGGAAAATGGAAGTTAGTATTATGCGCTTGCTGGGGAGTGTATAAGGCGTGACGGGAGAGCGGTCTCCAAACGGTTCCGACTGCTTGTTTCTTGCCATCTGCTTGTGTTTTCCTGGTGTGCTTCTGCAATTCTCAAACTCATGCTGTGAAAAATGCTCAGCATGAGTCAGGGTGCTTTCTCCACTTGGCTCTGCACTCTAGCACGTCCGATGTCTCTTCTCTGGGCTTGCTGATTCTCCACGCTTTGTTTAGCTGTGTGCTTGTCAGTTCTGCTTCTCGTGTTCATGTTCACGCTCAAATGCTCATGCTCATGCTCATGCTCGTGCTCAGCTCTCTTGTGCTGGCCTCTGGCCACAACTTCTGTTTTTCTCAGTCTTCGCCGTCTTCCGTTTGCTTTCTGTCCTTCACCTGCGGTGTCTAACATACCTTCATGGTTGTTGTGTGTTAATCTGGCTTGAACGATGTCTAAAGGACCCAAAGAAGACTCAAAAGCTACTTTCTTCTGTCTGTAACAGTCCTAATGTGTACCTTCTGCTCTGATAGTGCCCATACTGGAGCATTTTTTTTCACACACCTCTGCCTGCTCGCTCCTGTCGCTGTCCTGGCACGGCCTGCTCCTCTCGCACCGCCAGCGGCGCCAGAGCTCTCCGCACAAAGCGGCTGCGAGCAAGCCAGCGGCAGAGGAGCGCCGGAACGACGCGCAAGAGGCGCGCACTGTGTGCGGTGCGCGGGGTAGATTGAAGGGGCAAGGTGTGCGGGTGGAAATTTCAAAAGGGTTGGAGCAAGCCCTGTGTAGAAGCACGTGATAAAAAAAGAGGAAGTCTAGGTTATCAGGCAGCTTCAGTATCTCCGAAACGCGCGGGGGAGGAGGCTCATAGAAAAGGGCTGCCATCTTCAACAACAAGTCTTGATCATCGCATGTTCTTCTTCCTATTCTACAAGGTAGTGGTCTTGCACGGTTCTATAGAGTGGTATACAGCTTGCGGAGCGCTACACAGGTCACTTGGACACCGTGGAGAATAAGGTAATACACTCAGTTCCCATGAAGCTACTCAGTCTACTGGCTTTATTATACACAGTTATTACGTGCCACGCGCAACAGTTGTACAAGGTAAGTAAAGCTCTTAATAACTTTACAGCGTGTGTCGCGGAGTTCTCTAGTTCAAAATACAATGTAACTGTCGGGGCAGGTACTACAATCTATTATATGCCTGTTGATAGAGAGGGACTTGACAGCAGGAACCATGATGCTGTATTCATGGGGTGCTTAATTGCGTATACTCGCGGCCTTGATATACTGTTAGTATCAGACTTTTCCGAAGTAAGTGGCGACATTGTACATGATCCTACGATGCTATTGCCTAGCTATGATTGGTCAGAAGTATTGATCGAAGCCAGCACGACCATTAATCCATACTACAATGTTAATGATGGAGATGAGACGGTTTACCTGGAAAAGCGTGACTCTGAATATACTGTTGAACGTAGCGGTGAGGATAGCGCCTGCAGGAATACAGGACTTTTTTGGATTTAGTACATGATATAATGCTAATTCGCCATATAAATCCTTCAAGGCAGGAATGCAAGGGTGCGGTTACATACAGTTCGAAACATGGTCTCACCACAGGTGCCAGGGTAGGAGCTCGGCATTGAGAGCTGCTTGGTGGGGTGTTGAATCATCTTGTATCGGCAAAACAACATATTCGTGGCAGGGCGGCTGCAAGAGTAATCCTTGTCACGCTTACCTACTTAACCATCTACAATGCCCGGGTGTGGGATCTTACGATTTCAACTAAAAGTCCGGCTGGTTAGACGGTCGGATAGTGATTTATTGCATACATGGTTGAATCTGGGATGATATAACCTCATTGAATGATAAAGTTTAGAGAAAAGAAAGAAAGAGAAGAAAAGTATAAGAAGGAGAAAAGAAGGGAGAGTGCATACGATGTATACGTATATAGTATGACAGATGCGTTGCGAGAATCAGGAGCAGACATAGCAACAAGTATAAGAAAAGGTGAACAATATACAATGGATATTCATAGCAGAATAGCTAGACTTCAACAGGTTATGAGATAGTGGTCTTGCACGGTTCTATAGAGTGGTATACAGCTTGCGGAGCGCTACACAGGTCACTTCGACACCGTGGAGAGGTGTTTGTTGCCCTTGTTGGAGCCGACGGCGGCGGCGGCGGCGGCGGCCGCAGGCTTGAGCTTTATGTCGGGTTCAGTGCCGCTGGAGGACATTGTCTGCGGGCCGGAGCCGTTGGCGTTGCCAGTGCCCACGAACGGCAGCGGGTGGGGAGGCCCGGAGACGATGGGAGTGGTCCCCGTGGGAAGCTGCCAGTCGTGGGTGAAGATTGTGCTGGGCGACTGGAAGTCGACGTACCTCGAGGGCAGTGCCGAGAGCTCTGCCGATAGGGTCGGAAGGTCGCTGGTGCTGACGTTGGTGTTGATGGTCGGGTGCGCCGGGTGTCTCTGGTTGGCGGGCATGCGCATCTGCGGGAAGTAGGCAGACGTGGCGGAGTTCATTGGCGGCAGGAACGGCTGGTGGGGCGTCTGCGCCTGGGCCGACTGCAGCTGCGAAGGCGTCATTCGGGTCTTTTGTCCAGCGTCTGCGGCGCCGCCGCTCATGTTGCTCATGTTGCTCATGTTGTTCATGCTGTTCATGCTGTTCATGTTCATACTGTTCATGTTGTTGTTCATGTTCATGTTCATGCCGTTCACCTTGTCGAGGTTGCCGCTGCCCCGGCGCAGCTCGCCGGGGCTCTCGCCGGCGACAGGGGTATTCTTTATGTTTTGCTGTGTCTCGGTTGGCACGCTGCCATAGGAGCCGCCCGTCGCCAAGGGCGGAAGCGGAAAGGGCGGCACCAACAGCTGCGTGGGCGACATGTTGTTGAAGTTGAAGTAGCCCATCTGCGTCACAGGCGTTTCGCCCGGGTTGCTTGCGTTCATCATGCTCAGGTTGTTGAAGAACGTCGACGTTGTGGGTGTGTACAGCGCCTTCCGGTCCTTGAACAGCGCACTCGGTAGCGGCGTGCTGTTGCCGTAGTTGCTGGTCGCCGGCTGTCTGTTTTTGGCGTTCGAGCCGCTGGAGTTGTTCGTCGTGTACGTCAGGTTGAACGTTGGGCTCGGCAACGTGATGTTCATATTGTCGCTCCCGGCACCGGCATTCCCCCTGCTGGCCACCTCTGCTCCGGCCCCCTTACCACTATCTCCGCCAACACCAGCGGCAGCTTGCTTCTTCTGCGGAAGCCCCTGTACACCGTTGGTGCGGTTGCCGCTGTCGACATTCTCGTTGTTCTTGGTATATGTGCTGTTCTTGCGGCTGCCGCCGTCCTTGCCGTTCGACAATGACGTCAGGTTCGACTTGTTCGAAGACTCCGCCGCGGTAATTGTAGACGCGTCCGACAGCTGTCGGTTGTCCACTGTAGGGATGGTCAAGCTCAAGGTTGGCCGCTTCATGTTGCTGCCGCTGCTGTTGTCCTTCAACTTTGACCTCTTCAAGGCCGAGGACGAGTGATAAGGCGTCACGTTGGCGCTTGAGTGGGCAATGTACGGGTTTTGGCTCGGGCCCTGGTGGTGCAGATCCATCTCTGGCGTTTTCGGGTCCATCGGCGACGCATAGACGTACGGGGTGCCAACCTTGGGTATATCTGCAATGTTCTCTTCCTCTCGTTCCATCTTCACCTTCTTAGCAGCGGGGTATTCTTGTGTCTGCTCCTGCGCCGCCTTGTGCCCGTAATCACCGTACCCGTCGAAGGAGGGGCTCGACACCTTCATGCGACGGGCCGACCGCTTCTTGCCTGCAACCCGTCCGGCCTCCTCAAAGCCGTGATTCTCGGGCACGGGCACGGTCTCGTGCCCGTTCTCGTTGCCGCTGTTCTCGTGCTCGTGCTCGTGCTCGTTAGCGTCATCGTCATCATCGTCCTCCTCGTCCTCCTCGTCCTCCTCTCCCTCCCCGTCGTACTCGCCCGTGTACTCGGCGCTCCCGCCGTTCGACACGTACGACGACGAGTTGACCATGTCGCTCCGTGACCGCAGGTGGTGGTACGCCCTCGGGTCGCCCTTCTGCAGTTGGTCCAGCGACGAAGTCGTGATGCTGTTCGCCGAGCTCGTGTGTCTGTGTCGGTTGCCGCCGCCGCCGCCCACTATCCCGTCGTCCAGGATGCGGCTCTTGAGCTCGTAGTTCCCATAGTCCTTGGGCGTCTTGCTCTCGTACACGTTGCTCGGGTTTGCCCGGTACCGCTCCAGAACGTCCTCCGTGCGGTTCGACGAGTACTGGAAGATCTTGTGGTTGCGACCGATGATGATCACCGATATGTCGACCTCACACAACACCGCCAACTCGTGTGCTTTCTTGAACAAGCCGGCCTTTCTCTTTGTGAACGTGACCGTCCGGTTCCGGTCGTTTTTCAACGGCTCAATCGCTATTTTCCTCCTGCCCATTTCCTGATCGTCTGCTGGCAGCTCTGGCTGGGTCTCTGGCTGGGTTTCCGTCCGCAATTGCTTTGCCTGCTCCTCTCTCTTCGCCGACGGCTACGCTTCTACAGAAGGCTCTTCTTCTAAGCCCTCCGCCCTTCTTTTCTCCTCGGTTTTTCTCTTGGCCGATCCGCATCACGTAAGCTAAAAATGGCAACACGTTGCCGGCCAAAAGACGGGAAGAGTCCGGAAGGAGGGTTGACGGGGTTGACAGGCATACCACAAAGAGAACACGGGACATAGAAGACACAGACAAGCATGGCCGGCGGCAGAGCGTTTGACGTGGACATCCCAGTGACGGATCTTGACGAAAACGTGGACGATTTCTTCATCGAGGAGCCAGACAATGGCGGAGATGCCTTGTTCAGCACGAACACGAACACGGACAATGTGTCAATCGACCTCAGCAACCTCGACTTTGGCTCGGATGGGTCAGGATTGCTTGGCAGGGGCTGGCGGAGGCTTGCTGGCCTCTGGAGCGGCAAAGGCAGCGCACACCGGGCGAGAAACGGCGACTACACAGACGACATTGAGTTGATCAACAGAAACATCCACGACCTCAACAGCGGCAGCAGCGACTTCCTCAGCTTCGAGGACAACGCCAGCAGTGCCTACTACGCCAGGCCGAAGCGCAGAGGCAAGTTTGCCCGGTACGTCTGCGCCGTGCTCCACTCCCGACTGCTCGTGTACATGCTGCTTCTGCTGATCATCGCCTTGTTGATTGCGTTGCTTGTGGTTGTTTCGAAAGCCAAACGACTCACTTCGTCGTCGTCGGCGACGCCGGCGCCTTTCCAGAAGCCTCTGAACTCGATTGACTCTTCTTCCTCACTACTGACAATCGTGCTGGCCATTGGTGCTCTGCACCCCCACTTTATCTCGCAGGACACAATGCCCTTCCTTACCAGCCTCCTCAACTCGTCGCAGTCGGTGTACTCCCCCTACATGCTAGCGGACAGCCCGGCATCTAAACTTACCAGCTTGTGGTCGCTCACCACGGGGCTGCACCCGGCCGACCACGGTATCGTTGGCGACGCCTTCTACGACCCGGACTTCAAGGACACGTTCGTGCAGTACTCCAAGGACCCGAAATGGTGGAAGGGCGAGCCGATCTGGAGGGACGCCGATAAGTACGGCATGGAGGTCGTCACGTTCAACTGGCCCGGCGCCGACGTCGTTGGCGGCCCCTACCTGCCTCCGGACCACTACCAGTCGTTTCACGAGCGGGCTGAACTCAAGGAGCAGCTTGAGCAGCTTGCAAGGTTCTTGTCGCCTGCCACCGAGACAGAGCACAAGCCCGACTTGGTGCTTTCGTACGTGTCGACGTTGGATAAAGTTGTCTCGGCTAATGGGCTTTCCGGTAAGGAGTTGACCAGCGAGCTTTCCAATGTCGATTCGTTCGTGAAGAAGGTGTACGGAATACTCAAGGATAAGGGCATGTTCGAGACCACCAACGTGATGATTGTCTCTGAGGGAGGATATGCTCCAACATCGTCTGAAAGGACGCTTCACTTGGACGATTTGGTCGACGTGACGAAATTAGAACACGTCCAGGGCTTCCCCATCGTGGGTGTGAACCCAATCATCGAGTACTCTGTAAGCGAGATGGTGGACGAGATGAGGGCCAAGCTTGCGACACATGCGCTGCACAAACACTTCCAGGTGTACGCCAAGGATGAGGTAGACGTCACGCTCTTTGGCGGACATTCCGACAGGATCAGCCCAATCCTGCTCGTTCCGGACGCTGGGTACCTCGTTGCCACAGAGAACAAGGTCAACGCCCTGGAGGGTGACTACAGCTACGTAAGTGGCTACCGGGGTGACGAGGTGCTCTCCCGGGGGGTGTTCATCGGTAGCGGGCCGACGTTTGTGCGGACCTTTGGCGAGCGGGACACTGTGTTGCGGCCGTTCGACATCACCGACGTGTATAGCATCGTCTGCGACAGTCTCAGCATCGAGGGCGACAACGGCTTTGCGCTCATGTCACTGGAGCTGGAGGACACGATCCAGGCGTCGTGGAAAGACACCAGCTATCCGGGCGTCGACTTCCCTGTCTCCGTCCTCGACCACGTCTCCTTCTTCGAGGCCAAGTTCGGAACCGCCGAGCACGAGGAGGTCACCGTTGTCGAGCCGTCCGTGCCCCCAGCCGAGGAAACCGACTCCGACGCCGAAGCCGACAAGGAACACTCCAGCAAGCAGCAGGAGCAGCAGGAGCAGCAGGAGCAGCAGGAGCAGCAGGAGCAGCAGGAGCAGCAGGAGCAGCAGGAGCAGCAGGAGCAGCAGGAGCAGCAGGAGCAGCAGGAGCAGCAGGAGCAGCAGGAGCAGCACGACCAGCCCACCACGTTCCCCAAACCCCCAACCGACGATAACGGCGACAAAGACAACGCCAAAGACCAAGAGGACCCGGGCTCGTGGTGGGACTACGTCACTCACGCGGTCGATGACGCCCTCGACGACGTGAAACACCTTCTTCATCCCGACGACCAGCCGTCACAGGCAGACGACTGACCATCCAACCGATATCACAAGACATTTCGTCAGAATATCAACAGAGACAAATAGGGACGGGCGATAAGCGAGGTGAAAATTTTCAGCTGCGTTTCCTGTTTTCTGCCGGCGGGGACGTTTCGTCCCCTCTGGAGCCACCCTGGTGATGACGAACCGGGGTCGGGGCAGTCTGGAGAACAGAGCACAGACGCCCTGCTGTATATATCCGTGTATACTCACTGTATATCGACACAAAGAACCACGCCGGCGCACCGAAGGCCTTTCTCAGATACCAGGCCCAGAGACCAAAAGAAACAAATGTCCATCAGATCCGTACCGCAGTCGCCCACACAGAACGTGCTGCTGTCGTCACCCCGGATCCAGATGGAGCACCACCACGCTCACCGCAGACTCTCACTGTCGCCACAACTGCCCATTTCGCAGAGAAGCAACGGCGGCTCTTTCTCGTCAGAGTCCACCAAGTCGTCGAAGTCGCCCAAAACCACCCGGATCATCACCCACCTAAGCCTTGACATGTCGAGACAGCCGCAGGACATCCAGCAGGTGCTGGCGGGCAACGTGGAAGACTCGCCACAGCTTCTGGCGACCTCCGTCGGTGCCGAGGTGGGGAGCGAGTTGGTGCCGTCCATTTCCAACATCTCCCTCCTGTCCTTGAACCAGCAGCAAAACACCTTGACCAGCCAGATGCTGACTGACGCCTACTCAGCGGATACGGTCATCTCCTCCGCTACGGCAAATTCACAGGACATGTCGTCCAGATTCAACACGTCCTCGCATAGACACTTGACTTTGCAAAGAGTGCCGAACTCTCTCCCACTGCAACACACGCAGTTCTCCATCGGAAGCAGGAAATCCTCTTTCAACTCTCCAACACTGCAGAGTCCACAGATGTTCATTCCGCAGACGAGGTCAAGTCTGAGAAGATCGAGCTCAAACTCCTTTCAGCAGCCGCCACCCCAGTCAGTCTCCGGCCAGTACAGGTCCCAGCAGCCCAAGCAGCCTATCCAGATAAAACAAAGAGCCATCAACATCGACGACTCATACGCAGAGCCAGACTCTCCGGCGCTTGTCCCCATCTCTCTTGCAGGCTCCCCTTCAAATTTCCTACTATCGCATTCTTCGCCCCCAAACTCTTACAAAGCAGCATCTCTGTTACCGTCCATATCACAGCCTCTTCCTAGAAACATTGGCAACAGCAACGGCGCAGCCAACAACTACCCATTACCTTCGACTATTCTGCCACAAACAGCAACAAACAGACTGTTTTCGTCGAGGCCTCAAAGCTCACAGCTAAAACTGTCTTTGAATAGGTTTTCCGACGACTATCTTCCACATCCAAGTCTCCCCTTGACCCGTGCAGACTCTTTGACAGACTCTATTGGAGGTCGTTCGCCTGAGCTAGCCCCTGTATCATCCACTTTACCGCCTATGACACCATTGATTTTGTCCATGCCTAGCGAACTCTCCTCGAGATCGAATTCCAATGTGGTGGTCGATGACGATTGTGATGATTTCAATAGTGGAGACTCCCATCACCACAGCAGAAGTGACGGCATCAAAGATGGAAACAGCTTCAGTAGCTCATCTGATAAACATATCAGAACCATGGAAGGTACGAATCATAGTACAACCATGAACGACTATAATAATTCTAATATTAGCAGAGTTAGCACCCATACACAGAAAGATGAACAGGATTCATTTAGTCAAAATGATGATATTTTCGGCGAAACAATTGATGACTGAGGACTAGGTAGGTATATATCTCAGTTTATAACAAATTTTCTACATAATAGACCAAAAAATGAAAATTTATTTCTTTACTGTTTTACATTGGTTCTGGTGTAAGAACTCCAGCGCTATTTTGTATATTTATAGTAAATTATTTTGTATTTTCTAAGTGTAGGAAGAAACAGATCTTTATTTTTGTGCCATTACATCAACATAACCTCTACGAGGTCCTCTTCTTCCACCTTTCCTTGCGCTGGCTGCACTGCCCATCGTCAACAAATCATCAATGCCGTCTTTCTTGGCAGCTCTTGGAGCCAAAGGAGCACCCATCGATGGGTGATTGTTCGTTGTTGACGTTGGTGGTAGTGCAGTTGGTGGACCACCAACAGGCGTTGCTGGCGTAGTGTTGACCTTCTTCATCGCTGGCGGTGGCGGAGGTGCACTTGCCGCTATTTGCTCTTCCAGAGGAGCTTTCTTATTGATCCATCTTTTGAGTTTCTCATCGTAATAGAACGAATTTTCTTCTCCTAGTTTTGCCTTAATAGGTTTAGGCTTGTCATCACTCTTACCTTTACCTAACCATCCAAACCATCTTCCACTCTCACCACCTTTGCTGGAGTTCTTCTTTTTAGCTGTCTCTTCTTCTTCTTTTCTCTTTTGCTCTTCTTCTTGTTTCCTCCTCTTCGCGTCCTCTTCTAATTTCTTTTTCTCTTCTTCGGCCTTTCGGTTGGCTTCGGCACCATGATCTTCGTCCGAGTCTTCGTCAACGACATCATCGTAGTATTCGCCAGTGTCCTGTGCATAGTAACGCTTCTCCTCAGTAAACTGGTGTAAAGGAGATGAAATTATTGATGCTTTATTAGCAGTGGCGGCAAATCCAGTTGGAGGGCTGAACATATTAGTCAATTTTATCTCGGATTGGATAGGTGACTTCCTACTTTTCACTCCCATTTGAGTAGGTGGGTGATAAGTTGGAACAAAATTGTTTTCTTCTGACCTTGTTTCCGAGAGCCCAGATTTGATGTCTTCTCTTGGCTTTCCATTACTTTCAGCATCTGTTTCACCTTCCGCTTGATCAACCTCATTTGTATTGCTATTATCGTCCAAATTCTCAGTATTTACTGATGATGCAGCAGGGGGTGGAGTACTGTAGCCACCAAAATTGAACATATCTACCTGAGGAATACCAGCAGGGATTCCAGTATCGGCAGCTAGCTCACCAGAATCTGTTTCAGATGCATATGCCAATTTTGGAGATAATTGCTTGGGTGCGTAGATTGAAGCATAAGGGTTAACTGCTTTTTTGTTAGCCGAAGCTGTCGATGGACCATATCTGTTTACAGATCTTGAAGCTGCTCTGCCTGCATTAGGCCTAAATGGAGTAATCTTTGACGGAGGTGGTGGAGGCTTGGAGACTATTGGATTTGAATTGGTTTGTTTAGATTCCTGTAATTCATCAGCTTCTTTGACCTCCTCTTTATGAGCTCGGTTAGATTCATTCAACGCTGGGGTATTGCCTGCATCATTTGAGAGAGTTTGGTCAATTGTTGCTATTGCGTCAGTATTCTGCTTATCAACAGAAGTCTGAGAAATATCGTCGTCAGCCTCAATCGCTTTCTGAGCAGGAGATAAAAGAGTAGAATCCTCTGTTTTCGTTAAAATCTCTTTCTTTGCTTCATCCTCAACTTCTCCACCAGGCAGCGGGAAAACATCTTTTTCTGCCGCTTCTGCATTAATCGCAACGGCAATAGTGTCTTTAGTTGCATCACCTACTTCTTGCTCATATGCGTTTAGAGTTTGTTCAGGCTGAACTAACTCCAGAGCAGGGCCTGATTTGGTGGATTCATTGACGGAGTAAATGCTATCATATTCTTCCTTAGGAGGAAGATAAATTTGTTTCTTCTTAGGAGGAAGTGGAGCACTTTTGGAAGTCTCCGGTAAAATTGGTTTCTCAATTTCCTGGTGAGCTTGTGCAATTTCCGTATCTGCATGTTTTTCCTTTTCTAGCAGAATAGTCGTATTAGTTTCATGCAGATTTGGTGGTAACACCGGCGAATATGACTGAGAAACTGGAGATACCTTCAAGGACTTTGGCGGTAAACTTGAAGGTGTCGAGAATGTATTGGCATTAAAAGATGGTTGTGCGAGTTGAGTTCTACCAGCCACAGGTGAAGATGACATAGGTTTCACTGCTGGGGTAAACAAGCTAGCATTGCTCAAAGTACGAGCAGGTGGCGCCTTAGGCGAATATTGCATCTTTGCAGCAGGAGCCGGATTGAAAATATTCGGTTTTCTGTTTTCGTCAAAAGGTTGGCCCAATAGAGTTGAATTTGAAGTAGGTTGAGAAGCAGTGGTCAAAATTGATTCAGACGAAATATTAGCCAGACTATTACCTGGGGTATATCTGTTTGGTCCTGGAGGGTGTGGAATTGAAGAACCAGAGTAAGAACCAATACTATCTAAAGACACATTACGTGTCATGAGGTTTTCCTGCATTGAAGGAGGAGGAAGATATGATCTAGATCCGGAAACCATGGCTGATCCACCATAAGAGCTGCCAGAACCAAGAGGTTGCGAAATATGACCAGGTGAACTCAGGTAGGGGTTACCATTAGGCTTTCTAGTTATGCTGTTTCTAACTTCCGTTAGGTCCAATGTGGAAGAAGTTCTAGATATTGAGGCTGGTGACGTAAATTTAGCAAAAACGCCTTCCGTTTTAGGTTCATTCTGTGGGATGTCTTCACCTGACACAAATTTGTTGAAGGATTTGTCTAGAGTTGTCCAAACTCTATCTAATTGTGGACGACTTAATTTTGAGCTCAACCAGCCTGAACCCACCTGAGATAACCTATCGCATAAGTTATTTTGCGCCAGTAGAGTAGCAGGTTCACAAAAAAACTGTTTTGAAGTGATTGACGCGTGTGTTGAGTCACAATACCTTTTGGATTCCACAGAATAACCAATATCGGCAAGATATCCTCCATGACGAATTTTTAGTGGTATCATGTGTGGAAATCCACTAGCAAAATTCGGAGGAACGTTTCCTGTAGATAATAAAGCGAACGCATAAATTTCTTCTACTATCATACCGTAAATGGATGAAGGAAGCTGGCTCAAAGATTTTGGAATCAGTGGTAAGCCAGAAAGGATATACGATAATTTCCCGTAAGCTGTATAACCTGCTTTCAGTAGCGCTTCACCAATACCACTCAAAATTTTGCCATATTCCGGATTATCCATCATGACAAATGGAACAACAATTCTGTAATTTTCAACAAGCCAGCTCTCTTTACCTTTCAACTGCTCGACTGAAAATCCTCCTTGTGATTTCGATTGAATAAAAAAGCTGAGATCTTGACCCATGGAATCACCTTGGAAATGAGTAGTCGCATATAACTTTATTGTCTGGTCAAAAGCTATAGGACCCATCAAGTTTGATATCAACAAAGCCATAGCCCAATCTCCCTCTGCCACTGCAAATTCAAGGGCAGATTTTTTATCGCCGACCTCTAGCATCTTATGGACAGTGACGAAGCCACTATCATCAAATGAAAAAGAATTGAATGGCTTATTCGGAGTGAAACTCTTGCCCAACCTAGTTAGTTCAATTATGTCAAAAGTGTTGTTCATGGCATCTGTAACATTCAAAGAAGGATTTAATAAAGCAGCAATACTTTTAATGTAATCCCTATCCATGAAATCACCGGGCTTCTCGACCTTATCAAGCATCAGTTTCAAACATTTCCAGGTGAGCTCTTCAGCAAATATCGTAGAATCTTTTGACTTATTCAAAGAATCAATCTTATCCTCTAACCATTTACTGACTTCTTTCTTTTTCGTCTTGGTTTTGTTCAATGGTCCAGGAAATGTGGATACATAATTGTCCTGCTTCAGAATAGAAGATGTGTCAACAACTTTGATGTTGCATATGTTTTGGCTGTATCCATCAAACGCAGGTATCATTGAAGCTACTTTATCTTCTGCCGAAAAGCTGAAGAGAGGCCATTGACGTCTAACAAGATTTTCAGGATTAATCACTACTGGAGCAGGAGTTAATGTAGACACTGGTGGTATTTGGTGTTTTCCTTTAGACAATGAAGGGGGTAAAACTGTAGATTTTCTTAGGCCAGTTGAAGTAGCGTTGCTCATCTCGATAGTTGAGCCATACACCTCATTAATCGAAGAACCTGAATGTTTGTGACCCTTAACTGAAGCTTTGTTCTTGCCCAACGAATTTATTCTCGTTTGAGGTTGAGTATCAAATCCCAGTCCATTCGAAAACTGTGGTTCTTTAATCATCTGTTGTTGTTGCTGCAATTGTGGTGAAAGCACTTGGGAATGTGGCTGCCCTTGTCCTCGTTGTGTTGACGGGAAATAAGATCCTTGTGCTGGGGGGTTGTACATTTGAGTTGGAGGGGCATATTGCATAGATGTTTTGGGTTGTGATTGTTGTTTCTGTTGCTGAATTTGCTGCTGTATTGGCATTTGTTGCTGTTGTTGTTGTTGCTGGTATTGTTGCTGTATCATCTGTGGATGTTGCTGGTATGGAGGCTGTGGGCTAGAGACTGGTGCATACTTTCCTGAGGAGAAGGATTTTTGAGCAAAAGCGTTTGGAATGTTAGACGGAATGGCACCATTGCTTGCGTTTCCTGAAAAGACAGACATGGCAGGAGAAAGGGGAGAGTTTATACTAATTGGAGACTTCATTGGAACAGGTACAATATTTGGCTTTGAATCGATCGGATTTGTCACTGTGGTAGATATTTGTCTAACATGACCACCCACTGCAGCTGGAGCATATGGATTTGCAGGTTTTTTGATAGTTGGCGGAGACTTAGAAGGGATGAACTTGTTATTCAAGTTGGAAGCAACCGGGGGTTGTCTCTGTTGCAGTGAAAAATTTTCCTGTTGGGGAGATTGGGTGATGTTTGGAATGTAAGAGTTCGTTCTCTTTGGAGGCATCAATGGGGAAGAGGTAGAATTATTAGATCCTATCGAAGTTCTCTCAACATTATTTACTTGATTGATGGAACTCTGACTCTCAGCCAAACTGTAGGGGTTTTTCAGATGCAAATTGTCCCTCTTCTCGTTGATCTTCGAAACGGGAAGTTCAGCGAAAAAAGAAGAACTCTTTGTACTATTGATAGAGTTGGATCTTGAATATCTATTACCAACTCCACCTATTGCTGGTGGCGGTTGAAAAGAAAGGTTATTAGTAACTTGCTCTTGATTGTGACTTGGTACCTGTGCCGAGTTAGGGTTTGGTTGTTGGATGGAGTTTTCAATCTGAGTATAGATATTTTGTTTAACTTCTTTGACAGGTTTTGGCTTGTTTTTCAAATAGAGATCCTGGGGAAAATCATATGCATCGGTTTTCTTCTTCTGCTGCTGCAAATTGGAAACGAGTTTCTGGTTTGGTTCTGCAAAGTTTGGAGGTGGGGTTGTGAAAACGTTATGAGAAAAGTTTTGCTTCAAAGAATGGGTAGGGACAAATACGTTTGAATTTGTTTGATACAGGAGTGAAGAGTTCTGAGAAGGATTGGATGGAGCTTGTTGGGGTTGATATTTTGACTGTTTCTCACCATTTGATACTACAACAGTATCAGTTGTAGCGTTTGCAGTTGAGTTGTTGGCGCCATCAAAATTAGTTGGGCCATCATCTTCAAGGAGGTCATCGTCCATAATATCGTCTAGTAAAAGATCATCATCTTGCTCAAAAAAAGCAAACTTATCTCCTACAGGCCCCTCTGCATCTGATACCTCTGTCTTCTCTTTATTTTGTCCTAAAAGTTTCTCGTCTTCCGGTAGCTCCTCTAAGAAAGCAAATTTATCTTCAGCATTACTCTTCGTTGTTTTGGTCTCCTCAGGTGACAAACGGTTCAAAAAAGACTCATCTTCTTTGAAAATACCATTGGCAGTCTCACTGATCATTAGAGTACTCTCTTTTTCGATTCCGTTAGATGCACCAGCCGAGTTCCACGGGAAGCTGATGTCATCGGCAGTCTCCTCTTCATCCCATGGCAACTTATCGTCTTCCGCAGGTGCTGAGGGAGCTGTACCTATCTTGATGTCCTGTTCACATGTAAACGAAATTGGAGCATCGGCTTTATCACTAATGGCATCCGAGTTTATTAAGCTTTTCGTTACCTGCTCCGAAGTTGCGGGTGGATTCACGGTTTCCCCATCAATGTCTTGGTTCTGCGTCGATAATAACTCTATATTTCCAATATCACTCTGGCTTTCTTCTTCTTTTTTGTTGTCCCATGGCATCAAATCTTGATCAGCTGTGTTATCCCACGGAAAAACATCATCCTTCAGAGGTTCTTGTCCTGTAGGTGCAGTTTCTTCGGTCACTATATTAGCTTCTGGCTCCGACGAAAACAATACACTAGCATCAGCTCCCTGAACAGTCTCATCTTGCAAAGCCTCTTCAAGTGTGGTCGCATCCTCTGCAGTTGCTGGTTCTTCCACCTGTAACAAATCTTGCTCAGCGGTCTTAGCGGTGTTTTCGCAGCGAGCAATTGCGTTGGAATCGCTGAAAGGGTCTTCTGGCTCCTGGTGAGCTTCGTCAACCTTGTCCTGTATCGGCTCACTTGGCTTTTGGGTTTCAGCTGGAGGCTCTTCGGGCACCGACTCTGTTAAAGCAACGTCTAATGTCGATTCTACTTGGACTTGTTCTGGCTCGAGAGTTTCTGTACTAGTTTGGTCAATCTCGGAAACATCGTTTTCCGGAACAACGAATTCTGTGTGAGCATTGCTTAAACCGACACTTCCTTCGCTCAAAGTCTGCGTCTCTTGCAAAGATGTGTCGTCAATTGGTAAATCACCATCGTTTGCGGCTTCTCTTGCAGCTGAGGACTCCGATTGCAAGGAAGAGTCATCATCCGCCATTGTGGATTCAGAATCATCATTCTCCACCGCTACAGGATTGCTGCGTGACTCGTTTGCCAAGACGGTATTAACATTGTTGGTGCTGTCAATGGCGTCACCATTCTCAGCATTATTGACACCATTGCTGTTGCCGCCGCTACTGGTTTTGCTCTTGGCTTTTTTGTTTTTGCTCTGAGCCTTGGACTTCTTGCCCTTGCTTCCCTTAGCCATTTTTGCAATGTCTCTTCCTAAGGGTACTGGCCTGCTTTGTCCACTGTGTCCTCTTTTCCCGTTGATTCGTCTCTTTCGGAACTTCTGTCTGTTTCAAGACCAGATCATCAGGAGAACAAACCACGTCGAGAGCACCCACAGAGCCAACTGGTGCACGGGGGACCAAGCCCCTATCTGGAAATTTCATTTTCCTGATTTCTCCAAATTATTTTTTTTCAGATGCTTTCCAGACATGAAGCATGATCATTCTCCAGCAGGAAGGAAAGACAGCAGCCAAGAGCCGGCACTAAAAACTGCAACAAGATACCAGAAAGTGCTTGAAGTACGAAATGCCGAAAGGACCTAAGACACACCAGAAGCTTCCTTCTGAGAAGGAGAGATTCATCCAGGCCTGTGCAGACATATCGTTAGAACTTGTGTCTTCGCTGGGAACATCTAAAGAGGTCAATCTTAACGGAGTAATCATCAAATTCTCGAAGAAATACAAGCTCAAGCAGCAGCCACGGCTTACCGATGTTATCAACTCAATCCCGGACCAGTACAGGAAGTACCTGCTCCCAAAACTCAAGGCGAAGCCCGTGCGTACGGCGTCTGGAGTGGCCGTTGTGGCCGTTATGTCGAAACCACACAGATGTCCCCATATCGCATACACCGGTAACATTTGTGTGTACTGCCCTGGTGGTCCAGACTCGGATTTTGAGTACTCTACGCAGTCGTACACGGGTTACGAACCGACCTCAATGCGGGCAATCAGAGCTAGATACGACCCCTACGAACAGTCCAGAGGCCGTATAGAACAATTGAGACAGCTAGGACACAGTATAGACAAGGTCGAGTACATTATCATGGGTGGTACCTTTATGTCGTTGCCAAAGGATTATCGGGAGGAGTTCATAGTGCAGTTGCACAACGCCCTAACGGGATACAACGGTACGGACTTGGACGAAGCGGTGGCCTTTTCGCAGCAATCACAAACAAAGTGTGTGGGTATCACGATAGAAACCCGACCAGACTACTGTACTGAGACCCACTTAGATGACATGCTTCGCTATGGTTGCACGAGGTTGGAACTTGGTGTTCAGTCTGTCTACGAAGATGTTGCAAGAGATACTAATAGAGGTCACACCGTGAAAGCTGTTTGTGAAACTTTTGCGTACGCAAAAGATGCAGGGTACAAGGTGGTTTCTCACATGATGCCAGATTTGCCTAACGTAGGGATGGAGAGAGACTTGGAACAATTTAAGGAGTATTTTGAAAATCCTGCGTTCAGAACCGACGGTTTGAAGATCTACCCTACACTAGTCATTAGAGGTACTGGTTTGTACGAGTTATGGAAAAACGGGTTGTACAAGTCATACAATGCAAACATGTTGATAGACTTAGTGGCCAGAATCATGGCCTTGGTTCCTCCATGGACAAGAATTTATAGAGTCCAAAGAGATATCCCAATGCCTTTGGTGACTTCGGGTGTGGAGAACGGTAACTTGAGGGAGTTGGCCTTGGCCAGAATGAAGGACTTTGGTACCTCTTGCAGAGATGTGAGAACCAGAGAAGTGGGTATACAGGAGGTGCATCACAAAATACAGCCCGACCAGGTTGAACTCATCAGAAGAGACTACTACGCCAACGGTGGTTGGGAAACATTCCTCTCATACGAGGACCCTAGACAGGATATATTGATTGGGTTGCTTCGTTTAAGGAAGGCTTCCAAGAGATACACATACAGAAAAGAATTCAAGAAGCAGCAAACAAGTATTGTCAGAGAATTACACGTTTATGGTTCTGTTGTTCCACTTCATTCAAGAGATCCAAGAAAATTCCAACATCAAGGGTTTGGTACATTGTTGATGGAAGAAGCCGAAAGAATTGCCAAGGAAGAACATGGCTCTTCCAAAATCAGTGTCATTTCCGGTGTGGGTGTGAGAAACTATTATAGAAGATTGGGGTATGAGTTAGACGGGGTCTACATGTCTAAATCTATATAACGATCAGTTGTTTGGACGAATTAACAAACAAAATCGACAGTCTCTATATAGTTCCATAAAATATATTATTCATTACGACATGTAATGTAAGTTTGTAGCTTTTTTTTCCCTCTGATGAGGTTTATTTTTAAATATCAAACGATGGCTCGATAGAGCTGCAAACCTTGATATATCCAGCGAGAAGTGAAACTGACAACTCCTGTTTCCCTGTGAAAAACAACCTCCATTGTGTGCCATCTATGGAGTAGTTGGCTTTCGATCTCTCAAAATACCACTTGTTGACGGGATTGTTTTTCCGGGATCTCCATAGGAGCTCATTCTCAAAACTCTTCAACATCGCCTTGAATACAACATCAGCAATGCCCGGGATTCCTTGGAGCTTTTTGATGACTGCAAATTTATCCAAATAGGCAACGCTCCGTTCGCCCAGGTTTTCCCATGTGATTATAGCACCTCCTTCGTAATCGCCGGCAATAATCAAACCAGCAATTTTGCCATTGATACGATTGAGGTAATGGTCCATATTGAGGTCTCTGCCAAACGAGTTGTCTATGAGGTACTTCAGTTGTGCCAAATCTACTTTCCCTTCTCTTTCCATAGCTCGCAAATCCAAACCTTTGGAGGGATCTGATGATTGATACACTGAGATTGAAATTCCCTTCTTCACAACGGTTGTATTTAGCTGTGGTGTGCGACGAAGCGAAACAGGTAAAGAAGATGAAATTGTTGGACGGTCTGTTAAAATGTTGTAAATGATCGGATTTGTTTCTTTACCGACTTGTTTCTCTTCTTCTCTGGTCGCCATCTCTGGGGTTGTCAAAATCCCAGTAATATCAGGAGACAGGTCGAGCAGTTGTCTCATTTCCATAAGATTTGACAGATGGGTCTCCCTTTCTTCTTCGCTCAATTCAAGTTCTTTCTGGAGCTCGTTTTTGATATCATCAAATTCTTGTAATAAGTTTATCAAAACATGACTACCTTCGGATCTCTCGACACTAGGGAAACCACCTACTTCGTCAACAAATATCACCTTTTCGATGGTCAGAATTTCCTTCATCTCGGAACTTTCAAGGCAATCAACGGTCGCCCTTGTCGTTGGGAATCCCTTTACAACTTGCAGAACGCCTTCTCTGACAGCAAATGGGGACACAATAGGTATGATACCTGAAAAAATTGGCACCCCTATCATTTCCGGGACAATTGTCTGTAAATCTCCATTTTCTGCTAGGTCGAAACATCCCTTGATGATCCGATTGGGTAGAAAGTTGCCTAGTCCTTCCACAAAAGATTCCAACTTCGAATCTACATAATTCTCAATCTCCTTCTTCACCTGCTCTCCTTTGTAACCTTCAATAACATCACCATCTATGATAATCACTGGGCTTGCCCCAAGTCCCATGGCCTTCCTTAACACAACAGCTAAGTTTTTCACGGTATCAGTATCCCATTTATGAAGCTTCCGGATTCTGAAAATGCAAGCACGAATAGTCTGTGTGAGTTTGATCTCATTCGAGGCATCATTTATTCGATTTTTCGGGGAAGTGGGGGTTGTCATGAGCACAGGAGACTCCGAATTGAGTAACCTCCGATTGTAAGCCTCCACGTTTGGGTTTTGCTCGATGTTATTGTTGTAATTGTATAAAGGGTCCACATGTTTTTCCAAAAGTTTTCCAATGTACTTTGAGTACTGCTTGTTTGTGACAAGAGGAGAATTACTATCGGACTGATCTTGGTTGACGATTCTTTGTCTGTTTTTGTAGATGTCGTTTTCTCCAAGAAGTCTGTACTTGGATAGATATGACCGTGCCTCACGTTTTGTTGCTGTAGAGTTTAGTATAGTCAAGATTAACTGATGTTTTTCATTGGAAGCTATAGAATGCTTGAGTAAGTTTGACTCATCGTCGAAATCTTCAGCTCGCAACAGAGAAGCGCTATGATTTCTCCTGCCTCCAAAAATCGACTTTCTGTAAACCCCAATTTTCCGTCCACTGAATCTTGTCAGCTGCATTGCCGAATGTCAATATTAGACTTAACGTGGTAAATTTAACATCAACATTCAAGCGGTATTTTTTGGGAAGAATATTTATCGTTGAAAAATTAGACTTGAGAAGGAAAAGGAAACTCGGAACATACTCCAAAGTTAAGCGCGCTTACTGTTTTAGGCAATGCGTTTATATGTGCATCTACTACTTTTAATGAGTACAGTTGTAAGCAAACTGATTGCGGGGAAATGTCGTTGAAAATCAATTCAGTAAAGTACCTTATTACTGGTATAAGTATACAAGAGCTAACACATGCTGACAGTTTTTCTCTGCACAAGCTAAAACTTATTTCTCCTTCTTAGATTCTTCCACGTAGCGGTCGATAGCAGAAATTCTTTCACCTAAGGTTGGGTGGTTGTATTCTTTGGCAGAATATAAGCCGTCGACAACTAAACTCGACAAGTTCTCCTTGTGCAAGTTGACCAATGCTGTTTTCAAATCTTCTGAGTAACCTTGTTTTGCAGCATATTCATCTGCTTGGTACTCGTAAACACGGGAGATCAAATTCATGACGAACTCCATGGCTGCGTCGAGAGGTCTCAAGACATCGCCAAATAGTAGAAATCCAATCATGACTGGCATCTCTGTTATTCCGTTAGGTAGTCCGAATCCAAAGGAGTTGTAGAAAGATTTATTCTTGATGAAGACGGAAAAGATTGTGAAAATCGAAAACATGTGTAATTCGCCAATGACCATCAGCTTCGAGGTATGGTTTAGTTTCCAGTGACCGATTTCGTGACCTAGAACGGAGACGACTTCGGCGATTGTGGAATGATGAATCAAGGTATCAAACAACACAATCTGTTTGGATCCCCATGGCAAACCCATGAAGTAGGCATTGGAATGGCCGGAGCGCTTGGACCCGTCGATGACGTAGAGCTTATCTAATGGGAAGCTGTTTTTCTTGGCTAAGATTTCAATTTCGTTTTTCAACTCGCCATCTTCCAAAGGTGTTAAGGTGTTGAACAATGGCTGGATGAATTTTGGATAGATGATGATGAAGAAGATCTGGACGACAAATAGGAATACGGAAAGGTAATACATGAAAGAGTCGCCGTAGATGTACATGATCTTCAAGAACGCTGCCAATATTGGTCCGCCCAGTGCACATGTCAACAGGAACTGTTTGATTGTGTCTGAGATCCACAACTTAATTGTGAGCTTGTTGAAGCCGTAGGATTCTTCGAGAACAAAATTCTGGTAGTACTTGATTGGAGTGCCCAAAACGATGGAAACGCCCATGAAGAGGCCCATGAACATTAAGCTCTGAGAAATGACGCTTCCGGTCAACCACGAGCTCAAAGAGGGGACGTATGAGGCAATAGAAGCCAATGCACTGCCGGCCTTAAGCCAGAGTGAGGGCAAGACGTCGAACTTGAAGAAAGCGACATTTTCGATAAGATCGAAGATACCAGCAAAGATGGAGAATTTTAACTTGGAGAGACTGTACTTGCTAGATTTTATGACTGTGTCAGAGTCGATTTTGTAGGCTGCGAGCTCGGCTGGGATCTTGTTGCCGTTCATCTCGACACAACGGATCTGGCGGATCTTCACATACGTGTCAAAGACAAAGTTCGAGACGGTGAATCCAATGATGAGGGATTTCCAGTTGAACCCTGGAGTATCCATAAAGTTTCTTGCCGATTCCATGAACGAGATCATTGTTCAGTGGTTTGTCGGGAAGTTCGTTCTTGGTAAAAGATGAAGGAAGGGAAGAGAAGAAAGCTGAAGAAAGAGGGATGTTAACTTTGGCAGCTTCTCTGAAATTTCCGTCCTTTTGGGGTTTGAACACGCGTTTACATCTTCACTTTCGCCCCCTCGTTTGCCCTCCCTTGTCTATATATGCCTTTCTCGAACGTCTATACTAAGTATTACTTTTTTTTTTTACTAGAAAGGAATACAAACAATAAATAAATCTTTTTATTACAAAAGAGAAACTTAGAGATAAATCACTAGGAATAGGAATAAATAATCATAAATAAATAAAAATCATAGTAACGTCATTTATGGGCACAGATTCATCATGATAAAAGAGTACGCAAACACACAATCACTGATTGGAGATTTAGTTAGCTTCAGCAGCTAATTTTTCAGCCTTGGCGATGACATCCTCGATACCACCAACCATGTAGAAAGCGTTTTCTGGCAAGTGATCGTATTTACCTCCAAGAACATCCCTGAAAGACTTGACGGTTTCTTCTAATCTGACAAGCTTACCTGGGATACCAGTGAAAACTTCAGCAACAGAGAAAGGTTGGGAAAGGAATCTTTGGATCTTTCTTGCTCTTTCGACGGTAAGCTTATCTTGTTCAGACAATTCGTCCATACCCAAAATAGCAATGATATCTTGCAAGGACTTGTAAGCTTGTAAAGTTTCTTGAACTTGGGTTGCAACATCGTAATGTTCTTGACCGACGACGGAAGCGTCCAATAATCTGGACTTGGAATCTAATGGATCGACGGCTGGGTAGATACCCAATTCAGAAATACCTCTGGACAAGACGGTGGTAGCATCCAAGTGAGCGAAAGTGGTAGCTGGAGCTGGATCGGTTAAATCATCGGCTGGGACATAAACAGCTTGGACGGAGGTAACGGAACCCTTCTTGGTGGTGGTAATTCTTTCTTGTAACAAACCCATATCGGTTGCTAAGGTTGGTTGGTAACCGACGGCGGATGGAATTCTACCCAACAAAGCAGAGACTTCGGAACCAGCTTGGGTGAATCTGAAAATGTTGTCAATGAACAACAAGACATCTTGACCTTCTTCATCTCTGAAGTATTCAGCAATGGTCAAACCGGTCAAGGCGACTCTAGCTCTAGCTCCAGGAGGTTCGTTCATTTGGCCGAAAACAAGCGCGACCTTGGATTCACCTTCCAAGTTGATGACACCGGTTTCCTTCATTTCTCTGTATAAATCGTTACCTTCTCTGGTTCTTTCACCGACACCGGTGAAAACGGAGAAACCACCATGGGCCTTGGCGACGTTGTTAATCAACTCTTGGATGAAAACGGTCTTACCGACACCGGCACCACCGAACAAACCAATCTTACCACCTCTAGCGTAAGGTGCTAACAAGTCGACAACCTTGATACCGGTTTCCAAAACTTCGGCAGTAGTGGATTGGTCAACGAAGGAAGGTGGGTCTTGATGAATTGGTCTTCTCTCCTTACATTCGACAGGACCTCTTTCGTCGACTGGGTCACCAATGACGTTCAAGATTCTACCTAAGGTACCTCTACCGACTGGGACAGAGATTGGAGCACCAGTGTCGTTGACGGCTTGGCCTCTGACCAAACCTTCAGTACCATCCATGGCGATGGTTCTGACGGTGTTTTCACCCAAATGTTGAGCAACTTCCAGAACCAACTTGGAGCCATTGTTTTCCATGATCAAGGCGTTCAAAATTGGTGGCAATTGACCTTGTTCGAATTGGACATCGACAACGGCACCAATGACAGACCTATAGAAATAAGAATGAAAACGGTGGGGGGAGGGAGGGGGGTGAAGAAAAATGTTAGTATCTATGTTCCGGGGGGTCGACAAGCCTAGGAGTCGAGGGGGCGGCGGGGCCGACGAAACAGCACCGTTGCGTTGGTCTAGTGTGGTCTTGCGCAGCTCACGACGGACGTAGCGGACGTGCTCCCCTGCTGTGCAAGGGCGCGAGCCGTTTTTTTTCCACGAAAAACCCTCAGATCCACCCACACACAGCAAAGCCCAAGGGGTGGGCTAAATTTCCTCGACAGAGGTCGCCCTCCACGGTGTGTGACGGTGTGTGCAAGCACGCCCACATGGACGGGGGCTGCACGTACTGGGGTGCACAACGCGTGCGTGTTTCGACGGACAAACGTAGTCCTCAACTTGTAACAATCGCGGGGGCGGGGGGCGTGCGCAGTCGGACCGCAACGCAGCAAATGCTCAGCAGGCTCAGCAGGCTCAGCGGACTCAGCACACCACTTGTTGCAATTCGACCTGCCACGCCCGCCACGCGACGCATGTCCTACTTACTTGACTTTACCGACCGCTGGGGCGGCGGTGGCCAAACCTCTGTTCAAGGCCAAGTTTGCCTTGGCAGCCTTAAGAGCAGATCTAGTTGAAGTAGCAAATAATCTAGCAACCATCTTGTGTAAGTGAGAGCTATAGAGTGTAGCGATGCAAAGAGACCCCTGCCCGGAACCACGGCGGCACCCACTACAGAAGAAGAGGAGACAACAGCAAGAAGAGAAAGAAGTACTGCCACTGCCAACACACCCTCGTCCTCCACCACCGCTGCCACCGCTGCCATTGCTGCCTCTGCCTCTGCCACTGCCGCTGCCGCTGCCACTTCCCCTGCCGCTGCCACCACCTCACACTCTCTCCCAACCAACCAACCAACCACCAACCATCTCCCCCGCGACCCTCGTCGCCCTCCAGCGCCAGCACTGGCGCCGTCGCCGCAACCCGCCCGCCTGCCCCGCGGGCCTCGCTGGCGCCCGCGACGGCCGCGCGAAGACGCCCCGGCCGCTCTGAGCTGTCAGCGCCCGTCACGGGCACGCCCATCCTGGCCTCCCATTGGCTGCTGCGCGCCAGCATGTTTTTGCCCCGCGGCCGCGAAGCACTCTGGGGAGTTGCCGTTTCGGGCAGTTTGAAATGCCCCGCAGGGCTCGTCTGTCTTCATGGTACATTACACATACACACACCGGGTCTGCCGCTACATCGGCTGCGCTGGCGGGGCCGCCGCCACGGTGCAGAGCTCCGCAGCGTGGCGGAGCTCTGCCGTCGTGTACTCCTCGACACGCACGGCAGCGGCAACCGCCCGGGTCCGCTCGGCAGGCCCGAGCCGCCGCAGCTCCAGACCAAAGCACCGCACACAGAAGACACACGTGCCAAAGAACGCGTTCTCCCGCCGCAGCGCCAGCAACGACCCCCGCAGCTCCCTGCGCTCCTTCTCGTCTGCGGTCGGCGCCGCCGGCCGCAGGCGCTTGGTCTGGATCCGCCGGCTGGACCGCCGCAGGCGGTCGCCGTCGCCGGGGCGGTCGCCGTGACCGCGGTCCTGCTGCTGCTGCTGCTCCTCAGCACGCTCGATAATGGCCCGCCACTCAGACTCCACGTCGCGGTGGCGGATGCCAAGGCCGGCAGTCGGCAGCGGGGCGTCGGCGGCGCCGGCGCCGGGCAGCTGGGCCAGACAGTCCGCGTACAAGTCCACCAGCACCCACTGGAAGTGCACGCGCGTCTTGCAGTCGGTGCAGAGCTTGTCGTCAACCTCGTCGCCCTCGGCGTCCTCGTCCTCGTCCTCGTCCTCGTCACTGTCCCCTGGACCGCTAGCGCCGCCCGCTGCGGGGCGCTCGTCCAGATACTCCCGCAGGCTGACCCGCTTCATGCCCCGCAGAGCGTCAGCAAGCCCCGGGGCCTCCAGCGCCCCCAGAAACCGCCTCACCTCGCCATGGTACTTGTCAGACACCCAGCGGCGCACGTCGTCCGTGGCCTGGCGGGTGACACCCGTGTCCCGCATCCACTGCGCACAGCCCGCGTCGGTGGCCAAGTCCGCCAGAATCTTGCGGAGCAACGCAAACGTCTCAAACACACACTCCTTGCTCACCCGCTCGTACTCGTCCACCGCAGACACGCTGTACGGCACCCAGAGCGGGAGCGTGAAGTTGACCGCCTCGTTGACGTTGAAGCCGTAGTTGAAGCCCGAGTGGTACACCTTCGGAAACGTGATGATGAACTCCCCCGGCCGCTGCACCGTCTCGTAGATCTCCAACCGTCGCTGCCCCGCGGCAGACGTGCGGCGCAACTCGTCCGGCGACACCATGCTCACGAGCTGGTGCATGAGGTCCCGCTGCTTGGCCTCGTACTCCGGCGCTATCCCGCTGATGATCTCCTCGAACGCGCCGCAGTCCTTCGCAGGCACCCCGTACCACTTCTTCGGCGCCCCCAAGTGCGAGTAGTTCGCCGACAGCGTGTAGTGGTCCTCCTTGTGCCAGCAGAACGTCGACAGCGGGCCGCCCACGTAGAGCCACGGAATCGACATCCCGGATATCTGCTCCTTCCCAGCCTCGCCCGACCCGCCCGACATGCTCCCGCACACGTACTCAAGCAAGCTGCCCTGCGCAAACGGGAGACGCGTCAAGTTCCACTCGCTCTGGATGTACTCCCGGTCCTCCTCCTGCATCCTCGGGTTGTCGGCAGACGGGAACCCCGAAAGCTCTCCGGGCACGCTGCTGTGGATGTCTGCGCCGTACCGGATCTTCATGCTGTCCAGCCCGCTCGGAATCCGCATCTTCCCGTTCGTGAGGTACCAGAACACCTTCTCGATCGTCGTCTCCGAAAGCTGGTTCATGGTCTCCTCGGGCTTCAACTTCAGCTCCGCACCCAACTCGCCGCTCCGGAGCAACTGCAAGAACTCGATCTCCCACTCCTGGCAGTACTTGCGGAACTCGTTCAAGCTGAACCGGTTCTCGAACTCCTCCTCAAACCCGTAGTCCGAGTAGATCCCCGTCGACCCGGCAAGACACCCGCCGCAGAACCAGTCGTACTTTGGCACCCGTTCTAGCGGGACAGGGAGGCATCGCATATGGAACGCTCTCGAGCACCCGTCGCAGAGTAGCGTCGTCTCGGGCGAGTCCGAGCTGTGGCACACCACACACGTCTCGTCGAGCGCCTCGGGCGACACGATCTCGGGCGTCAGCGGGAAAAACGGCTTGGTTGTAGGCGTTGTCCTCGTCGTCCTCATTGTCCTCGTCGGCCTCGTGTCCCCGTCGGCCTTGAACTGCTGCGGCTTCTCTGCCGGCGGAGTTAACGGGTCCTCCTCGCTGATATGCCTCCTCTTCCTGCTGCCGCCATCGCTCTTCGCCATCCGGCTCTTCATCCTCTGAAGCCGCTTCAGGTTGGCCGGCTGCGCAAGCAGCGCCGCAGGCGACACCATCAGCCGGCGCAGCGTCGTGTGGGACACCTCTGCCGGGACTGCCAGACTGCTGGGCTCCGCACCCGCCTCGGACGGCGACCCCTCAGCAAGCCCTAGCATCGACAGGAGCCGCTTCGAGTACGTCGTCAGCCGCTTCAGCAGTTCCTTGTCCGTGTCGTGCACCCGGTAGAACCACCGGCGATATTCCCTGCTGATGAAGATGTCGTGCACGTGCACCCGGCTGCCGTCCTTCAGCTCCATCCACCCGTTCAGGTGCGTCCGCCGCAGCTGCGCCGGCCGCAGCGGGAACTCGTCCGACACCCCGAGACACAAGTCCTCCGTCGTCTCCAGCGGATCCTCCCCCAGCGACAGGAGAAAACAGTTGAACCCCTCCACAAAGCAGGCCCTCGATCGGTTCCGCAAGTTGAGCTCATGGAGCCGCTGGATCCTCGTGTGGAACTTGAACGTGTCCCAGTCAAGCGAAAACCTCGGCCGCCATTCCGCAGGCGGCACCACCTTCAATATCCCGTACTTCTCGCCCATCTCCGCAACCTCCGGCTGTGACAAATACCGGATCGGATGCACAAACTCCTCCGCAGACGGCCGTAGCTCCGGCACGCTCCTCAGCCCTATCACCGTATCGTCCATGTTGCCCATGTTGCCCATGTTGCCCATCTCAAAGTTTCTCTTGGTCTGTACCGTCCTGTCTGCTCCAATAAACTCCTTTCTTCCTCACAACTCGCTTTTCTTCACCCTTTTCTCCATTATCTCTCCACTTTCCATGCTTCCTCTGTCCTTCCTGCCTTCTCTCCCTCACCTTCCTTCTCTGCTGTCAACCGATTTTTTCCACCGGCTGCGGCCCGGCCTGGCCTTATCGCTCTTTCCTTCCCTTTTCGGCCACAAAGTAAGATCGGAGGGAAAAATGGCCCGCGACAGACAAAATGTCGCATCGGCGGCAGCCAAAGACGGCTTCTTGCTGCTTACGTAAGCAGCCTTGAGGAAAAAGGAGCCGTTGCTTGCTTTCCGTCGGAGAGCCTTGCTTCCAGGACGTGTCTGTTGTGTCGACAGATGGAAAAACGGAGAGTTCTGTCCGCATAGACATGGAATCTGGACAGAAGAGTGCATAGCAGGACCCGGTAAGAGGAAATATATACCGTCGCTAGAGCCGCACGCACCGTGATGTCTTCCAACTACCGAGAAGACGTCGATTACGAAGACACTACAGGTAAAGACAAGTCACAACGCAATAGGAGGCTCATTGGGGCAGCGGTGTTGGAATACGTGAAGCGCCCGATGACGCTCCCCCTCTTCCTTGTTGTTGTGCTGGGGCTGCTGGTGTTTGACGTGGTGCCCATGGGCAGGGGCACGGTGCTTCTGGACCCGTTCCTGGGCGGCTCGATCGATCCACAGACACACGACTTCTTTGCTCCCACGCAGCAGAACTACAACTTCTACAACAGGATCAACCAGTACCTTTCACCGAACCACGAGCCGCTCGGCTTCCAGAATATCCAGTTCTCCCGGGTGCGCACGACCCCCGGCTCTCCCCCCGTGGTCGCCAACCCGGGCATCTACCCTTTCAACAACCTCGATCCGGCCGACGAGCAGCTGAAGGCCATCACGGCCAACTACAAGGCCCAGAACGGCTTCCTGAAAACACTGGGCTACATCCTCACGCTGGGAGGGAGACTCTCGAAAAACCAGTTGCCGAAACGGAAGATCTACATCATCCTCGGCAGCTCTCCGAACATCGGCATCGAGAGGGAAATGTCTAGGCAAAACTGGCTGGTGGAGAAGATTTCGACGTTGAACAAGAAGGCATATGCTCGGAGACACAACTACGAGCTCGTGTTCCAGAACTCGGCAAACAACATTGCCTCCACCGTCCGCACAGACACTCTCGATTCCATCTCGGGACACCAGAAAAGATACCAACACGAAAGCAGGGAAGGCTGGGAGAGGTTTGACCTCATGCGCCAGGTGATGAGAACACACTCCTACAACAACCCGAATGTCGAAGAATGGTACTGGTATCTCGACTTGCACACGATGATCATGCAGCCAGAAAGATCCCTCGAAGAGGTGGTGTTCTCTGTCATTGAAAAGGCCTCTAGAAGCGGCGCGTTCCTCTACCACGCAGACAACCTCGATGCTATTGGAGATGGAGATATGACCTGGTCGACCCTGGCCCACCGTCGTGAGTTCGGCAGGTTGGATCTGGATCCCGAGAGTTCGAAACTCACGCACAAAGACATAGACTTGATCCTCACAGAAGACTGTTACGGCATCAGTTTGAGCTCTTTCCTTTTACGTCGCTCGAAATGGTCCGAGTTGCTGTTGGATATGCTATGGGAGCCAGTCATGTACAGACAGATGCACACCGAGTGGAGCAAACTAGAGAGGAATGACCTCCCGCACAAGTATGGCTTCCTATTGAACGAGGGAAACGAAAACAAAGAATCTTACCGTGGAGCTCCTTCGGAGATGGAGGAAAGAAACTGTCTTGAGTACTTTCTCTCCACACAGGCATGGCTCAGAACACGTACCGCCGTGCTTCCGGCCAGGGTATTCAACTCGCTAAGTAACGACTCCTGTGTCATCGATACAGAGAGTACGCTGGATTTGATCGACATGGAGATGGATGATGACTTGATCGATGCCTTGCTGGACTCGGATGACTTGGACTTACTCATCATCAAGGAAAAGCTTTCTGCAAATGCCATGAGCAGCAAGTTCAAAGAACTAACATCCCGGGTCCACGATCTACACTACGATACGTCGGATTTCCTCTTCAGCTTCTCCGCATGCGGAGGTGATTGCGCAGATCGTGTAAAAGATGCCATGGCGTGGTATAAGAAAATTCATGGCAAACAAATATTTGAGGACATCTGAAATACCCGGGCATGTTCCCGAATCTCATGATGTTTGCTATACCCTTGTAAGGAATTTATATATCCCTCTTTAGAACACTAAACTTCAGTTCCACCTACAGGCTCAAGTGAAGGGAGTACACGCGTACTCGCACTGAGAAGGTTTTTTTTTATCGTGTCAGATCGACAGCTGGCACTGTTCACTCAAAAAGGCGGTTTTCAGTCAGTTGCCCTCAGCATCAGCGTCTTTGGATAGACTACACACAGGTGCAGAATTACAGACCTAACTATCCAGAAAGGAGGCTAAAAGGAGACAACAAGCAAAATGGCCATTTTTTCATCAAGGGTGCTAATTTCAGCCCGTCTAATACTCCTCTCGTTTGTGGCGTACCAAATGATCGTGTCCCCACGAACAGTGATTGAATATTCAGGAGTGATGGTTCTATCCTCTTCAATGAATTTACCACTTTTGATGGTCAATGAGAAGTCTCCCATATATGGTACGATCGGGGTGGTGTTGATCTCAGTCGTATTGTCCGACATTGGTCCACTCTTCGAGGGAAACAGCTCTTATTTCGAATCTACAATTTTCATCAGGTTGTCCTTTTTCTTTGGACTCTGTGCTTACTGCTACCTTGGAACGTGGGTTGTGTTGTGTAACAGTATTGTCTTTACCTACAGCTTTTTGGAGGTTTGGTTTGGAATCTTGACCTTTTCAACCTTGAAGGAAGAAAAATTAACCAGAGCCAAGAAGGACATGTCAGCTGAAGCTGAGTACAGTGAAAAATATCAAAGAGGTGAATTACCTGCTGAAGAAGAGCAGAAGTACGAAGAGACTCTCAAAGAAGAAGAATACAAGAAGATCATGGAGGAGTTCAAGAATTAGCAGAGTCCTTTTTTACTTGAAAAATCGACAACGTATGTTGATAAAACAATTATTGCAAATTGATTGCTAGATTTTAACTGCGTCCATTTTATCTCATAATTATCACTCCTAGGAAAGAAGTTTTTATAAATAATTGTATATAGGTATAGACTAAACGAACAGGCCAAAACGGTTAGCTGATCATTTCTTGCCCAACTTAGCAGCAATATCTGCTGCTTCTTCGACAGATCTGGAGATAGCACCTCTCACACCCTTATCTTCGAGCACCATGAGGCCACCAATTGTGGTTCCACCAGGCGTACAAACCATGCTCTTCAAAGCTTCAGGATGCTCACCGCTCTCTTGAACCATCTTGGCTGTACCTTCCATAACCTTGGCGGCACATTTCTTGGCAACTTCGTAGGGTATGCCCATACGGACACCACCTTCAGCAAGTGCTTGCATCATTAGCAAAACAAATGCTGGACCAGAACCAACTAAGGATGTGGCAGCATCCATGTTCTTTTCCGGCAACTCGAGAGCCATGCCCACAGTGTCAACCAGAGCCATCACTGCGTCTCTAACAGCTACAGACTCTGAACCTTGTAGGACTGGCGCAAACGAGACGATTGCCGTACCACAGCCATATTTGGCCGGTGTGTTTGTCATAACACGAGCAATATTAGGATTACCCATAGCAGAACTCAATTGATCGATTGTCCATCCAGCAAGCAATGAAATGACTATCTGTTTGTCATTCAAAGCATCTTTAACACTATCGATGACCGCTTGACACAGGAAAGGTTTACATCCTAGGATGATGACGTCCGCCTTTCTCACAGCTTCAGCATTATTTGTGCCGTATGATGTTGAGATCGCATCGCCATATGTCGATTGTAAGCGATCTGCAGATTTGGACGATCCTGTACAACAGTAGATGTGGCTTGGAAAAGGTGATGGCTTGGATTTCAAGATCGCTGATAGAACAGCAGATCCCATAACACCAGCACCAAGGATGGTAAGAGTGTAGTTTTCTGGAAGAGACATTGTTTGCCGTTTTGTTTCTACCCTTGGTAAAAGCTGATGCCTTTTATGGCTTAAAACATTCCTGCTTATCAACCTTGTCGTTGAATAAACTGGAGAACTTGCGATAACATTTTTCGAGGCGGTTGAGGATCGCCCCGAAAATGTGCGACAAATTCATTGTCATCTCATGACACAGTTAATGTTTCTAAAACTGTTTACTGATGAGATGAATATATAGCAGCCCAGAAGTACTCAATATGGTTTATTACAATGTAGATAATAAAGAGCTAGCCAAACCTCGGCTGAAAGACGGTTTGAAATGGACTTAAAGTTGAATTTTGAATGTAATCTAAGATTAGTACTTCAGAAATCTTGTTCAACTAAAGATATTTGAAAAGGAGCAATCTCAAAAATTACCAACTTTGCAATGCAAGAGAAATGTCAACAATGATAGAGTAATAAAAACACAAAAAGATGTTTTCTAGCTTAGTAAAGATATATTAAGTGGTTTAAATTGTCTAATTTTTAATGAGAAGATATACAAAAGTAATTAATCAATGACATGAAGAGACAGCAGGAGAACTAGGGAAGTATATGATCAACTCCCGATGTCTCCTATACTTTGCATTGACCTTCAATTATGAGCCAAACGTTTTTCATTTCGCATCGTGGAACCAAGAACCATTCAGTATGCACACCAATGGTTCGAGCCAATTGGTTTGACGCAAGTACTTTGTGTTTCGCACACCCTTCGCAGAACAACTTCCCAGACCCGTACCTCTCTCTCAGTATCTTATGAATGCGCTGCTCAGACTGATAAGCCGTCGGCGACACAAAACAAGTCCGCTCTGCGTTCAGGTTGGAATAATTCTGGTGGGTGCGGTTACTAAGTGGGGTAAGAATACCACCTTTTGAGCTTTTCCCAATCTTCAGGCTTTGGAAAAGCTTTTCCAGCTTTTTCATCGACTTCTTTTCAGGCTCGCTTCTGTACATGGGTGCCAGGCATCCAGGATATAACAGAATAAATTCCGAGTGTCCGCACTGCTCTCTCCATTCTTTGATTCTCACCTCAGGCTTTTTCCGAGTAAAACCTACTTTTATGAGAATCTGGTCACACGGGTCAAACGGCGAAGTCTTGCTGTAGTTGATCCAGTTATTGGGCGTAGGTTCGGCAAGGTGTAGATACGGCATCGTTGTGGGCTTTGCATGCATCATATGAGCGTACGTAAATACGTAGATGTTTCCCAACGTGTCATTTTTTGTCCTAGTTGCAGTCTTTGAATTCTGCACATCTAGCTTTATCTTTGCCTCAACTTTAGTGGCAAGCACTCCAGACACTCTTACAGCAGTATTTTTTTGAGCTTGGACTTCTTTTTCGGCCTGTTTTTCGTTACGCTTAACGTGAATATGACATCGTTTTCCTCCCGGAAGAGCATATAGCTTGCACCTGTTGCCTTTCTTTGTAGTAGCCGAGCATTGAGTTCTCTGTGGAGAAGCGGTCATATGCTTTATCCATATAGCAGCTTTCCGGTGCCCAATTGAAGTACAAATCTTGCATCCTCATGTAACACGAGAACAGAGTAAGAAAAAAGTAAGAAAACATGTCACGATATTTCCGCCATAATTGCTCAATCGGGTAACACGCCCTTGGACCGTTTCGGAGGAAGAGAAACATTCTTTATTCTTTTCCGCTTAATGCTCAGTTGAACTCTTTCTCGTACAATAAAGCACCTGTTTGTCACACACGAAGGGACCAGTGACACTTATGTGGGCCGGAAATACCACAAAAATGCTGCTACTACAACTGTTTGCGGTATTGAGCTTTTTATTCCAAACCTGCATACCGACATGTCAGGCGTCGCCAATTGACAGGCTCTCGGAGAAGGAGGTTGAAGACCGTTTAGATGCTCTTCTCCAGTCACGAGCTTCTTACAAGAACCTCCCACCGCTAGAAGCATACCCCTCTCCGGAGTCACGAACGTTGAAGCCGGGGAGTATACCGGAGTACGTTGCAAAGTACGCTCCACTTGTTTTCCTCTACTCGGAAGAAAAGTACTTACCATACGACATTGAAGAGTATGTCTCACATTTTCGCCCCACATGGAGAAACGGTACAGTGATAGATTTACCGGGGAAAGACCGAAACGATCCACTTTACAAAAACCAGGTCTTGCATTTGTCAGATTTGGAAAACCTACCTCAGTCAACACACGAGGAGTTGGTTTTCCTGTCATCACTATCAGATTTTGACGTGGACCCAGAGTGGATAACGGGGGTGCACAACAAGCCAAACTACTACAACGGAGAAATAAAGGACGCACCCGTGACCCTCATAGTGACCGACAAGGGAAAAGGGTGGGTTGACGCATACTGGTTCTTTTTCTACTCATTCAATCTCGGACCGTTTGTCATGGGGTTTGGGCCATTCGGAGACCACATAGGGGACTGGGAGCATTGCTTGGTGCGTTTTTATAAAGGGGAGCCGGTGATAATATGGATGTCTGCACACGGAGGAGGAGGTGCATATTTTTACGATCACATGGAGAAGGAGACCCTGGACTCTTCTGGAATTGCCGTTGGCAACGGGGTGCAGCCCGTGATCTTTTCTGCCCGTGGGACGCACGCCAACTATCCAAGCACCGGCCAACATAGCCACGATCTTCCCTATTCGATTTTGAGCGACTTTACTGACCGGGGAGGTCTTTGGAACACTGCGTTGAACTACCTTGCTTACACCTATACCCCTGCCGATGACAACCTTTCAGGAGAGGCGGCGGGCATGGAGCTCAGTCTTGCAAACGGGTCGCATCCCTTCCGGGAGTCCAAGTACGGGAAGTGGCTAGAGTACAATGGTGCGTGGGGGGACCCGAAGCTCGAGCCGGAGGACCCACGGCAGCACTGGTCGCCCTTCGAGTGGAAGTACATCGACGGCCCGACGGGCCCGTTGACGAAGAACCTTGTGCGCACGAGTCCGTGCCAGCGGGCCAAGTGGTGGAACTTCTGGAACGGGTGCAACGTGCGGAGATACATCCAGTACGGGCAAGGCGTGTTTGACCAGGAGGGCAACAACAGCTGCGGGAGCTTGTACGTGCACTTCAAGAACAAGTGGGTGAGGAAGCTGGTGGAGGTGGTCACCTGGGGCGGGTGGGTGTGTTTCTCGATAGATTTGGTATTTGGGTAAAAAGTTTGCAGTTTGCTATATAGGTCTTTCCTGATACAGTTTGCTCGTCCGTGCGGCGGCACGCTACTTGCCGATGGGCACCACCATCTCCCGGGCAAACTGCTCCCACGTGTCCCAGTAGCCCGGGGCGACGATGGTGTTGTTGTGGTTCGCCTTGAACTCCCGCCAGATCTTGACCACGCTGCGCTGGGAGTCGATCGAGTCGCTCACGGTGTCGTACAACACCTTCATGTGCTCCGGCGGCACGATCTCGTCCTCGCTGCCCGAGAGGAACAAGCAGGGGATCTGCGGGCTCACCAACTTGATGTCCTCCTCGCTGTTCCACACCTCTGTGCACAACCAGCTCACGGGCGAGAGCACGGGGAACACGTGCGGCACCACCTTGGGGATGCTCAGAAACGTGTTTTCGAGAATCAGCCCGGCGATCTGGTGGCCGTACCGGGCCGCAATGTAGATGGCCACCGCCCCGCCTAGCGACCGGCCGTAGGGGATCACCGAGCTCTGCGACAACTGGTTGTTCGACGTGATGTACCGCATCACCGCGTCCGCGTCCCGCTTCAACCCGTCCTCGGACGGCGTCCCCGTCGAATGCCCGTACCCGCGGTACGAGTAGATCAACACGTTGTACCTCATGTTCTCGTAGATGTGGTGTACCACGGGCAGAAACAGCCCGATGTTCCCTGCGTTGGGCGACAACACCAAGATCGTCTTGTTCGTGTACGCCGGGTCCTTGCGCTCGTGCAGCAGCAGAAACGCCTGCAACTGCTCCCCGTCGTCCGTCTCGATCGTCACCGCCTCGTACGCCAGCTGGTACTTCGCCGGCGTGTCCACCACCTTCCTTGCGTTGTTCAGTGTCGACGGGTACACCAGCTTGCGCTGGAACACGTACAACGCCGCCAACGACAGCACCGATATCGACGACACAAGCAAGATCCCCGAGCTCAGCACGTAGTGCGACAGGTTGAGCAGCGTGGATACCGACAGCATGCTTGCTGCTCCATCGCTCTTCAGCACCCGGGTCCCTCCCCCCGTCCACGGCCCCGTCTGCCGCTCCTTGGTCCTCAAACATCCTTCTGTCTGCCTGCTACCAGCCCGAGTTGCAAGTGTCCGACACCCAGTCGTCGGGAGAAGAGGGCGGCACACGCGCGGGCACACGCGCGGGGGCTGTTTTGCCGAGAAAAACGATGGTGGGCGGGTTGTTGACGTTTCGAGCCGTGGTCGTCTTTGTTTGTTTTGTTTGTGTTGTTTGTGTTGTTTGTGTTGTTGATTGTTGTGCGTGGTGCTGTGGTGCTGTGCCAAACGCCGTCTCTCCACACACACACACACACACACACACACCCCACACTCGCTACAGATGCTCTCGCTCAACACTCTCGGGACCAGCCTCCTGTGTCTGGCCGCCTTCCTGGACCCGGCTGCGGCGTTGCTTCCGATCACGCTCAAGGGCAACCGGTTCATCCGCCCCAGCACCAACTCTACAGACGGGTCGGTGTTCTTTGTGAACGGCGTGGACTACCAGCCGGGCGGCTCGTCCGCCTACACGTACAACATGACGTCGGACGTGCTCACAGACCCAGAGGTGTGTGCGCGAGACGCCACGGTGCTCCAGAACCTGGGCGTCAACACGATCCGGATCTACACAATCGACCCGGACTTGAACCACGACGAGTGCATGTCGATCTTCAACAGCGCCGGCATCTACGTGATTCTCGACGTCAACTCGCCGCTCGGCGGCGAGAGCTTGAACAGAGACGACCCGGAGAGCTCGTACAACGCCTACTACATGAGCCGTGTTTTCCGCGTCATCGAGAGCTTCAGGTCGTACTCGAACGTCATCGGCTTCTTCGTCGGCAACGAGGTGATCAACGACGAGCCCTCCGCCGGCAAGGACCCGAAGTTCTTGCGCGCGGTCACCAGAGACACCAAGCAGTACATCCAGAACCGGCTGGCGGACGACGACGACGCCCGGGAGATCTACGTCGGCTACTCCGCCGCGGACGTGGTTTCGTTGAGAATGCCGACGTTCGAGTACCTCACCTGCGCCATCAACGGCAACGACAGCGACGTCTCCAGCATCGACTTTTTCGGCTTGAACTCGTACGAGTGGTGCTCCGGCTCCAGCGACTGGCAGTCCTCGGGCTACTCGAAGCTCGTGTCCGGCTTCGAGAACTCGTCCGTGCCGGTGTTCTTCTCCGAGTACGGCTGCAACAAGAACTCGCCGCGTACCTTCGACGAGGTCAGCGGCGGGATCTACAACGACAAGCTCATCGACATTCTTGACGGAGGCCTCGTCTACGAGTACTCGCAGGAGACCGCCAACTACGGCCTGGTGGACATCTCCGACGACGACGACTCGGTGACTCTTTTGCAGGACTTTTTCAACTTCCAGAAGCAGCTTGCAAAGGCCCAGATTCCAACCATCAACGAGACCGAGGTTGTCGACGTCCCCGCTCTCGAGTGCAACGCCTCGCTTATCCAGAGCTACGACAAGTCCTTCAGCGCAAACTTCACCTTACCGGAGGCCAACAAAGACATCAAGTGGATGATCGACAACGGTGTCGGCGTCAGCTACAAGGGCAAGTTTGTCGACGTCGACCAGTATCTCAACCCTTACGTTTCCGGCGGCTCGAAGGCCTCCAATGTCACCAAGTACGACTTCTCTGTCTCTACTGCTTCGGCCGCATCGGAGACCTCGATTTATCTCACGGTGAACAAGAGTGACTTAATCAACTCCGTGTCCACCACAAAGAAGTCCTCCTCCCACTCTGCTCCCCAATCGTTGTCCCGTGCCGTGTCGAGTTCGGCAGTCTCCTCCGCGAAGGCGATCTCCACCTCGGCCTCTGTCTCGTCAATCAGCTCCCACTCTTCTCACAAGAACGAAGTCGGAAAGCTCGAAGCCGGCAGATGGACCGCAGGACTCTTTGGCCTCGTCCTGGCCTTGATCTGAACCCTCCTCTTTTTGCCACTTTTACTTCTACACCTTCTGTTTTCTTTCGTTACATTACTGACGCTAATCTTTAGCCACCATTTCTCTTTTCCAACGTTACACTTTCCGATCTTTCTGTAGTACTAATATCGAAATACAATACACTACACACACTACACCCGCTACTGTCTAACCGCTTACGTAAACAGTTTCTCCCCAGAACCGATTTTCCTCCGCGGAGAAGGAACCACGTAACATCATCAGCATCTATCTTCATCAACCTCATCAATACCGTCACCATCTTCGGCATCGTGTGTGGCAATTCCGGGAAGGAGACTTGCATACTTTTTTACACCGAGTCACGAATAACACATCACAAACAGGATGACTAAAGCTTACGAGACAACAGTGTACGCGTTGGCAATCTCAGCCATCTATTTTGCGCTGTGGGTGGGTGTTTTCCCTACTCCAGCCGTTTTCCAGAACGAGGTTCTTCCGGTCGTGCCATGGTGGGCGCTAGTATCCTTTGGATGCTACACGCTGTTCAGTCTCGGGTACGGCGTGTACACCTTGCAGGACAAGAAAGACAAATACGTGGAATTGACGGAGCAGATCAAGGAGGCCAAGACGTTTTTGAAGGCCAAAGGTGTTGACGTTAATTAGGCCCATGTACTCTGTATAGAATAAAATGTTTATCTGCAAAATACACAAGATGAAAGGATGAATAAAGGAGGGAAAAAAGAGAAACGGAGCGTAGCGCCATCGAGGCGGACCCGACGGGGCCGCCGGACCGGCTCGTGCTTGTATGTATGTCTAAGGGTCCCGGCACTAAACCGTGGCGGAAGAGTGGTCGGAGGGCTTGAGCGGCTGCTCGACGGAGGTGGCATGGGAGGCCTTGTCCATGGACTTCTCCCACTTGTTCTTGCGCTGCTCCTTCTTCTTCTTCTCGAACATGGCAAAAACCTGGAGCCCGACAGGCATGCCCTTGACCTCGTCCGGGTCGTCCATCTTGCCTTTGTTCTTCTCGATGTGTGCCCGGAGGTCTGAAGAGACGAACTTGGCGTCCAGGATCCGGGGAGGCAGCTCCCAGTCGCGTGGCCACACCTCCACCTTGCCCTTGGCGCCCAACCCGCCCTGGTCGTTCTGCGCCATCAACCGGCGGGCGGCCTGCAGTCGCTTGTGTCGCCACTCCTCAAGGTCCTCGTTGAACAACTCCCACACGCAGTTGACGCATCCGCTCATGCAGCAGTTGTCCGGGTCGATAGGCCGGGCAGGCACCTTGACGCCGGCAATGAGCTTGTGCTTGTTTCTGTACGACAAGTCTCGACGGGACGACTGTGTGGCCGTCTTGGACGACCCCCCGAACACCTGTTCAAAGCTGGGAGCCTTGGTTCCGGCCCTCGGGTCGAACACATGCGACTTCGTGTCCGACGCCCCGGCGACCGTGTCCTCGGGCCGCATGTGCACGTCCTCCCTCTGCTCTAGTCTGGCTCTCTGTCTTGCAATGTAGTATGCGTCCGTGCGGACGATGTTCAGGTCCGCAATGGCAACCACGGCGTCGTAGTACGCGTATCTGCCAAACGCATACACTCCGATCTTGCTCGGGGTCTGTGTTGGCACAGCGGAGTAGCATCGCTGTGGGGCAGCCTGGGGGATTCGACGACAGAGTCCTCTGATGTGTGCTGTCTTCATTTCCGGTGTGCGGTGTGTGCTTGTTCTCCTCTATCGTCTGTGGCTTGTCTGTGGCTTGTCTGTGGGCCCTGGCGGCGGCAGAACACGTCGTGGCCAGAGGAGAAGAGCATCTGATATGGACTGTGCACAGATCCGGGAGAGGAAGACGAGGCTTCTCGGGGAGAGGGTGTGAAAAAGAAGGAAAGGCGGGGAGAGGTGAGAAGTGGGAGGTGAAGGAGCCGGGGACGGGCCGGGGACGGACCGACGGCCACGCTACTTGGGGGTGGGGTGTCTGCAACGTAGACAACAGCCTCTACAATGTCCACATCTGCCGTCCGAAGCACCGACGTGGGCGGCGGCCCGTTGTGTCGGCCCGGAAGACGGCCGCAGCTTTGCGGCAGGTCGTCGTTGTCCTGGCGGGTGGTGGCGGCTCCTGGGGCAAGCCGTCTTCCGAAGTATCCTGGCAAACAGCGATCGGAGAGCAGGCCACAGGCGTGCAGTGGCCGCTGGCCCACGTCATGTAGCCGCCGCCGTCGTAACCGACCCGTCACGAAGCCCGCTGGCCGCTGGCCGGCGGTGCAGATCGGTGCCTCATTTTTCATGTAGCGAGCCCGCTCGCCCTCTCCGTCGGTGGCTCTGACAGTGTCTGGAGGCGACGAAGAGAAGGGCAGAAGAGGAGGAGAAAGCGTAGGAGGAGCAGGAAGTGCTGGTCATTGAGGCATAAGCCAGAGAAGCAGAGAACAGGACAGAAAAGCATCGCAATGATAATCCGTTTCAGATCAAAAGACGGCCAGTACCGGTTGAGTTGCGAGGGCGACACTCCATTCCAGGACGTGCTCAGCGAGCTTGTGCTCACGAAGCTTCCGCCAATGGACCCGCAGACGCTGTCGGTGACGATGCCTGGGCCGGACGGCGGGGAGAGAAGCGCCGGGGAGGTTGGGACGCAGACCGTGGATGGCCTCGGGTTGAAGAACGGCGACATGCTGATGTTGAAGTACACGGCGTCGAGCGGCAACGAGGGCGGGGGCCAGAGCATCTCGGGCAAGGGCAGTGTCCCCGAGAGCGTCGGCATCAGCAAGGTGATTGACGGGTCGGCGGCGTCGACGTCAGCACGGGCAGCTGCCAAACAGTCGGCGCTCGACGACGAGCTCGACAGGGACCCGGGCCTCATTCCGAGGAAGCGGGGCCCGCTCTGCAAGCACACGGACAAGGGCATGTGTGAGTACTGCTCGCCGCTGCCGCCGTGGGACCGGGAGTACCAGGCGGACCACAACATCAAGCACCTGTCGTTCCACGCGTACGTGGACGAGCTGAACGCGAAGGTGAACAAGAAGGAGGGCGGGTCGAGCTACATCCCGCCGTTGAAGCCGTCGGACTTCGCCATCAACAGGAGGTGCCCCGCGGGACACGAGCCGTGGCCGAAGGGCATCTGCTCCAAGTGCCAGCCGTCGGCCATCACGTTGCAGCGCCAGGAGTTCCGCATGGTGGACCACGTGGAGTTCGAGAACAGCGGCATGGTGAACAACTTCATCAACGCGTGGCGGCTGAGCGGAGTCCAGCGGGTGGGCCTGCTGCTGGGCCGCTACGCCCGCTACGACAAGATCCCGCTCGGCATCAAGGTGCAGGTGGAGGCCATCTACGAGTTCCCGCAGGTGGACCGCGAGGACGGGCTCGTGCTGCAGCAGTGGGACGACGAGCACCAGGTGGAGGCCCTTGCCGACGAGCTCGGGCTCCAGCCCGTCGGCGTCATCTTCTCGGACTTGTCCGACGCCGGCCGCGGCGACGGCAGCGTCATCTGCAAGCGCCACCTCCGCTCCTTCTTCCTCTCTTCGCTGGAGATCCTTTTTGCCGTCCACTGGCAGCTCAAGTACCGCAACCGCTGCAAGTGGAGCGAGACCGGCGCCTTCTCCAGCAAGTTCGTCACCTGCGTCGTCAGCGGCAACAGCAGCGGCAAGATCGACATCAACGCCTACCAGGCCGCCGAGTCTGCCGAGGCCCTCGTCACCGCCGACCTTGTCTGCGCCTCCACCCACCCGGACCAGATGTTCATCAAGCCCGCCACTCCCGACCGCTACGTTCCGGACATCTTCTACCAGAAGATCAACGAGTACGGGCTCCAGGTCAAGCACAATGCCAAGCCCTCCTTCCCTGTCGAGTTCCTCCTCGTGTCCCTCACCCACGGCTTCCCGGAGAAGGACACCGGTCTCTTCCGCACCACCGACGCCACCGCCCTTGCTCCCTCCGCCTTCCCCGTCGAGAACAGAGAGTACCTGGGCGACCACGCCGACCTCCGCACTCTCCAAACCTATTTCTCCTGCTTCCACACCCCGTCCAACACCGACCCGGACACCTTTCTTGCCGAACTCAGCAGTTTCCATGTCTTGTTCTTTCTCTTCTGTGCCAACTCCGTGCTCTCGGATGCTGACCGCCGTGTGGCGGTGCGCGCCGTCCGCACCCAGGACCCTGCGGTGGCGGTGCAGCTTCTCGACAGCGACGGCTTCAAGACGTTGCAGACCCTCTGTCGCATGGCCTAGCGGCGCCACCCAACAGAAACGCGGTCGATCGACCTTGCGGTCGATCGACCTTTCGGTTGTTTTCCGTCGATCGACCGCAGAAAGGAAAAAAAAGGAGGTGGCCGCTGCTCCAGCGACGCGTCGGTCGGATGCAGGAAAGGGAACGTTCTGGAACAAACGAGGAAAAATTTTACCAGCGACCCCGGGCGCCGGGCAGGAGACGTGCCCAGAGCGTACTTATAGGACGGCAGGGACATTCGTACAGTGATGACATGTGTAGTTTGAGAATTGTGTAGGGTTAGATAGAGAGACAGAGACAGAGTTAGTCAGCCACAGCAGCTAGTCAGTCAGTCAAGAAACACAGAACAGCAGCATAGAAAATGTCCACTCCATTTGGTGTCGATTTAGGAAACAACAACTCTGTCATTGCGGTGGCAAGAAACAGAGGTATTGACGTTGTCGTCAACGAGGTGTCGAACAGAGCCACGCCCTCGGTTGTCGGGTTCGGAATGAAGAACAGGGCGATCGGCGAGACCGGTAAGAACCAGCAGACGTCGAACTTGAAGAACACGGTCACAGGGTTGAAGAGACTGTTGGGGTTGTCCACCGAGTCGCCAGACTTGCAGGTCGAACAGGCGTTCTCCACGGTGCCATTGGTGGGCAAGGAGGGCCAGGCGTGCGCCAAGGTCAGATTCCAGGGCGAGCAGCAGGAGTTCACGTCCGTGCAGCTGGTGGCCATGTACTTGAACAAGTTGAAAGACAACACCGAGAGAGAAACCAAGTCCACTGTGAAGGACATCTGTCTCGCTGTCCCAGTCTGGTACACAGAGGCGCAGAGAAGAGCCGCCGCCGACGCGTGCAAGATCGCCGGCCTCAACCCGGTCAGAATCGTCAACGAGGTCACCGCCGCCGCCGTGGGTTACGGCGTCTTCAAGACCGACTTGCCAGAGTCGGACCCCAAGAAGGTTGCCTTCATCGACATCGGCCACTCCAGTTACACCTGTACCGTTGCCGCCATCAAGATGGGCGAGATGAAGGTCCTCGGTACCGGCTACGACAAGCACTTTGGTGGTAGAGACTTTGACAAGGCCATCACCGAGCACTTTGCCGACGAGTTCAAGGAGAAGTACAAGATCGACATCAGATCCAACGCCAAGGCCTACTCCAGAGTCTTGGCCGCCTCCGAGAAGTTGAAGAAGGTCTTGTCCGCCAACTCCGCCGCCCCAATCAACATCGAGTCCGTTATGAACGACGTCGACGTCTCTTCCCAGATGACCAGAGAAGACTTGGAGGAGTTGGTCCAGCCCCTCCTCAAGAGAGCAGCCAACCCTGTGCACGAAGCGCTCAAGATGGCCGGCCTCACCACCGAGGAAGTCGACTCCATCGAGTTGATCGGTGGTACCTCTAGAATCCCATGTTTGAAGAACACCATCACCGAGATCTTCGGCAAGCCTTTCTCCACCACCTTGAACCAGGACGAATCCATCGCCAAGGGTGCCGCCTTCATTTGCGCCATGCACTCTCCAACTTTGAGAGTCAAGCCTTTCAAGTTCGAAGACATCAACCTACACTCCGTCACCTACTTCTGGGAACAAGGTAGCGAGGACACAGACCACCTGGAAGTCTTCCAAAAGGGCGCCTCTTACCCATCCACTAAGATCATCACTCTTTACAGAACCAAGGACTTCGAGGTCGATGCTAAATACACCCACCCTGAGGACTTGCCTCCTGCAACCAACACCCTGATTGCCAAGTGGTCTGTCTCAGGTGTCGAAGTCCCAGAAAACGAGGAATCAGCCACCTGTAAGTTAAAGGTCAGACAAGACCCATCAGGCTTCTACACCATTGAAGAATCATACATTGTTGCAGAAAAGGAATTCAAGGAGATTGTTGAACAGCCAGAACCAGAAAAGAAGGAAGAAGCCGCAGAAGGTGAAGAGGGTGAAGAAGAAGAAGCAGCAAAGGAACCAGAATACAAGATTGTCAAGAAGCTTGTCAAGGTCAAGGACTTGAACGTTCAATATTTCGGCCCAACCCTCACCAAGACCATCCTCGACGAATTCCACGAAAAGGAGTTCAAGATGATCGCTGACGACAAGCTTGTTGCAGAAACCGAAGAAAGAAAGAATGCTCTTGAAGAATACATCTACACTTTGAGAGGTAAATTAGAAGAAGAGTACAAGGACTTTGCTAGCCCAGAAGAAAAGGAGAAGTTGTCCAAGATGTTGATGGACACCGAAGAATGGTTATACGACGAAGGTTACGACTCCACCAAGGGCAAGTACGTTGCCAAGTACGAAGAGTTGGCATCCATTGGTAACCTTATCAAGGGCAGATACAACGCCAAGCAGGCCGAGTTGAAGCAAAAGAAGAACGAAAAGAAGGAAGCAGCAGCTGCTGCAGACATCTTCGCTAAGATCGCTGCCAACAGAAAGAAGGATGGTGATGGTGATTCCGAAATGAAATAGATGTGCCTAACTCCCATATCTATGAGTTAATTTCTCAGATCATCCGTTTTTATTGCCATCGTTTGAAGTGAAATGTTTCTTTTTCTATATACAGTATATATTTATATACCTACATATTCCTGTCGTATATTCGGTATCCTTTTGTTACTCTGCACACCATTGCGCTGTACTTAAACCATTCTGATCTATATAATAATGCACTTTAATATTAAGCTCTGGGATATCGGAGAAGAATTAAGATCAGTACATCGACATGCGTGGCTGACGAGCCAGCAATCGATCGCTCCGCTTTTTTTCCCTGCTCCAAATACTCGCTCCGCCGAAGACAGCCTATACTGGAAGTGGTCTTCGCATGTTTGGCCCAACCTGTTGCTCTGAATGCAGAGTATTTCTGCAAACTATAGATCCTGGTGGTGCCAACTTTGAGCGAGAGCCGCAACACTACAGGAACATCCGTACTTCTTGCACACGATACCAGAGGACAGTGGTGCAGAAGCGAATTGAACCTCCCACTATCGTATCAGCCGAGTGACAGATAAGATTTGCACATTTTTTTCATCTCCTCTCATTTAGCATTTGACGATGCCGTCAAGCAACAGTGGTTCGAACTACACCAGTAATGATAACATCCACGATGAAAAGATACGGCATGCTGTTGAAGCTTCTCCGAACATCCTCACTCATGACACAGAGTTCGATAAGTTGAGGAGGCAAGAGCAACTGCCTCATCATTCACAACCTGCCTCATCGAAACTTTCATTGGCACTGCAAAAACAGCAGAAATCAAACCCCGGTTCATTGAACACTTCGGTAATAAACAGGGATGAGAGCCTTATAAATGCCGAGGTCGAGCGGAAGTTGACTATTCCAGATGCTTCATCTTTTACCGATTCCTCCAGTTCCAATTCCAAGTCCAGTACTTTATCCCATCAGAATCCAAATCACCAGACTCTAGCACGGTCGATAACGAGTACAGATGCCAAGGGCAAGAAAAACCATGGTTTGAGTGTGTTGACGTCGATCAACGAACCGTTTGCTGAAGTCAGTGAAGAAATGGTACACTCGGATGTAGTAGGCTCTAATGTCGTTACTATAACGGAGACCAAGATTCTAAAGCAAACATTGAAAAACAACCTACTACATGATGCAGACAGTCCAGATGTCAACAGAAGACGAAATACATCGGGGTCGGAACATTTCAATACTCATAGAGAGTTAATCAATGACATTAATGGGGACACTCACAGAAACGATTTCTATGATATGGACACAGACAAGAAAAAAGACATGGACGATGAAGAAGAAGAAGATACCGATGATGAGGATCTCAACGAGCAAGACCTCCACGTTGTGGACTTTTCACTGATAGAAGACGACGAAGACGACGATGAAATAGACCCAAACAATAGAGGAGTGAAAGAAGCAGAAGAAGATTTAAGCGAATACAAAGAAGGAGGATACCATCCGGCATACATTGGAGAAACCTATAAGAACGGAAGATATATATTAGTAAGGAAATTAGGATGGGGTCATTTTTCAACGGTTTGGCTTGCAAAGGATACTTTGAACAACGTTCATGTGGCTATGAAAGTGGTAAGAAGCGCACAAGGGTATAGAGAAACTGCAGTGGATGAAATCAAACTTTTAACAAAGATAAATATAACCGACGAAGAGCATCCTGGTCATCAATATCTCATCAAGTTGATAGATTACTTTGACCACAAAGGTTGTAACGGTACCCATATCTGTATTGTGTTTGAAGTTTTGGGAGAGAACTTGCTAGGTTTGATAAGACGTTACAAACACAAGGGACTCCCGATCAAATTTGTCAAGCAGATAGCCAAGGAAATTCTACTGGCAATCGACTTTTTACATAGAAAATGTGGTATCATTCATACAGATATCAAGCCTGAAAACATCTTGATCGGCATTTACGAAGTCGAAGCTTTGTTAAATTACCTTGAAGAGACACAATGGGAACGCCACATATTGAAGAAGATATCTAGCAGAATTTTGAGCAACGGAAATGGTAGTATCGACACCAAAAGTTTGACTAACTTAGCGAAGGCAAGAAATGCGTCCTATGGTAAAACACGATATGGTAAGAGAAGGGCAAACACAATTGTCACCGATTCCCAGCCTTTACCATCTCCATTACGGTCACATTCCAACTCTTTTTTTAATTCGCCATTGAGCAGATCACTGAACAATAACAATTCTGCAAATACCGACGAAAACCAACAAAATATCCCAATCCCCCTGTCTGCTTCGTCGAATCTTAATAGCGGCAGCATAGCTCGCTCGAGCTCATTCACCTCGTCTGAATTGCCGAGCCGCATGTCATACAAAGATATTCAGTCGATTATGGATAAACAAAATGAGACAGAGAAAAGTCTATTTGATTATGTTCCACCAAGTGCAGACGAAATCGTCGATGACGATGTTATTAGAGTCAAGATTGCAGATTTAGGGAATGCATGTTGGACCTTCAAGCATTTTACTAACGACATCCAGACAAGACAATATCGATCTCCCGAGGTCATCCTAGGAGCCGACTGGGGCTGCTCTGCAGATATATGGTCCATCGGATGCCTGATTTTTGAGCTTTTGACAGGTGATTTCCTGTTTGAACCAACAGTAGGTCAATCATTCAGTAAAAATGATGACCACTTGGCCCAGATCATGGAACTTTTGGGACCAATCCCTGAAGAGCTAGTTAAGTCCTCACATTATGGTAGACGCTATTTCCATTCAAACCTTCGTACGCTTCGCAAAATCCAGAATTTGAAGCCATGGCCGCTTGAAAGTGTTTTGCTAGAAAAATACAAATTCAGTGAACAGGATAGTTTGGAGGTTGCAGATTTTCTCAAGGGTATGCTAGTTCTTGACCCCAAGAGACGCATGGACGCTGCTGGTTTATCCAACCACTACTGGCTCAACGATGCCAACGTTGAAGGTCATATAGATAGAGAGGTAGGTACGAGAGGTGAAGATATAGGAGAGGGCTGGTATCGGGAGATCTCCAAAGTTTAGAGTTAGGAGGATAACTTACCATTACACTGTTACTATAGTTTTTTTTTCCGGTTTTTGTTAGTTGTATTGTCACACTTATATGTGTCATATCATTTGTATAATTATCCCTTTACATTTAATTTACTCGCATCTGGGTAGGTTTATTAGATCGCTTTTCCGTAATACGCGGTGCTGGTGATGAAAAAGTTCACAATTTTTTAGACTTAAGAACCAGTTATAAGGGTGAATGTGGAGAGTTGTCCGGGTTACATCGAGGTTACTTGTCACCAAGGTTACCTGTCACAGATGCCGGAGGCTGTGAATAGATACAGCGATGAGTTGTTGGAAGCGCTTGCAGTTTCCTTGAGGAATGAGACCAAAAGGCGCACGATTGCAAAGTATGAGGTCGAAAATGTATATCGCCATTTGATGAAAAATCAACCTATTCAAAATAATGCCCAATTGACTACTAGCATCTTGTCACTAAAAGTACTTTCCAACTTTGTAGCAGATGTTCCAGAAAATGCAGCCTTTCTAGTTGTGATGATTCAAGACTCAATACCAATAGTTCCGTTTAACATTGTACAGTTTCTAAGTAAGGAATCTGATGTGAAGGAGATCTCTTTATTCGCAAACGTTCAATTGATCCTTTTAAACAATATTCTAACTACATCTAAGGAAGCTTTTTCAAAGGAAGCATGCAATTTGGTTCTGGATAGGATTTTAAATCTTTTCACCTTGTGTGAAACCTCAAACATTGATATTGATAGCGATTCGATAATTGAAATCCTAGACGAATTTGAGTCAATTGTGGGAAAGGTTACCATTTCAAAGTTTTCCATAATACGAGATTTATGTCGGTGCATTAATGATAATGCGAAGGCGGTCGGCGATGACTTGATTTTCTCGTCATCTAAAGTTTGTCTGAAATATTCTTGCAATTTAGATCTCTCTGATGTCACGGTTGCAGAGAAGGAAAAGTTTTTTTTTGACCTTTATGATGACTTGAGAAGCACGGACGATGAACAGATTCTTTTGAACGTCTCTTACGAATTTAGGATAGGTTCTGAATCTTTTTTTCAAAGGCTACTTGATGCATTCTTCGATCTGAGAGGTGAACTAAAAATCAGCACGCACATTCCTATGGCATTGATCATAATTGCTAATGAAATAACGTCTGAAAATATTATGAAGATGTTCTTGGAGAAGGTTTCTGTGGAGAAATTGATCGAAATTTATTTTGCTCAAATTTACCCCCAACTGAACTTGCAGCTGCCATGGGAGCTACAAAGCATAGCTTTATTCAACAAGCTTCCAATAAATCAAATCGAAATATCAGGTGCTGCATTAGGTAGTTATATTACCAAATTGAGCTCTTTAATTGGATACACTACACTACAGATTCGACTGGACGTTGTGAGTTTGCAGGTGGTATTTTTGGGGAAAATTCTAGCTCAGACCAAGGAAATTGCTCAAAAGAACTCCATTTTGGCGTTCTTAAGAGATATTAAGTTGTTTAATGAGTTTGATAATTTCCCTGCTGGATTCAAGCAAAGTTTAAACCAGGTGTACTTCCCGTTCTTAATTTCTCATAAAAGTTCACCAGAGGAAGCAAGTGATGTTTTGCGCATCTCACTAACTGAAGCGAAAGAGATTTTACAAAAGTCACTTGTAGCTCAGACAGGCGTGCAAATCAAGTACTTGATAGAGCTGAGTCAAGTATTAGGTTTTTATGTGCAAATATATGCAAAAGAAGGATGGTTCCAAGAATCGTTCGGCATCCTCAAGGAGTCTGTAGAAGGTGCTCAGAAACAACTGGAGCAGGAAAATAGGGAACAGGGTAAGTATGAGCAAGTAGCATGGCAAGTACTTGAGGACAATATCAAATATACCGACGTGCTGCTAAAGCAGGGTTTGGGAATACAATAAATACATTTGCTGTAGTCGTTACTCGGTATATATTGGTCTATAAAAAGGCGTAGAGAATAAGTATTCCTATTTGAAAGTCGTAGAGGAGAGGAGGGGAAGAAAGAGGGGAAGAATATGTCAATGGTAGTGGTAACGCAAGAGTAGAAAAACGGAGTGTATCTCAAATATGAATAAATTAGTGTGTAGAGGGGCAAGGCGTTGCTGCTCAGTTCATCTTGACACGCTTTCTCCTGACCTCGACCAAGAAGCCATATCTGACGATTTCGTACTGGTCGGCTTCGCCTCTCATGTAGGTCGTCAGAATCATGTTATAAAGCACGAAGTAGTAGATACCCAAGCCGGTAAAAACGTGCCACCAGCCATGTCCTTCAAGAAGGATACCGAGGGGCATACCGAGATAGGAGCGTCTCCAATTTATTAGTGTTTTGCAGAAGATGTTGTCCAAGTTCCAGATGAAAAAGCCAAAGATGAACAAGGAGAAGGCGAGGATCAACAACTTGTACTGCCTGCGTCTGACCTGCGGGTCTGGAATGCACTCCTGGGTGGTTTTCACGGTTTTGTAGATGACGCCGAAGTTCAAGATAGCGTAGAACGCCTGGTGGAAGACGGGGTTTCTGTATACGTAGATGTAGATGTACGTGAAGAGCGAAGTGACGAGGAAGGTGCCGACGTTGGCGAGCAGGTGCCACGGCTCTGGCCTGTTCCAGCCCCAGATGTAGCCGAAGGGGATGGCGGTGACCCAGACCATGGGCAACTCGTCCATGAGCTGGTGCTCGTACCAGAGGGTGGAGTGGAACATGAAGCTGCCTACTCCGACGGAGGCAAAGCCCAGCGATATGAAGATGTACAGGAGGCCGTGGCCGTTCTTGAAAGTGGAGTAGATGTGGTGGGTGGCTAGGAGTATAAACCCGACGTTGGTGAGGGAGTTGACTATTTCTGCAATGTATGGGGAGAACAAATAGTTCTCCTCACACCAGTCGATCGTGGCAGAAGGGGGTCCCCAATAAGGCTCGAAAGCGGTGGTGGGGTAGGAGAAGCCGAACATTGTGTGAGTGTGAGTGTGTGTGGTTCAATGATGGCAACAGCGAGTCCGGACTTCACAGGAGCAGTGTCTGAAACAGCCCAAAACAAGCTGCTCGGGCATGAGGAGGGCCTGTAGGGGCCCGAGACAGGGTTGAGGTGGGCTTATTCGGAACAAACATGTTGCAGATTCCCCCGTTTGGCGGTTTCCACATTTGACGGCCCACGAGGGGTGAAGACGGCAAAGCAGACTCGTGCACGTGACCAAATTGCACGTGACATGTCACGTGCATCTTCCTTACTGTTGTCACGTGAGGACACCCACTTTTTCTGTTGCTATGGGCAGAAAACAAGGGAGAAAAAAAAAAGCAGTTTTCCCGAATGCGGGACTAGTAGACGAAGGGGTTAGTGGGACGGCTTGCCGCGGAGACGCAGGCGCATGCACAAAGAGATTCAAGCTAATGGCGGAAAGCGGTGAGGTGGTGCGGCCGCTGTGCCGATCCCGCCGGCGCGGTAGCAGCGCTCGGCCCGGAGCACTATGTCTCGGTAGTATGGCATGCGTCGCGCTGAGGGCGGCAGCTGCAAGCTCTTCCAAAAAGGCGGCCCAATAAGGGCGAGTTATAGCCGAAGGATTGTGCATGTGCCGCTAAATGTTGGGTGTGTGTAGGAGGTGGAATTATTGCACTATAGTGGCGGGGACAAATATACTCGGGAGCTTACACAGGGGGTTAGACCCGGAGGATGGGGCCGCTGTTGGCGGGGCTAAGTGGAGGGAGATGGCTGGAGATAAGTGGATCTAGGCGGCTTAAAAGCGAGGGCGGGGTCCAGAAAGCAAACAGAAGCGTGCGGGCGATCTAAGCACGCTCCGTTTTGGGGGTGGGCGGGGGAGAAGTCAATGGGAGTGTGGACAATAGTATTGGGGAAGGGAGCCCCGGGCAACAGTGACCGTGGCAAGCGGGAGGCAGGGAGGCAGGGAGGCGCTGCAGCACATTGCCACTGCGGACCGGCAGGATGTTTTTGCCAGACCTGGCGATCGCAAAGCATTCGCAGATGTCATTGCCTCCGCAGGGGTCTATTTCAACGCAGCGTTGCAGACCTGTCACAGATCCAGCCACGGCGACAACGACGGCGGCGGCAGGTGCTGCCTGTGTTCGCTCTCTCTGCACCCACGGGCATTTTCTGCTGTCACATCAGCCCCGGCCTGAAGCTGACCCCAGCACCAGTCTAGACTACACGCTCATGCGGAATTGCCTTTTAAAGTGATCCCCTTACCCCGCGAGGCGGGCCGAAATGCAAAACCGGGCCGATCTGCCTGGCAACAATAGGCGCTATTCAGCGCCCGTCGTGTCGCGAGGCACTACTGCGCCAGCGCTACCGCGTGTGCTTACAGCTGCAGATACATATTGTTCCGATGCGCTGCACTGCGGGCTAAATTGAGAAATGGCGGCATGCGGGCGGGCCGGACCGGTCTGTGTTACCTAATTCTGCTGAACTATCCAAGTTCTATATACGGCGGGCGGTGCTACACCCTACTAACTATACTGCTCGAGCGGTCTACGCCCTGCTATTTTTTCTGCTGTTCGGCTCTGCTAACCCCATTTTCTGTTCTCCGTACTACTATTTGACCAGCCGAGCGCGAAGAGCAGATTTGTGCAGTTCTCTTTTGCGCCGGTTTTCCTCCTTCATGATGAGTCGCCTCCAACGGAACTGGCATGCATTGATGGTACGTGTGGGGAAATACATGGAGATATCTCTCCAGCCGATTTTCTCCACCTCTTTCAGATGTCGGAGCAGCTCGTCATCCTTCTGCGTCCAAGTTGGGGAGCCAAAGGCCATCCTTCTGGCCTGGGTTGCGGCAGAGCTGTCGATGCTGCTGCTATCCGAGTCGTTGTCGTGGCCGGCGCTGGCAGTAGTGCTGACGCTCGAGTCTGGTATTGGGCCTTCTGTAATGCTGTTGGTCTTAGCATCAAAAAGACGCCGGGTTTGCTTCCGCGTGTTTCCCGAAGCAGAAGGGATCACCGGGATTAGGGGGTGGCGGTACGCCATGCAGCCCGGAATGGGGGTGAGAACAGATAAATCAAACGTCTGCGGAAAGGCTGTGCCGTCGATGTTGCTCTTCTCTTTGTTAGATGCAACTGGAGCCGGGCTAGGAGCACAATACTGCACATGTTGTTGCTGTTGCTGCTGCTGCAGCTGGAGCTGTGGAAAATGTGGCATTTGCGGTAGAGGTGGGAGTGGAGGAGCAACTTGCTTTTTCGTGGCGTAGTGCAATGGAGATAGGGAAGATGGACCGTAGATTCCGGGCGTGCTGGTTTCACTGTTTATAGTGGTGTTAGAGCTATCGATGCTGGCACTGTCGCTGGCGCTGCACGCACTGGCTGTCGTGCTGGAAACGGCACTGACGCTGTCATTAGCTTTGCTGTTGTAGTGGGCTGAAAATTGCGGATGAAAAAACATCTGCTTGGTTGGAGTGCTTAGTGGAACCTGCAGCGTATCTGGCGGCAGAGACTGCACTGCAAGCGGAGGCGGGATTTTCAGGCCCTGGCTGAGATTGTGCGACTCGTATGGCCCACGATTGTCATGCTCTTTGGTCGATAACGGAGAGGAGGTCGAGGATGTCGGAGACGAAGAGGAAGCCATATGATAAGGATGGTGTGGTGGAAACTGCAACTGGAGCTGATGTGGGAGCTGATGTGGGAGCTGAGGCTGGAACTGGTGATGGAATTGATGCTCTGGGTAGGGGTGTGGGTACATCTGATAGGGGTATGGAGACATCGGCGGCATGGAGTACTGGAAAAGAGGGGGGTAGCTCAGTGGCTGCTGCCGTTGCTGGCTTTGCCGTGGGTGTTGCTGCTGCTGGTGTTGATATTGCATCTTCGGCTGGGTTGAGTCACTAGCAGAGAATACGTCTGACAAATACAACGTGGAAAAGGTAGGCTGGAGGCAAGAAAATTGGCAAAATTTTCTTCTGCTTTGCTCTCTTGCCTCTCATCTTCGGGGAAAAAGGATGGCCTTTGTAGGGGAGAGATTCACCTTTATACCGGTGGATAAGGGTCTTCGCTACTGATACTGGTACACATCTGAGACCACAATGGCGGCGTAGCAACATCGGAACATGCAGGCTGTAGCCGCTGCAGCTGCAGCAGAATTTGCAACTTGCAGTGGGTTCATGCAGCCGAATATGGTATCCCGCGTCTGGCTGCAGGAAATTGCAGGGTGTGCGGCGTTACTTGGATCTACTACTGTGCAACGAGAAAACCAGAAAGCGAGACCTGAAAGACAGCAACAGAGCGTCGCAACAGGCGATTGGCAACCGAAAACAGACAGCAGCGCACGACGGCGACTCGAGAGGACCTATCGGAAAGCTGCGATCGACGTTCGCCAAGTACGTCGTCACCGGCGACCTCAAACAGGCAATGCGACATAGTCAAGAACAAAACAATACTCCTCACCGGTAGTCCTAGGCACTCATATGAACACCTACCCACCTGTACGCAAGGACACCCAAAGCCGAATTAGTAGCAAGAAACCCTGCGCCCAGCTGAGTTTCTCGAATCGCTAGTGTCATCGTACCTTCGCCTCCCCTTCTTAGTCGCTCGGTATTGGCGCTTAGAATAACACCACAAAACCGGTACCGTGGTTTTCCTCCTTCCGTCTACGCCGGCCTGCAGCCTCTTTTCCCGGACAAGCGCGGGAACGGCGCTGTCGCCCGCCCGGCAATTGCTTCTGGCGGCGCGCCCGGCCCGCCAAGCAGACACGTTATATGGGGCGGGCACGGGACAGATTTTTTTGCAGATCCTTCTGCTTCTAGGCAACGCTATTGTCCCGCTAAGACCACCAACTAGTTAGTTGTGTTTATGTCCGGATACGGGGGGACAAACTTTATTTGCTGCGCTACCCACGCTACAGATGCTACACAAACTACGCTGCGCTATGTTACGGCCTTGTATTCCCAGGCCCGCAATATTAATCTGTGGGAACAATATAGCTCACGGTAAGTAGAGAGAAGGATCGCCATACCAATTTGCACAAAAACAAACAAACAACATGTTCCTCCTGCACGCCCACGTTTCAAGGACATGACAGCGTTGCCTCCCCTCTCGTTCCCGCCACTACCGTCCCTTGTTGTTTGCACAGTTCCTATTATGACGCTTGTGTCCCACTCCATTCCGCTGCATTCGACTTCCTCGAAGCGATTCCGTACTGTTCTTTCGGGTCGAGTTTCCTTCCGACAGTCATGTGGACACAAATATAAATATCGGTTCCTTCCCCTCCTTGTAGTTCGGTGTGTACAGCCATTTTCCTGTCACTTCACTTCACTTTTCTTTTCCTGCTTCTCTTTCTGTATTCTAAGTCCTCTTAGTGTTCTCTTAGAAGCAACAAAAACCACAGACTTCTTGTTCCCAGCACCTAATGTTCAAGAACATTATTTCACTCGCTTCCATTGCCCTGGCTCTCATCGGTGGCTCTTATGCCGACGATCGTGATGTTTACCGTACCACTGCACAAGGTACCGGTGTCCAAGCCAGCGTCGCCTCCTCCTCTGTCGGTTTCAATGCAAGATTCTTCGACTACCCGGCCGGAGACTTGATCAGATTCAATGACAACAACTGGGTTGCAGACTCTTATTCTGCAGGTCAACCAAGAACCACCACCAACAGTGTCACCGTTCCAAGCTTCTCCTTCCAACATGGTAGTGGTGGCAAGAGCATCTACAACATGTACAACATCAACATGTGGAACGTTGTTGTTGAGTTGAAGGGTTACTTCAAGGCTCCAGAGACAGGTCTTTATACCGTCACCATCAACGAAGCAAACGATGGTGCTTGGATCTGGCTTGGTGCAGGTGCCTTTGACGCCTGCTCTCAAGAATCCTTGGAGAACACTTACGACCAGCTTCTCTTAGGTGTCAGATGTGATGGTGCATACTCCTCCTTCGTCTACCTTGAAGAAGGTAACCTGTACCCAATGAGAACCACATACATTAACATCTACTTTGGCGCCCAATTCCAATTCGAGGTTATCACTCCAAGCGGTGATATCATCACTGATTTCTCCGACACTATTATCAACTTCGACATCAACCAGATCGAATCATGTACTTCTGCTGTCTATGGGGACAATTCCAACAAACAAGCTGTTGTTGGCACTGCTGCTTCTGCTTCCGGTACCGGTCTCTCCACCACTACCGTCACCAACACTTTTGCTGCCACCACCACTATGGTCACCGTCGTAACCACCAACGGTGTTACCCAAACCACCTCCGTCGTTGTCGAACAAGTCTCTGCCGACGCCAAGGCCTTGCCAAACCCAGACAAAGCCGGTGCTACTGCAACTATCACCGGTAGAACCTTAGACAATGCTTACGGCTGCTCCATCAACACCGCTGCCGCTACCGCATGGCCTGGTTTCCACGCCTCCGTCTACAACTACGACGGGTGCTTCGGTTTCCTTGAATCCACCTACTACGCCAACGGCTACACCACCGAAAGCTTGATGGGTACCGGCGCCAACATCACTGCTCCAAACTTCTCTGTCAAGGCATGGTTAGGTAACACCGACACCATCTACGGCGCCCACTTGGACTCCTGGAAGGGTTACGTTGCGCAATTGACCGGTTACATCAAGGCCCAAGAATCTGGTCTCTACCAATTCGCCATTGACTACTCCGACGACGGCTCCATGGTCTGGATCGGCACCAACGACGCTTTCGCCTGCTGCCAACCAGACTCCATTCCATACGACTCTGCAGACGGCGCTTTGTTCTTCGCCAAGGACCAAGAGGCACGTAACGGCTACGTCCACTTGGACGCCGGCTCCTACTACCCAATCAGAGTCGTCCTCGTCAACTGGTACGGTGACTCTGTCATGCAAATGTCCATGATCACCCCAAGCGGTGACTACATCAAGGACGACTGGTCCGACTTTATCGTTTCCTTCCCAGAACTCGAGACCGGTTCCTGTTCCGCATAAGTGTGGCGTAGTTCTACAATATTGGATTTTTGGTTTTGGAACCTGGAGTATTGGATTTTTGATTTAGTTTAGTTTTGAACCCTGGATTTTATTTTTCTTGTTGTCTAGCGCACTCTGTGTCTTTAAGTAGTCCTTTCTAATCCAGTCTATTGTACTTGCCTGCAGCAGAGCGAATCCGGTCGTTACCCGCGTCCGCGGTTCTCGTTTTTCAGCATCTGGAGTAGTGCCCGACTGGCCGTTTGATTTGACTGGTCTGTTCCATCCGGGTGCCGTTCTTCCTCTCCCTCCTCTCCTCCCCCGCTTGGCCTCTCCCCGCCCCCTCCGTGCACACCACGACAATGTTTTCCAGACTTGCCATCCAGCCCGTCAGAGCCGCCGCCAGAGCTTCCGCCGCTGGCGCCGCCGCCGCACCATCCCGCAGGGCCCCACAGCTCCGCTCCTTCGCCTCCACTGCGGCAGCCCTCGCCAAGGAGGACGTCGAGGCCGCCCGTGCCACCAGGTTGTCGGCGTTCATCGAGCAGATCCGCTCGAACGAAAAGGTCCACTCCCAGCTCAGAAGCGTCCAGCTCATCATCGCCTCGAAGATCAAGACCGCCGGCACAGATCCCTCCCTCATGCAGCAGATGCAGTTGCTCAGCGACAAGGAGGTCCGTGCCGAGATGCTCAAGCTCTCGGATATCATGAAGGAGGAGAACGTCAACATTAGCAAGGAGGACGTCGGCTTCTTGATGCAGTGCTTGAAGGCCCAGATGGACGAGGAGAAGTGAGCACCAGCCGCTTCTTCCAAACGCTGTACATACGCTCCGACCGTTTCCGACCGTCTCTATACACTTTCTAGTTCTAATGCCCTCTTTCCCGTCTCTTTTCCCTCTCCTTCCTGTCCTTTCCTGTCCTTTCCTGTCCTTTCCTGTCCTTTCTTCCCTCTGGTAGTCCCTTTCCGCTGCACCGCCACAACAGGGCCAAGGCCCTCCGCGCATGCGCCACACAAAAAGGCAAAAAAATGCGAAAATCCGCACGCATTTTTTTCCTCGGCGGGAATTTTCCACCAAGCAGCGGGGACGCTGGCGGCCACACACTCCCACGCATACAGTACAACAAGAGTGTTGGCCCTAGGGAGGGACACACACACAGAGACGGAGTGGGGGTCAGCCGTCTGGCAGCTCGAATAGAGGCAGGACAGAAAAAGATACACAGGGGACGGCAGCCATGGATAGACGCACTCTTTTGACACACCTGTCTAACACTCTCTCGCCGGACAACAGGGTGAGGAAGGCCTCGGAACAGCTGCTATTGGGCCTGCATGCGGAGGTGGTGCCTCAGATCCTGTCGGTGTTGCTTTCGGACGACGGGAGCATCCCGGGGCAGACGAAACTGGTGTGCTTGACGCTGATCAAAAACAGAGTGGCGGCAGACTGGAGCCACCCGGCGACGGAGGAGAAGACGAAGACGGCGGTGAAGAACCAGATCGTCGAGTACATTGTGCAGTTCCAGAACCCGTTTTCGGGCGCCAATCATCCACTCATTAGGATGTGCGTGAAGATCGTCGACATCATCCTGCTCTACTCGGACACGACGTTCCAGTTCGACCTGCTCAACCTCGCCAACGACCTCGTCAAGAAGGACCACGGCTCTGTGGACAACTTCTACATCGGCGTGCTCTTTGTGCGCCAGGTGGCCCGCCGCAACAGACACCTCAACACCTACGAGCTCCTCGACAACATCTCCTCGAACTTCTGCCCCGTCTACCTCGACTTCCTCCAGACATACAGCAAAGACCTCCAGGGAGGAGTGGCGGACGCAAACAAGAAGGTGCTCACGCACGAGATACTCAAGACGCTGAACTACGTGTGCAACACACGGATCCCGGCCTACTTCCAGGACGTACCGTCCAACGCGCTGCAGGCGTTGTGCTCCTCGCTCTGCGAGCTCTTCTGCCTCTTGTTGTCCAAAAACATCGACCCGAGCAACGTCAAGTGGATCGTGCGGTTCCTCATCAAGATCCAGGCGAAGGCGGCTAGCGCAACGGCTTCTGCCTACCCAACCGACTTCCTCAACTTGCTTCAGGGCTCCTTGGTACAGAGCAATGCATCCACCATCGTGGACGAAATCTCAAAGTCCTACGAGCTCTTGTCGAATTTGACAAACTTCGCAGACGACGGAACAAAGGAACGCACTCTTTACTATTTCTTGATCTATCTAACTAGATGCATCTTTGCGTTGACCTACCATTCCATCGAGCCTCATATCAACATGATCATCTCCAACATAATAGTACCTACGCTCTCAATGAACTCAGAGGAAACAGAGCTTTTTGAAGATGATCCGACTGAATTTATAAACACAAACTTGAGCTCGAACTTCAGTTACCTAGGGTCCTCAAACACACCATTCATTGACATATCCAACTCCGACATCAAGTCTGCTAGCTCGGCATTGATTGTTAGGTTAGTCGGCAGCAAACCAGAGCTTGCCTCCCCCTTGATATCATTAGCAGGCCAAATCTTATCATCTGGTGACAAAGCCTCCCTGCCGTGTGCCCTAAACATACTTAAACTTGTTCAATCGCATATTGATGAGGACACCATGAACACAGCCGTCAGCAGGTTGATTGGAATAAGTAAGAACTTATCGAACGAAGATATGTGGTTATGTTGCTTGATTTATGATTTCTTCTCAGACTTGACCACTAAAACGGTTGATCCAATACAATCCCACCTGCCGGTATCTTTGGAGCTATCGCAACCCTTGCCACTATTAATATCCTCATTGAAGCTCATGATTTTAAAATCTGATCCTAGAAATATGAATCTTGTGCAGATCATGCAACTTTTACTGACGGTGAGTGAGAATCAGACCTTGGAGATCATAAACGATATGATTGATTTCCTCGTTGAAAAATACCCACAGCTACTTCTTCCTTATAGCTCTGAACTTATCTCCAGTATGTGCACTTCTTTCCTTCGTGTATCAGAGGATGAAGCTTACGACACCAATAACGATAACAGTAACGATGCAACTAAGGAAACTAAACTCTTAGGCTTATTGGACAATATTCTGACAGTCGTCATTTCGATTCCGGATAAACAGGTGATACTTGACTTGAACAATCAGTTGGGTTGCGTGATATCGTTAGTGCTCGATAACGCCCAACTGGATCTCGTGGAGTCTGTCATGGAATTGGTGCAAGAAATAGATACAAAATGCAAGCAAGTTTTGAACCTGGACGCTGTAATAAACAGCTTCAAGAACTACGGTTATGACTATTTTGACTATTACCTGGGCTTCTTTCAATCCGTCTACTGCTATGGGGACCTAAAAGAGCGCAGTACAGTGACGGAGTTGTTAGGATGGATTGTTAGTGAGCACCCTTCAGGTTTTGATCCTGACGATACTGAATTTGTCGAGTTTTTGACCTGTCTAGTTTCTGAGATGGTGGTCTCGTGCAACGCGAACGAGGATGACGGCGAACTGAGCGACAAAGTATTCCGCACTGTTCTTGAAATGACGTTCAACTCTTACGAAGAGAAGGACGAGTTTTGGGGGAATAGGTATATTTTCCGCTGCATAATTGGCGGATTTTTGAAAAAGCCTATGATTGTGATGAACATGTTCGGCGATATACTAGACCAGGTGTTGGTGAAATTCAAGAACCTTATTGAGAATGGAACCTGGTGCACCGTGTATGATTTGAAATTGGGTATGCTTGGGTTGTTGGAGATTGTGAAAGGATGTGCCGACAACGAGCGTATAAGAAACATGGCAATCGAGGTCATATCGCTTTTGTGCGATCGCTACAACGGTGCAGTTGAACACAGAGAGAAACTCTTGAAGATCACAGCCGGCGAGGAAAATGGCAGTGGTGAAGAGCAGGACGAGGAGTACGATCTTTTGTCGGACCAAGGCTTTGATGAACTTAACAAAGTCAGTGTTTTGGATGACATCGACGTGGTCAGAGAGATCAAGACTTATTTAAACGTTTCTAACTAATCATTGTATCCTTTCAATCTATTCATTGCCATATCCTCCCCCCATTTAAGTTTCGTTTTCTTTTTTTGCGGTTTCTTACAAAGTAAAAGTACATGGACATCATAGAAAAATATTACACAAAAAGCAAATACATTATTTTTGCAACCTATCCCTACTTGCCTTAAACAATTCTTGTTGTTTTGCCAAGAGCTCCTCTTCCGTTAAGCCTGACTTGACAAACTTGCTCTCTTTGCGCTTTTCCTTGATTTTGGCGTTATTTCGGCACGACTCCACAAACTCCTCCAGAATAGGTATATAATGCTCGAACCCCAACGTCTGCAACGCGTGGATCACATGGTCTGTGGATATCGTTTTTTTCAGGTCTTGCTCCGCAATGTCGTTTGATTCTGTGGCCACAATCATGATAAAGTTGATGCAACACTCAATCAATGCCTCTCTTGCTTCCTTTGAGAGACATGTGTCGCTTGGAAGAATCTCTGTAAGTATCTTCTGCACTGTAGCACGGGGTAGCGATAAGTCCTCATTGTCTGACATGTCTGGCTGCTCATGTATGTTGTGCACTCACACACGGGCTCTTGCTGCAAGCTTTATTGGTGTCTTTTCTATGTTTTCCCTAGGGCTGCTGCCCTATCAACAATTGCTGATACGGACCGACAAGAACGGTGTGGACCAGAAAAAGTTGATTTTGTCTATTTTGTATTTTTTGTATTTTTTTTGTATTTTTTTGTATTTTTCATTTTTTGATTTTTTTTTCTGTGAATTTTTTTGCTTTTTCAAATTTTTTATTTTTATGGTTCCAACATGAAATTTCAGGCAAAAGACCAGAGAAGAGAGAAGACAAAGTCGGAGAAGAAGAATCCAGCTGCCGATCAAGGGAAAAGACAAACTATACGTCACAGGAACCTATGGCATCGAACTCGTTGATTACGTCTGAGTTTTCAGGCGTCCCAGTCACGGGGATTGCTTTCACAAACATTTCCCTCGACAAACCGGTGTTGAAGTACCAACCTCTGAGCAACACTTCGTCGGAAACGGTTACTCCTCTACCATTGGACGCAACTTCAAGACCGTCTACGATAAATTGGATTGACGAGACTTACTTTGTCGTCTTGTACGACAACAAGCCATATTTCGAACTCATGAATTCGAACGACATATCGAGGATCGACCAGCACGTCGACTTGGTCATCTCGTCGCAACCAGCGTCTTGTTCATGTTCAACTTATGACGCCAAAAGAAAAGTGTTGTACCTTCTTGACACTTCGAATAGACTATATACCTACTCTTTCGACAGCACTTCTGACTCTGTACTAGAAGAAACATCCAACTTTGTGGTAACAGAGTTGACCGAGTCAATCTCCAAGATCGCATTACATCCTAGTGACGATGACAAATTATTGCTTCTTTCCAACACATTGTATGAGTTCAACCTCGAATCTAAACAGCTTGAAAGATCCATCAACTTGTTCGTGGAGAAGGTGAACTGCTACGATGTCATTGATAATACAATAATAGTATCCTCCAACAATGATAGATTCATTAACCTGATTGACTTAATCCAATTCAAGGTGCAAAAGATTTTTGTTATGAATGCCCCTATTGTCAAATTCGTAATAAACAAGTACAAAAACAAAAGTATTTTGGCTGCTATTGACCAGGATGGGTTTGTCGAAGTTTTCAAGGAGCCCCTTGCTGCTGCACAAAACACAGAGTCATCGATGACTCCAAACTCGAAAAGAAGAAGAAGAAACGCAAACAAGATGGTTGCCAGTGTTCAACCTACGTCCACAATCAAGCTAGTCAATGACCAAAAGTCCTTCAGTAAGATTGACAATATCATATTTGACCACGATCAGTTGACCATAGCATATTTACAGAATGAAATATATTTCATTACTGATAAGTTCAACTGGTTTATAAATAAGTTTGATGAAGCGGAAATCACGGTTCTCAGGAAGAAAGGATCTTTGGACAGCTTGAAACTCAGAACAGAAGACAAGGCGTCGCTAAAAACTTATAACGAGAACAATCAAGTTACTATCCGTACCGGTGACAACTTCATCGACCTTGATCCCGTTGTAGATCAAGAGGAGACTGGAAAGGGAGATGACGACGAAGAAGATGAAGAAGACAATGGCGACGACTTCAGCACCCTTGTTTCAAGGTTAGATAAAAGCACCAGCGACTTGGGCACGAAGCTGCCTTCCTTGTTGAGAAACGGGACTAAGCATAATGAGTCGAACAAATTCCGCTTCAAGGTTGGTACCCTTACGACAAATCTTTCCCAAGCATTGCGAAATAACGATAACGCCATGTTCGACGTCATAATCAACAACACCACAGAAGAAAACGTTGTCAGATCAACTGTCTCGCAACTCGAGCAACATTTTGTTTTGAAGATGCTAGATAAACTGGCTGAGCTCGTATACAAGAACAGGTTCAAAAATACCACCGAGGGAGCAGAGTACGGAATGGGTAATTCCAGTATTGGATTGACTACATGGATACGATATGTCTTAATTTACCACGGTACCTATCTTATTGGAGCAGCAGGTGGTAACGGTGACTTGCGCCGCAGGCTAGGCTTGTTGGGCATGAGTTTGGAGAGAAGAGCAAGTAACATGAACAGACTTTTGGAGTTGAAAGGCCGTCTATCTATGGTTACAGTGAAAGTGGCTGTCACCAGAGAACTTGAGAACCTCGGGACCAACGGCCAACCTGAGTACGATGAGGACGACGTGGAGTACATCGAAGACGAAGAGGATGCCCTTACGGAAAACGACAGCTCCGAAGACGAACATGTCGAAGATGAAGGAATAGAAGATGACGATGACGACGGTGACGACGACGACGATGTAGAAGACTAGAATTAATTAATTGGTAAATACCAGTATAAACAATCAGCATGCCCCGGCAGTGGTCTTCCACTATCCATCTGTGATTATGCGATCTTGTGCAGGGCTGTCTTGTATTATAATCTTTCAAAAACGCCGTCCGCGCTGGTCGCCCAACTTAGTTTTTCCTACAATAGCAAACGGCACATGAATTATCACTCTTAATGTTGAAGTTTGTTTGTGTATCAAGGAAGAAAATATCTGTAACGAGAAAAGTGTTGCAATTTTACGGAGTAGACAGCTTGAGGCGATGGATTTTGGAGACGGAAACAATATGGGTGGCAACGAAAACCTCGGAGGAATGCCGTTGGGCCTAAACCAAGGAGAGTCACAAATTCCGATGCTACAACAGCACCAGCAGCCACAACAACAACAACAACAGCCACAACAACAGCAACAGCAACAGCAACAGCAGCAGCAACAGCAGCAGCAACAGCAACAGCAACAGCAGCCACAGCCACAAGTATCAGGACAAGGTCAGGGGCAGGGGAGACCGGGGCTATCTGCTCAACAGATTTTGACTTACCTCATGAGGCTCGACCCCGAACAGCGAAATGCAGTGATATCGAAGAATCCACAACTAAGAGCGTTTTTGGTGCAGATTGAGCAGCAACGTAGACTCCAAATCCAAAGGATGCAACAACAACAGCAGCCAAACGCAGCTCCAAACACAACAGGCATCGCCAGTACCGACAGCGATTTGAACAACAATACTAGGCCACATCCCAACACTAATCCGAATGCTCAGCAACTGCCAATGCAGAACCAGCTATCTCATATGCAACAACAGCAGCAAAAGCAGCAGCAACTTCAACAGCAGCAACTCCAACAACAGCAACAGCATCAACTCCAACAGCAGCAACAGCAGCAACACCGGCAACAGAAGATGCCTCAACAGTTTTCTCCCCAAAACATCTCGGGCTCGATCGCAAGTATGAAAACTGGATCAGTGTCTGCATCGCATTCCCCAGCAGAATTGCATACTAGTACTGCTAATCCCAGCTTTGCGACATCTACGGAGGGGAACACTGCTTTCAGCTTTGGTCCGACTTTACAACCAACAGATCTGTCCAATTTGCCAAAGGACAAGATTCCAAGGAAACCATTACAGAAAAAAGGAATGAAGAAGAAAGCATTGACAGGTGGTCCCATCCCCATTGGAGTCGGAAGTGACACCATTGCTTCTCCCCCACTGGTAAGAGCAAACCCAGCTATTGTTTCCACTCAAGTTCCAGGCAACAATTTGAACCCAATACCGCAACCGTTGCAGATGCATACTACCCAGCAACCGGTACCGACAGTACCCCTTAACGCCAACGGGCCTACTGCTCATCCGGGCGCAGTTGAGCCTAAACCGTCGAACGAAACGGTTCTAGCTACTGAAGACCCTAAAGGCCGCTTTGCAGATTTCACGAATCCGCTTCTTCAACATCCTCATGAGTGGTCGGAAAGACTCAAGAAGGAGGACATGGAGCCGAGTACAGATCTTAAGATTTATGAGAACATCATTACGAAGGATCTGGACTACCTCAAGTACGCGTCAGCGATAGTCAATGCTGCGAAGGAGAACGAGAACAAGGTCAACGACAAGGTTGGCCTGAATGGGAAGTTGTTTAACCGGATTTTGAAGGATCTTAAGTTCTACCAACAGGTGAAGGCTGCGAGAATGCAGTCGATGAAGCTGCCGCCGGAGGCAAACGGTCTTACAAGCAATATGTGGGGGGATGGGTACAGCGGGTACGGTAACGGTTTCACCAATGGGAAGATCGAGTTTGTGTTTCCTGAGAACAGCAAGATGAAATACACTGACGAGAACCTGAACGAGGACAGCGAGAACCTTTATCAGGATGGGGAGAGCATCCCGATTCGGTTAGAGTTTGATGTGGACCGGGACGGCTTCAAGTTGAACGACACGTTTTTGTGGAACTCGAACGACGACGACGAGACGTTGAAGGTCTTTGTGAACGAGCTGGTGAAAGACTACCGGATCGAGAACAACGTGTCGAACGTAAAGCAGAAAATTCTGGCAAGCATCAAGGAGCAAATAGCGGATCTCCATCCGATGGTGGTGAACCCGAACATTGATCTCCGGTTCCCGATCAACCTCGACATCACGATCTCGAACAACCAGCTTGTGGACCGGTTCGACTGGGACTTGATGAACCAGGAGAACAGTCCGGAGGAGTTTGCCGAGACGCTCTGCGACGAGTTTGCGCTTCCAAACGAGTTCCGCACGGCAATAGCGCACTGCATTCGGGAGCAGTGCCAGATCTACCTCAAGAGCTTGTACATGATCGGGTACAAGTTTGACGGCGGCGTCATCGTGAGCGAGGACTTGAAGGAGTTCTTGCGGTCCGGTTTCGACCAGAACAACGTGATGATGCCGCGGTACCTCTTGTCGGCCTTCACGCCGTCTGTGCAGGAGCTTTCGATAGACAACTTCGAGCGCATCATCAAGGAGCGGGAGCGGGAGTCGAAGCGGAAGAAGAAGGGCGTCACGCGGGTGGGCCGTCGTGGTGGCTTTGTGCTTCCGGACTTGAGCAACATGCCCAAGACGTTCCGCACCCCGCTGCCGACGGCAATCTTCCCCGGCGGCGTCGCCGTCGTGGACAACGAGCACAGCGCAGCCGACGCCGACTACACGGACATCCCTATCGACATCGAGGTTCCTGCCGACCAGCTGCGCCGCGTGCACGAGAAGGACGTTGAGGAGAAGCGGGCTCTCGAGCTGGTCCGCCAGGACCAGCTGGCCACCCGCGTGTGGCTAGCCCGTTTGCGGGACCGCCGTATGCGTGGGGAGACTCTCACAGCGACGGCCCAGCTTGTCGAACGGGTCCGTCGCAGCAGCGTCAAGCCGGACCAACACGTTTCTGCCCACACTGCTGGCGCTGGCGACGCCGCCGACTCCGCCGACTCCGCAGCCGTGGACTCTGCCATGGACGTCGACATGGCCGGCAAAGACGACATCGAAGCTGACCCCGACCAGGACGTCAAGATGGAAAACTCCGAAGACGTCCCGCTGTCGGAAAAGACGCCTACTGGACGCGCGCAGGGGCTCGAACCCGAGACCGGAACGGACGACGCCGGGAGCCCGGAACTAGTCGTGCGCCTCCGTTTCGGGTGGCGCTGAGGGTGAGGAGAGAAACGGACAGAGAGACAGACAGAGCCTGTTTTCATGCTGCTGAGCATTTGTTAGTTGTCTGCTACGGTTTGTAACGTATAGATTGTGTAGAGGAGGCCCAGAAGAGGCCAGTATAACCAGCACCTCAGCACGCCAGCACACCAGCATCATGATGCCGATCCAGGAGAGAATAGAGGACATGGCGGCCCGGGGACGGGAGTCTCTGCGCAGCATCTATAACAACGCTCCGCTGTTGCGGTACATCAACCCGAACAACCGGTACAACCAGGTGCCTTCAAGCGAGGAGAACGATCCGGCAAGGACCCGGACGGTGCAGGGCCACGTGGTGCACGTTGGGGAGACCCACGACGGGGTGTTCAGCAACATGCCGGCGAAGCCGTCGACGAGCCCGGCCAGCGTGCCGGACCAGCTCCCGTCCTACGACGAGGCGTCGCACGACCCCTCGCCACCGTACTGGGAGACCAGCATCATGTCCGAGTTTGACGAGATCTACATCGACGGTATCCCCGTCGGAAACGTGTTCAACTTCATCTGGAGCGCTGCCGTGAGCGTATTGTTCCAGTTCCTTGGCTTTGTCATCACCTACTTGCTCCACACGTCGCACGCCGCCAAGAACGGCGCCCAGTTCGGCCTCGGCATCACCATCATCAACCTCGGCCTGTCCTCGCTCCCGATCGACATCACCAAGCACGAGATCGACTCCACAACAGGCCGCTTCGAGCCTGCAGACCCCTCCACCATCGACGTGAGCCTTCAGAACGGCGCAGACCTGCCTGGTCAGCTGGACGGTTACCACTCCGCCCTGAGCACCCACGGCGACTTCAGGGAGTCGCCCGGTTCCTTGCTCAATGGCACCCCGATCCTGGCGTACTTCCTCTTCACGCTGGGCGGCTTCATCGTCGCCAAGGCGACCTACGACTTCTACAAGGTGAAGCGCTTGGAGTACTCCATTATGAACCCAATGTCCTCCGCACAGGTCCGCCCAGAGGAAACCCCCGAGGAATCAGTATAGTGGTTCAATTGTCAATGTTCGATTCAGCTTTTCTAATAAATCAATACACAACCCTTCCTGTATTCCCCACAGTGTGCACCCTCCCTCCCCCGCCACGCTTATTCTCCGTTACGATGCATGTTCACGCTCAAGTCACTCTCTTTTTGCTTCCGTTATTCTCTTCAAGCGCCTTCTTTCTTTCCATGGGACTTTTTCTTCTACTTAATTCACACCTTCCATATATATCTATGTATATATCTATACAGACTTTTTTGTTCTCTACCCTTCTGTTCATTTCCGATACTTTATGTTTTATGTTTCTATTTTATTTATCTTCACTTTAAACTGAACATCCTTTTTTCTTGTCTCTTGTATGTATACATATATATACTAAAAACTAAATCACAATCACAGAGTAAAGGAAACCCGATTCGTTTCTCAACCGAGAACCTCCAACACTTTCTCGTAAATCGTGAACACAATACCGCCACTCAAAATTAAACGGCCCAGTCTGGGGGTTGCACCTTTCCAGAAGGCCATCAACCCCTCGTCCTTGAAAATCTTGACAAAGCAGTTCATCGTGCTGGTATACTGCTTGCTAGCATCCAAAGACTGCATACGTGTCTTCACCGTGTCGATAGGCATGGTCGTATACACCGTGACGATCCCTGCAAACGCACCAAGTAAGAACGTCAAACCACTGCTCAATGGCTTGTCTCTTGGCGTGTCACTCCAGTCCTGCAAGGCTCCCTTAATCTTCGAATACGATCCAAGACGAACAGCGGAGTTTGCACCCTGCCTCATCGCCACTGGGAGAAGACCTGCATAGAGGCCTTTCATGCCTAAGTCCTTGATCAACCGGAATGTTCCTCGAACTCCGTCTTGGTACCTTGGCTTCAAGCTCTGCTTGTCGTCAATCTTACCCGTCTTAATGGCTTCTGCAGGCGTGACTGCAACCACAGACTCCAACAATCCGGCACCCAAACCGGCGAGTACTCCTCTGGGGCCAGACAACTTCCCGTCCTTGTCGGAAAGAACCCTTTTGATGGCATCGAACCCTAGGAATCGCACCGAGGCCTTGGCTGTGTTCCCGACCACAAAAGCAGGACACCCGATGTACAAAGCGCTGACACCCTGTGTCCGGGCAACCGTGTAAATCAACACCAGTGGGTTTCTGGACATCTTGGAACTCTTGTCCACCAACTGGAGTCTCGTCTTGGCAAACTCAAATGGATAAGTTGCCACACCTTCCACGGCACCTGCAAGTCCTCCGGCAATGAATGATTTGAATGGATCTGGTTTCTTTGGTGGTGCATTCACACTCCCGTTACCGTTGTTGCTCGACATGGTTTCTTGTATGATTACTAAACTGGTTTAACTGTCCTTTACTCTTCTACTCTCTCTCTTTCTCTCTCTAAGGCGTCCCCCGCTTCTCCACAATTCGTTTGAAAACCTTGCAAAGAGTCATCTCGTTTCCATTTTTTTTTCATCTCCTCGAAAGGGAGATTCGCTTTTCGCCGATAGAGAAGTAAATAGCTTGTATAAAATAAATAGTAAACATCCAGTTACATGACGGTGAATCCTACACAACCGTCAGCCTCTCTGTGTCGTCGGCTTCGGTCGCAGCACCACCATGTTGACCTGGTGGGCTACTTGTGGAGCTCAATCCCGATCCCGTCCCGTTATCATTTTCACCCTTTTTTTTCTGATCATTAACATCATCATTATCGTAACCAACAATCTCTTCTTCTTCTGTATCGGTGGCATCACTACCGTCACTGATTGCATCACCTATATCGTCGTCGTCGTTTTCGTTTTCGTTTTCGTTTTCATCGTCGTCGTCGTCGTCGTCGTCGTCGTCGTCGTCGTCGTCGTCTTCATCGTCTTCATCGTCTTCATCGTCTTCAGTGAGCACGACATCCGAATGTATACCTTGCACAATCTCTCTAACTGCGTACCTGACCCATCTGCGACGTCTCACGTCTCCACGACTGCGCTTTAGCTTTCCGTTGGTCAAACCCAACCCAGCCTTGTAAGCATCGACTCCGTTGCCCATTACCACGAGGTCGTAGACCCATTTTGAGTCTTCGTCAACCTCTAGCACACTTTGTAAGTAGTTGTTAAAGACCCAGTGATCGGGACTTAGGTCCAGATACCATCCTTCCAAGTTAACTCCAGTTTCCAGCTGCTCGACTAAGGTTTTGTTCAAAGTCAAGGGATCCAACAGAATGTTATTGAAATCGTTGCTTGCCCTTCTTCTTTGGAGGTTAGACTGCGACGACTCTGGGGAGTTCTCGATTATGAACTCGTGGTTTTGAGGTCTGCCTTTGGTATGCGACGAAAGCTTCTTTTGCTTCTTGAGATACTTCTGGTACTTTCTCTTTTCCTTCTGCATTCTTTTTTTCTCGTAATCAAACAGCAACAAGGTATTACTGTTGGAATGACGGTTCTTTCCAACGCGTGTGCCTTCAGAGCCGTGAACGCCCTTGTTTCCTTCATTCCCATTGGAATCGCCATTGCCGGCAGTGGTATCTTCGGGGGAGCTTTGTAGTAGATCTGAGGCGTTGACAAACTTCCAGCCGTCTGGTGCGACGATGCTCTCCAAGGTAGCGGTACCCTCAATGGGCATACTGTTCAGTCTGACGTGGTTGTTTGGAGGATATATGTCCTTGGAAAAGCAAGCAAACTGCCAGGCCTTCGAGTCGTCGTTGTAATATTGCAACTCGAAGATTTCGATCTGCCTTATTTCCATCTCGTCGCTGGTCAAATCGATGTCGTTGATCACCTTGGATTCGTAGTAGTTCAAGAGACTCATTGTTTTCAGCCTCAACTCCTCGCTGTAGAACAGTTCCAGGATCTGGGTGCGGTTCTTTGGGTGGGTGAGGATGATCAGCATCCAGGAGATAATGACCAGCGAAAGCTTGATCATCGGGAAACAGAACGCTATGGCGGAGGTGCCGAACGTCTCGACGAGGAGACCCAGGGCAAGGAGACTCACAAAAATGAGCCACGTGAGCATCTCGTCCCGGAAGTAGAAGAGCTTCCAGCACCACGCGTTGACAAAGTCCCACGCGTTGACGTAAAGAAGCATGTGGTTTTGCAAGTCCGTCACGTTGAGCAAAAACTCCCGCGTGAACTCGTTCACGGGCTTCGGGAGCTCGTCCTCCCACCCATGGACACCCTCGTCCGTGTTCGGGTTCTGCACCGTGTATGCCGGTATGATGATCTCAAAGCAGATGTAGAAGAGCGGGAAGGTGAGGAGGTTGATGGGCTTCAGGATGCACAGTGTGAGAAAGAGCATCCCCGTGATGGTGAGCGTCGGGTTTTTCCAGTTGAAGAAGTTGATGAACATGTCGATCGTTTCGAACGGGATCGACAACCGCTGGAGCAAAAGAATCGAGTTCCGGGACATGATCTGCATGCTCAGCTGCGGCCTGCTCCGCTGCATCTCTATTCGTCCAAGAATGCGGTCGAGCTCCCGCTTGCTCGACGTCGTTGTCGTCGGAATCGCCATCGCTATGATCCGCTCCATGAACTTGTCGGCATAGCTGCTCCCAGCCGCCGTCGTGTCCGCAGCGCCGTGGTCCAAATTGACGTACGCCGACTGCGACCGATGCATCTTCTCCGACCCCGCAGACTGCCGCCTGCTGCCGCCGCCACCACGTCCGTCTGCCTCATCCACCGACTCCGACACAGAGTGGCCCATGCGAAACGGCCTCGGCTTCCCGGGAGTCGCCGACGACCAAGAGCTCCGCTTTGGAGCCACATTGCCCTGTTTCTTGCTGCTGTCCGAGAAGAAGTCCTCAAAGATCGACGACGGCGACGTCGACTGTCCTGTTGGTGCCGTCGAGGCACCCGTCGCCGCAGTCCGGTCCTTCTTGCCCCTGCTCTTGCCCTTCTCCTGTCCTTTCTCCTTCTCCTTGATCTTGGCGTCTGAGCCAGCCCGACCGCTCTTGCCCGTCTGAGTCTGTCCGGTGGACGTTCCGCCCAGCTGGCTCTGCCACGTGTCCCATAACTTGTTTCCCAAATCCATTGCCGGCTCTCCTCTTTCCCCGGACCTCTTCTAGGGCCTCCCACTGCTCCCGTGACCCTCTTCTGTCAGCCAAGCCTTCAGTCTTTCATGTGCCATGTGCCATGTGCCGTCTCCTGCCACCTGCCACCCTCACCCTCACCTCCTCACAGAACACAGCCTGCCCAGTTTTCTCCTCCCGCACCGAGGGCCCACGCAAGCATCGGGGCTACGTCTTCCCGCAACACGGACACGACGAAGACGGCCACCTCGAACTGCAACTCCGCAGGGGTGGCGCCAGAGAGCACGACGCCCGTGGAGCAGTCACCCTTTGTCTGCAGCCCAAGCCAGGCGACCAGCTGGCGCTGGTGGCGGCTGCGCTGGCTGCCGTCAAAGCCAAAGGCCCGGTGCACGCCGGCGGCGCCGGCGGCACCGTTGCGGGGGTCGACGAAGGCAGTCTTCCAGTCAACAAGGTCGGCCTTGTTGCCGACCACGAGGAAGGGGAGCCGGTCATGGGCGTTGTTGTACTGTAGCAGCTCCCGGAGCTTCTCTCGGCTCTCCCGGAGCGTCAGGCTGTCGCTGAGGTCCAGCACGTAGACGACGCAGTCGCTCTTGGCTGCCGCAACGTACTCCGGCCAGCGGTGGGCGTGCTTGGCCTGGCCGCTGAGGTCGGAGACCTTTGCCACGACCTTCTCCCGGGCACGGGCACCCGGTAACAGGGCAGTCTGCTCCACCGGCGGCGGGCTGGCGAGCTGGTGGCCTGTGTTGTCGGGGTCGCCGGGCAGCGGGCTGCCTCTCTCGTGGTCCTTGAAGGAACTTCGCAGACTCTTGAGGCTCTTGGTGCTCCGCAGCGTCTTGCCGCTCTTCATCGAGCGGATGTAGCTGCTGAGGACGTCAAAACTCGTCCCCTGGTCGGCGCCGCCGTCGGGTCCCTCCCCGTTGTTCTCTGCTGCTGCCTCTTCTTCTTCTTCTTCGCCGCCGGAGTTGGCCGTCCCGTACGTTCGGACCTCCGTGTCGTTCAAGCTCTTGCTGCTCGGGCCGTCGGCAACGTCCCAGGCGCCCCGTAGCCCCCGCCCCGCCACTCCGAGCCCGTGTCTCTGCAGCACCACGTTCGACACTTGCGTCGTCAGCGTCGGCACCGTGTCTCTGCTCTCCGGGGCCACACCAACACCACCCTCCCCACCCTCCAGCCTCTTCAATGCTGTCACAAACGTGCTCTTCCCGGCGTTTCGCATCCCCAACACCGCTATCCGGATCTCGTAATACCTGCTGGCGTCGTACACGCAGCTTACCATGTACGCCAGCCCGCTCACTATGGCATCGGCGAACCCCGTCAAAACGCTCCAGCACCATAACACAACAACACACACGATTGTCGGCTCGTCGTCTCGGTTTACCATGTTCAGCAGCTTGTTCTGGTGTGCAGTTTCTCTTTCAAGGAGCTCTATCGAAACTACACTCCGAACCCGGCTCGTGCTGGCAAAACTTCCTCCTCGAGGGGTGTTCCCCTATCTATCAATCTGCAATACGTCCTTCGCTCAGAACCAGCGGACACCCCCTCGTTTTTTTTCACGTTTTCCCTGCCCCCCGGCAGTTATTTCGGTCGATTAAAGCTCGGCGATGCCTGCACCGTGCACGCCAACATCCAGCCTCTTCTATAAAGTCTCTACGTACAGATTAATTGTCTATGCTACTTATGGACAACCTGGTCATTTCTTGCCAAAAAGCCCAAAAAGACTTTTCTTCTTCTTCTTCTTTTCCTCCTTGGCCGTGTTCAGCGGCGAGTCGATGGTCGACCCGATCGAGGACGACGACGAGCCGTTGCTGACGATGGAGATCGGGCTTTTCGGTGGCCTCAACCCAAAACCACCCTTGGCAGCACCTGGCGTCTCGATGTTGATCTTTGGCGCCTTGATGGAGGGCTTCTTCTTCCCGCCAGCCATCATCTGCTGCTTCTCGAGCTTCTTCTGCTGTCTGAACCGCTTCAACTTCTCGTCAAAGTCGTCGTGATCCAAAGCCTCTGTGACCATGCTCTTCCTCCTCTCGAGCTGCTCCGGGGCACCTGTGAGAGTGCGTACCAACTGCGACTCCTCGCCGCCCAGCTTCGCAGATTCAGCCAACTGGACCCCGTACTTGTACGCCGCATCCGAAACAACAGTGAGCAAGTGCTTGAAGGAGTCCTTCGCTAGCGGTTCCGACTCCAACTTGGCCATTTCCTTGTAGATGACTACCTGCGTCTCCAACTCGAGCCTTTTCAACTTGAACGACGCAGTGTTGTTGGTATTCACGACAAATGCAGGAGGGTTGGTCGAGTCGACCGATGAATCGTCTAGTGCTCGGTCACTGTCGTCCAGCCTGCTCTCTACATCGCCCACGCTGCCAGAATCGGACGAACTTGACACGCTTTCAGCGTCTCCATCGTCACTTAAGTCGACGTCCTGGTTCCCTGATGCCTCTTTCTCCTTCACTATTGCATTCAGCTCTTTCAGTATGTAGTCGTCATTGGACGCCGTTTTCCTGATATATTCCCGCTGGTCTTCTAGATTGTATACTCCAGCATTGTCAATTTCGTTCAAAAGATCGTGATTCTCACGATAGGTGTTTTGATTGTTCCCATCTATGAAAGCCATCCGCTTGTCCAAAAGCTTGAAGAATTTTGTCTCGTATAAGCCCATGTTTATTGGTGAAACGATGATGGTAGGTACAGGAGAGGTTTTAACAATTCTGTCTGAAATTCTCTTTGTTGCCCACGACTTCGTTGGCGCAGCACGGCCTGGTTTGGCTCCCACTATCACCAGCGAAGGTTGGTATAGCTCAAACATGTCCTTGAAAACGTCCCCGGTCGATCCTATTGCCAATTCGACAGTCACTTTCACAATCCTCTCTGGATTGATAATCGAAAGTATGTATTTCATCACATTTTCAGTCGCCGCCTGTGCATACTCGGGAGAATTCCGGATCCGGTTTTCGGTAATGTTACTAGTAACAAAAGCATCACTGTTTCTCCGCTGGAAACGTGAAAGCGATCGGCTAGGATTCTTGATCGACGCAACAACCACCAACGTGTCTCCGTCCTCTAGCAGTTGATTCGCAGCCCAGTCCACGCTGACCCATGTATGTCTTCTTCCACTGATGTAGCACATAATCACCCGGTTGTGTAGTTTCGGCGTCACGTACTTGAGTCTTCCCGCATACATATCATCAAATAACTTGTGTGTTCTCGTTAACGTGCATGCATCATGGGTGATTATAGGGCTGGTTGGGTATTTGAGCGAGAAAAAGCCCTTCATACTCTCCTCCTTTTGGGAGATCATATCGAGCTGTGAAGACATCGGCGACCTAGCCCTCGGGCTCAGACTACGGCTAGGTGATCTGGAAGACGTTCTTCTGCTTGGCACTTCCATTTTTGATCTTCCACGATTTAAGTCGTCAGCTGAAACGCCGCTTTGCTTCACTGGAGAAAGGTTGCCTCCATCGTATTCGTCGTCATCACTGTCGCTGAAGGCAGATAATGGGTAGTTGTTCAAATCATCAGAGAACTTTAGATTGACCGTATCGAAACTGACGGAGTTTGCGAAACGTGACTCTATCGATGTCGATCCTGCCTCCTTTTTGGACAAAATGGACTTCGGCTTGATGACCCTTCTGGATCTGCTCGCCGAAGCCACCGGGATGGCAGGGGCCCCGGCACTTTCTCCAACGACAGCGGCAACGACAGCAGCATCAGTACTGCCGTCCTCTTCTGCAGGTGAGTGTGTGCATATCGACGTGCTCACCCCTGAGCATGTCATGCATTTTCCTGTCACTCTTCTTAGCACGTCCTCAGGAGACAGTGGCCTTAGTTTTGATGGCACAGGTACAGTCAAGTGGACCGTGTGGTAGGGGTAAATCTTGTTATCCGATTGAGATTTCGAGACCACCGTGCTCTTGTAGGTCACAGCACCGGTGTGTGATTTCACTCTCGAAAGCCCTTCATTCTCCGGGGTGTTACCCCAAGATAGCGTCAGGTGCAACGGGTTCGATCCCGGTGTTCCTGAGGTCAGCGGGCTCAATGCTCCATCTCGGGGACCGTGGGTCATCGAGAAGTAGTCATCTGCGATGCTTTTGTTCATGGCTCAATGTTTGTTCTCTGGTCTTCTTTGTATTCTCCCGGACTGTTTATGTCTTAGCACAACAAGAGTACGCAGATGTCAGTGCTGTATAAGCCCATCACAGCCACCTATCGTTGTCTGCGGAAGAGAGGAAGAGGCGAAAAAGAAGGTTCAACCCAATCCGTCTTGTTTTTGATTTTCCCGACTTCACCTTCACGGCTTTACCACACCACTTCACAATTTAAGTCCCGGGGCATACACAACGGAGTACAAACAGAGTTGTCTTCTGTGCTCCACCAGGGGTACGCAACACTGTGAGCACTGTAAGACCCTGGTCGAGGAACCAGTTTAGATGAAGCTCTTCATCCTGCAGGTTTTTTCTTTACGTACGTTTCTATGATTTTTCTTTTCATCGTGGTCTGAAAGTTGAAATGAGGATACACATCTTCACACCATTCGGCCTGACCTGATACATCCATATTTCTTTTCCTTTTTCTTCTTCTTCTTCTTCTTCTTCTTCTTCTTCTCCGCTCTGGTCATTCGCAGATTATACGTACACTTGTCTATACATTATACACAAAAAACAGCGATCAGCCTCATCCCTGACTGTTCACAGCTAGCTCCATGATCAACCTCGTGGAGAGGTGGAGGAATGGGTAAGCGCTGAAGGACGATACGAGTTCTTCGTCGGTGGAGCTGCTGATAGAGCTTGCAGCACCGTCATTCTTGCTTTCCCATCCGTCGAACTTGAAGTCCACTAAGTAGTTGTTTGGTTCCAACTGGAACAACTGTATCTGCATCTTCATCATGTCCGGTATGTTGTAGTTTTCGTTGGAGGCCTCCTTTGGGGCATATCTCCATCTCACCTTGATGGTCCAAAGTTCTTCTTCAGAAGGACGCTGCCATTCTGCTCCGAGATTTTTCAACGCACGGTAGATCTCGCCCATAACGTCGAGAGGGTAGGATCTCGACCGGATACCAAAGTGCCATCTGGTTTTGGATTTTTTGGGCACAACAGGTTGCACGTTGGCGAGTTCCGGGTATGACTGTAGCATGTACGCCTTATGGATCTGGGGCAAGGAAGATGGGAGAATTGCTATCGTGGAGTTCGGCGTGCCGCTCAGAGCGGTTTTCTGTCCCTCAACACCGGTGGCCATCCGCCACTCACTCCTGCTGCTCTGTTTATGTTGCTGTTTTTCCTGTTGGTATTGCATCTGCTGCTGCTGGTATTGTTGGTTCGATATCTGCTGGTTCTCCACTCTCTCCTTTTTCAACGAATCCACGAGGCCCGTGTTCTTGCTCATCAACTCGTAGCTGTCCAATATCTCTTCCGTTTCCGGTGTCTTACCTATCTTGATGGCCTCGACAATCTCCTCCTGGCTGTAGCCCATGGTGGACGAAAGAGCAAAGACGATATCGTCGTCAATGTCTTCTGCCGTCAAAATTTTGTTTTCAATAGGCGCAGACTGCTTCAAGTAGTCTGGTAGGCTCACCTTAAACCACTCGTCCTCCATGATTTCGTGGATGGTGATTCTGTTCAATGGGTTGACAACCAACATTCTAGTCAACAAATTCTTCGCCCCTGGAGACAAGTCGTGGGGTAAAGTGTAGACACCGTTGCTAATTTTCTTGAACAATGCTGGAATCGATTCATCGTCAAAGGGCAACCGACCACATAGCATAACATAAAGAATGACACCACATGACCAGACGTCGACCTCCGGACCGGCATACAACTTCCCGGAGATGACTTCGGGCGCAGCATAGTTGGGAGACCCACAACTTGTCTTCAAAAAGTTACCGTCGCTCATGATGTTCGAAAGCCCAAAGTCGGCAATCTTGATGTTGAGCTGATCATCGAGAAGGAGGTTCTCCGGCTTTAGATCCCGATGCACGATCTTGTGGCTGTGGCAATAATCCACGGCGGCAATTATCTGCTGGAAAAACCGTCTGGCTTGGTCGTCCTTCATCCGTCCATTCTGGACAATGTACTCAAATAACTCCTTGCCAGCGTACTCGATGACCATGATGATCTCTTCCTTCGACTTAATCACGTCGTACAACTTTATGATGTGCGGATGATTGAGAAGACGCAAGTACGATATTTCCCGCTCGATCCTCCCCTGCATGTCCGACTTAGCTAGCGTCTTTCGGTTGATGATCTTCAAAGCCACCCGCTGGCCCGTAGTTGTGTGGTACGCCAACTTGACCTTACCGAACGATCCTTCTCCCAATGTCTTCACTATCTGGTACTTTCCAATCCGATTAGACTCCTTTTGAGAGTCGCTGTTCTGCTGCTGGTGGCGGCCATGCTCCAGATGTTGCTGCTGGCCCTGTTGCTGTTGCTGTTGTTGGTCCATTGTTGTCCTGTTTCTGGAGTTTTGTCTTTGTCAGGCCGAGTCTGATTTAATGACTTTAAGCCGGGCTCGTGTGTTTGGCTTCAACTCCAGCTCCCGTCCCCATCGGTATAGTCACCGTCACCGCCAACGTCAACGACACCGTGTTGCAGCCCAGGTGCATCAGCCGACCACTCCCCCGCACGCTTTTTTTTCGTTCTACGCGGCAGCCGCCAATCTGCCACCGTGGACAGGACAGGACAGGTCAGGAGGTTACATGGCAAATACCATTAGTGAAAAATATATTACTAGAATTAGATGTATAAAACAGTAGATAACTAACTAAAATAAGAAAAGAGAATGGGGCCAGAGGGGTCGGGGTAGTAACAAAAGAAGGGCGTTCTAACGGGTTCTGATGATACCGGCGGCCATCAAAATGAGGATCTTCTTGTACACCTCTGGGTTCTTCATGTGCTCCTGCAAGGCGGCTGGGTTGCCCTGGGCCTGCTGCAAGATGGTGTTCATTACCGGGTCCTGGAGAATCTCCACAACCTCCGGGTCTTGCTGGAACCGGGCCACAGACTGCTCATAGGTCTCTCCCTCAAGAGGCGCAAATCTCAGGCCCAAGGCCTTCTGGAGCAACTGTTCAATCTCTCTCAATTGGGCAGGGTTGTTGCCGTTTTTAGTCTCGACGTCCTTGGCGTCGTTCAAGGTGTCGATGCAGCCCTTGTACTCCTTCATGGCCATCTGGGCAGTAGCCTTTCTGATGTACGCTCTGATGAAGGTGGGGTCGACCTTGATGGCCTGGTCGCAGTCTCTGATTGCGTCTGGGAAGGACATCAACTTGGCCAAGGCAGCGGCCCTGTTCGAGTAGCCTCTCACGTCGCTTGGGTCTCTCTTGATCATCTCGGCGTACGCCTTGACCGCATTCGGCCAGTCGCCCTTCGTGAAGTAGTCCTTACCTTCGAGTCTGGCCTCCTCGGCCTTGTCCTTGTCGATGTACGACTCGGACTCTCTCCTCTTCAACTCCTTCTCTGCGTTTCTCAACTTGGTGAGGGTGTCGGCGGTTCTGTGCTCGGTCAAGGACTTCTCGAAGGCGCCAATGGCGGCCTTCAAGTCGTCCTTCTTCAAGTAGCAGGTACCCAATCTTGCAAAGGACTTGGCGATGACTGTGTAGTTGGCTCTCATCTCCCTACCTTCCTCGATGGCCTGCTTGCATGTCTCGATGGCGACGTCGTAGTCGCCCTTTTCGTATTCTGCTGCGGCTCGGTTGTTCAAGTACGTGATGTCCTTGAACGTTTCCCAGGCCTTGTTGTACAGCTCGATGGCGTCGTCAAACTTCTTCGCCTTGTACAACTGGTTGGCCTCGGCCTTGAACTTGTCTGCGGTCTCCTTTTCAGTTGGAACCTCTTCCTTCGGTGGAGCTGGCGCCGTCTTCTTTGCTGGGGCAGGGGTGGTCTTTTCTGCGGCCGGAGCAGCGTCCTCCATCCTCACGTCCTCGTCCGCCGGCGCCGTCTTGCCGGCGCCGGCGTTTGGTGGTTGCGAGAGGTCGATGCCCAAGATGGTCGTGATCACAGTCATCAATCTTGGGTCGGACATCATGTCCGCAGCCACCGCCTGCGGGTTGTTTTGCATCTTCTTCACCTTTTCAACGAGAGCAGGGTCCCTCATCAAGTCGGCTGTCTTCGGGTTCACCTTGAGCTTGTTGATCAACTGCGGGTCCGTGAACTTGCTGAACATGTCGTTCATTCCCAGGCCCGGGTCAGGGCCTGCCTGCGCCTCCTTGGCCGACTGCAGCCCGTCCTTCGCCATCGCATTACTCGGGTCCAACTCCAACGCCTTGCTGTATGCGCTGGCGGCTTCCTCGTACTTCGACAAACCGAACTCGGCAGCTCCCACTCTGTTGTAGCCCTTCGCCCATGTCGGGTTGATCTTCACACACTCCTCCGCATCCTTCAGTGCCTCCGAGTACTGGTGTAGCGATGTGTAGCACGCCGATCTGTTGGAGTACAACACGTGGTTTGGAGCCTCTGACGCTTCGATCGCCTTGCTGAAGTACTCAATTGCTTCTGGGAAGTTCTTTTGACGGAACGCGTCATTACCTTTTTGCTTGTATTCGTCTGCTGACATCGTTGCTTGTTTCTGCTGGTTCTTCTGTATAGATACAACTCGTTACTGCTCCGTTAGTCTCTGCTTCTCTAGTCCCCGTTTCGGCTCGTATTCCAGTAATGCTCTCTCCCGACTTTTATACGGACAACTGAAGCTCGCCTGTTCCAGAGCTTGGAATCTTCGAGAACTCTGCCCGGGGTACGTTACGTAAGCCGTGCACCGCCGTGAAAAGTTTCCACACATTTGTTTTTCCGAAATATTTTCTCTATCAAGAATTTTTCAGCTTCCCCGGATCCTGCCAAGATGTGTCAAGTTGTAGTGTCAAAGACAGCAGCAGGAGCAGAGCAGGAGCAAGCACGTAAGAAAGAGCGAGGAACTAGGAAGCTAGATGTCAGAAGAACAGGTTTTCAGAGAAAATACGGAGAAATTCGCACAATGGGTGCAAGATCACTTCAGCAGGGTGTCGACCAAGTTCAAGATCGATGATCTCAGAGAACAAGGCCAGGGCCGTGGGTTGATTGCAACAGAGGACATAGCCAAGAACGAACGGTTGTTCGAGCTTTCGAGAGACTGCATCTTGAACGTGACGACAGCGGCGATGTCGAAGCTGCGTGCGGGAAACAGAAACGTGCTGGAGTCGCTCAACCAGTGGCAGGCACTGATCATCTGCGTTGCTTACGAGTGGCTAATGGGGGACAAGTCGAGGTTTGCGCACTACTTCAGAGTGCTTCCGCTGCAAAGCTCGGACTACAACAGCCTGATGTTTTGGAGCGAGGAGGAGCTCGAGACCCTGAAGCCGTCGGGGGTTCTGAGCAGAATAGGCAGAGAGGCAGCGGAGGAAATGCATGCCCTTCTTGTGGCGGATATCATTCCAAACCGTCTCCAGTGCCCGGAGCTGGCGGAATTCCTCACGCAGGAGCGGTTCCACGTGGTGGCAAGTCTGATCATGAGCTATTCGTTTGACGTGGACCATTTTGCTGAAAAGGTGGACACTGAAGAGAGTGACGACTGCGACGACTCCGACGACGATGACGACGATGACGATGAAGGTGACGATGGTGGTAAGGAGGAGGAGGAGGAGGAACTCGACCAGGAGGACGTGGACCAAGCCTTGGAAGAGCTGGATGACGCCGACGCGGCAGAAGACAGGCTTTCTCGGGATAGCTACCTCAAGTCGATGGTCCCGCTTGCAGACACACTCAACTCCAACACTTCTTTGGTCAACGCAACCTTGAAGTACGAAAAGTCAAAGTTGGTGATGATTGCCGAGAAGAAGATCAAGAAGGGCGAGCAGATCTTCAACATTTACGGCGAACTGCCAAACACTGAGATTCTACGGAAGTACGGCTATGTCGAGTTACCATCATCCAAGTTTGACTTTGCAGAAATCTTGCAACCTTCAATCAGAAAGTATTTCCAGGATGCCTTTTCCGCTAGGTTCTCGTTTATAAAAGAGTCACAGGCGGAAAGTCTAATTGATGTCATTTTCGAGACGATACAAGATTCAGACTACCTCGCAGAATCTTTGACCGAGGACATGGAGGACGGCGTGGTCGCTGACCGGTATGAAGTCTACGCCAACGGCGAGGTATTGACAGAAATGCTGCTTTTATTGTTGATAATATCCTCGATCTTAGTTTCCGGCGGGTCTGATGAAAAATGGTTCAAGAAGCTCGTGAGAGGTGTTGAGAGGAAGCCATCATCAGACCTTCTGTCCTTCATTAACAGAACTATCCTGAAATCTCATCAGCTCCTAGAGGAAAACTCTTCACTCACTAGCAGTTCATTTCAGAACCTCAAGGAACTAGTCAAGTTGAGAATTGCTGAGTATCCACCTCATATCACAGATGGAACTTACAAGCTACCTGAGTCGTACAGCCATCTCAGCAGAAAAAACTTCTCCGATATCGCCTTGTTTGGGGAGGTCAAATGTTTGAGAGATATGGTCGACGGCAAGTTCCCCCCTTTGAAAAAAAACAAGACGCCTAAATTTAACATTATTGATGACAAAAAATTCCTCAAGAACCTACTCAAGAGGAAACTCGAAGATCAAGAAAGCAAACTGGCTAAAAAACAGAAAAAGCACTAGTCTGGAAAAGCTTTAGTTTGCTGAACCCGTTGTATCTTTATTTCATATACAGATGTAGATTAGTTTATAAAATGGACATGCTATAGAACAAGGAAAGACAGTACCTGAGATGGTACATGGATGGTGAATGGAGTAATCAAAAGCTGAATGGAACAAAAGTGACTATGCAATGTTCTTCATCAGATACTCGAATGCAGAGAAGAAAATCATGGTGACACAGATGGATCTCGTTACAGATGGACCGAAACCTTTGTACATTTCTCTGGTGGGGATTTTCAGTTTCCCGGGAGCGATATCTAGCTTGGGCAACCCCATCTTGACTCTGATTATGTTACCCAACACGTCCCTTTGATAGCGTGATTTCATGGTATCGAGTGGGTAGATGGTTGCCCAAGCCAGGCATCCTGCAGCTGCTCCGGAAACGGGAACGCAGAGAGCATCGACTCTAGCCTTTACTTCTTCACTGAAGTAGTCGCTTTCTTTGTTTTTCAGTTGCAGCTGAAGCTTGACTGTTTCGTAGACACTGTAGAATAACCCTGCACTAAAAGCATCTCGGATTATGTGGTATCTGTACCCGGAGTATAGCCCCGACCATCCCTCATACTTGACAATGTTACCGGCCACGTCAAACACTTTCGTCGGAAGGGTCTCCGAGCTCAAGTTAACCTTCGTATCTCGGTTGACGACAACCACAATCTGCTGAAATATCTTCGTCAACTCAAAAGGACACGCAAAAAGCGATATGATACTGCCAGATATGATACCTGAGATAAAAGAAACAGGGAAGTTTCTCACAAATCGCTGTGTTTCCGGGTCGGAAATGTAATCAAGTTGCATCTCAGGCATGACGCTCGCAACGTAGGGCTTTGCGTCCGTGTATATTGACACAGTCATCGATCTCGACATCGACGTAGAAATTAGCGGGGCCACAATCCCCCTGAACAGCCCCCGTACGCCTTCTGTCTTAATCGTGGTGGAAAAACAATCTAATGCACTTGTGTACGAATGGGTCTGCATTCTAGTTTTGATGGAGTCGAGCGGGAACCCGGCCGTCGTAGAAAGCATCGACGAGGCGTACGATAATATCCCAACCTTGTACGGCTCCAAGATCGCTGGCATCGTGAACAACGGGTTCTTGTAGACAATGTCACCCGTGATCCCGGGTATCGGCCTCGAGCTCTCTTCCGAGCCCATGTTTCTCCGTTCTTCCTCTGACATCCTTGTTGGTGGTGCTGACTGTGTCCCTTTGTGTAAACGAAACTAGTGTGTGTGAGCTACGGGAGCTGTGACTCTGGCAGCGCACAGAGCCAGTACCTTACCTTTATACCAAATCCCCGGGCCTTCCAGACGATTTGTGGTGATAGAACCTAGCCACCTGAAAATTCAATAACGTTTCCAGGGCTGCGAAAGTAAAAACGTCGAGAAGGGAAAACGAGCCATGGGGAAAAGAAGGTGAGGTTGCACGACGGATGATGATGACTCAGGAGTCATCCTCACGGTGAAATTTGTGATACTAATGTTGCTGTACCACTAAGAAAGTATGCGCTCTATCTAGCATCGGTTGCTGGAACAACCACCATCGTCAAAATTACAAAAATCGTATTAGTCGTACAAAGGCCAGATAAATCTATAATAAGTTACTACAAAAAAGGTGGAGTAACTATTTAAAAGAAGCAAAGTAATCCTCTTCTGCTTCTGCAATTGATTTGACAAGGGCGTCGACAATAAAATCGGCTTCCTTTTTGGTAATGATGTAAGCTGGTGCTAAACTTATGTGATCCCCCAAGGGAATAATGTTTCCTTCCGCGTCTGTGGTAGACCCTACGGTTCCTTGGAATGCCATGGCGGTCATGCCGTTTTTGATACATTTCTCCTGGACCTTGTAGGCAAATCCGTAGAGAGGCTCTAGATGTTCTTTGGTCTTTGGGTCGCAGAATTCAATGGAGAAAAATAACGGCAAACCTCTGATGTCACCAACAACCTTGGAGTTTTTGGTTTTTGCTGCCAGCTGTTGCATCATGTACTTGCCGACTTCACCACCCTTGCTTGGCAAGTTTTCCTTGAAAAGCTTTTGCTGGACAGCCAAACCAACTTTACAGTTGAACTCGTGACAGTGGTAGGTTTGTGCGCCATTGGCCTTGTTTGAGCCAGCCACAATGGCGTCTTTCACCTTTGGCGAAATAAGGACACCAGCCAAAGTGACATAACCTGAACCAATGGTCTTACCAACAGTCATGATATCTGGACCACTGCCCGGCTCCATGAAAGATTCGTAACAATGGTACTTACCGTTTCTACCTAAGCCAACCATGACCTCGTCAAGACAGAACAAAGCACCGTATTTCTCACAGATAGCCTTGGCACCGTCCAGGTAGCCCTTTGGTGGTGGGACTGTACCAAAACTTGAACCACCAACTGTTTCAAAGAAAACAGCAGCAACAGTTGATGGGTCGCATTCGATGAACTTTTGCTCTAGCTCCTCCAATAACTGGTTGGTGTAATCTTCCTCAGTCATGCCTTCCTTAATGCCTCTGTAAGGGTAACATGCAGACACCTTTGGAGTTTGTTCGTCAGATAAGAGGATGTCCTTGAAGTCGACTTTTCTGATTCCGTCACCGATGGACAATGCACCGATTGTGAAACCGTGGTAGGAGTTGAATCTTGAGATGAATCTGAATCTCTTTGGGTCTTTTCTCTCGAGGTGGTATTGCTTGACAATCTTCATAGCATTTTCATTGGCTTCCGATCCAGAGCCGACCCATAAGCATGAGCTGAAATGGCCTTCAGGAGAATGGTCGATGATGAAACTCGATAGCTCTTCGGAAGCACGATTACCCATGTAGTAACCAAAGGCGTAATTTGAAGTCTTTGCGGCCTGGCACATAGCCTCGACAATGTCTGGATCTTGGTGGCCCAAGGAACCTACGGCTGCACCGGTCATCGAGTCGATAATAACTTGTTCTTTACCGGTGTTAGGATCTTGAACAGTTATATACATCCCATCTGCCTTTGCTAGGATTGGAGCCTTCTCGGAGATGATTCTCTGGAAAACTTGAGACTCTTGGGACATTTTTTTTCTTGTTACTTATTTAGTTGATGATTGGTTTGCTTGACTGCAGTGATACTTGAAAGCTAAATATTATGCTTAAACTGAAATGGTAGCAGAGAAAACATCTTTTGAAAAGAGGAACCCGGGACCTTTATTTATATGATTTGAAATCCTACATTTCAACTGTCTTCTGTTATAGAATTGTTGTAATCGGAACGTATCTACTAGTTTAACATTAGCAGTACAGGGCAAGAAGTCGAACAGCTTTCTACACCTTCCCCATTGGGAAGGTAGAGACGTCTCTACCGGAGAAGGCTTAACATTACAACGTTATCCGCAGCTCTACTCCGAACCCATTGAGTACGCTAACCACACACAGTTGACTAACTCTTTGTAAGCTAAGTAGCAGCCCAATAATTCTGGCGCCACTTGCTTCTCAAGCCCATCTCACACGGAGCACGCAAGCACCTTCCGCATTGGGCAGTCGAGGAGATACTAGGATATACTTTTTTGCTCGTTTCCTGTCATCATGCTGACCTGCCAGTTGCAGAGAGAAGGACAAAGTGGAACGAGTCTTTTATCGGTAGAGGGATATTACGTACACGGAATCGGTTTGAATTAATTTACACGTTCATACATAGTTGACATATCTGGGGCCTCACATCTCAATCAAATCGGTAAAGGTTAGTATGTCTTTAAAGCGTAGTCCATTGGCTTTGATGTCCCCATCTCTTTCCAAGTTGACAATGTCCTGATCGAAACCGTCACTCTTCTGATCGCTCTCGGAATCCGAGCCTACTGCGCCGTCATTGTAACCCTTAAGCAATTGATCGTTTGTATCATCCTTGGAGGCAACAAGAATCAAGCCTTTGGATCTTATCGATTCCACCACCTCAGGAGATAAGTTTAAAATTCTTTCAGGAACAGTGATTCCGAGGAGGTTGTTAGCACAAGCGTAGTTGATGGCAAGTTTGATGGACCTGCTCAATTTGTCATCATAGTCCAACGAATTGATATATTCTGTGGAATCTTTGTTAATCGAATCGATATTGTCTATCGATATCTTATTTTTCTGTACCTTGTACTTATCTGTCTTTTCCAATTTTCTCGCGTTTGTAGTGTCCTTGAGAAGTCCATTCGAAGTGCATTCCATGAATCCCTTGGTCTTTTTATCGTACTTTATACCATTCAGGTTGTAGAATACAGGGTAGTTTGGCTGTTTCCAGTTCAGAATTGTGCATACGTATGGGTTGTTTGACGATAAAACTAATTGCCGACTTGAGTTGGAAGCATGATCATTTCTCAGCTTCCTCACGTGGGTAAAAATATCCGTTAAAATGGAATCTATGAAATTATTGAGGTTGTTACTGGACTGCATCGATTTGTTAGACTCATCCACAACCTTATCATCTTTGCTGTTTGATATAAATGCAAACTCTTTCAAGTCAAAGTTCTCTAGTTCGTATGTAGAAGGATAGAAAATCTCTAGGTTCAAAGAGATCTTGCTGTCAACCAAATCTAAAAATTCACTCAAAGGCAAATAGACATTGGACATGATTTCATGAAAATTACTTTTCAACTCTTCTCTGGTAGAATTTCTCAACATATTCTTCATTGACTCTAAGGTTTCTGAATCTTTGTAAACAATGGAGCTCAATTGCTTGTAGGTGAACAAAGATGCCGGCAATGACACATTGGGTGCCACATCGATTTGGAATTTTGGACATACAATTGGAGTGCCGCCATGTAAGAGACAGATGTGTATACCATAGTACTCGCCAGTTAAAGAAGAACTGGTGACAAAGGAAATCAATTTCACCTCCTTTTTCTTTTCATCGTCCGATGATGACGAGAGCTTCCAATAAGTATCATACATTGAAATTTCTAGAGGTTTCCCGGAGTATGGATAAATGAGCTCATAACTAAACCTCAATGAACCTATTGTTCTCAATCTTACGTCAAGTAAAGGTAACTCTAAATCGCCGGCGTTCTTGGTGCCCAAACCCGGATATTGTGCTCGCAGTATGGAGGAAGTTAAAGTAGCCTTCGCTAGTAGTCTGGTACCAAAAGTAGGAAATAACTCAAAGTCGATTTCAAAGAGTTCGTCGTCAATTGAGTTCAACTGGAAAGTAATTATTTTCTCGTTATCTAAAACTGGCAACATGACATTCCTTGGAATTGAATCATTGTTGCTGATCGTGATTCTTCCAGGTATTGAAGTTAAGAAAGTGTTTGGGTTCAAATTGATTGAGTATCGGTTCGTATAGAAGGAGAGTTTTAAAAATATCCTCTTCTCCAAGAAATTATGACCGTATTTCCTTAACGGTATGATTGGGGGAGGAAGCGATAGTTCAGGGATAAGGTCTATACTATTCAGGTCCATGACTGGGTCTAATGCCTTCAAAGAGACTGAATCGCTGATCAGGAGCTTTTGATTGTCGTTTTTGCTTGGTTTACCATCGGTAATACCTGGGTTGATGCTTTCTGACAATTTCTTCTTTCTCATAGAATCCAATAGAACATTGAATACGGATATATTTCCCTCCCAGGTAGCATAGTACAAAGGATCGAGTCCATCTTCATCTTTTAGATTAAAGTCGGCGCCGTAATCAATCAAGGTTTGTGTCATGGATTCATCATTTGTGAACACGGAATAGAAGATTGCGGACCATTTGTTTAGCTTGTCGAGTTGATTTATGTCTGCACCGTACTCTAGCAAAAGTGGGACCAAATGGCGATTTTCAGAAGATGCGACGATATGGAGAGGGAGCAAACCTTCTGCGTTGCATTGAGAAGGGTTTACCAACAAGCCTTCTTCCTTGGCCGTCTCGGCATTGCCGTACTGATGCAACAGGAGCTCTACTATTTTCAAGTTTCCAAATTTGCAAGCCACGTTCAAAGGTAGATACATCGGTTTGGCGTCGTCTTGCTTGGGAAAGCCATTTGCGCTGAAATCAAGGAGGATTTTCACGGAGGAGACGTGGTCATTTATGACCGCCAACAGGAGTGGAGATATGGACTCGTTGTCTTGGAGGTCGATTATGTACTGCTTCTCGGGTATTTTTTCTTGGATGTACGATAACACAGAGAGAAGTAAGTCATCTCGGCCATTTTCGGTTAAGTAGTGCAAGCACGTTCTGCCTGTAATGTCTTTAATGGAGGGGTCTATGTTAGCGTCGAGACATATTTTGACAATTTCGTTTCTCCCCTCTTTGCAAGTGGACGCCTCGATCAAGCACGTTCTGCCGTTGAGGTCATCGATGAAGTCCAAATCGATGAACTCTTCGAAAAACTGGTAGAACTGCAGGATAGACTCGTTTGGTATCTGAAGGTTGCTAATCAATAGCATGAAAACTTTGGAGAAGGTATATTTCTTAGTGTCTGTATTCAACTTGGAGATGATCTGGTTCGACCACTCTTTTAAGCGGATCAGTTGTTCTGTGGTTGGGAGGTTTGCATTTTGTAAGGTGATTTCGTAAAAGTCTGTGTACAATTGATCGGAGGTGTTGGCTTCGTTATCGTTTTCCTTGCTGGTGTTTGAGAACTCATCTTGGGCAGCTCTGTTGCCCGTGTGGCTGGCGCTGGCGGCGTCTTTCTTGCCTGCAGAATGGTTCTCGGCGTTTCCCGAGTTGGTCTCGTCGATGTTGGACTCGTAGCGAATGTAGCTCTTGTCGCCATCGCTCAAGGCCTCCAATTCCATCAAGTTGTTGGCGACCAAATCGCTCAAATCAACGATCTGGTTTCGGTGAAAAATGGGCTGCACGTTCACCGCGGTGGTGAGGTACAGCTCCTTGGTGCTCGACTTGGACCGCTTGTCCCATTTCTTCAAAACCTTGGTGAACCCGGTTTCGTTGAGCTCGACAAACTGCTCCAAACGGTCCAAGTCCTTGGAGAACTTCTTGAACCCGTCGTAGAGGGAGATGAAGGTGATGGAGTGCTTCGAGATGGAGCCCTCTTTGACAGACTTGTTCTTCTTTTGGATCAACAAGTCCAACCGGAACCGCAACTCAGACTCCTTCTCCAAGTAGAACTCGTTCACCTTCTCGAGCTCCCGCTCCAACCGGAAGAAGAAAGAGCCCTTCTTGTCCTGGAGCGTTGTCGTGCCGTCCTGCGTTAGGGCATTGATCAACTTCTTCAACTGCTTGTAGTTGATAAAGTGCGCCGAGTACTCGGGCAACTCGAGCTGTCTTGCAGCTAGATACTTGCCGAACTTCATCGTGCTCTATGGCTTTTCTTCCCTTTGCCTAGCTTTGCTTTGCTTTGCTTTCTTAAGCTTTCCTTAGCTTTCCTTTCCTAAGCTTTACTTCCCTATTCTTCTCTTTTCGGGAATGCTGAGCCTGACAGCAAAAAAAGATCCGTGGATGGACGGTGCTCGTGATCCGGCAATATGTTTCTTTCAGGGAACAGCAGCACTGCAGTAGGAGGAAGAAGCACACCTGTCACCGGTCCTGGGTTCGTCGACGTTCTCCACGGGCTCCCCGACCCACCGTCTTCGGCGACACCGTGCAGATCGTACGTATCGGGGTGGCCCTCTCCTTCATCGAGCACACGCCAGAGGCCCGCAGCCCTCGGCAGATAGTGTCTATATTGGCTGGCACACGTGCCCGCTTCCGCGAGGGGCAAAACGCCGTTCCGGAAACGAGGGGCTGGCTGAGGGTCCGAGGTCTTCGTCTTGTCGTTGTCGTTCATCATCATATACATTAACATTACACACCGGGATCTATAGAAGACTGTAGGCAGGGCCGGAAAAACCTGGAAGCTTAAAAGGCACCTCGTCCGTGGATGAAGGTGTCGAAGACAGACTCGACGTCTTCGGGCATTGCGAAGTCAACGAGTTCGCCAGTGTTCGGGCCCGAGGAGCCGTCGACAGAAAGCCTTCTGTCGGACAGCAGCTGTAGACTGCCAATGTCTCTGTCCCGGTCGCCGGATATGCCACCGTCGAGGAGGCTGAAGGTGTCGAGTGGAGGGTACCGGTTCTCGGCGACAGAGCGGTCGTAGTCGTAGTTGAGGCGGATGTCGAGCTTGCCTGCGGCGATGGCCTTCTCGTCCGGGAGGTTGAGGAGGTTGAAGGGTGGCAGCTCGTCGATGTTTTCCAGGCCGCCCATGAGCATCGGGCCGCTGCTGCCGGCGACAGAGTCGACGGTCTCGTTGGTGGCGCTGAGAGACAGGGAAAACATGGTGCTTGGCGTTGTCGACACGGTGGACAGCAGGTCAAGGTCGTCTTCGTCGTAGAGCGTCTGCCTGTCCAGCAGAGCCTTCGAGGAGAGCTCGAAGAAGGGGTCGTTCACGAGGTCGTTGGAGAAGACTGGCGATTGCACGTGTGAGTGTTGTCCCTGGCGGAGAGCGTCTGCGCTCTGGTCAAGCACCAATGGCGAGAGTGCCGTTGATGTTGCTGGTGGTGCAGCTGTGACAGTAGCTGCCGCAGCTGTCGTCATCGACGAAGAAGGCGCATTCATCGTTGCAAAGTCCACGGCGTCGGGGATCGGAGCAGCGTCTGCTTGCAGGTCTGCGTTCGAGGGCTTTGGCTTTGGCTTTGCTTTAAGCTTCGTTTTGGGCTTCATCTTCGTCGCCTTGTTGTTTGTTCCTTTGGTTTCTGGGCTCCGTTTCATGTCTGCATTAGTGTTGGTATATTTATTCGTGTCCGTGTGGGTGTGTGAGTGAGTGTTCGTTTCCGTCGTCGTGGTCGGGGTCATGGTCAAGGTCGTGCTAGCGTTTGTGTTGCGAGCGGAGTCGCTGTTGGGGGCCGCCTCGTCGGAGGCCGGTTTGGACTCGGAGGTCTGCTGCGAGTGGCTCAAGTCGATCAGCGACAAAATTAAGTCGTTGATGTCGTCGTCGTGGTTCCGCTTCTTGGTGGGGGCGGTAACCGGGGTCGCAGCTGGTGCTGTTGACGACGACGCTTGTTGCAGGACGGGTGTGAAGGTATTTGGGTTCTGTTTTTGGACACCCTGTGCCACTGTTGTGGGAGCAGCGGTCGGCAATGCTGATGACGCAGCCGGCTTGGCCGCAGCAGTCGATTTTTCCTTCTTCACCTTCCGGCCAGCCTTTGTCTTGCGCTTGTCGACAATGGGCTGTATCTCGTCTCTGAGGCCCTTCAAGTTGGACACGAGCCGGATGACTTCGAGCTTCAAGTAGTAGTTTTCCTCGTTGATCTTCAGTATTTCTGTCTTGAGCGGGTTATGTATTATGGAACAGTCGACCTCGATCATTTTGTTGCTGTTGGTGACGACAGGCTGGTCCTGTTTTCTCTTGGAGCCAGCGGCTGCATGGTGGGCCAGCTTGGCCACAGAGCGTTTTCTCTTCTCGGGCTGTGTGTGTGCCGGCGGCTGGAGCTGTGTCTGAGGCGGCTTGGCGACGGGCACGTTAGACTCGAGCTTTGGCGACAGCGAGTCCGGAGTTGGCGACGGGGTCGGCATGCACGAGGAGGACGACTTTGGCGAGAGGCAGGAGAAGTCTGCCGGGGACGAGGCCAGCGTGGTGTTGCCACTCGGAACTGCGGTAGAAATGGAGTTGTCTCTTTCCGGCGGGAACGAGAAGGGCCTCTTTTCTATGGTGACCTGGCGCAGGTGGTTGTGGTTGTGGCTGTGGTTGTGGTGGATGTCCGGCTTGCAGATCTTCGACTTGGACGAGTCCTTGTCGAGCGAGAAGGCCGCGGTGTCGAGGTCTGACGAGGACACCGGCTTGCGTCCCGGCTTGGGTCTGGGCGGGAGCACCCATTTTTTGCTGGTGGTGATTTTGATGGGCTCCTTGATCTCGAGCGGGAGGTCGTTGACGGGCGTGAACGCCGACGTCGGTATGTGGGTGGGTGCTGTCTGCTTTCTGTCCGGCGCAGACGGCACTTTTCTGTCGATCTGTGCGGTCTGTGCGGTCTGTGCGGTCTGTGACGTGGGTCCTGTGGTGGCTGGCGGGTCTGCAGAGGCCATTTCGGGGTGCTAAGAAAAAAAAGGGCAAAAGCACTGGTGTCTATTTCGTAGGGGGTGTACAGTATTATCGTGGGCCGTGGCTTTTTGTTGTTTCGATGTTTCGCCGGGTCTATGCGTTGTGGACGTGCCTGTGGCAAGCAGGAGCGGCGAGGCAGGGACTGTCTGGGGAGAGGGGTGTGGTCAGACGGTGCTATGTGCTGTGGGTTCCTCTATCCTTGCATTGCATGTAGGGTAGGGCGGGTGTGCGTGTGAGCGGGGTTCAGAATGCAGAGGCAGAGTGTTTGGGTGCACAGGCAGCGGGGCGGGGTGCTGGTCCGTTTGCGTTAGGTATATAAGCGACCGATAGATAGATGATACACACAAGAATCCACCCGGAGCAGGGCTGCCAGCACGAGGGTGAAAGGAGGTTACCAGGACCGGATGATGGAAAAAAAAAACAGGCAAGACCGCTGGATCGAAGGATGGGTGTGCAGGAGTATATGCGGGAAGAGCGATAAGCTGGGGCCCGAGGGGGGGGGCATTCTGCGCGACAGACAGGATGAGACTTCCCCCAAGACGGGTGAGGGAAAACGCAACGGGCCGGGGGGCCAACGCTGCCTCTGGCGCCGGAGCAGAAACCGCCCACCCGTCCGAGGAAAGGTAATCCGTGGCTCGAGGGCCACCTCGAGAACCCGCCCGGTTCCGCCGCACCCGGCCCGCTACGCCCGCAGCGCTCCCGCCGGCCGCCAACGGGCAGGTGGCCCCACTGTGGAAGAGCGTGGAAGGCGCTGCAGGCTGCAGCCGCGTAGCAGACCGGAGCGCGCCGGCAGCAGGGGGCCCCGCGCTAATAAAACGGCATCGGGGGCTGGCGGCGGCGGGCTGACACGCGATCCGTCCAGCCGGCGCGGAGCGCGGAGCGCAGAGCGCACACGTCAGCAGCGCTTACGTCAGCAGCGACGAGAAGAGGCTGCCGGGGCCGTCGCCGCCGGGGCCGTCGCCGTCGTGCTCGCGGCGGCGTTCCTCGTGCTTGCGCTGCAAGAGCTCGGTCAAGCCGCCTGTTTTCTTGCGGGCGCGCCGGCTCTTCTTTGCGGCGGGCGGGCTGGCGGCGGCGCCCAGGCCCACGCCGAGGGTGTTCAGCGGCGGGTGCCCCGCCGGGGCGGGGGCGCTGGCCGCGGTCGCCGCCGGCCGCAGCGTGTTGCGGAAGACCGCGCACACCCCGCAGAGCAGACACTCGAACACAACCGCCCGCTGCTGGCGGCGGTCCCTGGGGCGGCGCGCCCGCCCAGCAGAAGCGGTCCCTGGGGCGGCCGCCGCCGCCCGCTTGAGCCGCCGCCGACCGTACTCCACGCGCACACGCATGTTCACCCCGGCCACATACACGTTGCGGCAGCCAAAGCACACGTCCGCGTCAAACCGCCGGCACTCGGCGTCGTCCAGCACCGTCGGCGCCGCCCGGCCCCTGCGCAGCTCGATCTGCACACCCGGCTCCAGCGCGCTCGGCCGGAACTCCACACCCATGTCGTGGCACGCCTCCTCAAACTTGCCCGTCAGCTTCGAGTTGTGCTGCTGCCGGAACGCTGCGCCAGCAGCATCGGCGCCCACCACGTCGCCCACCGTCAGGTTCTGGCGGTACACAAGGCGTGACTTCCGCTCCTCAAAGTCGTCCATCGTCGTTGTCTACACACACAAACGCCCAAGCTAGACCCCGTCGGACACACAGGAAAGCGGGCAGAACGTCTGTGGTGGAAAAAAAAATAGCAAAATCCATGATGCGCGTTACGTAATACACACCGCCTAGCGCCTAGGGCTCAGGGCCGAAACACAGTGGGCAGACGGGCCTCGACAAACTCGCAGAAGGCGTCGCAGTCGCTCACAATCTGGTAGTCGATGTGGTTGCGCCAAAAGGAGTTGCTGATGGGCTCCTTGTTGACGAGCACCACGAGCCCCCTCTCGTTCTCGTGGATCTTCTTGCTCATCTTCTTGACGAGGTTCTTCACGCCCGCCACCTTCAGACTTGTGCCGAAGATGAGCAGCATGTTCGGCCGCCGGTTCAGGTCCTTGTTGAGGTTGCGCGCAAACTTCTCCGAGTAAGGATGCTCCTCGCCGTAGAGCACGATGTTCGGGCGGATGATCCCGATGCTGGACTCCAAGCTCCGCTTGCCCAGCCTCACACGGGACTCGTAGTTCGCCGTGCACCGCGGACACTCGATGATGCCGGCATCGTCGTCCTCGTCCTCGTGCCCGCCGTGGGCGACGGCCCCGAGACCGACCCCCCGCCTGTCCACGTCCTTTGCGTCGAGTTCGCACACGCTGCTCACGCTCTTGCGGTCAACCTCGCGCATGGAGAAGGTCGAGTCCACGCTGTCGGACGACACCGTTGTGTTCTGCGACAGCTGCATCAGCTCGGCGTTGCTTCCCTCCTCCTCCTCCTCCTCCTCCTCCTCTTCTTCTTCTTCCTCGCTGTTCGCTCCGCGCTGGAACCTCACCCTCCCCTCCTCGTCGTATATCTCATCCCAGCGGTAGTTATGCTTGCACGAATTGCAGCATAGCTGGTGAAGGTCTCCGTGGAGCTGGATGACGTCCGTGCTGTTCCACTCGTCACAGCTGAACTCGGTGCTCAACCCACACTCGCGTTCCAATCCGTCAATGTTCTGCGTGTAGCACTTGATTAGCTTGTTTTTATCCTGTAGCTTCTTGATGAACCCGTGCGTCGTCGTGGGCGCAGACTGGGATATCTGTGTATAGAGCTCAAAGATAAAGCGATTGAAAGCCCGGATCGTCTCCAGCGACCGGTACACCGAGATGTCAAACATCTCCTTCCCCTTGATCGTCACCCGACTCTCGCTCTCTTTCAACTTCCTCTTGTACAACCCGTTATCCGATCGGAAGTCCGGGATCCCCGCGTTGCAACTGATTCCGGCCCCGGTCAAAACCATGATCTTCTTCGATTTGCTTATCGAGCCTAATATACTTTTCTGCACTTCTTCCGCTTGCTCGAACTCTTGAAACGTTATGTACTTCAGTCCCTTGTCCTCCTCACTTGCAAGCTGCGATATCTTTTCTCGTAGCCCAGAGCTGCTTATCACCGTAGACTGTTTCAATGCCAAGCTGCTTTTCCCATTTTTGGATGCTGTGGGCCTCTTGCTCACTTTGTTCGATTCCTGGAGGACATGTTTCACCTTTTTCTTGATCACTCGCTCGCAGTTTGGCATGGTCGGCTGGCTCATACTCTCTATTTTCGTTGTCATTTTTCCCTATGTGCCAAGTTTATACTACACTTCGAATATCGCACCCCGTTTCCTCCGTGGTCACCCTTTCTAACAGAACCCAAAAGGAAACAGCCTCAACTTCTCCAAGTAGAAATCCTATCCTCCTCCGAAAAAGCACATACGCAGGTTTCGACCGTCAGGCCGGGAGGACATCAAGAAAAATGTCAGATTGATACAGACAGCCCAATCGGGCAATACGTAAACACAAGGAGAACGATCTCGGATCACAGCCGCAGCTAAACTCTTTCACAGAAAAGGCTACGCCTCCACGGTGCACAGATGTCCAATAGTCGATGAGTTCTCGTCGTATCTCGGCGGTGATACTGTTATCCATCAAAACTAAATACCAAGCAATAACGCAAAGCTTGGACGGTAGGTTGCAACTTTACAGAAAAGGGCCTGATGCTACAACGACCTTGTTGCTGTGGCTGTGGCAAAGCGGTTGCTCGTGAGATTTTACTACATCTCTATTTTCAAAAGTGTCATATGGCACTACCGGAATGCCTGTAACTGAAAGACTCGAGAATACGCTTGCATAGCTAGTAGATTAGTGACAAGCCAATCATTGATTGTAAGCTAAACCAAAGTAGTCTTTTTGTAAAGAAGTGTGGTTTTAGTGTGGTTGGTAGCCGGTAAGGAAACAGTTGTGATTGTTGATCGGGGAGATATGGTTTTTTTGCTATATCTTGAATCATGAACAGTTTTCATCGCTATTGCACAAAGTAAGCAAATTTGAAAGTACAATAAGCTTTTTGGCTTGGAAGTATCTTGTTCCAATGATATTGTTTTGTAATCCTGATAAGTTATCCTGGGTTTATTCTGCATGACATAAGATGTGTACGCTGACGGCAAAATAGACCATAGCTGATTGGTCATCACACTACAGAACTAAAGTATTTTTGCTATGCTTTCAGCATGGGTGGCATTGAGCAAAACCCTAGAAGCTATTGCAGGCAATTCAGCTTGCAGTCAAATCACCTACTTAATGGTAGTGTTTGCATACTAAAAACTTTGCTTTTAGAAGAGCATACCCTCCACATTTGTAATGGCAAAGCAATCATACTTGACTGATATTGTAACAAATGGAAGATCTCTTTGCCAAGACCTTCTTCTGGTTTGAACTTTCATAGAGCTTAGCTCAATATCTGGGTAGAAAAGGCTAAAAACCCGCTTGCTGTGGAAAGCAATTGTCTCTGTTATTTGATGCCAGCGGTGAGATGATGTATAGCACAGTGGACTATCCAAAACATAGAGACAAGGCTGAAAAGACTTCTGTATGTTGTAGGGTTCAGAGTAAAACGTAGCAAGCAGAACAGAGATTGCACATAATCCTCAAAATATTTAATCTTCCTCGATTTTGCTACGCTTTGACTGAAAACAAGGCTTGGAAGACGTATTTTTTTTTCTCAACTTTAGTCCCCCGTTGCTTCCACAAGTTTTTCAATCATAAAAAACGAAACTGCCATGCAAGCGAAGTCAATAACAGAAGGTCAAACGCTTATACAATAATATATATCATTCTTTTAGTCTTTTTACAAAGTGTCACGATCCTCAGTCATCAGAAATATTAGATTTATTTTTTACAAACTTTTTACTGCTACAACCCGTACGATAATCAAAGGAACTTTAGCTGAGATTTGTCTAATTACGTCTTCAAGGGACCTCAACTATCCCGGCTGATTTTTAATAGCCGGTATAGTTGAGGTCCCTTGAAAATGAAATTATAAACGTAATCTAGCTTTCCTGAAAACGTCTTCGGGTTGAATACACTGTTTTCGTTCAAAATTTTCCATCTTACCTCTAACTATTATTCAAAGGAAACCTCACATGTGCACGACAACCTCTTCTACCAATTGCTATTCATGACTGGAAATCATATAAACTTGAAAAGAAATTGCTCTCTCTTTAGAGTTGTAAATTTTATGCCCTAAAAAATACCTCACTATACTTCGTCAATCACTGCATTAGCGTCGTTTGTCGTTAAGTCAATTGAACTAAATAGCCCATTAAGAAAAATAATATGAATTTAACCAAGAATTAGGCTACACATATCAACAGAGGAATATTTTTATGAAACTTAATGACGAGTATATATAGGCGTAGGACGATCTCTCTTTCTAGGAATTTGCACACATTCCAAAAAGAGAGATCGCCATACTTCGAACGTAAATCACTAGCAACAATGTTTGAATTGGTTCTTCCATAACTTAATTTCTAGAGTCGAAATTCCAGTTACAAGAGGCGTTCGAGTTGGCTGATGTAATAAATTAGTTTTATAAACACAGGTCTAAATTTAGAAACCCAAAGTGCAAATGGACGGAAACATCAACAAACCTTGAACCGGCTTCTGCCAAACCGTTGGTAACCGCTCACAACAGCTCAATACTGGATCGTTTTTTTTCATATGCGAAGTAATCTAGGGAAGCAAAAATTTTATTCATATATTCAACAATCTACTGAAGTAAGATCTGTTGATACAGCTCTCAGCATATATAACAAAATAGGAAAAAATTAAAAAATGTCTACGTAAAACACTTGATCAATTAACGATAAGGGTTTAAAACTCTATTCCCTTAGAACGGTAGTAAGAAACAAGTTTCCAGTATTGGCCCTTTGTTCTGTTTCTCCAGTAGTGGCCAGTGTATATCATGACAAAAAAAGTTCCAATGCAGAAAAAGCAAATAAAAGCAGAGGTAATGAAACAATTCTGGACACCCATGTTTGTAACAAAGGCCGTGATACCATAGTCCATGGCAAAGTTCATTGTGTTTCTAATAATAACCAAAACAGTAATGGCAGACACTCCCATTTCAGGATAGCAATCTAAAGTATAAGTGACCGATGAAATACATCCCACGATACACAACCCAGCTTGTAAACCTAAACCAACAACCACACCAAACCAGTGGACACCATGAGCAGCACCAACGCCCCACAAAATCAAAGCAGCAGGGCCAAGGATCATGTAGACAATCAAAACCCATAATCTATCTTCCGCTTGTGATATACCATTGTGCTTCTTGGCAATAAAGATCTTAATCCAGTCCGTAGACCAACCAGCATATGGGTAAATCAAAAACACAAAGATGACTGGTGACACATAAGCCAAGCCACACATGGCTGCAGAAAAGTTGTATGGTTCCGCTCCAAGAACAATTGCTTCAGTACCGTTCAAAACAGAATACCAAAACAATGAAGAGCCGTAAAGGAAACCCGACCATAACACAATAGGAAACTGAACCATGTAAAATGGTGCAATCATGTATTCCCATAGGTGGAAGTCTTTCTTGAAACCGGATGTCAATGACATCTTTTGCCAGAATGTCTTTTCAGGAGCATATTCGATTGGAACTGAATCGTCAATCAAAAATGCTTGGTTGCCCAAATGCTGCCTTTCTGTAACTCTAGATGTAACTGACTTAATGACAAGAGGATCAGTATTTTCACCACTCAGATTGGAAGTAATGACATTCAAAATGTTTCCTTCTTCGTCTCTGGTCACTCTTAACTTTCTTTCATAGTTTGTTTCCTCCATTAGGAAGAACATAAGAACAAAGCAAACTGCAGCAAAAATGACGGCAATTATGATGGTCCATTTCCATCCTAGAGCATCATTCACAAAACCTGCAAGCATAGGAGCAGCATAATTCGAGCTAAACAAAGCTGCACCATAGATTCCCATATACGTTGCTCTTTCGTGCTCGAAGAACATATCAGTAACAGTGATTTCAGGTAAGGATTCAATGGTACAGTAGAAAAAACCATTTATAATTTTGGATGCAATCCATTCACCGTTTGTGTGAATGTAAGGTTGCCAAATATTAAACGCAATGACACCAATGAGACCAAGCAAGTAAACAGGACGTTTTCCGTATTGTTGGGCAAGTGGCAAAAGAACCAAGTTACCTAAGCCAAGAAACAAGAAGGAGTATCCAGTACCCGCATTCAAATCTGCAACCGTAATGTTCACATTTGGATCAGCTGCAATTTCTGGGAGGATGGAATAAATACAGCAACCTGGGACAGAACCACCATAGCAATAAAGAACAATGCAGAACATTTGAAGCATTTTCCTCTTAAATGTCCAGTTAAGGGGATCATTTGGGTCGTCGGAGGGCGTTGGAATCAAATTAACTTTATCCTTACCATCTTCGGTCTTCTCCATCAAAACCAAGTTGGAAGTACCTGGGATTGCATCGAAGTCGATGGAATTTTCCAATACCGTGCCCTTCAAACTTCCATCGTTGTCGACGGGTAAGACTTCCACGTCGAAGCCTCTTTTTTCTAACGAACTCGAGCTAGCTGTCATGTCTAACAAGTTTTTTGTTCAGTCTTGACAAATAAAGTTTAGTACTTGAAGGATCAAAAAAATCAGGAAAGAGTTAGAAGGAAAATCAACTCTTATATAGAGTGGGGAACAAAATTAGCCTAGACGGTAGAAGTAGTCGATAAGAAAGTACTTGTGCTGACGTTGCAAAAAGAAAAAGAAAGAGTTTGATGTCTTAGCTATAGAACTTCTGGGCATCCTCGGGCGCCCAAAGATAAAGATCTGCAACTTATCTGCTCAGACAAAAGTAACCACAGACTGGATCGCCTAGCGAGCCGGAACCCTGTGAAAAATACCGGATTAGGACAACATGTGGAAGACAATTTCGCCTGGAAAACAACAATCTATCTGTCTACCTATCTATCTAACTTTCAGCCTTTCTCTGCCCTGCCTCTTGTAATCGACACCCCCCTGGCACTACATATTAACATGGATAAGGTAATGAGAATTCCCAGGCACTGTCTTCGCCTAGGATAAGGCTAGATTATCAGCCTTATCTCACTTATCGGGCATCATCTGCTTTCTCCGCTACCGGGACACCATCGCCAGTAGCTGACAATGCACATTTGATGGCCGCTTTCGGCCTGTCCTCCTCGGTAATGACAGGGCCATCACTTTCTGGTTCCTTATCGGTGCTATCTCCGCCGAGAACACGTATCAAAAGATTGCCGGAGCGATAAGCAGGCTTCCTCGCCGCTTGGTCTAGAGCGCTCTCGCCAAGGGCTGATTTTTTCCCGATTGAGTAATTTTGAGTGTGTGTGAAGCCTCGGCAAGCCTTTAAGAATGGTTTGGGTAGCGCTAAGCAACGATTTGAAACACTTAGTATCCATATAAATGAACAGATATCCAGCAGCTTCAAGGAGAAATAACAGGTAAGATTTAGAAGTTTGAAGAATGGTGACCAGATTGTACCAAATTTCTGTCTGGCAAGCAATTTTCAGAGAGAAAAAGTAACAACGGAGTAAAAAAATGACTTTTGACAAAACCGAACTTAAAGTCAACCCAGAAAACGAAGAGCTTTACAAGACTTTTCTTCCAAAGGTCGAAAAGTACAGACAAGCTTTGAAGGATGGGATACTGGAAGAATACAAGCTTCCTGACGAGTTCTTGCCAAAAAATGTCGGTGTCGATGTGACCAAGATTCCGGAGCAGATCTTGTCCAAGAAAGAGATTTACATTACCGAATTGAAGGCTGTCGACTTAGTTTCTCAGATTGCCAAGGGTGAGCTTTCATCTGTGGAAGTTTTCAAGGCATATGCCAAGCGTGCAACCATGGCACACCAGTTAACCAACTGTGCTATGGAGTTGTTTACCGACGAAGGCTTGAAGCGTGCTGGCGAGCTTGATGAATATTTCAGTGCCAACGGCAAGACGGTTGGTGCGCTACACGGTGTTCCTGTTTCCTTGAAGGAACACTACGACTACAAGGGCAAGATCACACATGCTGGTTATGTTGGCTTGATCGACAATGTCTCTGAGAGCACCAACCAGTGTGTCCAGATCTTGTATGACGCCGGTGCGGTGTTCTACGTCAGAACCACCGAGCCTCAGCTCTTGATGCACCTCTGCTCGAACAACAACATCACAGGCATTGCCAAAAACCCTACCAACACCGCCCTAACCACCGGTGGTTCCTCTTCTGGTGAGGGTGCAATTGCTGCAATGAAAGGTTCTGCCCTTGGTGTCGGTTCAGACATTGGTGGTTCGATCAGAGCACCAGCGGCCTTCTGCGGAGTGTGGGGTCTGAGACCAACCCAGAAGAGAATCCCAATGTTGCCGATCACCCCAGCCGGCAGTGGTGTCCAAGAACTCGTTGTTCCCGTTTTGGGTCCCTTGGCAAGATCTGCCGAAGATTTGGAGCTGTTCATGAAGGTTGAGCTCGGCAGCAAGCCATGGGAAACTGACGCCACGTTGGTTCCAATGCCTTGGAGAGACGTTGCCGTTCCAGAACCTAAGCAACTCAAGGTCGCTGTCTGCTATGACGACGGAGTCGTCAAGCCTACTCCGCCAATTCTCAGAGGACTTGAGGCTGCCGCCAAAAAGTTAAAGGAGGCAGGCGTCAAGGTCGTAGAGTGGAAGGCCTTCAACGTCCAAGAGTGCGTCACTGCTGCGTATGACGGTTACAACGCCGACGCCAACAAGAAACAACTGAGTCTCTTAAAGCTCTCTGGTGAGCCTGTCTTGCCCCTTAGTAAGCACATCTTGAACAGCGGCTGTGGCTTTGACGGACTCTCGGTCTATCAGTACCAGAATGACTCGGGAGTCAGAGACGGCACCAGAACCGCCTACCTTGAGCAGATGAACGAGCTGGACGTCGACTTCATTCTCTGTCCTGTCTACAGCTCCGTTGCGCCTTTGCCCGAAACCTGCCACTACTGGGGTTATACCAGTTTGTGGAATCTTTTGGACTTCCCTAATGTCATTTTCCCAACTGGCCTTAAGTGCGACCCAGCTGTTGACAAGCCAGACACAAGCTACGTCCCAAGAAACGACACCGAGAAGTACGAACACGAGTTGTACGACGACGCTGCCAAATTTGCCGGAGCACCTATTAGCTTGCAGCTTACCGGTAAAAGATGGTTCGACGAGGAATTAGTTAAGGCCTCACAGATCGTCGCCGAGATCATCGCCAAGTAGACCCTGCCGATAGTTTTTATACCTATATATCATACACACCCTTAAATGAGCCAGATTCATGTTGCGATTAACATCTTTGTCTCTTGTCGGATATGACGCCCGATTGGGAAGCGGCCTCGCCAAACAGCCGCATGCGGATGTCCCGCGAGTTAGGACAGTTGCTGATAAAGCAGAGGGAGGCGGTAGTGTCCGATGGATCAAGCCTAGCAGGTACATGGCGACGGCTTATGGTGGAACAATGTGGTGAGCATGGGTTTGTTGCAGCCGGAGGAAAAGGCCGTGGCGCAGTAGGATAGACATCATGGGGACGGCGCTTTTTGGGAAGTTCAAACTTGCAACACTTACCCAGAAGAAGGCAGGGCCAAAAAAGGTCGAACGGAAAACGAAAAGCCACAAGCCAGCCAAGACCGAGAATGAAAAGTTATTGGAGAGGAAGACAAGGAAGCGCAGTGGGTGCTTCTGTTGCCGCAAGAGGCGGATCAAATGCACTGGTTCGAAGCCGTCATGCGACAACTGTGTGAAGGCGTCCTACTTGTGTGTGTGGCCGAACGGCGACGAGTCCCTGCCCCATAACACTGATTTTAAGTTAATTAAGGTTAACTGTGGCTCTCAGGAGGAGGTGAAAAATGAGGAGCAGAGCATAGAAATGGCCAGCTTTGAATCCAGCGAGTTGTGTTCGCCCGATGACCCCCTGCCATTGGTAAGACATTCTTCACCTGAAGCGTTTGGCGCACTCATGACCGTTGCGGCAAAACATAAATCTTCGGAGGTGGTTGAGGACGCTCTTTTCCGCAAATTCTTGCTTGAAATCAACTCATCGGTGCTATTGCAGGTCTATCCGCAGCTAACGACGTTCCCCTACTTATCGCCACAAGACACGCATCTCTATGATGCGTTTGTCAACGGTTTCATAACGGACATCTCTCCGCAGCTGGCTCATTTCAAGCTCCAGCCCGCGTCTGCGTTTATTCCTTCTGTCATTGACAACTCGATTGTCCAGGGCTTGTTTTTTGCCTCGGGAGCTGCCTTCCTCTACTCCTCAACCAAAAATGTTGAAATGAGAAAACTATCCACGCAGAAGTTCATTGAATCTGCCGGTCAGCTCAATTCTTATATTTCGACCCACGACATCACCGGCAACTCGGATTGGATAATCATATACCTACTTGTGGCTTATCTCAAGTTGAGGTTTATCCACGAAGGTCAGCGAACAGAGACGTTGAGCATGATCAGTATTATCGAAGCAATGAAAATATGGCTTACCAACAAGCAGAAAAGAAGTGCAGGCGACGAAAGGGGTAGTGTCCCAAAGATAACGGAACTGGATATTGAACCAGTCTTCGATGAAGTAGATGGCGAGTCGATGAAGATACCTGATTTGGGCCCACCCGAGGGTCTCGATGTTGAGAGCGATACGGCAACTGCGTTTAGTAGATTGGCCAAACGGTTTAAGCTGATATCAAGTCACTGCGGCCCATCCTCAACCGTCGTGGCAAACCAGCCCTCGGTACCCGTAGACCCCTCTTCAGTGGAAACAGAGATGTATCTAGCCTTCAACGAGGGTAACAACAAAGACAAGAGTAGCAGGGTGCTTCTGCCTTACGAACGGACAATGATTGAGTCATTTGCCTTCAACTACAGTAGCTTGATGTTTGTTTGTGACAAGTCTTTGATCCCCCAAATGACATCTCCTTTCGTCATCTTTGACATGCTGAGGCCCTACCTTTCTGTCCCAATATACAAGTGTGCTGTCCCCTGGATGAACCACCCTGTAGCAGGCGCAGCGTTGCCTATTTTCGAGCTTCAGGCGAAGGTGTGTTGGTTGGGCCACTTCTCCCCTCTATCTGAAGAGCACAAGAAGCTGGTGTCCAAGATCAGAAGTGTTGCCAACTTCAACACCCGGCCGATCCTTCCAATCGAGGTCCACACAAAGGAACCCGAAAATGTGCAAAAGAAACTACTGGAAAGCTGTTATGCTGCTGAGTTCGTCTCCAAGGCCGTCTTCATATACTCCACCAAACTACTATACCCTGACATGGAATACGACGGTGAGTTGATCCAATCCACAGTGGAGCAGGCCTATGAGAACCTGTTGAACATCTCCATTCAGAGCCAGATACACATGATTTTGGGCTTCGCCTTTGCAGTGATCGGTTCGGTTGCCGTGCAGAAGAAGCACCGTGAGTACCTAGTTTGGAAGCTTAAACGGCTAGCCACAGTATTTTGCGTTTCCACCTTCGACACCATCATATGTTTCTATCAAATCGCATGGTCGAAAACGGCTGATGGGACACGGGAAAGAGGTTGGGACACTTTGGATGACGCTGAGGCCATCAAAACTTTAGTCATATGACACAATCTTTCTTTTTTCCTCTCGTAATGTACATTTTTACTATACAAAACAGTCCTTCATTAGGCTGTTCTCTTTCTACATATTCATTTTTAGCTTTTGGGACTCAACATGAACCCGTGCACGGTGGAGGCAAACACACCACCACGGCTTTGCACGATTACCGTTTATCTGTCCACCTTCATTTGTAACAGGCCATGACGGTTTCAAAAGCGTCCCCCAGGATCTTATCCCACTGGCAGTCCCGTATTGGGAAGTCCCTCCACCACTGCAGCGGGTGGGGGGACCATGCGTGCCTGAGTCCGAAGAGCTGTTTTTCCACTGATAAGGGTCAACATTGGAAACAGCAGCGGACTCATCCCTTTTCTTATCGACCGAGGGACCCTAAGCTCTCAACACAGTGGTTTTATTATCCTATGCAGTCTCTCTATCTTCTTACACCGATATCTTTATACTACCGGGGTTGGGGCTGAGAAATTTTAGAAGATCTTTCCTACTTAAAGCTTACCGGTTGGCTTCTTTTGATTGTTTGTGATCTCACCGTTTGGTCGTTGGAAAATTTATCACTCAATATATAAAAGTTTCATTATGACTATTGAATACAACACTAGGAAATCTAGCTCGTCAAACATTGAACACGAAACAATGTCCAACTCTTCTAAACAGCAAGGCACTGTTGAGGTGATTTCCTTGGACCGTGCCAAATCTGATGCTGAGTACTTCCAGTCCGAAGTCGATGACTATACCATCGACCCAAAAATTGAGAGAGCAATTTGCTGGAAATTCGATCTAAGAATATTACCCTTACTAGCTATCATGTATCTTTTCAATGCCTTGGATAAGGGTAATATCTCGAATGCTAAGACCGACGGTTTGGATAAAAATTTGGGTATTGAAGGGCAGCAATGGAACAACATGTTGTCTATTTTTTATGTGCCTTTCGTTTTGTGTGCATTTCCATTGGCTTTGGTTATAAAGAAGTATAACGCTGCTAATATTATACCTGTCTTGATGTTCACTTTTGGTTCGATCAGCTTGCTAGAGGCAACTGCTTTCAACTACGGCTCATTAATGGCTGCAAGATGGTTTTTGGGTATCTGCGAGTCGGCATTCTTCCCTGGTATTATTTTCTACTTAAGTACCTTCTACAGGCGTCACGAATTAGCCAGGAGATTGTCTATTTTCTATTCCGCTGCAAACATTGCCAATGCGTTTTCCGGTTTGTTGTCTTACGGTGTCTTCCAAATTAAGAATAGTAAGTTACACGGATGGCAGATTCTCTTCTTGATTGAAGGTGCGGCAACGGTGATCATTTCTGTGTTTGCCTTCTTATACTTGCCAAGAAGTGCAGCAACAGCAAAATTCTTAAATGAAGAAGAAAAGGAGGTTGCCAGAAAGAGGGTTGAACTCGATTCTTCGGCCATCCAGACCGAAAAGTTGTCGATCAGAGACGCAATCAAAGTTTTCAAGCATCCAGTTTGTGTTGCATGGATGCTTCAAGAAATTCTCATTGGTGTTCCATTGAACTCTATCAACAACTGGTTCCCACAAATTGTTGGGTCATTGGGTAAAGGTACTGTCATGACCAACTTATACACCGTGGCACCGAACGTGTGGGGTGCTGTTGCATTGATAATCTTGTGTTTCATGTCAGATCTCACTCGTGTCAGATCTGTGTTCATTGTGGTCGGTTTGGCCGTTACTTTGATTGGATTCGTTGTCTTTGGTTGTATCGACACCAAAACTCACATTGGAGCAGCATACTTTAGCTGCTTTTTGATGACCACTGGAGGTTCGGTCTCCTCTGTTTTGACCTCAACTTGGTATAACAACAATACGCCGAATGAGAACAGACGTGCTGTTATTTCTGCAGTTGGTGTTCCACTTGCCAACGCTGCAGGCTTAATCTCTACAAACATTTTCAGGAGTAAAGATGCTCCAAAATATGTTCCAGCCTTGGGTATTACTGCAGGTTTTGGTGGTGCCGGTATCTTGATGGTGATCGGTATCTTGGGGTACATGATTTTTGACAATCGCCGCAGAAATAAAAATCAAGGAGTCAGTTTGACTTATCGTGACGTTCCTACATCGGAGCTATACGACGGACCAAGTAATCCCAACTATAGATGGATGTACTGAAATATTACTCAGCTGCTCTTGTTTAGTTCTCTTTATACTTTCTAAAGTTTGCAATCTTTTTACTCTTTTAATCTTCAGTCTTTGAACATGATTGTTATTAGTAGTAGTACCCGTAACAGGTCAGTAAAGTTAAAGATTACGTCAGCCATATTTTGTAATTTCAGCGATAAACTAAAACTCATGAATCATGCATGGATGGAAAACCTGTGTATCTACTTAACACTAATGTCGCATTTTCGTCGTAATTGAACTCCTATTCGTCCATAACGCTTTGATAATCGAATGCTATTATTCACAAAATAATGGCAGTAGAGATATCAAAGAAGAGAAAGAGGAGAAAGGGTCCCTTTATCTGTCCTGTTGTGAATTGTGGAAAGGTATTTTCACGATCAGATCATTTGGCCCGACATCAAGTAGGACACTCCTCTCAGAGACTCAGATGCGATTTTGAAGGATGTGGAAAAGTATTCACAAGGATAGACGTGAAGAAGAAACACGAAGCTATACATCGAAAAAAAAATAGTGGACAGACCTCACCACAGGATGACAACAACGAGTTTGCATCATCATCATCCAAAGAAGGCAACATGGTAGCTAATAAGACTTCTCCAATGTATAGTTCCGACCCGGTTTTTATCCATATTAATCCTGAAAATAAAGATTCATCTCCGAATGGGAGCTCAAGTTTCGGCTCGTCGAATGCTGGTTCATCGAACCACACACCCAATGAACAAATCGATATCAATATGAGTCCTCCTAACGTTATGAACATTAGTGATACGCCAAACACCGCAGGTAGGGTCACCACTGCCAACAATAGTCCGTTGAATATGCTCTTGAATATAGGGTCTGTGAATAGTTACAAAATGATGCCATCCCCTCTTTATGGGAATTTGGGAATGCAGGACCAGGAAGCAAGCAATACAATCAACAGTGAAAGTAGTATACTGAGCACCAACAGCACGCACAGTGAACCTGGCAGTGTGTCTCACGTGAGCCCACAAAATGGTGGGGCCCAAAACGAAAGTCTTGAAAGAGTGAAGATATCCAGTACGGGGCCAGAGCACTCCGAGCTGATAGAAAGAAGTAAAGGAAAAGAGCAGCTGCAAAAAGAAGATAGTACGGTAGGCGGTGTTACTCAGAAAAGTAACGATGAATTGGTTTACTCGACGGAAATGATACAAATGCTACTCGGAGGTGCAGCAGACGTTTCTCCCTCATCGGCACTTCATCTTGACCAGATTGCAAATGGCGCCTTCCAGGATCATCATGAAGAGCACATTGGGAAGAACACGCTATCGCTATTGGAGGAAGTGTTTGCACTGTCTCCCAATTTTCCGAATGAGAACTGCCAAACGGAGATCGACAACAAGACACTATACAATATGATACACTTTATTCCTGAGTTGGAAAATAATGCCGACTTCACTGTGGCGAAAATTAAGTGGTTTCTTGAGCTATATTGGTCGTTATACCATTGCCAGTATCCTATCTTGCACAGGCCATCATTTTCCACGTATGATGCGCCTCCACTTCTACTTTTAAGCATGATTATGACTGGCTCATCACTGGCGAAAAAGGTGACGCCACCGCCGGGTTTTCTTTTCGAGGATCCCTCCAAGTTGGCGATGATAATCGCAGAGCCGTTGCGATGGCTAGTTTTTGCATGCAACGAAGCCAAGCCGCCGTGCAAGGCGTGGGTCATCCAGAGTTTGATCATCTTGGAGACGTATGAGATCATCAGCTCCTCGAGAGCTTTTCACGAACGGGCTGTTATCTACAACGGCGCCAAGATACAGCTCCTAAGGCGAAGTCCTATACTTGGCGGAGACCCTTTCAAGAGCTATGGCTCGGATACAAGCAAGTCAACAAACCTGTGGAACACATGGATTGAGAGCGAGTCGATGAAGCGGGCTGCGTTGATGTCGTTCAACCTTGACACGATCCACGCGGTTGTGTTTGGTCACCCGATGAACATTTTCGCCAACCAGATCAAGCTCTCGTTGCCGTGTCCGGACGACATCTGGGAGTACAAGAACGTCGACAGAAACAAGGCGCCATACCATGTCACGGAGACGCCGCTCTTCCTGGACGCGCTGAAAAGCCTGTTGAAGGGGGAGGCCGTCAACGTGGACTCTTTCGGGAGACAGATCATACTCTCGGGGTTGATCAACCTCGTGCTGCAGACCGAGCAGAACGTGCTGCAGTGGAACAACTTTGGGTGGAAGACGATCGAGAAGAGCTGGAAGGACGACATCTCTGCGGCAATCAAGTTCTGGAAGACGCAGCTGCCCGAGGGCAACTGCTGTTTGACGCTGTCGAGCGTCTACTATGCCGGAGCGACGTCGCCGCCGTTGCCGCCGTCGTTGATGCCCGAGGACACGCGGTGCAAGTTCCCTGTGTACCACGCGGCGCAGATCTACCTGCGGATCACCCACTACGACTACATTGTGTTTGCCGGCGCCCCGAAGCGAATGAACGTGCCCATTCTGCCCGAGGACTACGCCATCGTGGTGCGGCGCATCGACAAGTGGTCCAACAGCGTGTCGGGCAAGCTATCCGTCATCAACTCGCTCATCCTGTTGTTCGAGATGCTTCTCTCGCCCGAGGGCTCCGTCGACATCGTCAACTACTACTACGAGCCGGACAAGGACCCCTTCATCTACCGCCCGAACGTGATCATCTGCGCCATCCTCTCGCTCTGGGCGTACGCGTTCCATGTTTTTGGCCCGGAGTCCTTGTTTTCCTCCCCCGACTTGCGCCACCAGCTCAAGAGCGGCTTCATTCCCGCCATGGAGGACGGCAGCTACTACCTCCGGCGCGTGCGCTCCGAGCTGGTCAAGCGCACGGGCATCTCCTTCTCGAGCCTCGACCACATGGACTCTGCCGAGAACATCAAGGCCATGAAGGAGTTCTGCCGCGTGCTTCCTGAGATCCGCGGGCTCCACCACCTGATCGGCCTCCTCCGCACGCTCGAGACGAGCTACCTCGGCTGCGAGTGGCAGGTGGGCCGTGAGTACGCCAAGTTGTTGGGCAACTGCATCAAGCGCAGTGCCGGCGCCACCCACGTCTTTTGCAACGACATGTACGACGTGTGAGGATGGGGGGGGGGCGTGGGGGAGGGCTGTCCCTCCACTGGGCGGAGCCCTCCACTAGCGTGGTAGAGTTGTCAGGCACCGCCCGCCCTCCGCGCCTTCTGATAAGCGCGTGCGGCCGATAAGCGCAGGGCCGGCGTCGCGGCCCGCCGGGCTCCCCCCAGGCCCGCAGGCCCCCCAGCGTCCCCCCACTGCCGGCGATGGAGGGTGCAGCAGGACGGGGTGGCCGGCGGACGGACGTGCTGTCCCGGCGGGCGCCGGCCCGTATAAAGGGTGCGGGCCTCCCGCCTGGCACATTCTTCTGTCAGCGGTCGGCACAAACCAGATAGGGCACCCGACACCCACCAACCAACCAGCGCCCCAATGTCCATTTTCGAAACAAAGCTCAACGACGACTACAGCTGGCCAGAGCCCTTTGCGGCGCTCCCGCTGGCGCTCGACGCGTCCATGGTGGACAAGCTCGACCCGGAGTACGTGGCCTTCTTCCGCGAGGTGCTGTGCGAGAGACCGGACATCCTCGAGACCCACAAGTACCCCGTGGCGCACACCAAGGCCGGCGGCAACGTCATCCCGGGCCAGGCGCCGGCCCTCGCTGTGGCCGACACCTACGACATTGCCATTCCGCGCAAGCACACGCAGCCCGACGCCGGCAGCATCCCCGCCCGCGTCTTTGTCCCGCACGGCGAGCCCCCGGCCGCCGGCTGGCCCTGCACCATCTGGTACCACGGCGGCGGCTGGGTGCTCGGCAGCATCGACACGGAGAACTCCTACTGCACGCATCTGGCTGATCGGGCCCAGTGCGTCGTCATCCCCGTGGATTACCGGCTGGCCCCGGAGTTCCCGTTCCCGGCGTGCGTGCACGACTCCTTCGAGGCGTTGCTCTACGTGATGGAGAACGCCAGCGCCCTGGGCATCGACAACACCCGTGTGTGTCTGGGCGGCTCATCTGCCGGAGGCAACCTGACCGCGGTCATGTGTCACCGCTACGCTGCGTCGCCGCTCGCCCGCGGGCTTCCGCCCATCCGGTTCCAGCTGATGGTCGTCCCCGTCACAGACAACTCCGCCACAGGCGAGACCCAGCCCTCGTGGGCGGAAAACGCGCTCACCCCGCAGTTGCCTGCCGCCAAGATGGTGTGGTACCGCAAGATCTATCTCCCGGACGCCGGCGCCACGCTCACCGACCCGGAGTCCAGCCCGCTCTTCTACCCGGACGAAAGCTTCCGCCACGTTCCGCCGGCGTTCATTGCCGCCGCAGAGTGTGACGTGCTCCGCTCCGAGGCCGAGGCCTACGACGCCAAGCTTCGGGCCAACGGCGTCCCCAGCACCCTGCACGTCTACAAGGGCGTCCCGCACACGGCGATGGTCATGAACGCCCGGCTCACGCAGGGCGCCAACCTCGTCCGCGACACCACTGCTGCTGTCCGAGCCGCCCTCCACGCGTAGATGCAGCCATCCATGGACAGATAGATAGATAGATAGATAGATAGACAGACCGATAGGTAGCCTGTGTAAGCAAGACCCTTGGTTGTCCCATCCAGTTTTGCACGAGCCTCCTGGGCTTCCCGCACCCCCTGGCCTTGGCCCGCGCCAGGCTTATCTCCATCAGGCCGTTCCGGCCGAGCCGCCTTCGGCCGATCGGCCCTGCAGGGCTCGAAAGACGTTAGGAAGGCGCGCATATTGATGCCAAGGCGGCGAGGGAGGCGAGGGAGACGAGGGAAGACGGGCAGAGACAGCGCCCGCCAGCAGCGTAGGGGTGTCTCCGCTGTTTCCTTCTCAAACGAAAGCCGTTTCATCTCCTTCTGAGAAAACTGTTCCCCTCAAAGGCCCCCCCTCGTCCGCTTTGACGATAGCAAGAACCCTGTGAAGTAAATGGACTCGTCTGCTGCTCTCGCCGCCGTCGGCGCCGCCAGCGCCGGCGCAGAGCTCTACGCTAGAAGCTTCATCCAGGGCCCGACACCAAAACTGGCCAGCGGGATCGGCTACGTGGTGGTGTTCTCGGTCCTCTTCGCGGTGAACATGCTCTCGTGCGTGTTCTACCACCAGTGGTGGTTCCTCGGCTCGTGGGGAGTCGGCTTGGTGCTCGAGATCGTGGGGTACGCGGGCCGCATCTGGTACACGCTCAACGACAACAGCAGCAGCGCCTACATCATGGAGTTGGTGTGCATCACCGTCGCGCCGTGCTTTTTGATGGCGGGCATCTACTACGTGCTCGCACAGCTCATCCTCATCTTCGGCAACGACTTTTCCCGCCTAAAGCCCATGCAGTACTCCCTCATCTTCATCATCTGCGACGTCATCTCCATCTTCGTGCAGGCGGCCGGCGGAGGCGTCTCGGACAACCCGTCCTCCTCCACCATCGGCCGCTACATCATGATCGCCGGCTTGGCCTTCCAGGTCTTCACCATCTCCGTTTTCCAGGTCCTCTGGTACGACTTCCTCTGGAAAATCTACAACACCAGGAAGCTCCACGGCGACACCCTCTTTAACCCGAAGTTCCCCCACATCAGAGCCAGACCGCTCCTCACGCCCTTCATCTGGGGGGTCTCGCTCGTCGTCATCTTGATCTACACACGGTCGATATACAGACTCATCGAGACCTCCTCCGGCTGGGAATCCTACTTGTCCACCAACGAGATCTACTTCAATATCTTGGAAGGTGTCATGGTCTCCGTCTCAGCCTTGATCATGGCCTCGTTGTCCCCAGGGTTCGTCTACGGAAGACACGCCCACCTCTACATCAAGAAGGACTCCTACAGCTCAGCAACAGCAGAGAGCGACGGGAGGGACGAGGCGGACGAGACCCTCATTGAAGCAGAAACGAAAGGCTCTAGAGACTATCTGTAATGCACGGGCGAGGCAGCCGTGGACCGGCAGCTTCAACTACTTAATTTTCGATATCCATATATGTATAGAACACTTAAAGTAAAACCTTATTCAGCTTGAAGTTGAGTGTCAGACTTTGAAGATCATGACCAGAACACCAGTTCACTTGATAGACATCACTCAGAAATGGGAGGGAAAGTTTAGCAAGAGCAGTTACATGGAAAATTGAAGACAGGAATTGTATTTAACAAAAATCTACAGTGTGAGATACCCGACTTGGTTCAACTACTGACTCCAATTCAGCAGGTCGGATCCAGTCAAAGTATTACCAGCCTTATTGAAACTGACTATTGGTTGTATAGTGTAGTGGTTATCACTTTCGGTTTTGATCCGAACAACCCCAGTTCGAATCCGGGTACGACCTCAGTTTATTTTTTTTGCCATTACAGCTTCCTGCATATCGATTGAAGCTTTATACTGGTTTATTCCTACGGTATATACATGATTCAACATTGAAGCTATAGAAAGTTAACACTCCAACATTATCTTGTTTTTTCCGCCTCATATTCTGTCAAAAAAATCGCCAAATCATCAAAATAGCCGTAGTGGTCGACGTCTTTATCGTAGTGGATGGTAATTCTGATAATTGATATCGCTGTGTCAATAGGAATAAACCGACCTAGCTTGCTTAAAGAGAAAAGAAGAAATTCGCAGATTTTGTTAAAAGTATTGAGGTCCCAGTTTGTCGATGTGCTAGTCTGATTGAGAATTAGCGTGGTATCTTTTTTATCAAGTTTCTTTTGTTCTGACATGATGAGGATTCTATTCTGCTTTTCAATCAAAGATTTGATCCTAGTATTTTTCCCTAACAAAACAAACAAATCCAAAAACCTCGTGACAAAGAAGGTGTGACCAAATTTAATTAAATTTTGCAGAACATCGATGCTGCGAGAAATTACTCTGAAGTCTTCCGTCTCGTTCAATATAGAGGAAACGATTCCCCACAAATTGGCACTTATAGGTAAAAATTTCGACTTCTGAGTGGCTATAAGTGGGATGATTCGGTCAATAACCTTCAAAAGTAAAATAACTAATGGCACCGATTTGGTCTGAGCTAGTCTTTCCGCATATGATAGAATGCTTGTGATGGTATTATAAAGCTTAACATTTATTGGAGATACCCATTTAGTGCCATCATCTCCACCTTCATCATCGGAATCTTCTCCGTTCATTTGAGAGGGAATGGATTTTGTATCATTCTCGTCATCACTATCATCATCACTATCAATTTCCAGAATCTTGCTTTTCCTCAATGGTTCCTCAGCAACTCCCATATCATCATTTTGGTTATCATTCATATCATCAAATGCAACATCATACTTATTTATAAACTCATCGACCTCATCCATTGATTTCAGTCCCCACATGCCAAAGGCTAGAACATTCTCATCTTCCAAATCAGTAGCAAGTTGCTCAAAGTCAAATTCCTTTTGATCATTATAGACTTTTGATAGAAGCTCGTCAAAGACCAAAAAGAAACCCTCAACAAGTGAAGTGTAACCGTGGTACATATCCAACAACGTAAATATAGTTCTAATTATATCATCCAATTCTGCAACTATATCAAGCGAGCCTATTTTCACTAAGACAGATAATATGATCGGTATTTTCGGTGTCAAACATTCACCCACCAATTTGCCAGATAAAGTGTCGATCAAATAATCTGCATTCTCTGAAAGGAGCTTCTCAATTGAACCATCGTAAAGTAAATTGGCCAACTTCAAAACCACTATTTGTGCTTCAGTTCTTATCAGTTCACTCGAAGACGCTAGACATTCAACGATTGGATAGAGCAAGTCAATTAACTCATCCTGAAATTCTATTCCGAGGACGTCCATCGTATTACTGATTGCTCTCAAACACATTATTGATGAGGAGGTAATGCTGAATAACTCGGTGGAACTTTCAGAACATTTCTTCAACGTTTGTGTCGAGGTTTCGAGTGAAAAATATGTTAGGTTATGTAATAAGGTCAACGAATCACCAGTAGCAAAGTTCGCTTCATTATCATCGACGATTTCAAAATAATCTTCTGGGTCAAACGGTTTTTTTGTTTTCACATTTTTTGTAATGTGAGATAAAATCCAAGAAGAAACAGCGTGATGTACTGTAATATTAGGGTTGGAAGAAATGAATCCCTCCTGAATGTTTGACATATCAAAATGGGCTATTTGTTCTATATTTTCCGATATGGTTTCAAAAAGATTCTCGAGTGCTGTTTCTGTTTCTTTCGTTATTATTCCGTTGAATAAAGGTGTCTTTTGTAACCCGTCATAGGTGGATTTATCATAGTGAGAAGAAACTAGTAACAATTTTCTCTCCATAGAGAGGGCCTGTTTATTTGAAGCGTGAACCTTTTTCTTGGAGTCACTGGTGCTCTTAACCTCTAATAACAAAGCAATGTTTTCTTGAAGCCTTGATAGCGTCTTTTCAAGCATTGATGCATCAATACCATTCATACCATTAAGAATTTTTATCAATAGATCTATGAATTGGATCATCAATTCTGCCTTTGTAGCATCAGGAGAAGAAAAATTATATTGCATCTTATGGAGTTCATCTTCTAGCGCTTTTTTCAACAGTAGTTTCAATAATTCGTTTTCGGGTATGTAAACCAAAGACTCAATAGTCAAAGGTATAAACGTTGGGTCTGCAAAACATATTGCGGATAATGATCGCAAAAGCATGGGTATCAAAGGATAACAAGATAAAAAACTACTCCTGATTATCTTCACGTCAAATTGAAAAATTGCATCTCGGATGTTGAATTTATCATACCTTTTCAAATCTACTTTGAGGATTATTTCCAAGGCTTTTCCAAACTGATTTAGGGTAGACCTTAACCACGAAGTAGTTCGATGCTGCTTCAAAGAAGTTGCACTTTCCGGAATAGTGATTACAAGCGAAGAATTGGGTTGAAGGTCTGTATTTATTGGGAAATCCAGGTTCTCCTTTGGAGAATCCTCGATACTGTCCCTCAAGGAGTCTAATGAATTGAATTTGCTCTCCGCATCAACCTCTAGGTCAAAGTCTGAAAAAATACTGCTTACAAGGGTGGTGAGAGTTACGAAGGCTTCAGATAGCACGTTCGAATGGGGCCTGGATGTGACTATCTTTGCAATAGAGGAGACACTTCCGGGGAAGAATAGTGACAAAATTTCACCGTTATCTATCAAGTGGAATAATATGTTTAATGTCTTCAGGGAGTGTGCCTTCATGGCTGAAATTTGTGATTCTACCGCAATATTCAATAAGGTACTAACGAGAAAACCCAAAGTGGGGACAAACTTGCTATTTTCCAACACCCGACTAGTGAAAGTCGAATCCTGGTTCAGACATCCCTGCAAAAGAACTTGAAGACACAGGACACCGTTCATAACCGTATCATCAGAATGTGTTTTCATAGAAAACTGGCCAGGTTTACCCCCTATCAAAAAGGTTATCAACGTGACATATTGTATGAATAGCTCGTTGGACAATGCTCCAGGTTGGCACCAAGAATATTTCAATAAAACATGTATAATGGATAAAACAACCTCTAATTCTGAATCTGTCATGCTATCACTTTGAAATAGTCTTGTTATTGGGACCATGATGTAGTCTGATAAGTTTACCGGAATTGAGAGTTGACCATCATTTGTGCTTGTCTCAATCTCCGATTTGAGTGTAGAGTCTAGGTCTTTAAGAGCATTCAATAGTTCTATGGACCCTGTTGTGCTGTTTTCCGAAAGCGTCAACTGAGCCAAAGTAACACATTTCGGCTTCACAGCTCTGAATAATTTTGCAGCTGCATCCATTGAGAACTCACAGTGTGTGTGGATTCGGTTGCTTCTTTTCTGCCCCAGAAACTTGCGCAAATCCACCGCCTTCGCCTTTCCTGTCAGAGGTAGAAGTAGACACACCTTCCACAGATGTTGAAGATAGATCTGCCATTTTAGGTCGATAGTCTTAACTTACCCGGTGTAGATGTGTGAGGCACTTCCGCCTTTCCATCGTCGACTTTCAAAATTTTCAGTATTTTACAAAGCGCAATAAATGGTGAGAGGGTAACTACTTCTTTTCAAATCTTACCTTGCGCTTCTTCTTCCTGCTCTAGGTCAACTGAGTTTTGATTCCACAGCTAAGAAAACCAGCGATACACAACGTACGTATTGGAAAAGTAATGTGTGCTTTTCAAAACGTGAACTGATCAATAGTTTACAAGCCCCATCCTCGTCCCATTATATATACAATAAGAAAGGTGAAAAATTCAAGAAGAATCTTACAACTCCTATGTCTGACAGCAAAAGAAAGTAAACACCGGCATTAGAAATTACGCTTGCCCTGTACTACTTAATCAGTAACTGCCATGTCTGGTGACATGACACTGATATTCTGATTTTGCTCTTACCGGTCACGTAATACCTTAATGTAGCTTGGCACATTTATTGCCCAAGTTTTCAGTTACCAAGCTTTTTTGGTGGCTCATGAATCCCTATGGACACTCATGAGGCTTTGTTTTACTATTTTCAAACCCAAGTGGGAAAACCAATTTACAGTTTTTAAAGTTTCCGTATGAATAACGAAGCAGAGTGCGAGAAGTGTGACAGCTCCAAGAAGCCTCACCCCTCTGCGATACTAACATGGTTCTTTCTTTGTTACTTCAGATTTAATTTTCCACATTACACACAATGACCAGAAGCTCAGTCTTAGCAGATGCTCTTAACGCAATCAACAACGCCGAAAAAACCGGTAAGAGACAAGTCTTGATCAGACCTTCTTCAAAGGTTATCATCAAGTTCTTGAGCGTCATGCAAAAGCACGGTATGTATTTCATTTTTTTTCTCCCTTTTACACCGGAATGATAACTGGATGGCTTGTCGTTGAATCACTATTCTACATAATTTTGATTTGTTATCTTATCGCTGGCTGTCTTTTAGTTTTCCGGAAGATCAAAATGAGGCGAGTGGATAACTAGTGGCTAATGTGTCTTTTAGCATGTTAGCTTCATCTGCTCCCTTGAACATTTTACTTTTGAAAACACTACTAACACATTTTTTTGGCTAATTTTTTTATAGGTTACATTGGTGAGTTTGAGTACATCGATGATCACAGATCAGGTAAGATCGTTATTCAACTTAACGGTAGATTGAACAAGTGCGGTGTTATCCAACCAAGATATAACGTCAAGATTGGTGAAATTGAAAAATGGACTGATAACTTGTTGCCAGCAAGACAATTCGGTTACGTTATCTTGACCACTTCTGCAGGTATTATGGACCACGAAGAAGCCAAGAGAAAGCACGTTTCTGGTAAGATCTTGGGTTTTGTTTACTAGGTTATTTTAAGAACTTTGTAAATTCTTTATAGCATTTTATATTTTCAGTCAATCGGTTTATGTTTATTACTCATCTGATCGTAAAACACTATTTATTGGAATGCTATAAAAATTTACACATGAATTACAACATTACACTAAGCAAAAAACAAGCCTGAATAAGTATTGCTATACTCTTGAGCAATCATCAGAATAAACCATTTAACAATGATTGAATAGAAATACCACAAATTAGAGAGAATAGTGGATTAAGTTTCGAAGTTACTATTTCAAATGTTAGTATAGGGTTAGAATAACTAACTTGAAATGAAAATGGGATATAGATAAAAAGGCTTGTTAAGGATTAATCAAAATTTAAAATTTTGTTGCAGACATTGTTTTATTTCTTTTGGCAATGATATATTCATTGTTTTTTTTTATTCCCTTCTTATCTTTTACATTTGGTAGAGGTCTTGATTTCGCTATAGCCTTTGTTCTTGCCTTTGCTTTTGCTTGCATTAAGTCTTTGTTTCTATTATCGACCCTTGCCCTAGGGCTGGATTTTTTTGAATTCAACTTTGCCTGTGGTTTAGCATTTGCTTTAAGTTTAGGCTTTGACTTAGAATTTGGCTCAGGCTTAAGTTGGGGCTTGGAATTTGGCTTAGATTGATCTTTTGACTTTAATTTTGGTTGCGATTTTAGCTGTTGCTTTGGCTTTGGCTTTGGCTTTGATTTTGATTGTGACTTTGGCTTTGGCTGTGACTTTGGCTTAGGCTTCGGTTTTGAAATTACTGTTGTTTTGGACTTCTTTTTATCATTGCCATCTCTTTCTTTCTCTGCAATTGCTGCCTTTTTCTTTCTTGTCAAGTTTTCCTTTTTGTTTTTATTCTTCCCAGTTTTATCTACTCCATTTTCATTTTCTTCATCTTTGGTTTCTTCACAATACTCACATGATATTGAATCTTTAGGATCTGCTAGTGGTTCAGGAACAGGCTTTACAATCGGTTTTTTATTGAATACAGTACCATCTACCGAAAATATCTTGAAATTACTAGTCATATCTTCTTGAGTTAATGGGACGAATTTGCCCTTTTCTTGGTTATTGAAAGATTTGACAATGGATTCACCCATTGATCTTGGTATTCCCTTGGATATATCAAGATTGGCATATTTTAATTCACACACTTTCCGCTTTGGTTTTTGCTTTCTAACATTTTTACTTTCGAAATTTTGCTGATTTTGTAGCAAGAGTTTCTTTGACAATGGAACATCTTGAACTTTTGATATTTGTTCCTTAAATGCAAAGAAGTCTGGTAATAGCTTAACATTTCCAAACTCATCATAATCCACTAAACCATAGTTGTTTGGTTCTTGAGCAAACTCATAAACAAGACCACCCGAAAAAACGCTTGTCATTTCCGATGAATAAATTGAAGAAACTTCTTTGAAAAGCCTTGGTAAGACTTCATTACAACCATATTCTGAAAAGAAAATTGGTTTAGAATAAGTAGAATAGTCTCTTACCAAATTATTATATCCTGATGTGATAAAAGTCTGCTCACCACACCATTGGTAAGTATTGACACCATAGAAATCAACTGTCTCTAAAGGATCTGTTTCATAACACTCCAAGTAGTCAGCCAACGATATTCTATATGACAAATCATCTGCTGCTGAGTAACCAACAGGGATTATTCTGGCACTATTAGACTTGATAAAATGTTTCATATCTCTAATAACCGCCTTAATATAGACAGGTGAATTAGTCGCTGATGTTTTGTCATTGACAATTTCATTCCCTGCAAAAAACGCCAATGTATTGTTATAGCCCGAGAATTCATTAACCACATGGAAAACATGACCTACGTATTTGTCGTTGTAAGTAGTCCAAGGCTCGTATCTATTTAAATGTTGACCAACCATAGGAGAGTTAACATCTAAAACTAAGTAAATTCCAGCTGCTGCCAACAATGTCATGCATTTGTCGTGATTTAAACTTGGATTGACGGAGTATACTCTAATTGTATTTATTCCCAACTCCTGAAATAAGAAAATATCTCTGGCACATAAAGCGGGATTGGAAAGAGGATCAGAATGTTCATTCACTCCACTAGATCCCCCGGGCTGATAGTCCACTCCTTTGATGAAGAACTATACAAAATCAAGAAAAAAGAGCAGAGAATAGAACAAATGTTTGTTATGAAAACAAACCAACAATGTTACAAAAGACAGGAGTTAGTAATTGTTCAAATAAATAACACAATACGAAGTATGTTTAAAGTGGAGAGCCGAAATGCACGACTTAGACTTACAGGTTTATTAGTGATCGAATCATAAAAATGATTGCCTCTTATTTCAATGGGATGGATAATGGCATGCGTCAATGTTGACAATGTCAAAACCACAAAGAGCACTATATGGAACATCTTTATACTTTTGCGGATCATCTACACTTTAAATTGCCATGAAATAGAAGTAAGGGAAAGGGATGAAGGGTAAATAAGAAGAAGAAAAATGAAGAGAGGAAATGGGAAGGAGAAGGGGAGAAAAAGAAGTAGAAAATAGGAGAAGAACATCTAACAGAAGGCTCCCACAAACACATACATAGCAGAGAGATTAGAGTTACGAAGGAGAAGAGGCACACAGAAGTTATTGTAGGGCACTTTTCAATATTTTCCCCTTTCGGAAGGAGCCTTTAACGATTCATGCCGATGCGAACTTTGATCTGATAATACAAAAGGTACTTTTTTCCTTCTTTTTGACTTATTCCTATTTTTTTCCTTAAGTAGATTTAAATGTATTCATGAGATGGGTTTGCTTTATAATTGATCTGTAAAATTTTATATTATTTATAAGAATATAAATTTATTAAAGGGTAATGGAATAAAAAATGAAGACAAAAACACAAGAATAAATAAATTTGGGGGGAAATGACCGATGGTTATGATGATGATTGTGATTATGAATATGACAAGATACCATTGTCATCGATCTAAGCGGAGGCACCAAAAACTTCATCTAAGAAGGCTTCTTCTTCTTCATGGTGCAAGTGCTTGTTACCAGCAGCAATGGAAGCAGATGGGTTTCTACCAGCGTATCTTAGTGGAACTTGTAGACCTACTTCTCTTTGAGTTTCAAGGATTCTTGGAAGAACGAAAGAGTATGGACCAAAGTTCATTGGCTCTTCTTGGCACCAAACAAAGTCTTCAATGTTTGGATAAGATTCCAAGACTTCCTTCAATTCAGCGTAAGGGAATGGATGGAATTCTTCGATCTTAACGAACGCAGTTTCCTTGTTGTTCAAGTCAGCTCTTCTCTTGTGTAAGGTAGTGTAGACTTGACCAGAACATAAGACTAACTTCTTAATACCTTCTTTATCGTTGATGGACTTACCTAATTCAATGTCATCAAGAACTGGTCTGAAAACAGAGTCACCTAAGAATTCTTCCTTTGGAGATCTTGCTAATGGATGTCTTAACAAGGACTTAGAGAAGAATAAGATTAATGGCTTTCTGTATTGACGATGCATTTGTCTTCTCAGCAAGTGGAAGATAGATGAAGGAGTAGATGGGTAAGCAACTTGCATGTTACAGTCTTGGAATTGTCTTTCCAATTTTTCTGGAGATGGGAAACCTCTAGAGTCTTCGTTACACATTTGCAAGTATCTTTCAATTCTTGCAGAAGAATGTTCTGGACCTTGACCGTCGTAACCATGAGGTAAAGATAAAACGATACCGGATCTTTGCTTCCACTTAGATTCTGCAGAGGAGATGAATTGATCGACAATGACTTGTGCAGTGTTGGCGAAATCACCGAATTGAGCTTCCCATTGGACAAAGGCGTCTGGAGAGGTCAAGGAGTAACCGTATTCGTAAGACATGACACCGTATTCAGACAATGGAGAGTTTGCAATGACAAAGTCGGCTTGAGAATCACTCAAGTTCTTCAATGGAACCCAGTGAGAGTCGTCCTTTTGGTCGTGCAACACAGCATGTCTTTGGGAGAAAGTACCTCTTTCGACATCTTGACCGGTAACTCTAACATGGTAACCTTCCAGTAACAAGGAACCGAAAGCCAAGGCTTCACCGGTAGACCAGTCAATACCTTCGCCGGATTCGATGGACTTTAATCTGTTCTTCAAGATTCTCTTCAAGTTTCTGTGAACGTTGAAGTCACTTGGATAAGAACCGACGGCAGTACCGACCTTGTTGAAAACTTCTTCGGAGACACCGGTTGGGTTAGCAGGCAAGACTTCGGTGGCCAATTCCTTTGGAGATTTGAAGTCTTCCCATGGAGCGGTCAACCATTCTCTTGATTCTGGCTTGTAGTCCTTTGCCTTGTTGAAGGATTCTTCGAAATGGTCCCAAACCCACTTCTTGTGTTCTTCGATATCATCGGCGGTGAAGGTACCTTCGTTTTGTAACTTTTCAACATACATGTCAATGACTTGCTTCTTCTTGGCGATTTCTTCGTACATGATTGGTTGGGTGAAGGAAGGTTGGTCAGTTTCGTTATGACCGTACTTTCTGTAACCAACAACGTCTAAGACAACGTCAGTCTTGAAGGTGTTTCTCCATTCAGCAGCCAAGTTGAACAAGTAGACGACGGATTCGATATCGTCGGCGTTAACGTGGAAGACAGGAGCGTTGATAGTCTTGGCGAAATCGGAAGGATAGGTGGTGGATCTGGCGTGGGCAGGGTCGGTGGTGAAACCGATCTGGTTGTTGACAATGACGTGGATGGTACCACCAGTGGCGAATGCTGGGACGTGGGTCAGAGACAAGGATTCGTAGACGACACCTTGGGCAGCGACAGCGGAGTCACCGTGGAACAAGACACCCAAGGCCTTGTTGAATTCGCCAACGTCGTTCTTGGAGTGTTGGATGGCTCTAACTCTACCCATGACGACACCGTCTTCAGCTTCCAAATGCGAAGGGTTGGCCACTAAGGATAAGTTGACGGTTTTACCGGAGGTGGTTGGTCTAACGTAGTTCATACCCAAGTGGTATTTGACATCACCGGAACCTTCGCCTTGGCCCTCATGGATGGAGACACCGGCGAATTCGTTGAAGATGGCCTCTGCTGGCTTTCTGACAACGTTGGTCAACATGTTCAATCTACCTCTGTGGGGCATACCGATGACGATATCCTCGACACCGAATTCGACGGCAGTGTCGATCAGCGCCTTCATACCCGGGACGACGGACTCGGCACCTTCCAGACCGAATCTCTTGTCGTTAGGATACTTGGTGGAGAGAAAGTTCTCGAACTCACAGGCCCACATGAGTCTGTCCAAAATCTGTCTCTTTTGGTCGGCAGAGAACTTGTAAGGAGTTGGGATTTCGATTCTCTCTCTCAACCAGTCGCACTTCTCTCTGGAAGGGATGTGGATGTACTCGATACCGTAGGTGGAGCAGTAGATGTTTTCGCAGTACTGGATGACCTCCTTCAACTTCAAGGAGTTGATGCCGCTCTCCTTGAACTTTGGCAAGATGCCCGGGCCCAAGGAGATTTCCTTCTCCAGGTCGGCGTCGGTCAAGCCGTAGTACTCCAAGGTCAACTCCTTTGGAGCAGGCTTCTTGGCGTCTCCGAAGGAGACGTGCAAGGGGTCGAGCTTGGCCTTCAAGTGGCCTCTGACCTCGTATGCCCTCACCAAGAGCTGGGTCTTCAAGTGGGTCATCACGTCCTCGCCGGCAACGTGCGTGTCGGAGTCCGGCACCATCGAGAGCGACCCAACAGGGCTAGGCATGATGGTTGGAGGAGCCTGGTAGGCCATGCTGGCCGGTCTCTTGCCGTTCAGGTTCTTGAAGTATGCGTCCCACGAGATGTGGACAGACTTCGGGTCCTGCAGCCACGCCTCGTACATCTCGTCGACGTACGACGCATTGTCGCCCTGCAGAAAGGTGTCCTGGCCAAAGAACCGCAGCGAGGTCACAGGCTTGAAGCACGCCAGTCTGGCCTTGGCGCCGCTATTCACCACGGCACGTCTTGAAAGCTGTTTCGAGAAGGATCTGAGCATTGCACAAGTGATCGTTGTTCTTCTTCTTCTTCGTCTTCGTCTCTGAGTCCTTCCAAGCGGGGGATGCACAACAAACAGACGCAGGAGAGACAAGGGCACGCAAACAGCACAGAAACCGCCATCCACAAGCGGTGCTGAATCACCCAAACACTCCTCCCGGCACCCAAGGAGGCCTCTCTTGTTGCTGGCTTGCCTGCTCCCCGCTGCCTCGCTAGCCGGCCTGCCTCCTGGACGTGAGCGTGTGTGCCAACAGGAGCCCGGCGAAACGGGCATTACATAATGCGCCCGCATAGCGCGCCAGGGCGACGACAAATTCGCGCAGTTTCAGTGGACGGAGCAGACTCGGAAAAGGGTCGGGGCACACGGCCGCCGACGGGGGCGCCGGCGGCGGCCGGGCCTGCTGGCGGGCCTGGGGCCCGGGGGGGATGCGGGTTTGCCGTGGCCACGGAGAGTCTACGTGGAGGTGGCCAGGGACGGTGCAGTTGCGGCGGCTGGAACTGCGCCAGTCAGGCAGCACAAGACAAAGAGGCTGGCCCACGGGCGCAGACGGCGCCGGAGAAGCGGGCTCGGAGTCTGTGTGGAAAAGCGGGAGCGTCGAGGCTGCGACGGCGGCGGCGTCGGTTTCCGAGAGGCAGAGAGCGAGGAAGCTCCGGGGTTGGCGGGCTAGCCTTGGCGAAGAAAAAGGGGGAGCAGAGAAGGGGAAAGCGTGCTGTGAACGTGCCAGAGCCAGCAGCTGCCGTTGTAGCCGTCGTGTCGTTGTAGCAGCAGTGCCAGAGAGACGGGGCAACCGGCCCGGACGGAGACCGGCTGTCCATCGTGGCCGGCACCGCTGCGCTGAGCATTATCGACTCGGCTTTGCGACGGACACGGGGAAATGGAGAAACGGGAAAGAGAAAAAACACGGCCGCCGCAAGGCACGTGAGCGGAGCATCGACGCGTCGGCGGGCGCGGCGGCGGGTCACGTGCGGCGGTTTCCCCGTTTTCCCACTTTTGCATGAAATTTCAGCTTCGAGCACCGGAATCTTCACCTACCCGGTTGTGATCCACGATATCTGGGTGCAGGCCGGGTCCTTGCGTGGTCCGCCACCCGGTCCTGCTGCCTTTCCATCTGCCTGCACTCGGAACCATTGCTGCGAAAGCCTCCGGCTGTTTCCCCCCGTCTTCACGCCCTGCACCCACGCCCATGCTACGGTTCTGCTCTCCACGGGTACGACATTCCCAGCTGCGCATCGCGTGCCGGCACAACCCACCGCCACCCCTGCGGTACCACTGGACGGCCGCCGGCGGCGGCCGTGTGGTCGATGCAACAAGCCTCACGGAGTTCCTCGAGTTCGAACGGGCGCTGCAGCGTGTAAAGCACGCAAAAACCCCGCTCGACACCAAGGTGAGGTTCCTTCTGTCGCATCACAGCAGAGTCGATATCTCCGACCTGAACATCGGCGGCGAAGACGCCCCGGCGTTCTTCAGCATGCTCGTCAACGCACACAGCATGGACCTCAAGACCACGGACATACGAGGGCTCGGCAAGCTCCTCAAACTGCTGCCAACCGTGTCCCCCCGCGGACTGGAGACGGTCAAGAATTGTGGGATTCTTGACCCGGCCGGCAACGCCGCCGTGGACACCTTCACACACAGGTACGACGACAGGCTCCAGCTCTTGACCATCGACATACTCATCACGAACAAGTGCTATGCTGAGGCTTGCCGCTTCTTGCAAATATACGATCGGCTGAAAAAGGACCGCCAGAAGACCATCAAATACCACTTCAAGCTAGCCAAATTCCACGAGTTCTCCGACAGCGTCTCGCCCAAGGTGTCAGCAAAAGACATCGTGGACAACAACTTGGTCCATCTATACATTCGGGAGCTGCTCAAAACCGAGTCTCTTTCGCTGGAGCAGAAGCTGGAGAAATTTTTACTTATACTATACAAGTGGCTCAACCTCGTTGAAATTGCAGACCTAAAGAGGCCCTCGGAAAATCAAATACACATCTTCAATACAGCCTTCCTCTCCCTCTTGTCCAGACAGGTGGGAATACCGTATTCGGTACACCTTGCGTATTTCGCCAAACTCTACCCCAAATCAGTCCCAATGCTCCAAGAATTGTCTTTGCTTTCCGTTCCATCTTCGTCATCATCGACGTTATCCAAGGCGTATGCCCCACTGTTGAGCGAGCTTCCACAGGTTAATATTCGTGAAGAATTGATCCAATCCTCACAGCCCTACATGGAAGATCTGTCCATGCTATATTCGAAATTCTTTCACGAAAAATTCCCCAACAGAGCATACACGAAAACTCTGTTCAAGGAATACCATTCTTTAGTTTCTAGATACCAGAAGAAGGAGACTTCCAAACTAGTGCCACACTCCATCCGTTTCAAACACCCGTTCAGTAGATACAACCATGACTCCTCCATATTGTCTGCCTTCATCAATCACACTTTTGAGAACCCAACGGGGTTACTAAGACCCAAGTTGACCTCCAATATAGTGGAGAAATTTTACTCTGAGTTAAAATTTTCTCACATAGATTACTACAAGTCGAAGAACCACAAGTCTCACATCAGCCAGTTATCCTCATTGGTGAGGTTTTTTGCAGACACAAAAAATCCGAGTTGTGATATCTCGAAGGCATTGAACTTGCTTAAACTTTTCACATTCGAAAACATACTCCTGGATATTAAGGTATACCTTTTGCTGATCGATTCACTAATCAAATTGGACTTTCTCGAAGATGCCAAAAAAATGTATCTCTTCGTTTCACAACATCCCATCTTATCAAACAGGTTGACAAAGGAAAAAGTTGCGCCTTTATGCTACAGATACTCGTGGCCATACCCAGAACAGCTCTTGATTTTCCCGTCAACGTTGCAAAATCAGTGCTTCACCTACAATAGAGATTATTTATCAGGTGATCTCTCACCGTCTGCCCTGATCGAATATCTGGACTCATCGATTGAATCCCAAAGGTCACTTATCAAAGATGGAAAACTTTAAACGCATAGAAATTTTTTATAGAAAAGCTCATGTACATAATCTGTATTATATACTGCATGAAGATGAATATTCAATGGTCCGTTTGAATGAATGAATGAATGAATGAATGAATAATAATAATAATGAAGTTGAAGATGAAGATGATGATAACAATGTTTATAACAAAGACAAAGCCTTTAGTGGTAATGTTCCTAACCACTTTTGGGATCTTAATCTTGTACTTTTGTAAAATTTAAATGTCCTCACCAAAAGAGTCAATTGTAACAACCTGTCCAGGCTTGAAAGCAGGAAGCCCCAGAAATGGACAACTGTCGCACCTGAAAGCATCACCCAAAGAGCACGAGTTGCATCCACCAGTCTTACCCTCGATGGTGAAATCTATTTCGGTCATATCATCTGCTGTAAACCTAATGACTGTCTTTTTGACACCGTCACTCTTGCCGTTTTTGTTCTGGGACTTCTTGGCCGCATTTTCACGCTGTTGAATCCTAGCCTCAATTTCTTCGGCTTCCTTGCTTGCAGACTGCGCCATACGGCTCAGCATCGAGTCCTGAATGGACTTTTGTCTGGCCTCTTCTTCTTCCTCGATCTCCTTCAGCCCGCAGGTGCAATCCTTACAGGCTTTTCTTCTCTTCGATCCTGTGACGGTACATTGTACAGGCTGCACTGTTGGCGCACCAATGGAATCTAGAAGTAGTTCTGAGTCGTCCAGCATCTGGATATCATCATCTTCACCATCATCCATAGCGTTGGCCCCGTCGTCGTACTCCACATTCAAAAACTCCAATTTTTGTCTTTTTTCTTCCTCCGATAATAGTTTCTCGGAGTCTGTATCAGAAACTGATGTGTCTGTCAATGGTGGAGGGCTACTCAATCTTTTGAACTTTGGCAAGAACGAAGATGTGGAGCTAGAGGAATCATTGGCGGATGCGGCTTTAGTGGTTCTTCTTAGAAGCGAAACACCCCCTTTCACTCCGGCACTGATGCCAACACTGGAGCTGGCTCGGTCTGGCTTCATCCATGACTTGTTGTCGTCAGATATTAAAAAGCCTGTCTGAATTGCCAGAATTTGGGAGTTGTTAGGAAGTAAACCGGTGAATTTACCGCTAGCCTTTAAGCAAGAGTACAACATTTCCATGATTTTCTTGTTGAATTCGTTTTGGACAGCTTCCGGAGGAGCTAGATAGTGTACCACATCGTAGTAGTCAGCCGGTAGTGTCTGCTGGCCGGAGGCGACCCTGTCGATGACGTACTGCGTCAGCACAGATTGTGGGTACTCCGTGGAAAGAGCGTTTTTGGCGTCATCTACCGTACCTGGACTGGTCACCACCGTTGGATGTATCAAGAGCAATATATTCTGCGACATGCTGTGTAGGTGTGTGTGTGTGTGTAGGCGTGTTCTGAGGGTTTGTGATGTCTGTCAACAAAACCTGAAAAGGGGAAATCGCCAGACGACAAGAAGGAGGTTGGGCAATGTAGAGATAAAGAGGACCAGCAATGACTGGAAAGGCGAAAATTTTCAGTACGAGGAAGAAAAGAGCGGAACAGGCGTCGGGGTTTGAGCTCTCTTTCTTTCACACGCTGACTAATCTCACTTTGGGTGGGGGCGGTTGAGGAGGAAGAATAGATACCAAGGCCAGTTGAAACTGCGCTCTGTGTCCCTTGTGGTGCTGTACATGTCGAATCCAACTTCTGTCTTCCCGACCAACCGAGGCCCTGCTGAAAGGTATATATATACCCCCAGGGTCATCTCCTCCGCTGTCCATAGACGGTCCGAAACGGGCATCTTTTTCCATGCTGACGTAATGTTATAACTCTTATCAGCGGTGGAGACTCCGGAACCGGAGAAAGAGGTACAAAGAGCTAGAGAGGGAAATAAAGGCTAAACTGAGGTGTCTGGGGACGCAGGGGTAGACTAGAAAAAGCTACAGAACCAGGTAGAGTGGCGAAGGGCCAGTGAAATGCTCTGTAAGGCGTCTGCCCAATAGCCGGTGCCGTAATAACGGCCTAGAACGCGATTGTGTCATGGCGACGACGGAGAATTAGCACCGGAGTGAGAACTCCTGGTTTCACATCAGCAAAGGATATCTAGGATATATAGTCCTTGCCTGCCATGACTCTAAGGGCATTATAGAGCCCCTTAACGCTCGGGCGTCTCTGACCGTTAGAGTCTCCCTTTCTTCAACATATGACCCGTCCCAAACAGGGAAAAAGTAAACACCGCGACAGCTCGCAAAACGTTGTAGAGATTTGACCTCTATTTACAAAATATTTGCGTCAAGGTGCTGATGAGAAAGAGCTATTTTAGCTTTGAATCAGACGTTCAAGCCGACCGATACATACACCCTCAAAACACAGAAACACTAGCGAGGAGGAGAAAATGGAGTGCACGGTGCAGACAGGCCGCAGCACGGACAACATGGATTTGATCACGGAACTGTCCCGTGAAGATCTTCTCAAAATCATCAAAACGGCCTTGGTGTCGAAGAGTGCTAGCCAGACGACAGATTCAAAAGATGCCGTAGAGGAGGAGGGAGAGCAACGAGAGGAAGCTGGGATTAACATTAGCACGACAACATTGCTGCAGAGCCCCGCACAACAAGAAGCGCAGAGGAACCATTCGACGCCGAACAAAAACATGGTTGGTATAAACGAGATCCACGAACCGGTCATTTTCGAGCTCCCCATGGATAACATCATAAAGAAACTGAATGAGATCCAAAACTTGTCATCACTTTTGGGGAACAAGGAGAAGAAGTTGAAAAATTGGTACAGCTCCTTAATCTCCATTTCTGATACTTTCATTTCTGATTTGAACTCAGACAAAGAGAGGATAAATACCGATTTTGTGAAGTCGTTGGAAACAATCACCAAAATTTTCTCAATTACTTCCAAGTTTTCTCCCATAGAAACAATCAATGAATCAGTGTTAACGCCGACTATACGAAATCTGATAATGGATTTCAAATCCAACACTTTTACATCCTTGGAAAACTACTGCTCTGATGATCTGTCCATGTATACACTTAACAAGGATGTCGAGGAAAACTTGATACGATTGATTCCAATATTGTCCCAGCAACTTCTTACGTTCAAAAAACAGTTGAAAAAGTTTTACTCGCTGTACGACCTAGTCGATGATTACGAACATCTTGACCGATCATTCCTCTCCAAAATTCCGACAAAGACTGATATTGGACTCTTCAACGAGATCAATGAAGCAACAGATATTAAATCGATTCTTCAAACAAACTTCAATCAGATAAACCCAGATCTTATTCGACAACTAGACGTCGAGTCAACAAAACTGAACCAATATATAGTAAGGAAAGCACAATTGTTAAAAGCAGTGATTATCGATGTGACAACTTTGAATCATGAGCTATTCAGAAGTAACGAGGATCAATATCTACAATTACCTACTTCTGTTGATGACACAGAGTCTATAATATCACATTTTGGGGTTAAATCCGCTGTTTTCTCCCACTACGACAACATCTTGGGCGAATTACAAAACCTCAAAATCGAAAGAGAAAATTTGTTGAACTCATACTTGGTTCAAGTCGAACAGTTGTGGTCCATTCTAAGGCCCGATTCTAACGAAATTCAACATTTCTTGAAGCAAAACAAGAATCTCTATGCTGATTCCCTCCAAAATTTTGAGAATCTTTTGAGTGAGTTGGAAGATGAGAAGTTGACAAACATCAAACAATTTATTCGGATTTCCAGGGAAAAAATACAAGGGTTTTGGGATATTCTCATGTACGATGAGGAATCAAGATCAAGTTATACAGATTTTTATATTGAGGATGAACAACAGTTTGACGAGAAGTTGCTGGATTCTCATTCAGCTGAGTTGGAAAGATTGCGAAAGGAAAGTGAATGTCTGAAACCTTTGCTAAATCTAATTTCTAAACTGAATGATTTGGTAGAAGAGAAGAAGCTTTTGGATGATGCGTCGAAGGATCCATCCAGATTGTTGAAAAGAAACTCTTTCCAAATCTTGAAGCAAGAGGAGAGAACAAGAAATATGTTAGGTAAACGATTTCCGCTGGTGATCGAACAACTCAGAGCCAAAATTGACAGCTTTGAAAAGGAGAATGGTCGAACATTCAAGCTTAATGGCGAATCATACCTACAGAAACTTGATGAGGTTGAAAATTTCTGTATTCACAGCAGACGGAACTATCGATCCTCCTTCAATTCACCTACAACTTCTTCAAAATGTAGGAAGTTCACATCTATGCCTTCCCAAAGAAAAACGACGTCAAGAGCTAAAATTGTTGCAACACCTTCTCGCTCAATAATTAGAAAGAGGGATCCGAGCCAAATGACAAATCCATTTTTATCAAAGGAGCCAACACCCTTGAGAAAGCAACGCACCATGACACCCTCTTTTTCTTCGTCATCGAAAACTAGTACTCCTCAGTCGCTTTCGACTGAACCGATAATCTTACGAGGAAGGTCTCCTGTGCGTAGTCTCAATTTGAATGGCTCGACAAAACTGACCTCGTTTCCAACAATTAAATCTCCAAACTTAGCAAGTTCAATTTCTTTCAGTGCACCCTCGAAGCCAAACTCGGTACCTTCAACAACAATGGCAAAAACTTCTTCAAAAAAGGTACCCTTGAGGTCTTCTATGGGATTGATCAATAAACCTAACTTTAATAATATACCCTCATCCATAAAAAAACCTACCTCAATTCCTGTGGAGGAATTAAGTGACTCGATTCTCGAGTATTCAGATACCGAAAATGAAGACAAACAGGATACATCTAAAAGAGACAAAGAAAATATGAACCCTGTCACTATGGCTACAATTTCGAAAGTCATGAGTGAACAAACACATCATTTTAATCTGAGTCTGGATTCAGAAACTTTCTAATATTTTTTGTAACATCAACTATGTAATATATCTATAACCTGTATACAAATATTCGGCTTTCTTTTACACTATCCATTTATGGTAAAAACAATTGTTTTCAACTTTTGCTTGATTGATTTTCAGATTCTTCCTCATATGGTTTGACTTCTCTGGAACCAACATCTTTCCAATCGGTACTCAAACTTGTCCCATTACTTTCCATGAAGCTCTTCATCATTGCTCTTCTAGCATCTTCATCGGCATTTTCATAAAGCTTTTTGAAAAAAGCATCCGGATCTTGGTCTTCTTCCTCTTTGTCGTCATCAATATCAAACTTAGACCAGTCTATCTTTTTGTTTGAAGAAGAAGGATACGATAAAATGCTTTTTGCCTCTGTTAGATCTATATCCTGTCCTTGTTTCTCTTCTTCTGCTGCCTCATCTTCAAAGTGTGCATCCTGTGGTCTCTCTAATGCATGCCATGCTTTACTGTTTTTCTTGATCAATAAAATCTGAAGCTTCGTGCCATATACCGTATAGGTGGACTTCGTTTCGTCTATAGATGAAAAAAGCCTATCTACCTTGTAATGATAGCTTAATTTATCAGCATCTTGAAACTCAAATTTTATTGAATCAGGCAAAATCACCGCTTTGACTGTATCTGCATCGATTTTCTTCACGTAAAGTGAAATTTCCACCGTCTTTCCCGAATCAAACCAATCAGACCTAAGTGATTGTTTAGCAGCTTGAACTTGGGCAGATACAGCAGCATTTGAACTTGAGGAAGTTGTTACTTTCTTTTTAGGCCCTGATGTAGAGAATTGCAGAGGAACAGATATTATTTTCTGTCTTTCTTGTTCCATCAGCTCATCAGATAAATCGTGCGCCTTTTTGTATTTCTGTGCAACCATATTTGCAAACATCTTAATCTCTGAGTTTTGCGAGTCATCAAAGGAACTTGAATATGTTATGTATTTTAAGGCATTGTCATAATCTTTATTTCTGAAAAAGGCCATGGCCAAAAGTTTCAACGCTTCCGAAATCTGATTTCTTTTGCCGTTAGAATATGCCACTTCTGCAGCTTTATAAGCCACCTCTTCACACTTCTCATACTGCTTGCTTCTGAGAGAGATCTGGGCCTTTAACACAAGAATTTTGAATGATGGTGTTCCTTCTTGCTGACAAAGCTGGTCAACCTGCTCTTCGGCTTCGCCTAGCTTGTCTTTGTCTAGTAACTCTTCTATCAACGCGATTGAGTCTGCAATCGCCATAATAGTGTATTTTGGTTAGGTTTTCTCTGTTCTACCGTTTCCGCCTGCTAGCAAAAGGCCATCATTTCATTAACCCCACACATCTGGCTGAAACTTGAAATATGATACAAAAAGGGCTTTGCCTACTCTTTTGGTGCACGGACCTCAGAATTTCATGTTTTCTCTTTTTCCGGCATTTCTTTCATAAAAAAATTTTGAAAAATTATTCTGCACCCTTTATCGGAGAAAGTAATCGGATACTTGTAACAACAAATACGTGACCCAGGGAAGGAGGAGTAGAACATAAAAGAAATACCACCAAATATGTCAGAACAGACGGTGCAACACAAGGTCCAAAATTTGGTTTTGGATGCTGGTCCATTGATCACACAACCTGCATCTCAGCTCCAACAACTTGCAGACTGTTTTTTCACCACTCCAGGTGTCTACAATGAGTTGAAAGATGAGGCGGTGAGAAACCAACTCATTGTCTGGGGTGAAACTTTGAAAGTGAGACATCCAAAGAAAGCGTCCATCGAAGCAGTGGTTCATTTTGCAAAGCTCACTGGTGATTCCACAGTTTTGTCGCAAAATGATTTACACATTATTGCATTAGCCTATGAAATAGAGGTCGAGTCTAACAATGGTGTGTGTAGACTTAGGAAGTTCCCAGGAGAAGTGAGGGAAGAAGACAGACAGTTTATCGAGGAATCGAAAAGAAAGAGAGAACAAAAATGGAGAGAATCACAACTAGCAAATCAATCGATTGCCGTTCAAGAGGAGGAAGACAAGGAAGAAAGCTCTGGTAAGAAGTTTGATTCTGATGGCTTTGAGATCGTCGTCAGGAAATCGAAAAAAGGAAGAAGGCCCGCAAAACAGCAACAGGAAGAGGTTGCTCAAAGCGAATCCGTGGTTCTAGAAGCTGCCAAGGACGAAATTAACGAACCAGCTAACGAGGAAGCCAACGAAGAAAAGTTGAACGCAGAATATGACGAGGACGACGATTGTGGTGATTGGATTACCCCTGAAAACATAGCCGCTACAATTGCGAAGGAAGAAAACTCAGATGAAGTGGAAGCGGAGGCTGACAACCTAACTGAAACACAAAGCCCATGTGCTTTAGCAAGTGGAGATTTTGCCGTACAGAATGTTGCTTTACAGCTGGGAATGAACTTGATGAATACCATGTCCGGATTACAGATAAGAAGATTGAGAAATTACATGTTGCGTTGCCACGCCTGCTTTATGCTAGTTCCAATTCCAAAGGATACGACGCCAAAACATTTCTGTCCCTCATGTGGCGGTGCCACACTTCGTCGTATTGCGGTATCTGTGAATTCAGAAACTGGTAAGATCACTCCTCATCTAAAGAAAAATTTTCAATGGCGTACGAGAGGTAACGTTTTCTCAATGCCCTCTCCTTTATCAAAGAACACGTCTAAAAAATATGGTAACAAAGGTTACCAGCATCGTGGAAACGACAAAATCGACACGGGATTTTTCAGTGAAGATCAGCGTGAATACCAACAGGCAATCAAGAATGCCAAGTGGCAACAACGTCAAAACGAAAAGGCACTCGAAGATTTTATCGGGGGTGGATCTGCAGATAACTGCATATCTCCATTCTTCACCGGTGCAGATGTGAAGCAAGTTCATGTTAAGGTAGGGAAAGGCAGGTTTGCCAACCAAAGCCGAAAGAAGCACTAGCGATCTAGAGGACATATATTTACCGTGTAATATATCTTGAGTAATATTTAGGACATAATTTTGTCCGAAAACTAAACGTGAGCGAGTAGATTATGTCAGGAACATGTTGAAATTTCTAGCCCGAATTCATATCATAATTATCCTGATGTTATTGTACTTCCGTTTTGAGGGTCTTCGTTTCCGGCACCGATCAACCATGTCCATGGTACCATTGCAGCATAAAGCTGCGGGTCATGAGGGCCCTATGCAAAGCAATGATGGGTCTTTATTTGTCAAACCAACAACAAATCAGGAGATTGAATTTTATAATGAAACTCAGAACAGAAAAATGCAGTTGGGTCAAGAAGTGCCGTACGGGAATTCATTATGTGATTGGATGCCTGAATTTGTTGGTGTACTCTATCCAGGTGCCTCAAATGACTTGATACGAGAAACAGGGGGGAATATTCAAAAAGAATTACTCGACAAAGCTACAGATACTTTGGAGTTGGAAGGTGAAAATAAGCAATATTTGATTTTGAATAATAGTCTTTATGGTTTCTCCCAACCAAGTATAATGGATATAAAGCTCGGATCCGTTCTATATGATTCAAGTGCCAACCATGATAAGGTGAAAAGAATGAAACATGTCTCCGCAAACACTACTAGTGGCTCATTGAAGTTTAGAATAGCCGGAATGATAATCAAAGATGATTTCCAGGGAAAACTACCAGCAGAAATTCCTGGAATGAAATTAGAGGATGTCTGCACTACAGAATTTGAAAGAGGATACCTTACATTCAACAAGTATTTTGGCAGAAAGCTTACAAAAGATACCGTCGGTGAAGGATTGAAAATATTTTTCAGATACAACAAGTTGCCGGAAAAAGTGCAGAACCTTATCATACAAAATTTTCACACCAGATTACAAATGCTTTATAATTGTTTGCTAGATGAAGAGATCAGGATCGTATCTGGATCATTGTTTTTTGTTTTCGAAAATGATATTACACGTTGGGAGAAACTATTTTTTGAGGACCCTATAATAGCACCTCAAATGACGGTAGAAGATGACGACGATGACGACGACGATGAGGAAGAAGATGACGAGGAACTTCCTTACTATACGCAAAAAGACGGAAAAAACATGATTCAGATAAGAAAGGGCACCACGGAAGATGAATATACCAGTGATTCAGAGACCGAGAATAGTGATCTTGCACCGCTCAGTACACTGAAAATTATCGATTTTGCTCATGCAAGTTATACGCCCGGAAAGGGACATGATGAAGAGATAGTATCGGGTATAGAAAACCTGTTTGGAATAATAGAACATATATAGAATGCTATAGTGGAAATACATGAAAAAACAAAACACGACTTTAATCAAAAACTGTTTTTCATTGCTCTGAGCTTATCCATAACTTCAATGGGATCATTCAAGCCGGTTGATTGGATCACCTCAGGATCAGATAACCTCATAAATGGGTTGAATTTCTTTTCATCAGAAATTGTGAATTTTCCCGTGGTGACCTCATTTTGTTTGCAGAATTTGGCCAAATCGTTCAAAGAGGTATTGTTTTTACCCAATACAGACAATGAGAAATTCACATTGCCTGCAGTGTACTCATGACCTGGATAAACAACTGTGTCATCTGGTAAGCTCATCAACTTCTCCAAAGAGCTTTTCATTTGTTTGCCGTCACCTTCGAAAAAACGCCCACACCCCGACGTGAAGAGAGTATCTCCGGTAAAGACACATTTTTCTCCAGTTTTCTTATCGACAGCATAGTAGCAAATAGAGTCTTGCGTATGGCATGGTGTGTGAACCGCAGTGATTTCAATATTGTCTCCCAATTGGATCACTTCTTCATCTGACGGGGTGTAGGAAACGTTAGGAGAGTCCTTCCCAGCGATGATTGGAATATTCTTGTACAAGGAAGAAAGTAAATACCTGTTACCTCCCGAATGATCGTTATGGTGATGTGTATTGACGATGGCAGTGACCTCCGATTTGTTTTCCTTCACTAGATAATCTTCTATATCATTGGGATACGCTGGGTCAATCAACCAAGATTTGGTACTGCTGTCATCAGTCAAAATGTAGCAGTAATTGTCACCACATTTCCATCTCATGGGCAAATATGTCACATGCATTTTTCTCGTGTGCACCAAATTTCTTCTAATTTCTGCTGAAACTTTACACTTTGTAAGCGTTCGGGTAAACATAAACTACTCCAAGAACGAGTATAATTACCACAGACTAATACTGCCTAGAGGCAAATTGAAAGGTAGAAAGAATATTCCTCCTCCATCTCTTTTCCGGAAAATCCAGAACTTTTTATCGGTACGTGCAGCACCGACTGCCAATCACACCGCGGCGAAACTTAATCTAAACAAATCACTATATTATGCTACATGAGAATGATAATTTACAACTAAATAGGTATTACACTAACATAGGATCTTATCTTCCACATTTACTGGTCTGTAGTGTTGCCTATTTATAGCGGTGAACCGCCGCTTTCAGAAGTACAGACACGCTTATGTACTTTGAGATGATCTGACCTTTTAAAACAGTACCCACATCCTTCGCACTTATAAGGGCGGTGGTTTTTGTGCACAAGAGTATGTCTGTTTAAAGCTGTGCTTCGGGAGAAGTATTTGCCGCAGACGTCACATGCGTAGTGGGACTTTATCTTGCCATTTTGGCTTTTCGTGTTGGTACTTGAAACTCTATTATTGACTGTGTTTAACGCTTTTAAAGCAAGAGAGTGTGGCTTTTTAGGCGATTTCGGAGACCTCAGCTTTCTGGCAGCTGACGAAACCGATGCCGGTGATAACCTCAAGGGACTTTCACACGAGCATGGGTATGGGGAAAAGAATTTATTGTCTTGCTCTGTCAGCACCTTCTTGCTCAATATTTTTTTCAGATGATTCTGTAATCTGAGTATATCATATCGATAAACCTTGACGTTTTGAATTTCTTGTACATTGCGAACGTCGTGAAAAGTGTTCGTGAATGAGTAAAGCTCGATAATTGTCTGAAAGATATCAAACTTTGCGGCAAGAACTTTCATAAATTTGAAGTCGACGGCATCAAAGTTAGGATAGATGGCAAAATGAATAGTAGAACTGAATGGGAACTTTAAATTCTGTATACTAAAACTTTGTTTTTCGTACGGGCTAATCGTGTTGTTTTTATTCTCACCATCGGTAATACAGTAATCTTCATTTAATCTTGCCATAAAAGTATCGTGGCTCTCTGGGATTTTCATGGTCATTATTTTTTCATTAATGTTTATCATGCATTTTTTGCTAGAAGAGAGAATAAACGATGATCTTTTTTTGAAAGTCATGAATACCAGATTTTTGCATTTATCGACGTCTTGGTTGATTATGGTTAGGTTTCTGAGGCCAACTGGTAATCTCACAAATGAATTATACCTTATATCACAATTGATCAGAAATATACTCATTAGCGAAGGTCCACAAAATGCGTCCAAGAACTCAGAATCAATTTTACATTCAATCAAAGTCAATGTATGTAGACTCGAGACTGCATTGTTCATCGCATCGGAAAATGAAAGCTTTGAACGTTTGTAACCATCATTCTGAATTGTGAATTCGCAACGCTTCAAAGTCAACTCTTCCAATTTAGTAAAGTTCTCGGTAAATGTTATGGTTTGAGTCAAGTTCGTATTAAAGTTGAGAGAATAATAGAGTCTTTTCATCTGTGTACAATTTTTAAGCAACCAGTCCAATGAGACATTACTCTCTAGAGTAAAGTTCAAATACAGAGACTCAATTCTAGTCAGGCTGCCCAAATCGCTCAATTGAGAATTATCAATGGTGTCAAAGACAATGAGATCGTAATAAACGAGCATCTTATCGTCAATATGCAATGGGATATAATCCTTCAACCTTCCCTTGAAGTAGATTATCTTGAGATTTTCGTTCTTTTTGATCATAGTAGACACACTGAAAAGGTCGACCTCGTTGCCGACTATGTTCAAAGTTTCGTAATTCAATTTTTCGACAGTTTCAAAATGCTCATAGTTGACTAGCGTGAGAATCCTCAATTTTGACTTTAAGTTTTCGGAATCTTTAATGACAGACAAGTTGTCATTACGAATTTTTAGTGCTACGCAGTGGTTTTCCAAAACTTCGTAGATTTTGTTGAATTTCTTCGTCATGATTTCTACTAAGGGAAAGACGATACGGTTGACCTTGCTGTCCAAAAGGTACTCCAGTAGAAAGTCGTATTCATTTGAATCAATGGGAAGGTCGAACCACCCGAGACCATCAGCTGCATCACCAACAGCCTTTGTCAAAGAATCAACAAGCTTCACGCACGGGAAATTGTTCAGAACTTCCACAACATCAGTCCAAACCGGTTTGACGTCTGCATTCAGCTCGTCGAACTCGAGAAAGTCGTCATTCTTCTCGTCTTTTGTCAATCCATTTAGAACTACGAGGAGCTCGCAAATGTTCAAATTTCCAAGTATCTCCTTGCGCACTTTAGACGAAGGTATTTCGATCAACAACAACACGAGATCTAAGCAGCTCACCTTGGCTGAGAGCTTTTCTTCTATCGGAAAGAATGGTCTCAACAGCATCGTGCTCCCGCTGCCGTTGATTTTTTCCTTTACGGCGTAATTCAAATATACTCTCTGATGCAAAGGTTGCACTCCAGATTTGTAAATGACTCAATGTTAAACAGACGCTTTCGGATGGATATATCTTCACCATATGAACCTTCCCGCACAATCTGTGCATTATGAAATACTCATTGTCTTTGTTCCTCTACCTGGAGATCCCGCTCGGACTAGTTGGCGCTCTGACTTCTTGCGACAAAAATGGCGTCGTGACACGACATGCTGGTTGAGCCTCGTCTAGTCCCTAGATTCACAATTAATGGCTCTTGGCTAGAGTTTCTTCATTGCTGTATCGGTTCCACTTTGGTTAAATTACAGGATAACTAGTACGGGATTGTATCATTATTACGAAGAGGTATTATTATACACATTTTACTGCACAGGCAAAAACTTCACTGTTCCGTTGTTTCTTCTGTTGTAGTCGACAAGATTGGCGTCGTCCTTTCACCAGGACCGTTATTCTTGGGTTCGATCTTGAACTCCAATCCTTCCTTTATCATTTTCTTACCAGCATTACCAGCATTACTAGTATCTCCACTCTGCTCCTGCACATCTTCGTGATCTCCATCTTCGTCGTCGTCTTCGTCGTCTTCGTCGTCATCGTCGTCGTCGTCGTCGTCATCATCATCATCGTCGTCGTCGTCGTCATCATCTTTGTTATTATTCCCGCTTCTAGTATCGTCATCATCGTCATCGTCATCATCTTCCTCGTCCTCGTCATCAGGATAACCACCAAGCTTTTCAACAATTGTGACAACGATTTCGTTCCAATCCATCATACCACCCATACCAATTTCACCGTAGCTGCTCATAACTTTCTCTGTAGGTTTTAAAATCTCAATCCACTTCATATTCTCCCTTATAACCTTCACATGCCTTTTCGTTATGACCGACGTGTAGGCAAAAGATACCATAGCGGGTGCAAGCAGAATAGGATACTGACTATTCCACGCTCGTACAACATTAGTTAACAAGTTATCGCACAATCCCAATGCTATCTTACTCAATGTATTGGCAGTCAATGGTGCTATGATAAGTATGTCTGCCCACTTTCTCAATTCGATATGCAACACCGGATCAGTTCTGTTGTTCCATGTACTCCACTCATCTTTATCTTTCCACAATAAAACATTTGCTGGGAACTCACCCTTCGACACAAAATGCTCAGCAGAGCCCGTAAGAATTAGCTGAATTGACACCTTTTCTTTGTATATTTCTTCTAACTTGTTGATTATTAGTTTTGTCTTTTTGATCGAAACTGAACCACATGCACCGAACAAGATATGTAACTTACCATCATCATGCTGAAGCCTAGCAAACACACTTAAGGGTGATATTGCGCTTGAATTTGTACCTGTTCCTGTCCCTGAAACAGAGCCCATAGCAACTGAAGCCGGCCCAGAAGCCGTCTGTGATAGATTCCCTAAAATGGTGGAATATGTGATGCCTGAGTTACTGTTTCCAGCAGAGGAAGACGATGGTGTTGACACAGCACCTGGTGCCAATATCGACTGAATAGACCCATTCAACTGCGAGCCATTTGAATTTGAGCGATACTCAGGGCTATGCTTCTTGTCCTTCAGAGGAGCACCAGCCTGCACAGTTATGTTTGAAAGGTGATTTGATGGTAGATCAAAGGCAGGCTTCAGCAGAGGATCACTATTAGAGGCCGACCCACTTCTGGATCTAGATGCCGCTGGGTGCTTTAATGTATCATCAAGGTAGAAATGAGCATGCATAGAAGAGGTCCTTTGATGAAATTGAGGCTTTGAATCAGAAAGCTTCAGATCCGATTCGTTGCCTCCTGAAGTTGAAGCATCCGACTGTATGAACTTATCCCTAGCAACTGCTGCAGCCATAGAAGCAGTGACAGCATGAGCCGCTGCCATCCCGTCATAATTCAGTGATGTATCTAGGAGTTTGGAAATAGAAGGATTTTCTTCCATCATCTGATAACACTGCTGGCTCCCTCCGATGACGCTATCTACACTACTGCAGTTATTATCACTGCTGTTGCCTATTGAGCTAACATTGATGACAGGATTTCCGTATATTGCACTTTTGCCATTCAAACCGGTATCTTGCCCCCCATCCCTGTTTTTATCTCTTTCATTATTACCAACCTCATTGGATTGGCCTTTACCATCGCTAGGATTCCTCAAAGATCTTGCATGTTGAAGAATGGGAGGAGGCGAAGGGCAACGCAAATTCGAGATTGCCAAAACACTAGGAGACTCCAAAGAATCTTTCTTCAATAGCGGTTTTGGGGATCCCAGGTCCTCATCTGTGGCCTTTGTGTTCGACTCCACATCCTTACCAGCACTATTTGCCATTTTGGCACTTACCGTATTTTTCAAAAAGGACGAAGCAGGAGCACCAGAGACTTCACCTGTATCTTTGGTAGTTCTATCAGTCTCTCCCATGTCCGAATACTTCAACGTTGTGCCCCTTTTTCTAATAAATTGCCTTCACTACACCACTTCTTTTCCACTCCCTCCACATACAGGTTCTCTTTATTACTCCCGTCAGCAGTCAAAAAAAGAGGAAAAAAATTTGAGCCACTATTAGCGGGTTCCAGAGATCACGTGCGCTCTAGCGTTATCTTGCATTGATATGTACAGATAGTATAGACAAGGATGGAAATAATCCATTATACATACAAGAAGATTTCGGGTTCATCAGAAGAAGATCTGGTAAAGCTCCTCCAGCCCGTCTTCCTTGGACTCGTCGTCGGTGTAGCCCAGACTATCACGGACTTCGTCGCTCTTGAGGAAGTCCCATTCTGGGCCCATGAGATCCCATTTATTACTCAAATTGACTTGATCGATGCCAACTTCATTGATGGCCTTGATGTAAGTCACAGTCTTATCGATGATGTGTTTCCAGTAGTCAATTTTGAACCTTGCTTCGTCGTCTCTAGTGCTCCAAAAACTTTCAAAATCGTATACGTTCCTCAACAACTTACAGATGAAAATCAAAAACTTGAAGTGACTTTGAAATTTACCATATGAAAGGAGCGGGCTTTTGTCGGACATAGAAATATAGAAATCTGTGAGAAACTCGTTGATTGATAGCAAGCTCTTCATCAAACCCTTCATTTTCTGAAACTCTGGGTCCTTTGTGGACATCCCATCAAGGCCATAGCAGAGGTATTTTTCAGCATCGTAAAGTGAAATATCGGAAAACTTCAGCGAGTCGTTTTTAGTAAAGATTTCTGTTGAAGGTGGTTCAAAGCCCATCTTTTTAGGTTTTGTGTTGAAAACAGAAAGGTAGCAAAATATGAGTTTATTACCAACGAGCATGAATCTCGAAAAAAGTGTTCTCATAGCGACCATCAACTTAACCGCTTGCTTGTGGTAAGAAATTTTCCCATTAGATATTTTTTTCATCAAGGAGAAAGTCACAACCAAGCAGTAAAATAAATGACACTCACTCTTTGCCTTGAGCTCTTCCACCAAGGCGCTGTCGCTATCGTTCAGCTGGATTGGCAATTCATCGATCTCATCGACCGAAAGTCTTAAAATGAAAAGTAAGAGTTGGTAGCAGATCACAAAATCGGCCTTGATCACCAGTGAAAATAAGTACTGCACCGGACCATAAGTCGTATCGTTGAGTAGCTCGTCAAAGGGTTTAAATATGGAAAGTAGTTTGGCTGCAAAGTTGGCAAGATCAATGATTTCGTTCAACGTGATGGGGTCGGTAGAGTTGAAGGCTGCAACGACGTTTCTCAAGTACAAGACGATTGGCTCCCAGTACTCATATAGCCTTGGGATGCAGTAGCGGTAGTCTATTTTTAGCGGTTCACCCATGTAGAGTGAGGTAATTGAGTCCATGAACTGTAGTACATTCCACGCTGCCCGGACGTCGTCCTCGGTGTGGTTGTCGAACTGGTCGCAGCGAATGTGTATGCCCAAGCTGAATGCGATATCTAAGGCAATGTTGAAAAATGTGGAAGCGTTTGAGGTTGCTGACACCGAGTCTAGAACGTAAAAGTTGATCCGGTACAGGAGAAAGGCCAAAAGGAGTTCAAAGGTTGGCTTCCTCCTATAGTCGGCGAAACACATACATTTGAGGGCAGTGTGACCTATGAGATCCACAGAGATGGTCATCGTATATTGGAAGTTTGCCGTCTCGTCCATTTCAGTCACTATCGAGACCAGCTGGACGATGCAGAAGATGTTCGCCAAAACGGCGTACGCAACTCCGACGTTGGGCCCCACAGCCGGGCTTTGGTAAAGGTAGCCCTTCTCATTTGCAGGATCCTTGATAAAATGGACATCCATGAACCGGGAGAGGTTCGCTACTGGAATGAACATGCACAACATCACACTTTTGTCCTGGTCAAAGTAGGCGATACGCTCCTTGATGGCGTCGACATTCGGGAGGATGAGCTGAGTGATGAGGGCATCGATCTCGGTTTTGGTGTAGCTGCCACTCAGGATTCGGAGCTCCTCGTTCGTGGACTGAGTCTTCCCGGTCTCCTCCGCATCCTCCTCGAAGAGACAAGGCATCATCAACCGAAACTTTTCAAAAAGCTTGTTGTTGCTGAAGATCGCATCGAGGGAGATCGGAGATAGGTACCGAATGCTGTCTCCGTTTTTCACAAACAAGGGCCGCTTGTAGTGCAGCGTCTGGAAGTTGCAGAGGAAGCTCTGCTCCTTGCGGAGCACCAAGGAGTCTCCATCTTCGTTCTTTGTATTTGCGTCTGCGTCCAGTGTCGTTTGCGACTCCGTCGAGGACGGGTCTAGCTGGCCCGGATATAAGCGCTGTTCGCTCCGGACGGACAGCCCGCTTACACCGAAGAGGTTTTCCATACCGCCGTCCGCCTCTAAGAGCTCCTCCAGACCCTCGGGCTGAGGTAGGTCATCTAGATTGACTGTGTACGTGCACGTCTGGACCAACCCCGACTTCACACACCTTGTGCAGGGGGTCTTCCGATCGCATTTCACCTTTCGCCGACGGCAGTTTGTGCACACAAACGATGGCCGGCTGGGAGTCAATTTTGCGCCGGCAACGCCGCCGCTGCTGATGCTGCTACTGTTACTGGTGCTGGGCATCTGCTGCGTCTATGGCCAGCATCCCAATTGCGGACGCCCGGCTCCCACATCTCCTCAGACGATAAGCAGATAAATGTACAACAGGATTCTATTTAAACCCAACGGGTCTACGTAGCTACAAAGAGTGACACAACGCTAACAAACTGCCGCTGCACGGACCAGCCAGCGGCAGAGCCTTGCGGAGGCTCGAAAGGGAAGGCAGACAATGCGGAACGGTCATGCGCCCTGCAAGCCAGCCGCACCCCCTGCAGCTTATCGGGCCTCGTATACTGGTGGGGCCCCCGACGGAAAAGACGAGGGTAAAGAGAGTGACGAGGCCGTCATGGGGAGGCGATGGGCAAGCGGGCAGTGCTAGGCGCAGTTCAGTTGATGAACCAGGTGCAGTCCACGTACGAAAAGTGTGTCTCGAACTTGTCGATGTCGAAATCGTCCGTGTCCGTGCAGCCCTCGGTCTCCTCGAGCTGCTTGACGGCCATGACAAAGTACTTGTACAGCGTGTAGTAGATGAAGTTCTGCGAGATGAGCGACTGCGAGGTGTTGAAGAAGAAGCCAATGAGCAGACGTATCATGGCTGAGGGGTTCTCCGAAAGGGCGTCCACGGAGCGGCTGAGCGACATGATGTCAGGCCCAAACTTGAGCTCGAGAGAGACGCCGTCTAGCGAGGACGAGTACTGGCTTGCAACGAAGTAGTTGGACAACATCTCGGACTGCCCTCTGCTGATGTCAAAGAGAAAATTGAAGTTCTCATTGCTGTTACTCTTCTGCTCGCTGCTATTGGCGCCACTACCGCTGCCGCCGTGCTTGCCACCAGCGCCTTTCCTCATGCCGGTGCTGTGGCTATATTGAGTTTCTTCACTAGAATAATTTTTTTCACTATTGTTTTCGTGCTCGCTGTTTTTTCCATTTTTGGTGGCTTCTGCGTAATTGATGTTATTACTAGTACCATTATTGTTGTTGTTGTTTTCATTGTTACTATTATTATCACCACTATCCTCATAATGATCTGGGCTCGCACTCGCCTTCCGCTTACCACTCCCTTTGCCCTCGGCATGTTCTCTCTCCGCATCGAGCTCCTGCTCTCTCTCTCTCTTTCTGATCACAATCATTCTGCACATGCAGCTTGTCAACGTGTAGATGATCCTTGTGAAGATCTGGATCAAATCGAACGAGTATTTTTCATAAAATGACTCATCCTTTTCGGAGAACATAGAAACAAGCATAATATTCAAGTCGATCAACGACACAATGGAAAGTTTGATACACCGCTCAAATAACCTTTTATCTAACTCCCTGAATTCTTGCAGCATACTCTCATAGTTTGGGTTTGTAATTGCATTGTTGTTTTTTTTATAGTTCTCATAGGTTTTGATGAAGGAAAAATAACTATTGTAGTATAGAAATAAGAGAAGATTCAACGCACGGATTGAGGTTGCAACTCCAACTAAATCATTTTTCTTGATGCAGACACTCGTAGGTACCAGCTTGTTTACAATGAAACTCTCAAATTCAATCACAAAACGCTCATATTGGATGATAGAAACATCGTCCTTTTTGGTGTTGCTTTTGTTTGCCAGAGTGAACGCCTTCCGATAAAAGTGACATATACTCGCGCAGTTGGAATCGACGAATGGGGTCACGTACATATTGTCCATACCCGAACTGATCAATTGAGGTATACCCGAATTGAAGGAACTGAAAGTGTCTATGAACATCACCAAATTCCACATGTTATGGAAATCGGAGTCCTTGAAGAATTTCAAATATTGATGTTTTGATTCATCGGCAGGCTTTGTGCCTCCGTAAACACCGAGGTTGACAGCCATATAAATGGCCATTACACCATAGTTCAACCCAACTCCAGTACTACCGGACTTGAAATTGAAACGATGAGTGTAGGAGATCATGAATAAAATTACCAAAGTACCCAACATTGGGATGTTGAACTTTTGAGATAAGTCAGTCTCATGGAGTATTAACTTCAAAAAGGAGTTCAACAAATCTGTCTTGTGATCGGTGGTTATGTTTTCATAATCTAGTAAAGTTTTGTAGTCAATTTCATCTGGGGTCGTTATAACGTTTTCACTCTTTGGTAACCCGAACCTCAAGATGGCCAGAACTAGCAAAATTTCACTTGAATCATCGTCTGACTCGATTTTGACAATTTCAAGTTTATTTGACTCACTTTTTACAAAATGATCATCAAGCAGCTGATCAATCAAAGCTCTAGGAACAATTGGAACAGAAATGGTCAACACTTCCTTTGATCTGGCCATTGTAGTTGCAAAGTTGTCATAGTTAACAAAATAGTTCTCCAATAACTTACAAATCAATTTGAATTTAGCGAGTTTTAAATCGGTCAAGCTTAGATTCTCATTGACAGAATATTTCTCAGAGAGAAACACCTTTTCAAGGGCCTTTCTGTAGATTTCAACAGAAAAGTACGATTTCCATTTATTGAGATCGTTTTCTATTTTTGGTAAAGACTTCTTGAATAATCTTCCCATGTAACTGTCGACCTCTGTATAACTTGTAATCGATGAAGCACCTAGTTGTAGATTGAAGGAATCCAATGCTACGTTGGAAGACGTCTGCAGAACGGGCTTGAGAGGTATCTTGGGAATCAGTTTCAATCCTTTCAAAGTTCTGGAGCTTGAAATACTTTCATCGTCCAAATAGAACCTCAAATGCTCTATTCTTGTTTTCAACTGGTCGATCTCGTCATTTTGAATGTGCGTGAGCTTTAACTGCTCTAAAACCATTAGTAGGTTAGTGAATTCATGGGAGGGCGATGAAGAGTCTACGGACGAAGCAGAAACGGCCGTACCGCTGTTAGTGAGGCCTTGGGGCGGCTTCAGGATAAGGTCATTCTCGAATTTGAAACGATCTTGGACCAGGCCATCGCCGTTGGCACCTGCACCTGGGTTGTCGGAGGAGAGTCCAGTGGAGGAGGAAAATCTGGGCAGATCCTCGTTGGACGAGTCGTTATCGTGGCGCCGGATTTTGTTGGAGTCGTCGTTGTCGTTGGCGGCATAGACACAGACAGAGTAGCCGTGTCTCTGGCAGCTCCCGCAGATGGGCCTTTCTCTGTCACACTTGACCTTTCTGCGCTTGCAGCTCATGCAGGAGATGGAGATCCTGTTTCTCCTCTTCTTTGCGGCCACGTAGTCTGGCGGAGGCTGGGAGGTGATCTGCACAAGCTTGTTGGTGGAGCTATCCAGCAACGTAGTGACAAACTGTCGGTACGGCTGCTGGTGGTGGTCGAGGGCAGACTTGCTTGCGTCCTGCTGCTTGTGCAGGTCCAGGTCCTGCTTGTGCATGCCGAAGCCGACGCTTATCTGCGGCGACGAGCCGTTTTCCATGTTGCTCGTGCCGCCGGCGCCGGCGCTGTTGCCACTGCTGCTTGCAGACAGCGCGTGCAGCCCGGCAGAGATGCCGTTGCCGGCATAGAGCTGTCCGCTGGCAGCCGGATCGTACTGGAACATACCCACCGACGACTGAGGAGGCGACATCTGGGCGTACTGGTAGTACCGGTAGGGCGGCTGCGCCTGCGGGTGGTACTGCTGCAGGTACTGCGGGTGGTGGTGGTGGTGGTGGGGTGGGTGCTGGTTCTGGCTCTGGCTCTGCTGAGCCTGCTGAGCCTGGCTCATGTCGCCGTTGCTACTCCACGCCGTCGGCACGGGGTACCCACGGTTGAAGCGGTCCATTGTGTGTTGGCAGGGGAAGAGGGGGCAGCAAGAGAGACTGCGTCGGGAAGAGGAAGTAAGAGGTGCACGGACCAGGGATAGAAACAAAAGGACCAGAAACGACCAGAAACGACCACAAGGAAACACAGGATATCAACAAAAGGAAAAGCAGCAGCGGGATCCACTCTATATCTCTATTTGTCTGCTTTATCTCCGCTTGGCAAACTAGTGTGCGTGGGTGCTGGCTGTAGGGCGGTGCGGTGTGCTGTGTGTCGACGTGCGCGTGGCTGCTCAGCTGCTCACCGCTGCTTCGTGGCTCTGCACTCCCCTTCTACGTTTCTGCTGCCCCGCCTACATCCATGCCTATGTCCTCCTCTCTCGTCTCTGGCCTCCGTGAAGCGACGGCAGCGCCTGCCTCGACGACGCCGTTGGCCTCCTTTCTCTGCTTTCTTTTTCCATTTCTCATTTTCCCATTTTCTCGTTTCGCTTCTATTTTTTCCTCCCTCACCCCTGCCCCCCTCGGTTAACGCATTTTTCCACCCCGGGCAGCCTCTCAGGCGGCGGCAATTTTCTACCTCGGGCCCCGCGGGCCCCGCCGCCCGCCGGTTGGAGCAGCGCTAAGCTTGCGGTCGCGCCCGGCCACAATAGCGGCCGACCACCGCGGCCGCCCGCCGACCAGCCAGCGCGGCGGCGCGTGGATTTAAAGCCGCCGGATGGGGCAGTGGGCCGGGGACAGGGGGCGCCAACGTCGCCGGGCTATTGTGGGCGGCCAAGGTGGCGGACCCGTGCACCCCTGTCGGGACACGCCCACGGCCGAAGCAGCAGCAGCAAAGGGTGCGGGCGGCACGGCTCGTCTGGCCAGGATGGCTCGTCTGAAGGCGAATGCCGCTCGTGGTAACACGTTTACATATTAACTATACTATACTATACTATACTATACTCTACTGTAGGAATCTATACATACACAGGGGCGGCGGCGCTGCGGCTCAGCGGAGAACGTCCCGCAGCCGGAAACTTCCCCGTGTCTGCAAGATGCGGCGCTCAGCTTCCATCTCGTCACGGCTCACCACTGGGCCGTAGTCCCCCTCGTAGATGGTGGCCCCGCTCTTGCGCCGCAGCTCCACAAGCCCGCACTCCCAGCTCTGCAACACTTGCTCGCTGCTGGGGCGCTCCTCCGGGGTCGGGTTGATCATCCAGCTCACAAGCTTGTCCAGCGTCGAGTTGCCGTCGTAGAACCAGAACGGCGTCCAGTACTCGATCTTCTTGCTCAGACTGTCGTCCATCGTGTTCACGATGCTCCTCTGCGCACTGCTGCCTGTGCCTGTCAGCATGCCGTTTTTGAAACTGCTGTTCACCGGCTTCATGTACGACGAGTACAGCGACCCGGACCCAGAGAGATCCGTCCTCGTAGTGCTCTCGCTCTCCAGGTTGCCGCTGAAAATGCTGTCGCCGTTGGTGTTGAGCACCCCGCTGGCACTGCTGCTGCTGTTGTTGTTGTTGTTGCTGCCGCTGTTGCTGTGGTTGACAAACCGGGCACACTCCGAGAGATCGCTGCTGCTCAACTTGCCCGCGTCCGTGAGATCTCCAGATCTCAACTTCTGCCAAGGCGTGCCGTTGTCCGGGAGAATCACGTTCGCCGCAACTTCAACCATAATCAATCCAACACTGAATATGTCCGCAGCAAACGTGTACTCGTGTCTCGATATGATCTCCGGAGCAATGTACTCCCGGTCCCCCTCACGATCGAAAAACGCAGGTATAGGCAGCTTAACGCCCACCCCAAAATCGCCAATCTTGAGTGTGCCGTCAAACGTAATGAAAATGTTGGCCGGTTTTAAATCCAAGTGCAAAATCCCATGCGAATGAATCCATTTGAGACCCATCATCACCTCAACCAGTATCTTCCAAACTCTCCATTCGTCTAACCGACTTCTCGAAAGTTCACACTGGTTGATTAAAAATTGATCTAGTGATCCATTCTCACAATAATCAGTCATAATGTAGAGGTGGCTCTGTATTTCCCACGCTGAAATTAGCGTGAGAACATAATCCCCACCATCATTGACGAAAAGCTCTTCATTTTCCTTACCATTTCCACCATCACTATTGCCTGAGATGCTCATCTGGCGACTATTGTCATTGTAGCTGCCCATATTGCCATCTTCCTCATCATCATCGCCTACCCTACGTAGGGCTTTTAAAATCTTCACCTCTTCTAGTTTCCTTAGTCTAGTTTTAGGCCCTGGCATTCTTTGCTTTGTTCTTTTAACAGCATATTTCACGCTTTCAAATTGAACTTCGTAAACAATAGAAAATTCACCTTTACCCAACAGCGCACAGTTCCCAAATTTGGAAAGTAAATGGTTATCAATTTCGGGGTTATGGGTGGTCAATGAATTAGTCGTCACAATTGTATCAGAGCTAGCACAGTACATGTCCTTCAGAGTACTCTTACTATCATTTCCAACCATAGGAGTCGATGTCATCATGTTCGTTTGCCCATTGTTATCGGAAATTAGGGAAGAAGTAGAGCAGATAGAGCCACTTCTAGCATCGTTCAAAAAGCTTAATGCATGTTGTTGCATGTTTGGTGATTTTCCAAAGGTCGATTCAATCGGTGTATGTGGAGAATGATGGTTTCTTCCATTTGAACCTTCCTTTGGTAATCCAACTAGCAAGGAAGCAGGCATATTTGGAGGCGCAAATACCGGTATTTTGGTGCCCATGGTATTGCTAGTGTTGTTATTATTATTATTATTGCCACTTTCTCTGATCAAGTTCACGCTTGATGATGAGGATACTCTTGGGTTCAACGATTGGACTGAAGGATTTCTAGAGTTTGCGCGTTGCCAGTAACTACTACCACTGCTTGGTAGATTACTGTTAGCATGGGTGTTGTTGTAGTTATCAAAATTGTTGAACTTGTTGTAAAATCCAATACGTCTCGTAGGAGTATCATTTAACTTCCCACCACTACTATTACTCCCTACGCTTCCAACGCTGTTGAAACTCTCAGGAGTATTCATGGCCGAGCTATCCTTGACACTTTTCACGCTTGATAAATTGATCGCCATATTTGATTTTTCTCGAGGAGTGCTTGGAATTTTTTCTGACTCATCCCACATCTTAATATCATCATCATCATCGTCGTCGTCGTTTCGGCCATTATTGTCAATCTCATCATCAGATATCGAATCGTTCATCTTCTTCAACAAGTCGATCTTTGAATGCTCAGCGCCGGCCAAATCTTGATGATCCGTGAATATCGAAAGGTTGTTATTACCTTCGTTGTATAGATCATCAAATTCATTAGTAAACTTCAGTAGGCATTGTTGTAGATCTGATGTGTTAATAGCAGGAGCCTGAGGTTGTGGATTATATTGATTGGACGTGAAAGGACCTGGATATTTATATCCCGACAAATTGTGCTTTGAAACGGTCGTGTTGTTAGTAATATTAGACAAGTTTTTGAGATAACTCGTTTCATTTGCAGTTGAATTGAAGGAAGTGTTGTTGGATAATGGAGTAGAAGAAATGGTCATATTGGTCATCGTATGTGCAGCCGTAGTTGTAGTTGCAGTTGCCGGAGCAGAAGTAGATCCTGAGATCTGGTGAGAAGATCTCATTTTTTCTATTTCAACAACTCTTGGGGGCTTTTTACATGGTGTTTCTGGAACGGTATGCTTTGCACGGCGGAAAGTTGTCAGTCCACTTTTACTCTGAAGACCCGTCGAGTTGAATGCAGTCTGAAGTGGCTTCACTGAACTAAACGTTGAAGGGGCTGCAAAAGTGTTGATGTTGTTGCTTGTGTTTGAGATTGAGGATTGCAAATTCGAAGGCGGAATCATGGAATTTGAGTTGCTAGTTTTGATCGAGGAGGATACCGACATCGAGGTGGAGTTCATGTAGTTATTTGCAAGCGAGCCCGTGGTGATCGGACGATTGGATAGCGAGCTCGAATTTGACATTGGCATCGAGGTCGAGAGCACATTGCTGCTGCCGTTGTTCGACGCAGGCTTGTTATATGCGTGTTTGGAAGGAGAGGTATCATCCACCATTAAGTCAAGATCATGATCCAGGTTGAGGCTGGCTGAGATTTTCGACTTTGATTTAAATGGGGTGTTGTTATTTATGAATTTGTTCAAAGTAAACGATTTGGTTTTTTTTGCTGATTGTACTTTTATGTTCGGGGGTGAGCTTTCGGACTGGATGTGACCGTCGAAATTGGAGGAGGCCGCATTGCTTGAAATTTTGTCTTTATAATGTTCCAGTTGTCTTTCCAACTTTTTCTGCATGTCTGAACCTCTTCTATTGGTGCAAGTGTGGTTGTTATTGGCAATATTGTGGGTGCCAAATATGCTCGAGTATTTCACTCTTGTTGGTTTATAGTTTGTTTTACTCCGTGTGGATTGGGTGGATAGCGGGAGATCCGACAGGTTCGAAGAGTCGGAGGAAGACCGGGTTGCAATAACCGTGGATGCCGAGCCAGGGGCTGAGGTAGTGGCTGAGATGGACGAAGCCGGGGCTGCAGCTGCGGTGGTGTTGTCAAAGGTTAGCTCGTTAAAGCTTTTCAGCATCTCGTCGTTTTTGGAGGAAGTGTTTATCACGCGTTGGGTGCTGGGACTTGTCTCGAGGGAGAGGTTCAGCAAGCCCGTACTTCGGCGAAGAGAGACCCTCTGGTGGCCCGCTATGCTGCTGGTCTGGCTCGTTGTTTTGGCCAACTTGGTGTAGTCTGCATCCGAAGGCGGGTTTGAACGGGTGTGCCTATGGCGGGGGTCCTGGGGATCTCGAGAGTCCTGCTGGGCGCTGTGCGAGCTGCTCTTGTGCTTCGACTTGGTGGCGGATCTGTTGTGCATGGGCGTGGAGCACGCGTAGCTGTGGTGGTCGTGGTGGTCGTGGCTGCCGTGGCCACTGCTGTTGCCGTCGTCGAAGTCGCTGTCGTACTCGAAGTCGCTGTCTACGTAGTCGTCGGCGAAGGCGCTGGCGCTGGCGCCGGCGCCACCCGTTGCCCCAGCGGGCTCCATCGGACTGGCTATCAGAAGCATTCTGTTCTTTATCTTGTTTGCGATCACGCTCTTGTTCATGGTCTTGATTTTGCTTTTATTTCGCAGCGACACCTTGCCGTCTTCGTGCGCATGCCCGTGCTGATGACCGCTGTCTGTGCTGCCCGGCTTGCTGGAGCTGCTGCTGCTGCCGGTCTTGTTGTTGTTGTTGTTGTCGTCGTCGTTTGGCGAGTTCGGGGAATGCAAGAGTCTCTTGCGCGTGTTCTGCGGGAACGCCGTCTTGTTCAGCGCCGACGGCGTCATCTCTGACAGGTGCGACGTGTGCCTGCTCATGGTGTGTGTCCTTCTTCTCCTTCAAACACTGTGTCAGCGTGCGTCAGCGTGATAAACAGACACGCCCTTGTAGCCTATAAGTGGAGCAGCTGGAGAGCAAACACGAGGCACAATGCACCAAGGCGTATGTCGGCAAGCTGTCTTTGCTCAGCACACCACAGAAGACCACAACACTCCAGAGCCCTCCGGACCACGCACACCATTCTTCTTCCGTCTGTTCGGAACACACCCAGACCGACCATGTGGTTACTGGATTAGCAGGCCCTGCGCAGGCCCGCCCCAGCCAGCCAGCCAGCATCAACAGAAGGCACGCCAAAAAAAGAGGTAAACAATGTCCGCATGCAGCACACACAATGCGCCGCCGGCTCGTCTTTCCTGGGCCCCCGCCACCGCCGCCGCCCGCGTTCCCAATCGGGAAGCCCGGCGTAAAAAGGGCAACGGGGCAACACAGGCGCCCGCGACGTGTCTTTTGTCGCAAACGGGGAGGCGCGTGGCGGGGGTGGAAGGCGCCCGTGCACCGGGACTTTGCAGCGCCACCACCGCCGTGGAGGGTGAACAAATTTTCAGCGGCGAGAAACAGTCCTGTGTCAACGACAGACGGTCTCGCTGGGCCAGTGCCAGCAGAGGGCGTGCTCGTCGGTTTTGCTTATCTGGCTTATTTGCTCTCGTCGTACTCTGGCCCTCGGGCGTCGTCTAGGCTTATCTCCAGCTGCCAGTTTTTCATTCCCTGTTGCCCTCGGTCGTTTTCTTCTTCTGTCTGCACGTTTGCCTGCTTGCCTGTTCCCTCTTTAGATCCACGTCTAAGCACCCCCACGCCCTCGAACACCCTCGCACACAAGAGCACACAAGATGAATCCCGCAGTCACCAACCTCGTGTTGATGCTTGTCGCCATGCAAGTGTCCAAGAAGCTCGACTTCGAAGACCCAACCACGCTCTTCTACGTCAGACTGGCCTTCGTTGTCGGGCAGTCGTTGACGCTCCTCATCTACCTGTATGTCCGCTTCACCATCGTGAAGAAAAACGACTTGACGACCTTGAAGTACTTGGACGCGCCAAACAAGATGGCCGGCGAGTCCGAGTCCAAGTTGATCACCACCACCGTCAAGGACTACGACTTGAAGCAGATCGACTCCGCCATCAAGGGCGTCTTCACAGGCTTGGCCATGACTGGTTTCATGCACCTGTACATGAAGTTCGCCAACCCATTGGTGATGCAGTCCATCTCCCCAGTCAAGGGCGCGTTGGAGTCCAACATAGTCAAGATCCACCTCTTCAACACCCCCGCCGTGGGCGACTTGAAGAGACCGTTCAAGGCTGCTCCTTCCATCCTCTCCGGCTTGACCGGTGGTGACGTCAAGACCGACAAGTCCTCTATTGAAAAGGCTGAAATTGCTGGTACAGGCGGTGTCAAGGAGGAGTGATTTAGTCGTGCTGCCGTCCCCAGCCGACCCACCTGACCCATAATATAATAATTATTCCTTATATACATATACTACAATAATACTCATAATATATTGGTGTAAACCTGTAACCTTACCCTGCGGCCTCTCTCACATGATGGCTAGCAACACAAACAAAACGATATAGCAGCAGCCGGTGATTATGCTCAACCAGATCACGTAGTTCCCGCTCGTCTTGAAATAGTACTTGTTGTCTACAAACACATGTCCGTTGATGGTCTCCGTCTCCGTATCCGCTGTGTGCGCAGGCACGTAGTCTTTGTACCAGTCGCCCCGGCTGAAGTCAATGAAGTAGAGATCCATGTTGCTCGCCCGGTGGTACCCAATCACGCAGATTAGCAACGAGTACACCTGGAACACAAGCCCAATGAACATGAACTCTTTGGAAAACAACTTCATCACCAACAAGCTGAACGACAGACTGCCAATGCACGTTCGTATGTATGCTCCCTGATACGTTCTCTGGTGGGCTCGAATGTCAAGCTTCTGCGCCTTCGTCAACCTTTCGTCTAATCTAGATGGCCGACGCATGATCTCTGGCATCTTGTCCCTCTGTGCAGCATACGGCGTGCTTCTCGACCTCAACTCTTGCCGTCCGCTGACTCTATCCATCGTCTCGAACTTGTATGACAGAACTTATCTCAAGTCTTAATCCAAAACCACCCACCTTAAGCTTATCAGAAGCCACGGAAAACAATCCCGATTAACAAAGAACCTGTGGTGATTCATGCTCGCTTCCCTTATTGAGCACAGCGAAATTTCATACAGCTCCCCTATCTTACCTATCTTACTGCAACTATGTATACAATGAACTATGTAGAGTCTATAAAGTTAGGGCCCAGATTTCTCAAATCTCCATTATCGTAGTCAGCTTCCATTTGAGAGGCTCCATAGTATATACTGTCCCAGACTTAACGGAATAATTTTCCTCTCCCGTTTGCCCAATCCACTCCTCATATCGTCTCCGATCTTTCATTGTCCGGAACTTGAACTCCCTAACAATCAACTCCCCCTCCCTGTTAAGCTTCGAATAAAACTCTCTGTTGTAGGTTTCCAAATTTACCTCTCCATCGGTACCGTCAGTACCGTCGGTTTCGTCCTCATTCTCGACCACTACAGGACTCATATCAGCTCTCTTGATCCGGGCGTCAAGATTAGACTCAGCGAAAGAACCCATCCTTCGGTGTGGAGTTGTTGGCTTGATGAGTTTCATCGACTTCTCCATGCTCTTGTACAACTTTTTCAAAAGGACGTTGACAACGTTCTCCGGGAGTGGAGGCTGGTTTTCAATCCACCAAGCCAACCAGTACTTTTCGTTGACACAGTATAAGTCTCCAGCCGAGTCAATCATACAGTCTTTAAGTTGGTATGCGTTGACGTCAATATAACATAAGATGTACCCCGATTTGACCATCACCCCCGCTTCCTCAACAACCACACGAATATCAACCAATTTGCTCTGAACGGCTTCCTCCATTGTTGCCACAACTTCCTCTCCATTACTTTCCTCTGAACTGGATTCATCCATTTCCTGCTCCACAATTTTTGGCTTCTTAACTTCAAACGACCCAATATCCAGTAACACAAACTTGTTGTGTGGCACCAATTCCGAGAAATGCGAGGCAGGCTGGTACTCCAAGAGCTTGTCCCCCGTTTTGCCATCCAAAACCTTGAAAACACTCGAACTCATGCCAGCAAAGGTTTTGATGATCAAAGCACATGACAGATTATAAAGTCCTGGTGTCAATTTCAACGTCTTGTCTATTTTGACCGAACTCATTGGTGCATTCACGTAGGAGTTGACGGTATAATCATCGTAATCTACAAAAATGCGACGGTTCACATATATTCCATAGACCAATTTCCACGAGTCTCTGATGTATTGGCAATTCAATTTATTTGCGGGGTCCACTTTTTCACCCTCCAGCTCATCTTCATCAGTATACGGGAGTCTTAAGTCATAATGCTCTGATATAATATTACGAATGTCTTTCCTCCAATAGTCAAATGATCGTATGTAGTCAACCAAATATTTGTAGTCATAATCAGCAATTGTGCGGAGGATATGGGGTCCAAATCGATCGACGAACAAGTTTCTATAAAGATCGTTGTACATCACCACAAAAGTCCGACATGTCCGTTTCAACTCCGTGGGCACTTGTACAAAGATCTTTTGTAAGATCTCGCTGGGCAAAGCCAATAATCCCAACGGCTTCTCCATGTTCTTGTCGACTAGATATCTGCCTTAGATTTGTATAAGAAGATACAAGATACCTCAGTGTCTATTTCACTTCTGGGACATGCATGCACTGCATATTTAAGGAGGCCTGTAAATAATGCGTGAGGAGGGGAAAAAATGCGAGAATCATGCTCCGGCTTAAATGTGAAGCATAATAAAATACTTGTATTATATAGGTACGTGAGTAGTGGTTTCTTTTATATTAGTTTCTTTTTTTTTACAGATACAGATTATATAAAAATTACTGAAACGGTTCCAGCAATCGGAAAACATCAGTTAGCTGTCCTTTTCTTCTTCTTCTTCTTCGTCTTCGTCGTTTCTCTCACGATCGTAGAATTCGGCCAAAATCTTTGGAGAAATTCTGTTCAACATTTCCTTTGGATAAATTCTCAACAAAGACCAGGCGAGATCAAGAGATTCAAAAACGGATCTGTTTTCGTAAGCACCTTGGGCAATGAAGGTCTTTTCAAACTTCTCCAAAAACTCCAAAGACAATTTATCTTCTGTTGACAATGCTTCTTCACCAACAACGGCCTTCATAGCAGCAGCATCTCTACCGATGGCATACTTTGCATACAATTGATTGGAAACATCACCGTGGTCCTTTCTGGTCATACCTTCACCGATGGCAGACTTCATTAATCTCGACAAGGAAGGCAAGACGTTGATTGGAGGGTAGATACCTCTGTTATGTAGCTGTCTATCGACGGATATTTGACCCTCGGTAATGTAACCGGTCAAATCTGGAATTGGATGTGTGATATCATCGTTAGGCATAGTCAAAATTGGGATCTGGGTGATGGAACCATTTCTACCTTCGACTCTACCAGCTCTTTCGTAGATAGTAGACAAATCGGTATACATGTAACCTGGGTAACCTCTTCTACCTGGGACTTCTTCTCTTGCAGCAGAGACTTCTCTCAAGGCGTCAGCGTAGGAAGACATGTCAGTCAAGATGGTCAACACGTGTCTTTCGGTCTGGTAAGCCAAGTACTCTGCTGTTGTAAGAGCCAATCTTGGTGTGATAATTCTTTCAATGGTTGGATCATTGGCCAAGTTCAAGAACAAGGAAGTTCTTTCTAGGGAACCATTTTCTTCGAAATCCTGTTTGAAGAATCTGGACGTTTCCAAGTTGACACCCATAGCAGCAAAGACAATGGAGAAGTTGTCCTCGTGACCGTCATGGACGTCCTTTGTAGGTCTGACTAAGCCTGCCTGTCTACAAATCTGTGCGGCAATCTCGTTGTGTGGCAAACCCGAAGCAGAGAAAATAGGAATCTTCTGGCCTCTGGCAATGGAGTTCATCGTGTCGATAGCAGAGATACCGGTGGAAATCATTTCTTCAGGGTAGATACGGGCGTACGGGTTGATTGGGGAACCGTTGATATCGAGGTAGTCTTCGGCAAAGACCCTTGGTCCGTTGTCGATTGGTCTACCGGAACCATCAAACACTCTACCCAACATATCTTCAGAAACAGGAATCTTCAAACTGGAGCCCGTGAATTCGACCCTGGTCTTCTTGACGTCGATACCGGAGGTACCTTCAAACACTTGGACGACAGCCTTGTCACCTCTCACCTCCAAGACTTGTCCCGCTCTGGTGGTTCCGTCTGGCAAGGTCAAGTCGACAATCTCATTGTACGATGGGAACTTCACGTTTTCCAAGATCACCAATGGACCATTGACACCTCCAACGGTGTTGTAGTCCAAACGTGGCTTGATGTTGAAGCCTTGTGTGACGGCCTTTTTGTTTAAATCGACTGCAAAAATGTTACGTTAGAACATTGTTAGTATACAAAACTCTTTCCCACACAAATATTCCGCTCACAGCCGCTGACTGTCACCGGTAGTGACCGCCGATTGAGCACTGGCAGACTCTCGAGTGTTGTCTTTTCCTTGCGGTGGTGGATCCGTTCGGACGGAGGACACCGGACAAGCTCATCTGCAGCTTGTTCCGGCTCCTCTCTAATGCTTATACGTACATAGCTCCTTGTCTGATAACATTGTGCTTGTCGTCTGGGCGTGTACTCTCTCAAACCCCGCTTCTGCAATCAGCAACAACCAAATCCTCAATACTCTGACATACCTTCATGTTATCTGGCTATCAGGCAGCCTCTCTTGGCTCTGGCAGATGCAGCAGGCAGCCACTGCGCTCTCTGGTGTTTCCGTACACAGGGGCCGCGATGGCAGACAAGGGGGACGGCGGCAGAGGCAAAACTCCGCTTACGTCAGCACCCACATCTGGCTTTCATGTTTCATGGCTTTAGGCTTTCGGAGGTGTTTTTGGGCCAGGGGGTCTTTGGCACTGTTCTCGTGGCGAATAGCTTGCATCTGGGTAACGAGGAAGCAGAAGACCTCTTCAGCGAGTCTTCTTTCGTCGTGGACGAGCTCGGCGGCTTCAATGGCTGGGTTGGATGGCCGGACGGTGCCTGCGAGCGACCTTTCTGGCGTTTCGTCGGGGATTCTTCCGGAGACGGTGCTGCTGCTGAGGACACTGTTGTACTCCTTCATGGTAGCAAGGCCGTAGCGTGCCACCGATGTCTGCAGCGAGACGTCTGTAGCGTACGGTTGTGTTTCTTCTGCGGGGGAAGGGAGCCAGATGCACCAGGGCGAAGATTGCCTCCCTTTGGCAGCAGGTCGAGAAGGGATTGCCGGCAGGTGGGAGTCCCTGCGTTCGAGAACTTGCATCCTGCGCTGTAGCTCGGCGACGCCCTCGCTCCCGAGCAGCACCGTGACGAGTCTGACCAGCATTGCGTCGTAGGAAAGCAAGTCCGCAAGGGATGTGCTTTCGAACTGGTACGTTGTGTCGACTCTGCGCAAGAGCACCACGATGTTCGAGATCACGCGGGCAATGCCCATGCTGAACTTGAGCATCTGCACATGTTTCAGCTCGAAGAGACTTCTCTTGTCCTTCAGCCTGTAGCAGAAGTCGCCGATGGTGAAGTCGTTGTAGCCCGTTTCGACCCGGAAGGGAAGCTCCATGTCCAGCATGCGTGCAAAGGCTTCCACAAGCTCGCACGACTTCATGAGCGAGTTCAGCACGAGGTCCATCGAATGGCTTGCCAGCTGCGTAATGGGAAGGATGGGGCAGAACAGCACGGAGATCTTTGTTTTGTCGAGGATGCGGACGTTCCAGAGAATCATCAAGTCGTAGGTCCTCTTCCTCTGCTGCAGTGCAATGTACTCATTCTGTCGTGTGACGATGCCAATGTTCAACAGACGCTTAATTTCGGCAATGTTCTGTAGCTCGACTGTCATTTCCGCCGCCACCCTTTCTCTGTGGAGTGCGATAAGACGCTGCTTGCCCTTCCGCTTCTCCTGTAGCAGCTTTATTCGGCTCTCTAGGTTCTCGGACTGTCGGCGTTTAGCCTCCACAAGCTGTCCAATGCTCTTAATGTGCTCCTGTTTCTTTAAAAGGTCCACATTCATCAACATGAACGCAAGTCTCGCAACAGACCCCACAGAGACGTTGGTCCCATCAAGTTTCTTATCTCTCTCTTCCTTATCGTAGTCGTCGGTGTATTTGGTCAAGAACTGGGTGGCATTGTCGCCGAAACAGGCCTCGAGCACGGAGTTGATGTCGTGGGCAGCAAGTGTGTTCACGTTCTGCAAATTGATCTTGTTCAAGTTGTACTTCAAGAGCTTGAAGCCAATGCATGCGGGACAGTAGTACGTTTTTTTGGGGTAGTTGTTGGAGTCGCAGTGACACACCCCACACACCACGTATCCGTTTTCCACATGCGTCAGCGGCATCTCTTTCACTGTGTGGGAGCTGTCTCTGCTAATCTGCACAAGCTGGATGGAGTAAGTGTACAGGCAGACAGCACGACCGGCCGGCAAAAGTGAAACAGGGCCAGAGATAGTACTACTCGGGCATGCAATGCAGAGAGGTGACATGAAAACTCCGTCTCGCAGTGAGGTGCAGACCCGAGAAATCATCATTTTCTCGGCCTAACTGCCTCCTCATGGCGACGCCGATCTTTCTGGCACCGGGCACCCTGGGCCGGTGGCGGCAGATAGGCACAGATGCAATGAGAATCAGACGTGACATATTTATTGGTATGCACCTGCAGGGCAATTCTTGAGCATCGTCTCCGCAATGAACGCAAAAACAGCATGCTAACATAGTTTTCTCCTCCTTCCTGAAGTCTTTGCACTTTTCGTGGTGCTGGCCCTGTACCTCGGGTTTGCGGACATCTCGCTGCCACACGACAAATGGATCCACTTCGGGATGTTTTTTGTGATGAGCTTTTTGTTCTACTGGATCCTCGACACTAAGTACACGTGGCTGGCCCGGAACGCCACGTTTGTCATCTGCACGGTCGCCGGGGGCATTGGAAGTGAGTACGCACAGCACTTCATCTCCCCGTTCCGCACGTTCGACTACTACGACATCCTCGTCAACGTGTGTGGGTCGTTGGCTGCGATCGTCGTGTCCGACGTGTACCGTCTGCTGTACCTGCGGACCGCTCCGGCCGTTGCAGCTGCGGACGCGGACGACGACGGGGTGAATCTGGCCGAAGTGTGCTAGCGATTAAGCTGGGGAGGGCTATTTAGGTTACACGGTATAGAAACAAACGTTCTGCGCTTAGAAGCTGCACGTCTCGGCGATCTTCCTGCACAGCAGCTCGAGGTAATGCTTGTCCACGTCGCCAAACCCGTTGAGGTTCAGACAGTCGATGTCCAGCACCCCGATGAGCCGGCCCTCCTGCGTGATCGGACACACGATTTCACTCTTGGTCTCCCCGTCGCAGGCAATGTGGCCCGGAAACGCCTCCACGTCGGGCACCAGCTGTGTCTGCAGCGTCGCCGCAGCAGTGCCACACACACCTTTGCCGATCCGGATCGTCTGGCACGCCACCTTGCCCATGAACGGGCCGAGAATCAGCTGCTCCGCATCACCGTCCTTGTCGACCACGTAGAACCCAGCCCAGTTCACGCCGGCGTCGCTGTAGCAGTGGTAGAGCAGCGAGCTGCAGTTGGCCAGGTTGGCCACCCAGTTACGCTGCGAAGCCGCCAACGCCTCGTAGGACATCACAAGCGTCTCCAAGGCGTCCTTGCGGGACGCGGCAGACTCGAAGTTCGAGTAGTCTGCGTGGTGGGACATGTTGTGGCCAGATGAGATCCCTTTTCGGCCTCAAACACTCCTCTCTCTTCCGTTCTGGCCTTTCCTTGACCCCATGTCTAGCATTCCGTCCTCGACTTTTGACACTTCCGGCGGCACGTGACCCAGCTACGCGGGGCGAGAGGGTTCGGCTAGCTGGGCGTTTGGGCTCTTAGGGGCATCTGCAGCGGGTATTCCCATCGCAAAGCCCACCGCCACCGCCGTCAGCATAACTACATGTGCAGGGGCTACGACTGCAATGGTCTGCTGTGGCACTGCCTTCCTGTCTACCCGTCAAGGGCCCATGGGGCCCACTGCCGTCGGCGTCGGCGTCGCCGCCTTCGACAAGAGGGCAACGGAGAGAGAAGAGCAAGGAACCGCGAGGATGGAAAAAAAGCGAGGGGGCCTGCGACGAGTCCCACGTCGAAATAATATGGTCGTGGAGCCCGGCCAGAGAGGGCTGTATAGGCACCGCTTTTTGGGAGCAGGGCAGGCGGGCACGCAAATAGAAGCTTGGTTTGTCCGGTTCCACACAGCAGTTCTCCATTGTACCAGCCATTTGTCAGATCACACAGGCAGTCCTCTTTTTTCCCTGAAAAAAAAACACATCCTTTCCTGAACGCCACCCTAACCCACCTCCGTCACATCATCTTTTATTGTTCATCAATCAAAGCCAAACTCACCATCGATCCCTCCACAGACGACGACGACAACAACACCAGCAACAGCAACATCAAGTAGGACAACTACTCCCAGCAGAACCCACCGCCATCAGCACCACCGACACATCATTTCTCCAGCTAGCACAATGACGACCTCAGAATCCCTCTTCGATAACAACATCAACTCGGAGCAACCCGCAGTCAGCAAGACGCCCTCCCACCACCTCGAGGAGAGCGAGGCTGAGACCGACGACAACTACGACCTCGACCTGGGCAAGACCTTGATCACGTACAGAATCCTTGTGTCAAGAAGAGAGGCCGGTGCCATCATCGGCAAGGAAGGTGTCAACATCTCCAAGATCAGAGACGAGTTCGACGTCAAGGCAGGCGTCTCGAAGGTCATGGACGGCTGCATCGACCGGATTTTGACCGTCACCGGCATGGTCGACAACATCCCGAGCGCCTTGGTGGACATTGCGCAATCGGTCACCGACGCCAACATCCAGACAATCAAGGAAGCGGACGAAAACAGCTCGAACCCCCTAAGATTGATTTCCTACGAATACCCGCCTTTGCGCCCATTGACCCAGAGACCTAACTACAGAAGCCCGGAATACGAAACCAACCTATTTTTGAGATTGTTGATTCCAAACTCCCAGGTCGGCACTTTGATCGGCAAGGGCGGTTTGAGAATCAAGTCCATCCAAGAGGATAACGACATCAAGATGGTTGCATCCAAGGACTTTTTGGAGCACTCAACCGAGAGATTGGTTGAGTTGCAAGGTAGTGAAGAAAATTTGAAAGATGCGCTTTTGTCCATCTCCAAGTATCTCTTGAGAGACTATCAAGGCACTGCGCCAACGACTTTCTACGTTCCATGTGCACCATTAGAAAACAACAGGTTTCACAGAAATACCTTCAACGGGGGCCTTAGAACCAACTACAATGGCAACGGCATGGGCAATGGCGCTATTACCAGCGGCAACTATAATGCCACTGCGAGCGCTGCCTCTGGTGACATCAGAACCGGCGGCAAAGAGATCATCAAGAAGATCAGCTTTCCTAACGAGTACATTGGTGCATTGATCGGTAAACGTGGATCTAGAATTCAAGAAATCAGACTATTATCACAATGTGCGGTTGCTATTGAGAACGAGAACACCGAAGACGACGAGAGAGAAATCACCTTGGTTGGTACCAAGGCCTCTGTCGACAAGGCCATTGATCTTTTGAATATGTATTATGAAAGAGAACAAAAGAGAAGAATGAGCGAGTGAGTGAGTGTTGAGCTCATGTCGGTTCTTTTCTTTGCTAACTTTCTTGTTTGTATATTTTTTTCCTTCTTTCTTTATCTTTGTTTTGTTTGTACCATGATTTTATAACCATTTTCTTTTTTTTGCTTTCTGAAATAAAAGAAATAACAAAATACTATTATTACTACCACCAATCAACCAGTACTACTGTTGATATGGCTGAGAATATTGAACACGAGACACAGTTATCTTACTTTATATAGAAATACACAAGGGATAAACTAGGTTTAAGCTTCGGTGGCAACCTCGGTAGCTTCGGCAGAAGGTGCTCGAGCAACAGACTTGTGGACAATGACAGAAGGCTCTTCGATTCTTTCGTCTTCCTTTGGATCGAGGACCTTGACGTAATCTGGCAAGGACTTTGGACCCTTCTTGTTGAGGGCTGGGTCGGTCATGATCTTGACCTTCAAACCAAGGACACCTTGTCTCAAGAGAACGTGTCTGGTGGCAACCTCAATGAAGTCGTTAACTGGTTGACCGGAGTGGATCATGAAACCGGAACCGAACTTCATAGCCTTGGCTCTGGCACCCTTGGACTTACCGGAGATGACAACCTCGACACCCTTGGCGCCGGACTCGATGACGTTTCTGATGACACCGTAGGCAGCTCTTCTGACAGCCAAACCGTTCAACAACTTGAACTTCAAGGATTCACATTGGGTGGAAGCAGAGAGACCTCTGTTTTGCACTCTTTCAGCGTAGAGGATGATGGAGCCTGGAGCCAACTTGAATCTCTTTTGGATCAACATGGTCAACTCTCTGATTCTTCTACCCTTTTCACCCAAAACGGCGTTGGTTCTGGTGGCCTTGATGATAACCTCAGTCTTGGTTGGGGTGATCTTGACTTCACAACCAGCGTAACCTTCTTCTGGCAATTCTCTGGTGAAGAATTCATTCAATTCGGCGTAGAAGACACCGTCAGCGACGAGCTTTCTCTTCTTGGAAATAACGTTGACCATTCTGTGTTGTTTTTTGGTTTTGAACTAGTCTGTACAGGCTTCAATATGACCGTCCAGTGTCTACTTCTTGAAGAAAAAAGCATGGTGAAAAATGGACCACCAGCTTTCACCCGTCCACCGCTCTTGCTTCCTTCCTCCCGCTCTCTCCCCCTCACCCTCTCCCTTTCGCGCCGCCGCGACGGCCCCGCCGACGAAGGACGGTGAAAAATCCCTTCGCCGAAAAGGGAAAGTAGGGTTTGTGCAAACCCGCGGTTCACGCACGTGCCAAACCTCCCCCTCTTTTTCCCCAGTTTCCTTCCACAAGGGTCTCGCCCTTTTCGCCCTCCCCCGGACGCGTCTCCACTCGCGTCGCTCCGTGTTGCTTGCTGCCTTTTTGCCCCGCGTCCCTGCGCGTGTCCGTTGCCCCGTGTAGCCAGCGGCGGCCAAGGCGCCCAAGCCTCCCTCACTCGCATGACATCATCCGGCGTCGTACACGCACCAAGTCTGCACCGCATGTGTATTTACATCTGCTCCCTTGTAGCGCAGCATCTGCATTGTCCGGAAGGGCCGTCTGTCGTGGCACGGCCAGCAACCAGCCAGCAAGTGTACCTGTTGTGCATGGCCAGCGCAACGGCAGCTGCTACCTGGCTGTTCGTCTGCGGTGTCGTCTCCTGTGTCTGTAGTGTGGCAAGTAGGTGTAAACGCAATCACAGGACAGCCAAGCCCTAGCACTAACACTCTACCGCCCTCGACGGAATCAACAACAACAAGCCCGGCAAGAAGCTCGCCTGGAAAACACGTTTGGGCAAAGTTTCACTGTGCCTGACCTTCTGGATCTGACACGAGCTGCAAACACACGCCCAGCGACCACGCACGCACGCACGCACGTTCACACACACACACACACACACACACACACACACACACACACACTCAGATACACACATCGGCATTTGGCACCAGACTACTGCACACAAGCATTGCATCTCTTCCAGCATATCAAACCCCCCGTCTCGCAATGTCCCACACACAGACACAGGTCACGTTCAACGTCAGTGACTACTACGAAATCAAGGAGATCGTAGGTGAAGGCGCCTACGGTATCGTCTGCTCGGCGCTGTACAAGCCCTCGCAGCAGAAGGTCGCCATCAAAAAGATACAACCCTTCGAGCGCACCATGTTCTGCTTACGAACGCTCAGAGAGTTGAAGCTGTTGAAACACTTCAACCACGAGAACATCATCGGCATCCTGGACATCCAGATACCCTACGACTTCGACAGCTTCAACGAGGTCTACCTCATCCAGGAGTTGATGGAGACAGACCTGCACCGCGTCATCCGCTCGCAGAAGCTCTCCGACAACCACTGCCAGTACTTTATATACCAGACGTTGAGGGCCCTCAAGGCCCTCCACTCCGCAAACGTCTTGCACAGAGACTTGAAGCCCTCCAACCTCCTCCTCAATTCAAATTGCGACTTGAAAATATGCGACTTCGGCTTGGCCAGGTCTGTCGCTTCCCATGATGACAACTTCGGCTTCATGACCGAATACGTCGCCACCCGCTGGTACCGAGCCCCAGAAATCATGCTCACCTTCCAGGAGTACACCACCGCCATCGACGTCTGGTCCGTCGGCTGTATACTGGCAGAAATGCTCTCCGGCAGACCCCTCTTCCCCGGAACCGACTACCACAACCAGTTAGCCCTCATCATAGACATCCTCGGCACCCCAAAAATGGACGATTTCAACGCAATCAAGTCCAGAAGGGCTAAGGAATACATCCGCATGATACCTTTCAAGAGGAAAAAATCCTTCGCCGAGCTCTTCCCCAACGCCAACCCGGACGCCGCAGATTTACTTGAAAAACTACTCACTTTCAATCCAAAAAACAGGTTGACCGTAACAGAGGCCTTGGAACACCCGTATGTCTCCTTCTACCACGAGCCAAACGATGAGCCGATCGCCGAAAAACTTCCAGAAGACTTTTTTGACTTCGATAAAAAAAAGGACCAGCTGTCGATCTTGCAGCTGAAGAAGATGCTCTACGAGGAAATAATGAAGCCGCTCCGCTGATCCAAAACCAGCTTCGTCTCTTGCCTCTTCAAACTCCATTTTACATAGACTCTCATATATCTCCTCCCGTAATACACTACGACCAGACTCGAAAACTCATCCACAGCCTCCCAAGGGGAAGTTCTTCCCCAGCCTCTTAGGGCTACAAGGCAGAAGACGTGGAAATGCAAGCGTCAGGGCTCCCCCACAAATGGCCATCGCCAAAAACTACGTTTGTGCTGGCGGAAACCAGACGGAGAAAGACGTCTGCAACACAGTGGGTGCAATAATTGCCTGCTTTGCAGTAAGACCTCGACAAAAACTGATTTATCCAGACGACGCGTGGTCACAAGTTGCCGGAGTGGATCGGAGGTTTGTCAAGAGTTTTAGGAATACAATCTGGCACTAGCTATTCCGCTGTAATGAAGGTAAATTCAAAAACCAATTGGAATTCATCCCCAGCAACTACTATGGTTCGAATGTAATGAACGGCAGTTCGGCTTCGATAGTCATAGTCCTTGATCTCTGCACCGATATGGTGGTAGGCAAAGTTCACCAAGTTTACTAGGTTTACAAGGTTTACAGACAGGAAATAGGTTTTCGCAGTACACCTGCCATGCTCCGTGGAAGTAATAGGACCCTGCTAACCACTACAGCTTTTTCCCAGCACGCTACAATATGTAAGCAACAAAAACACCGACATGAATCGAGCACTGCTCGGTCTCTCCAAACCGGTCTTTATCTTTTTACTCGCATACTACCCTCTCATGGCCATCCTTTCGAGCGGCCACCATCGGGGCACCCACCTACCTTTCCCAAGATCGGCTTTCCTATAACTATACCACCTTTACCGAGATAGCGCCCTTAGGCAGAGATTTCAACTCGTACTGACCCGCATTGACAGGCCTAACGAGGAACAATTATCACTGTCAGCATTCCAGCATTCCAGCAACCCACAATGCACACGCTTTTGCTGGCGGACCTGCCATTGGAAATTTGGGTCAAGATCTCAGCTAACTTGGACAGGACTGACATCTTCTCGTTAGCTTTGACAAATCACCAATTTCACCGAACGATGACCTCAGATTCGGTCTGGTGGCCGAAGATCAGAAAAAGCTGGTACATGTCAGACTATAATCCCATTTCACTTGTATATAAAAAGAAGCTCAAATCTAATGAATCATGTTTCCACTATTTTCGAAGGAAAAAAAATGAAGATAAGTTTTTGAGATCATTGATTACTGATATATTGAACTATTCACCATTTACGGACACCGAATCACAGACAAAACAGAAGGAGTCAGATATTCAGAGTAAAATATTACTCGTATACCAAAATTTTGATTCTTTTGTGCCCTGTTTATTGAGTGAATCATTGCATATAACATCGTCCATATACGTTTCAAGTGGTAGCACTACAGTGGGCAATGCCAGATTTGCGTTGGCTGATGATTTCATCCGTTTACAAAAAAAGAGAAATACAAAACTGGATAGAATATATGTGGCATCCAGTATTCTGGAAGCAGGAAAGCTGTGGAAATGCCTCAACTTTTACAAACAGCTTCAAATGGGCGACCTGCCAGACGATTTAGAATCTGTTTTCGTTCAATTGTCACTCTTAGATTCTAGATACTATGAATTAATCTTACAGCGTCATGCTGTTATCAAAACTGTCATATACAATTTTAACACGTACAATTTCGAAGAGAACACAAAACCTGCAGAGAAGATTCTGGCCTTAGTGACTATTCTACATAGAGTCATAGAAACTAATAGACGCCGCATACTGAGGTATGAACGAAACGTTAGTAAGGCAACGGTTGAAGATCTTTCGATTTTGAGATATTATTGTGGAGACAGTGAGGGTAGTCCATTGGTGAAGAATGCTGTTGTGGCCAAATTATGTCAAATGGTAGGTTTGGATAAATACGTCGATATCAACGAATGGTGCATTCGTATCAAAGACGGAAACAGGTACTTGTACTTGTTGATAGACGAACGACAGATGTATTTGAAAAGGGAAGACCAAGTGCCGGAGATACTACGGATATTCCCAATGAACGATCCGGGATCTTCAATGGTGCATCATCATAGTACCAATGACAATGCATTGGGCATCGAAAGTAGAAAATCCTTATACCTCAGCAAGTTCTTGAGCTTCTACGACGGATTTCAGTCCAGGTTGGATGACTTAAGAGGGGCAGACCAAATAATTTATCAGATGAGGAACGAGGAAAAAATCGTCACCGTTCACAGAGGTGATCACATTCAGGGCCAAATCTTAGGCTGTGGGGGGTATGTCAATATAAAAGCATGGCATGTTTTACACATGTTGATGACAAATAGAATATACAACGAAGAGTCGAGCAAGAAGAACACCATATTGGATTTTGCGTCGATATTCAACTTTCCTATCCTACAGATCCTATCCGTAACTATTCCTGTCAGTTTTAAAGCATTATACTTGAGAGATATTTCCTACGATCTGAAAATTTCCGAATTGGAAAAGCTTCAGGAAATGGATATACTTTGGGAAGCTGAGCAGTTATCTGTAGGGGATGTTGTATGGTCTGATGCATCGCAGGCGAGGGGAATAATTGTTGAGATATGTGACAGTTTTGAGGATGATCAGCAACGGAAAATTGGCCTGTTTACTGCAACCAGTTACAAAGGCCGGAACTGTAGTCTAAAAGGTTCCCCGCTCTATACCATTTTTTTTGGAGCATATGGATATGCTACTTTCTCAAGACAATACTTGAAAAAGGATAAGACAGATCGGGTGGAGGGGTTGTTGGTTTATGATGTAGTCGGTCGTTGGTTTTCACATTATGATTATGAGGAGCATAAATTTTCATATCGACACGGAGCAAATTTGTAACATATGTATATACTAAAAACACACTTGTACTTCATGTTATTACAAGATTCTCTGGAATTTATCTATAAAAATTTTCCAACGGCTAGTAGTATCTAACTAGTGGTTTTGCGTCTTTTGGGAGACTGCCAGTTCTCGTAAAACGTTCATAAGGACTATACCTGAGAGGTAGAAACCGGTCCATCAAGATGTTTTGTAAAAGGGAATAGGAGTTCGAGCTTATCCAATACATGACAAGAGCTGCTGGCGCTTGCGTGGCCACCGCAGTCAAAAATATCAACGATGCACGAGACAAGGTTATAATGACATCGAATGCCGTTGGTCTTAGCGTATTCTTCTTTCCTCTAGTGGTTAGTTGCATGAGATCTGCTGTTTTAAAGTTCCATTCAGCATTACATAACGCAACAACACCCAAGGTGATTGGAAGTATGAAATATGGATCGCTTACCGATAGGTCGTACAAGTGTAAAAAATGTTCATCTGTCAAAGACATGTCGATGTTGGACTTGTTCCCAAAATCCGTCCAGCCGGTGATTGTTCTGAACATGTACGAGAAGGAGACCCAGAGCGGTATCTGCACCGCTGGAAGCACCATCATTTTCCATGTCTGGCAGCCATACTGCCTAAACAATGCTTTTTGTCTTTTGTATTTCTCCTTGGCTGCCAGTATCATTATCTTGTCTGCCGTCAATGTCGCCTTCTCGTTAGGCACGGGGCTTTTGATCCCTCTGGCGATCTCTTTCTGTCGTTTGATTTGTTCCGCCTGCGCAACGGATGCAAGTTTGGCACGTAAAACCGGGGTAGTTGCCTGGATGATTGGTCTTAGTTCGTTCTGTTTCCGCAGCCCACGTCTCTGATATATGGCAATGGGAAGCGTGAAGCAGGTCCGCATGGTGAACGTAGCCAAGGGAATGAAGACCCACCACGGCAACAGCGAGTCTGCATGCACCTGTATCAGCATCTCTGACGCATGCTTCAATCCTTCTGAAACTGGTTCAAATGAAAAGTTTCTGCGTTGCAGCCGATTGTAGCTCCGGCTGCATCCTATTATCTTTTTCGGTCTATAAATTCTTGGCAACATGACTAGGTGCTGTGTTTCACCTACAGAATGTGAAGAAGGGCTGCACTTTCTTCCGGAGACAATCAACCAGTTATTACCACTTCTGTCGAATCATCATCTCATGATTGGAATAGATGCCCAACCGAAATCGACGCGACGGCGGGCTTTGCCTGCCGCTGGCGGTTTTTCCCTCTCCTGTCTGGCGGCCGAGGAAGAGAGGTGTGCATTTAGCAGCTGGAGCGCCGCCGCCTACATGAATCCTTCAACACAGCTCCACGGCCATGCGCCACCCGGTGCACAGCAGCGGACAGACCAGAACACAGATATACACCAGCGCCGAAGACATGTCTACGCTGAAAAGGGGAAGACAGACGCCTAAGCTCAATAGAGCATGCATGTTGTGCGGTATGGTGCAGAGCATGAGCCAGTTCCGGAACGAGGGCTGTCCGAACTGCGAGTCGGTGTTGCACTTTCAGGACAACGAGGACGTCATTAGAGAATGCACGTCGCCAACTTTTGAAGGCCTCGTTGCCGTCCGTGGGTCGAGCTCCTCGTGGGTTGCGAGATGGCTGAGAATCGAGAACTTCGTCCCCGGCTTCTACGCCGTCAGAATCGTCGGCAAGCTTCCGGACGACATCAAGAACGACCTCTACGCACAGGGAATAGAGTACAGACCCCGTGATGGCAGTGTGCAGGACTAGTTTCCCCACTGCCCCTGCCTCTCCTCCCCTTTTTCCACTTGTAATCTGTATAATAGAAATACCACAGCCACTTTTTCCGACGGTCACGTGACTTTTGCGCCGATCGGCCCGCCGCTCTTTTTCTGTGAAATCTCTGGCGATACGAGATAAACGATATAAACGATAGGTCGGAAAGGCACATGCAACAAAGTGGAAAAAAAATTTTCACATGCGGCCACCCTTGAGGGGCTCCGTGCCCATATAAAAAAAAGCAGTCTGCACTTTTCCAGTTTTCTAGCAGACGGAGCAGAAAGTAGTGGTGGTTTGCAGGTGGGTCGGGTGTTTTGGTTTCGTTTGCATTCTCGTTTCGGCAGATTAACTCACACAAGGCACTCACACACAACATGTCCGGTCCATCCCAAACTTACAAGGTCGCAGATATCTCCCTTGCCGCATTCGGTAGAAAGGATATCGAATTATCCGAAAATGAAATGCCAGGTTTAATGTACATCAGAAAGAAGTACGGCCCAACCCAACCATTGAAGGGTGCCAGAGTTGCTGGTTGTTTGCACATGACCATCCAAACCGCCGTTTTGATTGAAACCTTGGTTGCCTTGGGTGCTGAAGTCACCTGGTCTTCTTGTAACATCTACTCTACCCAAGACCACGCTGCTGCTGCAATTGCTGCTGCCGGTGTTCCAGTTTTCGCTTGGAAGGGTGAAACCGAAGAAGAGTACGAATGGTGTATCGAGCAACAATTGTTTGCCTTCAAGGACAACAAGAAGTTGAACTTGATTTTGGACGACGGTGGTGACTTGACCAAGATTGTCCACGAAAAATACCCAGAAATGTTGAAGGACTGTTACGGTTTGTCCGAGGAAACCACCACCGGTGTCCACAACTTGTACAAGATGCTCAAGGAAAACGCCTTGAAGATCCCAGCCATCAACGTCAACGACTCCGTCACCAAGTCCAAGTTCGACAACCTTTACGGTTGTAGAGAATCCTTGATCGATGGTATCAAGAGAGCCACCGACGTTATGATTGCAGGTAAGGTTGCTGTTGTTGCCGGTTTCGGTGATGTTGGTAAGGGTTGTGCCATGGCCTTGAGAGGTATGGGTGCCAGAGTCATTGTCACCGAAGTTGACCCAATCAACGCTTTGCAAGCTGCTGTCTCCGGTTACGAAGTCAACACCATGGACAACATTGCCTCCGTTGGTCAAATCTTTGTCACCACCACTGGTTGTAGAGACATCATCAACGGTGCCCACTTCGAGCAGATGCCAGAGGACGCCATTGTCTGTAACATTGGTCACTTTGACATTGAAATCGACGTTGCTTGGATCAAGGCCAACGCTGTCGAATGCGTCAACATCAAGCCTCAAGTTGACAGATACTTGATGAAGTCTGGTAGACACGTCATCTTGTTAGCCGACGGTAGATTGGTTAACTTGGGTTGTGCCACCGGCCACTCCTCTTTCGTCATGTCTTGTTCTTTCTCCAACCAAGTCTTGGCTCAAATCGCTTTGTTCAAGGCTAACGACGCTACCTTCAGAAAGCAATTCCCAGAATTCGAAAAGACCGGTCCTTTCGACATTGGTGTCCACATCTTGCCAAAGATCTTGGACGAAACTGTCGCAAGATGTCACTTGGACCACTTGGGTGTCAAGTTGACCCAATTGTCTGACGCTCAATCCGAGTACTTGGCTATTCCACAGCAAGGTCCTTTCAAGCCAGAACACTACAGATACTAAGTGTCCAGAATTCTCAGATTGACTTGTTACCTATTCTAAATACTTGCATCAACTGCATTTATGATAATAAAAAACATAATAATGAAATAGAAATAAAAATTTTTCAAAATTTCCAAAACAAAAAACAATTAAAACTAAACTACTAGTCTCTAGTATAGATCTTCTCTTTTCTGAAAGCACAACACTGTTGTCTTTAGTCTTTATATATTTGATATGATTGTATACATGGGTTAATACAATTCTCCTCAACGGGTACTTTTAACAGCGTTAATCACAGTAAAACTTATCGTTAATTAGACGCAACATATACGGGAACTCGATACACGTTGGGGAGAGTTCGTGTGTCTTTCTTTCTTCCCGACTACGTCTCTGTAGTTCCTATCTGTCTGTGTATGTATATGGGTATGAGTGGCAGAACTATGGCTAGCTGAGGAGAAGTGCGTCCACTTTGGAGACAAAAGCTGCCTCACGGTGGTTTGTGCGACGGTCGGCTGCGCTAACGTCACCTCGCAGTGACGGAGAGATAACTTCTCCAGCAGCAAGCTCCACAGCAGCCATGCCGTTGTCTACAATAAGCGGGACCCACACAGTGGTGTATACGGACTGGAGCTGCGCAAGCAAGTTGCGGTGGGCAACATCTGTGAGAACAACCATCTTGAGGCCGCTGAGTGTCTCCAGAATCTGCATCTTGTAGTGGAGGGTGTTGAGGGTATACACCTTGTTGTTGTTGTTGAGCTGCAAAGAGTTTCCAAACTCGGAAGAAGCCGCCGGCTCCGACGTTTCGCCGTCCTGTTTCGGCAGCGTGAGCTCGTTCGCAATGTTTCGTAGAGAGTGGATCATACCGTAGAGTAACTTGCTCTCGTTGCTGTCATTAAGAACATTGACTCGTCCGGGGTACAGCCTGACCGCCTTGTCGGTGCCTGCGCCTGCGCCTGCGCCCGTGCCGGCAGCGCCAGATGTCGTGTTGCCAGAGACCTGTGGCTTGTAGGGGGTCTGGTGGTTGTATTCACGGTGGAACACGCAGAGCGTGTGTCTGTTGAAAATCCAAAATGAGTGGACAGCCATTGGTTTGGTAGACTTTTGCAAGAAAAGATGAACGGCTAGCACTACGTGTCCTTTCCATGGTGTTCTACCTGACGGTCGGATCATCATGGTACAAAGCACAAAATTCATGTTAAGAAGAGAGACGTCTGGACAGCATTGCGCGAAAGCGTTTCGGTAGTTGCAAGTGCTGGGGAAATTTCTAACGAACCTAAAGATGTAATAAATATGAAAGATCATACACACAGGATACACACATCATGGACATATATATGAAGAGAGGGAGAAAAAGGAGATGAAGATGGCGAAGGGAAGTGTAATTTGATGTAGTTGGCACAGGACTAAAGATCCAAAAGATCAACCATACCATTGTTGTTATTGTTGGTGGAGGGCTTTGGTGTCGGAGTGGCTGCAGCGTATTTGAAGGAGGAAGTTGCAGCCGGAGTTGGCAACGGCTTGGAGACGGCTGGTCTGTTCGAGGACGTCTGGTTCTGCTTCGCACTCATCAACAGGGAGCCGAAGATGTCGTCGTTCTTCTTAGGCTGGCCGATAGCTGGTGTAGGAGCGGATGCGGATGTGGAGGAGGCGCCGTAGTTGGTGTTGGTGTTGGTGGAGTAGGAGGAGGTCAATAGGTCGGACAAGTTGTTTGAGTTGGAGGTGGTGCTGGCTGGAGCAGCTGCGCTGGCGGCCGGGGTGGCGCTCTGGAAGTCGTCGAAGTCGTCGAAGTCGTCGTCGTCGTTCTCGTTTTCGTACTCGGCGCCGGCGTGGTCATGGAACCCTCCGTTGTTTGCGCCGTTGGTTGTGCCGAAGTCGTCTCCAAAACCGAGTAAATCCGCATTTCCACGGGCATTGACCTTAGATGCTTCGACGGATGCTTTGCTCATCCTGCTGTGTCCGCCATTTCTGCTGGTATTGTTGTTGCTGTTGGTATTGCTGCTGCTGTGATGCTGTCCTTCGTCGTACTCCTCAAACGCGCCGGGGGCAATCGAGGTGCCCCGAGGCTCCTCGAACCTCTCGCCAAAGACACCGCCGTCGCCGAAAATCCTGTTTTCGTAGCCGTCGTCGTCGTAATCGGCGGCTCCCGAGGAGACTCTGCGGCCGGGCCCGGCGGCTCTTCTGGCGAGGTTTCTGCTGCCGGCGGAGGTCGACGAGATGGCGTCAAACTTCTTCGAGTTGTCCTTCGCCTTCTTTCTCTCCTGTCTGATCTTGACCTCGTCGTTCAGCAGGTTCGTCAATTCCTTGGCCCGGTTGCGGATGTTGATGCCCTGGTCGACGCCCTTGGAGTCGATGTAGTGGAACGACTTCAACATCGACACCAAGCTGACGTTCGCCCTGGCGTCGTCCACAAACCGCTCCGACCCGTTCTTCACAAGGTACTCCATCAACTGCAACGACTTGTAGATCTGTCTCCACTCGTGCGCAGACTTCTCGGTGAATCTTCTGAAAATCATGTTGCAGATCTCCTCTCTGTCTCTGTAGTTGAACGTCCCTCTCGCAATCTCCGACATGAGCGTGGTGGATGCCCCCCACGGCTCGTTGTTCGTCGCCTCTCTCACTTTCGCCTCCACGTCCGAGAGGTTCAAAACAGCGTTCTGTGCCTTCCGCACATAGGATTTCACCTCCCAGAGGGACAGGTTGTTCATCGACTTTCCTAGCTGGTCCATCACGGATGTATTCTTGTCTGTGTGTATCTGGTGCTGTCGTCCCCTCACTGCTGTGCTTCTGCTTCGGACGTTCTACTTCTTCCCCCGCTGTCCTCCCTTCTGTTGGCCGAATCTCCACCACCTACATTTTGAATCCTGCCCCTCTAGGCTCAATCTCTCCCCTGCTAGTGCTACATGATATCTGGCGCGAAGGGAGCGATTTGGGCACACATGACGCTGATTGGCAGCTGGAGAGACAGGCCGGAGCACCGCTGGGTAGGGATGTCGAAGAGAAGGTTAAGAGTACGTAGGGAGAAGCTATGGAGTTATATATGTAGCAGGAATCAGTAGACAGAGATGTAGTTGTTGATCTTGTCTTTCTGGTTCTGGGCGATGCACTCGGAGATCCAGGTGATGTTTCTGATCTCCTGCTCCTTGGACTTGATGAAGGCCCAGATGGTGGAGTAGGTGAACTGCTGGGTGAAGGCGTTTCTGTTGAGGTTCATCTCGTACTCGTAGAAGCTGTCCTCCAAGGACTTGCTGGAGACGCCGGCGGAGGCGCTGTCGCTGAAGAAGTCCTTGTAGGGGCCGACGGAGGACATGAGGATTTTCAAGTTCTCGAGGTCGGCCAATTCCGAGAGCTGGTACTTGATGGCGTCGTTGGAGGCGAGCAAGCCGATGGAGGGCAACATCTTGAGCTTCTCGTCGCTGGAGAGGTCTGTGTCGAGGGAGTTGATGCAGATGTTGATGGTTCTCTTATCGGCCTCGAAGCTCAACAAGCGCTCCATGATCTCGTCGGTGGGGTTAGGGAGCTCTGCGACACAGAAGCGGTAGAAGTCCTCGAGGTACTCCTTGTATAGTATGTTGCGGATGATCTCGATGTTGAGGTCGTCCAGGTCGTCGATCGACAAGCAGTTGTGGAAGTACTTGGCCAACGGGGTGTCGATCAAGACCGTCTCGTACAAGGAGTTCAAGTCCGTCGTGATGGACAAGGTGGGCAACGTGTCGAACCACCCGAGCGGGTTGCACTTCTTCAGGATCTCGCCCTTGTCCCGGTTGTGGATCGTGCCCGTGATGATCAAGAGGATGTTGTCGATCATGTAGCTGTACGTGATGTACTCCATGAACTTGGACAACGGGTACGTGGCCTGCGACTTGATGTAGTTGAAGTCCTCGATGAGCTTCTTGTTCAACTTCTGCTCGATCACCGACGTCGAGAGCGTCTGGCTGATGTCTGCGAGGAAGTTCCCGTAGTCCGTTGCCGAGAGCTGGAGCTTGAGGTCCTCGAGGTTGTCGCATTGTGTCAAGTTGATGTACTGCGACGACGTGATAAGCGAGTTCTTGTATCCCCGCACGAGCCCCTCGATGTACCCGCCGTCGATGTTGAAGAAAAGTCCCTCCATTGTGTATTGTACTGTGACGCTGCTGCTGTTTCTGCTGGCTCTGCTGTTGCTGCTGTTGCTGCTCCCCCCTGTCCTGTTCCCCGTCTTTCTTCCTGCCTTCTCCTTTCTACAGCATCTTCTGGCACAAGCAGCCGCCTCTGTGCGAAAAGGCAGCCGTCAGGCAGCCTGCGAAAAAGACCGACGCGCCGATTTGCCGGCGCCGCCATTTGGCGACATGTTCTGAAGTTCACAAGGTTGACACGGAGGACGGGGGGGACGGAGCATGAGGTCCCCTGAAGAGGGCCCCGGGAGCAGACTGAAGACAGCAATGGCGTCACACACACAGCTACTTTTGGACACGCTCAGCGTGAACCTGCCAGCGGGGTCGCAGGAGCTGCTGGCGGAGCCGGCGTGGCAAGACACAGCGCTGCAGTACTTGACGGAGCTGCTCGACGCAGACGACGTGGAGACGCTGCTCGACACGGCGACGCCGCTGCCGGGGAGCGTCAAGGGCGGCGGCGGCGGCGGCGTCGGGATAGCGGAGCAGATAGCAGAGCTGGCGAACGAGTCGGTGCTGCTGGACAAGAAGATCTTTGGCCGACTGAACTCGTCGGCGACGTCGAACTTGGCGCTCGTGCTGCACACCAACACGGTGTTCCACGAGTCGTTCGAGAACTTCGACAGCCTGGTGCTGCTGGCGCAGGAGCTGGTGGAGCTCGACACGATGGCCGGGTGGAAGACGCAGGTGGCGGCGGTGAACAGCAGCCTCGGGCTGGCGGCAGGCGGCAGCGGCAGCGCAAGGCCCGGCCCGCACGACGACATCGTCTCGGCGACGTACAGCACGGAGCTGTCCTCGATCCTGCAGAACCTGCAGAGCCTCACCGAGATCCTCGAGCTTCCGGCCATCACGCACTCGCTCATCAAGCTCGGCCAGTACTCCGAGTGCATCGAGATCTCGTCGCTCTCCAAGCGCCTCCGCATCCGCTACAACGACATCGACCTCGTGGCCCGCATCGAGGAAAACATCACCTACGAGATCAACGACATGGTGCGCAAGCTTTCCAGCCTGCTCATGACCAACCTCAAGCAGGCGTCCATGATCAAAATCCTCTCCTACCTCAAGCGCATCATCGGCAACCGCGACCAGCTCAAGTCCATCTTCTTCCACTCCCGCTACAAGTTCATCACCGACGAGTTCGACACCCTGCTCCCGCTCAAGCAGTCCCGCCTCATCGAGAAGTACCTCAAGCGCACCCTCGAGATCTTCCGCGAGTTCTGCTTCCAGACCGTCATCACCTTCGATTCCGTCTTCGACCGTGACCGCCACCTCACCTACGTCTTCCTTCGCTCCCTCACAGACCGCCTCTGCGCCATTCTCGTCGAAAACCTCCCTCTTCTTGCCGAGGACTCCGCCTGCGACAGCCTTCTTCTTCAGCTCATCTACTGCTGCCAGTCGCTCAGCCGCGTCGGCGGCGACTTTACCGCTTCCGTCCTCCGCCAGCTACAGCCCGCCGTCGACCAGCGCCGCCTTCTCACCATTGTCAGGAAGCAGAAGGAGCTTGTCCGCAGCCTCAATCGTGTCTAGTACTCCTCCATACTCCCTTTGTACTTATCTCATGTACCTTCTGTACCTACTCCTTCTCTCGCAGCGAAGAAAACGGCCTCCCGCTACGCGAGGCTCGCGGCCTTTGCGGGCCAGGAACAGCAGCAACAACAACAGCCACCGGCAGCGCTGAGCATGCCCCTGCCGGCGCCCGGCCTGGCTGTCACACGTAACCCATTTTCTGCTGTTTCTTGCTCTGTTGGTTCACCCCGTTCTTCCTGAACAGACCCCAGCAGCAGCAATTGCAGACCGGTAGCATTGCAGAAACACAGACACACGAGAGCCAAGAGTATGGCAGCTACAGCCCAGGCGCAAGGCCCGCCCCAGACCGCCCCAGCGGGCGACATCCCCCAGATCAACGTCACCAGGCCCAACAGGGCTCTGCAAGACGCCAGCGGCGTTGCTCCGAACGGCGCTGGTCCGACGCTGGACCCACGGACAGCAAAGCAGCAGCAGCAGCAGCGGGTGCCGCCATCACCTCGGCAGCCCGTCGCCAATGGCAGTGCCAATGGCACCGGCAAAGCCTCGAAAATAGCAAAGCCCACCGACGACGTCTTGGGCGTTCCTCCGACAGAGGACGGTGGCAAGCTAAAGAGAACGACCTCCTCGTACTCCGTCAACAACGAATTTATCAAGCCAAAGGAGTTCACCTACAAGTTTCCATGGAAAAAGATCGGCTCGTACGTCGACTCGGAAAAGGAGCTCACTAAGGAGGAGCTGGAGGACTTGTTGCTGGACAGCTCCGCCAACAAGCTCACAACGTACATCTACGAGAAGTACTACGCCGATTTCTACTGGAACTGCTCGATGATTGTGGGTGCGTGTTTCGCCTCGTGGTGCTTCACCTACCTTGGCTTCGGGCTGTTTTCGCTCGTCTTTGTCCTCATCTGCACCTTCGCCGTGTACAGAGCCGAGCTAAGGAGATTCAACATCAACATCAGAGACGACATGCAAAGAATCCAGTCCACAGAAAATTTGGAAAAGAAGTTGGAGTCGATGGAGTGGTTGAACAACTTCTTGGTCAAGTTTTGGGTCATCTACATGCCTGCCTTGGCCGACTTGGTCATCTCCAACACGAACCAGGTTCTCTCCCAGGTTGATCCACCTCCTCCAATCATCAAGTTGTCTCTCGACGAGTTCACCTTGGGTACGAAAGCTCCGAAAATCGATGCGATCCGCTCCTTCACCAAGCTCGGCAAGGATCTCTATCAGATGGATTGGAGCTTGAACTTCACTCCAAATGATATCGACGATATGACCCAGGAGGAATTGAAAAACAAGATTGACCCCAAAATTGCCCTAGGTATCACAATCGGGAAAGGTATCGTGCATGCCTCATTGCCCATTTTAGTTGAAAACATGTCTTTCCTCGGTAACCTGAGAATTAGGATCAAATTAGGAGATACTTTTCCACATATCGATATTGTGTCCATTTGCTTTCTTGAACCTCCAAAGATCGACTACAGCTTGAAACCAGTTGGTGGTAACACTTTGGGTATCGACGTTATGTCCGTCATCCCAGGCTTATCTTCCTTCGTCAATGGCTTGATCAACTCTAATTTGGCCCCACTGATGTATTACCCAAATACAATTGATATCAAACCTACCGAATTACTTCAGCCTCCTTCAGCAATTGGTTGCTTAATGATCAAGGTCAGAGCTGCAGAGTTCTCTTCATCAAAGACCATCAACCCATACATTAAGTACGGTCCAGACGGAGATCTTTCTAAACAACACCAAACCGATATAAAGTCCAACACAATTGTGCCAATTTTCAACGAATCAACTCATATCTTGATTGATAACTTATATGCCAAGCTCAAGTTTGAACTGTTTGACTTGAACAAAAATGGCAACAGTAAATTATTAGGTGAAGCCGGTTTTGAGCTTCAAGATTTGTTACAAGATCAGGTTCTCGAATTAAACGAAACAAAGTTCACCAAGAAGAACAAAAATGTCGGAAAAATCGTGTATGACTTGAAGTGGTATCCCGTTCTACAGGGTGAAATTTTACCAGATGGTACAAAATCAAACCCACCAGACTCAGATACCGGTATCATTGAACTTACCATCATGTCTGCAAGTGACATGGATACCTCCAAGTCCCTGGTTGGTAAATTATCTACCTATGTTGAAGTTTACATCGATAGTAAACTAATTCAAACCTCCAGAGTTGTTAAAGGTACCAATTTCCCTGAATACAACTTTCAAGTTGAGGACTTGATTTACAGCAAGACTGCTTCGATTCTGAAGCTTGTCGTCAAGGATATATCCTCTTACACTGAAAGTATAATTGCCGAATATGAAAGTAAAATATTGGATTTGACATTGATTGATAACTCTGGGGCAGATGCAGGGAAGAACAGAGTCTCTAGGGATTTCACAAAGGGGAAAGGTTCTTTGAAGTTTGCCAGTGTTTGGAAGCCTTTAGGTTCCATTTCTGGTGAAACTGACGATGATACAACCTTTGTTCCTCCTATTGGTACTTTCAGAGTTGACGTCAAATCCTGTACAAAGCTTGCAAACGTGGAAACGTTGGGTACTATTGATCCATACATCGAAATCCTTTCAAGTGGTAAGACAAAAGGCCGTACATCTACTATCAAGAACTCTCTTAATCCAGCTTATGATGAGGAGTTCTTCGTTCCTATCCTTTCTAAAAACCAGAAGCTCAGATTTAACTGTATGGACGAAGAAAACAAGGGCAAGGCTGATAGATTGATTGGTGATTTGATTCTTGACATCTCTGGCTTTTTCAATGATCCATCAAAGCAAAATAAAACTGTTAGTCTGAGCAGTAAACTAACCAGGAATGGTAAAGATGTTGGTACCGTAAACTATGCTTTAACCTATTATCCGCTGCTTCCTGTTTTTTCACACCAAGAAATTGTCCAAATCAAGCAGAAAAAGGCAGAAGCTGCTGAAAAGGCAGAAGATTTGGATGAATTGGAAGAGCAAGCAAAATACTTGGAAGATTACAAGAAACATCCAGATGATTATGAATGGGTTGATATTGATGAAGAAGCCAACGAACTTATCCAATTTGAGACCAACAAAGATAAGGTCATTCTTTCATTACCAGAGATTTTACAAAACAACTCTGGTGTTTTGGGTATCAACCTGATTTCCGGCACTTTGAAAACAAAAATTGCTTATGTTCAAGCAACCATTGATGATCATTCTTTCCCAGATTTCATATCGAGAAAATCAAAAAATGGTAAATTGGGCTCTACAAGTGGTGAATGCTTTATTCGTGATTTGAGACATTCTATCCTGAATTTCAGAATTGTAAAAAATGAGATACCAGTCTACAAAACAGATGTTCTTTATGAAACTGTAGATCCTTTTAATGTCATTGATCTACTCACCAAAGGTTTTGAGGAACCTATAAAAATTGATTTAGATGGAAACAAGTTAGAGTTTTTATTCGAGTTTGTTCCATCTGTTGACAGATCTTTTGAAACTGTTGAAGACACAGGTTTGTTGGAGGTAAATGTTATCAGCGGTAGCAACTTATTAGCAGCAGACAGAAGTGGTAAATCAGATCCATATGTTGAAGGTCATTTGCAAGACAAACAAGTTTTCAAAACTAAGATTGTCAAGAAAACTCACAATCCTAATTTTGGCGAGAATTTTACTATTCCCGTGAAATCAAGACGCAGACAGTTGTTGACTTTCAAGGTTTTCGACTGGGATATGGCTGGTGAAAATGATCCTTTAGGTAACGTTTCAGTTGACTTGAAGAATTTACCAATTGAGCAAGAAATTGTTCAAGACTTTAAGCTCGATACACAAGGTTCTATTAAGATTGGATTACATTTCAAACCAGGTTATATCAAATCTTCTAACGGTACGCTACTGACCTATGGGGCAGGTTTATCACCGTTCAATACAGGTCTGAATCTAGCAACTGGAGCAGTCGGTAAAGCTGGCGGACTGGCGACTGGAGCAGCAGGTAGAGCTGGCGGACTGGCGACTGGCGCAGTTGGTGTCGTTGGTGGTACTGCTGGTACAGTCGGTGGAATTGCAAGTGGATTTACAGGCGGATTTTCAAAATTGATGAAACCATTTGAAGAAACATCGGGAACCAATAAGGAAGAAAACCTCGGAAGTGCTGGGGCAAATTCAAAGCAGACTCATCATTCTTCTCACCTAAAACTGAAGCCATCTTTTCTTGGTGGTAGATCCAAGCGCTCTGAGAGCGACGCTGAAAGTTTAGCCAATGATTCCTTTTCAAGGCCATCTGATGTTTCGGCTGGAAACAGAGCTAGACGCGTTCCATCATCTACGATGCTGAATGACAACGGGAATGCGAACACTAATTTCAATTCCCCTCCTCCGCCGAATCCTAATTTGATTGCCTTTGCTGCTGGTGGTTCACCACAACAAATGCGTGTACCATCTTCTCCGGGGGTGATTAATCACGATAACTATGCCAAAAACAGAAACTCAATGGATGCAGTTAGTGTTACCACCAACGCATTCAGTGGCACCACTGCGATTGCGGGACGTCTGAGTGTTCTGGAATTACACAATACTGTGGACGTCAAGGAAGCATTGAGCATCAAAGTTGTCATGAAATCTGGCAATGGTACTGAAAAAAGTATCTACAAAACTAAGGGAACGAAGTTCCAAGAAGGAATGTATAAATGGCATGAGAGTGCAGCATTCAGATGTGATAGCGCTAGTACTATGATTTTCAGTATCCGTTCTCATCATACATTTGGTAAGAGTGAAGAGTTTGGTCATGGCGAGATTCTGCTGGAGCAAGTAATAGGGGTTAAAAAGAATATAGCTATTGCCATCAATGGCAAGATCAGTGGCTCATTGGTTGTAAACTTCAACTATGCTTAGACTGATCTGTTTCATTTTAGTTTTAATTTCATTTCCCTTTCTAATATTTACTTTTTCATTTACACATATACAGTTAGTTATTGTTTAATTAGTTAATCAGATATTTGTTTATCGAATATTTTAGTATTTATTATTATCCATCCCTCGACGGGGTTATCTATGTATGGTGGCGTTGAGATTAAAGCTGAGAGTGAAGCAATAAAATGGGAAAAAGGAAAAAAAAGGGCATGGTATGGCATGACAGTTGGAATGAGTTAAAGAGAAAGCCGTTTTAACAGCTAACAAGTGGGTTATGATTTGGTAGAAAAAAGATATAGCAAAGGACCGGTGTGTAGGTTTGTAAAGGTTTCTGTGGATGAATTTCATGATTATCAGCTGTTGTTTCATATTGTACAATCGATAGCGCAGTCTGACTCGAAAGGAGCGTGATGTGGACTGTTGCTAGAGTCATCTTTATCAGTGCACAACCTTGTCTGCACTGAGCTTGTGGGTCTCACTTCTAGAGAACCTACTTCTCAATTTTATCTTCTTACCGTTAACAAAAACCCACTTGGAAATTTTTGCCTGTCCGTTCTCCATGGACAGTATCTTGTCACTCTGGTCCGACGACGGTTTCACTATAATTATTGTGTCATCTTCATGTCGCTCGTCGACGTCTTCTATCACGGATTGTGCTGGCGGATGTGGGTATAATTGGTTCATGTTGTTGTGATAGTTGCCGTGTCGCTGGCACTGGTTCTCGTAACGACGAGCCTGTGCCCGAAGGAAATCACTGTCACTGGAGTCCTCTTCCTCGTCCTCGTTTCCCTCATTGGCAAGCTCATCTTCGTAGGTGCCCTTTGCGTCGATGGAGCCTCCTGCCTCGTGCAAACGGAGCATGTGGTGGTCGTCGGGAAGATCGGCGTAGATAATCTGGCTGGCACGGTGATTAATATGAACGCCATGGTGGTTGTGGCCAACCAGATCGGTGCTGTCAGACTCACCAGTGCTTTTGGAAGCGGTATCTATGACGCCGACGTTCGGAGGATCTGGCTTCGCATCAAGATACACGGGTCTTGGTTCATGCTCTCTTGCTATCTTGTTGTTGGTAGTCACGTCTGTCTGATGTTTAGAGTAGATGTAGTTGTGCAAAGCCATGATTGTCGCCCAAGAAAGTACATCAACAAAGTTTTGGGAGTAACGGTAGTGGCTTCTAAGGTTTTGTACTTTGCGCTGGGCTCTTTTCTCCCTGCACAAACACGGGGACGGATAAACAAAGCCCTATATATCTATACCGGCGTAATTCTTGTTCGCTCTCACGCTGTGAGCCAGAAAGGAGAAACACAATTGCAGTTATAACACGGTGTACAGCAGAGGCAGAGACGGAACGGAAAGTGGGGACAATACTAGCAGCAGCAACATTCGTGCTACACACAAAAGGTTTATCGAACGATAAGTGTTCCCAACCAGACATCGCTGGGCTTGGGCCTACGCAGCTGCTACACACGGACTGCTGCCGTCGTGACTGTCCACTGCCGGTAACCTCCTTCCACTGCCTCCTCTCCTCCCTCTGCCCGTACCGAAGACCAGGCTCGGACGGCAGATACGCTTTCTCCACGACAGGCGGAGATGCCAAAAAGTCACCCCATTTTGTGGCTCGACAGATCTTAGCACATTGCGCACCGAAGCCGAAACGCGCAGGAGCCCTCGACCCACTTTTTCGCCGCACGAGGGGAGCTAGTAGAGATCGGGAGACTAAAGGCGCAGGACACTGCATGCGGCTGCATGCGCCGGCCTGCTGAGAAGCCGTTTCTGCGCCGATCGACTGCATCGGCTTTTGTAAGTATGTTCTGTGCTATGTTTGTTTGCATGTATCTATAAGTATGTATGAGTCGACAAAAAGGGATATTAAGCCGGCTGTAGAAATAGGGGAAAGATGAACGGAAGTGAAAGTTTGCGAGGTAAAAAGGGGTAAAAAGGGGTAAAAACAAGGGCGGTAACGAAAGAAAAAGGAAAGATAATAATAATAGAAGAAATAGAAGTGGAAATAAAAGTAGAAGTAAAAGTAGAATTGAAAACAAAAATAAAACCATCCCACCATATCGATAAACATGCCTGTCAGTCGACAACCAACACATCGTCGCTAACGCACCCGGCAGCTCCGACAGAGGCAGCGGTCATGCCCTCGAGGCTCGCATTGCTGACACTCATTCCGCAACAGAAGTCGTCGGCACGGGCAGACGTGTGAAGCTGTTGGATCTCCCGCTCATGTCGATGGTATCTCATAGGGTGTGCCCGCTTGGCACCGTTTGCGTTGCCGGCACCGGCGCCAGCGCCTGCACCAGTGGTGGGGCCGGTGTTGTTGGCATTGGAGGACATAGACAACAGCGACGACGACGATGAGTTAGAAAGCATCTTTGACTTCAGCTTCAAAAGATTCAGATTTGGGCCCCTCCGCTCGTGCTGTTTCTTCAGTTTCCGGCGTAGCGAGTAAATGGGACTGGAGAATATCTTGAAGTAGAGCGGGTTCACCAAGTCCATCGACCGGCAGAAACACTGAAACATCGAATGCTTCGGACAGTACAACCTTCTCAGAAAATCAATCTTGAACATGTCGATCTCCTGGTTGGAGATGTTGAATGTTTCATCTTCGTCGCCGTCATCTTCGTTGTCGTCCGAGCTGGAAAACTGCATGTTGTAGTTGTCATCATCCTCACTCTCGTCCTCCTCGCTGATCTGGTACATAGAGAAATACTTGGGGTCCGTTCTTCTGTTGCTGCTGAGAATGGCATTATTAGCGTGTTTGTGGCCATCTAGACTGAAATCGATATCAGACTGCACCCCATCAAGATAATCGTCATCGTCGCCACCATTGATGATGTTGAGGTCGTTAATGATGAGATCATCGTCAACTTCATCTCCAATGACAATCGGCTCTCTCTCTCCATTGTCATTCAGGAGCTTTCCTTCGTTGAGCTCTTCATGAACATCGTTCAGTGTGCTCGATTTCCTGTTCAAGTTCAGGCTAGAAGGAGTCAATCTCTTCAACTGAGTTCTAGTTGTAGTTTTAAATGATTTTCCAGTCTTGTAAGTTTTAGGATTGATGAGGTTCATTTTATACGAAACATTCAATGAATCGGTGGAGGTGAAAATTAGCTTATTCTTGCAAAGCCTGTTACTGCTGACCATGTCGTCACAGTTAGTCACTTTAACACCTTCGAGTGAAGGCAAAAGATTGTCTTCTTCCTCCTCCAATTCGTCGTCTCCGTACTCTTCAAATGAATCAGAGCCCCCTATATCGATGCATTCCACCTCTCCTTGGTTATAATCAGTGGAATAATCAATGGAAGTACCTTGGAAGTCCAAGAAGGAGTCATTATCGTTGACATCATTGATGTTTGTGCTAGAGCTGTTGGCGTTTCTGCTCATACTCAACATACTGGTATTAAAATCAATTGATCTCATATTGGAGAATTTATTCTTATGCGCCTTTTTCACTGTGATGGGACGGACTTTATTGTTACTAGTATTAGTAATAAAGATATTGGAATCTGGTCTGATGGGTAGTGCCGATGCACTTTTTATGACAGTTTTTAAGTTCCTTTGTGCAGACTTGATATTATAAGCATCCGAGTATTCTATATTGTCATGAGTGGCAGTATTGTTAGAGGTGGTACTTTCATAGCTTGAAACACGACCGTTCACAACAGAACTTGAATCTGAGAAGTTTCGTAAATTTTCCAATCCATTATTCACGTCAACCCCATTAACTTGCAGTGTATAGCCGATGTATGAAAGGAGCTTTTCATTTTGTAACTTGAGAGATTTGATCTCAAACTCATATTTGATCAGCTCTTGAGAATATTTCTGTTTTTGTGATTTAAGTTCAACGTCTCGAATTGCCTTGTTCAAACTGTTGTTTCTCAGGCTCGCAATTCTGTAATTCTCGTCACTTGTGTTACTGGACGACTTCGACGTGATTCTTTTCTTTTTCACACTTAAAACACGATCTTCTAGCTTCTTCTCTTCACTTGAATTTTGCAATTTCATCTCTTCAGATGACTCTTGTGTAGGGGTAATAGAATCCATATCATTGGTCGTTATACTGTTATTGTCGTCAGTGTCACCTCTTAATAATAGCAATTCTTTAACTAGGTCATCATAGTCCAGTTTCAGAAACTCGTGTTTCTCGTCGACTTCCAGATATCGCTCTCTCATCATTTCTAGTTCATCCATGATCATAATTTTGGATTGCACTTCCAATTCATTTTCTTTTCGGAGGGCATTCACCTTTTTCTTTAATTTGTTTATGTCATTCTTGAACAACTGGATCTGGTTGTAGAGCTCGTCATTGTTGTTATCGTACTCATTGTCATTGACACTGTCGTTGCCATGATTACTGAGGTTGGTGGTGCTATTATCGTTGTCGTATTCTGAATCGACGGTGAGTGTATTTGTGTCTATATGTTTTCCGTTTCCACCAAACACAGATTTGTCGTTATCATTTGTGAAAAAATTATTTCTAGGCTCACTGTTGTGTTTTTCAAGTAAACTCTTCAAGTTATGGATCTGCAATTCCAGATTCGTCTTCAAGTCTAACCAGGTGTTAAAGTCGTTTTCATTGGACTCACGCTCTTGCTTCAAGTTGTTCAAGAGTCGATTATTCTCGTGCATTAACTCGTCAATCTTCATCGATTTGACGTCTATGATTTGGTTCTTGTGATTCACTTCGTCTTGCAACATTTCCAACTCTTTGATAAGGTCCTCGTTGACAATTTTCAAATCGGTGATTTCTTTCATCCTTCTTTTGTAATCACTGACCGAAGGCGCATGTTGGATGGGGATACTGCGATGGGGATCATTGGCTGATGCTGAAGTGGAAGGACTAATGGCGTTGTATCCAAGAGAGTTGGTGGACTCTTTCAGCGGCATTATGTTGAAGGATGCGCTTGCGGATGCCGGGCTCTTCAACGGTGTGAGAAGTTCCATATAATTCTCCTTTCTAGGGCTTATTTTGAACGCTTTAGTGTCCAGTTCGGAGACCTGGGCATTCATTTTTTGCTTGTTTGTAGTGGGGCCGTTGCTGTTTCTAATGTTCAACTTTGGATCATTAAGATGCAGATCTCGCAGTCCATTAATGTGTATACTCATATGTACGTGCAACAGTAAGCTCCGTAGTGATGATTTCTCAGATGCTCAAGTGGCCTGTTTCTCTGCGTGTGTTATTGTGAGGGGATGGCGATGCGTGTCGTGTGTGTACGTTCAAAACAGCACGACTTTGTGTGTATATGTATCTGTATATCTGTGTATCTGTGTGTGTGTATCAATGTATGTATGTATTTGTAGATGGCTATGTGCGAGAGGGTGTACGTATCACTTTCTCTGTTATTATACAGTGCTCAACGATATACAAGAGTGAGTAAGTGAGTGGATGGACGAGTGGGTGGACCTTGTGTATGTGGACAACCTTCTTAGCCCCGGCTGTTCGTTGCTTGTGGGACGTTTAGGTGGTTCGGTGTGCCGTGCGGTGCTGTGCTATCAAACGACCTGTGTTCTCCGAGGAAACGACCTGTACCGTGCAAACAACAGGCACCAGACAGATCAGCTTGCAGGACGTATGGCCTTTTCCCTTCTCGTGCCATCCTCTACAATACTCTATTTATCAATTGCCGCATCGGGCAATCGAGAGTCGTCTGTCTTTCTCTTGCCAGGCTCGACGTTGGCCTTGGCCGCGCTCCCGGCGGCAGATACACTGTAATCGTCGCCGGCTACTGAGGAGGCTCTCTAAATGTGTTTTCCGCGACGTTGGAGGCCCCGCTGGACACCCGGTCGAGACGATAGATGAAGATCTCAGAAGGGGCCGGGCCGTAGAAGAGGGTGCTAATGTTGGCATTAAGAACATCGGAAATTGGAATGTCACATTTATCGGGCCTGAAAACGCTGGTGATTGACCACGTCCAGATGCCATCGCTCTTCCCCATGTCGAGCCAACGCTCCCACACCGCCAGTGTGTCCTCGTTACGCTTTGTTGCGGCCACCAGGGCAGTGGAGACGTGGCCTTGCGACATGCCCTCGTTGAAAACGTTAATGAGGTCCGGAATGATGCTGGCATCGTAGGTGACATCTGCGGCAAGGACAGTATGGACAGAGTCCGGAATGTAGTCTTCTCCCCACCAAAGCTTGCGGATCTCGTAGTTTGGATTACCAGTGATGCTGGCGCTAGTATCGATGTTTAATTTAATGTTGTCGTTGACACGCTCCATGAGCTGGCTGTCGCCGTCGGTGATGAAGAGCTTACCACTGTGGAAAGCCCTGTTTTTTAGCATGCTTATGCTGACCATGCCAGTGCCGCACCCGAGCTCAAGGACGTCTGCGTCGATGCTGGCCAGCACGTCCGGCCGCATGAGGTAGTCGGCAAGGTACAAGGAGGCCTCCCACGTCCGGAGACCGGTGGTGCCCAGACCAGAGATGAGGTTTGGCGACTCTCGTACTCTCACTTCGAGGCCGTTCTGGAAAGTGTATGTAATGATGTCCGTATCAGTGGGCTGCAGCGGACGGCACTGCAGCTTTTCCATCAAAAACTCGTAGAATTCTTCGTTGATTTCCATGGTGTCACAACTCTCAAACAAATCTATCAATTTCTTCACGACGCTGACACTGTAGTAGCCATTTGTGTTGGCTATCTCATTCAACGTGGTGAGGAGTCCATCCTGGCAGCTCTCACTGAGTGGAAGTTGCAAGCAGTTGTAATCTAGACAGCCCAGCGGCACCCTTTGTTTCAGTCGTATCAGGAAAAGATCCATCTTGTCACCGGAGAAAACCATTCCTGTTTTCAACGGTTATTGTCCGGAGTTCTAGCTGTTTTTGCAAAAAGTTTGTAGGGATATCCGATTTTTCAGCAGATTCGACTAAAGGTATTTCGGAGGGGAAAAAATGGGTCACGTGCGACATGGCATAATGGTTGAAAACCTGTCAAACTTCACGTCAAACAGTTCTTCAGGCGGCAGCTTTTCAGAGTAAAATCCTCTTGAGAATTGAGAAGTAATAATTTGCATGAAAGTTGGCCACGTTGTTGCCACTACTCAGTAGATTAATAAATTACTTTAATTTATCTTCCTGCATTTAATAGAAAAAGTTACGGTCTAAATACGTACACCCTCTGACGTTTAAGCCAAAGTACCCCAGCATCTGATTCTCTTGACACCACCGTCTGGAATCATCACCAACTTCACATACGTGTATGGCTTGTTCAAAGTGACTTCGTAGTCGTGCTCCTTGTCCGGACCAGTCTTGGATTTGTCGACAACGGTCTCCCAATTTGCGTCGTCAAAGGACGGTTCGACTTTGGAGTCGATCCCCTCGACCTTGATGTACTGAGGGAAGTTACCTCTGTAATGGGCAGTGTCGACGGTCACCTTTTTGATATTTGTTCTGTGTCCAAGTCTGATGATGGCCCAGTCGACGTGGTTCTCACCTCTCGATCTCTTGGTCTCCCACCCGTCAGACATGTCATGGCCCCTGCCTGGCAACAACAAGTTGTCTGCAGAACCAAAGTGCTGGTCCGAGAATGACGTGCAAACACCACCCTGAATGGCGCTGGCAGTGTCCAACTGAAGAGAAATGTCTTCAGGGAAGATCGGCTTCACCTGACCGTACAATCTGAATCTCGCAATACCCCCATCTGGGAACATGTTGAGTCTGACGTGGGTGTACGTCTTGTCGGTGATCGAGTCTCTCACAAAGAACTGTTTCTGCGTCGGCCCGCACTCAACCTTGGAGATGATGACATCCCAGTCTGCGTGCTCGAAGTCGTTCGAGTCACCAACCAAGTTGGTGGCCTCGACAGAGATGAATGGCGCATGGTTACCGTTAAAGAAGGCAGTGTCAATCTCGCAGCCGATGAGCGAGGCAGAGGAGACACCCATTTGGATGATGACCCAGTCGCACTCAGCCGTGTTGTGTCTACGTGTCTCCCAACCGTCATACCATGCACCGGCGTATGTGAACCTGGTCGCATCTCTGATTGGCTCCTTTGGTTTGATCAAGTTCTCTGCCGCTGCAAACCACTCGTCTGAAAATGCTAGCACCTTGCCACCTAGCTTCTCGCCAATGATGTCGGTGTACTCTTGCACAATCGACTCCTTGAATTCTTGCTCACTGACTTTGGAAATTTTGACACTCATCTTTTTCTTCCCTTGTGCAAATGCTCTGCTTGTCCCAGTTGCTAGATATTACAGTCTATTAACCCTACGGAGGAAACTATACAAAGCCAGACAAACCAACAGAGAGGGGAGCATAAGAGAAAAGGAAGAAGCACAGGAAGCCAAACACGGAATGCCGGCATCGTCGTCCCTTTTATGCAGTACAGCTTTTCTCCACACTTGTGTCCTCGACAGCTTGTTATTACCACACTCTTTTCGGCGATGCCCGATCAGCGATAAGATCGGGCCGCAACATGTTTTGCCGCCGGCTTACGTCAGCGGGAAGTCGAAACGGGACATAGGGTAATAATCACTGGCCTTTCCCTGTGGATGGAGAGATTCAGTGATGTTGCCGTCGCCAACACGGATGTCCCGTTCAACGTAGGTGAGCTGTCCGTCGTGGGTGAGCAAGATCACTGTCTGGGTCCGTGTGCCGTAGTAGTGGCCCTGGCGGCGCTCGAGGTCGTTGGGAAGATCGTTCTCCAACGCGGGGACGAAGACCGACTGCGGAACGTTGTCGATGATGTTGTCACGCATCGACGACCCGTTCTGCAGGCCGTCGTATTGGTCACACATGATGTCCAGCACGGACTCGATCATCGCGTCCTTGTCCTGCACCGTGCGCTGGCTGAGCATCGTGTTGAACAGCTCCTTGCCCCGCCACACCTTGGGCCACGGCTGGAAGATCGAGGAGTTGGACAACCCCAGCACTCTGTAGTCTCCCTTCTCGTCCGCAAACGGCCTTACAAGACCTTCTACCCGGTTGGATATGACGTAGAGCGAGTTCTCGCAATTGGAGCTGTTCAAGACTCCAAACAACAGAGAAAACCCCCCGATGTTGGCAAAGTTGTCTGTCCTGCGTCTGATGTCCTCCGCCCACTCAACAGGTTCCAGCTCGCTTTCCAAAAAGTCTCTCGAGATGCGGCCCCTCGAGATCGCTCCCATCTGGCACGGGTACACGTCCTCCCTGTAGTTGACCAACGCACAGAACCGACCGCCCCTGCTGACCCCAATCCACGTCCCGTGCTCTTCTCGGGCCAAATCGACTGGCATCAAGTATCTGCCGTCGATGAACTCCGCCTTCTGCGTTGGCCGGCTGAAAAACTCGTCCCTGTTCGAGCCAAGCACAAAGGCATAATCCGGGTGTGACACAGTGCACAAAAGAATACACATGTCAGTCAATCACTCCCCTGGTACGTTAGTACGTCTCTCACTCAAAAAATTAGTATATAGATGTATTTACACGAACGGGTGCCACAATGCCTGGTCTGGAGAAAAGATGCAAAACAAAAACATACTCACACTTCTCTCGATCCCCTCGAGACTCCTCCGATGCAACGGATCAAGCCCGCCGGAGAGCTGCAACTACACCAGCAACGGCTGCAGGTGGGGTCGAAAACGGAAAACCAAGACGGAAAAGAGGGGCGGACAGTCACGTGCGCACTCCCTATTAAAGGGGAAAGACTCACCAAATGACACGCTGGAGTTCTGGGATGTCATCCCACTTGAAGGTGAACTGAAGGAAGACAAGATAGATGGCCTGAGTCCAGAACCACAACCACAGAACCTCGCCGACATACCGGATCTTGGTGTTGTGCTCTTTGAGAAGGCTGACAGCTAGGAGCGGGGTGTCGGTGGGTCTGGTGAAGAGTCTGAAGAAGATGTAGGGAAGAATGTAGTATCTTGGCTCGAACAGAGGCGAGAGGGTGACGGCCGCAGCGGTGCAGAACATGTATGCGCAGTACATGATCGGGGAAGCAGCGGTTCTTCTGTGGTTGTTGTTCTTGTCTGGAAGGATGTTGGAGTTCTCCTTGAAGAGCTTGTAGACGATGTAGAAGGAAAAGTGGTAGAATGGAAGTAGCTCGTATCTCGAGGTATCGGTTCTGATGATGAAGTTTCGGACAATGTAGAACGTGTAGTGTCTGTTGTCTGCGAGAACAAAGGGGTGGATGATGGTGAAGCTCTGGATCATGATGAACAAGATCGGAAGCCAAGCAGCGTTGAAAAACAACCCGGTGAGGTTCAAGAAGTTGTCCTCAACGTACTCGATAAAGACGGAGTAGGAGATCCACAGCGGCATAGTGAAGAGGGCGATAAATGTCATACAGTAGCACAATTGCGCCAAGTGCGGAGACAAAATGTGGTTCTCCTTGTCGCCGAGGGCAATTCCGCCGTTGGTGTAAACGAACCCGACAAAAGCTAAGCCAACAGCAATGTATGGAATGCAAATGGCAAAGTTCTTTAGCCCGGTCTTAATGAATGCAAGTAAATCGCCGACCCCTTCCTTGTACTTGTACAAGTTTTCGTCCTTTGCCTTGGAATCAATTAGGGCTGCCAGCAAGAAAATACTCCAGATGATGTTTGTCTGTCTGAAGGTCAAGGAAATCAAGGAGATCAAGGCAGAAATAACGGATGTCAAGAAGTAGTTGTTGAAAGGCTTCCAGACAACCACCGCGTATGCCGCAACAACAACAGCGCTTGCCCAGACATCCGTGTAATACAACGAGTAGAAAATCGATAATAGCGGATTCATGAACAATGCAGCAGATGTGAACCCTGGCTCTTTGGTTCTAAGCCTAATCAAAATAACCATCGCCACCAAAAAGACACCTCCGAAGTAGTTAAAATACCTCATGTTCTCTAGCGTACATTCAACTTTGAAAACTTTCGAGTATAGCGCAGTCAAGTAGTAAAGCCCCGGCGGAGTGGTAATCTTGGGATCCCATGTTGTGTAATCACCTCTGATGATTCTCTTCAATTGTGGATAGTGGAAGATCTCGTCAATGAATTGATAGTTGGCCTGCATGGCAACATCTTCGGTGAACTGCTTGATCGGAAGTGTGGCTATTCCGGCGACAACCACATCCAACAAAGATTCAGCTAAAGTCATGATAAGCTAGTCTACACCGACGTTTCGATGTAATTTGTCAAAGGAAAATCGTAGAGAGTCATAGACCACAAAAGTAATGTACATTCAGAAAAGTCATTAATCCAAGCCAACTACATCCGAGACGCCGTCGGAAAATCCACCGCGTTGTTTGACGATTTCTCGGTTGTATTTATTTTTATTTTGACTATTTCCGAGACCCCGTGAACTTGGCTTGGTAGATTCTTTTTGAAAAAGTATGACTTACGCTTGGAAAGGTATTCTGGCTGCGAAAGGAAAGGCTACAGATGATAATATTGTCTACACTGAAGGTCCTCTTTCTTCTGCTTTTCCACTCCTTTCTTGCAGAGGCTATTGACTTCTCAGATAAGGAAACGGCTGCCGAATCATGGGATATATTAGCGGCTTATTCGCAAGCTAGTGAGTGGCCAAACCTGTCACGAGACCGGGCTATTGGTATCAGAGCCCAAAGAGACGTCTCTGCAAATGTCACTATTGATTACATTGTAACCCCAGGTGTGGACTTGAGCAGAGTGGTGTTTGAACCATACGGTTACAATGCTGGCTCGCTCCAATATCTCAAAACTTTGATGAATGTCGGAGTTCAGACCTTTGTTTTGGACCTCTACTACGACGAGACCAACCGAAATTGGTTGTTGTGTCCAAAGAGTAGGCTTCTCAACGACACAGCTTCAAGTGATATTTCTGAATGCAGTATTTCAACTTTCAACCTGACGTCGCTTATCACTACAATGAACCAGTTTTTGAGCGTTACCAATAACGACCTAGATATCAATGTGATGTTTTTACTGGTCAGGCTTAACTCTCTGTCATCAACAGGCCTCTCTTTTAAAGCAAACGTGACTGACTCCAACATTACATCTCTTTCAACAGCCTTTTCAGGAATAAATAAGATAGTTTCACCGTCAAGCATCGATGGGAATGCTCTCCCCACATTAAATAATTTGTTGTTCAAATTGAGTCAGCGTGTCTTCCCCGTGATCATTGAAAACAATCTACCCACTAACTCAACATATGATCTTTCAGTTGATAAGACTACGTTTTTCACTTTTGCAAGATCCTCCGCTTTTGAGCAACCCGTTCCTGGTTACCCCACTTTAAACCTAGAACTTCAAAATTCTGGAAACATGAAATGTCAGCAGATTGATTTACCCGCTAATTCCTCATCATCTTTGCGTTTTAGTTATGATACAAGATCGTCACCTTTTACCATTCAAAGTTACTGGGAGAGCGTTCAATGTGGTTATAGTCCTATAATAAGCCATTCCTTGGAGGATATTTCTAATATTTCAACTTTCTTGGAAGTATCTTCATGGGCATGGGCTCCATTCCAGCCCACAGTTACAAACCTCGATGAGTTGAACATTCCAAACTTGTTTTCAAATCTGACAAATAGGGATCTTCCTGCGGCATTCACAACTTCTAATTATACGTCAACAGCGCTACAAAAGAGTCCAGAAATAATTACTGCTGACAACAATAATAATACTATAATAAGCGGGAATAACGAAATAAGTGATGACAATCCTGATGATGAATACGTGAACAGATGTGCAGCAATTTCCAAGATTGGATGGATTGCAACTACATGTGACCGTAAACTGTTTGCCATTTGCGTAAACATCAAAAACTCTTCAGATTACGCCATAACAGTGGAGAAAAAAAGCTATATGAAGGCGGATATTGAATGCAAAGCACTGGATGGTGATTATCAACTAGCCTTGCCGAGAAATACAATAGAACAAAACTACATGATCTCATTAATACCTCTTCACGAAGACACTATATGGATCGATTTGAACTCTCTATCGAGTGAAAATTGCTGGGTAGTTGGAGTCAATTCAAATTGTCCTTACCAGCTGGTTGTGTCAAACCATATCTTTGTTAGAATGATAACACCCAGTACGGTTATGGCGTTGTTGTTGTTTTTGCTTTTGTTTGTGCTACAATTTCAACGAATACCTGTACATAAAAATAGAAAGTATTGGAGAAAGTTACTTAACGAAAAACTTAAAAACGACTATGACGGTGTACCTTCATGATCTCAACTTAACTTTCATCCTTGAACAACAATTCATCTTATAATGTCTATTGCTTTATCAACACCCTCTTCTGTATCTATAATCTCGCTGCCATATATACCGTTATCATATATACCCGATTTCAAATCAAATTTAGAATTCCAAACGTTGTAAATTCTAACCGACTGGTCGCTAATTGATGTACAGATAGAACTAAAGTCATTTGATAGGTCGGCTGTCAAAATTCTCATATCAGATGGTGCATTAACCTTTACTTTTAACTTCATAGTCGGGTAAGAATAAACTGCAAGTATACTATTTTTATCAGAACAATCACCGAACCCAAAAGTGACCAATAATTCTTTTTTGGATCTAGACCATACAACTGCAGTAATCTGGCCCTTTGTTTTGTGCTTGCTTATCAAAGTACCCGACTTCGAGTGCCAAAACCGTATATTTTTGTCACGGCTTCCTCCACCAGTTGCCAATAAGTTTGGCATCCACGGACAAAAGGCAACTGCTTTTACCGCAGCCTCATGCTTCAAATGAAACAGTTTTTTGGGTTTACACAAATCGGATATATCCCAGATACTACTGCTATTATTGTTAGCACCAATTGCTAATTGTTTTCCTAAATGATTTACATCAATACCACAAATCTGCTGCTGATCACATTTGAATGTCACTTTCTGTTTGATGCTATAGCTGACAACAGCTTTTGTCTCAGCTTGTGTTCTTGTTGGATTGTTTTTATGAGTTTTCTTTACATCTTCCTTTTGGATCACTTCAAATAATGTTACTTCTCCAACATCATTCCCTACAAAAAAGTAATGTGATTCAGGAATCCATTTAATTGAACATGTACTGGAATGATTTTTCAAGGAATATGATGCAATAACATGAATTGACTTTGGTTTATAGAGGTAAATTTTGGACTCTTTTGTACCAACAACTAAGAAATCGTCCGAACTATATGACAAAGCCGATATCAAGTCATTCCCGAAAGTCTGTAATGGAATTGTCCCTAAAGTTTCACTCCAGCAATATACAATAGATCCTAATCCAGCAGCAATTGTATCTGACTTATTAGCCCAGCACACAAGGTTGGAGTAATAATCGTTTCTCAACCCTGGTGCATCAAGAACTTTGAATGGAATTTCTGGAACGAAGCTTTCTGAATTGCTTGGATTTCTATTTGTTCCATTTATGTTTCTTTCCTCTACCGAATCATACTGTAAACTGTGATTGACGTATATGTCATTCTGAATTGAATCTACATCATCATGCAAGTTTTTTATCTTCTTTGGACTTTTCAATGGTTTGAATGTTAAGATACGAGAAGTTTTAAATCCTAGGGCAATTGCAACATTTTTCTCGTATGTCAGAGGTTGTGATCCTGTAAGAGTCGAAAAGTTTGCGTTGGTAGCATTTGTTTGATTTCTTGCATTATTCAAATCATGAGCCAGAGGATTATCAACGCCATTACTTGTACCATCAGTGCTTGAATTATCACTTGCAAAGTTGAATTGTGTTGCATTGTTTGTATGGTTAGACTGTGAAGTGCTATTATCATCTACAGTAGGTTCACGGAACCAAGTGTTTATTTCCAGTCCGTTATTTGTAATAATAATAGGATTGTTACTTCCATTGTGCTCATAGTTTTCGGATTTGAGATCTTGCGGATGGTATAATTTTGTGTCAGGGGAATTTTCCATGACAGGGAGAAATCTATCGATAATGGTACCATAGTTGTAGGTATTATTCGAAAGTAAGGTTTCAGAACGGAGAACACCCTTCTTGGCTCTGAATTTCCCCGTATTCCCTCCATTTGCTTCCTTATCCTTCCTCTGATGCTTACTTCGGCTTCTCTTCTTTTTTTTAAAGTTTAATGCATGTTGAGCTAGGTCTTCAGAATCATCTGTTTTACACATTATTCATGAACGAATGGGGAGTTAGAAATTACAAAAGCGATAGTTGGATGAAGTGATCTTTTAAAGAAAGTTAGCTTTTTAGCTTTGAATGTAGCAAATAATTGTCTAGTAGAATGGTTTAGTTCTACCAACGACACCTTATAGAAGCAAGATAAATAAACTGCAAAAGACAATATGCACAAACATTTTCATGTCATTTCACATCCTGCTCCCCTTTTCAGTTGCTTATAAACGACATTATCCCCTTCGTCATAGGGAACAGAGACTCGCGCGCGTGGGGAAAAAAGAGCCGGTTTGCATCATTTACACGATAAAGCTTTCCTCATGAAAACTGAAACCACAATCATTTGCCCATAATCTAACATTGTCGACCAAACCGCTAGGCCCAGCGCCAATGATCCAAATGGAATCATCTGGCTTTCCATTTCTGTCCTTAAAACGGGCTTTTCTGTTGGCAAGGAATGTATCGTTTGAGTATAACTCATTGAGCTGGTCATTGTATACAGAAGACGGATCTTCCCTGATATTATAGCAAATCGATTGCCCACTTTGCAAACTCACTAATGGACCGATACACGATGATCCTATACACCAACTGTAGTAATGTAGTCCTAATTTTGGTCTACCAAACTCTATATGCGAATAGGAGCTCTTCAAAACCCAATAGTCTTCAAGATCATCATAGAGTGCCGAAGCTGTTGAAATTGAAGCTGATCCCGGTAATATTTTGTGATTAACAGGTGAAGTGAATGATGTTGGTATCATCGTATTCAATGAGAGATTTCTTGCGTTATCTTTCCCTGGAGCTACTTTGGATGCTAAGTCTGGAGATATAACTTTTGCAATGTTCGCCCTGATGCTGCTGTTGTTAATATTATTACTGCCGTTGCTGTTGTTGTTGCAGCTGTTGCTGCTGTTACTATTAATGTTGTTGTTGGTGTTGTTCGCCGTTAAAGTACTTGCAATGGTGTTGGTTATGGTTTGGAATCTAGGATGGTTCAAACTCGCCATTGAGTTGGAACTATCAATGTTGAACTGGTTCCCATTATCACTGAATCCCATACCCGCCGATGGGGTCAATACTGTATTCCGATGCAATACAGGCATGGTTTTATTGTAACGATCAGCTTCATGTAGCTCAATATCAATTGTTTCATCATTATAAGAGGTTGAAATTTTTTGATTGTGATTCTTAAAATCGATATAACTTTTCCGATGGAATCTGTCAAATTCGGGATGCAAAGTTGAAGCACCGTAAGATGGCTTTTTAGAGTTGTGATCTATCAATGGTGATGTCTCCATTTCACTATCAAAGTTAGATTTCAAATCCATGGATTTATTGGAGGAAGAAAAAGAAACAGCATCTTCAACTGGGGATTTTTGATGATCGCTCTCGCTGTTAATTCGGTCTTCATTGATATTATAATAGGAATACCCTCCGCTTAATATTTCAGTCTCTTGAAGTAGTTCAAGTTCTTGCTTCTTCTTATGCAACTCCGACAACGCTTCTTTGAAATTCTCCTTCTCGTACATTGTATATTTACCAGTGATGAAGATATCTATACAATCGTCATTAATCAAATAATTTTTGAAATAGTCCAACACTTTCAAATCTTCATGATCTCTGATGACCCAAATGATTTTCACCATTGAACCATTATAGTTCAATACTCTCAAAATTGGTAATGCAAAACTGATTGCAGAGCCACCTACTACAATCAAACATTTTTTTACTTTTGTGGAAACCAATAAGGAATTCATATTGTTCGTGTTGGGATTATGAATCATAGAAAAGGGGTTAGACATGCTGGAATTAGCCGTTGACAGTTTTTGAATGAAAGACAAGTGGGGCAAGTAAGCGCCGGTTATGAAATACTTGTGGTGGTCCTTCAGTTTGTAATTACCTATTCGGATTATTAGTTTTTGAGACTTATCGACCGCTAAAGAAGCAACGGTATAGGGATGTTGAATAGGAACAATTATCATTTTCAAATAATTCCAAAGCTTAGAGTGAGACTCATCAAAATCTATCAATCTGATGTGACAACCAGGTAGATTATGTTTTGCTGAAAGTGCATCATTTGGGAAGTCTGCGACGACCATCAAGTCTGAAATCTTCATTATTGAGACTGTAGTGATTTTGGTCATCTTGAACTTGTAATAAATTTGATAGATCAAAATAAAGCAATTCAAAGCTGTCAAATAGGGTATTCCAGGTCTCACGTGTAGGTATAGTGTTATTGTGGCTATCCATGTGCATATGTAATGGTTTATGAAGAAAAATTTGTAGTATGATCTTCTGAAGAAAGGTAACGAGGTGATCAGAATCACCATGAATGCCAACATGGCGTAAACTCCATTCTTGTTGTCAAAACGATTGAGTTTGTCGAGAGAGCCACTTTTGCTCATTAGATATATATATGATAACGTGTGTAGTAAACTTTGTAAAATGACAATTCTTGAGAGCCATTTGTGAATTGGTAATAGCTGCAAATATAGAACATCACTCAATGGGGAGGGTCTTAGGGTCAAAAAGAGAACTGTCGGTAGACAATACACGGGCACTCTTCCTAGTCTGGCCGCTATGAAGCGGAGATCCATGTTTGACTGGCATAAAGAAAGGACAGACAATATTACCGACCAGAAAATGATCATCTGGGCGGACATCGGATTGACGTGCAAGAACGCCACTTTGGGGTTGAGTCTCAGCCATCTACTGATTTGGAGGAATTTGTAGTAGAGGTAGTTAGATATCCTGTTCCAGCATGGTAGTATGATGATAAAGAGGATCGTTATTACAAAGGTGAGATAACCATAGAACAAGGTGACCTTCCTCCTTGTAGTTTTCCATGACGGATCTGAGCTGGGGTGCTGCGGGAGTAGCTGAAATCGGCTCGTGGTGGATGCGGTAGAGATGCTGGACACGGAGGAAGTGGTGCTGGTGAATATGGTGGTGGTGATGTCATACATCTCCTTAAGGCTACTCATGTTGCGTTGCTATACCGGTCTGTGAATGTTGAACATGAGAGTCGGTTGTCGCTGCTGCTGCTGTTTGCTGCTGCGGGGGTGTCCTTTGATAAGGAAGCGGAAGAAAGATGGGGGAACAATTCACTTATCTGTACCGATCTCTCTGTGTGTGCTGGACCGGAGAAACACCAAAACAGCTTATTCACTCGTGGAAAATAGGGCTGATCTGATCTGAAAAGGTATAACGCCCCGCTTGCTCACGCCAGTTATCTCCCTTCTTGTATCCAGGTGTTAAGAGGCAGTCAAGCCTGTCCGGCTTCGGAACTACAATAGCACCAGCAGGGCTCTGGGATCACATCTGACCGAAATCACCTCCACTACCCCTGCCCGGAGGCCATATCCGGAAGGGAAAACGTCAGCTTTCTCGAAGCCTGCTGGGTCTCCTTGCATTTCCCGCTTTTTGCGTATTTTCGCATTTCCTGCATTTTTCGCCTTTCGACTATTCTGCTCTATGGCGGTCCAGAAATTCCCGATATCGCCGCAGCAGCTGACGGCAGCATGACCTGAGAGAGTGCCGGAGACAGGGGAGCGGTGGAGATGGTGCTGGTGTACCTCCAGATAGCGGTGATAACAGCCCCTATGATCTTAAGTCATCAAAAAAATTTAATTCCCCCATATGCTGTGTTCTTATCGAAGGGCTGCATAGGTTCACGGCTTCCCTGTTCGAGCTCTTTACGGTACTGAGCTTCAAAAAAATTGAGGAATCATGGCGTAAGCTCCACGCTCTCCGCTTATAGCTAGAGCATTGACCGGTGAAGGGGAGAATGGGGAACGGGGCACTAGTGTAGAATGTGCCCCTCGATCGACCGTATTTCCTAAACGGGAAATGGCAGAAGCAGCCGTTGACGCTGTTGCAAGGTAAAAGCACGTGATGTAGCAAAAAAAATATGAGCACGTGAAACTCACGTGCTTGTTTTCAGGGCTAAGCCGGTTGGAATAAACCCTTTTTTTATGCGCTCTCTCGAGCCCTTTCTTAGCACCCCGCGCACCACTCGTAAAATTTATCTTTTTACGCTTTCCCTCGCCTGCTCACTGTGGAGCCGGATTGGCAGTATCAGCGCTGCTATGGAGCAGGGGAGCTCCCTTTTTTTTCACAATCCTCACAGCTTACAGACTACAGTGAGACCTCAGTATAGAGGAAAATCAGTGTTTGAATTTCAAGTCTCCTTGAGAAATTTCGATTTGGACTTCAACTTTACCTTCATTTTGAGAGACTTTCACTGTTTATTTTCTTCAAACCTAAGACCAAGCAGATCGTTTCAATAAAATGGCCGACTTTTCATTAACTCAAGAAGATTTACAACTCTTGATTGCTGCTAACGCACATCTTGGTTCAAAGAACGCAAACGTATGTATATCACCTTTGAAAAAGCTCAACTAAGACAAGAAGAGGCAACGAAACAAAGCGACAACCAAAACAACTGATTTCAAGAGAAGTTACCGATCCTAACGATGTGCTGAAACTGCCTTAGCTCATTTTTCAGTCAGACTCGTACAAACCACTAATCAAGCGTGATTGGAAATTCGAAGAAGTGAGACAAATGTAAGACTCAGCGCAGTCAAAGATTGAATGCTTTTGAAAGAAGGCGTTAGCTACTGTATACTTGGTAGCTGACCAGATTTTCAAGCAGGAGAACAAGGTTTTTTCCTATTCATCGACATGCTCAAGGAGAAATATGTTGAGTCTGAAGCTACAGGAGGCACTATGCTACGCCGAAAAAACCCAGGGTATTGGTTTTACTGTCTCCTCTGGCTTAATAAAAGAGCAAATACACATGGGTCCAAATTGTATTGAAATGGCAAATCTGGAGCTGAGAAGTAAAAAATAAAAAGTCAAGCTGCAAACACCTCTTCTTCTTCAAACAACACAACCAACATTCATCGACATATACTAACATTGTTTTCCCCTCTTTTTATTTTTACAGGTTCACCAAACCGGTTACGTTTACAAAACCAGAGTGGACGGTGTCAACGTCATCAACGTCAACAAGACCTGGGAAAAGATTGTTTTGGCTGCTAGAATCATTGCTGCTGTTCCAAACCCAGCTGATGTTGTTGCTATCTCCTCCAGAACTTTAGGTCAAAGAGCTGTCTTGAAATTCGCTTCTCACACCGGTGCAACCGCTATTGCAGGTAGATTCACCCCAGGTTCTTTCACTAACTATATCACCAAGTCCTTCAAGGAACCAAGATTAATCATCGTTACTGACCCAAGAACTGATGCTCAATCCATCAAGGAATCCTCATACGTTAACATCCCAGTTATCGCTTTATCTGATGTCGATTCTCCAGCTGAATTCGTCGATGTTGCTATCCCATGTAACAACAAGGGTAAGCACTCTATCGGTTTAATCTGGTGGTTATTGGCAAGAGAAGTCTTGAGACTCAGAGGTACTCTTCCAAACAGAACTGAACCATGGTCTATCATGCCAGACTTATACTTCTACAGAGACCCAGAGGAGCCAACTGTTGAGGGTGCTGAAGAAAACGACGAAGAAGCAGCTGAAGAAGACGCTGAAGCTACTGAACCAAAAGAAGAATGGGCTGCTGAAGGTGATGCTCAAGACTGGGCCGCTGAAGGTGCCGACACTAAAGACTGGGCTGCTGAAGGTGCAGGTGATGTTGCTGCTTCTGCTTGGTAATTGTGTAGTTTACAAGTTTTAATATAGTATAGTATCTAATCTCAGTATTATATCTTTATAAAATATAAAATATAAATAATCAAATCATCTTTCTATGTTCTAATATATTATACATCCGTGTCTTTCAGCAGTCGAGAGTTGAGCTGTCAAAAAACGTTGAGTTCCCTCATGGAATATTTTCGCTTCACATCAAATCCATTTTCTGAGATACCCTTTCTATCAATAGGAGTGGAATCACGGTAGAAATAAACCTGGCCTACTCTCTCAGTCAAAGTAAAGCTCCATTAATGGAAACTAGATACGGACTTGAGCTGGTTCTTAGGTTGCTGCTTCAGTTGTTGATCGGATTGTTTCTCTGCTACGCCCCCACAGCTCAACAATATATAAGCAATTCATTATTGTTTCGTCTTTTCCTTGTCATTGTCTCTCTAACTTCAGCTTACACCGAGTTATATAGACTGATTAACCATTTATTTGTACAAAGGTTAGACATTGATATCTTGCAATCTTCAATCGTCCTTTTCAATAGACGAAACTCGATAAATTGTGATCACGATCAATAGATGATGCATTCGGATAGAGAGTTGAAGTCAGAGGCTCAAGATACTGTGTCCCTGTTTTGGCCTAATGACATTCATCTAGAGGATGATGAAGAGAAATATGTCATTCTTGGGTACATAATTAACCGTTTCAAGATGGTCATAGTTGACGTGATAAAAAGAGATGAATTTAAAGAGCTTAATGGCAAAGTAGAAAGAACTATTTTGAAGAAACTTGAAATCATTGGAACCATCAACTTCAGATCAAAAAAACTGAACAGTAAAATGATGTACTATGATTTCGTGCATGATAAACTCTTAGTGTCTTCTAATGAAGTCTTAATATATTTCAAGCCTCCAAAGTCGTGGAAATTAGAATATTACTCTTTGGACCCTATTACAATCAATATATTTTGGAACAATAACGATCAGGCCAGAAGCATGGTTTTTGAAAAGTTCACAACTGATGAATACAATAAAAAGATGAATTATCATTGGACGGATAAGGGTAAAGAAAATGGAAACAAGAATGAAATGAGAGAGGTGCTACGTATGATTAACCTAACAAATTTTATTAGATCGAAAATCAACCCTACAATCAGTACATCGGTATTCCCAAAAATGCGCAGTGACCTGAAAGCATCTTTGGAACTAATATTCACCATAGTTTCATTCCTTTATAACCTTTTGATACAAAAGATGTGTTACTTGATCAGTAATTTATTGACATACCCATTCTTTAAGCTAAAATACAAATTACCTGACGACGAACGATATCCGATTGGTGTCTCTTTTGTTTTGATTTCTTATTCATTTCATCAGTTGAATTTTAGAATTCGACAGTTTTACAACTTGCCTCTTCAATTCAACAAATTGAAGTTTTCGAAAACAGAAGGTGAAGCTTCAATTTTAAAAGGAACCAGATTTTCCCCAAGTGAGTACATCAAGTTTTACAATACAGTGTGGCTAATTATTAATGACCTTTTCCTGGGCGTCATCTTTTCCAATGTTTTGAGAGCAAATCATGATTTCATTGTAAGCGCATTTCAGAGCTATATACCACTTTATGAAGCTCTCCTCAGTAATACCATCAGTTGGTTGATGAATTCGCCAGCAGGTTTCAAGTTGAACAACGAACTTGCCTCCTTTCTAGGACAATTGATTTTTTGGGTCTTGGATCTTTGGCGAAGTACTACATTGAGGTGGATTCAGTCAAATATTGGTGAGCTATTACAGATGGTAGAAATTCTAACAAGATATTGCGGGCTCTCGTTATTCCTATCGATGTCGCTAGACTTGACCAACATCTTCTTCTTGAACATATATGGATTTTACGTTGCTTGTACACGGCTCTATAGCTGGCAGCTAAATATTGTAAGGTCATTATTCAGGTTGTTCTACGGTAAGAAATACAATATATTGAGAAACAGAGTGGATTCAAATGACTATGAATTTGATCAGCTTATGCTTGGAATTATCATCTTCACAATATTGATATATTTGCTGCCAACCGTTTTCATTTTTTACCTAACGTTTGTTCTGGCAAGACTGACAATTCTTTTCGTTTCTTCCGTTCTCAAGTTTTTACTAATCTCATTGAACCACATACCGATAGTGGTGTTACTTTTGAAACTCAAAAACCAAGAGAGGCTACCTGCAGGTCTCCTTTTAGATGTGCAGCGTAGCGGTTTTCACCTAAAATCAAGATCTTTGACGATGAAACAGATCTATAGAAGCCACATGAATTCAATGCTCAGGTTCAATCTTTTCAATTTGAACCATCAAACGATTTTCGAGCAAGTCAAATCCTACAACCTGAAAACTACTATTCATACCAACTACGTGAGTGACAGCGATTTTGAACATGAAAAGTATCGCATGTCTGATGTAGTGGCAAATTGGAAACGTGTTTCAATAATGAATTTGATAAAAATTGTCCTTTTTGGTGAAACCATTAAGGATTACGATTATAAAAGAATGTTCTGATAAGTGTGTATTTGTTGTATTTGTATATTATAGAGTAATAATCATAAGATAGTAGTTTATTATACATTTGGAAACTATTTTTTGTATATACATGGATGTAGCTTGGTCGTCTTTACGAATAAAGAGATCATTTCTTCTTCTTTTTGCTTGCAGCTTCCCTGATCTTCTTCGGAGAACCTTTACCTCTTCTTTTAAGGTCTTCCACTCTTTCCATTCTGTAGGCTTCTGGTTCATTGATGACTCTGAACCCTGGCGTGCTCAAAGATCTGGCAACTTTCGCAATAGATGGGAAGTCAGAAGGTCCATAATACTTGGACAGAGTTTGACCTTTCAATGGGGCAGTCAATATCTTGGCACCAGTTTTCATCTTTGTAGGGTTGAATGTGGTTCTGAATACCTGACATTGGAGCTGTTCAAGTTGGAACAACTTCTGTTTTGAAGGAGTAACAAGCTGTTTAGCAGCACCTTTGATGACGGTAGACATGGTTGTGGGGTAGCTACTGACAGCTAATGGATGGGGGAAGCTTGAAACTGCACTTAAGTACCCGACGTTATACCGTGGTACTTAGAAACCTCTTCACCACCTCTTTTTCTCACCGCAAACTCTTTTTCGCCGACAGAGCGAGACTTCAACTTCTCCCGCGTTTCGTTTGAAACAAAACGAGAAGAAACATATTGTAAGAAAGAGAATCTTAGTTGAGTGATCTCACCCACTCGCTGGTTAATTAGATTCAACAACTAAAAGATTGAAGTACAGGGGTGCAGGTCAATATGACTATACTAGGCTAAGTGTGGTATACAGGGAAAACAGCAAATTCTCAAAAAAGGGTAATCAATGATGTCATCGGTAGACCCTAAACTCAAACAAATTGTTGAGATTACCAACAACTTGGAAAACTTCATTCCGTATGCTACTTTTTTTGTCACTCAATGGCCACCATTTCCCTCTCCTGGTATGCTCTCTCCTGATGGGGACGGCTGGCGGTGGTTAGATTTTCCATACAAAGAAATAGACGGGCTATCTCCAATACTCAGAAGTTTTAGGCTGTTAGTTAGAAAGGCTTATTGCCGGTTAACGTATAAGGTTTTTGATAAGTGTCCACAAATACTTGTTGTTCGAGCCTATCTATTTCCTCTCTCCTCCGCTCACTCCGAGATCATTGAATACTATAGGGAACATTTTTTCCGATTCAAACGACCTGTCTGTTGGCTCGAGAAAAGATGTTTACTGATATTAGAGAATCTTTTAACATTGGCTGATTTCAGCGCTCAGGCATTCAATTTGAATACTGAGCAAGACCTGGTGAGTTATCTTGAAACGCACAAAATTGCGCTAATTAATGCAATGGTTAAAAGTGACTCAAATGTGGAGGAATTAAAAAAGGTTACTTCTGAAATCTTGAATTTTCATCTGGAAAGAATAGTAGAAGGAAGATCGCTGGAAATTCAAAACTTTCACTCCGCCAACTCGGCGTTGCATCAGTCTTTTTTGAACAGGCTCAATAGAATTTATGCAAACATTCAATCCCCTGCAATGGTAAATCAATCTTTTCAAGATGAGGATATGCGTCGAGTTTATGATAAGATCGAAAATGATGAAATTGATGGATTCAAAAGTCAGCTTTACAATTTCCAGAAGAGGTCTGTAATGAAAATGCTAGAAAGAGAATCATTCCAGACACCCCAGTTAATGCCAAATATCATCGAAATCAAGAAAGGTCCGAAAAAAGGTAAAGTATTCTATAACATAAGTCATCTTCTTCCGACTTTGGATCCGCCTTTCTATCTGACTCCTAAAGGGGGTATATTGGCTGAGAATATGGGGTTAGGCAAAACATGTATTTGTTTGGCTTTGATATGCATATCAAAGTTCCAAATATCTGAAATTCCAGATACTTACCGTGATATGAAACTTCATGATACCAACTACAATTCCAGTAAATCCGAAGGCGTGCGCAGTTTATTTGACATTTGTATTGGATTTGTCGCTCAAAATTCCATACCTTGGAAAGAGTATTACGATGATTTCCCGTCAAACATAACCAAGCGGTTAGAATCCACAATCGGCTATTTTCAGAAAGTGGAGAGTAGGACTGGTTTAAGAAAGACTAGATCGTCGCTTCATGCTGAAAATTGTAAGACTTCTTCTAGTTATAAAAAACTTTATTTATCTTCCACCACATTGATCGTCTTGCCGGATAATTTATTTCATCAGTGGAGAGTTGAAATATTCAAGCATGTCGAAAAAAACTTTTTGAATGTTTTGGAAATTTCTACTTCAGAGCAAAGTAATGTCTTGAAAGCTGCTCACATTCGTGAACTCTTAAGTAATGACATCATTTTGATTTCAAACAGCGTTTTTTCTAAACAGTTTGAATCCGCAAATTCGGTTTTGAGGAATGTATTTTGGAAACGTTTGATCATTGATGAAGGACATTCTATGAACTCCAAAACCTCACGGGCTGTCTTATTGACCAAAGATTTGATGTATGAAAGGATGTGGGCCATAACTGGTACTCCAACATCCGGTTTAACAAATTTGCACATAGAAGACGATTCTCAAGAGTACTCGATTCAAAAACAATTTGATCCCAAGCAAGATTTGATGAAGGTTGGATCTATGGTGTCAAGCTTTTTCAAAATCAAGCCATGGGCCTCAAATGGGAAGTTATGGACAAACACTATAGTAAAACCTTTCGAGAGAAATGAATTCAGTATCGACTTGCAGATTGCCAAATTTTTAGAGCAGCTAATAGTCAAGCATGCGATATCAGATGTTGAAAGTGATATAAAGTTACCAGTCTTACATCACAAACCAATTTTCTTAGATCCTTCACATTTCGACAAATTATCAATCAACCTTTTCATTGCTGTTCTAGCAACTAATGCTGTCACCTCCGAGCGAAAAGGGGTAGACTTCATGTTTGATCCTACCAACAAAAATGATTTGAGGAGACTAGTTTCTAACCTTCAAAAAGGAACTTTTTATTGGACTGGCTTTAGTATAAATGATGTCGAAAATCTACTAAATATCTGTGTTTATTCCTTGCGGGAAAATCAAGTCAAGTATGCCAAAGAGGATAGGAAATTGCTGCAAAATTCTATATTTATTTCCAAGCTTGCACTTTCTGACATGCGTTGGAGGTCGGTTACAACAGTTCATGAAATGGGCTACTATGTTTCATCATTACCCAGAGCAATAGTCGAAGATTTTTCACTGGTACGATATCGTGATAATATATCAGTTTACGGGTACCCTCATCTGATATCGGTTCAGAAGTTTTTCTACAGAAATCGTATCATCAAAAACAATGAGGACCTTCAGGTAAAGGTGCAGAAGCAATCATCTGAATTTTGGGCCGGATACTGGAAGAATATGAAGGGAGACACAAAGGGTAAAGGCGTTAAAACAACTAGAGCTTTAGGTAACAAAGAAGACTATAAAGCGTTTGAGCTGTCTGACGTGCAAGAAGTTTCCCATCTTCCTTCTTGGGTAGAAACTTTCAACCCTTTACTAGAGGAAGCGCTTTTGTACGAGACCTCATCCGGGAATGTGGGTTCACTCGGGAATAGACCGGCAGAACCTGACTCGAAGTCTAAAGTCAATGGATCTTTCAGAATTTCTGATAAGTTCAACGTGGGATCAAATATGAGAAATGCCACTATTGTGGGCACTATGTCCAGCAAGTTAAATTACTTGACAATGAGATTATTGGAAAATCAAATTCAAAGTTTTAAGAGTATAGTATTTTATGAATTTGAAAATTCGGCATACTATCTCACTGAATTTTTAGATTTGTTGGGTATGAATTATTTGATGTACTCTTCTTATATCAAGATAAGTGATCGATCAAACAATCTAGCTCAGTTCGATCGGTGGGATCCGGGAAAGAATGAAGGAGAGGGGATGGCATTAATAATGGACTTGAAGCTGGCGTCACACGGGTTGACAATAATTGCAGCAACACATGTCTTTTTCATCAATCCTGTCTGGAATCAATCTATTGAGGCTCAGGCCATCAAAAGAGCGCATAGAATTGGACAGATGAAAGAGGTTTTTGTTGAAACACTTATTCTAGAAAACACATTGGAAGAAGAGATGTACAGAATGCGGGACGACGTTAAGGACTCCAGTAGTCTGGAATTGATTGACCATAGCAGAATAAAGGACTATATTATGAAGTTCCCATTTCTCAAGATGTATGCTGATGGTAAGTTTGAGGATGAGTATGCTAAGCTTACTGTGTCTACAGGCATCACTGGTGACCTTGCTAGCCCAACGGAGGGTTCAAACATCGACGATGGTATTGAATTAAAACATGCAACAAGTGAATATATACCTGATAAGATAAGTCGGAAATGGACTTTACCGCTGTTCACAAAGCATAACTTGAACAAGTTGTCAATGAGTGAGAAGCAGGGTATCAAACGCCGTTTTGATAACATCGAAGACTTGGAAAACGAGGCCATAGTTGATACTGAAGGTGGAACTTTGGGAGGTGATATTGGCGACAGAAGCCATACTTCAGTTTTGTTTGACAAACTCCGTAGTAAAAGGAAAGGAAAAGTGAGGTTTATGGTATAGACTGTGTATTAGACTTTGAAGTGGATGATAATAGTACAAAGAGATTACAAGTTTCTAATAATTATAGAGCCGTCCGCAGATGCCGATAGCAATTGGTTGTTGATTTCCGAATAATCAACATCTAAAACTGTTGTCTGGTGGCCATCCAACCTGTTAATGAGTTTCCTGCTTGCAAATTCCCAAACGTATGTGAATCCATCGTTTGACCCCGAGATGACGTTCAGCAGCTCGCTAGACTCGCTTGATGGATCGGGTATAAGGATGGACCTCACCAACCAGTCGTCTTCAGAGGAGGTCGGTCCGTCAAAAACGTATGGCTTCGCTCTACTTCGAGCCGTGTTTCTTCCCGAGTCTGGGAGTATTCTTGCATCGAAGTACTTGACAGTGCCATCGATCGACTTACTGAGAAGATACGACTCATCTGGAGAAAGGGAAAGAGAGGTGACGTTATTTGAGTGAGGCTTGCCTTCAGACCACGACTGGGTCAGTTTCCTCGCATCAAAGCAATACACAGTCGGGTCTATCCCCGCAAAGTAGAAGCGCTCTGCCTCTTCGTCTATGCAGCAGGTTAGTATGGGTAGGTTTGCGACAGGGGAATCGACTTCTGCCGTGCAATACTTCGACCGCCTGTCCCACAGCCTCACTTTCCCATCGTCGCAACACGTCAGCAGTGTGTCCCTCTTCGAAAGGGACATCTGGTTCACGCATGCCGGGTGGTGGAACGTCTTTATTTTGGCATTTTTGTTCAAATCGAAGATTGTCGCAGTGTGGTCTGCAGAAGATATAAACAGGTGAGAATCCTCCAACCTCGACCACTGTAGCCAAGTCAACGCTGAGTCACAAACATGTTCTTCGTAAACGCCTCCAGCACCGCCGGCCTCTGTTTTCTCCTCGTCGTCGCCCTCCTCTGTGTCCAGCTTCTCTAGGTTCCACAGCTTGACCGTGCAGTCCGTTCCTCCCGACGCTATAAAGGAGCCATCCTCGTTGAACTTCGCCGTGTAGATCGGCCCGGAGTGTGCGTCCAGCTTCACGTCATCCATTCTTCCGCTGACCCTCTTTCAGGCTCTGTATATCTCCCGTCCATGCTGTTTTATCTTCTTTCCTCCTCTAGAAGGGTGCAATGGCCTATTCATGCTGTCAAGACCACTCAAAACTGTGGCGTCTGGGCCGATCGACCCGTCTGCCAAGAGAGGCGCGTGTCATCTGGCAATTGGCTCAGATTTTCCATTGGCCGGCCGTGGGGTGAGCAGGCGGAGAGGCAGGCAGGGAGAGAGCACGAGGGCGGGGAAGGGGCAGACGGGTGTTAAGATGACGGAGCATAGACGGTGCAAGGACGATAGGTCTGTGAGCCAGATAAGAGAGCAGAGGAGTATTTGAACGAACAAACAAAAACCAAGAAATAAATATGTTTGCTAGAAGAGCATTGACTGCTGTCCCAAGAAGAATTATCTCCGTCAGAGCATACTCTGAAGGTGCCACCGGTTCCACCAGATCCGACGGCTCCTCCGACTCTTTCACCAAGAGAGAGAAGGCACAAGAAGACTTCTACATCAAGAAGCACCAAGCTGAACAAATTGCTGCTTTGAAGGAACAATTGGCCAAGCAAAAGACCCAATTGGAAGAGCTGGAAAAGACCATCAAGAACTAAGCATGGTGGGTTTTGTCTGATTGCGACTTCCGTTCTGATTACCATCCTGATCCACGAATACAATACTATACAATTCCATATTGCGTTGGCGCTAATTGACTACATTCTGCAAGGAGGGGACCAGTGTGGTTTTGCCTCCTTCCACCAGTGTGTCTATATATATGTGTAATTCTATTATCACAACTACTATTTCTACCCGTATGTATGGTCTACATAGCAGAATTTTAACGATGATTATTTATTTATTAAGATTTGATATACCAAATTCACTACAAAGTGAAAAAGACGGAAGAGTGATTAATGTACTTGTTTGTGGGGCGGAGAGGAGCTGTCAGTTCAAACGTGGTCTCTTGACGTTGTCCAAGGAAGCTTGGTCCTCGTCCACGATGGCTGGGCCTTCGGTGGCACCCATTCTTGGAGTGGAAACATCGGCGTGGTAGTCCTTGATGATGGAGTCGACATCGTCAATGTTCAATGGTCTGATGTCGCCAAGCTTCTTGATCTTGTTGGTGACCTCCTTGACCTGGTCATCGGTCAAGTTCAAGTTCAACTGCTCAACTCTGGACTTGATGGCATTCCAACCGGTCAATCTGTTGGCAAAGTGGATGTATCTGGTCAAACCGAAATCCGCAGGGCTCAAGATCTCGTATGTGGATGGGTTGGCCAAAATGGCTTTAGCGTGAATACCCGCCTTGTGGGTGAAAGCACAGAAACCTGTGATCGGGTTGTTGAAAGGAATGTTCACCTGGACGGCGTCGGCAACCAGGTTCTCCAAGTCTCTCAACTTGTGTAGCTTGTATTTGCTCAGAACGTACTCCCTGTCGGCAGCAATCATTCTGGCCATCAATCCACCAAGCGGAGTGATACCGTTTCTTTCACCGAGACCCAACACGGAGACGTCGATCAACTTGGCACCTGCCTCTAGAGCCGTGTAGGAGTTGGCAATGGCACAACCGGTATCGTTATGGAAATGGCATTCGATGTCACAGGAGACAACAGACTTCAACGTTTTCACCAACTCGTAAACTTGTCTTGGGTTGGCACAACCAACAGTGTCGGCAATACCGACTCTGTTGACACCGATCTTGTCGACAGTTTTGTAGATGTTCAAAAGGTCGACAATGTCTGATCTGAACGAGTCCTCACTGGAAAATCTGATCTCAATGCCCTTGCTCTTGACAAATTCAATGACCTCGATCGCACTCTTGGTGATGTACGACATGTCCTTACCGTGGGAGAACTGTCTCAAGAACTGGGAAGTGCCAATCACTACATCGACACCGTCGACTCCAGTTTCAACAGCAACCCTTGCGTCATCCATGTGACACCGTATGTGTGTTAAGATCTTGGCCTTCAATCCTAACTTGCAGATTGCCTCACAATCGGCCCTCGATTGCTCAGAAGCAACAGGCGAGGTAAGCTCAATGTAGTCAACACCAAAATCGTCCAAAGCTTTAGCGATTTCGATCTTCTTTTCAGTAGTGAAGAAGGCGTTCGCAAATTGCTCACCTTCTCTCAAAGTAGACTCGATAAGCTGGAACGAGCGAACATTTGACAAGTAATCGCTAGGATTTGGTCCGTAAGGGTTGACTTGGACCTTTTTGTGTTGCTCCTCTGAGACTTTCTGATACTCTTTCATGTCAGACATTTTATGTATCTCGCAGTGTGCAGCCAAGTATGGAGTGTCGCTGTGGAGACTATGTGCAGAAAGAAGGAGCAAAGAAAGCATTAAGCCAAGTTATGACGACAAAGCAGCTCTGCACTTATCAGAATTTTCAGTCATTCATTCTACGGAAGACTCACCCAAACCGGCGAATCGCACTTCCGCGGTGGGTAAGCCCTGGGAGGTGAAAACGGAGCGAAAATACGGGGAAGGAGAGAAGCCACATAACAGCAGTCGCGGTGCGACAGAAAAAAGGTCGTTACGCTTGTCTATCATAGCTGACTCTGGAAGATATATTGGAAGAAGCAGAAGAGGTGAAATAAAGGGAGAAGAGAATAGGAGGCAACTCTTTGATGACTGCCTAAGAAATAAAAGTGTTTTGTGTCCTGAGAGTAAAAGTTGAGATTGTACTGTGTTGAAATTTTTTAAATAACATTGGTACTCAACGACTTTCAAAAAAACCAAAACCACTGCTTTCAGCTTCTTTTCAACTAAAATGTGGAGTATATTCAGCAAAAGCCTAATAATGCACACACAACACCACCAACACTTGTGTACATTTCACAGATTGCAAAAGGTATCAGGTTTCCATCCTTAAGCTCGGGTTTAACAATCATTGCATCCACAACAAAGTGGCTGTCGTACCTGTCTCATTCATGCTTCTTTGAATCTTACAAGTTGATGGCGGAATACTGTATTAGTGCTGCAGAGAATAAAAAATTACATAAAAAATTACAGGAGAAGAAGTATTACGATAGATAATTGTACCCTGTACCATCATCATCTCTGGCGAGGTACTGCTCGTCCAACAAAACCTCGATTGCTTTCTTGATCTCACTGACTGTTGGCTTAAACCTGTCGATTATTTGATACACCTCGGTTATCAAATTCTCGTGCTTCAGATGCTTTCTCGCCTTCATGATTCTGACAATCCCTGCTTTCAACAACTCGTGTTTACGTCTCTCAATCTCCTCATTGGTCTCCTTATCTTCAGTACGGGCATCGACCTGCTTGACCGCCGAAAAATTGACCTTTAACTTCTTAGACGTATACTCCGTAACAATCGTGAACATCGTAGTAGACTTCAACAAGTTTTTCTCCCCGCTCGGGTTTTGAATGATCAACTTATTCTTTATAAATGGAACCATATGATTCTTGAAAACTTCTGCAGGTAACGCGGTCTTTTCCAATAGATAAGCTGCACTTAAAGAGTCCTCTTCTTGGAAGCATGATAATATAGCGTACTGGAATAATGAGACTGTGAATAAATATGGCGGCTTTCCAGGTTTCGAAATATTCGCCTTGATTTCAATCTTGGATCTGTTCCAAACCCAGTTCAACTGTCTACCATTGTGCCTTTCTTTATAAAGCCTGGTGAACAATTCTTCGGTCGGAATCAACTCTGCTGGTAAAATGAAAGACTCGTTGTTGTTTCTGAAAATTGAGCCCCATGACGCAGTATCCAATATTTTAGGCTCTAAATCACCAACACATTCTTTGGAGTCTATGCTTTTCTTACTTACCAAATCTTTATATGCGACACCGAGATTCTTAGAAACTCTTATATCGTTGAACATGTTTGTGATTTTATTTGTGTATTCAACACTGTTGGCTGTTTTCAGTCTCTGTATTATGAGCTCTTCGTTCTCTTCATCTTCAGGAGACGAATTGTTGAATAACAATCTCTTTGATAAACATCTTCTATACCAAATTTCAAAACTTTCCTTATCCTCCAAAAATTTGAAAATGGTTATAATTTCATCAATGTTCATATCATCACTCTTCCCTCTCAAATACTCATCACAATATTTTGCCAACAATTCGGGAGTTTTGGATTTTGATCTGGATGTTGGTGTGGCAATTATATTGTAGTTTATAAACTTTTGGGACGCACTATCCAGTGCTTTGGTGAATGCTGCATTATTGTCAAATGAGACTTGGACAACTGTTTTGTATTGCTTATATACTTTCAACAATGACTTGATGTAAAGGTTTGGATCAATAGATCCTATCGGCTTCTTAACTTTGACTTTCGAAGACTTATTAGCGCTGTTATTTATGCTACTCAGATAGCTTTCGTTAAGAAGGTTAAACTCTTCGTCTGCTTTTTTCTTGAATTGTACAATTTCTTCAGCACCTTGGTTTTCGATGTATTTTTGAAATACTTCCAACAAAGGCGGTAAGGTTAGAGGTACTCTTTTGAGGAGTATGTTAACTTTCTTGATGTCGTCATAACGCTCCTGGTCTAGTAAGTTGGGCAACTCGTTCCTTATCTTTTCTTGGTGATCTTGGATCAAAACGTTGTTGAGAACATCGTTCAAAGGTTTCCGTGTATGATCGTTCAAATCTTCTAAATTTTTCATTTCTTCATCAATTCTTTGAAGCGCTTTATTTATATAATTGACAACACCATTTGCATTAATGTAGTGCGCAGATTCCAAAGCATAGAAATTGTGAGTGTCAGTCAAGAATCTTTTCTCGAAATCGTTGATGTAAACAGATAGGTTTTGCTTCTTCAAATCATTGGCATCAAAACCCAATAAGACAAAAGACTTGATAGCGATATCCAAATCTTTAATTGTTGTGGCAACACCCTGCCTGTTGAATTGTATCTGCTCCATTATTTCGTTCATCAATATTGACAAGTTTGGGTGAAATTTGTAATCTCTCCACGATAACAAACACAAACTGAAAATATCGTAAACATCACGATGCCCGCTTGATCTCTCCTTTGTCACCCAGTATCTATTTAGATAATCCATCACATCGTTTAAGCGCTTCGATCCGATCAAGTACCTTTGCCATGATCTGATATAATATTGGACGAAGGACTCATTATCTCTTTGTTTGGCGTTTAACAAATAGTCTTTCAAAAATTCTTTTATCCTTTCGTATAAATCACTCCCCACCAAACGCACAGTGGAGTTACTGTTGCTGCCGCCACCAATGCTGTTTCTGTGTGATCTTTTTGATGATGCCGTGCAGTAGTTATACACTTTCGTGTACGTGTTGGTATACATCAACGAGTCCAACGACGAATTTTTGTCGTCGCCCAGGATAATATGCAAGGAAGGCTCGATACTTTCCCAGGTACTTTCCAGAAAGGTGTCCTCCATGCTGTATCTGCTGTGTGTTTTACTCCGTGCAATCCGGTATCTTTGTCCTTGTCTGATCTGTGTTTCTGATCTCCGTTAGCCAGGATGCTCAGACGCTTTCACCCGTTTCCATCACTTCCCTCTCAGCGAGGCAAGGGGAATTGCCTTTCTTTGGAGAGAAGCCATTATCCACAGTACCTAAAAGTGGTGGGATTACGTAATCGACCATCAATATGATGAAACATACCAAACCAAAGGGTATATATTACGGGGTCAAACTCTAGACATTACACATCTAGTATATTACAAAACAGAGAAAAGAGACGTTCTGGGGTTCAGTTCTTATCTCTCGTGTACGAAACAGCGTGTACAATCCTGAAGACGCTGATGGTGAAGTTGATGCACCAAGCAACTAACGTGAGGAACAAAAAGGCTGTGAGTGCCTTGACTTCGTTGCACATAGAAGAGTCGTACAGTAGTTCACCTGGACCATTGCCAACGGTGCATACCCACCTACTGTCATAGATAGATTGGAAACTGAGAGACAAGTTTGCCGAGGAAAAGATGATAAACAGCAAATCAAGTAAAACCAACCTTATTTTTGCTGTCGGATCTCTCAATCCCAACGGCTGGGAGGTAAATTCGTCATATGTAATGTACAGCAAATAGAATATTCCGACTGCCTGCACAATCATTGCCATCAGGGGACTAGGTTGCTGGGAAATGTCAAAGGCTTCGGTCATCTTGACAAGTCTAGAAGACAATCCCAAAGCAACCGTAGATAGAGAAATGGAAATCAACCTGAAAAATAGCGGGAAGTATGAGTTTGTCATGATAGAGTCCAAAAGTTTCGGCTTCCAAGTTTTTTTGTTCTCACTGATCCAATATTTGGCTCTATCTTTGATGTCACGCTCTCTCTTATGTCGATGCATGAGAAGCCTATGTCTTTTAAGCCTGCTTTTGTATCCCTTCTCAAGATCTATATCGTTGCCATTGCTATCGCCAGCGATGTCCGAAAGACTGGATTCTGAATCGGTAGATGTCGTGGAGCGCAAACTATCTGCGGACTCGAACAACTCTCTCAACCTCGATCCTCCCTTCCATTTTGAATGGAGATCATACCCTTTGAAGATTTCTAAAGCTATCTGTTTTTCGGAATCCGACGTTAAAGATGGACAGTAAGGCTGAGGATCCCCATCGTTTGGAGGATCCTCCTCGTCGGCGCTTCCTTCGCTGCTGTCATAGATTTCGCCGGCTTCGTAGCCCATGTCGTCTCTCCTGGCCGACTTTTTCACTGGAACAGAAGACGTCGGTATCTTGATTGTGTGTAGAAACTCTCCCCACTTGACCTTGTTGCTTCGGCTGTCTCGAAAGGTTGCCGTAAAGGGGTCATCGTCGTTTGTGGCCTCAATGTAGACGTTCTCGTTGTTGTTGCTGTCGGTATCTGCATTCCCCTTGTACGCTAGACGGGCCAGCACGTACGGCGGAATAGTGTTGACATTCAGACTGTAGTACTTGTTGATATTTGTGTCGTCGTTAGGGCTGTTAACGATATCGTAGGTTCGCACGTTGGCCTCGATGAGGGTCAGCATCTCGTCTGGAGACATGGTCATGTTCTGCGCTTGTAGCAGGTCCTGGTTTGTCTTGCTGTTTCTATTAAAATTGAGGTTCCCGTTGCCGGCCAGTCCGGCTATATCTTTGGATTTGAGCAGTTTCAACGACCGTCTGCCGTTGTGCTGCATGCCCAATCCGGGCACATCGTGCAGCGGGGTCGAGTGTCGTGAATCCGAACCCATTAGCAATGTGGGTGCTTACTTTTCTAGCAAAGGAGAGTCAACGCGGCTGGACTCGAGCACACTATCTACTTCTTCGGTTTTCTACTCCCCGACAAGACTGCCTCGGCAGCAGGACCCGAAATGATGATGGATGCTTCAACGGGTGATAATAATGATAATAATAATAATAAATATAAAAGCTGCTTCCTCGTCTGCGGACCGTTATCTGTCTGGGGCTGTTTCACCCGTGCACCTTCACGGGCCGGGCCACTCTTTGTCTGTTTGCGTAACCAGGCCCTGCTTACTATTTACGATATTGCCATTAGTAGTAATACAGATTACGAGGTTTGCTAGGGGTCTGAACAGGAGAATTGAAGGAAACCTCAATTGTTGGACACTCTACAAAACTAGAAAACACTAGCAGACCGACCCAATGAGTGTACTACTACACGGAATGAGCGGCTGGCGCTTACGGGCTGCTGGAATACGAGGCCTCCAGATAGCTCAGATCCGGAATTTGACAAATGCGTCTGCGGGGGCAGACATTGCCTCGATCAGACCGACTCTACCGGGGAAGAGGATATATTTCTACGCATTGCCCCTCACGACGAAGAAGACATTTTTGCATTGTAAGTACAACGACGAGATCTTTCCGGGCGGGAAGAAGAATCTCGAGGAGAAGATCATTGCGAAGTTCACGCAGCTGTGGAACAACTTTGCCGGGTCCGAGGCGAGCTTCAACAGGAAGGTGGTGGCGCTCATCAACCGGTTTCTGTCGAACATCCCGTGGCTGGAGACGTGCTTGCTGTCGATCCCCTCGCAACGGTTCATCACGCGGAAGCTGAACGAGGACACGCAGTACGTGACCCACGACCAGATCCTCGCGGAGAACATCCAGAGCGACGCCTTGCAGAAGTTTGACTTCTACTACCCGGCCACGCTGACGAACCCCGAGCTCATCATCCAGAACTTTAAGCCCGAGTTCCAGAGCCAGCACGAGACGCACAAAAAGGGTATCTTGAAAGACCTTTTGTTGTTGCCGCTCACAATACCCTTTGCCATCGTTCCGTTGATCCCCAACATCCCCGGCTTCTACCTCCTCTACCGCGTCTACTGCCACATCAAGGTCATTGCGTCGCTGAAGTATCTGATCATCCTATTGAAGGACGGCCACTTCAACTTCGACCGCGTGGACGACCTCGCCGAGATCTACCTCAGCACCACGGACAACCAGGTGCGGGCGAACTTGATGGAGGAACTGACGTACGTAAGCAACCACAGACCGTTCCAGGGCGAAGCGGCAGACACCGACGACGTGGCCGACAGACAGGAGAAGCTGCTACTCTCGGAAGACGTGGCACGCGAGCTCTGCAAGGCCTTTGGCGACGAGGAGAGTGCCCCAAAGTTGATCTTTGCCATCGAGCAGGAGCGCAGACACCTGAAGGAGCGGGCTGACGCCCTCCAGCAGCAGACGCAGCACGAGAAGAAACACTAGCTGCACAGCATAACCCCTCTCATATACATATATACTGCAAATATACATATACATACGCACACGTCCACACCTTCCGCATGCGGCAACTCCGCTTTGTCCCTTTCATGTCGCTCCATGGGTAATCCCGCCACCAGCCCGCATCACGTGCATGCGTCGAGGGCTTCCAGACCTGTTTTTCACCTGCCTGGGCCCTGCCTGGGCCTGGCCGCGCCGCCGCGCCGCCTGCAGCGGCCCCGCGCCGCGTCGCACCCCGCACACCGCACGCCCTGAGTTGCCCTCGCCGCCTCGCCTGCCAGCCCTCTCTGGCCCCCCCCCTCGGCCAGCCAGCCGGCGCTCTCTCCCACACTACGCCGACGAGCTCCCCATTTATAACACACACCGTTTCCACCTACACTGTTCTTCTGGCTTGCAACGTCTGTCTTTACCGCCCCCGTGGCTATTTTTTTCCTCCTTCCCTTCTGCAACAGCATATCCCACAATGAGAGCTAAGTGGAGAAAGAAGAGAGTCAGAAGACTTAAGAGAAAGAGACGGAAGGTTAGAGCTAGATCCAAATAAGCTCTTTGAACATACGCTTCCGCCAGCTTGAGTTCCAAGGACCCATGCTGCGTTTATGACTTCATTATGTGCGTGCGCAGACGCGTCCGCCGCCACGACAGGCCTGTCCTGCTGCGGCCTCGGCCACGTCCGTCTGCACGTGACGTTTGATTTTGGTAAGTTCAACTTTTAGGTGTTTCTGTGTGCCTCATTGGCGCTGGCACAAGGGGTGTATGGCCTCTGCATGGGCCGTATCTTTGCGTATTGCCGATGTCTGTATCTGTGTATTTCTTGTCTAACTCCACTGAACACGCCGCCACCATCTAAACCTCCTTTCCCGACACCCTGGCCGTCCAGGCCGGGCCTCTGTAACAGGCCCATCGCCGACCCGTCTGTCACGGCCGAATTTACGCCGATCGACTCGAATTAGGGCTTTTTGCGTCGATCGGCGGAAATTTTTTGCGGCTGCTGCTCCCTGGTGTCGCAGGCATTTTCTTCTCCCTCTTTTCCCCGACCGTGTGTAGTGGGCGAACACTGGTGTGCACTGAAACGAACCGATCTGTTCACGTACACAGTACTTTAGTGTCCGCAAGGCTGCACACGATTCAGCGGTCTGAAAGTTGCGCCCTCCACACACACCCCCACGCACAAACATACAGACTACAGCACGAGCATCCAGTTCCCCGCATCCACGTACCGAGACAGCAACACACCCACATCGCTTCCCTCCCGCAAACTCGGATCTCACACTGTTCACACTCTTAGATACAAAGACACACGAAACGGACGCCTCGGCCACAGCACAAGATTCTCCCACCCACCCAGATACACAGTATAAGCAGCAGCAATGGATTTAGACTCCGATGTACAGATGGAAGATGCAATTGACCAGCAACACACACAGCAATCCCCACAGTCTCCGCAGCTGATAAACAGCGCATCGAACCTGAACGACATCCCGGTCTCCACGGTCGACCCAAAGACACAGATCAACACGTTGGAGGGCTGGATGGAGCAATTGAGCAAGTGCCAGCCGCTCAGCGAAGACAGCGTCAAAGAGCTGTGCAACATGGCCATTGAGGTTGTGAAAAACGAACAGAACGTGCAACCGGTCCACGTCCCTGTCACCATCTGTGGTGACATCCACGGGCAGTTCCACGACTTGATGGAGCTCTTCAAGATTGGGGGCCCGTGTCCTGACACAAACTACCTTTTCATGGGAGATTACGTCGACAGAGGCTACTACTCTGTCGAAACCGTCAGTTACTTGGTGGCAATGAAGATCAGATATCCGAAGAGAATCACCATCTTGAGAGGAAATCACGAGTCGAGACAGATCACCCAGGTCTACGGCTTTTACGACGAGTGTTTCAGGAAATACGGCTCCTCGAACGTTTGGAAGATTTTCACTGACCTCTTTGACTACTTCCCCATCACTGCGTTGGTTGAGAACTCCATCTTCTGCCTTCATGGTGGCTTGTCTCCAATGATCGAGACCATCGACCAAGTCCGGGAATTGAACAGATTCCAGGAGGTGCCGCATGAGGGCCCAATGTGTGACCTACTATGGTCCGACCCCGATGACAGAGGGGGATGGGGGATTTCTCCAAGAGGTGCAGGTTTCACCTTTGGCCAAGACATTAGTGAACAGTTCAATCACACCAACAATTTGTCCTTGACCGCCAGAGCACATCAATTGGTCATGGAAGGTTACAGCTGGTCGCATCAGGATTTGGTGGTCACAATCTTTTCGGCACCCAACTACTGTTATAGATGTGGTAATCAGGCTGCCATCATGGAAGTTGACGAGAATCACAATAGGGATTTCTTACAATACGACCCTTCAGTCAGACCAGGTGAACCTACTGTCAGTAGAAAAACCCCTGATTACTTTTTATGATTACCATTTACTTACTTAATTATATCTCTGCCTTTACCTTTGTTTTTATTCTGTGTCTTTGTTTTTTTCTTCGTCTTTATCATTAGGTTATGTTTTATTAAAATTTCTGTCATCTTCAATCACTTCCATTTCTAATCACACACACACAAACACACACACAAACACATACTATCTCCCTTTCTCTCACTCTCGACATCGCTCCCTTATTACCATAATCTTCATCATTATCATAATTGACGTTTTTTATAAGACGTTTGTTTGGTTTTGGAATTTATCTTTTTTTCGTTTGTTAGTCATTCTGCCTTTTCATGCAAATCCATTGGTTTCATATAATGCCCCCCTCTCTCATCAGTCCTTGGTTTTAATTTGTGCTCTGTTCCATGTTCCATCAGGATCTATCTTTCTTTCCAATTTATAAAAGTAGATATTTCTCACCTTTTCTGTCCTTTCTTTCAATATAATCAGATTAATCTCTATATATGAATCTAATCTAAAGAATTTTATACATACATAGTTCCCTGTTTCGTGGAATATATATATGCCAATACACAAAACAGTTATTCCTACCCGAGAAGCATCCATGCTCATTTGGTGATTTGGAATGACCATGGCAAGATCAAATGTTCGGTTCTGTCGTCATCGACGAACTTGGAAACAGCACTATAGGATCCTCTAGCCAAAAATCCACTAGGTGCTTCCACCTCTTCAAACCCTCTCTCATAATATGGCTTGTCAACAGTGTTTGGCGCATAACTGCCCATTGGTTCCTCAATCTTGTCAACAGTGATACCAGCCTTTTTGACACCTTGCAAATATTTCAATCCGGTAATAATTTCGTGCTGGACCTTGAATCGGATCACCAATTTGTAAACGCTCTTCTCCTTAATCTTGAAACTGATCTTTTTACCCTTCAATGAGTCGTAGTTCTTCTCCTTCTCCAGATTGATGACAACAGGTTGTTCACCCTCAATCACAAGCGTCATCGAGATGATCACCACTTTTCTCTTGTCTCCTGCTTCGACATCGAGAGCCTTGCCCGTGTTCAACCCCAAGCTTTGTTTCCATTTGTTCAACGACTCGTCGTTGGCATCCAAATTGGTGTATTCCTGGATGCTTCTCTTCTCCCCGACTTTAAAGCCTGGGATTGTCTCCGGTTGTAAATCCTTAAATTCGTCACTCATGACACGTCAGCAAACTGAAACTAGAGTATAAGCAAAGAACAGCCACTAATTTGGTACCTCTGTAGCTACCTGTATTGCCAGGATCCTTTAGCTTTGCAGCTGCAAACAATAGGTGCCCCAGAAGCAAAACGCTGTCGTCGTACCCCACCCGTCCCGGTGGCTAATGTGATGCTTTCCCAGCGTCGCCGGCCGGGACGATGAAACTTCTCAGGCGTCTATTATTTCGAACAATACTTTCGGGGCTGCTTTATAAACGAGCTGGGGGGACATTACGGCTATAGCACACACTACATGCTATATATATGCCAGTCAAACATATATGCAACTAAACATATAACCCACTTGTCATCTGTAACAAATCCGTTAACTTTCTGAAGACCTCGTGGGGCCTCCAGTACCTAGTCTCGGCCTTGTCCGAATTCCCGGTCCCCCTCTACTTGCCACAAAAATTGTAGATCTGCCTCCGGGAAGCATCACAATAACCACATCGTAGCTTCTTCTTTTCGTGCTCCGGCGTCACCTAAGTTGTTCAGAAAAACTTTACAAATACAACCAATTGAATAATGCAGCTTCCCGACCCAACGCAGATGGGAAAGCTCTCTGATACCCAACTAACGGCCGTGCTAGATAATCTCTTTGAACCGTGTGCAACTTTGAATGCTTATCTACTCCCCTACGTGAGATCCACAAGTTTCGGAACTTATACAGAGTTAATAGAACTATGCCGCATTGAACTCATCAAACTTCTCGAGAGATATAAAGCCGGAATGGATAAACCAGAATTCGAAGAGGAGCAGGAACTACGGACGAAGATATGCAAGATCGTATCTGCACACCCCAGGTTGGGTGTTCCAAAGAAGCAGGCTGCAACATTGTCTGTGCATTCCCAGAACGAGCAGAAATCTCTTTCTGCGGAAGGGGCTGGCGGAGAAGAGCTTGCCCGGCAGTTGCAGAGCTTGAATGCAGAGTATGAGCAGACTTTCCCCGGGTTGATCTTTGTAGTTTTTGTCAACGGAAGGTCCAGGGAAGAAATCATGAAGAATATGCGCTACCGAATTGCTCACAGCAATTGGCTAGACGAGGTCAACACTGCATTCAATGCAATGGCAGACATAGCACTTGATAGAGCCAAAAAGCTTAATGCCAAATTATGAATCATAAATAAGTAGTTTTTACAATATTTTATACTATATTTATACTATATCTACTTCTCAGTAAACCGCAGATACTTACTCTACATTCCTTGATGTCACGACGATAATTGTGCAGCAAAGTATTAAGTTTCTACACTTTCCACTGTACTTTCGTAGTGTGCATCTGTATAATTGTCTCCTGTGTCCTTAGTTGCACCAGTATCGACATCCACGCTGAGACTGCCGTTAGAGTCCGTATTTGTGGCGGTATGATCATAGCCGTTACTGCGGCTTCCGTTCCTGCGTCCGTAGTTCTTTGATGATTTCCTGCTATAGTTGTTGTAGCCCGAATAATAAACATTACCATTCCCATTGTTGTAGTACTTTTTGTTTCTATTCATCACGTAATTGCCATCCTTGTTCATGTTATCACCGTAATACATCATAGGCATATACATGCCATTGGCTGAGATGCCATTGGCACCTGGGGGGTAGTATTGGTTGCCACGCAGTGGGTAATAGTACTGATACATTGGTCTAGAAACTTGGGCGGGTCCCATTGGCATCATCACAGGCATACCTGGTGGAGTGACAGAATAGCTTGCCCCGCTTGACCCAGGTGGTACAGGTGGAGGGGAAGTGTGCTGCAATGCGACTGGATGAGAGGAAGCAGCCAGAGGAGGAGAGCTTATCTCTTCCTCAAACCCTTCACCGTTGGCCATCGAGGTTGTTGAATTTGATACAGATGCTGGAGACTGCGAGAACTCAGAGTTATTACCTTCTTTTGCCCCTGACGCATGCACATCTTCAGTGCTGTTTCTATTCTTGTTGCTGCCATTTTTCTTGTAGTTCATACTTACACCATTACCGTTACTGACTGGAGGCATGACAGGGATGTAGTAATAGGGAGGGGAGGGCAGCATAGCCGACGTTGAGTTAGGAGATCCGATAGGAGATGTAGCCAGGCTCATGTCCATATTCATCGGCATACTAGGAGAAGAATTTGGTGCAATCATGTAGCCGTAGGGAGGATGATGCGTTGTCGAATTTGAAGAAGGAGGATGTTGTGGGGGCAATCCAGCATAGATTTGTCCGTTTGGATAATATGCATACTGATTTCTGTAGTTGTAATTGGAATGTCTGTTTCCTCTGTAGGCTTTTGCGTTTCGTCTAAATCCGTTGGTATCTTGGTTTCTGTTTCTGTATTTGCTGATATTGGTACTGTTACCCGGATGGATGTAGCCACCTCTGTCCGACCTATAGCCTCCTGTGCTATGTAATTCCGTGGTGCCATTTTCACCACGTTCATCTGAAATGATAATCTCTGCATCATCATCATCATCATAATCTTCGTCCTCTCTGGCGTCCTCGCCATTTATTTTATTCTTACCATTGGCCCCATTGACAGTCTCTTCACGGTCGTCACCATAGTCATCGCTGGCAGCATGTTCTTTTTCAATGCGTTCCTTTACCAGTTTGTATCTCTCTTCCTTGGAAAGCTGCGAGTCCTCGGATACAAAAGAATGTGTTCTGCTGCCATTGCCAATTCTTCTTTGCTCCTCTCCTTCAGAGGAGGTTTTGTTTGCGGCCCTTCGCATGATGCGCACATTGTTGATGGCTCTGTCACTATCCGTGGTGTCCATTCGAAGGTTGCTAAACTCATTGGTGATGCCGGCCTGTCCATCGTTATCAGTATTGGTATTGGTATTAGATTTGTAATCACCTTTGTAGAATGTGTCCTTGTAGGCATTGTACAAATCTGCCAACTTGATTCTGTTGAGCTTTTCTTGCGGGTCGAACTTTAAGTTTCTGAAGTCCAAAGGCCTGATGTTGCCTGACTGGTCGAACTTGGCATTTTTCTTCGTCTCATCATCGGCGTTAATCAACGAGGTGTTGATTTTGAACAACACCATCGATGACCCATCGTTTGAAAGAATGTGGCCTAAGTGGTAGTAATCTGCCAGTTGGTGTGACAACAAGCGGTAGTACGAGTTCAGTGGCTTCATTTTCCACGAGTCGACACTGGGTTTAACAATGAACTCGATGATCTCCGCCTCCAGCTCTAAAATGAACCTGCATACGTCGCCAGGGGTACCCGAGTTGGCGGTCGTTGACCCGGCACTGTTGAAGCCGTTCAAAAGCTGTGTTTTTCGCTTGTTGTTCAAGTCGAACAGCGACTTGATCAAGATGTTCGGGATCTGGTAATGTTTCGAGAGTATCTCTACATTCTGCAAGTCAGTGGTCCCGCTGTCAAGCGGTATCTCGACCAGGTGGCCGGTCACACCGTTCAATGGAGCAACTTGGTCTTCTTGTGTCTCTGGCGGTTCTGACACATCTGGCACTTCCGGAACCACCGTCTCGCTAGCCTGCCCTGCATCTTCTCCAACGGCTGTCTTGCCTTCGCTAGCCTCTGCTGTCGTACCCAATGGCACGGCGGCTTCTCCGGTCTGTTCCTCTGCTGCTGAACCTACTCTGCTGCTGGCTCCGGTTTCTGCACCGCCTCCATTGTCTGGCTCCGCCTCAAAAGCTTTCTTGCACGCCTCGGTATCTTCCTGCGACATGTCTCCTGCTGACTGCTTTATTGCCATTGCCACACGGACCCAAACACACAGAACAACAAAGAAGTTTTCCGCTGCAGCACTTCTGCCGGCCAGCCACAACCTCCCTTCTTATAACTCTCCTTCTGCAAACACTGTCAAACTGCTCAAGCTCCCCGTCCGCCAGACGCGCTCTCAGGAGCAATATCCCCCCGTATAAGCCTCAACGCTTTTTCTGTCGATATTTATTTCCGTTTCCTTTCTCGCAGCAGTCGTATATACAGGACACAATGGGCAGAGTCAGTTACCGGGCTACAGCATTATACAATTTCAGGGCCGGGCGTCGGCATTGGGCATCGCTCCCGCAGCGTCACATCTCGACGTCGCCGTCGGAATCTACACTTGCGACCTTTCCGGGCTCGCCAGGGACAGCTTGGGCCTGCCGCTGGGCCTGCCGCTGGGCCTGCACCCAGGAGTCAATGCGGGCCTTTAGCTCTGTATCTTCAGTCACCTCCTCGAGCTTCAATGGCATCCGGTTGAAGGGGTCTGTAGGGTCGTTCATCAAATGTGCCTTCAACACACTGCGGTCGATGGAGATCTTCGACGTGGGCAACATCACAGGGTCTTTCATCAACGTGTACATTAACGGATCCAAAAACTCGTCCGGAACCTCGCCTAACTCAAGTTCTTCCTCCTCGTCAGCAATCTTGATGGACTTGGCCATCTCCACGAACTTCACCAATTCCCGCTCGTAGCTTTCGTCGGGGATCTTGTAGCTCTTCCTCAAGATGCTGATTGCTTTGTAGAAGTTCTCCGGCTCGAAAGAACGCAAGTCCCGTGCCACAGCCTCGACAAACTCCTCCCGTTTGGACAAGTTGATGAAAATCGAACACAGCTGGAACAATAGCTCCTTTGGATCGAACTGGTACTTCTCTGGGTTTTGTACCTTCAACTCGTTGTAGCCTGGTCCTACCAGCACAACTAAGTTGTAGTTCAACATGCCGGCGAGTCTGTCGACAATTTCGACAATCGTAAATGATTGCGGGGTCTCCCGAGTGAACAAGTTGAATAGTAGAATTGTTTTGTTACTCAACTGAACAAACGACTTGGCCATTCTTTCGCTTTCCTGCAACTTTTTGTTCAATTCCTCATCGCTTTCTTCGCTGTGGTTGCCGGTGGTGATGCCCTTGCTCCTTTTGCTTATTTCTTTTTGACAGCTGTGGATGGTATGCAAATGGTTCAACGATTCATCCAACAAATAGGTTGTATCGTTCAACATTCTAGCAACAAACCGGATGAAAAATTTCTGATATTTTGTTGCAATCAACTTAAGGTCACTCTTGAACTTGTCGAATTTCCATAGTTTTTCAATTATGAACGAGATATGATATCTAGAGTTGAACTTATCGTAAAATTGCGATGACGCACCAGTCTTCTCAACCATCACATAGAAGTCCAATAAAGAGATTAGCAAGTTCTCTTGAACAACCTCATCATCGTTAAAGATAGAGATCATAAAACCAAAAGTTTCTCCATTATTGGTTTGTATAGGCAAAGAGCCAAAGAACAAAACTTCAGTTAACCTGGCCTTCAAATGTGGGTTACTGATTAGCTCTGGAGATCTCAAAATGATTATAGCAAATTCAATAAATTTAGTCAATTTGCTATCATTATCAATCATAGGGTTGTTGGTGAACTTCGAAATAAAGTGGCAGTAGTTGATCAATCCTTCGATATAAATTTCAGGAAAATACTTAAAAGGGATGGGCGATAATTCCCTCAAGTATTCAATATCATCCAACTTCTCAATCTCATCATCAAAGTTATGTAATGGAATCTTGAGATATGGGAAAAAATTTCCCAATTTTGGATGATATTCATGTTTGGTGTCAATTAATCTTACCATGAACTCACAAATACCAACAACAACGTCAAAAATCTCCAATTGGAAATTCCTGCAATGGAAGAACATCTCTTGGGAGTAAATATCATTCTTTAATAAGGCCACTTGCTTCTCCAAAGGATCAAGCCTCATTCTGATCATTCTCTCTGCAAGTGGGTTGGAGGTTAATTTGCTTTTGTCTATCATCTCCTTAATTTGTTTCAACTGTGCTTTCGATTGCTTTAACAGCTTACCTTTTTTATTATAGCTTACAATCAACCCTCCCAAACCATATTGTAAATAAGTCAACATCAAATAGAAACATCGTGAAATGAAATTTAGGCTTTTATCTTCAGGGTATAATTTGTCCTGGTAATAGTCATTACACTCCTGTATAGTTGAGTTGATTCTAGTTTCTTCGTCAATATCAATTAATTTGTTGGAGTAATTCAAATAGTCTAATGAGATTTTGTCAATTTTTGAGAAATTCCCATCTCTTAAAATCGGTTCAGAAAGTTTGATCAATATCAAAGTGATATTCAAAATAAGGGAGTCGCTTGATAGTTTTTTCTCATCTGCGTGTTCACTCATTCTCAAATGGTTTTTGTTTATCAAATCAGACATGAACTTTAAGACAGCACCTCTTGATTCATTGCTAACCCTAATCAACGAGTCAACAATGTTGAAGAGCTTAGTCAATAGGAAAGAGTATGTAGATTCTAGCGATTGATTGATTGTTTCAATTTCATTTTTGTTCACAACTCCTATATAGTTGTTGACTGAAATCTTTGGCAAAAGAGGTGAGATTCTTAACACTTTACCAAGAAAAGAATTTAGTTCAAGTTGGACACCATCACTTGCACTAGGGTTGAATGTATCCAGTTGATGGATGTAACCACTTATGCCTTTATTTAGTGTCAGAAGCTCAATGATCAACAAGATGTTGTTATATTTAGAAGTATTTGTTGAAGTTGCTGCTGTTGATAAGCTGTTTGAATCCAAAGACTTATCTATCTGATCGGTGATTCTTGGCAAAATTGAACTCAAAAACTCTATTTGGGTCTGGTTGTCTACGATGGAGTTCAAAATGGAAACCCAAAAGTCTAGATATCTATTAATATTGCTGATCAGTTCGTTTATGATGGATGTCAAAATAGGGCCATCGATGAACGTGTCTGGCTCATAAAAAATTATGGATGCATAGCCAGAGGTAAGTCTTAAAACTTCATTGTAGAAGTCTAGTTTCTCTTCATAATTCTGCGTATTCTTGTGCAGTAGTCTTTTATAATCATTCGCATTTGACCAACATTTGAAAAGATACTGTAGCGGGGACATGAAATGTTTACAGACTCCATCTTCAAAGATAAGTGCTGTCAATACTGTGTCTGGCCCATCTACATCGATTAGATCTGTAGAGTTTAGCTCATCACTTAGCGATTGGAGATAGATCAATGATTTGGCCTCGTCTTCTACACATAGTGTAACAGACAATGTCCGTTTCAGCTCGTTTGCTCTCCACCTTTCAAAAGACACTTGTTGTGGTTGTGACTGCTGCTGCGATTTATTTGTGACTGGAAGGGGAGGTGCAGAGGCGTTGGACGAAGTAAAATGATTTTGGTTCTGAATTGCTGCTGGGGCTTGTTTTTGATTTGTTAAGGGCAATGAGGTAGAAGACGAACTAATGGTGCTAGTTTTAGATAAATCTTCTCCTGGTTGACTGTCAACTTTAGAGCCATGACCACTATTGTCAGAGTTTGTAGACTCCAGTTTTTGCTTTTTGCCCGCAGAGGCTTGCAACTTGGCCAATCTCATGGCACGGATATCATTAGGTGAGCCAATTGGCGCCATTTTGAAATGAACAAAGCCTTTGAAGGTTACTAATACGGCAGCTGTTGATTTCTAGTCAACCGCAAAATTTTTGTCCACAGGAGAAGGGTGAAAGGTTTTAACAGGGTAGGACGATGAAAGGAGGACGATAAAGACGTGTAGATCAAATAACCTCAGAGTGAAGCAACATTTTTATGCCGCATAGACCCAATTTGGAAAGAATTCGCTGTTAGCGGGAGAGGAACACTTGACTTCCAAAACATGGGATAGAATAGATGAGTAGATCGGGTAGAAAAACAATGTTTATTTATTATACTAAACTATATAAGAATTAAGACAAGTAAATTTACTTAGTTGATCAAGCCTTAAGAGCAAAGTTCTTGACTGGGTAAGCAATTGCGGTTTTTCTAGCTCTTTCAGTTTTCAAGGATTTTTGTTCCTTGGTCAAAGCTCTTCTTAAAGCTCTGGTCTTCTTTGCTCTCAAATCCTTTGGAATGTACTTCTTACCGGCGTAGAATTCTCTGACAGAAGATCTTTGTTGTGCGTTGATGACGGTCAAGACTCTAGCAATGTCCTTTCTGACAGTCTTGATCTTTGGGACGAATTGCTTGGTCAACTTTTGGACCTTCAAGTCGGCCAATTCCTTCTTCAAGTCAACAAGTTGACTTTCTAATTGTTCCTTAGACTTGGTTCTTAATTCAAATGCTTTTAATCCAGCCTGTGATAAATAATATTGTAGGGGAGGTGAATAAATTCCAGGTTAGTATTCTGTCCATCATTTGGGTTAACTTAGTTTGACAGGTGTGACAGCGATAAACAAAAAAGTAATGTCGTAGTGCTCTTTAGATATTGATCATCCTTTATTGCATCTCTTGAGGAGATAGACTGATGTAAAATTTTCACTTTATGCGTATCTATTTTCATATTCTACTCGAAACTTCAGCTTTTGGTTAGGTCTGCTACTTCAAAAACCCGTTGTTATGGTAGTAAATTGTCTGACTGTCTATACTATTTCCACATTGTCCACTTGTACCGGTTGTTGTTCCTCGATAGTCATGTCGTGTATCGTTACTCGGTTCGTTTGCATCTTCAAATTACTGCGTTTTTCATCTGTACTTCACATAACTGTCCCTGTGGTTTTTGCTCATGCTGATACATACCATCTTGTTTGTTGATCTATTTAACGGATATCTTTCAAAAGGGATTCAACAGTATCAGCTTTTGTCTGCAACTCCAGACACACCGCTTAAACACTAACATCTCTTCACCTCCTCACCCGCTACCCGAAAAATCTCTTCCTCGCTCCCTCTCTCTCCTCCCTCATCTGCCACTGCCGCTCTCGCCCCCCCTCTCGCCCCACCTATAATATGGCGTGACTGTGTTTTCGCGCACCCTAGTGTGAGGTGCGAGGTGTAAAGTGTAATACTGACATGCTGACGTAATATCATTTTTGTAGCAATTGATAATAGCATCTACCATAGTAAATCACGCTTATCTATGGATTACTCAAACACTTATCTAAATCAATTGTAATCGTTATTTGGCATAGATCAGACTAGTCGGTGATCTACGCCGCACCTGAATCCTTTCTTTTCTTTAAAATAATACAGTATTTATGGGGGATATACTATATAAGATATACTTTAATAATGAATTAGATCAACCAAACGACTGAATTTGTTGAGTCAAAGTTGAGATACAGCCAGCAGGATTTTGAATTAATGCGTCTCTTTAATCGATCAAAACATTGTAATTTTTCTTTGCGTTTTGAAGAAATGTTTTAAATCAAAAGTTTAATTTAATTAAATTAAGAAATCTTATTTTAGTTTTTGTTACAATTAAGCACTATTCTTCAAAGTGTTGGACAACCATTCCAAACCTTCATACAAACCATCACCAGAAGTTGCACAGGTTGCTTGGATGAACCAAGGTCTTGGTCTGATGGATTGAAGACCTAATTTCTCGGTAATTTCTGCGGCGGTCATTGCGTTTGGCAAATCTTGTTTATTAGCAAAGACCAAAAGAACAGCATCCCTCAATTCATCTTCATTGAGCATTCTTTGCAATTCTTCTCTGGCTTCGGAGATTCTGTCTCTATCGTTGGAATCGACAACAAAAATGATACCTTGAGTGTTTTGGAAGTAGTGTCTCCATAATGGTCTGATCTTGTCTTGTCCACCAACATCCCAAACAGTGAAGGAGATGTTCTTGTATTCCACTGTTTCGACGTTGAAACCAATGGTTGGAATGGTTGTGACAATTTCACCCAACTTCAACTTATATAAAATGGTGGTCTTACCGGCGGCATCTAAACCAACCATCAAGATTCTCATTTCTTTGCGACCGAAAAGGCCTTGTAATAACTTGGAAATAGATAAACCCATCTGTAAGAGTAAAAATAGTTTGGTTGTTGTATTAGTATTCTGAATTGACTTGACAAGTAGAAGCAGGAAGGCAATAAGAGGAAAACAAGCGGACTTGCCAGCAGTGGGTACTGTTATCATATAATGCATGCAGTGATCTAATTAAAATTCTCTATCTTTGGAACATCCCCATTGAAATTAAGAAAAAATGAAAAAAAAAGAAATTCGTTTCGCACGCGCTCTCAATTGACAGTGAGAAATTGATCTGATCAGTAATGGAGAGGATAACGGATGCTGGACTGGATCGGCGGGCTGGCAAATCCTCAGACTACTTATCCTGGCTCCAGAAACGTTGGCAAATCTTCCAGCATCCCGGTGGAGGCGATTGGAGGTGTTCACAGATATAGTTGAATTTTTGAAAAAAAGCGATAACGGGTTAATTTGATATTCATGTAGCATTAGCATTGTATTCAACATCTCGGTTGAGCCTGTGGTAGATGGCGGCACACACAGGTCAGCAGGGGCTGGCAGCAGTGTAAAATGGAAACATGAAACTGTATGAGGCCGACCAAATCAAGAGCTAGATTATGACGGCACAATGATGATAAGCCTCGATTTGTTCCGTTCCACCTACTGGTCCACTTGCAGCTGGATCGGCTCAAAGACACCCACGACGGGGAGAATCCTCTCTCCGTATCCAATTGGTTCCTTCTTCCCATCGCTGTTTCCATTGGAATCACTGCGCAAACCGCATACCCCAAGATATGCTGCGAGCGATATCGAAACAGAAGCAATGAAAGATCAAGGATCCACTGCCGCCATTCGACACAGCACACAGCATATGGCTTCTTTATAACCAATTCCACAGCTGTGTTGTCTCGTTATTCGTTCTCTGCATCTGCTTCTTTGTCTCTCTCTCTCTCTCTCTTTCTCTTTCTTTTCTTCTCTGCTCCTCTTTGAGCCCGCATGAGGGCCACCCTGCACAAGCAGCACGGCTCCCTGGCTGGCAAATATACGTACCTTTTCACCAATAATAACACTCGGTAATTATATGTCTACACAGAAACACAACCTGGAAGGAAACAAGCAACAGATACACCCTCCCAAAGCAAACAAATAACCAAGTAACAACTACGGCCATTCTTGCAACAACAGCAGCAGACCGCTCACTTCTCTCGCAATACCTCCAAATCGGAGGCAGAGTCGCCACGGCCACGTATTACCAGCAACATTTAGCTCTCCCGCGAAGGGGCAAAACAATGCTAAGCTGCCCGACACGACACGTTACACTTGCCATATTCGGCGGCTTAGGGTGGAAATACGCGACGCCGCCGATCGGCGTAGAAAGACAGATTCAAGCAATGAGTGGTGGAATGGTTGATTGATGCACTAGCCCGGCCACAAGGTGGCGGCCAGATTCTATATATGTTTCATTATTAAGCAAAGAAAGGAAGAAAGGAAGAAAGAAGGAGGGTCGGAAGCTACCTGCCGACATTCACTTTGCAAGTAGAATATTTCTGCAAAGCTCTTAGGAAAATAACGTAGGACACGCTGTCGTTGTCTGGCTCCCAGTACATCTCGGACAAACGGATGTGCCATGGTGGATAGCCCTGCAAGTCCAAGTATGGCTGGAACAGGATGATCAAGTCGGGCTCCTCGCCAATAAGCTGTCTTAACTCGTGGTCTAAGAACTTGATGGTGATGTCGCTCTTCTTCAACTCCCCATTCTTGGCCAATTGTGCCATCACTTTGGTCAGTTCAACAATGGTGGAGCGTCCGTCAACCTTACTGATCAAAGAGATCTCGATGTCGTATTCTGCAAAATCATCCTTGTCTCTGCCGGTGCCCTTAACGCTGTTGTCAATCAACACACCGTCGATGCCAGAGTACGATAAGTTGAGGTGTGGGATCTTGATCAAGAAGTTTGGAATGTTTTCGGTTCCAAAGTATGATTCAAATTTCTCAAAAATAGCCCTGCTCAATTCAGAGACCGACTTCTTTAACACGCCGTTAACTTCGTAGATTGAGATACTCGGAATGCCGCTCGAAACGCACCACGCTGCAATTGAGGCTCCGTCGTTGCATAATCCGTCAATTCCCCCACCTTCTTCCTGCTCACTTTTGTAATTGAGAATAACAGAGAGTTTCTGAGGAATCTTTGGCAACTTGTTTATGTCAGCATTGATCACGCTAGGGTCATCGTTTGACCTATATGCGATACTCAAAAATCTGAGCTTACCTCTATTGATGGCATATTCGAACAATGCATATATCGAATATATCAAATAGAAGATGGTCAAAATCGAACGATAGAAGTAAAAGAAGGCTAGTTCCAATGTGCTCTCGTTGTCATTTTTGAACCACCTCTTTCTTACCTCTTCATCTTGCGGTGAAATCAAAGCTCTGACCATGTTGTTGAATGATTGCAAAAAGCTATCCTTTGTATATACAGGAAGACTCTGCTTGTCCTCTGTTCTCTTCAAACCTTTGTTCAGTTCCTTTGATTTTCTAATACGAGCCTGCGTTTGCTCAAGCACTTGCTCATTTGAGACACCGGTGGCTGAGCTCTCGGACTCACTCTCCTTGCCCATGTCGGTAACCTTTTCAACTTTGGTCCCAATGTTTACGTCTGGCATTCCTGTGATGGGAAGCTGTGGAAAAACTTGGCTATCTAGTGATAGGAAAAGGAAAATAGTAAAAGTAGAACGTAAAGAAAAAGAAATCAGGTTGATTCATCCGAGACCCCTTAAACAGTTTCCCATGATGAGCTTTTTACTTTTCAATTGTACGAATAAATTTATTAGTGTCCTTTTTTTCGGCCACAATGAGCACAATTACGTAAGCGGGATTTACTTCTTTAATCAAAAAAGATAGCTTGTTCCTGAAAGTCGTCATAATCATTATCATTAATACTATATATTATACACTTTACAAACTATTTTATATTTTATATTTGATGGCTGATACCTGATTCAACCTACAGAGAAAATTCACACAATATCCGTAGTATGACCTGTGTTCTCTCCATCTTCATCTACACCGCGTAGATTGATGTTAATACCTGTTTGTTCACTAACTTCTTGAACAATTTCTCTTAGATTCCGTCTGTATTGTTCTTCATCGTGATCTGCCCCTCTTCCTATCTCTGCTCCTCCATCTTCTGCACCCTCCGCTTCCATCTGTCTAAAAGCACGATTTGGGTCGTCTCCATATAAGCCGTGATCGAAAAGAAAGTTTCTGTCATGAGAACTTTGCGAGCTTCCATTACTGATATCATCATCACTGTCGGACAATGGTAGTACATCCTGTCTGGTTATAATATTATCAGAAAGAATGTTAGCACGTTGATTTTGTTGTTCCCACCTGCTCAAATATTCCATTGGTGTCAAACCATTTGAATCATTTGACCGGTTTTGGCTGAGACCGGCTTCAGAGTCGTCACTGTATGTTATATCTGTTCTAATTCTAGTTATAGCCGCTGGTACCATTTCAATGGAATTGTTAGTGTCTCCAATATCATTACCACTGGCATTTACCAATGTACCAGTTTCAGGACGTTGCTGGTCAGACGACTCAAATTTTTCTTGGTTCATTTTACTCATTGATTGGATTTCTTTGTTATATTTGCCAGATTTTAAAGCTGAGGAACACGTCCTGTAGAGCTCATCAATTTCTTCTAACATTAACCCCTTCGTTTCATAAACAAAGAAAATTGTGACTATCAAACCCAAAACATTGAATGAGCCCCACATGAAAAAAATCTTTGTTCCCAATGCAGCAACATGATTACCTGGATCAATCAAATATGGTGTTGAATATGCAAACACAAAATTAACAATCCAATTGGTGCTAGCTGATAATGAAACAGCTTTCTGTCGAATCGATAGACTATACAACTCGCCTGTCACAACCCATACAACTGGTCCCCATGAAGAGGCAAAACAAGCTATAAAGGTGCAAACAAATGTGAGCATTACCTTGTTCATAACGACAGTATCTGCAAATAAACCAACAATGGCAATAATATAGTTGGAGATAATCATGCCAATACCTCCGAAGATCAATAACTTTCGTCGGCCAATCTTATCAACGAAAAGTATGCCCGGAATAGTAAAGGCAACATTCACGGCATACGTCACAAACGACATCAAGTATGATTCCTGGATACCTGTAGCAACAAAAAAGTTCACACCGTAGTAGAAAATGAAGTTGATACCGGAACATTGTTGAAATGTCTGCAAAGATATTCCGGTCAACATTCTAGTAACTTGATGAACCCTACTCGGTGAGCTTCGGAAACAGTCCAAGTAACTTGTTGCGCCATCACTTGTTTCGTAATCATGCGAAGCTTTTATTTCTATCAACTCTTCTACCAATTCTGTATCATCTATGTTGAGACGTCTAAGCCTCGACAAAGATATGATGGCTCCATCAATGTCATCATGCATGACGTAAAATCTAGGTGACTCCGGTAATGAAATCAATCCTATAGTTAAGATTCCACACCATACAAATTGCAATCCAATTGGAATCCTGTAACATCTATCATCGTCTATGTGTCTTGTACCTTGTGATATTGCACTTGAAACTAAAAGACCCCAAGTAATTGCCCATTGATAAAACGAGATAATCGAACCTCTGATCCATCTCGGAGATACCTCAGCCTGAAATAGCGGTATAACCGATGATATTATACCTACCGCAATACCGTTGATAAATCTGCCGGAAAGTAAAAGCGCAAACGAGGCATGACTCACCTGTAGTATTATACCTATGCAGAAAAATGTGATCAAAGCCCATACCAGACAGAAACGTCTGCCATAGTTATCCGATATGTAGGGAGATAATAGTGATCCTAAAATGGTGCCTAAAGATATGATTGAAGTGAGAATCGCCTTCTCTCCTGAATTGAAGTTGATCCCGTTTTTACTAAAGTTTTGTTTCACAAAATCCATTTCAAGTAGCCCATTGGTAACGCCCGTGTCATATCCGTACAAAAATCCCCCAACAGCGGTTAATAGACCCACATAGACTCCCATAAAAGAAGACTTTATTTTTTTCTCCTTTCTTGTTCTTGCATTAATGATCTGTTTTTTTCGATTGCTTTTCATACTCTTCAGGCTGGGGAAAACTGGCAGTATGGAATCGCCTATCTTTTCCCTGAACTTTTCTTCTGAATCAATACTATTTGCCGTGATTATGCTTCCACTGTTCCCTTGTGGTAGATTGGTAGTACCTTTCCCTTTATCTTTCTTAGTGCATTCAGTTCCACTCGGAGATTGAAAAGCGGGTCGCTCCATCAGACTGTTGTTTGTGGCAGTGTATGCTGTAATTGTGTTCGACGAAGCTATAGCATCAGTCAAGTCAACATCATGGCCAGTATTCAGCGAATCATGCCGTGAATCCCATCGTGACGCTAAACTCATTTCCTGGGTGCTATATTCTATAATGACTGAACGTCTTTTTGTTTAACCAAAGGAAAAGAAGCCAAAAAGTTTTTCAAAGTTGATGTTTTCTCTGGTTGGTAAGGTGTCAAAGGTTATCATAATTCATGACGGCACAAAGATTCTCACTAAAAGGTGGAGAAAAGGTGAAAATAAAAAAAATAAATTATAACCGATAATAGCTATGTAATGAGCAAAAGCGTAAGCGCTTTCTTTTTCCGCCGCGCCGCCTGAGTGATCTCTCCACAAGGAAAGTATCTATTATTGTTTTATAAAAAGAACCCAAAATTGTTGTATATATACACAAAATATGTAACCTATATTTATGGTCAAGAGACAAAGCAGATGAATGGAAAAGAAAGTAAAAGTATAAGTGAAAGTAAAAATGAGAGTAGTCAGACGTCCTTCTGCTCAATGAAGAGTTTGTCTTTGATAACACTAATTACCAAACGAATGATTCTTTAGATAGAGAAAGTAGAAAAGTAAGAAAGTGAGAATGGAATGAAGGAGCAAAAGAATAAAGGCGGTTCTTTTTAAGAAGAGCGCTTAAACTTGAACAGGGAAAACCTTTTCTGAGCAATTTTTTCAGTATTTGCTTTGGAAGATTTGGGCTTGTCTCTTTTGAATGGAATAATAATGGCTTGCCCGTTTTCCTCGGAAGGATCAAGCCGTTGCAATTGCTCTTTGATATCTTCTGACTTTTCCTCTTCAACGGCAGTTACTGGAGGAGTAGCTGTGGAGCTGTCAGCAGCAGTAGAAGCTGACACAGAAGGTTGAGAATCGTACTTGACTTTATTATTTGATGTTTCTATTCCTCTGTTTATCGCCCAGTGTGAATCAACAGCGTTTTTTTGTAGTGAGTCACTGTTTTCTTCCGCTACTGCAGTTGGCACAGTTAGGGCCCTATTCTCAGGAACTGAATCATGTTCAGTTGCCTCCTCAGACATTGACATTTGTGGTAATGAAGATGCTGAGTCCTCAAATTTCGACGTTTGCAAAGAGCTGGATGAGTTTTGGCTAGCTATGGGAATTTCTTTTGGTGATATGGCTCGGGTTTGAGCATAACTTGATGAGCGCCAAGCGTCAGATGAAGGAATTGATTGTTTCCATTTGTTGAGAAATCCGAAAAAACTTCGTCTTTTGGCCAACTCTTTCTTCGGCAAATCCTTCTTTGGAGCTGCTGAGCCACGGGTATTATCTTCTGAATTATCAGGATGAGCGCCGGTGTGCACATAACTCGTATCTTTCTTTGCTTTATGTTCTGATTGGTCTTCGGTGATATTTCTATTCGGAGTTCTTATCACTTCTCTCTCTTCGTTGGCCTTTTCAAGTCTTTCCAAGTCATCTAGCCTTGAACCTTTAGTAACATTCCGGGGCACTGGAGTTACCTCTTTTTCTTCACATGATTCTAAAGTTGTACTCAGTTCTGTAGCACGGATGTTGCTAGCAGGAGCACCTGAGTCAATCGAGGTATTACGAGAGACGGAAGACGCTGTGTTTGTTGTCTTTGTCGAAGCCGAAGAACTTTTCCTGTTTTTCGCTAGGGCTATATTCGACTGTTTTTGTTCAGGCTTGACGTTGAGTAAATGATCCATTTCGTCCCTGTGGTTGTTAACGAAGAACGTTAGATCTCTAACGATTGTTTCCGAATTCTGGATCATTGAGGCAAGGAGTTCTTCGTTCATCAGATACGAGGTTTTTAAGTCTTCTGCGCTAAAACTCTTCGTTCCCACAGTCAAATCGATGCTTTTAAAGAAGTTCAATTGGAAGACTTTGGCCAAGTTGGAGGTGTGCATTTTTGTGATATCTGAGATTTCAGGCTTGGCCAAGTAATGGAGGAAACTTAATAGGTAGAGTAGCAAGTGCAAGTTTTCAATGGGCAACTTCGAGAGACTGCTTGCGTAGCATGAATCCAGGACCAGGTGGTCCTTGAACGTAGGTGTAGCTGTAGTGGTAGTGCTAGTGGGGGTAATTGTGGTATCAGTTGGTGGCTTCGTTGTACGTGGTCTCGTCAAGGGAGATACGGCAGCGGCAGCCGTGGAGAGCACGGATTTTATGTCTGACTTGGTGGATTTGGTCGGGGAGGAATGGAGGGTGAAGGACTGATCCATGTTGATCAGCTTTTGGTCGATGTTTTCAAGAGAGTCTTCTGCTTCCAGGAAAAGTTCGCCGTCAGCGTCAGCGTCGGCATCCTCGAACTCGCTCGGGTAGTCTGGGAGCATGAGCTCCTTGTGTGCCTGGTTGAGGGAGTTGCAGACGTCTGCGGTGATGAGGCCGTCGTCGAGCTTGGAGATCCATCTTTTCAGCACAACGGCGACGTCGTGGACGGTGGTGACCGGGTCGTCTGCAAACTCGCACGCGTCGACGTTCTTCTGCAGCTCGGACTCGATGAGGTTGACCTGTTTGATGGAGCCGTTCATGCGGAAGAGGCCCTCGACGGGGTCGTTGCAGCGGATGAAGTCGCAGCACTTGTACACGATGGTGGGGATGATAAGGGAGACGCCGTCGAGCTGCACGGGGCGGTGGGAGACGCGGAGCTCGGAGTCGATGTACTTGGCGACCTTGGGTGTGAGGTTGGGCGTCGAGGACGAGAACTGCGGGGAGGAGAAGAACCTGGACGCCGGCCTCGACTTGCCTGCGGCCGTGTGTGTCTTGAGGTTCAGCTTGTCCGTGTCTCTCGTGTGCACGGGGCTGGAGGCATGGCTGCCACTGTCAGGGCCCGTGCTGCTGTGCGGGGCCGCCGAGGAGGCCTCGTTGAGACGGAAGGTGGCCGAGAAGGACCGCCTGCTGCTGGTGAACGACCGCCGCTTCGGATGGTCGAAGGACGTGTTCGAGTGCAGCGTGAAGGCCGACAAGGACCGCCGGCGGCGGTTTTCCTTCTCTTTGTCTTTGCCAGCGTGCGGTGGGGCGTCTTTCTGTTTCATCGGGTACGGGGACTTGGATGCGAAAGCAACCGTTGACATTCTCGAGCCCTGGACGCGGTGCAGAGTAGTGTGCAGCGGGACGAGACAGGAGCGCTTGTGTTAGAGCCAGAGCCTGAGCTTCACACACGTCAAAGCCAGCAGATGCAGACGATCTCGGCCTGCTGGGGTGAAGCTTCTCCAGAGCAACGATCGTGCACAGGCCCAAAACGCTATCCTGTGCCCGAACCGGATGCCTAACGGATGGGCCACACCGTTCGTGCAGCATGCAGCACACGAACCCCACGACGTGACGTGACAGGGAGAGCCGCAACCACACGCAACGGGCACCAGACGAGACGATGAGACGACGAGACGGACGAGACGAGAATGGTAAACACGCGAGCGCGCGACGCGAAACACCGGCTGAAGGGGAAGGGGGAAGCGAACAGCGGAGGTGGCGCGGCAGCACGGCCCGAGGGGCAAGGAAAAAGGACGCGCCGCGACGATCGGGTGCAGCGACGCGTCGGCGGCGCAGAAACGGGGCAACGCAGGGCAACAGGGCAACAGGGCAACACGGGGCAACGCAGGGCAACGCGCCGACGCGTCGGCGCGTCGCTGCAGCCGATCACCCGTTGTCTCCGCTGAGCTTATCTGGCGGATGCGCGTGTTGTTGCCCTCTCGCAGACCCGTTGCTTCGCTGTCCGGCTTCGCTGCCTCGCTAAAATCGCTAAAATCGCTGTAGCGCTCCGTGACGTCGCCGTCGCCGTCGCTGTGGCCCGTCCCGCCCTCTCGCAGTGTTTTCTCTCCGCTCTCTTGTTTACCCTTTTCAACCCCTGCCGCATGCTGCAACAGAGCACCTGTCTCTGTGTACACGGGCCACCCTGCAGCCGTTGTGAAGGTCGACACACACAAACACAGGCACACTCAAAGCCGGAGTCTCTGTCTTCTGCGCACCGCATTGCACCTCACCCTTCGCCGCCGCCAAATCGTCCTTTGCACCCGTGCCGGAGACAACGAAGAGAAGTCCAGACCAGAGAGGCAAACAGACGTCAACACGAAAACACAGCCAGCGGACTTTCATGCCACCCCCACCAGCAAGCTCGACCCCAGAGGACGCACAGACAACCACATCGACACACGCATCCAGTATTAGGCTCCGCTGCCACTCCGGCGCCGACTCTTGCAGACACACAGGTAAAGATCAACACAAGCACGATGCATGAAAACCTCTACTCGGCAACGTACTCGGGCGTCGCCGTGTACGAGTTCATCCACCCAAAGTCCTCCGTGATGCGCAGGAAAAAGGACGGGTGGGTCAACGCCACCCACATCTTGAAGGTGGCCAACTTTCCCAAGGCCAAGCGGACAAGAATCTTGGAGAAAGACGTCCAGACAGGCGTCCACGAAAAGGTCCAGGGGGGCTATGGTAAGTATCAGGGTACGTGGGTTCCTTTGAAACGAGCCGTGGAGATCGCACAGCAGTTCGGGGTCTTGAACGACTTGAACCCCGTCTTCGACTACGTCTCCACTGGAACAATGACCCCGCCGCCAGCGCCAAAACACCACCACGCAACAACAGCCCTCGGAACAAGAAAGCCCCGCAATTCCGGTGCCGCCGCCTCGGGCCAGTCGGCAGCCGTCAAGGCTGCAAAGGCCAAGGCCAAGCCAAAGGCCAAGCCAAAGGCCAAGCCAAAGGACAAGGAGAAAACCAAACCCAAAGCCTCTTCTCCCGCCTCCGACCTCAAACCTGCCAAGAGACAGAAACTGTCTCCATCCGCATCGAGTATCATACCCCCCTCTTCTTCCTCGTCAAACACTTCCCAGAATAGGAAAAGACCCTCCGAGCTGAGCATTCTAACCTCAAACAATCCCTACCAGGCCATCGACCCAAATCAACCCAATGTCCCTATAGGAGGATACCATGGAACTAACATGACCCCAACATCGGCATCGAGGAATTCCCTGCTCTTGTCAAATATGAATGATGTCGACCGCTCGAAAAGAATATTAAAAGCCCCAAGAGGACTGTCCAGCACTTCCTCCTTCCAGACGATCCCCATGGGGAGCCATTTCCCAAACCTGGAAGATGATCTCGAAGATGATATCGATGAAGACGTTGACGAAGACGACGACGAAGACGACGACGATGAAGATGGTGGCAACCATCATAATAACTTACACAACCTTCAAGCAGGCACCTTCAAAACCACAGATTCTCCATACCAAAGGCTTCATGAGCCATCTACTGTTGAATTCATGTCCGAACATGACTTGGACAAGGCTTTGGCTGAATCGGAAACTTATGGCGATATGAAAAAATCAATCTCCTTTTATTCAAACAAGGACCAAGCTTCCGAATTGAACAATCTCTCTCTTCGATCAGCTAAAAGGCAATCGTTTTCTTCTACTCCTATTCTGGATAAAAGTTATGTCAAGGCCCTATATAACTATTTCATTGAAATGGATTCCAACCCTAATTCTGAAATGCCCTACTTCATAACCCATCCATGTGACAATTTTAATATAAACCAACCGATAGATAACCAGGGAAATACGCTGTTACATTGGGCTTGTTCAATGGGCGATGTCAAGATGAGTGAGATTCTTATCCATCGAGATTGCAACACTCACGTTCTAAACAATAAAGGTGAAGAACCTATAGTGAGATCGGTCATCTACGCAAACTGCTATACAAAGAGAACTTTCAATAAATTGCTCGATCTTTTGACGGATAGTCTCCTGGATGTGGACTCAAATGGAAGAACTTTGTTGCATCACATAGCATTGGCAACCTCAGACAAGAACAATCTACCTTCGTCAAGATACTATTCTGAAATCCTATTGAGAAAAATTGCAGAGATTGTCCATTCTAACGAGACTTTCAAAGAGTTCATCGATAAGCAAGACTTGGACGGTAACACAGCCTTACATTTGATGAGTTTCAACAATTCTAAAAAGTGCATAAAGATTCTACTTGGTTACAATGCAAGAATCGATATACGAAATAATAGAAATGAACAGGTCGGCGATTATCTGACAGACAACTTCAAGAATGAGTCGAACCATCCTGGCCTGATCAATGGGTTTGAGAGTATGGCAGAATTGGGAATGGGTCTGAATACAAATGCCTTCGATTCTTTCAATTTACGGCCCTTTACTCCCTCGTTCAACGGAAACCATTTCATAAGAAATAACTCGCTTTCGGCCATCAACAGAATATCCAATTCGTATATGGAGCCATTCCAGCTACATTCGCAAATGCAGCTACCAACACATTCGCAAACGCAATCCCAAGCGTACGCCCAAGCTCAGGCCCAAGCTCAACACAATGCTTTATTGAACATCAGTCAATCTTCAATCATAGCCAATAATAACCATGTTAGTACCACATCGTTGAAGATGAACCATCTGAGTCTCGAGATGTATGATAAACTGAACGAATTGTCAAACGCTTTTGACAACGAGGTTTCTCAAAAAAATGATGATATCAAAGAACTGAATTCTATTGTCAAGCATATGGACCACGACATAGAAAAAACCGCAGTCGACATAAAAAGTTTGCTAAAGGCATTGGTTGATTCCAATCCAATTTTTGGAGATGACAAAGAAACTGTGCTCCCAAGTCAAACCAGCGAGGTTAAAGATGATAAGAACCAAAGTGATGATGAAAATAGCATTGCCACATCGATTAAAAAAATTGAGGTGCGGGCCAACGAGTTGTCCACAGACTACAATGAGAGGAAAGGTGTTTTGAGAAGACTGATAGATCGGTCGCAAGCAATGGAGCTGGCCAAGGTTGTTCAGCAGTACGAGCACGAAAGTTTGTTGGAGATCGACAATTCAAAGTCTTCGTCCCTAGAGTCCACCCTTTCCGAGAAAACTCTCCACCAATTGGTGGATTTGGCCGTACTACAGATCATAAGAAAAAAGACTGTAAGCGTTCTCGTGAACATACAGGCCCGTTCGGAGGCTAACACTGATACGATTAACAGCTTTCGAAGATTGGTGTCCAAGCTGTCCAACATGCCGATAAACGAGGTCGATTCCAGTTTGAACAGCATTGAGGAGTGTTTACGCCGAGACAACGAACGTTCCGGAGAACCGCCACAGGAGTGAGCCTACTCTTCCTTTTCAAAGGCCGTATTTTTTGTACAATTATTGTAGATCTACATATTAGTAATAGAATGTATTATATGTGTTTTCACGTGAAGAAGACAGCTCAGCTTTACAGAGGGTGTGGCACAGCCTTACGCGACGGAGACTTGGTGAACTTCCAGGCCGGCAGTGGGGTGAGTGGGGGTATCTTTTCGCACATTGTGCTATTGATCTACCCTTAGCCTTCAAGCAATAATTCCCAGGTGAAGACAACTGGATCTGCTCCAATTGAGCAACATAGCAATGTCACAATACAAACTTCAGAAGAATGAGGTAGAGGTAAAACTGCCATCTCCTTCTCCCGACTCGCAGACGTACATTTCTTGCATTCTCAGCAAGCCGGAAACTGATGTGCATCCCGAGACATGTAGAGCAGCCATGCTGATGCACGGTATTGGTGGTCAGAAGAATTACTGCTACCACTCGAAACTCGCTCGGAAACTTTCAAGAGAGCAGGGGATGTTTGTGGTGAGATTTGACTTTAGAAATTGCGGGGATTCCTCGAAGACGGGTGTGTTGGGCCGCACGTTGCAAGACGATCTCGAAGATATGTCCACAGTATACAATTGGCTCACCGGTGGTGGCTTCGAGGGCAAGAAACTTTATGTGGACACCTTAATAGGCCACTCGAGAGGTGTGGTGGATGTTTTCAATTGGCAACTGCAGAACCAGAACAAGTTTGTCATCAACTTGGTAGCTTGTTCGGGCCGATTCATCGGTAGCGGTTTACCACACAGTATCAAGAAGTTGCATCCGAATTTTGAAAAAGAAGGCGGCCATTATATCCAAGGGTTTCAGGATGGTGCTTACCGGAAAGTTTGGGTCCCGCTCAAGGAGACAGAAAGTTTGGGCGTTTTGAACATGATCACCGTTAAGAACATTACCCAAGATACGGATACTTTATCCGTTTATGGCTCCAGAGAACAAGTGATCCCATTACCAGATGCAGCACACTATTTCAATGCTCTTGCAGGCAGAAACACACTAATTTTGATTCCTGATGCCGATCACTGCTTTAGAGGAGTGGAAAAGATTCCGGAAAACGAATGGGAAACATATGGGAAACCCATCGCCAAACCCGCAGGGGTGGTCGACTACAACCCTGAGGTTGCAGAGAAGGTTGCCGAGTGGATGAGTTCGGAGAAAATGCACCAGCGGTTTTATGAAAAGACTAAAAACATTCACAAATTTCTTCCAAGATGGAAGGAGGTGGATGGTGTTGCCAACTTCCGGGATATAGGAGGCTGGAACACTCTAGATGGAAAGGTTGTAAGACCAAACGTTGCGTTCAGATCCGCCCATTTGAGCACCGTCACTGCCAAAGGTATCGAAACACTGAAAAAGCTTGGCGTGAAGAAAGTCTTTGACATGAGGTCTCCTATCGAGAGCGAGCACTTCAAAGAGAACGTTTTGAGCACCCCTAGCGGCATCGAAGTAGTTCACCTGTCGGAGCAGTCGAAGGGAAACAGCACCCTGCAGAATGAATTGTTCTCCAAGACGTTGATAAAGGCTGCGCTTCGCAGCAACGCTGTCTCCTACGTACCTCTTCTTGAGACTGCTATTCCAACATACAAGCCAATCTTTGAACACCTGAGAGACGACATCGACACTCCGATTGTCTTCCACTGTTCGTTGGGCAAAGACAGAACCGGAATTATCACGATCTTATTATTACTACTCTGCAATGTCGATCCTTTGATTGTTGCCCAGGAGTCTGCTCTTTCTAAGGTGGGTGTTGAAGCCCTCCGTCCTGAGATGCAGCACTTTTTCACAGCCAAGACTATCGACAGCGGAGCTGAGCAGTACATCAAGGACAACAAGCCAAGTCCTGAATGGTCACTTGCTAAGGATGGAGTCGACAACATCCTCTCCATCGACAGCAACGCTGTCTTAGAAACGATTACGCTGTTGCAGAACCAATACGGTGGTGCCGAAGCCTACTTGACAAACAAGCTTGGCCTCTCTGCAGCCGACATCGCAGCAATCCGCAAAAACCTCCTTTTTACCCCATAATTATATACAGATATGCCCTTTCAAGTAGAGACCTAGATATAGAAAACATATTTATATTGCTGTGCGTGTATACCGGAGACAAATCTTAAGACTCATCGCGTTCTCTCCGGCACCGGCGCGGTGTGGCGGGCTGACCGGCGCTCCACACCGGAGCGGGGTGAAGTCAGAATGGGTCACCGAGGACGATTAGGGAGTGCAGGGTGTAAAAACTTTTCACCTTTTCACACATTGATAACACGTTTACAGGGAGTTTTTCTCTGCACAAACCCCGCTAGGATAGAAGAATAGATAAGCCAAGATCACGCACAGCGATGTTCAAGCAAACGGTGGTGATGCTCAAGGAGGCCTCTAGGCTTTCCTACAAAAACATGCTCAAAGATCCTTCGGTGAAATATTCCCGAGCACAAGGTGTCATCTTGAAAGACAGAACATGGCCGGACAAATTGATTGAAAAGGCCCCAAGATGGCTCTCAACAGATCTCAGAGATGGTAACCAGTCGTTACCAGACCCTATGTCTGTCGAACAAAAGAAGGAGTATTTCCACAAGCTGATTGAAATTGGATTTAAGGAAATCGAAGTCTCCTTTCCATCGGCATCGCAAACTGACTTCGATTTCACGAGATACGCTGTCGAAAACTGTCCAAAGGATGTTACTTTACAATGCCTTGTACAATCGAGAGAACATTTGATTAGAAGAACCGTCGACGCGTTGAAAGGTGCTCCAACCGCAGTTGTGCATACCTATCTTGCCACTTCGGATCTTTTCAGAGATGTGGTTTTCAAAATGTCGCAAAAGGAGGCTATCGAGAAAGCAGTGGAAACTGCCAAGCTCGTCAGATCTTTGACCAAGGACGATCCTAAACTACAAGAGACCAAATGGATCTATCAATTTTCTCCAGAATGTTTCTCCGATACTCCACCAGAATTTGCCCTTGAGATCTGTGAAGCTGTTAAAGCTGCATGGGAACCGACCGTAGACAATCCTATCATTTTCAACTTACCTGCGACTGTGGAAGTTGCAACTCCAAACGTCTATGCTGACCAAGTTGAGTACTTCTGCAGAAACATCTCTGAAAGGGAGAAAGTTATTGTTTCCCTCCACTGCCACAACGATAGAGGTTGTGGTGTAGCAGCTATTGAGCTTGGTTTGATGGCTGGTGGTGACAGAGTGGAAGGATGTTTATTTGGTAATGGTGAAAGAACAGGTAATGTCGATTTGGTTACCCTTGCCTTGAACCTATACACTGACGGTGTTTCTCCCGAGTTAGATTTCTCGGATATCCAGAGCGTTATCGATGTTGTTGAGAAGGGTAACAAGATTCCAATTCACGAAAGAGCACCATATGGTGGCTCTTTAGTTGTGTGTGCCTTCTCTGGCTCCCATCAAGACGCAATCAAAAAAGGTTTCATTGCACACGAAAAGAGACAAGCAGAAGGTGATACAAGATGGTTAATGCCTTACCTTCCATTAGATCCAAAAGACATCGGCAGAAGTTACGAAGCTGTTATCAGAGTGAATTCCCAATCTGGTAAAGGTGGTGCTGCATGGATAGTGCAAAGATATCTTGGCTTGGATCTCCCAAGACAATTACAGATTTTATTCTCCAAGGTTGTTCAAGACAACGCTGATTCTTTAGGCCGTGAATTGAAGGCTGAAGAAATCGTCGCATTGTTGACTGAAACCTATAACATCGACTCGTGCGCATCAAATGCATTGCAAATAACTGATTACAAATACGACAAGAAATCAGACGAGATCACTAACATTTTCGCAATCATTGAATTGAACGGTGAACAACACAATATTTCTGGTACTGGTAACGGTCCAATTTCCTCCTTGCTGAATGCTCTCGGCAAATTCTTTAAGTGCGAGTTTGAAGTGGAAGAGTACTCAGAGCACTCTGTTGGTGCAGGTTCCAAAACCAAGGCCGCATCTTACATTAAGATTGACTGCAACGAAAAATCACAATGGGGTATTGGTACCCATGAGTCCATCACTAAATCGACTGTGAACTCTGTTCTTTCCGTTGTCAACAATTTGTTGAAAGATGCAGTTATCAAAAAATAAAACCCATCGGCATATATCTATCCTTAAAGAGGCTCAGTGAACACTTTAAGTTTTTCCTATTTTCATTACTTTATTATTCTATTTAAGTCTTTTTTGTTAAATACACAATCTGTGTTATTTTTCTTGTAAAAAACTGTTTTCGGCAATCAAAGGCCTCAAAAAGGAAAACTGACACCTGTTAGGCATTGTTCAGGTATATCATGTGTTTCCAATTCTCCAACGTCGAGGTAGCCCACCTGCCAGTAATGAGGATTTTCAGTATAGAACTTGAGCCAACTTTCCACTCTTTGTGTAACCCAGTCCTCTTCAAATCCCATATTTCTCAAATCCCAAGTACATTGACTTGTCTCATTAAAACAACCATTGACAAACATTCGAGTACAATCCTGGCCAACAAATGTAGAATATCTCGCTGAGACGCTTTGCGGATCATACATCTCAGGGTTACTGCTAACATCGAACACCTTCCTGTCAATCGATAATAGCAACTGTCCTGTTTGCTGAGTTGTCTCCAGAAGTGTCTTTGGCGTAAATTTTGTTTGAGGTGACCCTTTTAAAACATGGCGAATATAGTTTGTGTTCACATATCTGCCTTCGTATCCCCACATCGTGGAGGAGGTGAACGTATATGATAGGAGCGCATTGAACAAAATCAGCCCCGACAGTATACGCAACACATCAAGCAAGGTGAACTGATTTCTTGCCAACCCATCTCCCATTTGAAATCTCCGCCGTTTGTGCTCCGAAAAATCAACTCTATGCTCTTGCTTCACACTTCTTATTGATCTGAGAGAAGCCCTCAAAGAAGTCGGGGACCTTTTTCTTCAACTTTTTTTTGTACGCTCAGCCTTTTTGGTATAAAAAGAAACTGACCCGCTCTTTTTCTTTCCGACAAACACACCTAATAATGAGCGCTGTTCTTTTGAACTTGCTTCATTTCTTGTACCAAAACCATCCTATAGACAGTACGCTGAACCTGTCTCTATTGTTTTGCAGTAGAGAGATGGTGTACATGCTGTGATTGTTCTGGTCGGTTTTGCTGATTTCTGTCTGTCGTTACTTCCGATGGGCTTTGTTCTAGTTGTTTGATACTGGGATTTGACGATCGTGGATAGTTTTTATCCACATATGTTTGTCTTATTTTGGTTCAGGTGGCGTATTCTTTCGGGAAGTGGACTTAGTTCAAACGTTGTCGTGGCGACAGTTTGAAGCATTTCTGGCTGGCTTTTGCAGTCTCTGTCTCCATTTGCTGCTTTCTGCAGCCGTAGGTTTAGAACGTGATAATGGATGGAGAGATGAACGAATTATGTTAATAAGAACCCGTCTGGATCTTTCCAAGAACTGAAAGAGGGGTGTCAGATAACATACACATTTTCTTTTAATATTAAACTCTTACTTTCTGTCCTTTTTCTATCCTTCTTTTACCTTTCCTTGGAAGTGCAAAACCTCATGTAGTGTGACCTTCAGTTTGATTATGCTATACTGGATAATATACAAGTAGATAATGTAATTAGGGAAATTTAGAAAAGCAGAGGAAAGAAAGATTAACGCTCTTTTAACAACTTATTTCTTTTTTCTCTTCTCTTGAGTCTTTCGACTCTCTTTGCGTGCATCACAGTGGCAAGTCTTTCATATCTTTCTTGCTCAGCCTTTTTCTCACGCTTCTCCTTTATCCTGTCGATATGGGCTTTCTTGGCGGCTTCCTTTTCGTCCTGAAGTTCCTTTAACCTTGCTCTTGCATCCTGATCCCTCAATCTTTGCTCTTGTTTCTGTTTCCAAGAAGAGCCAGTTCCCAATGACTTGATCCTGAAAGCTTTCTTTTCAACCTTCCAGTTTTTACCACCAACTCTCTTTCCCTTTCCTGGGTCTATTGGAATGACCTCTCTTAAGGTCTCTTTTGAGAGTGCAGGACCTGCTTGGGCTTGAGTTGTAGAATCCATATTTCTCTACTCTTACCTACTTGATCACCAGAGATTTTATAGTCGTTATTGTCAAGAACAGATGAAGCTGTATGTAACAGTGAAGGGAAAAAAATTCTGACGGTAAAGGAAAAGAGAGAAAAAAAAAGTGAGGCGAAATTTCACGAACAATGTTCGATTACGTAAACACCCGAAATTCAGAGTAAGTGATCTGATTATTATTTGGAAGCCCATTTGAAGAAGCTACAGCTGTAATCGTGCTGATTTTTCATATCAATATTGCCACTCTCCCCTTCACCGTGGCTCCAAGTGTCGCTTTCAGAAGGTCTCGAACAACACCAAAATTTGCGGCCAGCATTTGGTCCTCTCTTAGTCACTCGTAAAACGCAGGGTTCTTGGTGCTGGCACTGAGGAACTACGTTGAATGCTTTCATCTCCAGAATCTTTTTGAATGTGTTTGCTGTGATTTTAGACTTTGAAGTTGTTGTTTTCGGTAGTTGCTCAGAATCTAAAGGGATCGAATAGCTCTCTTCTTTTGTAAGGTCTGTCGTGGTATCGCCTTCGTCTTCACTATCAGCAACAAACAAGGAACTTGCTGACAGCGGACAATCAAGATACTCACTGCCTTTTTTAGCAACCAAAGCAGTGAGAGTGCTTTGCCCCTTTTGTTTCTTGCGACTGGTGTACAATGGCACAGTCAACGAATGCTTGCTACTTTCCGGAAGATTGCACGCCAGGACCTCTACCTTCTTCTCCGGTTGGCCAGTATCTAGTTGCAACTTCGGTTGGGATTTGAACTTGAAAAACGAGTCGATGCTTTTCGTGACACCAAGGCCATAATATACTACCGCCTCGAGATGTTTGTAGTTCGCCTTAATCTGCGTGTTGGATGGGGGCAATTTGCCAATGTTCAAATCACAAAAAATGGGACAGTGGTCCGATCCATATAAAAAAGACCAGATGTCGCAAGCTTCGACAATGTCCTTGACATCTTTTGTAGCAAGGAACAAGTCGATCCTTGAGCCAATGTTCAGCGGTCGCGTATTTTTGAGTGTGTTCCAACAGGTGTACATTTTGAGTCGGTTTAGGTTCTGCAACCTGCCCAAATCATACAAGATCTTCTTCGTGTTTTTGATTTTGTCGAACTCATTGTAGTCATAGAGGTAGTCGTTCAAAATCATTCGTGGAAGCGTTTCTGACCTGAACTGCAGAGTCATCTTTTTGTTCTCCTTCTCGAACGATCCGGCCGGGTCTTTCTGCCTGAAGAGAGTTTTATCCCGGAAACCAGTGTTCATGACGTCGTCCCGGTCTATCAAACTCGGCGCCACGTTGACGTCTCCCATGATGACTACGCGCTTACCCATCTTTTGCAGGTTTTCTGCACGCTTGAAGAGGACGTCCAAGAAAAGACACCGTCGGACCTCGCCCTCTTCTTCTCCCATGGAGTTTGCAGGGCAGTAGACGGAGAAAATAACGATGTTGTTATTCAACTCGACGATGACACACCTCCCATCCGAGTCCAGTTGGTATCCCTCCTTCCAGTCGGCGATGTTGTCTGTGTATCCGCCGATCGCTAAGCCGGAGGGTCCATCGCGTTCCCAGATTTTCCTGTAGTTCAGCGTCGAGTCTGTGGAGACCTCCAAAAAGCCGGTGATCCCCTCTTCTGCCCTGAGGACCTGGAGATCCTGCCTGGAGTTCTTCACAAACACCCCAACGCCGCTGTACCCTCTCTTCGTTTTCGGGAGGGTGATGAAGTAGTGGAAGCCCTTGCCGCTGACTAGAGAGCGCGTGATGTCCTGGCGCTGCAGCTTGAGCTCCTGGAACGTGACGACGTCGGCGTTGAGGTAGTTGAAGATGTCGGACAACGCCGGCAGCTCGTTCCACGGATGGTAGTGGTTCAATGTCCTGTACCCGTTGATGTTGAAGGAAACCAATCTGATGCAGTCGTTGGACGGCAGCGGCGGGATCGCTCCATCGACACGCATCGGCTCTCGGAACGCTGGGGGGCTGCTGCGGCTGCGGAGCTCGTTGGAAAGCGCAAGAGCACAGACAGCTGCCAATGGCGGGAAGCTTTGGACATACGTGAAGGGCCGGCATGGAAAGAAAACGGTGGGCCCGAGGGGAAAAAGGTGTGCGGGGTTACGTAAGCGCGGAGATACGCATGGCTTGAGCACTGTATACATCATGGCTAGTATCTAGAGGTACCGACGGGTGTGCTGGAAGGGCCGTTCACATGATGGGTAGCGGCCTGTGCTTGAAGATGATCTTGGTGCCGACCACGTCGATCATCTCGCAGACCTGGCCTGCGGCGGCGCTAGACACGTCGTCCGACCTCGTTGCCGACTCCGCCGCCGTCCTCTCCGGACCCGCGTGCACGACCTTCAGCACGCCGAGCGGCGGGTCGATCTTCTCGACCGTCCCGATCAGCCGCTGCGTCGTGCTGATGAACAGCGTCGCCCGCTGCAGCTCCTCGTCCAGCTCGAGTCGCCCGAACTTCACCACCTCCACGTCTTCCGCGTCCCCGCTCCCGCCGCCCTCCCGGCTCTCCGGGCTCTCCCGGTACAGCGCCGGCAGCGGCACACGTGTGAAGAGCCCCTGCTCGCCCACACTGAGTCCCGCCGGCGTCTCTTTGGGGATGCTGAGCTCGCCCTGGATTTCCACGAGGGCCAGCCCCAGCGGAGTTGCCACCACTGTCGAGAAGTCCCCACACCCGTTCTCCTTGTCCGCCCGCCCCTGCCGTCCTACCACCGACTCGAAAGACACGTTCACTGCAGGCATCCTTGCCCCGTCAGCCCGTCCCGTCCCTTCTTGTCCTGCCTACTCCCTTGCTCACATCCCCGTCCTCCCGGTTCCCCTTTTCTTCATCCTGCCAGCTCGGCCCTCCTCGCGTCGCCCCGTCTCGCCCCGCCCTGCGCGCCTGCGCCACACCTGCCCCGGCGGTACGAACCGCCCCCAGAAAATCGAACGATTCCCCGGTGACACATCAGGGCACTTTTCGCACCCTGCTCGTGCCCGTCGGGCCATTCCACGAGCGGAAAGCGCAGAGATACGCCGCCGCAGAGGTAAATAGAGCTGCGGCGCTGGTTCAACATACGAGACGCATAGCAATATATATATAGATAGCGGTCGTCTCCCTCGTTTGCGGTCTTGTGGGGTCTGAGTGGGCCAGGAGGCCCTGGCTTTGCTTTGGTTGCATCTGTTGCCACGTTTGCAGATACAGAAAGCACCACCCAGGACAACACCCGCATCGGCACACGTTACCATGTACGCTACCAGACTCCAAGCCTCCAAGAGAGTGGCACTCGCCTACCTCTCTGTCGCCATGATCATCCCGTTCCTGCTGCCCATCAGACAGACCATCACGCAGAAGAACGACGTTCCGATGTACGGCTACTTTGGCGTCGGAAACGCCTTCAGAATATAGCTGGCTGTACTCTGTGTGTCCCCCCCCCCTCGTCGCCTATTCTACAACGCCAGCAGCACCACAGCGCCCGGCACGTGACACAGTACCGCCCTGCCATTGATGTAGACACTCTCTGCTCAACAGTGCTGCTGGCTCGGTCATTTTTCCACATGTTTGTTCCATTTCTTCGTTTGACCCTGGGTTCTTTTTTTCTTGTGCATTTTCTTCTCAATAATACAGTTCATGGCCCTATGGGTGGGTCGCAGACGGCGGTTTGGAAAACCGCCGCCCCTGCCTTGTTTGTCTTTCTATCTTCATTTTCGACTCCATTTCTACTATTCTTAGCAACAAAACATCCGGTCTTCATTTCTCAGCTTGTCTTCCGCCTTCTATATATGTATATCCCTCTGCAAAGGTCTCGTTTCAACGTACACTTTTAATCCAACACTCCCACTATACTCTACCTATACTATAATACACAGCGGCGGCATGCTACTCGTGGTACCGCAAGTGCAGCGCGTTCTTGAAATGCACGTGCTTGATCCCGGGCGGCTTGCTCACCGCAAACGCATCGATCGCCTCGTTCACACTCCACCCAAGCTTCTCAATCAAGTAGCAGCAAATCAAAAACCCGGTCCGGTTCTGCCCGTAGTGGCAGTGCACAACGACAAACTGCCCCTCGTTGTCCCGCTCCCGTGGCAACTCGCCCACCGTCTCGAGAAACCTCACAATCGTGACATCGTCCGGCGTCACCTTGGACTCCGTCTTGTATTTCACGTACTTGATACGTCCGAACTCCGCGGGGTCGTACGACGGCGTGTCCGACCCGATGTCAATGACTGCATATATCTCAGGGTGCATCTTCTCAAAGTTCTTCGGGTTGTGCACCTCGTCCGTCTGCCTCAACGTCTTCATCCCAAGCAAAAAGCTCTTCGGCTTGTCCTTCGAGGTCCCGTTCACTATAGGCTTTGACAGCGTGATCACCTTGTTCCACTTGGCCTGGTTTTTCAACCCCCACTTATCCCCGGAAATCATCGCCTTCACCTGTAGCACCCAGGTGCAGCTGATATTGAGGTCTAATTCCTCAACAAATTTGTACGTCACTCCGGCTAGAAGATTAGGCTTGTCCAAAAATAGAGAATGATTTGAATTCGGTATGGTTTCAAACTTGATTTTGAACCCCTCCACTCCACTCAAAATCTCGAAAATCTCCTCCGAATCCCCTATCTTCGTAACTTTATCATAGTCTCCACAACAGAGAAACATGGCTTTCGTGTTCAGCTTTTTTGCTGCACAGATCAACTCCGACTGTTGTACACAGCTGAACCCAATAAGATACTTCAAGAAGATCACAGAGTCTGTGTCCAAGTTCCACCTGAATTGCGTTAACCTCTTCAAAATATCTCCCTCCTCAGGATATATGTAACTCTCCACACTTTTCGAATACAGACCGCCGTATCGGTCAAAGAATCGAAAGTAATCGAAAAGTCGGGGGAAATAGCTGCAGGACCTCAGAAACAGTCTGCGTTTCCACGGTATTCGGTTCATAACCTGCGGATCCATTCCACTTTCATTGGGGTTGATTCTAGGTGGAGACATCATTATTAGCGAATCGACTTTACCGTCAGGAAGCTTATTGATCAATTTCAAAGACAAATGTGTCCCCATCGAGTGAGCCACAAAAAGATAGCGCCTGTCTGGGAACTTTTTTAACAGAATCTGTCTGATCATTTCCACAAGATTGACTGTCTGAAAATCTTCATCCTTCATCTGGTTCAACGAAGACTCCAACTTGTCTAGCTCTTCGTCTTTGAAGGTGGAAAGCCTTGAGAAATACACTCCCTTTATCTCATCGTTTCGGCTTGGCCTCTTGGAGTTTCCAAACCCAGGTAAATCAATCCCAAAAATGTCCGCACAGTTCCGGAACTCCTGGAGTATGGGTTCGAACTGGGATAATTGTCCTCCCAATCCATGGATAAACACGAGCAACGGCAACGTATCAATCTTTGCAAGCTGCGCCTGCGCCTTCTTCAAACCAGGTAAGTCTGTGCTTTCCAGCTCTTTCATCGACCTTTTGTGGAACTCACGAAGTGGATGGTCGCTATATATGGTGGCCAGGGTGATCTCAGTCATATGGTCATTACCCTCAAGCGGGAACGTCTCGATCTGCGAGTACTTCTGTATAATTGAGCAATCGCTGGGCTTTAACCGCAAAACCTGTTTCTCAAAGTCGGTATATAGGTCATTGTTGTAGTACTTCCACAGACTCTGCCTTAAGCTCAACCGGCTCTTGTTGTCTTTTTCTTGCAGCTCCTTCAAATTAGGTATCGTCAATATGCGGTAGGCATTCTGGGGGGAACTCGTGGACGGGGTTTCCGACCTAGCCCTGGAATTCTCCATGGCACTACTACTGGTGACGTTATCCATGCTCCAATGTCCTCCCTCCGATCCACTCAAGGCTTCAAAGGCTTCATAGGCTTTATTGAAGGTCCGTCTTTTCCATCTCTAGCGCACGTTTCCTCCACGCTGGGCTGAAAATAGCTTAATTTGACCGCACCCATCATCTTATTACTCACGGCGCTGCTCCTTCTTTCAGAGCGGCTTATCTATTTCCTAAACGGGCAGCCCTATTGAGGCTCAACGAAAACGGGGAGCTCTGAGAGAAGAAAAGGGGGTCTTTTTTGGACAGAAATCGACATCTCGTGCTGTCTGTGTACCTTTCCCCACATCTGAGAAGAAAGAAAAGAGGAGACAGGGAAACCGGACAGTTGAGACTGGCACAAAGATCATGGCATCAATAGAAATCCAACAGTACGGCACAGATCTGGTGCAGATCCCTGTCAAGTCGTTGAGCTCACGGTATCACCAGATCTCCAACCTTGGCTCTGGCAGTTTTGGGATGGTTGCATTGTACAAGGTCAAAAATGGAATTCTGGATAGTTTGGTGGAAGAGATGATGAACTTCCCAGGAACTCTTTTGAGTCCCTCATCAATCAATTATAAGTATTCTAACGACCTTGTTGCGATCAAGACAATGAACAAGAAGTTGAAAAAGCTCACCGACTACTCAAAGGTTAAGGAGATTCAGTTCATATTCTCTGTAGATACTCATTTTAATCTTGTGCAAATAATCGACGTTTTTATTGACAGAACGTACTTGAAGTTGAACATTGTGATGGAAAATATGGATCAAAACTTGTACCAGTTGATGAAAATGAGAAAGGGAAATGTATTCTCACCAAGAACATTGAAAAGCATTCTTTCCCAGTTACTAAGTGCCATTTTACACATTCACAAACACCTCTTTTTTCACAGGGATGTTAAGCCAGAAAATATCTTGGTGATGCAAAATTTGAATTTCTTTGGTTCGAGGCAAAACATCCCTTCAAATCAGCGTAATAATTCTTACATTATCAAACTAGCAGACTATGGTCTTGCCAGACATTCAAGAAATGACAAACCTTTTACTGCTTATGTTTCAACTAGATGGTATAGGTCTCCAGAAATTTTACTAAGACAAGGATATTACTCTTTCCCTGTTGACATCTGGGCCTTCGGGTGTGTCGCTGTCGAATGTGCAACCTTTTGTCCACTTTTCCCAGGAGCAAACGAGTTAGATCAATGCTGTAAAATCATGGAGTTTTTGGGTAACCCAAATAAATCCTTCCAGCTATCTGCTCTTCAGAATAGCAACTACAGCTATAATAGTTACAAGACTAACGGTAATAATAACAGTTACAATTATGGACCAATGGTGCCTTTTGGTGGATTCTGGGATGATGCGAAAGATTTAGCGTTGAAGCTAGGTTTAGTATTTCCAAAAAATTTTGGTTACAGATTAGAAAATGTTATAATACGGAAAGATTTTAGCTTACATGAAAAGAAAGATTTTTTCCAAATGGTCAAGTCATGTTTGACGTGGGATCCAAATAAGAGAGCAACTGCGTTCAGTTTGCTACACTCACCTTATTTTGAAGATACAATGTCTGTCATGGAGAATCAAAAAGAAAATGAAATCACAATTGATCCAATAATTGTAAACACTAATAATAATGTTACGGGCACTAGTGCTATTAATATCAACAAGAGTGCAAGCAAAAATGATTTTAGCATGAAAAGATCAATGGTATTTGCAGGTATACCAACAACAAATATTGCTACTAATAATAATAGAAATAATACACTAGTATCCGGCCAATATATTTTTAGAAAGAAAGCTGCACCAAATGTGAACCAAATTGATTCCAAAAGTGAGACTTCATCAATAAATCAGAATATCAATCTATCACACCCAGGCTTAGGTATGAAAAATAAGTTTGATATGATAAGCACTACAAACCTGCTAAAAACTTTCAATAATCAGCATCCACAGGAAAATTATAGTAAAAATGATCATATGGCTGCCATTGAACCTGACAACAGTATGATGCAGCTTGCTTCTGACCCTATTGAAGACTATGTGACTATTTTTCCTCACGATGCCAACATTTCAGAGCTGAGAAATAATAACAGCAACTCTTACGATTTGATTTCGAGCAGATTAGAAAAGCTGGATAACCTATATGATGAAAACAACAACGCCAGAAAGGATGATGACTTTAAGGAGTTAGATTTAGCACATATCGATCGAATTCTTAATGAAGACGATAGTGAAAATGAACGTATGGCCAATAGGCATGGAAAACCACTAAATGATAAGAAGTACAATGTTGATGAAAATAACGGTTTTGGTGGCTCATGCGATGGGGTAGATAACGGAGATATTGAAACTGTGGGAGAAAGAGATGGTGGAGAAGTTGTTGATGACGATGAAGAAGATGACGATGAAGATGAAACGGAGAATGAGCTTCTTTCACTTGAACTTGGGAAAGTCTCCCTGTATTTGCAGGATCCAAATACACACATGAAACCTGCAGATTCCGAGATATCAATCAATAACTCTACGAATCAAGGGAACTATGACCTGATTGACGAGATTAATTATGCATTAGATGATGAGTATCAGATAAAGCATATTAACCTTTATTCATGGGATGGTCATAGTTAAACTCCCAAGGTCAACCCGCTTTACTTTGCTTAAATTATTTAATTAATCATTATAAAACTCTATAAATATGAATTATGGAATGAAGGTTCGAAATTTATAGTAATTTTGAACGGAACAGAAAAGATGTCTGTCTTCTACAATCTCACGTAGTCCATGTTTTGGGCTAGCTCTTGTCCTACAGGTCCAACAATGAACTCTACATTTTCATCGGAATCATCGCTGCTATCTGTCTCATTGCTTTTCACATCGTAATCTTTGTCGTCATCATACAGTACCTGAATGACACGATCGTTATCTTTGTTCCTCACTTCACTTACGGTATTACTTTTACCATTATGAACCTGTGAGATGGCTGCGCTCTCGATGATGTTTGAATTATGCAAACAAGCACAAAGGCGACCACGAAGGCAACGACCGTATTCTTTCACGTCTGGACACTCAAAGCTATGTGTGAATTTACATTTGAGTCCTTGCTCACAGTATCCCAAACATGCAAATTCTCGACAAATTGGAGCTGATTTAACTTCTCTTTTATGTGTAAAAACGCAATTCTCGTTGTGGCAATTGTTTTCCTGAAAGAACTTACAACTTGGAGAGTTGAACTGTGTGGGAGTGTGTGAGAAATGGCAAATTTTGTTAAGGCACTTGTGTTTTGAATTTTGCATACTTGGACAAAGCGCTACCCTCCCTGGGGTATGCTTGAAAAGACAATTCAGATTACCACAATGGCCTGTTTTGGTAAAAAAAATGCAACTCTCATTCGTAGGTAAAGTATTTGTACTTATTTGAGTGCGTACTCTTTAAAATAGTAAATGTTAGTATTTGAAAAAGTATTTTGTAACAAACATCATTGTTTAAGACAAATTTGAATGTAACAGAAATGATTTGAATATATATACTTTTTGCTCAAATTTTCTAGGTAATAATCACCTTTGGCTGATTTGATATAATTCTTACCACCTAAGGAAATATAGACAGGTAACATTGTAGCATTTTCCAATGGTTCACCTGTGAGTTCATGTGATGCAGACATTAAGCATAACTTATGATCGTTTTTTGCTAACACAAACTTGTAGCCATGAAAAAAATTCCTGTTTTTGTAATAATAGTTCTTCCTGTTGGCAAGGATTTTTCGCTGAAACTTGTTTGGCTTTCCCTGGATCGAAAGCGATTCAATACCCGAAAATTTAACAACGTTGTTATTACCATGTGTTTGCTTTGCTTTCTCGGGCATTACTGATAGCATGTTTGACTGCATACTTGTGCTCTTGAATTCTGTTTTCCGTGGTTTGGTAACTTTTGATTCTGGTTTTCTTAATAATTGTTCCTTCATCGACTTTAATTGTTTCTTTTCACTGAATTCCTGTTGATCTACCAATGATTTTAGCTGAGCCAGCTTATCAGTTTCGCTTTGTATTTTCCTACGTTTGAAATCTATCATCCTCTTCACAAGTTCTTTTTGCTGGTCAATTTGTTCTTGAAGCTTATTGATTTCTGCCTGAAGTTCTTTTTCCTCATCTACTGAGTTCATGCTTCAGAAATACCGTCTATAATTCCTTTATTCGTAACTGTTAAATCTGAAAAATGTAGAAACTGTCAAGAAAGAAAAGTTGCCATCGGATGTGGTGGCGACTACAAGTTTTAGATTACATCTGTTTAAACTTTTTTGTTTTCCCGCATTTTTAGAATCATGAATTTTCCAATGCCTAGTCTATATTAATCTCAAATCTTAAAAAAGTAGAAGTCTTGATGGTCAAAGGTTAGGTGTTCAAAGAACAACTTAGATATAACAAAATCAGCCATGTCTTCCTATAGCATGTCCCAGATCAAACGCTTTGCAGCTGATTCTATCAAGGATATCATGCCGCTGGATGAGGAATCCATCAACGAAATGGTCCAGTACTCTATTCGAAACTACAAGACCAGAGAGCAGATCAGTAATCATTTTTTGGATCTACTAGGCCCAACAGATGCCACGTTTCAGTTTGTTACCAAGTTTGGTGACATGTTGTTTGGTTCTCAACAACCCCTGACAAAGTCTGAACCCAAACCTACTATGCCCACAAAAGCATTGCCTACAAAAGCAAGCACTCCTGCTAAACCAACGCTCGGCTCAAATGGAAAGCCGGCAGCAAAAGCAAAACCGGCAGGAATACGACTGGTTAAGAACAAGATTGTGGCTAACCCTAGCTCTAAGGGCCGATTGTCAAATAATTCAAGAAATGGGGCCACTACTTCCGATATGTTTAACATGAAGCCCAGTAGTATTGAAACACAAAGAGTAAAGAGAAAAGAAATAAAGAAGAAATTAGACAGTATTCAGGATTTGGATGATGTATTGTTGGAACTAGAACTAATGGATAGCAGAGAAAACTTAGACGATATACGAGTATGCAATTGCAATGCCACAAGACACCCTTTGTTCGAAATGTATCCAAACTGTCTTAATTGTGGTAAGATAATATGCGCCAAAGAAGGTTTACAACCTTGCTCTTTTTGTGGTAAATCGCTGATGTCTGACGAGGAGAAGATGGAATTAAAGGATATATTCAATAGGGAAAAGGAGGAGTTAGAGGGGAAGAACGAGAAACCAAAGGAGACTAGCAGTACTGGTAGGGGTAAGAAGAAGAACGTTATCAAAATCACACTTAATACTCCAGGCCAGAATAATTTCAAGATCCAAGAGCAATTCTACAAGCAAATCGAAGAGAACCGGAAACAGGAACGAGAGCAAGAACAGATTACGAAAGAGGAGGAGAAGGAGATTGCTCAAAACCGTAAAGAGATGGAATACTACAAATCAGTGCACAAGAAAGATCCTGAGTTAATCAAAGCGGAAGAGCGGTTGGCCACGCTATTGAGTTTCCAGGATAACAGTGCAGAGCGTACTAAGATCATCGACAATGCTGCGGACTTCGAACTTCCAACCGCCAGAGGGAACTTGTGGGCTTCCTCGATGGAGAGAGCCCTCCAGCTGAAAAGACAACAGAAGAGACACAAGCAGATGGAGGATGATGAACTACACCGCAGTGGAAGAGGAAATACCGTTGTCGACATGACTGTTCGAAACGGCAAGGTCGTCTTCAACGACCGAACCCGTGAAAGTGGCGTGTTTGAAAACGTTTCCGACGACGAAGAGATACAGGAACTGCAGCAGCAGGTTAACAAGGAGAAAATGAAGCAGTTTAAGGAAGAGGCACAAAACGTATACGACTATGACAGCTTTAACGACAAGCTTTTCAAGCCTGTGTACAGTGGGAAGCCCTTAGCATCTAGAGGAAATAGTGCTGGCGATGGCAATGCCACTAAGGACATTATTTCCGAGCTTCCACCGCTAGGCAGCGTCGTTCAGCTCGGCGAGGTCGAGCAGCAGGAGGACCGTCTTTTCAGCATGATCGGAGTGTGAGCGGTCCCAGAGCGAGAAACCCGCATTCGAGGGCTCTAGGGAGCAATAAGAGAGAGAGGAGAGAAAAAGAGAAAAAAGGAGCGCAAAAGCGGAAAACTATAAAAGGACTGCGTTGCCCACCATCCAGTTTTTTCCAGCCTTACCCAATCGCAGACACCCATCTTGATCTTCTTCCGGAATCCACATCAGTAGAGGTTATACTACGTATAATTTCTGGAGGGTATTCGTACCCTCCACAATAGAACCATTTGATCGTCGATCATTCAGCCGTTGTTGCTGTCTTAGGGCATACCGATTGACGTCGAAGTCAGCTAAATGTTTGTCGACTAGATTAACACCCTGGCCACGGCTCTCATTTCGTTTCAGGTTCTTAGATTGATTGGATTGCGTTAGTATAGATATAGATGTTTGGTCGTGGGTGAGTTCGTTTCCGAGCCTATCCTCCTGCATTCATCCGACTAATTGTATTCCGACAAGTGTAATGAATATAGCTCCCCCGATAGCTGAGTAGTGTAACTAGTAAAACAATCGTTCAAGATGCGTAAGCTTCGGTTGCATTGCTGAGGAAGCGTACGGAACTAGTTGTTAGATAAACGTCAGAGAGGCTGCGGTGAACGGTGGTGTGAGACAGTCACCACCCCGGCATAACACACGCAGTCGGAGATATATTCTATATATACAGATGATTAGGCCTATTTAGCTGAGGTCTACGTTGATTTGTCATGGCTATTGCTGTTGCTTTCGCCGGCGGCAGCTCCTTGTCCCGTGCTTTCCTTCTTGCTCTTGGCTTTCTGGAACTCCTCGAGATACTGCATCTCGTTCTTGATCCGCTCCATCGACCTATACACCTTGGACTGGAGGTAGAAAGACCCCCCCTTCTCCTTCGCGTTGATGTCAAACAAGTAGTCGTATTTCTTCTGCGCCTTGTCCAACGTTAACCCGCTGAGGTCGACATCCAGAATCTTACAAGCTTCGTCGAGAGCTATGTCGCCATCCCTAGATGCCGCACTAGCTTTCGCTGGGCCCTTCCCATCTGCAGACGCCTGTTTCACTGTCGTAGCAGCAGCAGCTTCCTTGTATGCTTCGGTGAACGCTCTACCGAAGACTCTTGCTCCGGTGAAAATCACCTGTACCAATAGTCTGTGAGCCATGTTTGCTTAATCTATGAAAAACCCTCCTGCTGTTGTACCCTTGTTGTTGCCCCAAGTGTGTCCCTCTTAGCAGCAGCCTAGTCTAAGCAGTCAGTATGCCTCGCGGATTGGTGTCTTACTCGTAAAACTTACAAATTCCCGAACTGACGTCTAATCAGAGGCGGGGCATAGGGTAACCTGGAGGAAATCCGACAGATCCATCCAGGAGATTAAATTCTATACCGATGAGTATAGAAATCCATGGAAAGAAAAAAAGGGCCAAAAGTCGCCGCGTCGATTTCTTGGTTCTCAAAAACAAGTATGCACCCGTACACCACTTTAGTACTGCCTAGTGGACGGATAAAAAAGTAAAGTTATCTGCTGACGTAATTATTTTGGTCGATCGTCCCTTCTCTGTCTTTTTTTCAGATAAAATTTCGTATAGGTCGTTTACATCGTATACAGCCGGAGCAGTTGCTTTTCGTCTCGTACATGAATTGTACAGAGTTTCAGAAAACAGATCTTTTCATCTTCACCAGCCACATCGTCCTCAAATCACCACCTTCCCACTCCTCTTCAGGCCAGTCGGTACTCATCTGTGCAAAGCGTCACTGACAACTAGAAACACAGCACTACTATAACCGAGAGGTGCCAAAGGAAAGGGGTCTACTTTTTTCATTTCTGCTTTATCTCATTGTACCATAGTTTTCAGTTTTATTCTACCAATATTAATTCCGAGCCTGTTCAGACCTTTTCCAGTTTCAGTTCCCGTTTTGTCTTCCTATCATCCTTGACACGCATCCTATAAATCTTACACCATATCACCCCGAGTATGTCTCATTCTTCTCAGACGTCTCACACAAACCCTCCGAAAGATCTCCCTGATCAAGAAGATAAAGAGGCGGCTGGCTTGTTGATGCTGTTTTCCACACAATCCCATAGACTAAACCCTCAGCAAGCAGAAGCCGAAAAGAACGCGTCTCCCCCATCAACATCAACGTCAACATCAACACCATCAAAACCGCAGCCCTCAGCTTCAACTCAGCCCGCTTTGGCTTTTGTTCCTGAAGCTACTGCTGCCACTGCTGCCACTGCTGCCACTGCTGCCACTGCTGCCACTACTGCCACGACTGCTTCTACGCAAGCATCAGATAATAACCTTTCAAATGCGACCGTATCCTCGTTTCAAATGCACCGACGCACAACATCTATGAGCAAAGACACGCACTCGAACTCATCGAAAAGTCTGAGAATGGATCAGATGGCAAGATCCCCAGGTCCTGCTGCTGCTGCTCTTGCGAGTGGTAATGGTTCCAACAAGGCTATTGTTGCTGCTGCTGCCTTGGCAGCAGCCGCTGCTACTCCATTGCCGGTATTCCGAAAAACTGAGCAAAATAATACAGCAGATTTCAGGTTGCACGAGCCAATAGCGTTTGCTCAAAACAACAGTCGAGTAGATGAATATTCCCAAGTGGGAAAGAAAGAGAAAAGTAAGAGTGCTAGGGGAGAGCCTCGACAAAGAAATGCAACAGACTTCAGACACTCCAACTTGAACACTGTCAAAGATAACAAGACCACTGATAATTATGTTCAGACAGAAGTTAAACAAGAAGAGAGTATAGACATTGGAAGTGTGCTTCCATTGTATGCAGTGGGACCTGATGCTGGTATCATCAGTTGCATATGTGGATACGATCATGATGATGGCTTGACCATTCAATGTGACAAATGTTTCAGGTGGCAGCACCTTGTATGTATGGGATTCGAATCTATAAATGATACCCCAGATGATTTCCAATGCAATCTGTGCAACAAAAATCTACATGTGGATGCCGCAAGGGCTAGAAAGCTTCAGGAAAATTATCTGAAGGAGGAGAAGTCGAAAAGAAAAAGAAGCCCATATGCTGTGGAAAGTTCAAAGACCAACTCCAAAAACATTGGTGCTGCCCAATTCAAAAAAAGAAAAGTCGATGATAACTCCACTGAAGCTGTTGGGGTCAACAAATATAAAACGTTGTACTTTCCCATCGATTATTTCGTTTTCCGAAGCTCCTCTATAAAATCGTTATACGACCAGTTACCAGAGCTTTTGAAAAAGAACAAGCAGATCATCAGAGTCGATAAACCAAATTTCAATAAAATGGTTTTAAACCGTGCTACGGTAAATATCAAAAGCAGTCCCGAAAATTCTAAGATGAAATTCACAGGTATATCCAAGCTCGGCCTATACTCAACGAAAACCGTCAAAGAGAGCAGCTTCATATCCCTTTTCAGTGGAGAGATTGACACCAAACAGAATTACATCTCTGAAAAAATCAATAAATATTGGTTGTTAGGCTGTCCTAAACCTGGTGTATTTTTCCATCCTAGCTTACCGATTGTCATTGATGAGCGTGGATTGGGGAACCACACGAGGTTTATCAGAAAGTCGTGCAAACCTAATTGTGAGATTCGGACCATTGTGGTCAGTCGACAAGAAACAACTTTGGGGTTGTTTTCTGTCAAGGAGATCAAGGCAGATCATGAGCTTACGCTGCCTTGGGAGTGGGAAGTTGATCACCCCATTCTCAAACTTATCAACAACACAGAGACCTTTGAAAGCATGGATACCGAAATGCGAATGGTACTGATTAATTCCATTCAATGTATACTAGATTTGACTGAATGTGGATGTTATGCTTCGTCTTCCGATTGTGTCATAAGCAAGGTGAAAAAAATGTCTGCGTATCTACAACGGAGTACAAGGAAAAGTAACATGACACACATATCACCCACTCCTCATCAGAAATACATTCCTATTGACGAAAGGTATAAAGCACGTGGCGAGTACATCCTAGACCACATAACACGCAACGATACGACTCCAGACGACGAATCGATGGCCAAAGATAGTGAGAATGTTATGGCTGGTGATGGTCAAGACGCCAAAGATGGTAATTTCGAGGTCTTGAAAGATACTTCTTTGAATAACTCTGAAGGCGTGGTTTCCAGCTTCAGCTTTAAGTCAAAGCCTAAAAACACTGTTTACAATCTTCATATCCTTCCCAAACAATTTGAGCTTTTAAGAAAGTACCTTCAAAACGGGGACCCAAAAGAAAGTATTCAAGTTGAAGCTGGAGATGGAGTGTTGAAGGCCAACAAGACTGACGATGAGCAAGAGAACGCCATGCCCATTCCTGTGGAAGTTCATGCAAGAGTTTTACAAAGACTCAATAATGTTTCTGGCGAACACACATTTGAAGGGACAAAAGATAATGTCTCGGTAGTCGGTGCTGACGTTGAAGACAGGCCCAAAGTTGTGAAAAAATTCAGCTTGGCCGACTACAAGAAGAAAAAGATTGGTTAGCAGGATGGAATATATCGGTTATGCCATCCTTATACACTATGCAAATTTATTGCTGGGCATTTTGGGTCTATTCCATAAATTTAATATTTTTGTATGTAATAATGATACTTTACTAGGCATCGCTATCACTTGACGTTAGTGGATGAGCAGCAGAAGAAAGCCAAAGAAATTTTCCACTGAGAATGCCGGAGCAACAAAATGGCGATGCAGTGAAAATAACTCCGTGCAAAACTTTTGGAGTCGTTTTCTGTCAAAAAGAGAAAAATTTTATTTGTAGCATGCAGGTAGGTAAATGTAATCGAACTTTAATTTGCGATGGCTAAATTTGGCAACTCTGATTTGAAGCCGTGTCTACGAAGGAGCGAAACCACAAGATGAGCTAGAACCAGAGCCGTAAGGGCCTTACACACGATCGGCTTTTGTTTGAAATTTAATGTGAAAATATCATAATATTAACAATTAGAAAGAAGAATACAACAGAAGGAAAGTGGAAAAAGGTCGAAAGCTGAAAAATATAGTAAAAGACGAACACATGTAAAGTAAAACATGGAAAACCCATTAGAAGCAAAGTTTGATGTGGATGAGAAGTATCAATCATCGTGGTAGAGCCGTGAATTTTAGTCGAGTCTATTCAATTCAATAAGCTCTTCACAGATATCTGTCTAGAAGGCTTCGGATCAAGAATGAGCAAGGATGTTCTCTTGCTGTCAAGGTTGTTAATGCTGAAAAAGGGAATTTTCGAGTTTGAGGATGTAAGGGTATATTGGTATGGTTGCAGAGTTGGAGAGGTGATAGGGGACTCGACGTCGCTGCAGTGAGGGGTGGTGTCGTTTGAATGTGGTGAACACATTCCCGGTTGTGGTGGAGAAGGAGGCTCTTGAGCGAAGTTGGCAGATTTCATTTCCGAAAGCACAGTAGCTGCAAATTTGTCTTGCACTTTTGTGTATTTCTTGATCTTTCTCGAAGAGGTTGAAGAGGGCGCTGCCAACAATGCAGCCGACTTTTTGAGCTCTTCTTCTGTAGGATACACGCAGTGAAGATTGTTCCTCAGACATCCCGAGCAAGCAGGTTTCCTTTCATCGCACTTCTTCTTCCTTCTTCTGCAACAAAAACAGCCTGTTTTCGTCCTCGTGATTTTCTTTTTCTCTTTTACTATATGGCTAGAGCTGACCCTTGTATGATTGAGGTAAGCATGATGAGTATGATGATGGTCAGAAGAGCCACAAGTTGACTCTGGTGACAGTGGTACTGGAACCTGTGAGTCGGTCTTCCATGTTTTACTTGCGGCAGACGCTGGAGCCGACAGCCTTATGATTCTTTGGTAATCACGGTAATTTGCCATGGTGGTGCTGTGTGTAGGTGTGTAACGTTGAAGCGTGTTTCAGATGAGCCTGGCTTTAGATATTTTTTGTATTCGAAAAATTCACTTTACAGAGTGTGAGGTTCAGGCCCTTTTTGCCGAAACGTATAGCTTAAAGAGGTTTGAAGATGATATCTAGATCAGGCAGAAGACAGAAGAAGTTTACACAGGGTCACGAAGGAAAAAACGGTGAAAACTTTTCTAGAGATGCAAACAAACAAACCATCCATCCGTCCATCCACTCATCACCCCTCCACGGAGGCCAGCCCGTTAGTCACCGAGTCACCAACTCCTTGGCGTGGTTTGGTTTCTCCGTCCCAGACAAATAAACAAACAAAGCCAGACAGAAAATGCAGTAGAAAAATCTTTTTATCTTCTGAGCCTGACGATGGGGCATATGATTTTCCCGATAGGGTAATTCCCCTCTTTGCCGCGTTGCTCTCCAGGGCAGGACAGTGCGGCACGGTGCCCATTTTTGCCACGGACACAAGCGGCAAGTTGCAAGAATGGGGGCGCATTCGCGTTGTCCTTCCATGTGAGATATGTGGCAAAGCTGTCCAAGAAAAGTGGGGCCTGTGAAGAGGGGCAGCGCTAAAATCAGCTCTCAGGCGAGCACTTTCGCTGTAGACTGCCGCGCAAAAGTCTGCCTTTTCTTGGAATAGAAAAAAACGACGCAAACGGTAGTAGCTCCCGAGACAACATAAAAACTCAACCTCAAGCCGAATTTGGCAAAATGGATCAGCATTTGTCACCGAAAAGTCCTGAATAGTCAGTCTGTAGTTGCGGACTGAAGATTATGATAGTGTTTACCACAATGATAATAATGATAAAAAAGTAATAATAATAGTGATATTAATAATAATAGTAAATTGGTTTGTGATCTATATATACAGTGATAAAGTGCAATAGAAAGTTATGTATAGTACAGTAAGGTGAAGGAAGTTTAGTCGACAAAATGAAATCATATGTTGAGTTAGGAAACGACAATCATGAGGAAACTAACTCAGTGAAATACTGTCTCAAAATTAATGATAGCATCTCTGGCAACTCGTTGATATGGCGAACCACAACGTAAAATTCGAAGGGGAAAGTATCCAAATACTTGTTGACTTGTAGCTTCATTTTGCCGCTATCATCTGTAATATAGCTGGCCTGATCCATGTCCAGAATAGATTCTTTCCCGTTCAAGCCATCAATAACCACAAAAACAATCATAACCTTCTCCTCTCTCGCTCTTCTCACTAACCTTTTTATAGTTTCGTGATCTTCACAAACCCCGTCAGAAAGAACTATCTCTAATTGCCACAAATCAGAATTGCCAAATACTCTGGCATCGCTGAATACCTTTAGCGACTTAGAAACTAGCTTCTTGATATCGGTTCTGGTGTCATCGAACTTAAACTCGCGGAAAACATTAATACCAGAGGTGCCACCAAATTGTTTTTCAAATGGATGCACAACCTCCGATTGACTGCCGAATTTCATGATCGATAATTGGCCAGATTCAAGTTGCGATAACGCCTTTGACACCAAAGCAACACTCTGGAATGCAATGTCAACACCCTGAGACTCAGCCATAGACTTTGAATCATCCAACGAAATCATGATCTGATACTGCCTTTTGCTTGGCTTGGTTCTTCTCATCCAGATCTTGTCCTTCCTGAATTGCGAAGCAATATAAGGAATGATGCGCTTCATGTTCAATCTTTTACCAGTCTTATAATCACCCTTCAATTTGGTAGACAGAGTAGGTTCTAAGATTAATCTCAACTGTTCGCATAACGATGATGTGAGATCTCTAGTAGCATCATCGGCTTTTTTCCAAAGCTCTTCAGCTTCCTCGTATGGTCTCAAACTCTCCTCTTTCTTAATGATAAAATCGTCTCCGACAGCATTCTCGTCCTCCTCTACTTCTAATTCAGAATCAGTGAAATCTACTTCCATCATATTGCTTGTAGTAGCCTCGTTCATTATATTGTTCATTTCGTTTGCGAGACCTGAGCGTTTTTCACCCGCAAGATCGTCTTCTTTGACGTTGGCATCCTTCATGTCAATATCTGCAGATGCGGAATCTTTTTCTTCGATATTCTGGCTTATCTCGTCTTCATCCATTAATTCCTCGTCCTTAGGAACGGTATCTTCGTCATCGTCAATTGCCATGTCATCATTGATAGCTTGTATCTGTTCTTTACTTGCCGCCCCCAGAGCTTGAGTCTCAGTTTCTGTGTTCTCGCCTTCCAGATGTTGGAACTCATCAGGACGCTCACCGGCCTTCTGGTCGACCATCTCATCATCTACAGCTTCTTTGATCTCTTGTCTTCTTCTATGGAATTCCTTCAAAGAATCACCGAGTTGTTTCATAGATTCGGCCGCCTCATTTCGTGATGATTCAGTTTCATTTTCTTTCATTTTTTCATCTTTTTCTTCCTCTCTGTTCTGAAAGTCGGCTCCACCATTGCTTGCACCGACATTTTCATTTTCTTCATCTGCATTTGCGTCTGCACCTTCAGATTTCAATCCTGATTGTTGCTTGACAGCAGATTCATCATCAGCATTGTTGGCTCCAGTTTCGGCATTCTCTAAACCTTCTATCTCATCTTGATTGTCATTTTCTTCTCCAACCTTATCTTCCTTTTCATCACGATCTTCTTCGCCTTCTTGTAATTCTTGGTCAGAAGCCTCTACGCCTTCGTCTTCATTAATTTCTTCATCATTAACTTCCATGTCATCTGCATCACCTTCAGCATTATCTTCTTCTTGATCCTCCTCAGTTCCTTCATCATCTGCAGGCTTCCCTTCGACTTCTTCGTTCTCCTCATCACCCTCAAGCTCATCATGATCCATTTCAACCTCAGCGTCATCTTCGCCATTCTGAGTTTCATTATCTTCCTCAGAGTGCATTCCTGCATCGTTATCATCTAGATTATCATCAAGGTTCTCCTCGTTATTTTCTTCGTCTTCCGAATTTTCTTCACCATCTGAGTCAAGATTCATATCCTCAGGCAATTCTAAGGCATCCGCTTCTGGTGCAGCATTGTCGAATTGATCATTCTCTTCATTTTTAATCTCATCTTCTTGTTCTCCGACATCTTCTTCCTCATCTGCCTCCTGATCATCTTCCATCTTTTCATCATCATTTGCTGGGGGATCAGTATCTTTATCTCCCTCCGTTTCATTTTGTTTGTCCTCAGGTTCATCCTCCATCGCTTCCATATCATTATCTTGTTTGGAATCATCTGGTAATTGTTCAGATTCTTTTTCTTTGGAGTTTGAAGCGGCTTCTTCATCCCACATCTTATCGTCAATAGCATTCGGATCTAAGTCGTCCAAATCATCAATCTCCTCATCTAGGTCTTCGTTATCCTCTTTTTCCTCTTCATTTTCATCATCATTCTCTTGATCGGACGCATTTTCCAAATCTCCAGCCATATCACCTTCTATATCAACAGCATCATTATTTTCTTCCTGATCCTGATCGTCTTTATTTTTTTCTTCATTCGGCTGCTGTGCTTGCTCGCTCAAATCTTCATCCTCGTCAATATCATTAGAATTATTCTGCGCTCCTTCACCATCACCCAATCCTGTACCTTCCTTCAAATTGTTATCCTCTTTTTCATCAGATGGAGGTTCAGGTTGGCAAAATCCTTTGGAGCAAATGTTATGCAAAATTGTGGAAAGCTCAAATGCACCTCTTGAGATATCAATGTAACTTGCCTTCAATTTTTCTTCTATAATTTGAACCAAGTTAAAGTAATGTTGAATGATAGGAAGCATGTGCTCAACCATTGCGGCGGCAATTAAGCATTCGTGTTCATCGTATTCAATACTTTGTAGAATCTTAATGGAGTTGTTGAATTTTTTCATCACAGATACTGGATATAGCAGATCAACAAACTTGAGCAGTCTTTCGTTAGACAAAGTTAGCCAGTTAATTTCGGCATCAGTTTCATCATCGTTTTCTGCCTTGAAAGTGAATTTATGAATTCTTTGGACAGACACTAAAATTGAATTGAATAGCTCACGCAAAGATTGCTCGAGTGATTCAATGTTGAAATTCGTGCTTTCGATTTCATAGCTTGTGTTAAAAGTAAATTCTTGAGCTGAAATCCATTCAAGAATAAAATCGGCAACAAAAGATACTTTGATGTTTTTTAGTTTCCATGAGTTTAAATCCAGGATAAAGTTCTCAAAAAATAAGTGCAGACTCTTCATATGCTCATAATCATCGGATCCAATAAGTTGAAGTTGAGATACGTTATGCTTTGTAATTGAATTCAAAGCGTCGCTGAAAACAGATACGTCGTAACTTTCCTGAGTAAAGACTGAAGCTTTCTGTAGGGAATCCAATGCATAGCGCAAAATGAAAGGAAGCTGTTGTTTCAGAGAATTAGCATCTTTTTTCAGCTGCTCAGCATTTCTAAATTGAGAGCATGGCAATAGCTTATTTGAACTATCAATTGATATTTTCTCTAAGCTTGACAAGACTTGCTTCAAAGAAGAGTTAAACTTGCTGAATCTAACAAGTACATTTCTATTTTTCACCAGCATAAACAGCAGATTCTCAGAAGCTGCCAGACATTTTTGTGAGTCTGAGGGCTTGATATCAGCATGCACTTCGGCAACAGAAACTCTCAATCTTGGAAGAAGGTCTAGGATTCTAAAATAGAATGCGTCACAATCACAGAAAGATGTACCTTCAAGAGATTGAGAGGTTGCAAGGATGGCAGTGACATATGGGAGAGCACTTTGAACATCAGCAGTCATAGATAACCTGAGACCCATAGTTTTTAAATCTTTAATTGTATCACTTAACAACTTATGCTTCTCATTTTTGAGAGATCCAATTATCTTTTTGTTCTCCTTTGTGTAAATACTTGGCGTTTCCTTCCTCAAGTATTCGGCCCTTTCTATGATGTTTTTAGCATAATCATGCAAACTTTTAAACTCAACTGACTCAATGTCAGATACATAGACTCTCATGTTTTTCTCAACTCGAGTACTGTCTTTCAATCTTGTATTTCTTTCAGTCCATGCACTTACTTCAGAACATAGCCGATTAACCAGGGAAATATCTGCAGGTAACTTAATCGTTGTTTTCACTGAAATTGTCATTTTAAAATCAACTTTGTTTGATGATGATAAACCTTCTTCAATTAATGGTTTAACAGGTTTCATCAACTGGTCACGGTATTTCCTGATAATTTTGTACAAATTATTATGGGAACGACGTGAGCTTTGCTTCAACGCGTCAATATTAATGTCCTTCCAACTTGCTAATAAAATAATTTCAGTGACCTTCTTTTCCAAATCCTTTCTGGTTGCACTAATTGAATCACTGATCTGACCCAAAAATTGCTCAAAAAATGTAATTATATTCAGTAAAGAGGATCTGAGAGTTAATTCGGGAGCTAATCTCTCAAGATGCTTGGCAAAAGCCATCAACAGATCTAACCTGTATGACAACTCACCGTATGTGGCTTGGGATAAGAAAATATTTATGGCGGAAAGTATTTTTACCTCCAGTTCTTCGTCGTAGATTTCGTTGTTCATTGCCGGAACAATAATAGTTTCAAACAAATAAAACCACCATTTTCCGATACGCTTCTTTATTGCCATTTCCTCATTCACAAAAACTTGTTTCCAAGAAGCCAACTCCAACTGTCTCCATGAGACAATCAACTCTGAAACTGAGCGATAAAGAGAAGCCATAGATACCCCTGAGTGCGCATACTTTTCCCACTCGGCAATGAAAGTGAAAATCTGTTCGGTTTTAGCTAGAAGCCTAAATATAGGTGTTGATGATGAATATTCCATAAACTCTGTACAGATTCTGAATAACTCAGATAAAGTAGCATGTTCCGGCCATTTTTTTAATAGCTCAGCAACAGATATTTGAACTTTTCTTATAACTGAAACTGCAGTCCTTGTTTGAGAAAAATCATAGCCATGATAAAAATCAATTTCTGATGATTTTTTTGTAGTACCGAATTGCTCATAAGATTTATTCAACAAGGAGAAAATGGTGATTAAAGTAGAAGCTGAGTTCTTAGCACTAGCTGATACCTTCTGTACTCTTTTAAGGGACTGGAATGCATCAATGGATGCATTCGAGATATCTTCCGCCGAAACGACAGAATCGGAATTGAACTTCGCCATGTATGCTTTGGCTATGGCATAGTACACGTCAGACGAATCTTCGCTTGATGCAATGCTTCCCGAAGCACTAAGGTCCATGATTTGGTCTGAATCCGGAAAAAGCTTTCTAAAATCAGCTTCAGCATCCATGGCAGAGTCAGCAAACTTGTAAATACCAGTTTCATTAGATTCCTTCTCTTGCTCTTTTAGTACTCTCAATGACCATCTGTAATATAATGCCATTAAAATTTCATTGAATGTTTCAGGATCACCATCAATATTTGTGTGGGATGGAGATTTAAAGAGAAGGAGAAGATAAGCATAAATTCTTTCAGCATCAAAGTCATTGACTGAAACTTTACGAACTGCTTCTTGAGTGGATTCAAATGTAAAACGCAACCTCAATGGAGAATAAATTACGGATGCGTCTGAGATCCAAAGTGAACTTGGAGAAGAAATTGAAGATTCTCTAGCCCCTTCATGCATTAGGAAGAGTCCAAGTTTTAACCCATCAACAAAACCTGCTAGAATGTCATTTAAATCAGAAAACCTCAAATGGTTCTCTTTCAAACGTAACACAAAATAAGTAGCATTTTTCATGAAGTTATTGATCTGAGAATTAGCTTTTTCACTAATTTCGCTGGCTGTTTTCAACATGAAATTAATGTGCTCCTTATCAACGTAGGATGAAAAGAATTGGTGCCACTCTTCAAAGAGCTTTTCTGTAGGACGTGAGTCTCGAAAAACCCGTGGAACTTCAGTAATAGAATTTGATTCTACTTGAGGCAAATACTTCTCAGCTGTAATTGCGCTGTCGCCAAAAAACTGAGTTCTAGCCATATCGAATGACTCCTTGATGTTTGCAATCAATTTCTGTAGTTCTAAGAAGTCATTGTACAGGATATGATCAACTGCTGCTGGATCATAAGCTGAATCTGGCATGTAGAGCATGATAAATCCACAAGCAGTGAGGAGAAAGCACTCACCTAAAATTCTTTTTCTCGATACTTTTACTAAGTTGAGCAAAGATGGCATGAAGTAAGTTTCAAAAATGTCGGCATATGCAGTATATCCATACTTTCTAAAAACGTTGCAGTACTTGGTAAGAGATTCTGCAGAGCAGCTTCTAAAATCACATTTAACGAGTTTCTGTACTTCCTTCGATTCAAGTAGATCAATATGAATTTCACTGATAAAAGCTATCCATTTTTGAAGAATGGACGCAAAGTAAATCGTGTGGTCGGCTAGAACCTCTTGCGAGTGATTTAATAGACTCGAAATGAAAAGTTTCATATCGAAAAGAGTCTGATCAATATTTCCACCTTTGGTCGTTTCTATTTCGGAAACTAGACTCATAGTCGATTTCAAAAATTTATCATCAAATAAAGGTAACTGCAAAGAGCCGTTTGAGTTCCAAAGTGATCTGAATATTTTAGGGAATGGCTTGAACAATTCTGTATTTTCATGATCAATCAGGTCCTCGGTTCTCTTGTTTGCTAACAAACACAACGACAACGTCTCGGAGTCTAATTTAACTGCAGATGTGTCAAAAGTTAGCTTCGATTCAATGAATCCAATCAAACTTACGAAATACTCCTCAAATGGATGCGCTCTTTTTGACAAAAATGATTCGGAAATGCTGGAAAGCTCATTTATTCTAAGCTTCATATTCTCAAGTATCTCGCAAAAGTCATCTTGCTGAGTTTTTTCCATGCAAGCATCAAAAAGGCTGATGAACATTTTTCTAAATTCGTTCACATTCCCTATGTTTTCGGGAAATTGCTCATAAGCAACTCTATCAAAATCATTTGCCACCTTTAATAGTAGCTCATAATTTTTCCAGGCGGATGCAGTTTGTGGGTATGTTCCCCTGCATGCATTCCATATTAATGTCATAGAAGAACCTGTAGACATTTTCAGCTGGCTGTTGAAATCCGTGATAAAATTACCCAATTTTAAGGTCATTGTAGAATTGAATTTGCTGTGATGCCCTTCAAACCAGTCAATTAGATCATCCTGATAAACACGAATTGCGGTCTGATTCATCGAAGAAGATGCAGCAAGAAAGTTATTCCAAAGTACAGTCAACTTGAAAAGCGATTCAAAGCGTTCCGCAGAGTGCAATAAACTTTGGCTTCTCACAAGTTCTGAAAACTGATCATTGACAAAAGTAAGAACTTCCACTATCCATTTATAAACATTGATTGGTGGTATCTTTTTTAAATCTCTTCCTAAGGAAACTGCCGCAAGTTGTTCTAACGGATTCATAACAGATGCATTTACAACTTCAGCCTTATCATGTAAGCTTTTCATGAATATGAAAGCATCAGAAAGCATCGTCAAAACAATAAACAGAAAGGAAGTTTCACGTGAAATTGCATGAGGGATCTCAGCTTTTATTAGCGGATAGAGGGACTCATTTGTCAAAGCAGACACAGGATACTTTGATTCGTCAGCATAAGCAGAACTTGATAAAAGAGGGGAAGCTGTACATGATTTCTTGTACAATTTTAGCACTGCATCAATAAGCCCGGAGTCTACTAGAAATTGAGTTTTGAGTCTGAACTTTTCTAGCAACAATGGATCTGAAAATTCTGAAGAAATAGAAGGTGCAGAGATCAATTCGAGAATCAATGGGACAGAAGAAATATTGATGAACTGCAAAAATGTAGATGGAACAAATTTGTTACCGATAAATTGTGCTGCATTGTAGTAGTCAAGGAAAGAAGAGACATTCATCGAGCGGCTATCATTCACAGCCACAAAGCTCGTCAGTGTCTTGCTTGGAGATTTTATATCCAGGGAATTTACTTTCTCACTTAAAGCAACATTTTCAAGTGTATTCGGACACATGCCTAAGACTTGTCTATCAATCTTGGTAGCTCTTTCTTTTAAAGGCTCAACATATATTTCGACCGATCTGTTTCTCATTGCTCTTGATAACTCCCCATATTTTGGGTCAGAAGTTAAGAATAATCTAAATTGTGGGTGAGTTTTAATTACCCTTGGAGTTCCGTCGTCATTAGTACATTCATTGATGATGAGCATCCCGTTTGTTTCTAATAAAGAATTCAAACGGTCAAGAACTGAAGGACTGCACAAGTTTGCATTGTCTAAAATCAACCAGTATCCTTTTTCAACTGCTTCAACAAGAAGCCCATCAAACCACTCAAAATTGGCATTCAGGTTGTCACTTGAAACAGAATTATCGATTTCACGTAAATCCTGGATCAAGTTCAAGATGTTGTCACTCTGATAGAACTCAGTCAAACGTAGCAATTGCTCCAGAACTTTTTTAACATTGGCAAGAGTTAGACTTTGCACATTCAGTATCTTTAGTAGCTTTGTAGCAAGTTGTACAGCATTGACGTTCTTAGGTGCAGACAAGTAGGCATTTATTGCCACTACTTTTAGTAAGCTTTCGGATATTTCATTGTTATAGCGTGCAAGGGTTCTTGAGTAGTCGGCTTGCTCATAACCTCCCAAAATGTCCATACTATCAATATCGCTATTCATTGAAAATTCGTACACTTTGGATCCAACAACGTCTGCGGCAAACTTGATCAAACTAGATTTACCAGATCCAGAACTACCAACTAAAATTAACGGATATGCTTGTTGAATACATCGAAATATGGTCTCCAAAATTGGAACGTTGCACTGAAGATGAGAGATTTTAGCATCACATTGATAGTGTAATAAATTATTCCTCTGAATGAAAGCATTTTGACATTGTATGTAGCCTGTATCAATCATGTAATAAGGATCTTTCTTCTCTATTCCTCCAAAAATTGACTTGAACAAGTTGCTTGCGTGTTGCTTATCCTTTTCAGTCCTAAATCTTTGTCTCACCACTAACTCAAAAAAGTCAGAAGGAAAAACATTGTTGGTTACTCCCTTGGTCTCAATTAAAGATAACCAACGTAAAGTATCTCTTAAATTGAATTCCCATGGTGCACCTGATGATCCCCATTGTCTCTTGATCACAACCTCTTCCTCCAGCTTAGACATGAACGATATTAACTTACCACTCATCTCTGAATTCAGCGATGGATAAAGGTGTTGTGCAATCAACTTTAAATCGGCACCAGTAAGCATGTCAACGTAAACGACACTGAATCTGTTGATAAAGGACTTTGGAAGACCTTTTCTTCCACCACCTTGAAGTTGAGGATTTTGAGCAGCAAAAACTTTGAAGTCTGGATGACTTATAAATGATTTGTCGAGTTCTGGAATATAAACTTCACCTCTGTGGTCTAAACATGCGTTCAAACCCTCTAATACGGATTGTGATGCCAAATTCATTTCATCCAGTAAAACCCATTCACCTTTTTGCATAGCCCTTAGATATGGAGCATCTCTCCAAACAAACTCGCCAGCTTGCCCACCTTCAACCGGAGAATCGGATCCAAATAAGTCAATCAAGTCAGTCTGTTCAGATAAATTGATACGTGTCAATTCATTGCCCGTAGCTAATGCTAACGCAGTAATCAATGAAGTTTTCCCTACTCCTGGACTACCCTCAAGCAAAATTGGTTTTTGTACCTGTAGGGCTCGAACTACTCTTGCAGCATTAGAAGCGGTTGTAGGTGCTTTAAGATTGAATGAATCAGCTTGAGGAGCACTGGATCGTCTTTCGATGCTGAAGACACCACACGTAAGCAAAGAATCAGATAGTCTTATTTCAATATTGGAGCTAAAAAGCGGTATCAAATCATAGTTGGCAAACTCTGATAGTTTCTTCACATACTCAAGCTTAGCTTTCCTCAAATTCTCTTCATTCTCAGCAAGGTATGCTGTGTTGTGAGTACCTAAAGCATCAATGAACACCATACTTGCACCATGAAGCAAAGCAGCCATTTCTGGTATCCCTTTCTCTCGTGCAGTGTTTATGAAAGTAATCCAAGCCAAGATGTCTCTCAAAGACAAAACTCCGCTAGAAGGGTCACCACCTCCCATTTTGTTTCCATACCACTTGGAAAACTCAACAATTGGATTAGTCAAATGTTTGACATCTGGACCTAACTTGGAAGACACTATTTGCCTAACGTCTTCAAAATCCTCCATTGAGGGTACCCAAATTTCGGTGAAACGGTTTCTCAAAGCAGGTGACAACTCCTTTTTACCGTAATCCCCACCAGGATTCATTGTTGCCAAAAACTGAAAACCAGGATGGGCAGTAACAAATATATCACCAGATCCTTTCTCGGTGAGTAGCAAAGATCTTTCAGGTTCTAGGACAGAATTCAATCTTTCCAACACTGAATCATCGGCAAGGGAGATCTCATCGAGTAAAAAGTATGCCCCACCTTTCATTGCACTGACAAGTGGACCATCATTCCATTCGAACAAAGATTCGCAATCTCTTTTAACCTTGTTTATTATCTCGGAATCTTCTGCTGAAAACTTATTTGACAATTCCAACTTTTTCCAGAGCAGGACACATTCATTGAAAGTTATTTTGGGGTCAATAATCTCACCATGTCTTGAAGCAATATCTCTGAGAGTTTGAACAAATTTGATTTGTAAATCTGAACGGTTACGTACTGGCCTCTGTGCACCTAATAAATCTCCTGTTTCAGTGTTTTGGTGAGCATTGACAATCACTAATTCCTTCTTAAAAAACTTGGCAATCATTTGACAAACAGTAGTTTTACCGCAACCAGTTTCACCAACCAATAGAAGCGGTTCATTGTTTTGCATTGAAGTTATCACCAACACAGCTAGCCTTCTCATTGCTTTGGTCCAAATAACGGGACCTTCAAGTTCCAGCAGTTCAGGAATTTCCAGATCAGAATAGTACTGTCTCATATCGAGCTTCACCCTCATGACTTTTTCAAGTGCTTCTTTCACCACTATTTTTTCTTCAGGTCTTCTTACCCTTTCGGCTAACAACATGTATCCATTTGCAGCCAATTGTTCATATCCTACGGCTTCACGTTGTGCCCATCTAAATAAATCCCTTAAAGTGGCAAAAGAGTTTTTTTGCTCAAATAGCCTTGCTGATTGACGTTTGATTCCTAACTCTCTGTATACATCAACAATTTTTTTGGCATATGACGGAGCAATTTTACACCTTTCTCTGAGGATAACTTCAAGCTCATCTTGAGGAATATCATCAAAATGTAATTCTAAGAATCTATTTCTAAAAGCTTTAGAAAGCACTTTTCTACCGCCGTATAATCCTGGCGGATTCTGGGTCGCAAAAAGCATAAAGTCGGGATGAGGTCTCACTATTTCTTGAGTTTCTGGTATAAAAAGCTCTCGATTGTCATCAAGCAAACGGTTTAAAGCTTCCAAAACATCAGTAGGAGCTAAATTCAACTCATCCAAAACAATCCAATGACCATGACGTAGTGCATCGACCAAAATACCTTCTCTAAAAACTAGTTTTCCGCTATCGTCAGAAACATATGTACCCAAATATTCTTGTAAATCTGTATGCTCGTGGTTGTTGATACGAACAAACTTGTGACCACTGATTTTAGCCAAATAATTGATCATTGACGTTTTACCAGCAGAAGTTGGGCCTTGAATAAGAACTGGAAACTTTCCACCACTTGTGGCACGAACTAAATTCATCATATTTTTCTCAACAAATGGAGTTAGGATATAATGACTTTGTGGCTCGACCATTTCCAAGCCTTTACGCATCCAGTAATGCCCAAATTGAATGAACTGAGCCGTATTTGTGGATGGATCTGAGGGTATTTGGGATAGTACTGATTTAGCATTTTTGAGTCTCTCAATGGTATACTTCCGAATAACTGGCATAAGAAGTTTCTCCGACCTAGCATCTAACAAAGTTAAAAGAGACATGCAAAAACCTTCATATAAGGCTCTCCGCAAACCATATATAGATGCAATTTCTCTTGCATATACTAATGTTCTGGTCAAAGTACGAATACTGAAATGAGGTTTTTGGTTTGCACCATCAACAATTGCATTATCATCTGATAGTTTTTTAGCCTTCAAATATAACTCGGCAACGTCATTTCCAATCCACTCATCAGAAAGTGCGTATTTTCCGATATACTTATCAATAATCATTAACAAATCTTGAATGTCCTGGTCAGGTGAGACAACATAAATTTCTGTGAATCTAGATCTAATACTTTGAGATAAATCTTTTTTACCCACATCTGTAGCAGGATTCATGCAACCAAATATACGAAAGTCAGGATGAGCTTTGATACTTTCTGCATCACCTTTTTCGGACAATAAAACGCTCCTTTGAGCTTGGTACTCAGCCAATAAATCAGATATGCTATCTAGAGTTTCTGGTGCTGCCAAATTCATTTCATCCAGTAATAACCAATCTCCTTTTTTCACTGCGTTTACTAAGGAGCCTTCCACAAATTTGAATATAAATGAATTTTGCATGTCCACTATTTGCTTTTCAAAATTATTTACCCTTGACTGAATAACCTTCCACTCTTTCATTAACTCGGTCTTCTCGTAGTCATTAAGTTTTCTCTTTTTCTTCTTTCCTTCCTCTTCTTCTTCAATGACATTTCTCTCGCCCTCCAATGGAGACTTTGAAAAGGTGGATTTTGCCATTTTGTATGCTTCTTTCCAAAGCCTGCAAACGTTTTTCCATTGAGACTTGTTGAAACACTTCGATAGCAACTTCAGAAATTTTTCATTGTTTTTAGCAGAAAAAGATCTTGCAAATAACTGCTCAAAGTCCTCCTCTAGTGGAAGTGCAATTGTTTTAGCATTTATTGGTTTGAAACCTCCCAACAAATCACCAACTTCGGTTTGCTGCGATAAGTTGATGACTACCAATTTTTTATTCAACAGTTTTGCCATTTGCTGAACCACTGTAGTCTTACCTGTACCAGTTTCACCTACCAAAAGTAATGGCTCACACATTGATATTGCCACACCTACCTCTTCCATCAATCTTGCAGAATGATTTGTTGTTGCAAATGAAGTGGTGTTACCGATTGCAACTTTATGTTGATATTTGTTCAAACCGATCATTGTGTGTTTCTTCATATAGGCACGGCCAACCTTCAAAGCGTTGTCAAAATTATCTATGACAGGAACGTGCCTTGAAAGTTGAAAATTGATTCTGGATGTTGGAATTTCGAGAATGGAACCAATCTCTTTTATCAAACATTCGATAGGGTCACGTTCAACAATCGCACTGGTGAAACAAGCAATTGCCTCTTGAAAAATGGTATCAAAAACATCGTCGTGGATAAGGTCATCTGCAGTTTTGATATCTTGAAGCTCGAATATATGTTCGCTCCTACGACAGAATTTCATCAAGTCTCTAATTGAAATTTGTCTCGGTTGAGCACCCTTATTCATTGAAACAAATTTGCGAGAATTGCTGATATTCCTTACCTCAAAATAGCATTTGATGAAGAGGTCAGTGTAGCGAGTAAGTAGTGGAAATTTGGATTTCAAAATCGTCTTCAAATCTTTTTCATCCAAATCTTGCAGCTGTAAAATGTTCCACAAACGTAAACCAATAATGTCGGGAAAATGAATTTCATCATCAGTAGAAGTTGAAGTGGTTCTAATAGTAGAAATCAACTGGAACCCATTACCCGCTTTCAATACCTCACCTCTTGAAGGTAATGTGATTTCTCTGTGCTCTAGTAAACTCATTAAAATAGATAAAACCTCATTAGGTGCCTTGTCTATATCCTCAACAAGAACCCATTTACCTTCTTTGACTGCAGTGGTCAAAACACCATTTTTCCATTCAAAAGTCCCTGGTTTTGTTCCTGAAGTGTATGTTCCCAATAAAGATTTTGAGTCTGTTTGTTGGTTTAGATGAATTTTGACCAAGTTATTCAAATCTTCGATATGCAATCGTCTGGCCATCTCATCGACCAAGAATGTTTTTCCGCTTCCAGCAGAACCAGCCAGTAAAATTGGTCGAGAGGTTTTGATCAACGTAGAGAATGATCTAATGGCATGCAAAGACTTCGAAAGCTCCACAAATCCAGGTTGCTGAGATATTGATGGCAGGATACTCGATTCGAGTGATAATAGATTAGGAACAATTATTCCAGAAATTATGCTAACACCAAGTGATAACTCTGACTCCCTGAAAGTGACAGTGGAAGATGATTCAATAAAGCAATCTTCCAGAGGGCAAAATTTCGAGAAATTTGATAATCTTTGAGCTTCAAACACCGAAAGGAATTTGAAATTGATGTTTTCGTCACCATCAAAAGTGCCGACAAGGTCATTCTGATTAACATGCTCCTCGATTGTCTTATACTTGACCTCCTCAGAAAAAAAGAGGATGTTTGAAAGTATTTGGATAGAAATGTATCTGTTTATGTTCGATGTAGCTTCTTCGGTCACCAATAAATGCAAAGTTTGAGGATCTATGAACTTCTGGAACCTTTGTTTATCTGCGACTAATAATCTATAAAATGACAAAAGAAAAGTCTGTAGTTCTGGTTGAGGTACGGTCTTGATACAGTTTTTCAAAGAGCTGAAAAAGTCTTTTGAGTTCAGAAAATGTTCGGTCAAAGTTGAAATTTCTTGTGTGTATGTTAAAATATAGGATAATGCTGAGAGAACTTGACAACCTTCGACAACTTTGGTTGTATTATTGAGGTTCAAAAATTTTCTTTCTAGTTGGGGGTCAAAAATGAGCCTTGCAACCAGCTCAATAAGTAATGGTTTGTATGCAAATAGGTCACAAGCACATGACCGACTATCCAGCAAATGAATACTCAAGTTCGATAAATTTTCATCATTCGATAAGGACTTGTTGAAAGTGTAAGGCGGGGGGATCGACTTCTTGGCATAAAACTGTCTAAAGTTGCCATACACCTCTTTTGATCTTCTAAAATCAAAGATGAATGTGTTTTCAATTCGATTCATATCTGCAGTCAGCGTGAATAAGTTAGTATTTCCTTGTTTGCTTGATAAACCAGAAAGGGTTGAATACATACTATAATCTGGAAACAATTATGTGATTATGAGTCAAGCTCAGGCAAAATTCTAGGCTATAAAAACCCTTTTATTTGGTTGCCTGTTATATTCTGTGGATTGTAAGTGTAGGTATTGCTATTCTTTAGCCTGATCAATTTTATCATGATTTGAAAAATTATTTTTATTTAGACATGCAAAAAAAAATAGATAAAAAAAGATGAAAAATAGAAAATGAGGCAAATGTGAAAAAATGTCGACGCGTCGCTTTCTACTTCTTGCCTGCTTCGCCACGTTGCTTAGTCCAGGTCGCACCGCCACTCTGGCGGGGCTTCATGGATTTAGTAGTAGAGTCAGTTGCCATCTCCTTATAACCACCAGCAGTATTCCGAAAGTCTCCTATCAGCCGGGATGTGTCCGTTAGAGCAATTTCTCTAGAAGCGGAGGTTAGTTTTATTGAATTTGACAATGTTAGCATGGCCTGAAGATATTGCTCAGGCGCCTTATTTTTGGGCAATTTTGCTTCAGGCTTTTTGGGATCGAGATATCTGTCCGTAACATCGACGATGTAACTTTCTTTGACAGCAAACACGTACGACATTTTCTTCCCCCATCCAGTATTATATAGCAATGGTTGGTCGTACGCATTTTCGCATGCGTCCAAATGGATCCAGCGTTTCTGTTTCTCGCTGTAGTACTCACACCAGACGTGGTCTTCCGCATTCCAGATATACCGCACATCAATGTCGAGTGACCGTAAGATTGCTATAAAGCAATTGTTCCACTCACCGCATCTTCCTTTCCGAGTCAATAATAGTGTTCTGATGTCGTTGTATCTGGGGAACTCGTAAATTTTCTGGCACTTCAAGCATTGATATCGTTCGATGACCGATGCTTTTCCTCTGTAATGCTCTTCTTTGTAAGGTCGACAGCCGGCCATATGTCTTATCTGATTCTGGTCTTCATTTCCACAATGTGAACATCCAAGCTTATTCACCCACACAAAAAACTCCTCCTTAAACCATTTCAATAGTTCAATCACCAACTGGTCAATATAACTGAAGCTTGTCGCTTGCGGTTGCTCCTCCTCTTTGACCCGTTCATACACGCCGGACGCAAGAATTGCATCAATTGCGTCTGTCTTTTCTTCATCTGTTAATGGCACAGCAAGTTTAGATAGTTCTAGAACTTGGTTAATGAACGGATACCGCCGGCATTCTATAAGCAGCTGCTGATTTGACCTGATCCTAGAATTACATTTTCGTAACAAGTGCATCCTTCCATTGTAAATTCTGTTTTTGATTTGTTCCCCAGTTAAGGAGGTAGAGCAGAGTTCCATGCTTGGTGGTTTTTATTATTCGGTGGCTACTTATACTGTAATATCGGACTATTTTCTATCACTTAAGTAATTAAGATTCAGATGTCCAAAGAAACTAGACGCAGCATGAGTTGGCTTACGAGTTTGACGTGAATTTCCATTTTGAAAATCCAATCCGCGTATCGAATATTCATTATACTGCTTTTTAACCTTCCAAGTCAAATACCATGGCTCATCCTTACGATCAACAAACAGCTGCAAGATTTAAATCGAAAACTCAAATTGGACTGAAAGCATGGGGATATAGCTATAGCTTCCTTGAAAAAAGAAGAGTATCGCCAACAATTATGCAAAACGAGAATCGAGAAAGAGGTTCACGGCACCAAGTAGTTATACAGCCTCCACAAGAAAACACGTGCAGAAAGAAAAGACGAACTGAAGATATCCAGTTTCAATATAGGCAGCATTACAGAACTACAAGTTCTTATTCTTCAAAAGACGAAAGAGCACTTTTGAAAGATGTCTTTGAATCAGATGAGGCATACGAGCAGCAACAAGAGTACTTGAGAAATCTTAAAGTTTCAGGTTACCTGATTATCATAATAACCTGGATTCTGTTTGTTTTTTCGATTGGAACTATCTTTAATCTCTGGCATTGGTGTTTCAACTTTAACCCTCAGTATATGAGAAAATTGAAATCAATCCCTTGGCTCAAAGTATTAATTGAAGATATCAGTCAGCAAAATGATAGTGCAGCCGTGCCTAACTATTATCTCTATCTCTTTTTTTTAAGTTTTGTTATTCTTTGGATATGGGCTGTTGCATCATGGATAAGTATGAAACTATTTAGGCATAGTAAAGGTGGTGGTTCCTAATACGTTGATAATCACGAAACTGACAAAAAGTTATGCATATATATGTACAAGTATGCTCTATAGAATTCTAAACTACAAAACTTTTTAGACAACCTCAACAACAAAATATTTCTTACCAATCTTCAACAATAAGAGCTTCTCTTCGATAGTGTCTGTAATTATATTCACAATGTAATCTGCTTCAGTCACTTTTCCTTCTTTGGTGTTACCAATATAAACAGAACCTCCCTTTATAAGTCTCTTTAGTTCAGACTTTGATTTTTCCCCTTCAGTAACCTTGTGGAGAAGATTGACAATGTTCAACTGCGTTAGCTCTTCCTTGGATATTTGAGTAACCAAGTTTTGTTTCTTGAAGGCACTCAAAATTTCTACTGCTTTGAAATTTTCCTTGATGTTGACTTTGCTAAACAATATCTCACTAATGACATAGTTACTAAACCCTTCACCGTCCCCGTGAACCAAGTCACACATTTCGATTGCCAAAACTTTTTGCCCAAATCGAGATCTTTTATCGCTGTTGTGAGCATGAACAATTTTATCAATTACCTTGGTAGGTAGTAAAGAAAACTTATAGAGAAATTTCGGAATGTCCTCATCGGTGGTATTGAACATGAATTGATAGATATCATATGAGGATGTTAACTCTTTATCAATAAATATGGCATTGCCGGCACTCTTACCAAACTTCACACCATTCGATGTAGTTAGTAATGGAACTGTAATACCATAGATTTCTCTGCTAGACTTAGACTCTTCTGCTTTTCTCAACCTATTTATTAAGTCGATACCAGCAACAATGTTACCGTATTGATCGTTACCACCAACTTGGATGTCAACTTGATATTTTTTATTTAAATAATAAAAATCGTATGCTTGTAGAATTTGATAAGTGAACTCGTTGAAACCGATGCCTTGTTCAGAGTTCAATCTGTTCTTGATGGATTCCCTACTCAACATCTGGTTTACCCGGATATGTCTACCATATTTCGCAAGAAATTCTAGCATTCCCATATCCTTCCACCATTCACGATTATTTTTTAGTTCTCTACTTCCAACTTCTGAAATTTTAATTAATGGATTTCTTGTTTCACCGTAAAGTGTAGCCGTATTGAAGAAACTTAAAAACTGATCTGAAATTCTTCTGACATGATCTAGTCTGGTATTGTTTTCCATTGCAGTTCGTTCTGTGGTTCTTCCAGATGGATCACCAACTTCACCTGTGGCACCACCGATCAATGGGTAAATATTATGACCACGTAGATTGAAGTGAAGTAGTACCATTAAAGGCAGAAGATTTCCCAAATGTAATGACTTTGCAGTGGGATCAGCACCACAATATAATCCCAATGTCTTCGTTTCAGCATGATCAAGTAGGTGCTTTTCATTTACGCATGTTTCAACCAGGCCCCTTTTTTGTAAATGTTGCAAAAGAGGCTCCTTAAAATCGTGATCTGCATCGCTCTCGTTGATCTCTATGCTATGCTTATCGAGTAATTTCGATATCGATGATGAAACGTGAAAACTAGATCTCGTGAAGGATTCGGAGAATAACCTTTTTTGTGCAACAAAGAAAAATCTAGGCTTCAACATTATCTCTGAGCAATCTAATGCGAATAGATCGGCATTATTTGCGATAGAAACTTATCGACTCACCAACTACAACCAACAAATAAACAGATAGATTTCTCGTATTTCAATTCAACGCGCTGAGTCTTAATTCCTCGAGCACGAATACCGTTTTCACCACCTGTAAATTTTCCCGAAGCATATACTTGCCTCTTGTAAATAGATGCATGAAAACCTTTTCAAATATTAAGCATGCATGCAAAAAACTTGTTTGAGGTCAAAAAGTTTGGGTGTTTAACGGCTACACCAAGATCGATGTATAAGAAGTTGATTTTACGAAAAGGGCGTAGAGCCTCGTTTTAAGAACAAAAGCTGAGCATACAAATATCTATTATCCTAAAAAGAATCCAAGGTTATTAAATTGAAACTTTTTGCAGTTTTGACTGGTGATCTTCTTCGTTTTCTTGTAATTTTCTTTTCTTGCCTTCGAGTAAAGCTTTCTGCTGTTTTGTTTTCTCAGCGATTTCCTCTAAAGCACCTTTCACCAATTCCTTCCCTTCAATACCATCCACCTTTCTAAAGAAGGGTTGCAACCTCCAGTATGGTACTTCTCTATATCTTCCACCCCATTCCTGTGTTTCGCCTACCTTGATTTCGTCTAATTCTTCGATGTTTTCCTTCTTGAATATCTCTTCCACGATATTCTCCATCATGACGATCACTTTCTCAATCTCTTCAAATGATGAATTTTTGGTGAGTTTAGCAATTTCAGCTCGTACATCCGTGTGATATGGTAGGAAGGTTTTCAAGGCTTTAAACATATGTGTTTTCATACACCTTTTAGATTCAGTGCCTTTACAAGACTTCACAATATCATAGTACTCTCTCATAAATTTATCAACTCTAGGAAAGAGCTTCTCTTTGTCGTTTGATTTCGTCCAGAAAACTCCGGGGTTAGAAAGATTTGCCTCTGCGCTCATTACCGCATCACAACCAATATCTTTTATACATCTTTCAATGTCATCCGGGTAAAGGATATTACCATTTGAGATAAACACGGTTCCCTCAGGTAAATTTTCCCTCAAGTACTTTACCAATTTCCAATTGGCCAATCCAGTTTTTTGTCCTTTCATTTCTCTAGTTCTTCCATGAATAGTCAAAAACTTTGCTCCAGCATTAAGACAAAGTTTGGCATAATCTAAAGACTTTGACCAATCATCAAACACTCTAATTTTTGCTGTCACAGGAAGTTGATCTCCTAGCTCAGTGGCTAATTTATTGATCAAGCTGTAGACTAAGTCCCATTCCTCCATTAAAAATGATCCATAGTGACCTTTTTTGGCTATTCCTTGTGGACAGCCAAAATTGATATCAACCGCATCACATTTTCCAACTACATGTTTTGCTGCTTCCAATAAAATGTCTGGGTCATTGGCACAAAACTGGATGATAAGGGGTCTATCGAGCTCTGGATCACCATCCATTTCACACAAATATTGATCCCTAAACTTCTTATCTTGGCTAAACAGGCGTGAATGTAACATCGGTGAATAACATAGCTGGGCACCGTATCTTCTAGAAATCAGTCTCCAACCTAACTCGGAGCCATCCACCATTGGAGCCACAACTCTTTGTGGCTGTCCAAGTTTGTTGAACAGCAGCCGGCCTGCCTTTACAGACGCTTCAAGATCGAAGCTTTTTTCTTTCGTAACCGAGGTATTGTTTTTGTTTGTCAAGTTTTCGGCTTGTTCGGTCATTCTCCAAAAAAATTTCAACTTATCTGGTTTCCAAATGTAAGGCAATAAAAAGCCAATTAACTTCATCAAACTGAGGATCTACTATAGGTTATCCACTAGACTTTTCAGCAGAAAGAAGTTGCTTGAAACTGACAAAGTGATTAAGTAATCATTTCTTCTGAACAAAAGTGAAAAAAATTTTATTTTCATGATAAGGGCTTAGGTCAGCAGTTTTTCCTTCTTCGGGATATGCTTTTGTTACTACTGAGTAACAATATATGCAAACTTAAACGCATTTCTCTTCTGGGAAAATTCATTAAAACCAAACCAGTAGTGCTTGATCTTAATTTCAAGGGAATATCTTCTTGGTGTATTTTTGAGAATAAATTTCTCTCTTTTTTGATAACTAAAACTTTTACTTACTAATAAAATATTGATTTCCCTTTGGAACTTAAGCGTAAAACTTTAAAATTTAAATGATCATTCAAAAGGTTTATTTCCAGTCAAAAAGATAACTTTTGATAACACATCTGCCTCTAACTTCGGGTGAAAGTAATGTTGGTTTGTTCTATCAATTTTCTATTCAAATGAAGCTGATATGAAATTTGCAACATAATCAATGTCGTGAGATTTTTCAGGGTTGTATATTTAATCTACTGAACCTTTTTCATCAGAACAACTTCTCTCCAGACTTACCGATGCCAGAGTCAATCTCCAAAAAGCAGATTAAAGTTTATTTTTATATTAATTCGGCGAAGTGGCTTACGCTTTGATCAAAGTTACTTTTCTATCCATAGGCATTATTTGTTTATAAAGGATCCATGATTAACATATATATACGAGTACGAGTTCACACATACTGTTCATTTCTTCAGAGATGCGCTTGCTGGACCTGGGCTCCATGAACTGGTGCAGTCATGAATGTGTATGGCTCTAGCTTTCAAAGCTTCTGCAAATAATAAAGCAATCGGCCAAACAGGAGCGTCTGCCAAAATCCTGACACCTAAAGATAAGCATCTCGTACTGAGCCTTCCACTTATGATAATTTCTGCTATTGGCCTCAAATCGCCAGGCTCTAGAGCAAGTCTTGCAATTTCATCATCCAAAATATCAACATCTAAAGCACCATTTGCTTGGATTCTCAAAAACTCTGAATATGAATGGTTATTTGAGCCCAGAGGTAATAAATTTTTCTCAATTTTCTTAAATATCTTTTCAGCACGTAGCCACAAAACACGGTCTGCAGTTGTTAGATTTGCATCTTTATCCTTATTTGAAAGATAGTTGTTTGCCCAAACTTCGGTGACGTATAAGTATTCAGAAATCAACAAGGTGGAAGTGAAGAGACAAGTCAGAAAAAATATTGGTGTTCTGATTGATGTTTTCTCGGCATCATTATTTATACTTATGATTTCAATCCATAAGTTGATAATATCAAGAGAATAATTGACTGAATCACGCAATGCCTCTACATCACGCGTTAAACTCTTAATTTCAAGATTCATGGCATCCCAATTTCTCTTCCAAACGTTAGATAGAACGGAGGAAATATATATGCATTTATTAATTTTAGCAAAGGATAGCAACGGTAATGTCAATTTTAAAACACAACTGCTATTGATAGTGTGGATATTCTGCCCACGAGGAACTAAAACACCACCATTTCTAATGTAACAACTTTCCCATATTTTGATCAAGGATTCAATGTATGGCCTTTGCTCCATTCTCCATTCCGCCAATTTAGCACCATCAGTTTTATCTTCGTGTTCCAGCTTCCTCGATTCTGTATGAACATATTCATTGATAGTAAATAACAGTGATAACATCCCCCTCAAACCAATGTCTTGGTCCAGGGATAGATTCTGCATTCCTCTCCATAACTCTTTATAAGCATGCCCGTTACTCAACCTGATTAGCGAGAATTTAGAGTTTATGTTAACGTTTTTCTCCTTCAAAATCGCCACCCACTCATTGAAGTTTTTACAGTTCCACAAATCTTCATTGGCACAAGGAGATCCCGACTCTATGTTATCTGCTGACATTTCGACTTTTCCGTCTGTTAGGCAGCCATATAAAACGGTTATGTGATGTAGCACATGAATCGTTCTAATTCTCGATTGAGCTAAAATGAAATACTTGTAGCAAGCCTCAATTAGGTCCAAATTGTTGGATTGGACAATATCAAAAGTAATGGAAGGAGGTAATAACAAGCTCTCTAAAGGCATATCTAATTTTGTTATTTTCACCAATGACACTAGAGAATTCAACTGCCTCGAAATCAACTTTGTTATTTCAGAGTCATTATGGAACATACCCAAAAACATGTGTAGCACTAATGCTTGAGTAATATGAAGAGGTATGTCATTAAATCTGTTCAACTTCATCTGGACTTCCATGAAGTTGTGAATCAAAAATCTGGAAAAGTTAAACAAAGTAGAAGAATTTCTTGCATGGAAAGAATAAAGCGCACCTATTGCAGCCATTGACAACATTAATGGAATTTGATCTAAGTTATCATCAATTCGGAAAGATGGTATGTGTATCAAGGGGAAATACACACTAAATTCCAGTTCATATAATGCCAAGTAATGGTTTAGGTCGTCTAATTGGGGAAATTGTTGTTGTTTCAAGTTATACTTTGCCATTATGTGTCTTCTAATAGATTCCGAACAGCGGCCGGGGATGGTTGGATTTTGGTAAGTGTGAGGAATATGCTTGGAAAGATCGATTTGCCTGGAACGGAAAAGATTTTTCAAGTCATTTGCATTTGAAGGTAATATATTTGAGCCAGTCAAAATATTTTGTGAGTTTCCTGGAGTAAGGTTTGTTCCACTCAGTGGAGAATCAGCGGCATCTGGAGTATCTGTAAAACCAATGTGATCAGAGACCATCGGAAAGTTGGTCTCAATTGGAGCGTTTATGAATTCGTTGAACCAATCGGTATCTGATGGATGTGACAAGACTTTTTCCAAAACAAGGTTAGGTTCCGGATGTGAAAGTACTTTCTGCAGTGCCAGATCCGAATTGGGATGAGAAAGCACTCTTTGTAAAGCTTGTCCCGAACGTGGATGTGATAAAACCTTCTGGAGAGCCACGCCATTTTGAGGATTTGAAAAAACCTTTTGTAGGCTGATTTCATGAGGGCTCATATCTTCACTTCCATTGCTTCCGACTTTGTTACCGCTAGTAGCACTTATGGAGCTACTACCATTGCCACTGGGATCCTTGATTTTGTCCCTCCTTTTCTCGTTCTCGTCACTATTATGGGCAGTACTATGTTTGTTCACGTTCATGTCATTTGAGAAATTGAATGTAGAGAAATCCAGACCCAAGTCATTCAAATCGATATTTTCCAGAATATCCAGATCTAAATAGCCCAGCTCGCTATTTGGCTTGAACAACAGCTGTGGTGAAGAAAAATTGACTTGCTGAGGAGCTTCCTTTTCCAGCTCCTCCATTTGCTTGTCGTGGGGTATTTTGCTATCCGGTAAACCGGTGTACGAAGATGAAGCTGCAGCGCTAAAAGAAGCATGCCTTTGGTTTCTATAATTGGAACTTGCCTCATCTTCTGCAGAGATGTCATTCAAGTTTGCCAGATCGTGAGCATACATTGCTTGTGGATTATCATACTCGTGCTCTTCGCTATCCAAGTCGGAATCTAAATCATCCTCATTGAGGTCGTCAAACTTATCATCGGTTTTCGAGTCTACTCGCTTAGTCTGTTGACTCTCTGGGGTTATATTTTCATGGCCCAAAGGCTTGTTGAAGTCAACCTTGTTGATGGCGTTACTGCCATTTTTGTTATTAGTGTAGATGTTTGGGGAAAACATCAGCCCATTGAGTGAGGTCGGAGAGTTGTACGCAGCCGAGTTGGTAATGCTTGAGCCAAGAATGTTTGAGTTGAAAAAGTCCATCTGGTTCATAAGCGGGTTGGTAGACGATAGTAGAGAGTGACCCTGGCTGAGAGAGTACATGTTATTGTTTTTATTCATTGTAGTGGTGTTGAGGAGGTGTCCTGGTTTGACGCTGTTGTTGGAGTTACTACTATCGGATAAAGGGGAGATGGAGGAGACGTTATTGCTTGCGGTAGAGTTGCTGATTGCAGGGGAGACATCATTGGTTCCGGTGGACGTATAGTTTGCAGCAGGAGCGGCCGAAGAGGCTATTGGTAGCTTTGCGCTGGTGTTATTTCGCACAATGTTGATGTTGTCGTTTAAATAGTCTCTGACAATCTCACCGTCCTTGGACAACAACTTCTGTGCCCTGCCCTTTCTCTGGATATTTGTTCTGTTGTTGGTGGGCAAGGACGCGTGCAACTTCTGCTGGTGCCTCAACACCAAGTCTCTTCTTGCGAAACACCGTCCGCATGCGGCGCACTGAAACGGTTTCTCGTTTGTGTGGGAACGTTCGTGCCTTTTCAAGTGCTCTAGCCTAGCAAACGCTCTTGTACATATCGAGCAGACGTGGGGTCTCGGCTTCCCGATCATCTTCGAGCCGCTGGACGACTTGGAAGACGCCACCTTCTTCAACGGGGCGCCGAAGTCCTGCTCATACTCATCCTCATCGTCTTCCAGAAAGCTGTCGTGTATCCCCTGCTGCTGCTGGAGCTGCTGCTGCTGGAGCTGCTGTTGTTCGATGCCATCGGTCAATATTGCGCTTTCTAGGTTCCGTTTGTTGCTTGCCGAGCGTGGCGAGTCCATGGCAAGGTGTGTGTGTATGGCTTGTTCTCAAACAAATAAGAGCCAACTGGACCTGCTGCACTGCTGTAGCTATCTGTGGCTGCGTCTGTGTGTATTGTGCTGCTAGTGCTCTGGAGCGGGGGTCCGGCGCAAGGGCTAAACAGGCAAGGGCGTGCGTAGATGGGGTAGGTGCACGAGTGTATCTGCGACAGAGAGACAGTATCAGAGAGTGTGGTGCGTGCACACGGCGGCAGACAGAGCAAGTGTGACACTGCCTGACACTGAGCGACCCCAAATGGCAGGAACGTGTCTGTGGTGCTACGACAGCCGAGACGGTGGTGATTGTCGTGAGGGCCCGAAATGGAGAAAGGGAAAGAAAATCGGCGGGAGGGAATAAAAAAGAGAAAAAGAGGAATGAAAAACACACTTCTCTCCCGAGCGAGACCCTGCGACACGCTCCGTGTGGTGCTAGACTGAGAGAAATGGGGGTGAGAGCAATGGGAAAAAGGAAAAAAGGAAAAAAAGAGGAAAAAACTTTTCCCCGGCAGTGCAAGGGTCTGGCCGGAGTCCGAGACATGCTGCAAGCAGAAGGCAAAAACAAAAAAACAACGGACGCCCCCCAACCGCTGCTGACGTAAGCAACGTAAGCTTGAAACAGAAGGGGGCGGCTGCTGACATAAGCGCGCCTGCTCGCGGGTTGCCGGATCTGTAATTACGTCAGCCGCAGGCAAATGTTCCCGATTTTTTAGTTCTCGCATTTTACCTGTACAGAACGCGACTCTCGGGCACGGAGCGGTTTCTGTGCTTGCTTACAGTATCGCGAACAATCCGATCACGTAGGCTGGCAGGAAGATGCACTGCAATACACACAATGCGCTGAAACAGGCTAGATTTCCCTTGTCCGTGGCGGATGTCTCCTCTGTTGTAAGGGTTGGCGAAGTCTGTGACAGAGGCGACAGCAGTATCAGCAGTAGTAGCAGCAGAAAGAGTCTTTGTTGATCATGTTGAGAGCACTAGGATTCAAAGGGTCTGCATCCCTTACGCAGGAGGAAATCAACCAGAAAGTCGCTAACCAGGCATTACAGCTGGAGAGGGCCTTGAAGGCGATGGACTACGTTCTTGACGACAGGGCGGAGGAGGCGTTCAGGTTGTTGGACGACCACGACAATATCGCCATCTCCCAGTTGGCGTACGGGGTGGTGCAGTTCTTGGAGGCGACGTTGGGCTTCGAGCCGGAGACGATGAAGAAAGCATCGGAGACGCTCTCCAAGGCCGAAACCATGGCGTGGAAGGAGAAGACCAGTGCAGAGAGAAACAACGTCAAGTCGTCCCAGATTTACCCTCCTGGGACGGAGTTTGCTGTCGCCTACGCCGAATCAAACCTCTTGAACGCTCTCTTGATGTTGTTGAGTGAAAACTTCATGGAGGGCGCCAAGGCGTTGTTGAAGTTGAGAAGGGCGTACCAGACCTTGGATGCCATCAGCAAACACCTCAGCACTCCTCCAGATGCGTCCTCTTCCGCCTTGGCCGACCTCGACTCCTATCCGACGTGTTCCAAAAGCAACTCGTCGAGTTTTGTCGATCTTCCCTTGCCCTTGACCGAGCAGGAGCTGAAGGACCGCAAGATCATCGACGAGTTAGACCAGACCTACCACATGCGTAAGTCAAGAATCAACGGCTCCCACATTGGCAACCCCCCCGTCTCTGATTCCTTGAGATCTAACTTGGGGTTCAAGGACGAGTCCGCCACCCCTGCTTCCGATAAGGACGTACTGAAATTCGGCAACCCGGAGGTCGCCTCAGTCGACGAGTACATACATTCCGGGGTCAACCTCTGTTTCGGTATTCTTCAAGTTGTCTTGTCATTGATTCCTCACGGCATCGGTAAGGTTTTATCAGTTGTGGGTTTCAAGGGCTCAAGAGAGGCAGGTCTCCAGATGGTGTGGAACGCTGCCCAGGAGCGTAATATCCATGGTGGTATCGGCTTGTTGGCTCTATTGGTTTTCTACGATGGACCTTTCCAGTTCACAGATGTGGATTTCGATGTTCCAACTGCAGAAGAGCTAAGTCAAAACGACGACAAGACAAACAAAGACATCGACACCGAAATGGAGAAAGAAACGGCACAAACATTACAGAAAATTAAGACAAGCGCTTCTACCGCCTCCAAGAAGGAATTGGTTGAGGACAAAATAGCACTTGAGCGTATGGCAACATCAGGCCATGGTGAAACCTTGCTTCATCCTGGTGAGAAATTGGTCAAGGTGCTTCTTCACTCTAGAGCTCTATTCCCTCACAGCAACCTTTGGCTACTTCAAGAATCACGCATGCTTGCCTCCCGTGGAAGATTGCACGAAGCTGTTGATCTAATGGACACCGCAAAACCTTCTCAGATGAAACAAGTTGATGCTCTTTTGGGATTCGACAGATGCATGATCTTGGTATTCTTGCATCATTTTGACAGAGCTGCTAGCGATTTCCTCGACTTGATCAAAATCAACTCCTATTCACACGCCCTTTACACGTGGTTTGCGGCAGCATGTTACCTAGAAGCATACAGAATGTCTCTAACGGGTCTCATTCCAAAGGATACAGACGTCGACCCTTCCAAAATTGACACCTATGCAAAACTGGCCGAAAAGTACATTCATGAAGCCCCGAAACTCATTGGAAAGAAAAAATTCTTGTCCAAGATACCACCTTTTGAAAAATTTATTGCAAGAAAGTACAAGGAGATTGAGGATTCTCACAATTCTCACCCAAAAACACCTTTTATAGACTGCATTCAAACTTCTTTGGTCCACGAATTGGCTTATTTCTGGAATGGTTACAACAGAATGTCAACAGAGTGCTTGCAACTCTCAATATCTTTATTAGCATACTCGGCGACACCTACCTCATTATCTTCATCGAGCCGCACCTCCTCTGATGTGACTTCGGGAAATTCCTCGATGTCAATACATTCGAGTGCATCAAATAAAACTTTGGATCTTCTTCCTTCCCCGATTGCTTTGACGTTGACCAACAAAGAGACTGGTTTGCCATATGCGAAGATTCACGAGTCAAAGGAGCAACGCATCATCCGAGTCACTCTTCAGTGTCTTGCCCTCAGAAGGCTTGGTTACATTAAAGAAGGTTTGCAGATTTTTGACAAAGTTGTCATCTCAAACTTAATATTACCAGATGGAAGGCTTACTAAGCTTAACGAAAATCCTTACTTGTACCCAACTGCTCTATATGAACGTGCCCTATTCACCTGGAAATTAGACGGTGCTGATGGCCTCGCCGAGTGTATGAAATGGCTGAAATACTCCCAGGCTTATGGAGGTGATGACTACGAGTTGAGTACCAGAGTCACCATGAAGACGAAAGCTGCAATCGATAGGTTGGAAGACCTGGACTTCTGATTATTTGTTGCCTTATTGATTGTAAGTGCATAAACATTCTATATTTTTACAATACTTCTATTTTCCCTTTTTTGAGCCTTGTCTACTATTTTGCAAGATCCTCAAAGTATTGCCTACGTTTGAGATATATATTTTTACACTCACGTTTATAAAGAAATCACGATTTAACGATTCATCTATTTTTACCAGCTTAACCTTAGAAGACGTAAAATAGTAGAGCTTCAACCAAAAAGAACACATACATAGCCAAGTTTGTGGATTGAAGTCTAAAAGCTGTATTAGGAATTTCATTCTCATCTTCTTCCAAAAAGATATTATTTTCTCTATATCTAACTTCATCTTGCCTTGAATAATTTTCTTCATCTAACTGACCATCCATTAATTTTTGAATCATGTTAGCTCTACGCAAGGCATTTGACTTCAACCAATCTTTCTGAGCTTTTGTTTTCAAAAGTTTAGGATCTATTTTTCCCAGAAGATCCGGCTGACTGGATTGATGTTGCTTGATTTCATTATTATCATCATTCTCATCATCATCATCATTAACATTGGCATTAATATCTCCATCGTCATCATCTCCCTCATCATCATCATCATCATCATCATTATCATCAATTACAGAAAGACTTGGCTTTATACGCTTAGCAGTTTTCTTCTTTTTTGGATTCTCATCTTCTTCAAAAAGATCGAAATCTTTGTAGCTCAAGCCACTTGCTGCTTCCAGAATACTTATGGCATCCTCTTCCTCCCAATAAGAGACAACATCTGCCAACAGATTGTGAAACTCTTCAATTTCTTCTTCCGGAATACTCGAGAAAAGCGGTTGACTGTTTACATTTTTTAAACCTTTCAAATCTTTCAGACTAAGTTTATTAGCTGCTGATGATACCTTTTTATTGTTACGGGAACTTCTGTCATCATCATCGTTGTCCTCCTCGTCATCAGCATCATTTTCATATTTACCAAATGGCCCCTGTGCTTTAGAGTCTTCGTCATCTTCATTATCATCTTCATCATTATCATCAGCATTCTCATTCTTTTTGAACAGGTTATGCAACTTATCCATCAATTTTTGAAATTTATTACATTCCGAAGTTGCTAAGAATGCAGCCCATTTTTCTTTACCCATTTCGAGGTAGTTATCCATGAGTTCTTTCAATTCTTCAGTGTCAACCTGGTAAACGATTGGTTTACCATCATTATCATAATACTGATCATCCCAATCTGGAACGGGTCCACTTACAGGCATTTCAAACTTTTTGTCTCCCAACCCCAACTTCTTTTGTAAACTTCTAAAACTGTAACTGTTAACTGCTGTTTCATCCTCTTCAAATTCTTCGTCTTCTACGATATCATCATTTTTTTTGGTGACACTGCTAACCTTAGTTTTGACTACTCTGTAGGAAGGATTTCTTTTCTGTAAATGAGGCTCAATCAAAGAATAAGATTTCTTGATGTACTCTTGATTGGGTTTACTTAATACAACCTGTCTGCTATTATGTTTGACGTATTCCGTACTCAGGGCGAGAGTTGGCAAAACGCATACGCACACTAGTGGGAATGTATAGCAAAGTTTAACCATTGTGGCTGGTCGATACAATTATTCGAGTATACAGATCACAAAAAGGAGTTGTCAACAAAGAAAATGGGGATCATCATTCAGTTGCCTTAATGATGATCGATTTAATTTCCTCTTTTGAATTCGCACATGTTGGCTGAAATACAAACTAGGTACCAAAAAAGCGGTTTTCATCAACACACTTGTTGATCGCCCTTTATAAAAAAAGGCTTTTCACGGCTAACCTTATGTTAGATTCAGTCAAGCCAAAGTAGTTCATCAAAGCTTAGTCCCAACGAGGAAAAGAAGTCGCCCATATTGTTCTCCGGTATTAGTTCATTCACATTTTCCAAAGTTGGGTTAAAAATAGTAGAACCACAGACATTACCGTTGTTCTTTGAAGATGTATCAATCGTAGTGAACTGATTATGCTCAATCTCGTTAGATAAAGAGGATTGCTTCTGGCTATAAGCAAGTTTTTGATACATTTTCGTTAACCATTTTCATCAACGTAAGACAAATCATTAGCCAGCCCATCCAGCAAATCATTAGATAACGATATGTCACTTCCGGAGCTAATACTCTTACCAACAGACATAGGTTCATTTTCCGGAATATAGTAAATATCTCTTCGATAATTTTGAAGCCAGCCGACTAGCCAGGATGGCATTTCTATCTCAGCCTTGTAGTATTTCCAGTTGGAGATCTGAATCAAAGTTCTAAAATTATTCGCCGTGAAGAATTCCATGAAGTTGAATAAATGAAATTTCTCACTATAATCAATAGAGTCTTCCTTGATGCTTTTGAATATAAACGAGTGCGCTTTCAAAAGTTTCCAGCAGTAGAAATATCTTTTGCACAAATGCTTTAATATTGGAAGGTGGACATCGATAAATAATTTCATAATAATCTCACTTTTGTAGTACTCAATCTCTTTAATCAACTCTTCATTTTTTACATTAGACTTCTGGAGTTTTTTACCGGCAATCAAGGCTTTTATGTATGAGCTCGTAAAAATGATAACCCCTTTATGCATCACAAGCTCGACGATAGGGACCAAAAAAAGATCAAAACCGGTCCCAAAATACTTACTGCTAGAATACACTAAGTTATGGAGGTTACCAATCACAAACATCCAGATGCTTAGCACTTTATTGTAAAAAAACGTCGTGGCATCAAAGTGACGGATTTGCTGACAATAGTAAAAAATATGTAAGAACACTGGTTGTAACAATGAGAGCGCATGCAAATACATTATCATATACAAAGTCTTCTCAACTTTTTTATAGTGTAAGTTTTGGTGATCCATCATTAATATTGTGTCGAATGAGCCTAATCTGTGACGTAAATGAAACATTAAGCCCGACGTACTGACTAGAAGATCTTCTATCGTTGGATTTTCACGCATATTTGTTACCAAATCTGCAAGTTTTCTCATTTCCTGTCCAGCTAGAAATTTTTTTCTCATCATATCAATTGTCACACGTTCTAGTTCCAAGTCAGCAATGTTTGATACTTTTTCATCAAACCAAGGAAGCTTGGTATCATAATGATCAGGATATATTGAAGGAGGAATTCCAGTTTGCATATATTGATGATTATCTCCCGCAATCAACCCATACCATATTTTTCTCCGAAGAAGGTCATTTTTACTATTGTTTGATTCTCCTCCAAATGCTGGATCTCTGTTTAGCCCAATAGTGGTTGCCATTTGAATTAATAAACCAGTATATATGTGGGAATCACTTTCTCCAAACGACTGGAAACTGTCTACTTTTTGATACTCTTCCAAAAGTAAGGCACATTGAAGAACAGATAATTGACATCTCTTGAGTAGCCTGAATTCATTCAAACACGATTCTGTGCAATTGATCAATAAATTAGATTGTGGGATTTTTGATAAATATACGTCGTCCGGTGTTGAGTCGCCCGAGTCTTGAAAATTTCCAGTATTGTCGAGCAAAGATTCATAAGCAAACATTATAACGACCATCAAGGAACCTAAAATTGCAGTATCAGTTTGTTGAGACAATGTTAGTTTAGTCACTAGCTCTTCGTTTTTCAAATCTGTAATGTGGTTTCCATTAATTATTCGTTCTACATCCTCAATGAAGGAGGATTGATCTAGGTAAGGGAGAAATGGATAAACATATCTGAAGAATCTCTCTATGAATAGCCAAATAGCTCTTTTATTAGGAAGAAGATCCAGAATTTTCCTACCTAAAAAACAGTGATCTTTTTTCTCATCAATCCCGTGATTGCTAAGCAAATTAGACTTCACGGGACATGGTGAAGTTCTGAAGGTATTTTTTATCGTTTGTTGATAACGAGCAACTGCTTGCCATAAAGGAGTGGAGAAGGGATCCTTGACAACTATTGTTGCCCAAGAAAAAGGTTCGGCATTTCCAATTTTTGCGTTAGCAAAAAGTTTTGCATCTACGCCATCGTATATACCAATTCTGACTTTTCCGCTTATTCTGAGTTTTTCACAAAGCTGACGTATCATTTCCAAGTTATCATTTTTCTCATCATCTAAACTAACCTGACTATATAGATTTGGAGATGGAAATACAGATGGAAGCGCATCAGCTTTAGACTCAGATATGTTGTTTGTACCCGTCGACTGAGGAATCAGAGATTCAAGCCTTTTGATTTTGTCGTTGAGCATTTTTAGCTCAGCCGACACATCTGTTTCTTTCTTTTGGAGTGGACTTGTATTGCTATTCGTCTTAATATTGATGTCAAAAGTACTCAATCCTGATTCATCTGAGGAATTTTTATTTTCGGTTATATACTTCACAAACATACCGGCATCACCATTTCCTAAACTTAGAGTTTCTTCGAAGTATTGACAATTTGTGATCTTGTGTGCCTCGCATACTCTGCAGGTTGGTTTACGCCGGTCGCATTTTATCTTTTTGCGCCGACAGTTCGAACAAGATAATGGTATCCTGTTTCTTTTCTGCACCTTTTTACTCAGTTGAGCACCATCCATGCTGAAGATTTTAGTGATATATTTTGCTTCTGTTCTATTAGCTCTGAGGGGCATCAGGCCAAGTAGCCGATAGAGGAACCCGATACGTAGTCCGTATATGCGGCACAAACTGAGCTGACATTTTTACGCTCAAGCGAAAAAATAAACAGCGATTATGTCCGAGCCAAACTCGATAGAGACCAAAACTCACCAAGCTGGCGAACCCGTATAGATTGATGTTAGGCCTTCTACACCTAGTGAAAGGGCAGGTAGAGTCAATCAGGATTTTGAAAAAAGTGAATTTTATATATACCACTATGGTAGAGACGAATACTCCGCATTCTGAGTGGAGGAAGGAACGGCCTAGTTTGAGAGATGATCCGCAGACATCAATCAAAGTGGCATATGAGTGTGTGAAGAAAATATTAGAACTCGATACAGAGAACGTGGTGAGTGACTTGAATGTTATGGAAAGTGTAAACAATGTGTCAATACTAAGATTCAGAGATTTAGAACTATATTGCTCAGAAATGAAGGCTAATAGTGAGATTATAAAGAAGGCTGATGAGGAGCTAAAGAAGACAGTACCGATGTTAGATAAAATCGAGCGGAAAATCGACTCGTTGCACTCAATAGTGTTGGAAATGAACGAATGGTCAAAAGAGCTTGAGGTAAAGAGCAAATATGCATCATCCAAATAGGAAAATATACAAGAATTATGTATATTGTTAAAAAAGGAAATCAAAAATGGCTTCATCAACAAACTGATTCTTCAACTCGTCTTTCTCATCATTGATACCAACGACGGTAGGATCCGCAATCACTTCTGGAAGGGGTGGCGTCTCCTCCACATCACTGAAAATTAATTCCGGTTGGTAGTTACCCTTTTGAGAGGGATATAGATTGTCGAGTATTCGGAAAATACCATTTTGAGGATCGTTTAGCTTATTGCTCTGTAATATGTCCATCCAGAATTGGTCATCTTCTACCGAAAAGATGGAACCAAAAAGATTGTCTGACGACTTTCCATCATTGTTGAAAAGACTGCGACATATATTAGGTCTTCCCATGGTTGAGTCATTGCTCAACTCATCTTTCTTTCTCCTCAGCTCCAAATTTAAGTTTGAAAACAGTTCTTCATTACGAGGATCTTCATCACAGATGTCCGCTTTGTATTTCCGCAAGATAGATGTAAAATAGCAATCGGGCTTGTTCGGATTACTATAATTACTCAAATCGAGAAGCTGCAACGTTTCCATCAAATCGTCGGCGGTGTAAGTTTCAACAAAATTGAACGCACCTCGTTGATTTTCGTAAGAGAGTAACCCGTCTTTGAGCAAAGTGAAAATGTACGATTGTGCCTTCAAAATTCTCCATGCGAAAAAGAAATTTGAGGCCAACAACTTCAAAACTTTTAAATGCCTGTTGTAGAAGACGTCGTAAAGAACTGTGTGAAGTATTTGATTGATTAATTTCAGTTTCACCGCATCCAGGGGATCATACTTCAACAACTTTTGTTTGAAAATGGAGTATTTTACGTAGTTGGAGGTGATGAATACCATGTTTTTACACATTATTATTTCCGTTGAAGGAATAACAACAAAATCAAATCCAACTCCAAAAAACTCATGGCTTGACGATGCGATCTCTGGTATAACACTCAAGAAGCTCATTGAGGAGGCCAATATCTTGCTTGAAAAGAACTTTGCTGCAGGAAAATGCTTCATTGACTCGAATTTCAATCCGAGGTGCAAAAGAATTGTGAATATAAAAGAGATAGCTTCAAAAACAATCAAGGTATTACCGACTTTTTCGAGCCTGTTATAGTATGTGTTGTTATTTGATTTTTTGAATAAAGTATTAAGGTAATCAAATCTGCTCACAAGCGTTTCCTCAAAATTCTCAAGTGACTCAAGTACACTAAGGACAGTTGGTGGGTTGTGTATATCACAAATTTTATCTGCAATAGGTTTAATTTCAGCCTCAATTTCGTGCCTCGTGTGTATCAATTGAATAGTCAACTTTTCAATGTTAGGGTCATTGTTGTTAGAAAAAGAAGGGTCAAATTGAGGTAGTTCTGTGTCACACGAAGACTCTGCGATGGATTTAGGCACACCTTCCTGAAAATACTGGAAATTATCAATAGAAACCAATGTATGCCAGATTTTTCTTCCTAGAGAGCCACAAATTGCATTACACGAAAAATTGGCAAATTTGCTGGGATCTCTGTTCATACCTAAAGAGGCTGCCATTTGAACCAAAATACTGCTCGATAAGTGGGTTTCTCCTTGTGTATAAAGTTTCTCTCCATCAATCTTTTGATAAAAATTCAATAGTAAGGCATACTGATAGATTGGGAAAGTGCAACGTTTCATAAAGTCATAATTACCGATTATGTATTTTGCTAATTCGATCATTCGGTCGTTGAGGGGATGATTTCTCAGATAAATTTCTTCATCACTGTTCGATAAACTCAAGGCTTCATCGCTCATCGTAATCAAGGTTTTGTACGCAAGTTTGAGCATTACTAGTGTCGCACCAACATAAGATAGATCCAACTTGTTTTTTATATTGATCACGGTAATAAATTCTTCTGAATTATAATCTCTTTCCTTTTTAGTGTTCAGCACTCTTTCCAACTGCTTTTTACAGCAGTTGTAATCGGTATACGGGGCAAACGGGTACACGTAACGAAAAAACCTTTCAAACAAAAGCCATATAACCCTTTTTTTTGGAAGAACTTCCAATAAATCACGATAAGTCAAGTTCTCGATGGGTTTCTTTCGCTGAGGGAGGATACTCGAATTGATGTATTCATCGTAGTTCATTCCTATTTTACCTAATTCCGCATCATCCAAAGTTGAAGGCTCAAGCGATTGTTGATAAAAAATATCAGAAACCTTTAGGGTGTTGAATTTTTCGTTGAGAATATTTTCAAGGATAGGTTGACTAAATGAATCCTTGATGACCAAAGCGACCCAAGCAAGCGGACCATAACCGTTCACCCTGGAAACAAAATAAAACATAGGTTTGTATCCGCTATAGATATCAAATTTCTCATCTGGGGTAAGCTTGAGATAAAAGAGTAGGTTCATAATCCTCTGCCGTATATCTTTTTTTCTTTTAGCTACGGGACTATGACTGTCCGATTCATACCTATCAAAGTTGCTACCACGACCAGCAGAAACGGCAGCTTGACTCGCTTTGAGGTCGATAGTGTGTTCCAAGCTGCGCAATTTGTCCTTGATCATCTGTATCTCCGAGACCAAACCAGTGTCATCGGTCGTGTGCCTAGGAATATTGCCCAAAATCTCTGTGGTAGCTATGGAACTTCTTCCATCTTCAGAGAATAGATTCGACTCGGAGTGGCTACTGGAGGAGCCGCTAGGAAATAAAAACCCCGGAGAAGGTTGCACTTGGACGACCTCATTATGCTTTGGTGCTGATCCAATCTCTTTGCTCACATGGAAGATGACCCCCGAGTCACTTGAGTCTGGCGATGGATAACAGCATCTATCAGTCGTTTTCCGAGCAACACAAACCTTGCAAAACGGACGTCCTCTGTCGCATTTTACCTTCCTGGCTTTACATGCAGTGCACGAGAACTGCACACGTCTCCGCTTAAGTTTGCCCTGCGAAAACGATTCTGCAGGCATCGGAATTGGAGCTGGAGTACTCATTGCTGTGTGGTCGGATCTCTGACCAGTAGCGACACACCTCCGAACAAATCGTTATGGTTGCCATAAAATTAACCTGCAAGGAGAGAGATCAATACAACGATGCTACACGTCTTTGAGCCTCGCAGTCGGAGTAGGGAAAAAGCCCAACTCCGCAAAACTCCTTTCCATTTAACTCGTACTATGTATGCAATGGACATATACGATCCTCTGGATCCATCTTCAATTTCGCCTGCCTCTCCCCCAAACATCCCAAAAAGGCAGTACGACCGAACCAGAGTCTCGGCCTCGGCTTTCGCCCCCGGTCCAATAAAGCCGAAACTGTGTATTTTCCGTCGATCGGCGCTGACGTAATTTGGTAAGCAAGACAGAAAACCGGGACTCAGCACTTTTGCCCCACTTTTTCTTGGCTGTCCCAAAACGGCAGGTTTTTCCCTCAGTGATTTTTCCTCTTTTAGACAGCTGGCGAGCTTCTCTGAGAGGCATTACGCTTTTCACATGTGCCCCGAGACCAGCAGGGATGCTGGCACATGCACAGCTTGGTGAAGGTGGTAGTGGCCCGAGGGGACAGTACTTATCAAAAGCAACTCAAGAGAGAGACATGGCCAAGGCAGTAGAGTTGAGCCCGGCCAAAATATAAATACCGCTCGGTTCACCTCGTCTCTAGTCGCAAGCGCAACAACACGTCCGAGATACTGGCATCAACCTTATTGCAGCAGTGGCACGCACGCACCCAGTAAGTAGTCACCAAAAGTAACAGCCCTCTGCCGCGTACGAAACAAGGCACGACAGAGCACACGCATAGCCATCCAATCGACGCTAGAGCTCAGGAGTGAGATATCACCAGCATCCCCGATCAAAAAAGGAGGGCGAATTTGCTTGCTTTACAGCTGCACAACCCAGGGCCGTCGCAGAGAGGAAGTTGCGATCCAAGTCGACACACAATACCCAGCCATTGCTTTAGATACCTGCAGAAAGAACAAGGCAACTGGGATTTTCTATTAGCGGATTTCTTTTGCTGTGGCAGCGAATAATATCAAAAGCCGCTAACAGTTCTCACTTTATTTTACTCTATTTTTATTGCAGTTACTATTATTTTTTTTTCTGCAATATTTTGACTTGAAGTTGGCCCACTTGTACACATTTTTGACACTTCGGGACCGGACACGTAAATGGTCAAGAACCTCGCTGACTCGGATGCACCTGTGAACCCGTTCAGTGAAAAGATTGCAGCATCATCAGCAGAATACATAGTAGCAGATAAAGATAAGTCCCACATGGATCAGTACTCACCACGACGACTTCCTCTGAAGATCCCCGAAATGCTTCGCTCTAACAGCATCGACAACAATGGGAGCAGCAGCACTAGCACATTAAAGGATAAGTTATCCGAAACTGTCAAACCTTTGAAGAATGCGAAAGAAATGGCCAAAATAAAACAGAAGAAAAGCTACTCCTCTATAACGGGCTCTGATGATAACAACAGCGGCGTTGCAGAAGATGACCTGCTGTTGGCGGCTTCAGCACTTGAGAAACTCAAAAGTGACAAACCTCTCCCGGCCACACCGGCCACCATTCCTTCTCGCTCTACTTCTCCATCTGAACAAACACATAATTTCTCTGCACCAACAGCTCCGAAACCCACCATTTTCGACAAAATGATTTCTCACCCGTTAATTTCGAACTCCATCAATTATGTCCTCGAAAAAACAATTAATTCTTCGAACAATAACATTTTTCAAGGAAGCAATTCGAACCCTGTATTACCCTCTGTTGACGCGGTAACTCCAATCATAGAATTGCCTCACCTTTCCCATGAAGTCAATAAAATTGATACCAACATTGGTGGCATGGCAAAAAAGAGGAGGAGAGAGTTGGAGTCAGTAGACCCTTTAGATGCGTCGCATCGAAATAAGAAAACCAAAGCAACCATGTTGTCTACGGTACCCACACTCCCCAACAGAGATGTTCGATTCAGGAGGAAAAATGGACGGCAGAATCTCAGGCAGCAAATTGCAATGTCATCTGCTGTTTCTGCTCAAAAATCATTACGGGATTTGAAGCACTTATCGAGCTTGAACTTGAACATTGAGAGTCGGAAAAGATTAACAATGTTGATTCATTTTTTGAAATTGGGGAATTCTCAATTAAGTGAAAGGATAGACAATTTGGTTCAAAGTGTAGACGAAAAACGTCAAAAACTTTCTGCCAAAACTGGTAGCACGGGAGAAGCAAGATCCAATAGTGAACCGGATATTAACATACAACAAATCAAGTCTGATATTGTCACAACAGTCAAGAAAATTGTCAACGTTGTTTCAAAAGTGTCTGCTCAATCTTTATCAGAACCAGCAAGATCCAATGTCCGAGAAGCTCTTTTGAAACTTCCCACAAATTGGGCAACAATGTTGAACAATGAATCTGTGTTTTCAGTAGGAGTGGATGATGAATATGATTTCAATAGTGAAGAAGATGACGACGACGAAGATAGAGATGATGACGACGACGAAGATGACGGTGATGAAGACGATTTCAAAGAAGCACACGAAACCCGAGTTTTGAGCTCATCTCCTACTGGCATTTCTGAAGAGAACTCAAATGGTGGAGATTTTGAGAACATACCTACAATGACGGTAAACAATCAAACTATTTTTCAAAGAAAAAGGAAACCTTCCATAAGTAGGCGTTTACTCACTAGCTTACTTCGATACAGGAAATCCAAGGGTGGAGGCCTAGAACAGAACACACTTAAATTAAAAAAATGGTTCAGGGAGAAGATCAAAGATCAAATAATGCATGATTCGAGCGGGAAAGTACTCATTCTTGCACAAGAATCTTTGGACATGGTTAATAAGATCATCAAGTTTTGTAACGAAAGTTTGGACAAGGCAGAACATTGGAACAACGACAGACAACACCAACACCAGGTTGAATTGCTGCAACGACTCCAGCAGATAAACGGATTCAATCTATCACTCATCCCCAACAAAGGTAAGGAGGAAATTATTGAAACGATGGTGGTCAAAGAAAACGCCACCACGAATACCAAAAGCTCGTCCGCGGAGGATGATGCCAAGAAGGCTAGTTAGCTTGCATTCTTTTTTTGTACTGTATACTATAAATTTCAAAAAACTTAATGAACAAATCGTGATATTTTAAAATACGTCAAAAATCATTGAAAAAGAATAGGCATAAAACGACATTAAATAACTTATTTCTTCAAAGCATCCAAAACAGCCTCAATGCCTGAATCAGAAACGGCTCCCTTGACCTTTTCCACACCTACATATTTAACCTTACCAGAAGAGTCGATGATGAGGGCGCTACGCAAGCCACGCAACCCGTATTTGGCAAAAAGATCATTTGGTTCACCAACCAAACCTAGCTTGGTAAGAAGTTCTGCACTGGCGTCACTGACAAACTTAATGTAACCGTCTTGGAGCTCCTTCAAAATTTCTTTCTTTCCGGAGGACAAGTTCTCACCCCAAGCTCTGGTGATGAATGGACTGTCCGTGGATAAGATAAGGAGGTTTTTGACACCGGCGTCTTTCAAATGACCAATTGCCGAAGTAGTCAAGAACCCTGGGACGTGTTTTTCAGAGCAAGTCGGAGTGAAGGCACCAGGAACAACGACTACCACTGTAGGGTGTTCAAGCTCGTTGATGTTGATCTTCGATGGTGCATAAACACAGACATCTCCGACAGTCGGTGGAAGATAGTAGACTGGAATATCTGGAATTGTGCTGCCGACGCTAACTTCTGCCATTGTGTGTATTTCTTAATGCTCTGTATGTTTTTTCTAAACAAGTTCCAGAAAGAAATAAGCCTGCGGAAACCCGATTGCCTTCGAACACTTCAGCAGAAGTTGGGGCTTAAGAATCTTTGAAGCAACCGTTCCCTCTGTCATATCGGAGAAAAGCCACACTTACTTTGAGAATAGGGCTTGCAACAAAAAATAATGTTGCAAATTTAGTCACGTGCATACTATCCTTTCGACTTGCCCGGGGTTTTGTCTGAATGCGGTAACGGGGGTGCAACATGGACCGGAGAACCATCTCGAGATGAATATTTGGAGGCTGAACAGGAGAAACATGTGCTGCCCATAAGCTCCAGCCTAGTCTACCTTTTGGCTGCAAACCACTTCTTTGTTCTTATTCAGTAAATAAGCTACAACACAAGCAAGCTAGGCTCTTCTGGCAAACATGGATTTTGTTGCAAATAGCTTAGGGTGCAATCCCAAAGCCCCGTTAATATCTCCAGACTCAAATGCTATTTCGCCATGCTTTATCGCTCTGTTGTTTGCCCTACTGGCCGGTGTAACTGGTATTACAGGCTCTTACCAGCTTGTGAAGTACACAAAATTCACGCCGACTTTTGGTACCCTAATTTCGGAAACGTCACATCAAGCATTGAAGTTTTTTTTGATCTTACTACAAGCGGTTACTATCGGAATCCTCTTCATCGGAGAAGCTATCAATTCTGGAATCTCCTTTCAGCTCTACGCCTATAGCTTTGCTGTTTTGGAATTATTATTTGTGATATTTCCTCTCCACTTGATTGAGACCTCCAAATCCAATATTCCAACCGCTACCGTCTTGTTTTATTGGCCGTTACAATTTTGTTTGCTTCTGGCAGTCTATGTTCAACAACTCTTCGCTTCAGATGAAAAGAAAATATTTCCTAACGGCTCAGAGTTGGAGCCGTTTTTACTATTTTTCTCGTTATTGATGAACTCCATTGTATTTATTATGGAATACTGTTATTACAGGCCCAACCGAGAATTGTCTGAGCATTACAAAGATAAAAGATCAGTTTTGTCAGAACCAGACGTGTTTTCTAAACTCACCTTTTCTTGGATGAACAGATTATTACAATTGGCGAGCGATAATGGCGGATTAGAAGAAAATGACCTACCCCCACCTCCTGAGATCGTCTCAACGTTCTATTCTGCCCCAAGATTGGAGAAAAATTGGACTTTTGAGTTGAACAATGCCAGTAAAAGCCAAAAACCCTCTCTCATTGTGGCACTAATAAAAACTTTTGGGATGGGTGTTCTCGGATCATTAGTGTTTGACATGGCTGAGTCTTTTGTTTCATTCATCGAGCCTCAGCTTTTGCGGAAACTTATTCAGTTTTTCAATGTTAAGGATTCAAATCCTTTACTGATCAAAGGTTTAACGATAGCAATTCTTATGTTTCTAACAAACCTTCTCAGTACTGCATTTTACAACCAATACATGATTATTACTGTTGAAGTTTCTCAAGGTGTTAAATCGGCATTAATGTACCTAGTATACAACAAAGCCATGAAACTATCTCCAACAGAGAGAAACAATAGATCCACCGGTGACATCATTAATCACATGTCTGTTGATATTACCCGCATTGAATCATTGGCATCCTATGTTCAGACTATGGTGAGTGCTCCTACAAGGTTGGTCTTATGTTTATGGTCTTTATATTGGCTACTTGGGAAATCTACTTTTGTGGGAATCATAACCATGGCTATCATGATTCCATTAAACACTATTCTAGTCAAGTCCTTGAGAAAGTTTCACAAGCAACAAATGGAATTGAAAGATAAAAGAACAAGTTTTGTGAGTGAATTGTTACAAAATATCAAAAGTATTAAGCTTTATGCATGGGAAGGTCCAATGCTATCTAAGTTAAGATATTTGAGAGATGAAAAAGAATTGAAGAACTTGAACAAGATTGGAATTTTGTCAGCCGGGATCAACTTTGCCTGGACATGTGTCCCATTTTTTGTTTCTTGCTCCACATTTGCTGTATTTGCAATTGTATCCGACATTCCTTTATCTCCAGAGATAGTTTTCCCTGCATTATCATTATTTGATTTACTTTCAGATCCAATATTTGCGATCCCAGCACTAATAACCGCTCTTATTGAATGCCATGTCTCTCTTACAAGAATAGTGTCTTTTCTAACTGCGGATGAAATTGACCTAGATATAGTGAAAAGATTACCGGCTGTTAAAAAGTTAGGAAAGAAGGCAGTGGAAGTCTCCAATGCCACATTTATATGGAATAAACAGATTGATAATTCGGTTGAAACTGGAAATCATGATATAGAAGCTGAAATTACCGGTACAAAAGCACCAGCTTTAAAAGATATTAATTTCAGTGCTTCTAAGGGATCTCTTACATGTATTTTGGGTAAGGTTGGATCGGGTAAGTCCACTTTATTGAAATGCTTGTTGGGTGAGCTCCCAGTAGTTTCAGCTAATTCTGCCGATCCCTACAACCTTTCTATAAGTGGTTCGGTTGCTTATTGCGCACAAGTCCCTTGGATCATAAATGCTACATTCAAACAGAACATTTTATTTGGCCATAAATTTGATGAGACTTTTTATAATAAAACCATAGAAGCATGCCAGTTATTAACGGATTTGGAAATTTTACCAGATGGTCATGAAACTTTAGTTGGCGAGAAAGGAATCAGTTTATCAGGGGGTCAAAAAGCGAGACTTTCCTTAGCTAGAGCAGTGTATGCAAGAGCAGATGTATACTTCTTGGATGACATTTTGAGTGCAGTTGATGCTCATGTTGGTCAAAAAATTATTGATAACGTTTTGGGAAAAAATGGTGTCCTGAAGTCTAAAACAAAAATCTTGAGCACCAACTCTATAAAGGTTTTAAGCGAGGCATCAACAGTGTATTTATTGGAAAATAATACCATTTCCGAAACTGGCACGATGAAAGAGATCATGACTAACAAGTCGAGTGAACTTTATCGACTAATCAAGGAATATGGGTCAAAAAATAGCAATTATGAATCATATCTCGACAAGCCACTAAATGAGCCAAAATCTAATTTTAGTTCTTCCATGTCAGCTTCTTCATCTTCTATCGATACCAAGCTCTTAGTTGAAGGTGAGCTGGAAGGCGTTGAACCACTAGGAATCAATGTAGACGAAAACACAGGTGAAGAATTGTCTCGGTTTGACAGGAAACTATTGAACATGAATTCAAGCTCGACTCTCAAGGCTGCCAGTATAGCTTCATTTAAACAACTTACCTCCTTCGATGACGTTGATAGGAGGATGACCCAAACTGAAGAAAAAAAAGAAAAAGGTAAGGTGAAGTGGTCAACTTTCTCGAGATATGCAAAAGCGTGCTCTTACTCGGGTATTTTTATCACACTTTCCCTAGTTATTGTTACCGTTGGGATGTCAATTGGAAGTAACTACTGGTTAATGTATTGGTCAGAGAGCAACATCAAAAAAGGTTCTAACAAAGACATCTTTTTTTATGTTGGAATATATGCTTTACTTGGAATTGGGTCAGGTTTTTTCACCCTAATCAGAGCCATGTGCATGTGGACGTTATGTTCTATACGTGCATCTAAGAAGCTACATTCGGATATGGCATATGCCGTTTTGAATTCTCCTCTACAGTTTTTTGAAACTACGCCGTTGGGGCGTATCATCAATAGATTCAGTCAAGACATGAGTAAAGTTGATAGTGCCTTACCAAGAGTCTTCTCATCATTGTTCAGTTCGATCGTGAAAACTTTATTGACCATGATTATTATTGGATATAATATGCCTTTTTTCATTCTTGTTATTTTGGGACTTTCATTTGTTTACAACTATTACCAAAATTTTTATGTTATCACCATTAGGGACTTGAAAAGAATTGTCAGCATTACCAAAAGTCCTATTTTTGCTCTCATCCAAGAATCGTTGAATGGCTGTGAAACCATCAGAGCATATGGACAGCGTAAGCGGTTTTCTTTTTTGAACTCAAAAAATATTGATAACAACCAAGTTTCTTCCTATTGTATGAAATCGACAAACAGATGGTTATCAACCAGACTCCAATTTATTGGATCGATAATCACGTTATCTACGTCCCTTATGGCTCTAGGATCTCTATACTCGAAACACAGAATGAGTGCGGGGTTGATTGGTTTAATCATGAGTTACGCCATGAGAGTGACTTCAAGTTTAAGTTTCATTGTCAGGAGATCTGTTGAGATCGAATCAGATGTCATATGTTGTGAGCGTATTTTTGAGTATTGCAAACTGGCACCCGAAAAGGACGAAGAGGCAATAAAAGACCAGCTGGTGACTCCTCCGAAGGACTGGCCGTCGGAAGGTGAAATCGAGTTTGATCATTATTCGGCTAAATACAGAGAAAACCTTGATCCAGTTTTGAAGGACATTTCTTTCTCGATTCAATCGAAGGAGAAGATTGGTGTTGTGGGCAGAACCGGCGCTGGAAAGTCGTCTCTCGTTCTCTCCATCTTCAGATTGATCGAAGCTACCAGTGGCCACGTTGAGATCGACGGCATCAACACGAGTGATTTGCGTTTGTTTGACCTCCGGAAGAACTTATCGATCATTCCTCAGGATGCACAGTGTATCGAGGGCAGTGTCAGGTACAACCTGGATCCGTTGGACCAGTATGATGACGAACATATCTGGGACGCGTTAACGATGTCGAGGTTGGACAACCATGTAAGAAGCATGGCTGTCGAGCAGGACATGCCCGACCGGCCCTTGGAGTGCCAGATCAGCGAGAGCGGCGGGAACCTCTCTGTGGGCCAACGGCAACTTCTGTGCCTCGCCAGAGTGCTTTTGAAGACTGGGAAAGCCGAGAACGGCACCTCTGAGCCCTCCAAGATCCTGATTCTCGACGAGGCCACATCAAGCATCGACACTGAAACAGACAACGTCATCCAGCAGACGATTCGCACGCGGTGCAACCACCTTACAATTCTCACCATTGCCCACCGGTTGAACACGATAATGGATAGCGACCGAATCCTTGTTCTCGATAAGGGTCGCATTGCCGAGTTTGACACCCCGGAAAGGCTCTTGCAGTCCACAGACTCGTTGTTCTACAAGCTCTGCGTCAACGGCGGTTACATCCCCAAGCCGGATGATTGGGCGGAGTCCGAAGACAACAGTGCTAGCACGTAGCGGGGAAGGTGGCGTGGCACCGTCCGCAAAAAGATACCTATCATTTGTAGCAATTTATTTACCTATAGACAAAATAAAGTAGTTAACAGTAAAACAGGGTAAAGTAGTCTGCACAAACAAGTCGGGAAAAACGCAAGCAGCAATCACAGGAAGATAACCCGGCTACGCACGGCGGAAGCGCCAGTTGTTCCGTGACGCTCTTTGTTTTCGAAAAAGGCCGAGGCTGGGGGGACGATGACGTGGGGGCCGTGCTCGTGTGGGGTGGAGTGAGGTGGGGTGGAAGTATCGTGGCGGAGAAATAGCGGTTGTTGGCTGAATATAAAAGGGTTGATGTCTGCGCTTTGCGGGGTATCGACGAAGAGACATCGTGTGGTGGACGTTTCGATTGCTGCTCTAATTTTTTCCGACAAAAAGCATTTAGCTAACAAACAAACAAACAAACGCATAGACATACTATATAGACAAACAAAGAATGACAGTCGATAAGACCGAATTAGACAAAAGCATCAAGAAGGTTCAAGCCGAGTTTTGGCTTCCGACCGAGACGTTGGATAAAATCGTTGAGTACTTCATCGAGGAATTGGAGCGGGGGCTTGTTGACGGAACAGACCCGCTTGGCATCCCAATGAACCTTGCGTGGGTGATGGAGTACCCTACCGGTGACGAGACGGGTGACTATCTTGCGCTCGACTTCGGTGGGACAAATTTGCGGGTCGTGATGGTGCATTTGCTTGGGGGGAAGAAGCTCGAGACGGAGCAGTCTTTCTACCGTTTACCGCACGGTATGAGAACCACCAAGGACAGGAATGAGCTTTTCGAGTTCATGGCAGAGTGTCTCGAAAAGTTTCTTATCGAGAAGCACCCTTCGGGCATTCCGGAAAACAAGACGTTTCCCTTGGGGTTTACGTTCTCGTATCCTGCCACGCAGAGCAGAATCGATGCGGGTGTCTTGCAGAGATGGACAAAGGGGTTTGACATTCCAGGCGTGGAGGGAGAAGATGTGGTTCCTCTGTTGATGGAAAAGGTCAACAACAGAAACCTCCCAATCAAAGTTGTTGCTCTCATCAACGACACCTGTGGTGCGTTGGTCGCCTCCAGGTATGTTGATCCGTTAACTGAAATGGGCTGCATTTTCGGAACTGGAGTCAACGGGTCTTACTATGAGACTGTTAATGCCATCAAGAAGGTTAAGGGCCAGCTACCAGCAGACATCCCAGAGGACTCGCCGATGTTGATCAACTGCGAGTACGGCTCCTTTGACAACGCACACAAAGTCATCCCAAGAACCAAATATGACCTCAAGATCGACGCCGACTCTCCCAGACCGGGGCAACAGACATTTGAGAAAATGACTGCAGGCTTCTATTTGGGCGATCTTATGAGACTCGTCTTACTGGACCAGTACAAAAATGGTCTGCTGTTCCAAGAGGCTGATAGCAAGCTTATCAAGCTGCTGGAGACTGAAAATTGTATCGACACGTCCTTCTTGTCGCTCATCGAGTCGGACGAATCCGAGGACCTCTCGCTCGTCAAGAAGACCTTTGCTGATGCTTTGCACTACGAAGACGCCACATCTGATGAGTGCTATTTTGCAAAGGAAGTCGCAGAGATTATTGGCACAAGGGCTGCTAGGTTGTCCATTTGCGGTATATCTGCGGCGTGTAAGAAAAGAGGGTACAAGAATTGCCACGTTGCCGCTGACGGTGCTGTGTACTTGAAGTACCCAAACTTCCCAGAACGTGCCGCTGAGGGTCTTGCCGACGTTTTCCGCTGGGGCAGAGACTTGCCATACGATCAACACCCCATCAAAATAGTCAAAGCGCAAGACGGTTCCGGTGTAGGCGCTGCTGTCATCGCAGCCCTTTCTCACAAGAGACAACTACAGGGCCTTTCCCTTGGCTTGAAGGATGAATAGAGTCCTTCAGCTTCAAATATCTGACCCTTGGAGGGGGACCAACAACATGTGTAGAATAATGTGTATTCGCCTGTAATGATAAACAATGACCTGCTTAAAAAGAGGCGTTGAAGAAGTTGGAGGTTGAGTTTTCCCTCGCCGTCTGTCTAAGTCACATGAAGCGTGGGGCTGTTTCCCGATACTATGAGTGCAACACAGAGTCAACCACCAATCTCGGCCCAACTTGCTGTGTGACAATATTGAGAAGCATGTTCACAACCATCACCCCAGTGCAAAACATATTGTCCATATCTTCTCATGTCGTGCATGGAAACGTCGGAAATGATGCCATTCAATTCCCTCTAAATCTCCGAAATTGGAACGTTGACTGCATTAATACCACAAATTTGTCTGCACACCCTGGACATGGCGTATTTACAGGAGGAAAAGAAAAAGCTAAACTGGTAGGAGATCTCTTTCAAGGACTGAAAGAGCTTCTTCTTGACGACGAGTATCAGGCAGTCATAATTGGTTATGTTGCGAGTAGCGAAAACTTACAGGTTATATGGAATGACATTTTGACTCAATTCACTAGGAAAAACGTCGTTAAAGTGATGGATCCTGTAATAGGGGATAATGGTAAAGTATATGTAAGTCAAGAAATTGTGGATCTCTATTTGGAGTTATTGGGCAGAAATGAGATTGATATTGATTTGCTCACTCCAAACATGTTCGAGATAGAAGTGTTGACGGGCATCAAAATCAATTCATGGGAAACGGTGAAGAAGTCAATAGATGTTTTCTGTGCAAAATATATGAGAGTGAAAAACTTGGTAATTACGTCGGTTACAATAGATGGCAAAATGTATTGTGTCGGGTCAAGTAAGGGGAAGTCTTTTTACTACAAGGTCAGTGAGGTGGATGCAATTTTCTCCGGGTCTGGAGATTTGTTTCTAGCTCTTCTGACAGATGAACTGGTGAAAAATGAACAGGTTCTTGCAGTTTCTGTTTGCAAAACAATCAATGTTGTTACTGACGTTTTGAACATGAGCTACCAACTCTTGAAGGACGATTGTACTACTAAGAGAAACGCAAACGGTAAATTGTATATCCCTGACCTCAAGCTAGTAGAAAGTAAAAACATTCTGGTAAGGGATGTCGAGGTAATAGAACCTACGTATTTAAATTAACAGTACAGTCATAGAAATAATATCTTAATAAATGTAATCACAACAGTAGTTCAGAATCATCATCGGAAAAGCTCTCAGCTTTTGACTTACCGTCATTGTTCGTGCTGGGCTTATCCTTATTCTGCTTTTTCATGTTGGCCCGAGCTTTCTTGATCAACTCTAGATACTGATCGTTGTTTTTGTTGTTCCACTCATCGTGCTGTATTTTCTGTCGTTTTATTGTTGGCTCGTCATAATTCACCGGAGGTGAACTCGTATTTCGAGCATTACTAGTGTTGTTGCTATTGTACAATCCTCCATTGTTTGGTTTATTATTGATCAAAGCCTCCCACTTCTGTAAGCGATCTACCACAACCCTGTCACTTACAGGATTTATGGAATCGAGGTTTGCGTTGTATAAATTAATGTACTCTTTCATTCGTTGCTCCATTTGATTCCTAGTACCGCTGGAGGATAAATGCAGAGAATTTAACTTTTCCTTCAGTTTCGATGTTGAAATCGATGTATCCAAATTTGCGAGTCTCTGCTTGCTCTTCAAAAAGTGTGGCTGTAGCTGCAAACTACCTCCATTTTTGCTTTTATCAGACTTATCAAAGAAGTTGTGTAAAGTTTTGGATCGAGTGCCTTTTGGACTACTAGGTTGGGGCTGGTTTAGACTCAAATTCGGGCTTTTATCGCGATGTCCAGAAGTTAAGCATTTATCAATATGGGAACCTTGTATTTCACTCAGTGGTTTGAATACACCACATATTGGACATTCTGCTAAAATCTCTTTTTCACTTTTCTCATTTGGAGGATCAGAGTTTATTTCATTGGAGATCAACACATTTGATACATCTCTCGGTATTAAAAAATTGGTTGTGCTCTGGTTCTCATTTCCCTTTGAGTTATTTGTTACAATATATGAGCTTTCGTTTATATCAGAATTCTCTTGCTCCTGCGAATCATTTATATGTTCCGGTTGCAATTTATTTAGTAGCTCCTTTCTGTGTTGGCTGAACCATTTTACTATATTGTCCAGAAGTAAAACCTTCCTTAATCCGCTTTCATAAGTCTCTTCCAAACACGCAGGACATTTATTAGATTCTGTAATTGATCTTCTTATACATATGGAGCAAAATGTATGTCCGCAGGTTGTGAGTACCGGTGCCTTTAACAAATCCTTACATATTTGACATCTCAAATACGAATCCAAGTCTGCAAGCTCTGGATATTTGCATTCGGACCAATCGCTTGGATCCGTCACTTCTTCCAAAGTGTCAGAGACTAACGCATGTATAGCCATTGTCAGGTTGAGAAGTTTATACAACGAAAAAATAGTGTACAAATATTTACAAGATACTTTAGAGCCAGAGAGAAGAGATTGAAAAAAAAAGAACCGAATACTCATGTCTTGATTGAAAATCATGAATGCGACGCGTTCTCGTTTTCGGACCCTGGCAAAATAAACTCAGCGGCCTTATTAGCTGGTAGAATGGCCTCTGCCCAATGTGGCAGAGGAGTCTTGAACTTCCAAACTGGTTCTGTAAAATCTTTGGGTTGGTAAGTGTATTCGATGGAATGTAGTCGCATGTATTTATCGAGATGGTTAGTCGGATCGTTGTAGGTGACGTGATAGCAGTTCGAACAAATACTCTCCTTTTCCCAAAAGTTTACTCTGTTTTGCAACTGAAGTTCATATTTCTTTCTCAGCTTGAGAAATTCAGCTTTCTCGGGGTAGTGAAACATTCTTTCCTTTAGAATTCCCTCAATTCCGTAAAGCGGGTCATGAACTATATGGAAACCTAGATTTCTCAAATGCTGTCTGATCTGATGTCTCCTACCTGTGAACAAATGACAATCGAGCAAGCTCGTATCCGACTTCTCGTCATAGTGGATCATCTTGAATGTTGTCTTACCATATAAAATCTTTCGCCCAATACCCCCGTTCTCGTACCTCTTTGCTAGGTCAACGTCTACAACCGGATCTTTCACAATTCTCATTTTCGGACCAAACTTTCCATGAACTAAAGCTAAGTATCTCTTAGTCATTCCCTTTTTGTTCTCTATCTGCTTTGTCAATTCTGAACAACGATTTTGATTCTTTGCAAATATAAGCACACCCGAAGTGTCCTTATCCAATCGATGACATGGCCATAAACTAGTTCTGAATTCGAGTGTATCTTTGTCAATCAGGTCGTGCGGATCAAAAAGTGGATTCATCTTAACAGTTAACAAATACTGCAATGTGTTAAACTTGTAAGATGATCCCGACGGATGCACTGGAATCCCAGCTGGCTTGTTCACCACCAACAGACTCTTATCTTCATATATAATATTAAGATTTGGAGAATCGGGAACTTTTAGCTCGTGTATGCATGCATGGTTTACAACAACATCGTTTTCCTTCAACTGAAGTTCGAATAAATCTGATCCTTTTAGAGTTTCATAGTCTGAATAATCTGCGTCTCTGAGTTTCTTCTTTCCGGAAGAAAGAGGATCTTTAGTAGGCCTCAAAATCCACAGTTGCTCATCCATGATCTGTTTCTTGTAGAAATCCATGTTTTTTCCAAGGAATGAAGTCTCAAATAATTTCATGACAGTCATTGGCTTCTTTTTTTTCAACCTATTCACATTGGTATATGTAAGTTTTGTGTAAGGAGCTACACTTTGGTATCCATCTTTGATGCCGAATAGCGGCGGATTTGGTTGTGGTGTAACCCTTGGTAAGTCATCGGGAATTTCTTCAAGCTCTTGTAATTTTCTAGGAGTAATAACAACCTTGAACAATCGGTCAGAAACCAAAGATGATTCTCTGCGGATAGATTGAGCTACGTAAGATTTAAACATGCTTATGGTGGTTTAGCTTGCATTATCTGCTCTCCACATTGCTAAAGGATACTTGAATTTACTAAATGTTTCCTCTTTCTTGAAAAACACCATCTTCAAAGAAAGGCGCTGACGTAAGCGAGGCTAGTACCCAATATATCTTTATAGTCATGATTTATAAATGTATTATATTAAAAGGCGAAAGTAGCAAGTAGCAAATAGGTGAAACTAAAACTGATCACCAAAGTTTTTCTAAAGTTCCACCACTTCCAGAACCACCCTTGTTCCTAAAGTGCATTAAAGCACTAGTTATCTTCATTAAACGTGTGTGATCTAACTCCACCTCTGCGTCGAAAGTGATGCGTCCGGATCCCGGCTCTATTCTGTGTAGCACTTCGTTGGCCACTTTTATTGTAGCTCTGATTTTAATTTTGTATTCCATGTCTTTGGCAAAAATAGAGTCTTGTTCAGGGTCTTCATCAACGCCACCTCCTACGCGTGCCTTCAAAGGTTGCACGTATTTATTAACGTTGTTTGGCAAGACTGGTGTATCTATCTCTCTGTACCGGATGATGGGCTTAAGCCATGATTTCCTAAAATCTAACTCTACTCCTTCCACTGCTAGTTTGTTGTACTGGATTCTCACATCGAATAACTCATAATCACTTAAAGTAATGGGCAATCCGAAATATTCTCTGATCTCATGATTAACATTCAATCTTCTCAAGAGGTTAGTTTTGGCAACCTCCTTCAACATATCCACATCAACGTTTTCAAATCCGGCTGCGTGACTTAACGGAACCGAAGAATTGATCCATAGAGGAAAGAAAACAGCTCGATCGTTGTATGTTTCGTAAGCTACATATCCAATTCCAACAACAAAAAATGGGACGAACACGACTCCTAGTTTCAATAAAGGTGTCCACCACGGATTTTTGTATACTATAGGTTGTGGTGGAATTTTTTGGCCACTGTCATAACTATTATTTTCTAACTGGATTTTCTCACGTTCAAAATCGGTGACCTGGTTCTTTGGTAACGGGTGAGAACTTCGAAATGAAGGGGGGAGATTAAGCCTGGATTTGGCAATTTTCTGCTTGTTTTTGGCGTTCTGGTCAGACTTGTTTGTTCCCTGCAAAAATGGCGGAGACGTAGCAAATTTACGTAGAGGGGATAGTGGGGTGAAATGCGAGTGATGACAGCATTTCTTGAGGTTATGGCACAAGCTGGGATTTGACTTTAACCGTACTGCACATTGTGCAATTGTAATTGACATATTCAAGGCTGCTGAATAAATTAGTGACTGTGCAGTCGGGTTTGGTTCTTTCCTCCACGTTGGTGAAGAATTCAGAAATTAATTCCAAAGATCAGATATCATGATTTTTGTAAGCTGACGAAGTAGAAAAGAAAGAGTGCGGCTGGTTTTTTTTTATTTTCGGTTATACTAAATTCCTGGAATGACCATGGTCTGTGTAGCACAAAGAAGCCTTGCTTGTAGAAGGAAGGAAGTACATACTCGAGGCGTTTCAAATATTGGCAAGAAGATAAGAGGAAACTAACTTTTTGCAGCTATTCAAAAATGGCCAATGAAAAGGACACGGAGAAAAGTAAACAGGATGCAGACGATTGGAGAAATATCGAGTGTTGGGTTGAAGATGATTTTGATGCCAATGAATTGTTAAGAGGATTGGATAGCGCAGGTCGTGGTGCTACTCAAGATAATGAGGAAGATTGGGCTGATTGGAGTGGCGACGAAGGGTTAGGAGAGGGTAAAGCAAGAACAGCTGCTAAAACCCACGACAACAGCTGGGTTACAAAAGGAAAAGTAACAGATGACCCTATGGAGAAGAGTTGGAGAAAGGCTAGCAAGTTGGAAAAGGTACCCAGAGGAAGAAGGGCACGTGGGGAGGAAAGTAGAATTGGGAGAGAGAAACCCAGACGACTAAGCGAGCCCCACCACAATGTCTCGTCTATTCCTCACGAACCTTCCCACGAACGTCGCCGTCGAGGTGGAAGAAGACGCGGGAAAGAGCCGGACCTTTTTCCTTCAGTGAAAAAAGAAAAGCAAATGGATGAAATGAGCAGTGCCTTTGCGAGGCTAATGCCAGTTGCAGGATGGCAACCAGCGGCGGGAGAAGAAGCACGAGGCGAAGAAGAGGCAGAATCCGCCGATGAGGGAGTTGATCTTGCTCAAGACATCAAAATTTTTCCCCGCTTGAAGACCTTACCGCATGTTCATGAAGAGCGTCTGAGACTTATCCAGCCGAAACAGGTGCAGGTGAAGGAAGAGGAGCCACGTAGTCGAAGACACCGCTCTCGACACAGGAAGTCAAAGTCTGCGCAGAAAGAAAAGTCCCCCGAGCCGAACCACACGGAAGTCAGTCATCCTGTTAGATTAAGGTATTCAGAAGAGCCGAAACAGTCATCTAAAACGGCACCTGCAACAGCGAAAGAAAAGAAGAGAAATGAGGCCGGAGCAAAAGAGGCAAATAACAAGAAGAAGCCTATACTGGAATCAAAGTGGGCTGCCCTCAACAACGACAAGGCCGACGACACCACTGTCCGGATGAGAGAGCAATATCGACAGAAGAAGATTGACAGTCAGCTCGACTGGGATAACGGCGTCAAGGGCACGGCGGATGACCACGCTAGCGCCAAAGAAGCAGTGTCGGCTAAGTCAGCACCCTCCAACTCCCTGCAGAAACAGCACCAGCACCAGCAACAGCACCAACACTTTGCTTACGAGAACAGCGAGCCTCCAGCTAGGAACGAGCATACGCCTAAGTCGAAAGCAAAGTCCAAGCTCACCTCGATGTGGGCCTAGCTACTCTGTCTCTCCACCACCCATGTACAAACATTATATAAATAAATTTACCGTATCCGGTAACTAAAATTTTTTTGCTGATATAGAAACATGCTGGCACGTGTTGCTTATGTAATCTACTGTCATTCCGTTTTTGGTGTCATTAAGAAGCACCCGTTTCCCATTGGCCGACGCGAATAGGGTGATTGGTGGGAGAGGCCGAGAATGAAGATAGACGGACAGTGCGGGTGAGGGATGGCATGTTTTGCTCGAGCACAGGAGACAGTCAAATTTTGCAACGTTTTAATGACGTTGGTATTCCGGGTTGTTCAGTTTTAAGAAGGGGAAAATTACAACACCAGACGACATCAAAAGACAAGAATTAGTAAGTATGAAAAACTTCATGGCGGATGATGATCCATGCACCCGCATGGGATAGGGCACTAGAGACATTGTGCCGAGAGAAACTATCAAGTGAGCGGACTGTGGCAATGATAGCGGAAAGCAGCAACAGGTTGGGAGAGGACACTTATCCAAACAGTTGAAATAGAGCATTGTAATCATTTGCTTCTTGTGCAGTTTTGCACAGGATACTGGCGAAAATAACGAAGACCGTTCAAAGACAGGTTTGGCCCGATTAAGTTGATGATAGAAAAAGAGCTCCAGAAAGAAATCAGCTCTATCCAGTACTTCCGTCACCTTGTCAACTGCAGAGTACTACGTGATGTCCTAGTTGGGAGCCAGAGATCCCCATTTGATTCACTTGTTAACTGATATCTTGAGGATCTTTGCTTTTCGGCACAAACACCAAGTGGACTCCTGGCTCGCTCAAATTCTGCCATATTTTCTTCAAGCAAATACTAACAATGACCTTATTACTTGAAACTCAAACTATCCAGCAGAAAATGGCTTCCCCACAAAGAATCATCGAATTACAAAAGTTTTACCAAACTAGCACCAAGCCACTTTGGAGAGCACACCCTAACGCAAATCTGATTCTGATCCCATATTTTGCAGCTTTTGCTTTCTCCTTAGGTGCTTCCCTTACCTTCGCTGTCAGAGCAGGTTTCGGTATCAAGGCTTCCAAATAAGTCTATTGAGTAAGATCTTTTGGCTAGCCCCTCGCAAAATTTTATTTCTACACTCTTCCACTTCATAAACTTCCCATCTTATTATTATTATTATTATTATTATTTATTAGTAGTATCATTATCTAAAGTATCTAACTTCAAAACTTAATGGATCACTTCTACTAAATTAAACGAATCACGTTTCCGTACCTTTGTAATGCTGACGTAATATTCATGATGGCTGTGTATATACCTGATTTTGACGCAACATGAACGTTTACCGTTGAGTTTTCTCTGTTAAATTCCTTCTACGGTAAGCTAGTTAAAGTTCTAAACGTAAGGCTGGAATTGGAAAACAGTCATGTCCGACATAAATAAAGGAGATGTGCAAAAGAAACGACGTAGGCCACATACTAGAGCCTCCAAAGCCTGCACCTTTTGTCGGCAGCAGAAGACTAGATGCCTACGTTCGGGATCATCAGTTGCGTGTTTGCGGTGCATATCCCTAAATCTCAAATGCTCATTGACCGAGGAAGTAGATTCAGACATCCATAAACAGTCTCCTACGTCTCCGTTTTTGTCGTCCCCTCAAAAGATGCAAACTCAGCCTGTCTCTCAACACTCTTCCCACGAACAACAACAACTACCGCCGCAGCAAGTAAATGTTCCTCCAAATCTTGCACAGTCTCAACTTAGGGCAATCAATTCTTTTATGCCATCAAAAAGCTCTTCCCCGCAACCCCAGATTCAATCTAATATTCAACCAAACTCATACGAATTCAGCCCTCAAATGCTGCCATCTATTAACTCACCAATAACCAATATGCTGTATGATAGATTCCAGCCTTCTAATCAGCAATTTCAGCAGCGTTATGTACCCACCACTGCAAGCAACAACAGAGGTAACGGTATTACTCAATCTCATGAAATGATCCCACAATTACTTCCACATGTACCACTGTCAAACTCCCCACCCAGACTTTCACAAGCATTCATACCACCTTCACCTATTCCCACGTTCAATGCAGACCTAGAAACAGAGAGCAAAATTGACACGATTTATGCTAATGTTAAACAAATTCTTAATGAACTAGGTTCCAATCCGAGAAATCAGGGTTATTCCCCTGGTGTGAATTCTTCTATGCTAACTGAGGCTCTCCCAATAATGAAGGAACCTGTCAATACAACAAATATTGCAACTCAACATCACCTATTGTCACCAATTAATTTTATGAAGCTGATTACAGAACAAGAGAATAATGATGATTCAAATAACGATTCTTTAACTCAAAATAACTCAGCAGACATCACGAAGCCTTCACCAAGCAACTTGCTGGAAAAGCAACAGCAAACTGAATCATTCTCGCTACCGTTGAGTATTTTGCAACAGCTTTATCCGCTACACACTTTTCGGCCTCATTATCAAGACGTTATATCTACTAATATCATAACTGTAGATCAAGCCATTCAGCTACTAGATATTTTTCGAGATAGGTATGGTAGATGGCTCTCTTTTCCTACAATGACATCTACTAAAAGATTACTCAAGAGGTTTAGAAACAGATGTCCGCTGCTTTTGACAGTAAGTTGTTTATTAAGTCTTAAGTATGGAGATCCATTATTGAAGCAAAAAATTTGGAGTAAACTTTGTTCCATAGTGAGAAAAGAAGTGCATTGGTTGAGCTCTTCCTATTCAGGAGGTCTTGAGGAGTTGCAATGCTTGGTCATTCTAGGGGCATATTGCATAGGTTTAAGTGATTCAAGTTTTCAGGCGGCTGAAGAGAGCCATACAAATACCGATGATGAAGAAAAGAAGATCAGCAATGATGGTGAACCTTTATTGTTGTTAGATGGTTGGCATTTGAGTGGAATAGGGCTCACTCTTTTTGAAAAACTAAATGGATATGGAATTCTCGACCAAATGTATGGGGATGAGATTGAAATATTATGGCAGAATAACAAACGGAAAATTGAAGCTAAATTGGGAAAGCAAGTGGAGCCTCCGTTGCATGATGGTGACACTCCTACGGATAAAATTCATTTGCATGAGCATGAGGAAGAAGAAGATGATGATGATGATGAATTCAATTTACTTACCCTTCACAGGATATGGAATACTCTTGTTTTGATTCAATTAGCTTATTGCTTATTAGATGGCCGAAAAGCATGGGTTGGAATTGAAAAACTAAAACCTAGACAAGTATCAAATATACCAAGTGCAACTAACTTCGACTTCCGAATCATTAGTGAGATTCACATGTATTTGATTGGGTATCGTTATATTATGCTTAATGAAACGTATGACAAAGCAAATAAGGATATAAAACTTTGGTTAGATAAATGGGGTAGTACATTTGGTCAACCTTCTAATCAATTTGTGGAAATCGATTACCATTTTGTGGGAGTTCTTATAAAAATCAAACAGTTGAAACTAGATGTGAGCTCTTTGGATTTTTTACACCCGACATCAGAAACTGGAATGAAGGATGTTATTGACATTAAAATGCACGCACACTCTATCATCAATTTGATTGATACAGTTAGTGATGACTCATATTTTGCTTTCTTAAGTGATCAAATCCATTTGACCGTTTTTTACGCAACTAACATTTTGATATGTATATTATCTGCGATGGAAAAGTTAAAACATAATGCAGAGGAATCAGAGGTTGAAACAAATCAGCACAGTGTTCTTGATAAGGAGATAATCAAGAAAGTTGAAAAATTGATTTTCAGATATAGGACTGTTGCGGCTACGAAAAATGACACCTTTTACAAGTATTATAACATTCTTCACAACATGTTTACCACTAAGTTAAGAAACCAATAAAACAGAAACTCAGTTTGTATAATTTCTATTTTTGTATAATCAGCGTGTATACTACAGTACTTACAATTATTGAAACTACGATAAAAGAGAAATTGAAAGTTCAGACTGACATGCAAATCGTTTTGTTTTGGCATATCATTGTATTAATCAAAGAAAAATACTCCAAAACTAGGTATAGTATCATCATCAAAATAGAAAAGACAAAGTAAAAGCAGTTTACAAATCCTCATAAAACCTTTCTCCTGAAGAGGCAAGTAGAAGAAATGAAGAAAAAAGGAACAAAAAAAGATGTTGTGGTTTTCATTGTTTCAGTGAAACGGCTGGTTTAGAGCCAGGTATTGTCATCAAACATCCAACTCAATAGAGAGGATTACAGTTGACCGTCGTGATGTTTTTCATCATATACAATGAAAACAAAAGGAAAAAAGTAAAATTTTTAAAAATGGCATCCTTGCCATTTCTAATTTGTATCTGGAATAGGAAAATAGTCACAAACTAAACAAATCATCAGACGTGAAAAAACGTGTCTTCAAGGAAAATCAGACATATGCTTGTCTTTTATTTTCATGTTCATCAAGTGATTCACTAACGATAAAGAAACATTTCTCCTGAAATATTTCTTGACTGATCCATTTTGAGATAATGGTAACAAAAAAAAGCAAGAAATAAAGTTCTCATCAGAAAGGCATGAATGGTAAAAAATAAAGTTGTCAGCATTGTGCAACACATCTGACTCGTCATCTAGGTAATCATCAAGTGAGAATAAAGAAAAAAGTTTAAGATCTGTAGATCCTTCAGCAGATTATTAAACAATAATCAAAAAATAAAAAATCCATAATCAGTTGCAGTGGGTTTCTGAGGCCCACCATTAAAGCGTTGTCACACTCATGTACTATCAGTGCCCAGTGCTATAATTCGTCATGTAGATTTCAAAAGAAAAAGAAAGATAACCGTCAGTAACGACAATAAAAGACCACATATTGAGAAACCTTCACAATGAAATAGTATTTAGATCGAACTGTCAAAAAAAATAAGCATTTCCGTATATAGATCAGTAAGCAGCCAAAATTTCTCAGCATTTAAAATATCAGCCGGTAATTCCATTAATGTTTTGTTTAGTCATCATCTTAATATACGGCAAATGCAAAAAAAGGTAAAAAAAGTGCTAGAGCCCACGTAAAACAGCAAAAAGCCTTTCTCGAAGCTTCACATTGGATTCTGAACACATGCAACAAGAAAAAAGACAAGACAAGACTGGTCAGTGAACAATTTGAGATCATGTAATAATCATAAACTCTAGTTTGAATATTTACGGTTGTGATCATCATATATAGTCTGTTTTGTCCGTGCAGAACTGCCACTGACCAGTCTGATCGCCTGACCTGTACTAACCAGTAGCACTCTGTATCTTCTGTCGCTTTGTAGATTGAGTGCCTAATAAATCAAAAGGAAAACGGCATATTTAAAAATGAAAGAAGAAGAAACATAACACTTCAGAAGAAGAAAAAAAGGCGAGTAAAAATACGTTTCATCTCCAAACTCGACACCCTCGTTTTTTCTTCTTTTTCCTCACTTGCTCGCCCTCAACTATTTCATGCAAAAGAGGGTTTCTGTGTTAAGGCTAGCTCTGTTGATCAAAGGGTTACACAAAGAAGAGCAAGAAACAAAGGATCATCTCAAATTTCCAGTAGAGAGCAATGGCAGGAGAGACCAGCTATCTTTATACCGAGGTGCCCGTAACTTTGGAAAAGGATTTTGTGAAAGTTCCACTCCCGCAAGACATCCACAAAATAATCAAGAAGCTTCCTTTGTCTGAAACTGATGTACCAAAGTATAGAGCCAGTACTGCATCGAACCATGAAACCCACTTTGCCAGATTTTACAGGCCCGAATCAGATGATCCGTTGATTCCCCTCTACAGTTACAGGATATTAAAGTCATCTAATGGTGAGACAGGAGATGTGCTAACTATTTGTCCAATTCAGATCAACAGCTTTGATAAGTTGCCATTGCAATCGTTTAGCTTCATGTTACCTTCCAGTATAGTTCAGAATTGTATCACTTTTGAAGAAAATGACGATCACATTGTTATTGATATAATATTGAGTAACAACGTCGTTGTAACATTGAATTTAGACACTAGAATTTTTTTTAATGACAACGTGATAAGTCTAGATAACTTTTATTCCTGGTGTACATACTCAATGCCATATTCCTTCGATCAAAGAAAGGCTTTATTTATGAAATCATTTGACGTATTGACATCTATTATCTCAACCGTTGATGGAGGGCTTTTGTTGATGAGAAGATTAAACATCAGTTCTGAGTATACGGTTTCTCCATTGACTAACACTTCCTACATTGACAATATCAGGTCGAAACTGTTCTTTGGCAGCTCGAATAATGTACGCGCTATTGATTTCAATGATCAATCTGTTTCTGTTAACTCATTCATTGATGTTGTTAAAATTAATTCAGATTTATTTATTACCATATCCGTTAGTAAAACGTTTACCATATGGTCCATGAAAAGCCAAAAGATATTAAAGGAAGTAAGTCTGAATGACTTCTTACCGGATTCTATGCACTCAGCAGTACTGTCGCCATCTTGTCCGAACTCTATCTTGCAGTTATCAAATGATATATTGACAGTCCTTTTATCTTTGGACAACACTTACATCTACACATTCAAGTTAAATATAGACGATGCCTCACTGGAGCTAATTGCTGAACTAACTTCTCCAAACTGTAATCAGAATTGGATACCTATTGATTATTGCTTAATGTCAAGAAATGGTTTCTTGAAAATTTGGATTTCTTGGATTTTTGGTGATTTGTGTCTATATCAAAGCTGCAAACTGTACAATGATTCAAAAAATACAGTTGAATGGTCTTCCGCAATCGAAGCTGATGTTTTTGGAGAGCTCCAAAATTCTGAATTCATCAATGCGGTAAACAATATGAAGGATAACAAAATGCTCAATGTTTACTCTTTGAGGTTTATCAAATCTCAGTACAGCGATAAAACTATCCAATTAGCACTTGAAATTTTCAACTCACATTACGAAAGTAAATTTCTCTCTAAGAGTATTGATGATCAAATTACAGAGCTCATAATGGGTAACGGAGGCGCCACAGAAAATCAAAAGACTGAGTGGATTGGATTTGCAAGTGTCTGTCAAGATATACACATTAGAACTGCCAGCAAGGTATTTGCTATCAGTTTTGATAACTCCGGAGTAGATTTTTCAGATGATCCATTAGTGGTCGTATTGAAGGGTAACAACTCTTTTTCGGTTCTCAAACGATCCACCACTTTTGAATTATTGTATTCTAACAGTGTTCACACGAGAAAACTCAATGATAAGGATTTCCCTTATGCTGATGAGATTAACGTTACGGACTTGATGGGCCTAGTAAGTTTGATTCTGGAATATTCCAAAGGATTCAGTGTAGAAGTTTCATCTGCAATATCAGAATTCATTGAAGATGATTTTGGTTCAAAGAAAGAGAATTTCTCCGAATTGATGACAGCTATATTTGAAAGATACATTATTAAAGTGGCCAACGAAACAGTGGTTTCTGAGCTATTGAACAGGTTATCCAGTATTAATTCTGCCGGTGATTTAATCAACTTCCTTTCGATTTTATTAACCACCAATCACATTGACTATAGGAGTGGTGGGCTTGGAAGTTTTACCGAGTTTAACGAAGGTTTGATCAATAAGTCAATAATATTCAACAATCTTTTTGCAAAGCAAATAATTTTTGGGTTAATGCTAATATTACTGACCATGGATATGTCTAAACCTATAGAGCAGCTATTCAGGAAATTGCATGAAGCTTTTAAATATATCAAATTTATTGAAGGTGTTTCAAGGCTTCCTAAGAAGGATCTTTTGATTAAGTATCTTATGAATGTCAACAGCGGGATTTTCATAAAAAGTAGTACCCTCAATCTGCTATTGGTGAACTCTTTAGAACAACTTTGTGATGAGAAGTTTGTTTTTTTTGTGATTTCAGAGCTGTTAATATCGAAGAACTCGCAAATTGCTGCTGAGTTTGTCAATTATTTACCACCTTCACTACCTGTCAGTACAATTTTGAAAGGCTTAATAGCGTTAGATCGTAGAGATGCAGAGGAAGCAAAACGCATTTTCATGTGCAATATCAAAGAGATCACCAGCTATTCTAAGAAAATAACCGATGGGGAGAAGTCTTCTTTAGAGTCAATAAGATCCACCATATCGCTCATCCTAGTTGATTCTGAAATGGATTATTTCTTCAATTTGGCACTATTATTTGAGAGTAAGAAGTTTTACTTGCAGTCGTTGAGCTTTGCCCTCGAGTCATCTAAGTCAATAATCAAGACAAAGAACATAGGCACCGAAAAAGAGAGTGATGTGTTTTACAAGATTTTTGAGCTAGCGTTGAATCTTGGTGAATACAAGATGAGTTTTTCGGCAATCAAGGAAATGACGCATAAGAACAGAGACATACCATTGCGAAAGTTTGTTTACAAGCTATTTCAAGAGGGAAAGTTAGGATATGTCATCGAATTCAATTATGGAGAGGATTTGGACCGTGTGGATGATTTGATCTACAGTATGGGTGAAGAGTCACTTCAATCTATTGAGACGCTGGGTGATGTTAAGCTAGCGTTGAAGTACTACCGTGTATGCTACTCTCTTCGGTTGAAGGAAGGTGATTTTCGTGGAGCCATTGAATCGTTGTATAGGTTCAACAAAGTTGTTGGTCTTCACTATGGCGATGCAGTTTACACTAGCGAAGAGATGGCCGAGATTTTGAAGAACAACTATCTTGTGATGTTGAACTTGATAAACAGCTTCAAAGAGGAGGATCGTTGGATCATTGGCAGGAAGGTTAGTGATGGGGATGCGGACGCGGTTGTCAGCAGTGCCAAGCTGGAGGAGGAGTACCTGACGTTTGTGGACAAGGGCAAGTACAATAGCAGGGGCAAGGGCCAGATCCAAGGCAAGAATCAAGGCAAGATAGATGCCGAGGAGCGTGGCAGGTATTTGATGTAATTTAGTTAAGTGAGACTCTGTGTAGATAATGTACTAAAGTAGAACATGTGCGTATGCCTGCGCGGATGGGGTGATTTGCAGAAGAGCGAGGGAAAACCAAGTGACATTTTTGACGGGACTGATAGGCTGTTGATCTTGTCTGCGTGGAGATTTTCTCCATTTCTGGGAAAGACGTTGAGTGAAAGTTGTTAGTTTTTCTTCGGTCATTACAGCGTACTCTTCCTTAATTGAGATCTTGCAATACTTCTTCTTGCAAAGGAAAAGACAGAGGAAAGCCAATAAAAAAATGGTGGTCCCCAACATGCAAGGTTTGAAACAGCTTGCGGCCAACAGTCGTGTTTCGGTGATTGGCGGAGGTATATCCGGGCTATCATTTGCATATTTCCTCGGCAAGCTGCGTCCGGATGTGAGGGTGACGGTATACGAGCAGCAGGGTCGAGTCGGCGGATACATTCAGACAAACCGTGCGAGTGAGCAGACGCAGAAGCAAACCCGGTGCGTCGGGGAGCGGGCGTTGAAGATGGAGAAGGGTCCGAGGACACTACGAGGGGTTTCGCCTGGTACATTGATCATTGTGGATCTTCTCAAGAAAATGGGTCGGTTGGGCCAGTTGCGGGGGGTACATGTGGGGAGCAAAGGGAACCGGAAGTATCTTGTGAAGCGGTCTGGCGATGGGGATGCGCAGGTGGGCTCGGTGAGGGGCGAGTTGATCGAGGTGCCCGGGCCCGGGTGTCGGTTGAGCACGGTGGGCAAGTTTTTGGCGAGCGACTTGGGTCGTGTGGGCCTGGCCGGTTTTGCGAAGGACCTTTTTTTCCGGCCGGCGGCCGGTGACGAGGAGCGGCTGGACAGGATGAGCGTAGAAGAGTTCTTCACACGGCACTTTGGGCGGCGGATGATCACGGACATTGGGAGTGCGTTGATGTACGGGATCTATGCGGCGGACGTTGCGGACTTGAACGTGCAGTCCGTGATGCCGGGGCTCGTGGAGCTGGAGAGACAGGAGGGGTCTGTGGCGCGGGCGATGCTGAAGCGGCTTTTCCGTGCGAGGCCGAGGGACGATGCCTCCAAGAGGCCCTCGGCGCTCGATGAGGACCTCCAGTTGTACGTGGACCGGCTGGGCAGCGACTTTGACCTGGCAAACCTCGCTGTGCTCCTGAAGAAGTTCCCCATGCTGGCCATGACCGACGGCCTCTCGACGCTCTGCGAGGGGCTGCGCGGCAGCCTGCCCGGGAACGTGACGGTGGTGACCGACTCCGGCGTGGAGAAGATCAGCACGGCGGGCGCCGGCGGCGCCCCTGTGGTGACGTTCGACGACGGCCGGGAGGAGGCCTGCGACCATGTGCGGTCGACGACGAACGCACAGGTGTTTGGCGGCCTGGTGGCAGACACGGCGCCGGAGCTGGCCCGGCAGCTGGCGGAGTTCCGCTACACGAGCGTCACTGTGTGCAACGTGCTCATCCCGCAGCGGGAAGTGAAGCAGTACGAGGGCTTTGGGTTTCTTGTGCCCAAGGCGAGGTTCAGCAAGGACGCCCGGGTGATGGGCGTTATTTTCGACTCGGACGTGGAGGAGCACAGCAGCGTGCTCTTCCCCGCCGGCGTTGCGCGCGGACTTCCGCCCGTGCTTGTCGCCGGCGGCAGCACCGCCGCCGCCGAACCCCCATCGGCGGAGACCAGGGCCGCCCTGCAGGCGGTCGAGCGCGAGATCGTCGGGCGCGAAGACCCCCGGCCGGCGGCCGACCAGTTCACCAAGGTCACCTTCATGCTGAACGTCGCAGGCCCCCGCGCGCCGCCGGTTTCGCAGCTGCGCCAGGTGGTGGCCGAGACATTTGCCAACCTGCTCGGCGGCGGCCCGCTGCCGCCGGGGTGGGCGCTCGAGCGCACCACGCTGCGCGACAGCATCCCGCTCTACGACGTGGCCGGCGAAGGCTTCCCCCGGCGGCGCGTGGCCGTCGAGACGGCGCTGGGCAAGCGCTTTGGCGGGCGCGTGAGTGTCGGCGGCATGACGTTTGCCCGCGGGATCGGGGTCCCCGACGCCGTCGTGTCCTCGCTGCGGGCGGCCGCAGCGCTCGCCGGCGGAGCGTGAGCCAAAGCTAAAGCAGCCGATCGCCGCGGAAAAGGCTTTTCCGACCTCGCACTGCTTCCCCGCGGGGCGAGTCGGGGGGCCAGTGGACGGGGAGGGAAAGGTCAGGCGGCAGAGGAGAGGAGGGTAAGATGGGGAAAGAGAGAAAAGGGAGAAAGGAGACCGGGGTAGCTCGAATTTTTTTCTCCTACGTAAGCTTATCAAAGTTTTACATAGTATATTGTATCACATAGCCTCACATAATCTCACACTTTTACGACATTTATATCGACAAAGCAAGATCGAGCAAGAACCATGTGGAACACAAGACAGATGAGAAACACAGTAGTGAAGAGCGGGCTCCGGCAGAAGCAGTGGCAGGGGGCGGTGGTGCGCAGACTGCTCTCTCTGCAGACGATGAAGACGCCGTCAGAGAACGCCCTCAAGTTCGTTGCGACAGACAAAACGCGGTTCCTCCCAGAGGGAATGCAGCAGGCTATCGACATCGAGAGCTTGGCAGAGGCAAACGAGAAGTCGCCGCTAGCGTCGCAGTTGTACAAGATCAACGGGGTGCGGTCGGTGATGATCGGGTCGGACTTCATCACGGTGAACAAGGTGGACAACAGCTTGTCGAACAACCCGGAGCTCGACTGGACAAGCTTGAAGCCCAAGGTGGAGCAGTACATCGCCAGCTTTGCCAAGACAAAGCAGCCGTTCCTGGACCAGCACTACCTCGAGGAGTACCAGAAGGAGCTGGACACGCTCGACGAGAACGACGACGACGTGGTGTACGAGATCAAGGAGTTGATCAACACGAAGATCCGGCCGGCGCTCCAGGACGACGGCGGAGACATCCACTTCCGCTCGTTCGACGAGTCCACGGGGACAGTCTTCATCAAGTTGCGGGGCGCGTGCAAGTCGTGCTCCTTGAGCGAGGACACGCTCAAAGGCGGCATCGAGAGCATGTTGAAGCACTACGTGCCCGAGGTGGAGGAGGTGCGGGCTGTGCTTGACCCGGAGGAGGAGATCGCCATTGCCGAGTTCGAGAAGCTGGAGAAGAAGCTCAAGCAGAACGCCTCTGCCTCCGGCCCCTCCGACCCCAAGGTCCGGCCCGAGGCCCACGCCTGAGCCCGCTGCACCCGTCCTCCCACACGCTTTCTATATATTCTCGTACACTAACTAATATTCCTTACATCGTCTACCTACCTACCTTGGCGGCTCCAGTCCCGGCTCCGGCTCCTCCACTCCGAGCTGCCGAGCCGCTTTGTCAAACGCCTTCGCCAGCCGGAAGTCCAGCTCGCTCAGCCCCTGCACGTCGTGTGTCGTCAACTCCAGCTCCACCGCCGTATACACGTTCGTCAGCTTCGGGTGGTGGCCGCTCCGGTGTGCCCGCATCGCCACCCGTGTCAAGAACGACCACGTCTCCTCAAATGTCCGGAACCGGTACGCCCGCAGAAGCGTGTCTGCCGCCCCCGCCGTCGCCCCAGGCACAAACCGCCACCCTGGCACCGTCGCCATCAGCGACCGCACCTTGCCTGCGTCGAGTCGAGCCACTGTCATTGCCCACCAGATGGCCCCAGGTGCCTGCAACACACAACCAGCACGACCTCCACCACCACCATGAACCTATCTTCACCTCTTCAACTTCAGGCCCCGCGTCCCCTCGGCCACCCCTGGCGCTCTCGCTCTGACCAAATTCACCTTCTCCGGACCTGCGCATGAAGAGGTCGGGAGAGCATGGCCGCAGACACAAAGGAAGCAGCTGCACTCAAGAAGTCACCCTCCATCACATCCACAGCATGTCCAGTGCCATCTATATTCTGGACAGAGACCTCAATCTAATCATCCAGCGACATTACCGCCAGGACCTCGACGTCTCCTACATCCTCGAGTCATTCAGAGCCGTGTACAACAGATCGCACCCGATTGACCTCCCCATCATAGAAAGCAATGGCATCACGTACCTCTACTTGAAGAAGAAAGAGGTCATCTTCATGTCCCCCGTCTTGGGGGACATCGACGTCATGTCGCATATGGCCTTTTTAGAGAAGTTTAGCCAGTTGCTCCAGAAATACTTCAGGCACTACAACTTAGTGGACCAGGACACCACTGAAATCAAGGCTGACCTCATCAGGGACAACTTCGTCCTTATCTACGAACTCTTCGACGAATGTTTGGATTTCGGCATCCCGCAGCTCACCGAATTTAGCATCTTGAAAGACTACATCAAGCTGATGATCAAACCTGAAGACTACCACGACGGATCCCACTTCAACGAGCAGATAGACGAAGTCGAGAAGACAGTCGAAACCGAAATCAACTCCTCCATCTCAAGAACAGCAATGACGAAAATCTCTTGGAGACCAAAGGGGATCTTTTACAACAAAAACGAGTTTTTCGTCAACTTCAACGAGTACCTCAAGTTCAAGTACAACCATAAGGTGCATAAAGTCATCCTCAACCAAATATCCGGCGAAATCAAATGTAAGAGTTATCTTTCAGGTATGCCGTATCTGAAAATGGGGCTCAATGAAACTTTGAACAGACAAAAGACAATATTCAACAACATCCAGTACCATCAATGTGTCGATCTTAACCTCTTGAACGATAACACCGTCGAGTTTATACCGCCAGATGGTGAATTCTCGCTACTCACATACCAGATTCTGGATACGCAAGTCTTACAGCCCCTTATCTTGGTCAAGCCACAGTATAGAATCTTTAAAAAAAAGGACCAATATAAGCTGAGAATCAAAGTGGATATCGTCACAACATTCAAGCGGAAGTTCAACATGGTGGACTTGAAGATGCGTATACCGCTGGTCGTTAAACATCCCATTCTATACACCGACTTCAATAAGTCGATGAAGTTTAAGACAAAGCTTGGGGAAGTCGTGCACAGTCTCGACGATGAGACGATCATCTGGAAAATAGAAAAAGTCCAAGGATCAATGAGAGGTGAAATGTTGGCCGAATTCGATCTCATCACAGAAAAAGATTTATGGGAATCCCATCTGGAAAATCAAGAAAGAGTCAGGCAGGAGCATAACGACTTGTACTACTTCGAGCTTGGAACAGAATTTACTAAGCTGGGCCATAACAAGCCCACCAGCCGCAAAATCGAACACTCACAGCAGCACTATCGTCATCCTGGTGATGGTGGTGGAAGTACTGACGCTGATATCAATGACGATAATTCCGAAAATGACGACGGATACAAGTTGGGGGGAAAACCTACACAGACCAAAGCTGGGATAGAACGGAACAAAAAACGTAGAAACAAAGCAGGAGTTATGGACAACGACGTTGAAAGAGTAGTTACTGTCGAGTTCCAGCTTCAAAATATGTTGTACAGCGGACTCAAAGTTGACTTCCTATCGATAAAGGAAGACCAATTGAAACTACAGACCTTCCCGTGGATCATGTACTGTGTGTTCTGCTGCGGAGACGACTACTCCTTCATACTCAGTGACGAACAGTTTCGCAATGAGATCGACGAAGAAGATGAAAAAATCATGATCGAAAGAGGACGATGGTTAGGAGGAGATTCGAACACAGTTCCACAATCGGAACCAGAACCAGCAGAGGACGAATCCTCGAAACTTACTGAAGATTTTTCCACAGCCCTGGATCATGTTGGAGAAATAAGTGTCCCTGATGGAGCCAACCTCGACTTCGAAGAGTACGTTGTGGAGGATGAAGACGAAGTACAACCAACTGTATAGATTCATGACTAACAAATATATGTAATTAGAGTGAACTTTGTTTTCTTTTCTATATGTGCAGCTGAAAAGTACTATTACGTAATCCTTTAGCGATCGCTGCGTTGAAGCATGATGATGGTGTTGGAGAATATATAGAGGCATAATCTGGATCCACTAGCTTTTACTCACTAGTGAATGATTCTTTAAGCTTGCGTTCTTGCAGCATAGAAGAAGTCACATCCAGAAATGGTGAAGTTGAAAAGCTATAGTCTCAATTTAGGCTACCCCGCCTATGGCGCCCAGTTTGTCAACGACAACACCGTCATCGTGGCAGGCGGTGGAGGGGATGGGAATAACGGCATTCCAAATAAGATGACTGCGATCTTGATCCAGCCTCAGAACTTAAAGAAGCCTATAAAGAGATACAGAGAATTGACTTTGAACGAGAATGAAGATTCAGTGATGTCACTCGGCGTGGGTAATGGAACGATTCTAGCCGGCATCAACGAAAATCCTCTCATGATGGCTAAAGGCGTCAATAAACACTTGAGAAAGTTCAAATTCGAAAACGATCATCTCAAATTTGTGGAAAGTTGTCAAATTCATCCGAACACTAACTCTACTATATATCAAAAAATAACAGCAATCTCAAATGATGGTTCGATAGGAGTGATTGTCATGAGTGATACACCTTCTTCCATCTATATCATCGAAACTGCTCACGATCTGGAGGAGAAATTCAAAATTGTCACTGATGGTGATGTAAAAGACGTAACGATTTCTTTGGATGGGAAGCTCATGTGCTACATAACGTCATCTGTATTTGAGGTTATCTCCCTAGTTACAGGGCGTTCTGTTTATAAGACAAATATCGACTTCTTGATGTCGAAAATAAGGTTTTTAGATAACAACGAGGTCATAATTAGTGGGGCCAAAAATAAAGACACAGTCATTGCCAAATTCTCGATTGCAAGCTCAAAAATTATCCAACAGAAAATTGTGTTTAAGAATTTAAAAGGAATTACATCAATGGATGTAAATATCAAAAATAATCTCACTGTTCTTGCTACTTCTAACTACTCACTACTTATTGTCAGAACCTCGGATTTGAAAGTCATCAAGGTGTTAAACAAAGTCCATGATTTTGCCATCACAAAAGTAGTATTTTCAAAAAATGGTTCATATCTGGCCTCTTGTTCAGCAGCAAATACCGTGAATATTGTCGAAATTCCTGAGAATTTCGCAGCTTCCAAGTCAATATTGGCTACAGTTTTCCAGTACATCTTTTCAATAATCATGATAGTATTCCTATCGATGGGAGTACAATTTCTGTATGAGAATGGATACATAAATGTTGCATATACCAAGGCATTGGAAATGTATGAACATTACAAACCGCAAGATTCTTCAGGATATTTCACAGTAGAATCTATCTCTTCGTTCCATCCTTCCTCCACAACCACTGTGAATCCATCATCATCTTCCTTATCTTCTGTCTCTTCCTCCTTTTCCTATTCCGTCTCCTCTTCCGATTCATATTCAACTTCCAGTGCTGAAACTCTTTCGTTTTCGGAATCGCTGAAAATGCTTGAGTCCTCTTTGAATGGAGAAGCGAACCCGAGTTCAGAGACCCTCACTTCCATTTTGAAGCTGACAAGTTCTATCGTGGGGGATTTCAAATCGACTATCACAAATATAAAACCTACCTTAACTTCAACATCTTCAGCTAGAATAACTGATACAACTGCAGTCTCTTCAGCAAATACATCCTCTTTTGACCCTGCTGATTCCACCATTAATGGTGACATAATTTCTTACAATGAGCAAACTACATCTCTTGATCCTCTATCTTCTACTTCTTTTTTATCAGAAGCCAATGATGTAACCAAAAAGGACTCATCTTCTGTTGTCCTCAATCAACCAGTAAAAACTTTACTGACCAGTGCAATTGGTAATTCCATTACAAAAATAGACGATGGTAACACTGTGATTAGCAGTTTTCCGGAAATCTCCTCTACATCATTGGCTCAAATTAAAGAGATCACAAAAGAAATCATCAAAGAAGTAACATCTTTTGTTTTTGCCACTCAAACGGAATTCTCTACAACTGTCCAGATTTCGACCTCTATGGTCACTTCAGTTCATACTAGTATAGCAACTAAAGTCGAAACTGAATTTGCGACACTCACATCTGTCGTAGTTGAAACTCTGACAAAAGAGTTAACTATTACTTTACCTGAATTGAGTGTGCCTGTCACTGTACTGGACGTTTCTAGCTCTATTATGGTGGAGACAGAGAATTCGGGTGCCACAAATAATGCTGAGGATCCAGTAGAACCCTCAAAGACTATGAGCACTGCAACTATTCTAACCACGCCTGTTTCTGAAACTTCAACACCGGCATTTGCTGAAGGACTAAAGATACAAATAGAGCCATCAAAGGATGTTTTTAGCGATCCTGCAGAGGCCATGAATAGCCAGGAAGAGCAAGTCAAGAAAATTCTAGAAGTAGAAACTAAAGCAAGTGTTTCGGAATCAGTTTCCGGCTCAAGTTCGCATGTGTACTCGATCGAAATCGAGCCATCCAGTTTAGTATTTGAGCACCCTGAAGAGGCTTTTGAAGAAGAGCATAAATTGGTAGAGAGTGAGCTAGCGGATGTTGAGCCAATACTAGCAACAGTTACCACAGATAGTCAGTCTAATACCTCTCTGAAGGAGAGCTTTTTTGTTCTGACGGCTCCAAGCGTTGAGATAAGTGATGTTAAAGAGAATGTATCATCATCCACAGCCACTACCACCTCTGCTACCGGTCCAATTGTAGGAACTATTTCGACTTTCACTGATGAAATTGAAAACTCGCCAGTAATTGATGCATCTTCCACATCTAGACCTTCTGATATACTCAGCAAAGATGAACTATAAAAAAATGTTATATGAACTATTTTACTTTTTTATAACTTTTTAAATACTTATCGGCAGTAAAATATTTGTGAACTTAATTTGAACCAAATATGAGGGATTCCAATTATAAATAGCTATCATAATTACGAAAAAGAAAGAAGATGGAAGATAGAAAAAATGATATACGAGAAATGGAAACTGTAAAAATACAAAAGCCGAACCAACCTTCACGGCATGTTTTAAAGTGTTTGATTATTCACCGGACTTCTTACTATTACAAGCAACAATCTTAAACTTTCCCACATCCAGCATTTGGCCGTCATCAAGCTTCATGTTAACATCTTTTATAACAAATGTCCAAACATCGTCACAGAACCTGTAGGTACTTAGGTGGCCTTTGAAAGTCATTTTAGCCCGTACATCGCTGCGGAGGTGATCCGATGTGACTCTATCAAAATTTGCAAGTACCTTCATTGCCAACTGGGGTTGAATACGTTGGTCTACAATCAATGTATCCAATGCATCTGCTAGTGTTGCACCTACTCTGCATCACAAAATGGGGTGAAACGATCCAAAGATGAGTTAGTATCAAATTTAGCTTATTAAATAGTATGGTAGATAAACGTACGTGCTTCTTCTGTAAAATTCATAGTACGATGGCCCATTCATAGTGTATTGCTGCTTTCTTAGACAGGGGATCGGCTATAATAAGGAATGTAAGCATTCAATAGCTCGATGTATAGTAGCTCCTAAATGGAACAACAGGTGAAGCCTGCATAATCATCAACACCTCGCCCGCATGTTAAAATTCATCCTAACTTGATCTTTCGTTGCTGGAATTGAATTTTCTCCGAGTAGTCACAAGAAAAATGAGTAAAGGTAAATTAAAGGGATTACATCTATAGTACCGGGAAAGTACAGGCATGGCTGTCATATACTACAGGTTCAGGTCTCAGAAGCCCGATCATATTGCCACAATCAAGTTCGATGGAACAGGACTAACCGTCTTTGAACTCAAGCGGGACATCATATTAGCAAATAATCTGTTGCATTCAACAGATGTGGATATAGTACTTTACAGCACAGAAGATATCCAAGACACCAAAAGCTGGGGTTATCAAAATGGTGGATCCTCGTCTGCTGGTGAGAGAGAGTTGGATGACGATAATGAGGTTGTTCCCCGTTCCACAACCGTTCTTGTACGCAGAACCATGACTCCCAAAAAAAACAAGGGGAACGTACAAAGGTACGTGGCGGGCAAGCCGAGGTTGCAAGTTTCTGGTACAAATTCAGTCAACAAGTCGATTAGTTTAGGGAACAATGTTGGAGGGACTATGAATTTTGGGGATGCCGCCACTAATGGGGATGAGGATGACATGATCAAGAAAATGTTTAGTGTGCAAGATGAGCAATGGTCACAGCAGCAAGATGTGATGGCAACAGCTACAAGAGTGGACAACTTTAGAACGAATGTTAATGAGCCAGTTCCAGAATACTATATCTGTTACAAATGTGGTGAAAAAGGCAAGCATCATATCAAGAACTGTCCAAAGAATAACGATCCAAATTGGGAAGGTGTTCGTGTTAGGAAGACGACCGGTATTCCAAAAAGTCATTTGAAAGCAATTGAAAATCCAGAAGATACGATCCGGGATTCCAATTCCTCGGGAAATACTACATATATGGTCAACGATGAGGGTAAATATGTTGTTGCAGTTGCAGATACCAAAGCGTGGGAGAAATATCAGAAAACGAAGAAAGGTGAAAGCGGAGGTTATTTGAACGGCGATGTTGATGTTGATGATGGTGAGTTGAAAGATCCAGAAACCGGAAAATTGTGGAAAAGTCCTGTACGAATACCTTGTTGCAATAAAATTTTCTCCAGAAAGATCATCGAAGACAAACTTATTGATAGTGATTTTACGTGCCCAAGTTGTGGAAAGGAACAAATTTATCTAGACACTTTGGTTGCAGACGAAGAACTACAAGCAAAGGTAGATGAATATGTCAAAAACCTCTCGGAAAATAAGAATAATGATGGAAACTCTCCAAAAAGAAGGCAAGTCAATCCTGCAGGAGCCACCGCCAATACTAGCCAGTTACCGCAAATTCCGATGATGCCTATGCCCCCTATTAATATGCAAATGCCCCCTATGAACATAGGTATGCCTCCTTTTATGCCTTTCATGCCGATGCCCGGGATGAATCCAAACGTGAATTCTATGCAACAAAACCAAGATAGTCAAAAAAACGAAAAACGTAATTAATATTGCAGATAAATAGACTTGCTAGCTAGATCTATATTTTGATATAGTGATAAATATGTACCCTAGTTAATGGAACTATTTCCAGCCGAGTATGAGATGACAGCCCATTTTCCAGATGAGCACCACAACTCCCCGACATCGTTTCCTTGCTGTTTCCAAAATTCAATCAGCTTTTCTTCCAAGCCGTCTGGAAGACCAACACAAACGTCCGCCTTACATGTTCTCAAGGCTAGGACGTGAATGTTTGAAGTTGCAAGCTGGTCTATGGCGTTGACAAATGGTGTTGTCTTCGGCCACATTCTGTCGCCAGTCAATTTTCTATAATTCAAATCACCTTTAACAATCACCAAGGTCGACTCTTGGAAATAGTTGTATAATTCTGCACCTCCATATTTAGTTTCGTGTGGGCTCAGGTACGAGTAGTCAAGTGCACTAGTCCAAAATTCAGAGTCAACCAATTGAAATTGTTTGGTGCTATGGTAGTATTCAATGGAGCTGACAAAATATTCCAATTCCTCTTGGTGATCTGGGAACCAGTCGGAGTTTCTCATATCTTGCAAAAACAACTTGTAGTCCTTGACCATTGTATCGCTGACCATCCAAGGTCTGGTTTTGCAATGGAACACTACTGTTTTCACCAACTTTGCATCCAGTAAAAACAAGGACAACGACAGGTCGGTGTAGAATTCAAACCCGGCGTTGTCTAGAACAAAGTCAACTCTTCTCTCCTCAAAAGGGACTGCCACCAGCCTGGACCAAGCCTCTGGTAAGTCATTGGCAATGATATTCTCAGCGGACTTTTCCCTGGCCTCCTTTCCTTGTCTAGACTGGATATCCTCGAGTGTGGCATTGGCGAGAAGTGAGAGGTCAGTGGCATTCCCCCACAAAGAGATGTCAACGAATTCCTCGAAAAGTATTCTTAGCTTTTCGGTCTCAACTTGGGGCGTTTTCTTGAGCTCCTCGCTCAACTTCTTGTACCTGATTGCCAATTCGTAGATACCAAACTTGGAAGACTTGAAAGTATCCCGTTTCAAGACCTCGAAAATGTCGAAATCCACCCACTTGCTTTGTGACTTCACAACCGTATCCAAAACCCGATAGAGATAGCATTCTGTGAAAAGCCATGGTCCGGCCAACCACGTTGGTTTTTCTTTCATTGTAGCCAGGATGTCGTTGTACGACTGCAAACTAGGAATAAGTGCCACCTCGGACTCGGTAAATTTTCTGATGGAAACACCATCTTCTATCTCTCGGAGCAGCAACTCAATGCCCTCCACTATATGTTCACTCTGCTTCTTCAATTCGGCGTCTTCTGACTTTTCTGCATGTGCAAACACGTCGTGCTTTGATTGAGTTATGATCTTTGGCCATCTCGATCTCGCTGTCGAGTAAGCAAAGGATGTTGGGTCGTTTAAGTGGTAAACGTCGGGGGTTTTTGGCATTGCTGGTATTGGCTTTGTTCTGTTCTTGCGGTTGGAGTTTTCAAGACTTCAAGATCGGCCTTTCAAAGGCTCAATTGCCAGGAAGTGCTCTTTTAAAGAACTGCATCGATCACTCTAAGTCGGGGATAATCCTCTCGGGACTACGTGTCCCGATGGTTGGCCGTAAAACGGCGATCGACGCCTGCCAGCCTAGTGGCCACTTCTTAACTAGCGGTTTGGGCATTCCACATGCTGCAGCCAGAAGCCCTACTGCAACCACATGTAGAGCTTGCACGGTAACCACACGCTTGTCTTTCCACAAAGATCGGTTCTACCAGCATTCCGGAGGAGGGTCCTTCTTGATGCAAGAAGGCCTGTCAGAGAGAAAGATAAACAGGAAACGGAGAAAAGGGCCTCCGGATCTTATTACGTCAGCAGGCAGGTCTTGTTGATTTCTTGATAGGCCCCAGTCCTTGGGAAATCCCTTGGAGGGAAAAAAGGTTGCAGAAGACATCGGAGAATGAGGCTGATTAGGGTGCCGGGACAGGGTCGGAAAGGGAACAGTGCTGTGGATAATAACTACGGAGTTAATTATGGTGCTTACGGAAACTGAGATGAGTAGCCTCAAGGAGGATATTCTCCGGTTTAAGGAGCGGTTGGAGATGGAGAAAAACCACCAACAGTACGGTGCCTCTCTATCGGTGGCGCCAGTGGCCAACCCGAGGTCCAACCGGGGGTCAAAGATGGATCCGACATCTGACACGGTGAACAGAAACATGATATCCTCGTGCAGATACAACTACAAGCTTTCCTCGGTGGATGTTTACAACAACGAGGAGAAGAGGTACGAGTCCAGACTGGTGTACGTGAACAAGGAAGTAGATGCAGACCTCGAGGAGAAAATACGGCAACAGGTGGAAGAGGAGTTTGCATCTGACGATGAGTGTGTTCCGGAGAGAGATACGCTCGTCGACGAGTGCGAGGATTCATACGTTACAAGACCCAACGACATCTTCAGCACAATACGGTTGGATCAATTGCTGAGACCGATAACAAAGCCCTCAGATGTCGTCACAATCAAGTCTATCAAGAGCATATACAAAGAACGGTATTTGGATAAACTTTCGAACGAAACGATATCGATCATAGAAAAAGAACAGGAGAACGTGAACTTGTTGAACCAGATCATGAACATCTTTTTACTAGACGACCCGGAGCACATCCAGGCCGACAACTTAGGGTTGGCGGAATACAACCATCACCTTGACTTGGATAAGGAAGAGGAAGATGAAGCCAGCATGAGCCACGATTTGCAAGAACTTCACCCGGAAAACGATCCTTTTTTCATGCCTCCCGTCTACGAATCTGACTCTCAGTTCAACGGCATAGACCAAGAAGAGATAGATGAAACCCGGCAACTGATACAAATAGCATTACAACGGAACGAGGAGTTTGTTAGGTCCCTGTTGCAAATTCGACTTGGGTTTTTACATGCCGACAACTACAGAGAACAGGTGCACAGCTGGTGCAAGGAAATGCATGAAAATGAGGTGGCGGAGTCGCAAAAGAGCACAAATAATAATAACGATTAGATTCTGGGCGTCGCATTAGCAATTTTTTGTACTATAATCCTGTTTCAACCATATTAACATTATATAGATATTTTTGTCTTCTTTAAACCGGTCTGATAAAACAGAAAAATCTTTGTTCAGAGGTCAAGTTCTAACACCTTGCAGAAAGATGCGGATTCGGATTCTTCGCCCACCGTCAAGGGAAGTACTGCATTGCACAAAACACCATCGAAAAACTCATCGATCAAGTTCTTCAATTCACTACCAGTCTGACGGAAGTCTGGATATGCATTGACTTCAAGCAGAGTAACTCCGTTCTCGTTGCTGAGGTCTTGAGAAACCAGAAAGTCTAATCCGTATGCTTCAAATGCATTAGGCAACGGTTGAAAATTCATTCTGTCCACGTTTACCGCGGCTTTGAAAAGATCTTCAATAATCTCATGAATTTGGTTGATGATGTATTTCTGTTGCTTCTCGGATAGACTAGATTCTTTCAGTTCTTCAACAACTTTTTTGTCAGTCGAGTCCTGTAGACATGTATTCGTTAAATGACCAGTCATATCAATCATTCCATCCTCATCGACAATCTCTCCACCTACATCTGGATTGTTGTAATCCTCTGCGCTGAAAAGCATAAGCATTCGATCATAGACATACACATTTAGTTGACCGGTCGCTAGCACATAAGTTCTAATATGAAATTTTCTATTTTCATATTTAGGCAAGAGAAGGGGATTGGAAATGTATTCTTGAACAACAAAATGCCTCAATTGAGAAATTATCATGCCGTTATTAGTCTCATCCCCTTCATCGTCGGTATCATCCTCATCAAAAGAGTCGAAAATGGTTTGAAGTTGATCAATAGTTTTGAATAAACGGATGCCCTGACCTTTATCTGTCATACTTGGCTTCAAAATGAAAGTTTTGTTCAGCTTTTCTTCATTTTCCATGAGAACGCACCTAAGTTCGTAAACTTCATCCAGGATATCATCCAAGAATTCAGCATATGTGAGCTCAAATTGAAAACTTTCAGGAAAGGCTCTTTTCAAAATAGAGTTAGGATGTTTTGCTTGATACACTGCAATAGTGTTGGAAAGATAATGTTTTCTGATTAGAGACTTTCTGTAAATATATGAGTTGGCAATATACTTGTTGTCCTGCATTAGCCTTTCGTGATCAAGATCTTCGTAGTCTCCGTAATGAAAGACAATACTGTCATCCTTTTGTGGAAGCACTTCTTCAATGGTGATATTGGGTAAGAACTTGCTAATCGCTTTTTGCAATGGCTCAAATATGTAAGAAGTCTTTGGATATGTGACAACCACTCTTAGATTGTTTGTGGTGCTTTCATGCCTATAGTATAAAAGTGAGAAAGTTAAGCTTGTAAAAGTTGCTGGTTAGTATATATGGTCATCGTGTTGTAAATGTGTCGTGGCTTACATTTCTTTTAAATTTGTACATTATAAGTTACTTAAAACTCATCACAAAACTTTATAAAGAAAAAAATACATTTCATGATCTCAGAGCAGGATGTTTTTTTCTCTTGTTTTTTACCTATTACTTACTGGTCATCTTTCAAAATCATTTCCCCATTGTTTTCTTCGTCGATGTGACGGAAGTTTGCCCTCAAAGCAGTAATACTAGCATGACCTTGACCAATGACCTTACCATCGGTAAGCTCTGTACTAGCATCAACAGCTTTATGGACAACATCAAAATCAGGACGCCATTTGAACACAACACCATCGGAAACACTGCCATCCACTATGTCACTGTGCTCTTTGTTTGATGTCTGTTCTGGTTTGAAATATAAACTTTTTCCCCATTTGTTTTCCAACATTGGAACATGATAAATTTTGGTCTTTCCAAGCTTTACGTGCTCATTTAAAGGTATGTTGACATTATAAATTTGGACTTCGGAGTTCCATTTTTCCCACAACCTTTCTATAATTCTGACCGCCATCAAGCTTGATTCCTTCAACCATTCTGCTGGCACAGCCGGATCCGCTTCGTAAGAATATGATACTGCAATCGCAGGTTTTCCTTGATGGCATCCTTCCATAGCTCCGCCAACAGTACCACTTGAAAGAGCATATAAGGCGGTGGAGTTACGCCCCACGTTTGGTCCACTAAGTACTAGGTCCACATTCTCAGGCCCACAAATGTGGTTGACTCCTATATCCGTACTAGTTGCCGGAGTACCGTTATCAACTAAACACCATTCCTTAAGATCTGGATCAGCCTTGAACTTTGCTTGCGGCGATGGGAAAGGGCCATGGTAAGAATTATCTTCTGGTTTGGAAATAGAGCTGTAGATGTATTTGACTGTAACATCACGTCCGGCAAAATGCGCCTTCCCTATCCAGGACTTCTGCGAAAAAGGAACACAGATTGTAAGATCCCAGTTTGTTAATTGGATAATTGCAGTGACTAAGTACTTGATGTATGGGGAAGCTAGGTCGTTTGGTCCTCCATCGTCGTTTGTAAGAAGTACCCTCATCTTCAGCTATTGATCCCGGTTGTCTCTCTTGCCTGCCTTGAATCTAGCTTTTATCACATCCCTCCGACGAAGTAACTGATCGTCTTACACCTTGCTGAAAACTATTTTTTCCTCCAAACTTTCCTATTTCACCAACTCAAGCACTGGAAATAGCTCATGCGCCACATCACGTGCGGGAAAAACGTAGTTTCATTCCATTATTATTAAATTTGAGATTTGTTTCTATAGCGTTATAAAAGATGTCCTGGTTTACGTACGAACTTACCAAACCCTAGCGCCCGCCAGGTTTTTGGATGAGAGGTCTCCCAAATCTTTGCCTTTGCCGCTAACCTTGTACTTGTCCAAGAGTTCGAAGTACTTGTCGAACAAGAACGAGGAGTCCAGTGGCCCACCTTTAGCCTCTGGATGGAATTGCACAGAGAAAATAGGTCTCTCTTTGTGCATCATACCTTCGTTAGATAAATCATTCAAATTGATGAAATATTCTTGGTAATCAGAAGGTAGGGTGGTAGCATCGACTGCGTAACCATGGTTTTGCGATGTAATGTGGCACTTGCCCGTTGTCATGTCCAGTGTTGGAATGTTGTGTGCTCTGTTACCGTATTTCAACTTCAAGGTTTTTGCGCCTGCTGCTAATGAGAGTAATTGATGGCCCATACAGATACCCATAATTGGTAAATCAGGTTGACTTTTGATGAGATCTTTCAAATTTTCAACTGTTTCAGAGCAATATATTGGATCCCCAGGTCCGTTTGAGATGAAAACACCATCAAACTTATCGGCGACCTTATGGATTGGGTAATTATAAGGAACAACAGTTATAGCAGCGCCTCTTGACACTAAGCATCTCAATATATTTTCCTTTGCACCACAATCAACAACAAGAACGTGATGTTTTGCATTTTTAACGGGAATGTGGAAAGGTTCTTTTGTTGTGACCTTGCTAACCATATTAACTAAACCTGGGTCGTAAAATTCAGCGGAAGAGTCATCTCCGACACTTAATCTTGCTAAACTAGAACCTTGCTCTCTCAAGTATGTGACCAACTCTCTAGTGTCAACACCAGTTATTGCAGCAACACCTTCCCTTTGGCACCATGCACTCAGGGACTCGACTGCCGTCCAGTGAGAGTATTCTAAAGCGACATCGGTGACAACAATACCAACACACTGGATATTAGGAGACTCAAAATACTTCAGTAACGTGTACTCGTCACGAGCATTTCCCGATGGAACACCATAGTTTCCAATCAATGGTTGTGTGAAACAAATGATTTGTCCTCTGTACGAAGGATCAGTCATGGATTCTGGGTAACCAACAAGAGATGTGGTAAAAACAGCTTCTCCAGAAACGGTCTTTGGAGAACCAAATGAAAGACCGTTGAACACAGGACCATTACGAATAGTAAGTTTTGCTGGGTCAAGAGTTTTAGCCGATGACGACGCAAATCTAAATTGAGTCTTGAGCTGAGAACTTAGTCTGGTTTTCAAGATGTTGAAGGCTAACATTTTTGTCTACTGGAGCAAATATGCTTTTTTCCAACAAAAAATTAAGAGCTTAGAAAATCACAAGGTTGAAAAGAGAAGTCTTGATTAATTGCTAATTTAAAGGAATGAAAAAAATTTGCAGTATCGTCCACTGTTCGCCAGAATAGTGCTGAGTCATTGAAAAAGCTCCAGCGGACCGCGCTCACGAGTTACCGGATTCGGTAAGCGCGCTAATCATACATCGCAACTTATTTCTGATCTTTTTAGCATAACCATAGGGCTATCGGTATCTTTATTATACAGTGATAAATACAGTCGGTTGCGATAATGAATATTTATTGTATTCGACTCAGATATCAAATACTCTTTTTAGCAATGTTTTTGGATCATACACCAAGTGTGAATCGGTTATTACCTTCAATGCCACCATGTAAATATCATCCAGCCACACGCATCGCAAATCCTTACCGGAGGACTTCAACATTAAGATTTCCTCCAGCAAAAAGGCTGGTCTAGTTTCGGATGTTTTCTGATACTTCTTACTTGACCTCGTTTCTTTGTACTCAACAAAAACTTTTTCCACTCTTTCCCTGGTGAATGGATCGGTGTAGTAAACCCTCTTCATGCCGTAAATATGTACCAATCTCCAACCAGCACTTCTCTTGGTACCTTTTATTCTAACAAGATTTGACATTGTTGATTTGGCTTCCGGTTTAATTATTACCGAATTCAGCTCAAAGCCTTGGACTTCTTCAACTGTCGTACATTGGTCGAATGTGATGGAATCCACAGCATCAAACAAAAACCTCTTGGAAAATTCGTCATACTTGATTTTTGATCTAGCAGGGAGATCTCATAAATCAACTTCCTCGCAATTTATAAATTGGTATGCTGGATAATCTGGAACTTTGTATTTATAAATCTTCATACAGTTGTATATGTTCAAACACTTTATTCGATCTTGCAAAGCACTATGATCAACACAATTGTTATTTGACATATCTTGGAAGTTTTTAATAGCTTGTCCCATATGGCAGCTAGATATTGCAGTGTAGTCTCCAACGTCTTCCCATTTCTCATATAAATGAGACATATAGTGTAATGGTAACGAAAGAATTAGATTCAATTCCTTAAAGGTATCAAATCTAGAAAGATGCTCAATTTCCTCTAACAAGTCACGCAAACCTTCTCTGAGATGTGGAATTTTATCTCTTGCAATTTCAGAAGAAAATAATGATCCTATATATGCATTTAATTCAATGAGTAGAGATAAAATCTTGAGTTTTGTTGGTAAAATTTTCCTCAACTTTTTTGGTGTCTCAAACATACCACTGAAATAAATGTAAAATAAATGAGGGAACAAGGCTTGCAAGACCTTTAGGTCCGAGATAGAGGTAAACGAAACTTTTTCTGATTGAGGGTCAATAAGTTGAAGCAAAGCATTTGGATTATCAAGGACCTTGTTTTGAACAAGACTATGATGAGTTTGCAACAAGTTCTGCTTGAATACATCATACAAGATATCGGAAGAATCAGATTTGAAAAGGTGTTTGGTCAAATCTGCAATGGATTGGAAAAGTCCTTCCAATATCCATTTTTCAGCATCGACTAAAAGACAACGATTACAATTGAAATATTTCAAAGGCTCTAAAAAGAAGTCTTTCCGTAATGGCCGTTTCTTAGTGTTTGTATCCAGCGATACTAATCTTTTGTCGTCAGAAATACAGCCGTTGGGGTTGTGCTCGGGATATCTTTTGGAGCCATAAAGAGTTTGATATTCAAAACCCGTTTCATCACTTAAAGTGCGATATGGTGCTGCACAATAAACACACGGGTATGTAGGGCTTGAACATGATATATCTAGCAGGTTACTATCATCATTTAAACCATTTGTCATTGCCATTGACATTGCAATCTTAACGTAATATTCATGTCTGTTTAAGCTTACTCGAATGGTGTTTTCTTTCAAGTAATTTAGGTAAGCAAATAAAGGGGTCATCAACCTTTTGTTCCATTCTTTGCTATCATTCACATCGCATGCACAAGCTAAAAACATGAACTCCGGTTGATATCGTAAAAAAATTGGAAGTTCGTTGAACACAAAGTAAACCGCACTCAAGTCTTTGCTGTTAGGCCCGCTACCTTTTATTTTAGGGGTAATCATGGTTAAAGTAAACGCAAAATCTATCTTGTTTAGATCAGCCTCGATAGTATCTCTATAAATCTTTCCATCCTGTAAGAGGCTCATAGAGCTGCATCTATCTTTCATCATTTTAGAGGGTCTTATCGTTTTCTTTAGGTACGTTCTTAATTTTTTATTCAGCAATATGGATAAAATATGATTATTGAATAACTCAACGTTAAACGATAACCTCGTATGCGATATTGAAATTGGAGTGTTGGTAACACGATGAGTGGTGTTACGTTGCTGACTATTTCCGAAATTGTTTTGATCAAAAGGACAAGTCTCAGGAAGTGGCTTTAGCCAGATGAATCTTTTACAACTGCAATAGTTAATTGTGTAAGAAGACTTGGCAGCATTCCATGCTTGAAACAAATCTTCCTTTTGCGCATGTAAATCTTTTTCGTCGGCACCATTCATGATCTTTTGTAATGTTGTTTCTGCTGGGTTCAGACTGCCTGATGGCAAAAAATATTTTGTTCCTGAGAATTTTTGTAACTGTGTAGTGTTCAACCTTGAGATTATATAATTTATGTCTGTGTCTATGGCATTTTTGCCAACAAGATTCATCAAGTTGTCAATAGATCCTTCGGTATTATCGCTTTCAAAAAGTTTTGCTGGGACGGCATCTTTTTGTTCATGAATCTGTTGACGAGGAAAGCAATCAATTAAAGTTTCTTCAATATTCAAATCATAAGTTTTTCCTCGATATTGATCAGGATCATACACTGTATTCAAGTTATGAACAGTTGCATAATCAACATACTCATTATTTATTGGGCTAATGCTACTTTGTCTTTCTGAGGCATTCATGAGGGAAGTTTCATTTTGTTGCTCAATCGAAAAGGGATTGATATAGTTTACATCTTCATTTGCGGGAGCGCTTTCAACGCTAGGCAATCGAGAGGGCTGGATATTCAAGTTTGGGGTATATATACCCATATTTGGAGCGGCCGGTTCTGGCGTATGTTTTTCTCTCGTACTCGTATAATCATACGTCACTTTATTTTCAGGTATGTCATAATTAAAATTGTTAAGGAAAGCAAAGTCATCTATAAGTCTGGGATTAGGGGGTTCAATTGGATGGCTTATGTTGTAATAATTTAGCTTATATCCAAAATCTGTAGTTTCATCTGCTTTAATTTTCTGATAACTGTAAGGATTTCGTTTTTGAATTGGGGGGCTATTTTCTTTGTGCTGCCTTTCTACAAAATTGTTTGCATTCTCGCTGTAGAAAACATTTTCTGGGGTAAAAGTTTCTGTATTATTACTGAGGTTGGCGTCCTCAAATGTTTGAACGCTTGAAATTGACGGAGACACCTCGGTTGATACGTAATGTCTTTGGTGTTGAGGCTTGGAAACTCTATTTTGAAGCGTATTTGGCTTGGGCTGGTAATGCATGGGAGTACGGGGACTTGGGGTTGTACTGTTTAAGGCAAGCTGATCGTTCTGAAAATGCTGTGGAGGCAACTTGTTGTTTCCCATTTGTTGACTAGGAACTTGTGGGTAATGATGCATATGCTGTGAGTGGCCAAATTCTTCAGTACTGTTCATCTGACTAAACGTGTACTGCATGTTATGTTGAAAATATGTCTCATTTTGGTGATTGCTTTGGTCGTTGTTGAGTGTAAGCTCTGGTGCAGAGTTGAGTTTGATGGGTTCATTTTGGGCTTGCAGTAGATTTGCTTTTGCGTTGTTTAGTGTGTTGGCAAAATCAGCCTCTTGATAATTGTTTATTATCCTATCACCGTAACTTGAGGTTTCTGGGTTGATAAAATGTTGCTTCATCCCTCCGTTTGAGTACTGGTGTGCACTTGGAAGAAAGTATTGAGAGGGAAGACAGAGCATAGAGGAACCAACGAGGCAATTTTTTACTCCCAGAGGTTTGGTTTGGTTATTCGGGTTCATAAAGAAAAAGAATTAGTTAGGCTTTTTCGATGAGTTGTATACACTGAAAGTCATGGAAATAAGGGAGAGATTGGTTTAGTGCGTGACTTACTCTCCTTTACTGCTTAAAAAAGTACTTGTCGCAGTGAAGGAATAACCAAGGAAACAAGCGGTGATGGTGGACTATAAAAGCTTTGGCAATAAATGTTGCGGTTGGAAAAACCCTGCCAATGGAATAATGGGACTATATGTAGTTACATGAGAATATCCACACTGGGAATATAGGAGCTAAGGGGCCAGAATGATAATGCTGGGAATGATAGAAAGCTGAAGCAATGACTGCATGCAGGAAAGCGGTGTAGCAGTACATGGCGCATGGAGGGAAAAAACACTCGAAGTGCCATAAATTAATGTAGGGCACACTAAAAAATCGAAGGGTTTCATACCTTACTGCTCAAAAAACGCCGCTTGTACCAAATAATTTTTGACCCACCAGGTAAAGACCGGTCCAGAATAACAGTCCAGTCACGTTTCAGGATTGTCGTTGACACACCTACGTTATTCGAAGGGCGAAAGAGGAAAGGCGGAACGGGCCAGGACTCTCGTCAGCATTGTTTTTGCATCCAAACCTTCTCTGCAGTGCACATCTCTGTCGAGGCTTCGGGTACTGACGTGCCCACCTCTCGTACGAGAATGACGCTTGTCTAAACTGCTAAAATGGACGAATCTTGCTGCTGCGGGACAACGACGCGAGCGCACAGCGACAAAGTCCGTCCAGCAGCACCGGACTTTGTTAAGACATAGCTATGTGTCTGCACGACTGGGTAACTTGGTGCAGCTCTGCAAAAGGGTGTGGCTGTGTACAATATTGAGATCGATTCTTTTCTAAATCAAGCGAAGGCCAGTGAATTTCGCGCCAATGAGTTGCATGAGAGCGCCTCAAGATGCAGCGATTTTCTTTTTGCTACCGGCCGAAGCATGGCACCGGCGTTCCCCGTGGCAGGTTAGAGAGAAAAAGGAGCGCGGAGATACCAAAGCTGGTGATGCAAGCACGAGCAACACAGAGATGGGTCAAATGCCGTTTTTGGCACAAAGCAAAGAACGCATTTTCTTGTATGTCTGTAAGTGGCTCTAGGATGGCATGTAGCAGTAGTAGCACCAGCAGCGTTTAAAAAAAGGCCTTAGGGAGCCAAGACAGAGTCGCTGTTAAGCAGACCGCGTAAAGGTTGGTACTCGTCCTGGCAAAAACGCCTAACATTCCGCCGTGCGCGCCAAAAACCGAAGAGAAGCATGTCGCCAAATCAATTGTACCGTTGGTTAGGTAACCGAGGTGTCATCCTACGTTGCTTTGCATTGCATCGCCTCGCCTTGCGTCACCTCACCTTGCGTCCCCTTTTTCGTGCGGTGATATGCGTTACTGTACGCTGCGCCATGGCGCTATACTACTTTGTCAGCATGGGGAACGCCAAATCGTTTAAAACTGTGCCGTCGGACCCGAGCAGGATTGCAGTGAAAAGATCTGCTTTTGCCTTTGTGGGTTGAGGGCAACTTTTGTTGCCTTACCTAGTCCCGTGCTGTTTTGAGGAGAGAAGCGGGTTTCCCAAATGGGACAACTGCTGTTCCTAAGCAAAGGCGATTTGCCGCTCGAAAGCAGCGGTGTGGGAGTAAGGGATTCTCGTTGGGTCCCTTTCACACACGCGCCTACGAGCGCTATCCCCTTTGGGAAACCTGGCAACTGCTTGAAAGGCTGCGCCTGCGCTTGCGCCGGATCCGCCGTAATGTAGCATGCGCAGACTGCCTACTGCCAGCTGCAGGGTAACGAAGGAAACTGCGTCCGGTGATCGAGTACCTGATGCAAGGATGGAAAACCACGGAAATGAAGGTAGGCGCCGCCTCAAAAAGCAGACCAGTAATGAAAATTTTTGTGCACGGCGCATTGGGTGATCATCCTACCCTTCCCTGTAACAAGCTGCCGGTCGGCAACTTCTTTTCCTGCAAGTCAGGGTTGGTGTGGCGAGAACGGGAAACAAGGAGAAAACCGTGGAGTGCGAACAATTATTAACCTATTGTGTTGCCGGCTTTCGCCGCGAAGGGGGGTGCCATGGGCGAGAAAGGTGAGATTACAGCGCTCGGGGTAAGTACAGGAAAAAACGTTGTAGCAGAAATCTGGGACCCCAACAGTATCCCTCCATAAAAAATCATACGATAGATGGGTTGCAGAAGAGCTTGACAAGGTGGTAAAAAGAGCCTTAGAGAATAGTAACACTGGGGTACACTTGCAAAGCTCTATGAGGTTTGGGGTGTGCGGGGTATAAGATGACGACGGGCAAAAGCAAATGCAGGGTCAAGGTACAGTTGGTGAGGTCTCAGGACATTACTTTCTGTCTCACCTTCTCGGTGCATCTCTGGGTACACTGTAGCTAGCTTAGCTGTAGGGGAGAATATATAGATATGAGGGTGCTAGGCCGTCACATCAAGTAATGTAGCTAGTGAGGGTAAAAGATTCCAGTAATAGGTTGCTGCTCCTGCCGTGAATTTCTAGTTAAGCCCGTATAATATCTAATCCCCAACCGTTCATTGTTTTCTGTTGTGCTACACAAGAAGCTTTCATTTGTGGCTGAAAGTAGACTTGCTGACTATGATCCAAGCCGTGTCAAGAGGTCACCACTTCGCATGAATGAAGTGTGTTTCTTTGAGAAGCTTTCAAGAAACGAGGGGAGTGGGGACGGTGCTACCAGGATCTTTTACAAAGCTATGCCCCTTGGAGACCACGATACTTGACTCGGCTAACATTACTCCAAGTTTTCGTGCCAAGAATGGTGATATCAAATGTAATGAATAGACCTAAAGATGATTCTTAATCAGGACCATCCGTTCATGGGCTGTTCTTAGCAGTCAAGCAAAATCTTAATTAGCACTACTGCTCAAGTTTGTTTAGCATCCTCATCGCACATTAAACATGCTCTCATTCAAGAAGCTACTAAAGGGTGCTTGGTTTACCGGTTGGTGGTAGCGTTGTGTCTCATTATTTCAAAAATGGACTGACACTTACTGTGAAACAAAACATCAGCAGCTCAGTGACAAAAAGAAAGAAGCATTTGAACACTTTTCAGGTATTCGTCCATTCATGGAAGAAAGCTGCGTTTAAGCTGCAAACGAGATATTCTCGGCAACACTAGATTTACTGCAGGAAGAATGCCAACCTCATTGCACACAGATAAGCCAAGGCCTCAACCTCTCTAGCAGCAACCTATGCTATTCTTTCCAGCTCAACTGCTGGTTATTAATGTACCACTTCACAAGTTAGTTAAGTAGCAACCCAAGGATAACAAAATAGCAACAAAGCCGGTTGTGGTGGGCACTGAATATTTATTCATAGTGATTGAATTTTGTCTTCAAACTCACTGGAGAGCTTTCTGCTACTGCTGGAAAAGAGCATGAACTTGACTGGCCCCTGTAATACCATATATTATAATAATAAATTTTGTTGGTTACTCTTTCTACATACTTTGTTTCTATGTGTGATATTGGTCACGTGATATATTATGTATAAATTTTTGTGTAATGATGAATGAGAGGGTCAAAGTTTTTTGCAAATGCTTTATAGATCAACTACAAAGTTTTTTTTAGCTGATGTATTTGATGCCTTTGAAATGTTTGAGCAATCAAATGCTGTTCCCATAAATGTTAGATAATAGTGTAACGCTTGAATTGAAATCAAAACTTCCATCCGCTTGGAAGGTTCATATGAAGTTTTTACAACAAAAGAAGCTGTTGCGATGATATACGGAAAAATGCAGCTGCTGCGCCACATTACGTAAAATCCTGCGTTTTTTAAGTGTTTACGTGATGATAAACCCTGAACTTTTACCCGGCCTTAGTGCAACCCTCGCTAGAGTGGACGCAAGGAAATGGGAACTGAAAAATTTTCACTCCCGCTTATGCTCGCTGGAAGGCACCTATCCACTCTCTGGTTACTTTCTCCAACCGTCGTTAACTTTTCTTGTCACTTTCATCTTCTGTTATTTCTTCTTGATATTTTGAAACTGTTTTAGTTCTGGTTTCCTTTATCACAGCACTTAGTTCACATCAACAAGTTAATACAATATGTCTCACAGAAAGTTCGAAGAGCCAAGACACGGTTCCCTAGGTTTCCTTCCAAGAAAGAGATCTGCCAAGCAAAGAGGTAGATGTAAGTCTTTCCCAAAGGACGACAAGTCTAAGCCAGTTGCTTTGACCGCTTTCTTAGGTTACAAGGCTGGTATGACCACCATCGTCAGAGACTTGGACAGACCAGGTTCCAAGATGCACAAGAGAGAAGTCGTTGAGGCTGCAACTGTTGTTGACACTCCTGAATTAGTTGTTGTCGGTGTTGTCGGTTACGTTGAAACCCCAAGAGGTTTGAGATCCTTAACTACCGTCTGGGCTGAGCACTTGTCTGAAGAAGTCAAGAGAAGATTCTACAAGAACTGGTACAAGTCCAAGAAGAGAGCTTTCCTCAAGTACTCCCAAAAGTACTCCAAGGCAGGCGAGGTTGACACTGAATTAGCTAGAATCACCAAGTACTGTTCCGTTGTCAGAGTTTTGGTCCACACTCAAATCAGAAAGACTCCATTAACTCAAAAGAAGGCTCACTTAGCTGAGATTCAATTGAACGGTGGCTCTATTGCTGACAAGGTCCAATGGGCTAAGGAACACTTTGAAAAGACCGTTGCTGTCGACTCCGTTTTCGAGCAAAACGAAATGATTGACTCCATCGCAGTTACCAGAGGTCACGGTTTTGAGGGTGTCACCCACAGATGGGGTACCAAGATGCTTCCAAGAAAGACCCACAGAGGTTCCAGAAAGGTTGCTTGTATCGGTGCATGGCATCCATCCCATGTCCAGTGGTCTGTTGCCAGAGCTGGTCAAAACGGTTACCACCACAGAACCTCTATCAACCACAAGGTTTACAGAGTCGGTAAGGCTGGTGACGAAGCTTCCGGTGCTACTGATTTCGACAGAACCAAGAAGACTATCACCCCAATGGGTGGTTTCGTTAGATACGGTGACGTCAAGAACGATTTCATCTTATTGAAGGGTTCCATTCCTGGTCCAGTCAAGAGAGTCATCACTTTGAGAAAGTCCTTGTACGGTCCAAAGGACAGAAGAGCTTTGGAAGAAGTCAACTTGAAGTGGATTGACACTGCTTCCAAGTTCGGTAAGGGTAGATTCCAAACTCCAGCTGAAAAGCACGCTTTCCTTGGTACTTTGAAGAAGGACTTAGAAAACTAAGTTTTTCGGTTTCCAATCTGAAAGTCTCTTTGTATAGCTTAACCCAAATTCCTTTATACTTTATTACTGTAGTTATAGTGAATAAAAGGTTTCGATTGTGCAAATTTACTACATTAGTGCCGGAAAAAAGAAGTATTTCCGTTTCTCGTTGTGAAAAATGGGGGGCCAAAATACGAGGAAGTAGGCGCTGAAGCATGGTGCACGGATGGCGTCCACGTCAGTGGTTCAAATTTTTCAAGCGGGCAAAGGAGATGGAAAATTTTTGCGGTCTTTACAACTGGGCGTAGTCCCTTTTCTTCAGAGCCTTGACTACAACACTATTTTGGGGAAGTTCTTTTGAATTGTTTTTCAAATTACAACGGTTTTAGATCCTAGATCATTAAACTAGATACATCAACACATACAAGAGAATGTCTTACGTTCCTCCACACAGAAAGGGCATGGCCCCAGAATCATCCTTCTCGGAAGAAGGTTCCCAAGGTGGCTTCAGAAATGATAGTTATGGCGGCAGAGGCGGCGGCTTCGGCAGAGGTAGCGGTGGCGGCGGCTTCGGTAACAGAAGTGGTGGATACGGTGGTGGTTACAGCAGAGGCGGTGGTGGCGGCTACTCTAGAGATGGCGGCTACTCCAGAGATAGCGGTTACAGAAGAAATCAACCAGGTGAAGGTAAGTGGGTCGATGGCAAACACGTCCCAGCCGAAAGAGACACTGCTTTCGAATCAACTTTGTACGGTGAAGTTGGTGACTTGAGCTACCAATCCTCTGGTATCAACTTCGACAACTACGATGACATTCCGGTTGAAGCTACCGGTGACAACATCCCGGAACCTATCACTGAATTCACCTCTCCACCAATCGATTCTTTACTTTTAGAAAACATCAAGTTGGCTAGATTCACCAAGCCTACCCCAGTTCAAAAATACTCTATCCCTATTGTTAGCTCTGGTAGAGATTTGATGGCATGTGCCCAAACTGGTTCCGGTAAAACTGGTGGTTTCCTTTTCCCCGTTTTATCTGAATCTTTCAAGAACGGTCCTTCTGAGATCCCAGAGGAGACCAACAGATTTTCCAGAGGTAAGGCATACCCAACTGCTTTAGTGTTGGCTCCAACTAGAGAATTAGCCTCCCAGATTTACGAAGAATCAAAGAAATTCATTTACAGATCTTGGGTTAAAGCTTGTGTTGCATATGGTGGTGCCGATATCGGAACCCAAATCAGAAATTTGCAAAGAGGTTGTGATCTTTTGGTTGCAACTCCTGGTAGATTGAACGATTTACTCGAAAGAGGTAAGATCTCCTTGAGAAACATCAAGTACTTCGTTTTAGATGAAGCTGATAGAATGTTGGATATGGGTTTCGAAAACCAAATTAGATACATTGTCCAAGAATGTGACATGCCACCAGCTGATCAGAGACAATCGTTACTTTTCTCTGCTACTTTCCCAAAGGAGATTCAACATTTGGCAAGAGACTTTTTGAACGATTACATCTTCCTTTCCGTCGGTAAGGTCGGTTCCACTTCCGAAAATATCACCCAAAAGATTGTTTATGTGGACGAAGAAGACAAAGAACCAACCTTATTGGACATTTTAGCTTCCGATGAAGAAACTGGTTTGACGTTGGTTTTCGTTGAAACAAAAAGAATGGCTGATATTTTGAGTGATTTCCTCTACAGCCACAACTTACCAGCAACTTCTATTCATGGTGACAGAACCCAAAGAGAAAGAGAGAAGGCATTGGAATTGTTCAAAACCGGTAGAGCTCCAATTTTAGTTGCTACTGCAGTTGCTGCAAGAGGTTTGGATATTCCAAATGTTACTCATGTCATCAACTATGACTTACCAGGTGATATCGATGACTATGTCCACAGAATCGGTAGAACTGGTAGAGCTGGTAACACCGGTTTAGCCACTGCTTTCTTCAACAGGGGTAACAAGAACATCAGTAGAGACATGATTGACTTGTTGACCGAAGCTAACCAAGAAGTTCCTCAATTTTTGCAAAGTGTTTCAAGAGAAGGTGGTAGAAGTAGTGGTGGTGGAAGAGGCGGTAGATCATCCGGTACCAGAGATGTTAGAAGATCTTACAAGGGTGGCAACTCCTACGGTGGCGGTTACGGCGGTTCATCATATGGTGGCTCATCCTTTGGTGGCTCATCCTTTGGTGGTTCATCCTTTGGTGGTTCCTCAACTGGTGGCTATGGTAATTCTGCGTCTCGTTCATCCAACTCCTCATCTTCTCAATGGTGGTGAACGTAGTGAGTTACTTCTCACCATGATTTTTTTTTTCATCCCCCTTTTCTTTTTTTTCTCAAACTTATTACAATCCATTATTTCATTTTTTTTGGAAATTACTAAAGAAAGAGCAAGTTTTTTTTCTCAAAGTTACAGAAACGTGTCGATTACAATTAGGGTGGAATAAATTCAGTGACATTTTTACCACACTCAATTTGTCAATACTACTTTCAATCAATCACTCCATCCATCAATATTGTTCGTTTTTTTTCTCAATATTGTTTCTACACCCTCTACTTTTTATTTCTCCTTCTACTACCACTACAATATTCAAAATACAACATATCCATAGCAGAACTCAAAGGAAAAAAGAAGATCTTATCATATGGAGAAGGTTTTTTCCGTTATACTATGTGCTTTGCGAAGTACGCCCTGATCAAAAAAAGATAATTAAGTTAGACATTTACTAAATTTTTTGCTCATATTGTATTATATCAAATGCTTTGTTTTACAATATTCATACTTCATATCAATTCAGTTCTTAATCGGAAGACTTTCCCAGGGTTTCATTTATTAGCATGTTTTAATCTAATTGATTTTATTTCTTTAAAATCTGGTTATTTATCATTTCTCATTTTACTTTTCCTACATTACCAGTCTTTTGTATTTGAATTCATTTTTTCGTGATGTTTTTCTTTCTCTTTTTTTGCCAACATTTCTGCGTTGTGTTGCAATTGAATCTTTTCTACCTAGTACATCGTTTTGCTCTCTTGTTTTTTATGTTTCACTTATTTGACTCAAATATTATGCGTTTGATTCTTCACCCCAATCTACTGGCGCCCAGCGCTCTCCTGCACATAATATTCGATCGAAATAAGATCTATAATCTATTTATAGTTTTCCTTGTGCTTTTTCTATATAGAATTTCCAATCTACTCTTATTCATAACTGTGTCCCCCCGCACACCGACTGGCCGGATCCAACTTCACGTGATACAAACATCGACTGGGACCTGCTTGTGCAAGGCTGTGCCCCTGTACTGTGACGTCACATTTGCTGGATCGCTGCTTTCGGAAGGGACCATGACGACATCGACACTGGGAAAAAAAAATCCTTGCATAATTTGGCTTCTGAAGGGGGAAACGTAAAGGAAGGCTGAGGAGAAAGAGGGACGTGAGAGAAGGCGGCGTAGAGCAGATAACAATAGCGGACCCTTCTGCTAACTGGCCAAGACTTGCCCCAACAAAGGGATGGAGAGCCTGAAGAAAACATAAGACGAAAAAGGAAAAGACAGGAAAAAACGAAAAAAAATTATGGGCTATGGTTGGCGCATCGCTTTAGGCTGCAGTTCCAGTTCAACCGAGACGTGCCAATCCCGAAAGGTGTTAGAGTGCAGCTGAAGTGATCAAGATGATGACGACGACGTCGACGTTGGCACCGGCAGCGCAGCGACTACGCGTGTGTTACAGGAGGGCGTCATTGTAGTTCTACGAATCTCTCTGTCCTGTCCTCGTATCGACTTCGCAGATTGTCTTCTTCGACACAAGCACTGTTTGCAGCACACGTTTTGCGATAACGCCCGTTTCCCTTAGTGAGCGTTCTTAATTATTGCCGCTCTTTTCTTCCTTTTGGTACACCAGTTCCAGCAAGACCACACGCAGATCACCCTTGCGCACTCTATCTAAGCTACACTATACCCAGGTCGTCTGATACAAGCCATACACTCATATCCAGAACACATCAATGTTTTCAAAGGGAAATGGAAAAAACAAAAATAGAAAAAATAACCAACAGAACATTAGCAATGCAAGTACGAATAGATATCTCGGGCATCAGAAGACGTTGAGCGGTTCCAGCATTGCGTCGACACTACCCGACTTTGGAACCGTCCCCGTTAACGATGTAGCCTCATTGGGCTCCTCTAACTCCTTCACATCGTTGTCCAACGTACGTTCGACGGGTAACTTGAACAACTCAGTGCAGTGGTCGTTTGGAAATTCTTCCGAGTCCTTACACAGCATGCCCGACATGAAGCCAACTTCCAAATCTGCATTCAACAACATTCCAAGCAATCCAGGCAAGGCGAAAAGGAGAAATTTCTTTTCAAAGAAATCAGATAAAAACCGAAATAGAAGAAAAACGTTCAGTCCCTCTCCGCAACCTCTGGATGCCAATACTATCATGGAGGACGATGAAAGCGACCAGGTATTGAACGTCCCGATGTTACCCGCCTTCAATGAAAGCTCGAATCCTGACAACCAGCAGTATCATCCTTTAGATGTCGACACTGGTGTTCCTAGGCCTAGACAAAGAGTTGATTCAGGATCATTCGACCCTAATGCTATTGAGCAGAGGTATTCATCAGAATTTAGCGAACCAAACCGCCAGCCAACAAACTTTACAGTAGATGACTCTACAAATATTTTTCGAACCAATTCTAATAGGGTTTTGAAATCAACGATAGACCAAGATTTTGATGTCAACTTTTCTAAGGATTCGGAAATGCCAAGAGGAGAGAAAATTTTCGAAATTAGGAAACAAAAAAGACTGCAGCAGAAAAGACCTGTCACTTTTCAAAGCAGTTCAGATGATGATACGTCCACTGAAGGTGACGACAATTCCGAGGATGAAAACTTGAAGCAATACATACCAAATAAAGAGGCAAGTGATAACCTTTCACTAAAAAGTGATAACTCTCAACATTCTGTCAAACGTTCGATCAAAAACTTTTTTCGTAAAAGAGCTTTTTCTCTGGGCTCAGAGAAGAGCAATAAGAACGAGAAAGAAGAAACTAATGTGGAAAAAGCTGATAAAACGAACAGTAATGAAAAACCAGAAGAAAGCTATGGAACAGATGATACTAAGTCTTCTTCTCCGGCCAGGAAATCAGTAAGCGTAGTAAATGAAAAAGAAAGCGATGCAACTGTTCAAAATAGTGACGAAAGCAACAATAATAAAAAAATGGAAGAGGAAGGAGAAGAAGATGTGCATGGAGTAGAAGATTTTAATGAGAAAGAGGTTTCTTCAATTCCATCAAGTAGCAAAGGTGAACACTTTCTGAAAAACATTTTCAACCTCGATGGTTTAATAGGGCAAGGTGGAATGATGCCACATCTGAATCTGCGCTACAATGAGAAATACGGCCATGGCTACGATGAAGAAAATCCACCGCCTAATTTTCAGAACGAAATCAAAGAAGAGGCTCAAGTTTTGGTTGGTCACATGTTTAGAAACCCTGCTGACGAATTGAGAAGACGTAACCGACTTAGACATAATAGCAATGAAGAAGGCACGGATAATGCGGACACACAAGCTACGAATAATCATGATGTCGATAATTCTGGAATGACTTCCGGTAGTGGTTCGACCAACAACTACATGTATGTCCCGGATCGTGCACATTTACCGGTTGATCCATTTGACGATTTACAAGATATTCATAAGCTGAGTATTGATGTTCCAGATAATGTGAGAAGCAAGCCAAGAAAATATAGAGCAGGAATACAGTCTGCTTTATTTCAACTTTATAACACCCACTTGCTTCCATCATCAGTGTCAGCAACAACTTCATCAATAGATGGGACAACCTTGACAGACCAAGAGATGAATAATTCTACGGCTGAAGTTAATAGTTTGAATATGAGCCTTGGAAACGAGATACGAAAAAATGGACTGGGAGCACTGCATCCACATGAACCGGCAACAGTCCTGGATGCAGAACTACCGGAATTTGGAAGTAAGATGGAGGAGTTAACTGAGGATGCAGAAACACATCTGGATGGTTTTTCCAAAATACATAAGAGAGCTTCATCTTTCCAAAATAAGTTATTTGGACCGGAGAAACTAAAATTTCACGGAAATTTGGAAGGGAAATCGGGCACGAAGAGAAAAGGGGATGTTTCTTTTGCGCTTCCCAATTTTACTTCGAAACCTCCATCTGCTAGTTCATATACACCCTACGAAAAGCAAGAACTGCAAGGATATAGAAACCTCAAAAAGCGTGCAAAATTCAACAAGAAACTAACTAAGGAAACTGCTGCTCGTATTACTGTTCATATTGCTGATGTTTTAGAAAGACAGAGGTTTATATTAACTCTCTGTAAGGCATTTATGCTTTATGGTGCTCCAACGCACAGACTTGAGGAATATATGTCTATGACTGCCCAAGTTTTGGAAATTGATGGCTCTTTCATTTACTTTCCGGGATGTATGCTGGTTTCTTTCGGTGATTTGAATGCGCGTACTTCTGAAATGAAACTTGTTCGTTGTGCTCAGGGGTTGAATTTAGGAAAGTTAGACGAAGTTCATGATATCTATAAAAATGTTGTGCATGATCGATTAGGTACGGTGGAGGGCTATGAACTTTTGGATGAAATAATGAACAGAAAACCGAAATTTAATGCTTGGTGGTGTATCTTGTTTTATTCGGTTGCATCTGTTGCCGTTGCACCATGGAGTTTTGGTGGCTCGTGGATTGATTTACCCATTTGTTTCGGGATTGGAGGAATCATTGGATTTTTACAGTTTGTGGTTTGTCCCAAAAACACACTTTATTCTTCAGTTTTTGAAGTCAGCTCAAGTATTATTGCGAGCTTTATTGCTCGTGCTATTGGTTCCATTAATGGAGGAAACACCTTTTGTTATGCTGCAATTGTTCAAAGTTCACTAGCTTTAATTTTACCAGGTTACATTATCTTGTGTGGTTCACTTGAGCTCCAAAGCAGGAACATTGTGGCAGGTAGTGTTCGAATGTTCTATGCTTTTATTTATTCCCTCATGCTTTCTTTTGGTCTTACTCTAGGTGCTGCTCTTTATGGATGGCTTGACAAAAATGCGACATCTGCTACAAGTTGCAAATCAGATATTTCTCCATGGTTCTACTTTCTATTCATCCCTTTATTCACAATGGGTATTGCGTTGACGAATCAAGCCTCATGGTCACAACTTCCAATGATGTCATTCATTTCTGGTGCAGGATATGTGGTATCCTACTTTTCTTCAAAACATTTCAAAGAGGTTACGGAATTGAATGCAACATTGGGATGCTTCATCATAGGGCTTGTAAGTAACATCTATTCAAGGTTGCTAAAATCATTCAACAAATATTTCACAACAAGGGGTACTTTCATGACAGTTTCATTGATGTTGCCAGGGATTTTTGTGCAAGTTCCGAGTGGTATTGCCTCTCAAGGTTCTGTTTTTACTGGTATCAATACAGCTAATAGTCTTGTTCACTCAAACAGCAGCGAGGCTGCCTCAACTTCTAATACTAATTCTTTATCTTTTGGTATGGTTATGATTCAAGTTGCTCTAGGTATAAGTGTGGGCTTATACTTAAGTACCATTTTGGTGTATCCTTTCGGTAAAAAGAACACAGGATTGTTTACTTTATAAACATGAATTTTCGAAGGTTCCCTGCCTATGTTGTATTCATAAAGGCTCGTGGTTCGTATAGACGAACATAACCCACGCCGAAATTCAAATACTATTCTGCTTTGCTTCAATTCATTTTATATCATCATTTTTTGTAAATACCAATTTTTATATACTCATTCACTTTAGAAAACAAAATTGACACAATCAATATGTTTCGTAAATCATAGACCTCACTCTGTAGTCTTCATTAGCTTCTTCAATATCTTGCCAGTTTCCAATGAAATCGTCCTTACCTCTCACAATACCTGGTAGAGTTTTACCAGCCGAGTGACGTCTCCAGACCTTCTTTGCTTCTTCATCCGTGCCCAAATCACGATATTCAAATTTGACCCGATTTGCAGTGAGAATTGTGATCAACCGATTGGTGCGTGTAGTAACTTGAAATCCACCAGCGAAGGAAGTATACAAAAAGACAGGCTCATCTTCAAAAGTCATCTTTTCTACTTTTGGAACAAAAACAGAACCATCTTTACCCAAAGGATTGTATGACTCTTTCATAGCCTTTTCTCTCATAGCTGCTGCAATTATAGCGTCTGTGTCATCAGCATCATTTATGTGACTATGCACAATTTCAGCGGTTGGAGCATGGCTTGGTTCTGTTGCCACCTCCGTATTTTCAGCCACAGAAGGGCTTTTGCTACTTTCCAGATTTACCTTACCAGCTTCTGTAGATCCAACTTCACCATCATTTGTTGTCTCTTCAATCAAATTCATCTCCTCTTTTTCACCAACTACTTTTTTTATCTCCTCACTGCCTGCATTAGAAAAATCATCATTCACGCTCAAAGACTCGTTTAATTCAACGGGGTTTTCAACCCCATCAGCTTCCACCTCAGTATCTGCTAGTTGTTTTTGCCCTGTACTAATCTTTTGTGGATTTGGCCATTCGGAGTTCTCTGGTTTTCCAAGAACCTCATTATTTTCAACAGATTCTGTATCTTTTTTTTCTGTCTTTATAGCTCCTGAAGTATCCTCGCTGTAACTACTACTTGTTCCTTTCACATTACTTTGAATAAGTTTTTCTTCTCCTTCGCCTTCTCCTGTATGCTTAGGAATCTCAGTTTCCTTCTCAGCCTCCTGCTCTGAAACTTTTGCATCTATCTTGCCGTCTATTTCAGCTTCATTTGAATATTTCACTTCTGTCGCTCCAACTCCTGAACCGTTTTCTTCAGAGAGGTTAGTTTTATTTTCAACGATATCCGGAACATCATTATTAGATTCTTTCACCTCGTTCTCATCCTTCTCATTTTCAGAAATTCCGTCTTCAATTTTCAATTCAGAGGTCAACTTATCACCGTTCTCTACCTGGTCTCCCTGACATTTTTCATCTTCTACTATAGTTTTCCCACTTGCAGGTTCATCAGTATTAGAATCAGTCAAGGCCGTTCCCCTCTCCTTGTCATTAGCCCCGTCGGCTCTGCCTGATTTTTCACTTTTTGTAGCCTCTTCCTCTTCATCATCTTCAAGCATTAGTTCCATTGCTGAGGTTGCCAACTGGTCCAATAAATCATTCGAGCTTAGATTTTTGCGATTGCTCGCTTGTTCCTCTTCAGCTACTTCAGCCAAACCTTGTTGCAAGTTCTTAACAATGTCACCACCATCCGAAAGTCTTTTGCCACCTTTCACTGAATGCGTGTCTTCGACAAAATCCAACGCCTTGTTGACAGCATACTCTATATCAGATCTGTTAGACATGGAATCGTCATTAATCAAAGCACCACTTTCTCTCAAATCGTTGCTGTCAAGTTGCTCCTCGCCCAAAGCCTTACGGTCGTTTGCCATCCTAGAACGTGATCTAGAGATAGAACGAAGGTAGTTCAAAGATGAAGAATTCGGGATACGGGGGCCAGATGGATCATGCCTTGGTCTTCTTTCGGAGACCAGAGAGTGTGAGCTTTTGTCGTAAGTACTAGTGATTGAAAGGTCACCGTTTAAACCACTGTGAATCGACTCCCCTCTTGCGAGATTAGGCCTGTCACCATGATCATTCGATCGCGATGATGAGTGTCTATGCCTTGAGAGAGATCTTGATCTTTGCTCCTCCAACAATCTGGATTCGGAACCTTCTCTCATCGCCGCTGGAGGCGTGAATTCAGAGTCGACTTCAATTGCACTATCTGGAACCGGCGGATCTTCAACTTCCTTCACTTCTTCAAGAGACAAGCTCTTGGTGCTCGGGCAAATTGATTTTACAACATTTCCATCGATCAAGGTACTTGCTTTTTCAAAGTTACCCTTATTTACCACGTTAATGATGTCATCAACACTGCGCATTTTGTCGGGCTCAATGAAAAGATTTGAGTCTTCTAATTGAGTCAAATCTTTTCCCTTCTTCTTCTTCAGGGGATATTTGTAGTCGCTTGAGGTACCACCGGCAGGAGCTAGATACTTATCTGCATCACCACCCAAAATAGTTTCCTTGTTTCCATCATCAATCCTTTCCTCTTCGACATTTAAGTCTTTCAATTCAGCAGGAGTGAGCGATGTGGTAGACACATTTGACTTCAACTCCTCTGACATCACCGCATCCGGGATCAAGTTCTTCTTCACGTGTCCCTCTCTATCCAACACGTCATTCAGCTCTTGCTCTTCTTGGTCCGTAGTGAGACCACCCTCTTTGGCAATCTCATCAACAGGAACTAGCTCTGAAGCTGACTCAGACTTGACAAAAGATGCTTTCGTTGAGTCTGAATTAAAGGACTTCAGAGTAGGTATTTGGTCTGAGGAGTCTCTTAAGGAAGATCCGATAAGGGAAGGTGTGTTCTTGCTCTTGAGTCCTTCAACTTCTATATTCATGTCCATCGTGAAGTAAGAACTCTTTTTTGTGTTGTGACGGTAGTGATTGACTAAAATCCCTGTTCCTGCCTTTCTTGCCTGCAATGCTTTTCTCTTTCTCACACGTCACGGGTGAAACAATATCCTTACAATGCAACCACCATCTCGTCCACGACCAACAAAAATGCATGAAAATGAGAAAAATCGGCTTTCTGAAAGGCGGGGGGAAGGGGAGAAAGGATCACGTGATATCTTACATTAACTTATGCTTTATCTTTTTTGGCTTGCTTTTACATATATCTAGGCATGGTGGACATACACATACACAGATAAGTTTTCTATAAATCAAAAGAGGAGGGCAAAAACTCAGTTTTGGCTATTTAGCAAATTGCTATCTATTTCGAAGCAGTCAGGGCTTGGATCTTCTCAGCTGCCTTGGCAATATTTTCTGGCTTGCCGTTGATTCTGACTAGGTCGCTTTCGCTATCTTGCTTTGGAACGAAGATCTTGACCTTGAACTCGTCCTCGAGGGACCTTCTCACAGAACCACCGGAGCCAACAATGTGTCTATGTTGTTTTTTAGGGACTTCGATAGTCTCATCGGTCACGCTCTCAAAATCCTTCACCATTGCGCTGATAGTGTCAATAATCTTGGCGACAACGGCCTTGTCTCCTTCGCAAACAATGGTCGTGGATTCCGAGTTCCGTGCAGGAAATTGTATGAAACGTCTAAAATCACGGTCGGTTTCAGATCCACCAGCATTAATGACGATTTCACGCAACGTCTTACCGCTAGGACCAATCAAGTTACCATACCATTTTGGATCAACCTCAATGGTTTCAGAGGTAGAATTTACAATACGCTTGACAATGGCATCAATCTTTGATTTTGCTTCCTTGATACCGGCTTTGGAACCGACTATCTCAAAATCCGCAGAACCTGTTTCCTGAGCTTTAGCTTGATCTGTCTTGGCATGGATTCTGACCCCAGTGTCCACAGAAATATCATTAATGGTTTCACCACTTTTGCCAATAACTCTCGACAATGCTTCGCTAGGAACTTGAATGACCTCAACAAAGCCATTTTCCTTTTCGTAATCCAAGAGCTGCTTGATTTCCTCTTCAGCCTTAGCAACACCTCTAGAAGGACCCTTGATAACAACACTACCCTTAGTTTCGTTCGAATCAGAAAATTGGATTTTAACATTGTATTTATCTTGAAGCCTATTGACATAGACACCGCTCGGACCAATCAATTGTTTGCGGAACTTCTGTTCGATGTTTAACGTTGCGGTCTTTTCATCAGCCCACTTCTTGGACAATTGACTTACCTTCTTAATACACTCATCGACATTTGACTTGAGGCCTGTAAGTTTGATCTCAGCACTCTCAACCTTATCCGAGTCATCAGTCAACACATCTATCTTAACATCGAATTCATCTCTAATTTGGTTCAACGATGCACCCTTTTGGCCAATGAATCTAGCCAAATATTTAGATGGGAATTCAATAACGGTGTTGTACTTAGATGCTTCCTCGTAATTCTTAACATCATCAATGAGTTGCTGAATGTCACCAATCGCTTTCTTGATTTCGTTTTTGTAACCTCTGAGATATATTTCATCTGGCGAAGCGCCATCAGCATTCTGGTGAAGTTTGATTTCAATACTGTTTGGTTCATATTTGTTTAAAAGAACGTTCAGTGTGCTACCTTCAAGGTGAGCTTGATCTGCAGCAGGAGTCTCAATAGTTTCAGCAATCAAATCCTTACTCAAAGCTCTGAGCTCGTTAAGCGATTCATTGACAACATTTAACTTAGCCTCAACTTGGTCTGCGGATGGTAAAAACTCGTCATCGTTTTGTTGAACAATTAACAAGAGCATGTTACCTGCACCTGCCAATGAGCCTAAAGGAACGACAGAAACGTTATTTTCAATTGGCACGGTGTTATCTAACTTAGGGAAGAGAAATGATTCAATGTCAGATACAGCTTTAACAAAGTTAGGGGTAATCTTATTGACATTATCAACTAGGTCTTTTCTTGCCTTCTTTATATCATCCTTCTTATCTTTAGTAGAGCTGAAAGAAATGACGACATTTTTGACTTCAGGATCAATTATATTCTTGTATGAAGGACCTGAGACCTTGATACCGTACTGTGAACTTAATGCATCAAAGTACTTGGTGTAAGCAAAAAATGCAGTCAGATATTTGGCATGTTGATAGTTGCCACCGTGAGATTTGGAGATATCCAAGGAGTCAACAAAATACTCGGATGTTAAGTTTTTTGCGAATGGAATAGCTTTTGAAATGTTTGATTTTACACCAATAAACTTAACCTTGGAGGAAGTTTCATCTTGTGGAGGTACTTCCATCACCACGCTAGTAGCTTCTAGAATTTTGTCAGTGTCTAAAAATGGATGCAAATGCTTCGGAACTTCACGCTCTTCGACAACAACCTGGTTGTCCAAAGAAACCAATGTAGATTTGATGGCATTACGTGCTTCAATTACACCTTCTCTTGGACCTGTGACCAAGATGTAGCTAATTCTCGAAGATGGCTCTGGACAGATAGCTTCAACTCCTTCAGGGAAAACAGTTTCAGCAATTTCATTGGTGACAAAGGGTTTCAATTTTTCAGAAACAGGAACTCTGACACTCAAAGTCTTGGTATGCTCATTAACAATTGCTAGAATCTTAGCCTTTGCATCAGAACATCCTTGAATATCCCCCTCAATGGTGACAGTTAATGATTTACCAAACAATTCCTCGTCTTCCGTCAGCAAAGAGTTGGAGCTTTCAGAAGTTTCTGATTCTCTACCGATGTCAATTCTCACCGATGTCGCTTCGATGATTGGCTTTAAAGTTTTACCGCCAGATCCAATGACAGCAGATCTTAACTTGGATGGAATTTCAAAGGAAATCTTGGTAGGTTTGGTCAATTGCCTGATAAGCTCTCTCTTTGCCTGTGGAACGTTATCGGAAGGCCCATTTAAAAGGAAGGTTCTCTTCTTCGTGGCACCTGAGTAAGTTGACTCCACTTTGACGTTCAAAGAAGCCTGGATCTTGGCAAAAATCTTGAAAAGTTCTCCTTTCGCAAGATTTTGTTGTTGCTCGTCGGCAATGATGAAAGTAACTTGAGTGGAAGACGATTTGACGGCAGGCCTGAAAGAAGAGACTGGCTTTGCCCACGAAGACCTTGTTGGGTCAGAGGAAGGGCCCCATAGGGCAGGAGCAGAGCCTGTGGCGTCACCTAGAGATGGAAAATATGCGTCATCGTCCATTCTGATGACCTTCTTCGGCTTAATCTCGGTAACCTCGTCGAGAATGTCGTCTGCGGAAGTAGAGCTGGCAGTGGTCACAGAGTCCTCAACAGAGTTAGGGGTTGCGGTTGAGAATTCAGTTGGGGCAGGCGAAGATGGCTCTTCGGCAGCGCTTGCTTGGGCGTGCTTCAATGCTAACAATTCAGCTGGAGTGGACATGACTGAGAGCAAAGGTTGAAAAGGTAGTATGTGGCTGAACACAGGGAGGTCGACGGAAACAGTGGGCAGTAAAAACGGAAGATACAGGGACAAAACTAGGGAAAGTGTGGCAAGGAGGTTTTATGTATATAACCGCTGTAGGATATATATATATATGTAGATGTATCTTGGCAAACACGGATATGAAGTTCGATCTGAGTTGAATAGTGTATAGGCAGATGAGATAGGAGGTAGGAGGGTTTCCCGAAATCAAAGAAGATGAACAGTAGCTGTAAGAAAACGGTTGTGAGAAATATAAACTCTTTTGCTCCGTTTGGTCCTGGGGATTTGGCTACACTACACAGCACTTATATGCACATCACCGACGGCCAACTTCTTCACCAGATCCCAGATGTTTTCAAAACTAGCCCATGTGCGTCGTCGTCGTCGTCCTTTTTTTTCGTTCGACGTGGCCTTAGAGTGGGCTCTCGCGGTGCACAGAAGCTTTCGCACGGTGTTTGGGGTGGCGGGCTCTCATAGCAAGACATGTTTCTGGAGAAACGAGCCACCAAGAAATCCTGCCACAAAGAGCACGCCTCTGCCGACGGTGAAGGCGTTAATCTCAGTAAACATGGTGACAATTCCAGGCCCGGGACAGACACCGGCAAGTGCCCAGCCGACGCCGAAAACCGCGTTTCCTAGAAGAAACTGGAGGCTGGTTTCTTCACTGAAGTTCAAGTCGTATTCGGACTCAAAAAGAGGCTTCTTGACAGTGACAGTAGCGTCCCCGTCCTTTGCAGCTGTAAATATGGCCTCTGCTTTTGTTTGAGGAAGCCATTTTTTCCATAAAAGAATGTTTGGGGCAATGCAGAAGAGAGGTATCATTGCCAAGCTTGGGTCGAAGCTGGCCGGTCTCCAAAAGGAAAGGAACCCTATGATTTTGGATGTGTCGGTCATGCCTGCGACGCAAAGGCCCGTTCCAAACAAAAAGCCTGAGCTTATTCCGGTAATCCAGCGCACGAAGTTGTCGGCAAGAGATGTACGAGTGGTGGGGACTTTGTCGTTTTTGTGCTTGAGCCAGAGGCCGATTCTGGGAAGGACAATGTAGGACCAAAGTTGGCCAAGAACAACGAGCGCAAGTAACAGCATCATGTTTTCTTTGAAACCTGTGAAACTGTGGTCGTATTCGTAGCTCGGGACTCCGCGAGGATCCACTCTGAAGCTGCCCATGAGCACCGTAGTTATCACTGCAGTGAGGAAAAACGTGCACGTAGCAACAAAGCTCCGCCACCTCAATCGACTAAGACCTATTAGCATGTGTCCACTGGTGCATCCACATCCAGCACTGGTCCCTGCGCCAACTAGCAATCCTGCAACCAAGTAGCTCGTTGGAAACGTGCTTATCGTTGCGGGGACCACCGCTGGGGAAAATGAGGGCAAAAACTTATTGACAAATCCAGAAGAGATGAAAAGACCTAGCAGAATGGATGCTGAGTGGACTGACGGTTTGAATACCGAGTTGTACAAAATGGATGAAAAGCCTATTGACTTTCCTTCCAGGTGCATATAAGATGATGTTGCCGCCTGGATGAGAAGCGCCCCCAGGGAAGACTCTAGTGGAGTGAACATCGCTTTTGTTTCTTTAACTTGTTTATCTTCTTATGCTGATGTCGACATTACTCCGACGGAGAAGAGAATTGAGTTTGTAAAAAAAAAGCAACAGCAGGAACAGCCGCAGATAAAATACAATCCCCATGTTCGAAGCCCGAAAATTGACATCTTCTCGCTTCCACTTTTTCGGAGATTGAATAGACAAAATACAAACACGCCAGAATCACCAACGCCCGTAATATTCAGATGCAGTTACAGCACTAAACGTGTACACACAAGTAAAAACTAGACTCGGGCGTAGATTGATGTAAAATATGCTACGCCGTTTCCATCTCATCATTAAAGCCTGGGCCCTTCTTCCCATTGGACACCGCACCACTCTTCAAGGTAAGCAACACCGTTTTTGTCAAGCCAGTTGAGGGGCACAAAGTCCTCACTATCGGTAGCAACTATAATTGTACCCCATTCCATTCCGTTCTGCATGATCTGTTGGATATCATCAATGTCATTTTCCAAATCAATGATCATCTTAGGCATTAGCTGCATTTCAAAACGTCGGCTGCCGCTTGGGTTGTATGCTGGAGAGGGGATGTTCCACTCTGATCTGCTCTTGAACTTTCCACTTTCCGAGTAGAAAATTCGGCTGAGTTTGTCTTTGGATGAATATAAAATGGGCGATCCATCGGGCTCATAACGCAAAACCTGCTGGGTGTTGTAAGATAGTATTCTTGTAAAATTCTGGAAGGTTTGATCATCAAATAGTTTTGACAAATCTTCAGTTTCCTTATTTTTTTCAGGGTTTATTTTGGGAAGATTACCCTGCTGAACATTATTCAATGACGGACTGTCTTCAACAAATTCTCCCTCCTCCTCAATTTTAAGGTTTTCTGGTATAGGAGGTAGCTTTTGTTTGGAAGGATCCAATTTTTCTTGCTCAAAGTACAGAATGAATCCTTTGAACTCGGGCAAATTGTACTCCACGATCTTTTTCTCAGCAAACTGTTGTTTGGATGTTTTATTTGCCTTTGCAGCAGATGTTCTCGCCACATCGGCAAACGTAGGATTCTCATCTTGAACCTTTTGTAAAGCTGTGGCCACATTCTTTGTATCAAAAGGATTCGAGGCGTTGGCAAAAGGGTTTGCAGTAGAACTTGCAAAAGGGTTCTCCAAAGTCTGAGTTGTTGATGAGGCAGCCGGGGAAAACAAGTTCTGGACCAAATCCTTGGTTTCCTTTTCCTTTGCTAGCTGTTCTTGTTCCTTCAGTTTATGTGCTTCCTCCTGTTCTTTATCTTCCCTCTCTTTTCTTTGCATCTCTTTTTCATCTTTTTTCACTCCCCGGATTGCTCGGACACTTCCCTCTTTACGACGGCACTTCGCTTCGATACATATGAAAACATACAATGTACGATCGTAGTAGGTGTCAGGTATGTCTGCAGTACACTGAGCTAACAACCGCATTGGTTTGTGGCAATTTTTGCAATGCACAAGGTTATAAGGAATAGGAGACAATTTGTCCATTGGGAGTGGCTGCCCACCGATGAATGAATCTTTTGCATATAGTGGTTCGTCTTCCGAGATTGCGATGTCAACATACCCCAACAACGTTGAAGTTACCGTTGGGGACGATGAAATTGAGTCAGCATCGGAATCGTTAGACATATTCTCACTCTTTGCAGAAAAGCTAGTGAATGAATGCAAAAAGCAGATACTACTTTAGTGAAGTGGAGATTATTTGAAGTATCACACTACGAGATGTTCTCCCTAGATCAATCATCATGTCTTTATGAAGAACAAAAAAATAAAAAACTGAAAAAGTAAAAAACAAATTGAAAAAAGTTGTAGCTGAAATTTACTTTTTTAGTTACGTAAGCTATACGAATGCCTGGCTTTAGCATCTCACTATCGAGGTAATTGATAAACGAGCATCTACTGAATTTGTGTTCTGGTGTCCTTGTGAACTGAGAAAATATTAACATCTCTTTTCTGCAGCAAGTACAGCTCCTTTTTGCTTTTTTCCGACAAAAATTCAGATTAGGCGAAACCAATTAAGTATGAACACTCCAACTTTCAAAAAACCGACTTTATGGTTTCGTGTAATGAGAGGACTAGTCATGATCTATTGCATATTAGGTCAGCTACTGACATAAGCGAAATGCATGATTTTGAAAACAGTCCTTTTTTTTTTGTGAAAAAGAGATTAAAAAGCAATCGTAAGTGTATTCTCACCTCTCGACCGGATTTAGATCTGCCAGATCTAGTTCTTTTTTCGACACAGTGATGTGTTACTACATCGGTGTTTCAGAAGCAATTAAAGACAGAATAATTCTTCTTAGCAAAACCTGATTCAAAATTTTGGCTTTTTTACCGGCGTTTCGAAGAGGCAAAACTAAGCGTGGAAAGCGGAGCTTATGTATGCACGTAGGCATGCATGCATTTGTGTTCGTAAAAACACATGTTCACACTGGATTTTCTACGTATGATCACGCTCAACATTATCACCTGGTGTTCGGATAATTGTCGGGTTAGTTATAGCTCAGCGGGTCGGTAACAAGGCCTTTACTATTTTCTTAGTTTTTTCCGTTACATTCTCGCAGGGTGAGAAACAAGGCTTTGTTTGAGAAGCCCCGCAAGTAAAACAAAGAGCAATATAGCCGCATTGCAGATTATGGACTTCAAGAGTGAATATCATTGCGCGGGTCGCAACTTTGTGCAGGAAGATTTTGGTTTGTTTTAAGTCGTGGAGGCTTCCTCAAGCATTCCTTTCTCTTAATTCTCAATTGCAAGAAGTAGAGCATGCTATGCAGATAGGGAAAAAGCGATTTATCAGGTGGTTGCTCACAGTTTAACAAACAGGCAAAGAGTTGTGTCAAAGGCCAGAACAAAATTTAATGTCTATAGGGCTTTGATAGCTTGTCAACTATAGTACATCGGGAGAGACCTCTCAGTTTCCTGAAAATAATCCATTTCCAACCGCAATGCTTTGAATGTTCATGAAGCCCACATAATGCACAGCTTTGATGCTCATGCGGAATATAGCTCCAAGCCACAGCTTGCGCGTGGACTGGTCAATTTAAGTTGTCGCTGCACTCAGGCTGGGCGGCATATAGCGGATATCATGTCGGCAAAAGGGGCTGTAAATAGCAGATACCTCTTTTGATGGGTACTATAATCCTGACCATGCAGGATGTGCAGCTAAATAATAGCATGCACCAGTTGATGATTAGTATCGCGGGTGCCCTCATTTCAAAAAATGACTCCTACAAAATTCTATTAAACGCCCGCATAATTGTACTGGTTAGAGTGAGCGTCCACCACTTGGAATTTTGTCTTCCCATAAAATTTGCGAACTACTTTTTTCCCGCCGAATTTGCTCTCGCTCCAACATCAGTGTTTTGAAGAAATCGTTCGCTAAATACAAATGTAATCTGTTTGACTAATTTTTAGGTAGCTGTACATGGGCTTGTTCCGATTCAATTCATTTCATGAAATTGTTTCAGCCCATCACACCCGCGTCACTGATTCTTGTACCAACACAGATTCCCACCTCTCGGTACAAACTTTTCCTTACTTTTTACGTTCCTCACCTTTGATTACACACACGGCTGTAGCTTTTCATAGTTAATAGCCGCACCTCCAGCAGATCCTTTTGTAGAGAGCATGAGTTTAGCACCGTTGGGTAAGAAGTACATGCATCACTTTATGCATAGAAGCGGGTTTCTACGGAAATACAGCATGATTTTCCAGTCGCGAATCTCTACTTGCATGCATGTGATAATATTGAAAATACAAAATTCACTGCAAGTTCAGCCTGTACTTGTGCTTCCATGTGGTCTTGACCTCTATTGTAAATTTTCTTCCAATGACTTCAATTTCTTCTCTTACCTGATGACTCTGCCGTATTATGACAGTTATTACACGGTTATTGATGAGTGCATGCATGAATATTTTTTGCTCCTCGATTAGTTTCTCATTTGCCGAGCCCTTGGCGAAGAAAATAAAATGAGCTTGACTCGATCTTGCTTTTAAGTATTGGATTTCCCTTACTTGATGAAAAAGTTAATTCTGGTTTTAGCTATCTTTCCTCCTTGTCTAACATTGCTCTACGACTTTGCCAAAATTTGTTTCCTCTCTTAGTATTTTTTTGCTAGCACAATAGCCACGAATTGGTTAACAAGCTTCAAATGAAATTAGTGACTTATTTGTTGTGGGCAGCTCTGTTTGCTTGTTCAACTATCGCTGATAATTCAATTCAAACAAGTGTCGTTGGTTGTAATATTAATGCTATTAGCTCCCTGGAAGGTTTCAACGGTGTGTTCTATCAATTCGCTGATATTGCTACGAGCGTATACTCGGATCCAAGTTTCTATGCACAGGGCTATAGGACTGGTAGCGTTGTCGGTACAGCCTCTGATATCACTAACATAAATTTTAGCGTTCCGGGAGGTGAACGTAATCTATTTGGTGTCAATGTAGATACGTCTAGTTTTGCAATCGAATTCACTGGATACTTCAAAGGTAGGTTCACGTCTTTGCTCAACCAGCTCAATATATTCCTCTCTTACTTACAAGTTACTAACATAGTTATCTTTGAAATGTTTTTTGTTACTGTTTCATAGCTGAAAAGGATGGTATTTACGCATTTGATATGTCAAAAGTTGACGATGGCGCTATGGTCTTTATTGGTGACGCTGCTTATGACTGCTGCAAACCAGGTGAAATTCCAACTGGAAGCGCAGACACTGCGGCACTGTTTTCTTACAAAGCTTGGGATGCACCATCTGATGCATCTTACGTTTGGATTTATTTTGAAGCTGGTTCTTACTATCCAATCAGAATTGTATATGCTAATGTGATTAGTGCTGGTGGTATTGACTTGTCGGTAACAGCTCCAGGTGACTCCAGCGCCGTGAACATTGGTGCATTGGTATATCAGCTAGTCAATGACGATTCAGTCAATAAATGTGTTGCTACAACAATTACTACTACCTTTCAGTCATCAACGACTTTTATCTATAGTAAGGATGTTGCCACGACTGTCACAATTCCTCAAACTATCACTGTTGCTGGTACCACTACTGTTGTTATTGAAAAGCAAGTTTACTTCACATCATATGATAAGATTTATACCAGTTACATTTCAGGCTCTTCTTATTACACATCATCGTACGTGTCTACTATTGTAGACAATGGTAATACACTTCCAGCTGAAGTTATTGTCATTGGGGTTCCCTTACTATCAACAACCTCACTTTACACAAATGTGCAAGCAACAAAAACTTTAACATCTCAAATTGTTGTGACAGGTGTTTCCGAGATTTACACAAGTAGCGTCATTGTCGTGGAAGAGCCAAACTTACAGTACACATATATTCCAACAAAAGTCAACACTTTATACACTACAACATCTGCCTTTACTACAGCTGTAAAAGGTAAGCCTATTATAACTTCAGATATTGTTGTTGTTGGCCCAAGCGTTGAAACTTTGACTACATTCTATAACGGAGCTCATACATCTACATTCATGACAACCAGCGTCATAGTCCATGATGGTAAAACGTCAACTTCTCGTGGTTATGTTGTTGAATATCCCCGTGGTACTTCCACCGAAGTATGGGGCACACCAACTACTTCTCAATATACAACAACTGTTACATTAACGAAAGACGGCGTGATGCAAACCTCTGCATATATCGTCAAATTGGTCCCATCGTACAGTTATGTCTATAGCAGTGGAACCGACACTGTTGCACATACAAAAAGTTTTACAAGGACAAAAGTTGAAAATGGTATTACAAGTCAATATGTTGAAATCGATATTGTTTATCCTACACCATATACTAGTATCTCTGTTGGTACTGTTGGATCCACCTACACTACCACCCAAAATGGCCACACTTATGTTGTTGTTGAAGAAACGGACTTTCCTACAACCACTTCGTTTTGGAATAAAAATTATGTTACAACTACATTTTCTCCTGTTGTTACCGGCACTTCCACAGGCTGGGAATGGGAAATCATTTATCCAACTCCAAGTACCACGGTATATGAGTGGAGCGGAGTATATACAAAAACAGAAACCAGTACACTCTACTACCAAGAAACTTTAGTCACAGGTTTCGAAGTAGTAAACTACGTACCTTCCTATGCACAGTCTGTATCTCTTTGGACTGGAACCGGATATTCCACTGCAACAGAAACAGGGGTTTTTACAAATCGGTTTGGTATCGTCTCCACATCTACTTACAAAGTGGTTTATAGGCCATCTTCAATGATTGAAACAACCAGTACTTGGAAAAGACCACAAACATCCACTATTCTCACCGAAACTACACTAACCGGGCGAGATGGTTTCCCAATTACTACTACTGAGGAAATTATCATTGTTCCTGATACTTCTGTCATTTACTCTTGGTCCACTTCGGAGGTTTATGGAGGCTGCACTGGATCAGGCACGACCACCTCATACAAAACGACCACAGTACATGGTACCATAACCACTGTTGGCGTTGAGATTGTGAGTGGCCCAGGCGCTTCATGTTATGCCCCACCACCCACCACCTACTATACTACATTCACCCAACCTGCTTCTAATTGTTATTCACATGAAACAACATCGACTTTTTCAACTATGGGATCAGATTACGCAATCACGGAGACCGTTCAAGTAATTGTTGAAACTCCTCCACCTGCATGTTATGCAGTTACAACTATACATACCACTGTTCCTGCTGCAGATTGTTGGTTAACAACTACCACCTCCACTACACAGGTAACTGCCTCAAATTATGCTGTGACCACAATTGTCAGTGTTATCGTCAGCACACCGGGCCCGTCTTGTACCACTTTTGTGACAACCACTGTTCCCGCAACGGACTGTGTACTAGCCACTGGTACATACACTGTGGAGGTGCAGCCTGTGGGTTTTGTTGCTGATGATTCCGACAACTCTGACGACTACATGAAGACCACTGTTAGTGTTATCGTCAGCACACCGGGCCCGTCTTGTACCACTTCTGTGACAACCACTGTTCCCGCAACGGATTGTGTACTAGCCACTGGTACATACACTGTGGAGGTGCAACCTATGAATTTTGTTGCTGATGATTCCGACAACTCTGACGACTACATGAAGACCACTGTTAGTGTTATCGTCAGCACACCGGGCCCGTCTTGCAACTTGGTGTCGTCATCGTCGATATTATTTACTGTTTCATCGAACAAAATATCGTCTGCACCATCTTCAGCGCCATCCAAGAACATATCGTCGGTTCCATCGAAGAGATCATCTTCTGCACCATCTTCAGCTCCATCGTCAGCACCATCGTCGGTTCCATCGTCGGTTCCATCTTCTGCACCATCTTCTGCACCATCGTCAGCACCATCGGCTGCACCATCGTCAGCACCATCGCCTGCACCATCTTCTGCACCATCGGCTGGACCATCTTCTGCACCATCGTCAGCACCATCTTCAGCACCATCTTCTGCACCATCGTCAGCACCATCTTCTGCACCATCGTCGGTTCCATCTTCAGCTCCATCGTCAGCACCATCGTCAGCACCATCGGCTGCACCATCGTCGGTTCCATCGTCGGTTCCATCTTCTGCACCATCGTCAGCACCATCGTCGGTTCCATCGTCGGTTCCATCGTCAGCACCATCGTCAGCACCATCGTCGGTTCCATCGTTGGTTCCATCGGCTGGACCATCTTCTGCACCATCGTCAGCACCATCGTCAGCACCATCTTCTGCACCATCTTCTGCACCATCTTCAGCTCCATCGTCAGCACCATCTTCTGCACCATCGTCGGTTCCATCTTCAGCTCCATCGTCAGCACCATC